CTTGGTGGTACTATCAGTGCCTGTGATGGTAGTAGTGGATAACGGAACCGTAACAATCACAACTTCAGAAGTAGTAGCACTCCCGGTAGTGATAATAGTTGTGTAAGTTGAAGGTTCGTTTCCCGTGGTGGTGGCAGTTGATAATGCCGGGAGTACCACAACAACTTTGGAAGTGGTGATATCTCCTGAGGTGGTGGGGGTAGTATAAGTCTTGGTGGTACTATCAGTGCCTGTGATGGTAGTAGTGGATAACGGAACCGTAACAATCACAACTTCAGAAGTAGTAGAACCCCCTGTGGTGTAAGCGGTTGTGTATGTTCTGTCAGAAGTACCTGGAACAGTGGTGGTAGACAAAGGAGGAACTTCGACTATTACAGTAGCGGTGGCTCGCCCTGTTTGAGTGGGGGTGGTAGTGGTGGTCGAGGTGAAAATATTATTCCATGTGCTAGTAATGGTGGTAGTGGCTACCATACAGGCTTGATTAGGTAATGGATTATAAATAGGAACGCTATCACCTGTATAAACAGTACCACCTGGATAAGTAACTTGAAATTTAAAACTGCCTGGACCGCCGGAATTCATGTAAAGAAACTTGATTGGATAGTAACCGGCCAGTAAGGTTACCAGGTATGTAAGGGCTGCCAGCTGATCATATGATGCAGTGAGCTTGGGTGAAGTCCCTACGTTATCGGCAACATTTCCACAACAATCGTAACTTTGTGATGTTGCAAGATACATAGAAGCGGCATCATCAGCTGAAAGGAATTTGAAAGTATAAGTACCAGTTTGGGAAGCATGGAGATACCCTGTTGATCTAAGTCCAAATCTGAATGTGTAAAGGTAGTTACCATACAAATTATTATCAGGGGGCAGGTAAGGGTAGTTGAAAGACAGATTCCTAACTTGGTAAATTCTCTGAAACGCTGTCACTTGTTCAAGACCAGGCAAGTAACTAATACAACCTGACCCATGACATGTATAGTAGTCTATCAGAACGTTGTAATAATCAACCGTCATTCCTACGGCAACATTATCAAAATTACAAGTCCCTATGGTAACTGCTTGAACTTTAACGCAAAGCAAAAGCAAGAAACCCAAAAATACTAGCATTGAAGAACATCTTCTTGGAGCTTGTGAGCTTGCTTATATATCGTTTGGATTTTGAATTTCAGGTCTGTAGGATATTATCCATGATATTTTCTAGCCATCATTCTTCGAACCAGATATGAAAAAAAAGGAATTAGTTCTTCAGCATGATTATTTCCTGCAATGGAATTTTCCCATACTTTATTTTGAAATTTTTTTGTTTTCGGAATCTTGAAAAGGAAAATTATTGACGTGTTCGTAAGGTTTTATGGGCACCATTCACAGGGCTGCTGATCCTCAGTTTTCCGCTCAAGAAAAAAGATGATGGCATAAAATCTGAATTGGGCGTAAGGCAAGAGAAATTCGATAAAATTTGACCAGTGAAGGTTTGAAATTTATAAAATAGTAAAAATCATGAAGTAGACCTATTACTCCCACAAGAATACGGAAAAGACAAAGCAGTGGACGAACCAGATGCACAAAGGACTAAAGCGCGCCTAACCATATTATAAGATTTCTGCTGATTGCAATTGCTTGACCAAGATGACATCTACCGGGGTACATCAATAGTTGTAAAACGCATGAGAATCCTCTTGGTTAGATATTTCGATGCGGTCACCACTCAGGCGAAAACATGTGATTCGTAAAGGCAATGACCTGATGATGCATGGTATGAGATTTCAATCTCATAAAGGGCCGTAGACATACAAGAGACGACATCATAGTGTCATGTCAACTTTTAGTGTCTTTTATGGTTTTGTTGTTCTATTATGCTGTGTCTCTACAACAATCATATTTTTTTCCTACTTGTTGTCATCAATGACATCCATAAATAATAGTTATCAAGTTTAACAGAAAGACAACTTTCTTCAGATGCCCCAGTACGAACGAGAGATATGAATAAAAGATGTTTGCGGAATCTGCGAAGATATGTTTCCGTGCGTATATTATGTGTCGGAAAGGTTTGGTAGCGATTTGCAATGTCGCCACGGAAATGCGCAACCAAACCAGGTCGAGGAAGACGGACAAAAAGCCCCTTTAAAGACTAAAAAGTTTATGTATGGAGTTGTTCCCTCATTCTCATAAATCTATTTTTCAATTCGATGGAATATGAATATAACATCAATTGATATGAATAAGATACGAGCCTGGATAGCAGTTGACCACGTAAGTTCACTACAGGCTCGGAATGATTCTGTTTCGCTATTGGTTCCAGGAAAAGAAATCTTCGTTATTATCTATTGCATGCCGGTCTTTATATTGTTGACTAGAGAAAATTCTTCATTTGAACTCAACACTAGTTATTTTCCTCTTGGGTCCTTCATGGTAAGGGTTCGTGTAACAGCCAGGTAGATGTTTTGAAAGGGTGGTGTTGGTTATTTCCTTCAAAAGAAAGTAATGCAAGTATTTGGGGTTGGTCGTTGGTATTCCGATGAAAATAGAGTATGAAAACTTTATTTTTAAGCATCAATAGTTCAACATCTAGTAACCAGTTAAAGGTCTATTCATCAGTTGAACGTCTATTCATCAGGTAAACGTTTGTTTATCAGGTAAGATTATGTAAGGATTTGGTTGGTGGTATTATTTTAGTTTCAACTGATGAATTATGTGCTCCGATCGAAGATATTTTCAAAGTTACGAGATACATTGTTGAACTTTCAGACCTATTATCAGGTAAATAACCATCACCTGACATATTCCTCTTTCTCTCATTGATATCCCTTTTTCTAGAATCGAAAAGGACTATAAGAAGAGTAAACAGTTCAATATCTTAACATATAAGTCAGTTTTATAAAACAGCCGAAATTCCTTCAGTCAAAAGCAGATCACTTTCGTCGAATAGCATTCAATAAGTCCACCATCGATCATCTAAATCTTACTTAACCTCGTGTGATATCGGATTAAAACTCCTAACACCCCTCTAACACCGTAATTTGTTCACTGCTCCACTTTCCCCATATAAACCGTTTTGGATCAAAAGTCCGGCTGGATGAAAGGAAGTCTCACAAGATAGCTAAAAACTCATCTTTCAACCCCAAAGACCTCCTCTTGCTATATTACAACTTTAATTGTTCTTACCCATATTATCCTGATTCATTAACTCCATTTGGTTTCAGAATAATTTCATATTAGTGGGCATTACATAAGCAAGGTTAATTATCGGTGGGTAATTCCCCTCAAATCCTTTTATCCTCAGCTCACTCATTTTTCACAGTATTTATTGAAAACTAAATCCACTCATAATTTATACAATGAATTACTTCCCAGAAATTAAAGAATTACCACCAGACCCATTGTTTGGATTAAAAGCTAGATATACCAAAGATTCTAGATCCGATAAAGTCGATTTAGGAATTGGTGCCTATAGAGACAATAATGGTAAACCATGGATTTTACCTGCTGTTAAATTAGCAGAAAAGAAGTTAATTAATGATGATAGTTATAATCATGAATATTTACCTATCGAAGGATACAAAGACTTTGTTGTCAATGCTGGTAAAATCATCATTGGTGAAGAATCTGTCGCTATCAAAGAAGATAGAATAGTTTCACAACAAAGTTTAAGTGGTACAGGAGCTTTACATTTAGTTGGAAAGTTTTTGAAAGATTTTTATCATAACAAAACAGCTAAGATTTATTTATCTAAACCAACATGGGCCAATCATAATCAAATCTTCACTTCTTTAGGTTTTGAAGTTGATAATTATCCTTATTGGGATAATGATAATAAATCCTTAGATTTACAAGGATTCTTAAAAGCCATTGAAGATGCTCCGCAAGGATCTATTTTCCTTTTGCATGCATGTGCCCATAATCCTACTGGATTGGATCCTACAGAAGACCAATGGTTACAAATTTTAAACAAATTATCAGAAAAAGATCATTTACCTTTATTTGATAGTGCTTACCAAGGATTTGCTAGTGGTAATTTAGAAAAAGATAGTTTCTCCATTAGAACCGCTGTTGACAAAAAGATCTTCAAAGCTCCAATCTTAATTTGTCAATCATTTGCTAAAAATTGTGGAATGTACGGTGAAAGAGTTGGTGCAGTTCATGTCATCCCATCTGAAACTAATGAAAAATTGAATAATGCTATTGCTTCTCAATTAAAGAAAATTATAAGATCAGAAATTTCTAATCCTCCAGCCTATGGAGCTAAAATTGTGGCTACTATTTTGAATGATAAGGAATTATTCAATCAATGGCAAGAAGATTTGACTACCATGTCATCAAGAATCAATAAAATGAGATTGAAGTTAAGAGAATTATTGATCAACTTACAAACCCCTGGTACTTGGGATCATATTGTCAACCAAACAGGTATGTTTTCATTCACAGGTTTAAACCCTGATATGGTTAAAAGATTAGAAGAAAAACATGGTATTTACATGGTTGGTAGTGGTAGAGCTTCAGTTGCAGGTTTAAATGATGGAAATGTTGAAAAAGTCGCCAATGCTTTTGATGAAGTTGTTAGATTTTATGCTAAGAGTAAACTTTAGAATTAAAACCTTTCTTTTTATAAAATTATAAGATTCTATGTTGATTTCTTAATCTCTCTGGGTTACCGAGTCACCTCACTAACTGTGGTACCACTTCTCATGGTTTAGCTGCAAATTCGCAATGAGTCAGAAAATTTTCATCATGTCAAGTTTTGGTACATTATTCAAAGTGACCACTTACGGTGAAAGTCATTGTAAATCTGTTGGTTGTATTGTTGAAGGAGTACCTCCAGGGTTCCCATTAACTGAAGATGATATTCAACCACAATTAACTCGTAGAAGACCAGGTCAAAGCAAGTTATCTACTCCAAGAAATGAAAAAGATAAAGTGATTATTCAAAGTGGTACTGAATTTGGTAAAACTTTAGGTTCACCTATCGGAATGTTGGTTTTAAATGAAGATCAAAGACCTCATGATTATGGTGAAATGGATGTTTACCCAAGACCAAGTCATGCTGATTACACTTATATTCAAAAATACGGTGTGAAATCATCAAGTGGTGGAGGTAGATCATCTGCCAGAGAAACCATCGGGAGAGTTGCTGCCGGTGCCATTGCTGAAAGAATGTTGGAAAAGATTAATAATGTTGAAATTGTTGCTTTCGTATCTCAAATTGGTAGCGTTTCAATGAATAAAGATACTCAAGATGAAAGTTTCATCAAATTATTGAATACTGTTACTAAAGAAAGTATTGATGCTACTGGACCAATCAGATGTCCTGATGACACTGTAAAAGAAGAAATGGTCAAAGTTATTGAAAAATACAGAGATTCAAAAGATTCCATCGGTGGTGTTGTAACTTGTGTTATTAGAAACTGTCCTATTGGTCTCGGAGAACCATGTTTCGATAAATTAGAAGCCAAATTAGCCCATGCTATGTTATCTATTCCTGCCACTAAGGGTTTCGAAATCGGTTCAGGTTTTAAAGGAGTTGAAATACCAGGTTCCAAACACAATGATCCTTTCTATTTTGATGAATCCTCCAAACGTTTAAGAACCACTACCAACAATTCTGGTGGTATTCAAGGAGGTATTTCTAATGGTGAAAATATTTATTTCTCTGTAGCTTTCAAATCAGCTGCTACTATAAGTCAAGAACAACCAACTGCTAGTTATGATGGTAAAGATGGAATTTTAGCTGCTAAAGGAAGACATGATCCATCTGTCACCCCAAGAGCTGTTCCAATTGTAGAGGCTATGACAGCTTTGGTAATTATGGATCAATTATTAATTCAAAATGCTAGAAAATCAACCATGGATCTCCTCAATTAGTTAATAGAATTTCATACACATCTCACTTGTACAGATAATCAAGTTAATCTAAAGACCCCTTTCCTTTATTTATTTATGGTTACTCTGTCTAATTCTCTTGTAAGTTTCGAGACCGACATTTCTTCGATAACAGGTTTAACACTCGCATTCTCAGAACTTATCATCATGGACTCAATCCAAATCATACTTATAACCTTGATCTTAGGGTTAGTTTCGGTAGTGGGGATCTACTACATTCAAAACTTTGAACTCAAGTCCACCAAGAAACCAACCTTTTTGATCATTGGTAATAATTATAGTGGTAAGACCACTTGGTTCATGAAATTACAAGGTAAGAAAAAACCCACCATCTCATCAATAGAAGCTAATTATGGGGAAATTAGATTACCTTTGAGTCAAGATAGTATTGCCAAACCATTCCAAATTGTGGATTACCCTGGGTACTTGAAATATGATAATTTATTCAAAAATTTAATCGAAGATATAAATTTGAAAGGTGTCTGTTTTGTCATTGATTCAGAGTTGAATAATTTTAATAAGAATTTGAATCTCATTGCTATCAAGTTGTTTAAGATCTTGACTATTACGGAAACTTATCCAAATGGAAAGGACTTCTTGTTTATGGTCAATAAGAGTGATTTATTCAACTCTTTACCAGTTAATAAGATTAGAACATTATTGGAAGCAGAAATGAATAAAGTTATAGAATCAGAGTTGAAAAATAACGAAGATGAATTGAGTTTCTGGCATGATTTATTACCATTCAAGTTTGAGAAGTTGAATGGGAACATGGATTTCAAATCAGGATCAGTCTTGAAGGGTAAAACTCAAGATTGGGAAAATTGGTTAGACGAAATTGTTGTCAACCCACAATAAATATGATAATCCTGAATTTTTGAGGTATCGTTCATTAACTATAAATCTTTCAATCCTCCTGTTGAAGGGAAAAATCCAGGTTCGTTAAGTTCCTTCATTCTTTTTTCATTCACTTTCTTGTTTATATAGTTTCTTAATCTGATTCTAAATACATCATTATTAAGGTTATATTTCTTGAATTTATAATTATCAATTTCGGTTTTCAAACTCTGTAATTCTTTATCGTTGGTCTCGATCTCTGTCTTGATATTATCATATTTCTCTTGTTGTTTGGTAGACTGTTCTTTGTCGGACATGCCTGGAATTTTATTGAACATTGAAGGTTTAGAATTGGCTTTCTTTTCCTCTAATTCTTTTAGTAGTAATTCTAAGGCTTCCTTTTTCTTCACAAGTTGATCATACTCTTCAGTAGTGATGTTCAGGGCAAACGAATCATCTTTTAAATGTGACAAACAAATGTAAAAAAAATCAGCGTTATTCTCTGTAATCAAAACATTTACTGAAGGTTTATAACATATCATACAAGACTTGCTTTGGTTAGTAGCAACGGTTCTAAGATTGTATTCATTGGTGAAAGGGTTTGACATTTCGCAGTTTTGATAAGAGATCCAGAGTTTTTCAATTACACAACCAGAGTTCCCCAAACTCATCATAATCATCCCAACTAGCAGAAGTAGCAGGTCGTATTGGGGGAGCCATCCACACTAAGATTTCAAAACCTGTTTTTACTCATGTTCAATGGCAAATAAAGTAACTTCATGTGGTTTCCAAGAATTCAGATCAAATTCACGTTCACACAGGTATCGCTACTAATTATATACCCACACAATCTCCAATGAGTCGAAAAACCCTTCAACTTGAAACCATAGACTCTTAGAATTGTGTTCAAGAGACTACGTACCGTTACCATCTTCACACTCTCATCAATTCCTATTATCTATACCATCAGTCCCATCGCACCCGTACACCACACCTAAAAGTTACGTGTTTCTATGTCGTGGCGACATCCCAACTTTTTGTTCATTCAATTTCATTTTGGTCAATTTTCTCATCAACCCCCTTTTCCCGCCAAAACAACAAGTTTTAACTAGGTGATTAATCACATTTATTTTCAGAAATTATTCTCTAGAAATCACTTATTCAAACACAAGTGATCATAAAGAATATCTACCAATCTTGATTTTTATCGATTAACAAAAAAAAAAAAATTTTTTTTCACCGTTAATCAATTAGTAATAAATCAATTGAATTAATATGGCAGATTATCAAGAAGCAGATATAGATTCTATCGTCGATAGATTGTTAGAAGTCAGAGGATCTAGACCAGGAAAACAAGTCACATTATTGGAACATGAAATCAGATATTTATGTACGAAAGCAAGAGAAATTTTCATTCAACAGCCAATATTGTTAGAATTAGAAGCCCCAATCAAGATTTGTGGTGATATTCATGGACAATATTATGATTTATTAAGATTATTCGAATATGGAGGATTCCCACCCGAAGCTAATTATTTATTTTTAGGTGATTATGTTGATAGAGGTAAACAATCTTTAGAAACCATCTGTTTATTATTAGCTTATAAAATTAAATATCCTGAAAACTTCTTTATATTAAGAGGTAATCATGAATGTGCTTCAATTAATAGAATCTATGGATTTTATGATGAATGTAAAAGACGTTATAATATCAAATTATGGAAAACTTTCACTGATTGTTTCAATTGTTTACCAATTGCAGCCATTATTGATGAAAGAATTTTCACTATGCATGGTGGTTTAAGTCCTGACTTAAATACCATGGAACAAATCAGAAGAGTTATGAGACCAACTGATATTCCAGATGTTGGATTATTATGTGATTTATTATGGTCAGATCCTGATAAAGATATAACCGGATGGTCAGAAAATGATCGTGGGGTAAGTTTTACCTTTGGACCAGATGTTGTATCAAGATTTTTACAAAAACACGATATGGATTTAATTTGTAGAGCTCATCAAGTCGTAGAAGATGGTTATGAATTTTTCTCAAAACGTCAATTAGTGACTTTATTCTCAGCTCCTAATTATTGTGGAGAATTCGATAATGCTGGTGCCATGATGTCAGTTGATGAAAGTTTATTATGTTCTTTCCAAATCTTAAAACCTGCTGATAAACAAAAATATCCTAATCAACTAATGAATAATGGTCAAAAGAAGAAAAGAGGTTCAAAATAGTCTTTCTTTAATCATTAAAAAATCTTTCACTTCATAACGTAACATAAGAATTCATTTCATTTTAATATCTTTTTATTGTAGTTTAATTTCATTGAATTCTAATGATTCTTTGATAGTATATAAGTTTATAACTTCTAATGGTTCGAATGAAATTATGATAAATATATAATGTCCGAAATTCTTAAGCCAAATCATGAAGTGGAAATGATTAGGATTTATAGTTAGGTTTAGTTAGTAGTTTATAGGTAGTAACGAAATATTAGTAAATTATCTCCTTCGGAATTCTTCATGTGTTGTTATCACATTGATGAATTAACCACGATTGTGTTTAAATATATGTTTAACTTGTTTTATCTTGTTTTATCTTATCGTATTTCTATTTGGTTGCAAAAAAACAGTCACACAGTCACATGAGCGCGTGATGTGTGATTACCGTTTTCAAGTAAAAAATTTTCTACTCATTAAAAATCAAGTCTCAGAATTTTTTCACTTTTTATTCAATTGACTATTAAAGATGGTATGTAATTAGTGAAATAAGTGGATTTATACCAGAGTATATGGAACAGAGTGTGCAGATATGAAGCTGACAATGAAGTAAATCTCAATGTGAAGACGAAAGTACATCAAAAAGATCAAAATAACCCGAAATGAAATAACAGAGTATTGAAGCCATCATCTACCTAATGAAAATCATACGAGTTCATGAATAATATTTAGAACATGAAGATATTTCAAGACTACAAATATGACATTCAAAAGCGTTATTGTTCATTATCCAATCTGGCCATGAAAATCAACCCCCATCAATTATGAATAATTACTAACTTTTATAGGTTTTAGTTCAAGATTTATTACACCCAAATCCAGCATCTGAATTACAAGCACACAAGAAAAAACAATTAGTTCAATCTCCAAGATCATACTTCATGGATGTTAAATGTCAAGGTTGTTTAACTATCACCACTGTTTTTTCACACGCTCAAACTGCTGTCACTTGTGATAACTGTTCAACTGTTTTATGTACCCCAACCGGTGGTAAAACCAAATTAACTGAAGGTTGTTCTTTCAGAAAAAAGTAAATTTATTCCTTGTATAATTAATATAACGCATAGAATCAATGTTCTAATCAATTTCTCTCATGTTTCTGGGTTAATCTAAGTCTTATTGCAGTCAACGAACACAAACACTTGAAGTATATCAAGGTTATCTCCCCATCTGATCCCTTTGTACAAACATCATCCCTATCTTATTTTAAGTCTCCATACTTAGGGTCTTGTCGTTCATAAACCAGATCTATGAAAGTCTCTCATGTCGTGATGTCGGAAACTAGAATTACCATTTTCGGTCATATTGAAAACAATATGAGACCCACAGATGAATGCTATTATCTTTTCCATCCTTCTATCGTAACAAGAGAAAGAATAAGACAATCACATTGAAACATGCTTAAGGCCATTTTTCTACTAATAACGATAGTTTATGGTAAAACTAATACCATTTATGATTTAGTAAATGGTAAGATCTTCATTCACTTATCTAATAATGACTTGCTTTCCATTAACTTTAGCATTGATGGAAAAGATCAAGATTTTCAACAAACAGTATTAGATTCACCACCCGAAGGTACTGATTTAGTGCTTCTCAATCTGACCCTATATGGATTTAATAAAGATAATGATCAAATGGGGATGATTAAATATGACAGTCAACAACATAAATGGCTGAAAATAACTTTAAACTTCGATGATATCAATGATGATAAGTTTTATGAAGATACCAATTATTTAACTTCACCAATATCACAAGAATTGTATTTATATGGAGGTAAAAATGGGGATATCACCAACCGTTTAATATCATTGGACTTATCAAATTATAAATTTTCCAATATTTCCACTTCTACCAAACCACAACCTTTCTTTGGAGCTTCAAATGTGTTAATTAATCCTACGACCCAAGTATTGATCGGTGGACAAAGTCAACAAGGGTGGTTAAATATGTATCAATTGGCTACTTGGGATTTCACTAGTGGATGGTCTTTCAATGCTGTGAATAAAGATAACTCCACTATAGTTAATTCTAGAATTAATCCCACTTTACTTCCGATATTTTCACCTTTGAATAACGGTTCATTATCTACAATATTGAGTGATTATAAAGTTAATGAAATATTGATGATAGGAGGAGAGAATGAAGATGGTGGAATGGCCACTCCAGAGATTTCCATGTTGTCAATGGACAGTAATAATTGGTATTATGAACAAACCTCAGATTTCAATACTTCCGATTATTTAGGTTTTGCAACGATATTCGATAATTTCTTAGCTATCTCGTCGTCCACTAACAAAAGGTCAGAATATGAAATCAACATGTTTGACTTACAATTCAAAAAAATTGACAAGTTGAATGTTCCAAAAACTGCTCTGGAACTAGATCAACAGCACAAGAAAGAAAAAAATTCCTTACAATTAAAAGCCATACTCGGTAGTATAATTCCTATTTGTAGTATCCTTGTAATTGTATCAGGAGTATATTTCTTCATGAAATATCAGAAGAAAAAGAAATTGGAAAAAGAGTTAAGTGATCTCAATTACCATTATGAAAACTACTTCAATATGAAATCATCTGACCATCACGAAAAATTAAGCTTATTGTATAATGATTCGACCTCAACATTGGATGCTAACTCCATTGATTCCTGGGTAAGGAAGAGGCAAGAATACGATGATCATAAGGTCAAAGAAAATCCATTCATGCAAAGTCAAGAAACATTGAATGAAGAGATAAAGACTCCTGAACCTTTGAAAACCATTACCAAATTAAATCGTTCAATGATAAAGTTGAAGAAATCAATAAGTTTCAATAACATGTCTCCTACAAAGTACAGTCATAACTTATTACCTGATCATGAAGCGGAAATTGAAAATTCTTTCAGTATACGGAAACCGGATCAACAAGAGTTTGATATTGGTAGTTTGGTAGAAGAGTATAATGATTTGGATTACGAAGAAGATGAAGTATTTGATGATGAAATTGAATCAGATACGGAAGATAATATAGATGTACAAGTATTAGTAAGTTCTAAAAGAAGAGCTCCATTAAAAGTAGTCAATCCCGATTTATCATCAATAGATGAATCCGTGGTCAGACAAAGAATTCCTTCAAACGAAAGGGAAGAATGAATGTATCATGTGTAAATGTCTCCTCTTCCGATCACTTGTCATTACCAAATCTCTTCACATTGCCCGTAAATTCTATTTTAGTCTTGAGTTATCTCAACTTTTCAGTGTGTCAACTTATGTGACATTGAATTTTTTCCACGCTTAAGTAATCAACAGTTTTTTTCGAGAACCTCTCACCTAGGGATAATTGACGATAGCGGTAATCTTACAAGGCATCAAACAATAGACAGATCTTTGGTTAAATTCAAAGCATCAACTACATAGTTAACCTACAACGTCACTAACCACCATCCAATAGTAAGTATTATCGAAGGTTAATGAATTGAATAATGGGGGATTATAGTAATAATGAAAATTCTGAAATTGATTATAATTTCATGAAATCTGAAGATGACGGTCAATTAAGAGATAATTTGGACTTCAAATATGAATCCTTTCGTCACTACGGTGATAATGATGGTAATAATATGGGGGCTCACATATCCAATGAAGGAAATGATGAATTTAATGCTTTTAAACATGGAAATAATATAGACAATAACTTAATTAATGATATGAACACACAAGATAAGAATTATAATCCAGAAATTACTTTTAACATTCCTGGAGCTTTTGATAATGGACAAGTGGAGAAAATGGAAATAGATGATTCACCTCCATTTACAATAGAATCAGATTTATATTTTGATAGTCAAAGTCAACAAAATGTAGATACAAATGACTTAGATTATGATAGAAAAGAGATGTTTCAAAGTCATTTCAATCGTCAACAGTTTTTAAATGTTAGGGGTAGTAATTCCCTGATTCTGGGTATGGGTATGATCAATGGTGCTGCGCCCGGAAACTCTGGGGTAGGTAATGGGAATAATATGAATGGGATTCCTGGTAACATATCGACCCCTACACCATCATCTGCTTTACAATTTGATACTCCCAAGTCAACTCAATTCACTTCTTTTGATAATCATCATGATAATAACTCAATTTATTCAAGTTTTTTAAATGACAACGAAGTCGGAAGTTTTAACGATCACATGAGAACTCAATCCATTGATGGAGGATCAAGTTTCAATCCCACATCGTTATCTGTTAATCCCAATAATCCTAATAGTTTGAATATCGGGATTTATCAAAATTATGAATTATCACCTTTAACAACAACTACTTCATTGACCCCTTCTGTTAATTCATTACATTCGAATCAACCTTCATTTTTTTCAGCTCAACAATACTTATCTCGTCATTCCGTTGATAACGGTAATTCATTTGATCAAAATTCTTTGAGTAATTCAATTAACAATTCAATTAATTCAGGTAATCAAAAGAGAAATGTTAGTGGTAGATATTTAAATTTTAATTCCATTTCAAACTATATACCGTTTATGAATGATAAAAGAAATGGTCAAGATAGAACTAGTCCAAATGGTGGGCCTCCGTCACTTTTAACTCACACTTCATCATTATTTAATACTAGTTCAACCCCTAGACAACAATCTAAACATTTGATTAGAAGTATATTCAAATCTAACCCTAGTGAAGGTCAATCACAAGAATTACCTGAAACCGAAGGCTTAAACATTAATTTAGGTCCTGATATGGAAGAAGATTTTCAAAGTTCAGATTTTTTAATGATGAGTCCTCAGGAAACTGATGATAATTTAGATCCCTTGCCTGTTAAAAAATCCAAGAAGACTAAAAGAGGGTTCTTAAACAGATTTAAAGGTCCAAAACAAGATGAAAATTCCGAAATCGAACAAGTTGATAATTCAAGTAAAAATAGTGGTAATAATTCATTCCATGAAGATGAAATTGATCATGTATTCCATGGTAATATGAGTAGAACCCCTTCATCAGCTAATACTGTAAGAACTAACAATAATGTCAATACCAGCAATGGGAATATCAGTATGAATAATACAAGTAATGGTAATGTATCATTAGATAATATTACCCCTAATCTTCAAGAAGGTAAGGGGCCAGATTATGCAGCATTATTTGAGAACGTTGGTAAAAGAAAACCTAAAAAAGTTAGTAAGCCTTCGAACACTTTATCTTTTAAGAAGAAAATAAAAGCTGAAGATGAATACAATGATATTCACTCAAATAATCTGTATGGTTCAGAATCATTATCAGTTTCAACATCAAATACTTCACATTCTTATAATGTCAAGGTTGAAGACGATAATGAAGAATTTAATGATGATGATGAATCATTAACTTCAGCTTCCAAAAGAATTTTGGGTTCAAAGCTAATGAAACGTAAAGGAATCAAAAAAGAAGCTGAAATAAAACATGTTAAGAGCAAAATCGCAGGTGATAAAGGAGTGGAAGTTGAAGTCGACCTTAAAACTCTCGATTTACCTGAATCCACACAAATTTATCCTGCAAATATAGTGACTTCAAAATCAAGAATTAGAGGTAGAAAGGAAAACAAGGAAGCAGATTTGACTGATTCTTCGAAAATTTATTTATGTAATTATTGTTCCAGAAGATTCAAAAGACAAGAGCATTTAAAAAGACATTTTAGATCTTTGCATACTTTTGAAAAACCTTATGATTGTGATATTTGTCATAAGAAATTTAGCAGATCAGATAATTTGAATCAACATTTGAAGATTCATAAACAAGAGGAAGAGATGAACTCCCTTAATTAGGCATAATAGGATGGATAGGAAATTTCTTACTCTGTTTCTCTAAAAAAAACTTATACTTTTATATTAAAACATTTATCCAGGGTATAGAACTAAAAAAAAACCGTTTAAAAACCACCAAGTTCCCCTACATGGCCCAATAAATTATTCTCGTATTTGATGGGACTTGAATATTCGACATTACCTAAAGGTAATTGAGCAACTTCATTCAGATTGAGTTGTATTCCTCCTTCACAGATATTCCTTATTCTATGCTTTCTCATAGCATCCACTCTAGCAAATTGTTTACCACAAGGACATTCACAAGGTCTTGATTCTAAATGTCCCTTAACATGACGATTCAAATCATGTTGTCTGACAAATTTCTTAGGACAATAAGCACAACTGAAAGGTCTATCACTTAAATGAGTTTGAATGTGTGATCTTACATTATATCTTCGGGTAAATTTTTTTCCACAGTCTTTATAAGTACAGATGAAAAACTTTTCTTCATTGGGACCTTCCCAATACTTGTCCAACTCTCCTGGGGGTAATAAAGATGTCTTTTTAATTCTTTTCTTGGCTGAACTTTGTCTAATAGCTAATTTCACATCTTTATTTGATTTAGCATTTGGTGATACTATTGGACTCCATTCAAGAATTACTTTATTTCTTGAAGGTGTTATGGGTTGTGTAGGTTTTAAAGGTGTCATTTGGGGGATTGTGTTGTCAGCATCAACGGTCTCGTCATAATCATTAATATTCCTCAATGGTGATGAATAGTAATTCTTTATAGGTGAAGAATTAATTGATTTGGAAGGTGAAGAATAATCTGATGGGAAAAATTGATTGTCATCAGAGAAAAATTGGGGATTGTAAAATAAATTTTCTTCATGACCTGGCGATGAAGTAAGGTGTTGGGGAGAATCTCCGTTGTAAGATTGTGGTTCAGGTGATGACTGTTCGGGTGATCCGTGACTTAATGTGGGTGGTGAAGGAGGAGGTAAATAAGTATTGAAATTTTGAAGATTATGCTGTATTTTTTGTTGTCCTTGTATCCTTTGACCTTCTCTCTGTATTCTTTGAATTTGTTGAGCTTGTTGTGGTGACAGTTGACGACTTTGGGGATTACTTATTGGTTCATTAATTGGAATGGGTACATATTTCAATTCATAGTCACTATGCGGCTTTTCCAATAATGGTTCAATATCATCAGCATAAACTGGTGACTTACTATTACTGTTAATTCTTCCTAACTCTTGTAAATATTTGGCACTATAAGAAACCCTTGGAGTCCCCGTTCTCATGGGTAAATTCGAAGGTGTGGGTGAAGGTGATGGAGGAAATTTGTAAGATTTGGGATTAGTATTAGTAACAATATAATCGGTTTTCTTTTTTGGTTCTTCTTTGATTCCAGTCAATTTGGGTGATGGTGAGCCTGTAATTGAAGCTGATCCAGGACGATTCAATGATGGCTGTTGACTATTCGATAATGAATTGCTATTGGAATGTTGAACTGTTCTTAATAATTGTACTGGTGATATAGACTTATCTTTGTCATTTATATCAATTGATAATTCTCTTGTATGATTGTCAAAACCGAAGATTGCTGTACCACTAATCTTCCTACTATGACCTTTTTGATGGTAAAAATTCATGGAATTACTAGCACCATGGGATAAACTCAAACTATTGAAATGAGTTTGGTTGTTATTGGATAATTCATTGACAAATCCTGTTGGAACATCCAAATCTTGAATTCCACTTAACGTCTGATTGAATAAATCTTCAATATCATCATATTCTAAATAATTATCTAAGGCTGCTTCATTTTTCAATACAGTTTGATCCCAATCAGAGTATTGATTCATGGTAATATGTTTTTTAGGTGAATCTTGAGTCTAATAAGTATTTTATAGCTATTGGATAAAGTAATGAACGAAGGGTAGTATTTAACAAGTTTAGATCACAATAAATAAATTTTTAGACTAACCAAAGGTTTTATTAAATGAGTTTCTGTCACCTTCCCAATTGGGACTAGAGGTAAATATTTGCAATATATGAATGTTGAACGAGATGAAAAATTTTCCTTTTCCGGAAAGATTGATAATAGATTACCTGACGTTGCCATGATATAGGGATCTGTGTAAACGGGGGGTGAATAAAAGGCAAGGGTCTCATTAGTCTGCAGGGTGATGATCAGCATCCATATCGCATAAAACAAAAAAAAAATGTCCTAAATGAGGATCAAGTCCGATGAGAAGATAAGAGAATGAGGGTGAATTTATTTAATAAATAACTATTGCATTAATAACATCTTTCTTGGATCTTCGATTAATTCTTTAATGGTTTTTAAGAATGTAACAGCTTCTCTACCATCTAAAACTCTATGATCATAAGTTAAAGCTAAATACATCATTGGTCTTGAGACTATTTGACCATTAACAGTTACTGGTCTTTCTTTAACACCATGTAAACCTAAAACGGCAGTTTGTGGCATGTTAATAATTGGAGTACCATATAATGAGCCGAAAACACCACCATTTGAAATAGTGAAAGTACCACCGGTCATATCTTCTAAAGTTAATTTACCATCTCTAGCTTTTTTACCTAAATTACTGATTTCTTGTTCAATACCTAAGATTGATAATGATTCAGCATTTCTTAAAACTGGAGTAACTAAACCTTTTGGAGTAGCAACAGCAATTGAAATATCAGTATAATCTCTGAAAACTATGGTATCATTATTTTCAATGGCGGCATTAACAGCTGGTAAATCTTTCATAGCTAAAGTTGAAGCTTTAGCGAAAGCACCCATGAAACCCATCTTTATACCAGTTTTATCCAAGAATTCATCTTTGTATAATTTTCTCATTTCCATTAAATTGGACATATCAACTTCATTAAATGTAGTCAATGAAGCAGCAGTGTTTTGTGATTCTTTCAATCTTTCAGCGATTCTTAATCTCATTCTGTTCATTTTAACTCTTTCTTCGTTTCTTGAAAAGTTAGTGAATGAAACAGATTCTTTTGGTTGTTCTTTGGTTTCCTTTTTAGGTTGTTCTTTTGGTGGTTGTTTAGCTTCTTTTGGTTGTTCTTTTGGTTGCTCTTTTGGTTGTTCTTTAACTTCTTTTGGTTCTTCCTTTGGAGCTTCTTTTGGAGTTTCCTTTGGTTCAGCTCCACCAGCTGGGGCTTCACCTTCTTCAATTTTAACAATTTCTTGACCAACTTCAACAGTATCTTCAACACTTACTAACAATTCAGTGATAGTACCATTTACTGGGGAATTAACTTCAACATCAATTTTATCAGTTTCAATGGTAGCAATTAACTCATCTTGCTTGACGAATTCACCAACTTCTTTGGCAAATGATGATAAAGTACCTTCAGTAATGGATTCAGCCATTTCTGGTACTTTAACGGTATGAGCAAACCTTTTGAATTGAAATTGATTTAATCCATTAAATTTCAAATGGGTGGTTGATAATTTGGTTAAATTTCTGGAAGAAATTTTCAAACCGTTAGTTGATGATTTCAAAACTAATGGTAAAGTCTTAGATCTTAAACTTCTTGACAACATCTTTGATGGGAAAAAATTTAGTGATGTTAATTTTTATATTTCAACAAATGTCGCGAATAACAAAAATGACAATACTTTCATTGGCTCAGGTTCCCTTAAATCACCGGGGATATTTTGGCTGCGAAAGTTTCAACCGGGTATAGTGGAGACGATGAAACAGTAAAAGTTTGGATGGCACGGGTATCAGACTTGGCATATGGATAACTTACGATATCGAATATGGGAGGAACCGTAACACTAGCCGTAACACCGGTTAACACTCAAATTGCGGATACATGTTTATAGGGAATGGAACAGAAAAAATAGATTTCTTCAAAAAAAAAAGAGCCCGACGCGGGACTCGAACCCGCAGCCTTTTGATAGCTTCTAATTAAAAGTCAAACGCTCTAGCCGATTGAGCTAGCCAGGCAATTATTGAATAATTTTGGTGGTTCTATTAATGTACTGAAAATTGAATTCTAAAAATTTTTGAATTCAATTTATTTGTTCAAAAGAACAATTTTCCGTAAGTATCTTTAATCTGTCGGTTCTATTTTTTCTTCACTGAGATCATGCATATTAACGATCATGCCAATATCAGTCAAAAAAATGTAAACCACAAGGACAAGGACGAATAAAACCCCCAGAACCCTCACAAAAAATTTCCCCTATTTGAGATTTGACATACTTGACATATTTTTGAGAGATGGATAACGACAAGTTACTTGAAAGCGACGTCCAGGTAGACGATTCCATAGAAATGGAAGACTTAGATGATGAAATCCTCAGTTCTTTGAAAGACTTGGATTTAGAACCTGCTGTCGACTGGAATCTTTTATTGGATAAATTGAAGAAGAACTTATCTTTAATTTATGAGAGGAAAGGTAACCTAAAAGTCCTCAAATATTTGAGGGATAATGAAGTTCTTATGTATGACGTATTATTATCATTTGATCCTTCAGAACCTCACTCCCTAAACATTGTTGATTTCAGAACCATACCCCTTGAAATACAATTAAAGACCATGTTGGTGAACGCAACCCTCCACAAAAGTAAAGTTATTGACATTTGTAAGAAACATCAGATGATTGAATTATCCGAAAACCTGAAATTCTACGCGTTGGGCTGGAAACTAGGGTTTTATAAAGAAGGTTGGATACTTCTAAATTTTCTTTTGAGCTTTCCTATTTTTATAGGCCTAATTGTCTTGTTACTATTTGTTTTCGATGCTTAAATCACAAAATTTTTCACAAAATTCCAGAGGAAAAAGGAAAATTGATTGGGTATTCATGGGACACATTATAGCTACAGAGTAAGTACGAATTTCCTTTACGTTTCAAGCTATTTCTCAACTTGAAGAGTACATTTCGGAGTGGGTTTGGTCTCCTCAGGGTCATTGGATAGGATCTGGTTATTAAGGAGCAAGCGGTTCCTCCCCTGTACATGATGGTGTAACTCCTAGAAACATTTCTGGTTGTCATAAATTAATTAAGTGAATACACAGTAACTATTCTCTATATTCTAACAATTTATAAAAGTTTTTGAATTCAGTTTATCTGTTCATAAGAACAATTTTCTGTTAGTATCTTTGATCTGCAGATTCTATTTTTTCTTCACTGAGATCATAGATATTAACGACTATGCCAATATCAGTCAAAGAAATGTAAACCCACAAGGACAGGGACGAATAAAACCCCCAGAACCCTCACAAGAATTTTCCCCCATTTGAGATTTGACATAGTTGACATATTTTCGAGAGATGGATAATGACAAGTTACTTAAAAACGACGTCCAGGTAGGCAATTTCATAGAAATGGAATATATAGATGATGAAGTCATTAATTCTTTGAAAGACTTGGATTTAGAACCTGCTGAAAGCTGGGATCATTATTGGGATAAATGGAAGAAGAACTTAATTTTAATTCATGATAGCAAAGCCAACCTAAAAGTCCTCAAATATTTGAGGGACAGACATGCTCTCCTGTATGACGTATTATTATCATTTGATCCTTCAGAACCTCACTCCCTAAACATTGTTGATTTCAGAGCCATACCCCTCGAAATACAATTAAGAACCATGTTGGTGAACGCAACCCTCCACAAATATAAAGTCAATGACACTTATAAGAAACATCGGATGATTGAATTATCCGAAAACCTGAAATTCTACGCGTTGGGCTGGAAGCTAGGGTTTTATCAAGAAGGTTGGATAATTCTCAATTTGTCGATGGTATTCCCTATTTTTATAGGCCTACTTATCTTTTTGCTATTTGTTTTCGCTGATTGAATCACAAAGTCCTTCACCAAATTCCAGAGGAAAAAGGAATATTGATTGGGTATTCATGGGACATATTATAGCTGCAGAGTAAGTACGAATTTTCTTTACGTTTCGAGCTATTTCTCAACTTGAAGAGTACATTTTGGAGGGGGTTGGTGTCTCCTCAGGGTCATTGGATAGGATCCGGTTATTAATGAATAAACGGCTCTTACCTTGTACATGATGGTGTTTCCCCTGAAAACATTTCTGGTTGTCAACATTCCTGACGTATCTAACCGTTATGATCCGCTCTACACCTTGTAAGTGTACTTACATTTTGTTATTCATAAGCGTGTTATGTGCACATAAATTTCTTTGAGTTAATAGACTTCCCTTGTTCACAGCAGCATTGGTTGTATAGAATCACCATAACTAGTTTTATGATGTTTTTTTTTTACTCTTTTTTTGTTAATTTTACGATTTTTGACCGTATGACATAGGGGATAAAATAATCAAAAATGAAAAGAAATTGAAAATGGAGAAAAAAATTCTTAGTCACAGAAACCACATATATGCTTATATGACACATTTGGATTCAGTTAGTTGAAAAAAACAATCAAACATTACTTTAAAAGGAAGTGTCGTGCACACTACTAAAAAGTCTGTGTATAAATAACTTTTTCTCAAAGAAGTATGTAATAGGAGGGATGGCCGAGCGGTCTAAGGCGGTAGACTCAAGTTCTATTATCTTCGGATGCAGGGGTTCGAATCCCCTTTCCTTCATTATTTTTTTCTTTCTACTATTTCCATCAATTAAATAAATATTAGTGGACTTGGTGGAATGGATGATTTTTTTATTTACACTTACAGGATAAAAAGAGTACGAAAGGAGCACAAAAAAGGCACAAGAAGAGTACAGTTTAACAAATGTATATTGCGAATTTTCGATTATGTATATGTACTTGTGAATAAATATCACCTATTGATAATTAGCTAATGAACTCATTAATTGAGAGTTACCACCATTTTGTTGACTTTCCATTATGAATTCTTCCATTATACCGAAGGCTGAACAGATACCAACAACACCAGTGACAGCCTTACCAAAGCCACCAAGGAATTCACCAACTAAAGCTAAAGAAGTGATTAAGAAAGCACCTGAAACTGAAGCAACAGGAATAATTCTACCCAATTCTTTAACGATGGAAGCATCTCTTTTACCACCAATGGTGATACCTTGTTCTTTAAATTGTTTGGCAATATCAACGGCACTTGATCCAGAGAAGTAAGACCAATAATTAGCAAACCAACATGATAAAAAGATGACCAATGAACTGGAAATAACAGTTCTCAAAGGATTGATTAATAATTGGTAAATTGATGAAGGTAAAGATAAATAGTATAAAACACCATTAGATAAAACTAATTGATTGTTGACTAATTTATAATCACCCAAAATAGCATTACCAGTTAACTTAACTAAAAAGTATCCAACAACTTGAATATTAGCTAAAACGGTAAAAGCAAATAATAAAGGTAAGGCACCGGTGTATAACAATTTGATTGGATAAATGTTATTCATACCTCTCATTTTAGTTGATCTGATTGGTAATTCGATTCTGAAGTTGTTGATACCAATAGCGACTAAAATAACAATCAAGGAAATATAGAATTGATTCAAGTTTGGTAACTCAGATCTAGTGAAAGAATTCAAGACTGATTTACCTAATTCTTTAGGATTGAAAGAAAAGTTTCTAATCAAATTGGTCAAAGCACCATGATTTTCTAATTTGTTGGAGTTAGCTAAAGGAATCAATTCTAAACCAACGACATCTTTAACAAAATTGGTAGCATATTGTAAAGTTAATAAACATAAAATACCACTACCAAAACCATAACCTTTATCAAAAGTTTCAACTAATAAAGTTAAGAAGAAAGACATACCTAAAACTTGATAACTAATGAATAATGCACTTCCAATAGAAATGGTTTCACCAACATTTAAACCTTTAACACTTGAACCATAATAATTTGAAAAAATCAAACCTAAACAATAGATTAAACTAATAACTAATGAAGTGATTTTTTGACCTGTTTGGAATAATTCACGTTCAGATCTAACACCTAAATGGACTTTGATCTTTTTGAAACCAGCTAAGATTTGCCAAAGGAATCCTGAGGTGATAACTGGTAATAAACCTAATTCTAATAAAGTACCCTTTTCCATGGCGAAGATTGATCTGAATTGATAGAAAGGATCTTCAATGAATAAAGAACTGTTAGGTTTTAAACCATAAATAGGTAATTGACCAAATAAGAAGATTATACCAGTTGAGATGGTAATAACGATCTTTTCATCAAAAGTGACAGCTTCATAAGGACTTTCGATTTCTGGTAATACGGGTAACAAAAACTTGACTAAATCAAGTAAACGAACTAATTTGTTAGTACTAGAAGGGTTTATAGGTCTGTTTTTGGTGTTAAAATCTTACATACATCCACTCATAGTTAGTCGACGTTGAAAATTTTTTTGCGAATGATAAGGTGCGATCTACCAGCCAGTTGGCGGACCTCGCACCGCAAGTGGGGATTATAGCTGGTAAACTTGATAGGAGCCATTGTTTATGTAGAGGCGATAAGAATGTGAATCATACATTCGTGATGAGAGAGTCATTGGCGCTCCCGAGAATAACAGGTACAAAATATTCAACACTATAAACTACGGTGAGATTCTCGTCGTATAGCGATAAGGAAAAATCAAAGATAGTGGTGGCAACATTTAACAATAGAATAAGCGTGAATTACGAGAGGAAATAACCAAGAAAGAAGTGTCAAGAACAAATTCCAAAGAACTATAAATTATCTATAAGTCAAATTTAGTGGCCATTTCAATTGCAGCCAAACCCCAATCAGCACCATGATTATGACCTCCTAAACCAGCTCTTTGTCTAGCTTGTTCATCAGTTAAACAAGTTAAAACCCCGAAAATGATTGGTTTACCCAATTCAAAACTTAAATCCATGATCTTCTGGGATACAGAATCACAAATATATTCGAAATGCATAGTTGAACCTTTAATTAAAACACCGATAGGAATAACAGCATCTAATGGTTTACCTTGTTTATCCCATTTTTCTGAAAATTTCTTGGTTCCAAAAGGCAATTCAAAAGACCCAGGAACTGATTCAATAATGATGTTCTCTTCTTTCACACCGAATTCTAATAATTTATCATGAGCTCCTTTAACTAAGGAATCAATGATTTCTTTATTCCATCTAGCATGTAAGATTCCGATTCTTAACTTAGAACCATCATAAGTCTTGTCTAATTGTCCTAATCCGTGGATAGCCATTTTCGATATTGGTCGTTGATGGAGATTTAAATATGATGCAATGCTCGTAAGTCGTGCGAGAATTACGCTTAGTAAATTATTGACACTATTAATAATATTAATAAGAAAGGTAAGGTTTGTAGGTTAGAGGTCACGACGACAAGATCACGACGGATGGAATACGGCATGGTAATAGTAAGATCTATTTTCCTGGGAGAATAAAGGTTAAATAGGAATTTGAAACATTCTATGGCAATTTGGTGAAAAGTTGGCTATTTCGGTACTTACTTAAATAAGAAAGATACTATGTATGCTGGATTATTGTTAAGTATCATATATGAGTCCTTTAATCATCATTGTCCGAAATGCCACAATGAACAGTGACTTCCCTAGAGCGTTTTCATCACCCGGACATTACTCTTCTCAAAAAATTTTCCACTCACTATGAAAAAATTCTACCTACCATACCAGTTTCCACTTTCTTAACAAAAGAAAACCATTCAAAGTACTTTTAACCTGAATGAAACCATTCCACTGAATTTGTTTGATAAACTTTACCAAATGATGTCAATAATATGAGGATAAATTTTTAAACGATTAAACATGAAGATAATTATGGTAATAAAAAAAGTCTTTCACCCCTATCTGATTATTGATATCTATTGGGAAAGGTTACTAATTGAATTTAGATTGGGCAAGGTTTTCAATTGTTTTTTGTTGAGTTCTATGTAAATTGTGGGATCTTGTTTGTTCGAATATGGAGGAGATTGAGTGGGGGAATTACTCAACAAGATGGCTAAACTCCAAAATTTCTTGATGGTCTTTGTTAAGATCTTCTTTTCTTTTTTTGAAGCAAGGGGTCATACGGGATGTGACAATCTGTATCCTACGATCCGTTCGGGTCAAATCTTAAACTGCTAAATAAATACCTCAGATTGAATATCTCAAGGCATGTAACCTACACATCTAAAGACGACAACCATTTCAAATATCTGTAGCTCATACACCTGAATGATGCTAAGCAGACCATTCTATTGTAACCACATTTCGGGGTTCCATAATTTCATCCTTCTACCACCTTGTGACTATGACCGGTGAAACAATTCCACAGTTCGTGTCGCTGCCAATCTCGCATCATTTCCGATAAGGATAACAAACGCAATTAATAAAATTTGTACCACAAAGTATTTGACTCCCTAGGATTAATCACTGGAAGAAGATATAAGAGAATATAGATAACTATGGCCTTCAACGGATATAAATTAACTTATCCTACAGCCAAAATTGCTGTCAATAATGACAAAGAGGAAGTAAATTCAATCTTATCTGATGATAAGAATTCCTGGGTTTTATTTAACCCAGACGATGATATTCTATCATCAACACAAAGACTGGAACTGTTTCTGGAAATACAAAGTCAACAAACAGATAGACAAAGTGTAGAGGATCAAACCGATGATGAACAAGAAGAAAGTGATGAAGAACAGCAACTAGAAGAAGACGAAGAAGATGATTTGATTGATAATTTGGATACTTTTAAGATTCGGAACATGTTTTCTAAGAATTACGATGCTATAAAGAAATGGAAAAATAATATCAATAATGATTTCTTCGATGACAATTTGGCATCATGGGATCTAGATGAGAATTTATCTGTCAATCAATTAGATACTACTATTCTTGACAAATCTTTCTATGGAGATGAACTTATAAGGAATCTTAATGCCAAAGATTTCAGAAAATTCAAGAAAATTCAATTAAATCTAAAGAATTATTTAAACCAAAGACCTAATTATGTCATCGATCAATTATTATTGAAGACATTACCGTTGAGCCAACAACTTCAATTGAAGAAAATTGAAAGAAACAACAACATTTTCAATTATCATAAGAACCTTATCAATATTAATGACGACAGTAGTACTAGTTCGTTAATAATGGTGGAGGACAGGTGAGTAATGAAAGAGGGTAAGGGGAACAGGTAATGGACATGGGTGATTGATAAAGTGATCACTAATTGTAAGAATAGTATAAATTCATAACAGTAGCATCGGGACACTTGTAAAGTAAGGTCATATCAACGGTATAGGAAGTAATATATAAAGTAAAGTAGTATGTCTCTTATCACATGATTCACACACGACCATCGCACCAACCACCCATGACAGACGTTGAAAACGCGTAGGAAATATTACGATAAAACTAATAACATGTTTCAATCAATTAGACAATTCTCCCAATCTTCTGTTAGATCAGCCTTTGCTAAAATGCAATTATTCGGTTCTGTTGGAAATATCTCCGCTAAAGAAACCAAAAATGGTGTTCCATTCATCACTTATTCATTAGCTGTTAACAGATTTGCTCCAGGGGAAGAAAATAATTCAACTACTGACTGGTACAACATCGCTGTTTTCAATGATAAACAAGTTCAATTCTTCAATGACTACTTAAAGCCAGGTATGCAATTATATGTTGAATGTGATGTCAGACAAAATGCTTACATTGACGAAACTGAAACTAAAAGATACTCAACCAACTTAACTCAAACCAGTTATGATGTTATTAGATTCGCCAAGAGAGAACAACCTGAAGAAGTCGAAGAATCTGCTTAGATTTTTTTTTTGTATAACATCACTGTATTATAGGTTTGTAGTCAAATAGGTTAACTTTCAAAGAGAAGGAAAATGAGAGTGAATAATCACTTTCAGATTGATTAGACTTCTGTTTGGTCATCATACTCTTTGGGAATATATAATCTTCTAATTGAGCTCTCGTTGTATCTCCACGAAGAAAGCCTTCAAAAAAGTCTCGAGTAAATATGGTTTATGGTTTGAGAGAAGTTAGTGGGTGTTTGAAATTGGAAAGTTCTTGTATGTTCCAAAATATCAGTAAATTATCTTCAGTAACCACATAAAACACTGCTTTAACACCTTAACAACACAAAATCTTTTTCCACTTCTCAATCCCCCATCTACCAAAAATTTTAACCCCAAACTTCTTCATAGTTCTTCGCAAACCACCTTCAAAACAACCTCAGTGAGAAAAAAATTTATCAACATGAATCGTATTTTGAACTTAGACTCCGTCAATGACGTGAGTTATAAGATCAAAATCCCCAATATGAACGAACTCACACCGTTAGATCTCACATCGAAATATATCGATGATCTTATAAGCATCGATTCCATAATTCCAAGTGATTTATATGGAGAAGATAAAATCAATAAGGTTAACTCATCGACATTAGACAATTACTATTTCCATAATCCAGGAGCTGTGACAGCTAATGGGACCAATAGTAATAGTGGGAGCATCAATGGTAATGGTAGTAGGTTCGAGAACATTGAAAATGTTAGTTTACCTGATTCATTCTTTGAAGAATTTAATGGTAGCGAATTAATAAGTAAGAATGGATTATTCAATGAAATTAATCGTTGTTGGTTTATTCTTGATAACAAATTGATCTTATGGAATTACAAAGCTCCACAATCATCTTTCAATAAGTCAGTTTTCTTGAATATCGATTTAAGATACCTGATATTATCAGTGAAAATATGTAAACCAAAAGAAGGTATATTTATAAAAGATGTGAATTATATACTTGTGATTGCTACTACAATGGACATCCATATCTATGTCATAAAATATAACAATGAGTTAAATAATTTGGAAATGTTTAATCCAAATTTATCAGTATCCATTCAAGGTTTAATGGTTAATAGCATTATATCTCATAGTAAAACCAATGATATTTATTTCAGTGAAGGTAATAATATTTGGAGATTAGATTATTCCAACAAGTCTTCTTTCATAAAGAACAAATGTGACAAGGTTTGTCTTACAAAATCGGGTTTTATCAATAAGATATCAATTTTCAATGATGATCAACAACAAATTCCTGAATCTATAGTCCAATTGGATTTAGATGAAGATAGAGATGTATTATATTCATTATCAAACAAGTCCATCATAAGAACCTATAAGATCACTAAAAATCAAGAACAATTCACTGTGTTTAACAAAATTACTCCATCAGAAATATTCAAAAACGTTTCAAGTTTATTTGTTGATTCAGGAAATTTCAAGTCATTTTCAAAATTCAAGATCATTTCAATTTCTGCCATTAAAAGAGAATCAACAACTGTTCAATTAATAGCCATCACCAATTTTGGGGTTAGAATTTTATTGAAATTAGGAATGATAAATTCCATGTTCTTTTCATCATCATCAAATTCCTTGAGGTTGTCAGTAGTGACATTGAAATTCCCTCCTTCTAAAGAATTACCAACTTTAAATAACGAATTAGATTCATTTACAAGATCTAAACAATACATCAACCAAGTAATCTCCAATCAACAAAAATCCCAATTATTGAAAAATGCTAAATTTTCCAAAATTTTAAGTCCTGGAATATTTTTGTTGGTGAAAAAATCTAAGAATGGTGATAAATTATTCGTTTCCACAGTAAATTATGGATTCTTAAAGAAGAACAATAAAATCATTGAAGATGCAGAATTCTTAAAGATTTCAGGTAACAAAACAGATATTGTAATCAATGATATCGTTCAAATAACACCTTCCATGAATGCCAACAACCAAAGTAATGGATATGCCAACATCTTAGCATGTCAATATACCAAAGAACCTTTGAAATTTGCTATATTGACCAATTATGGTATTCAAATATTCCAATATCAAACTCCTGATAAACTACTCAAAGATTTGAATGATGAAAGAATTGAAAATTTTGTTGAAGAAAATGGATTTGAAGAAACCTGTTCTACTTTACTTTACTTGTCATGCTCAACTAATTATTTAAATCGTAAAGCTATCATGTTATTTTCAACTATTGGTAACAATGCTAGAATTATCGATGAAGTGAATAATTTAAATCCTTCAAATATTAATAATAATGAAAAGAATCAAGTTGTTTTAAGTGATAGATTTTATGGTACTTGTTTATTGATTTCAAGAATCTTTAGAGATTATTGGTCAATCAAGATTTTCAACCAACAAAAAGAGAAAGATTTGAATAAAATCCTTATTAATATCAATAAGAGCAAAATTGAATATTTTATTGGTTCAGTTATTGTACTATTAGAATTTTTCAATAATTTCAGTAACAATATTCCTGGACTTAATGCACCAAATTATTCTTCTGATCCAACAAGATTTGATAATGAGATTTGTCTCAGATCTGAACATATTGCTTTTACTTCAATCATCAAATCATTAAATTCAATGAAAGAAGCACTTTCATTTTTGATGATCTTAATCGAAGAGACTAATTTCAATGAAATTTTCAATAATTTGAATGTTTCAAATCAAAGAAATCTTTTATCTTTACAGTTTAATAACCTTTTATTACCTAATAATGACACCAAGAATCTTATAAAAGATCTTTTATCATCAATAATCAATAAAAATATCCTAAAAGGTGGATCTATTGATTATATTACCAATTCTTTACAAGATAAATGTGGATCTTTTATATCAACTGATGATATACTCATTTTCAAAGCTATTGAAAATTTAACAAAAGCTAAAAATTATCGTTCCAGAGATCAAGATATGAAAATCAAATGTTTAAAGAACGCTATTCAATTATTTGAAAAAGCTTCAAAATCTTTAACTTTAGAAAATATCGAAAATTCTGTCAATATCATGTTGGATTTAGATTTCTATGTTGGATCTATTGAATTATTGATTAAACTTGTAATTAACCAATCAAATAAAGATAGTCTTTATGGACTCATTTTCAATATTTTGAATAAAATCGATAATAGAATCTTACAAGCAAACGATATCAAAGACACTCAAGCAATCAAAGAGTTAATGGAAATAAGAGATTTAAGTTATAAATTGTGTTTCAATTGTAAAGATAAAACTTTCCATTATAAATTCTATCAATGGTTTATTGACGAAGGTAATAATGATAAGTTACTTGATATCAACAGTGAATTTATTTTAGATTTCTTGAAAGAAAAATCCAATGAAAACATTCAATTGAGTGAATTATTATACAAATACTATGCTAAACGAGAAAAATATTATGAAGCTGGTAGTATTTTATATTATTTATCAATATCTGAATTCCCAATTGAATTGATTAAGAGATTAGAATATTTAAGTCGGGCTAATGGATTCTGCAATTGTAATTGTCCATCTAATCTTAGACAAAAAATGATTCAATTATCAACATTGATCCAAGATTTATTCGATGTTGGGAATATTCAATTGGATTTATTAAAGTTAATTGAAAATGATAAGAGAATTAACCCAACCTTGAGATCTAAATCACTTGAAAGTTTGAATAACAAAATCTTGAACTTGACAGATTTATTCAATGATTTCACTGATCCTTTAGGTTATTATAATTTATCATTGATAATATTCAAGATTTCCGATTATAGAAATTCTGATGATATTTTCAAACGTTGGGAATTATTGATTGAAAAGATTTATTATAACTCATTCAAAGATAACAAATTACCATTCTATATTGAATTGGTAAATCAATTCAATTTGATAAGTTCCAAAGTATCATCTAATGACTTAGTTTTCCCCATAGATAAATTGATTAAATTGATCAGTAAGTATTTAAATGATGCTTTTGAAGAAGATCCTTTACAAGAGATTCCTAAGGGTGTGGTGGTTGATTTATTCATCAAATCAGGTATTACTTACGATAAATTATATTATATCTTCAAATCAATCATTGAACAAAATTTTGAAATATATCCTGGGTTCATCAAGTTCTTGAATAATGAAATGATTTATTTAATCAAAAATTGGTATTTGAATGATAAAAACTTAAGAAATCTTGTATCAAATGATGAGATTTTAAACTTACATGAATATAGTATAGATAAAGATCCTATAGGTAATAAATAAATGTCATACATTAAATTAGTTTAACTCATAGAAAGATTTTTTCTCTTCATGATAAACAGGAACAGAATAATGGGATTGTTTACCTACATATGGTGATATTCCATCAACAATTAATCCTACTGCATTAGCTTCAGCTCCTGTAGGCATTATAACATCACTGAATTCTTTTGTAGGATTAATGAAATCATTCATCTCAGCTCTAGCTCCTTGTAAGTATTTATTTATCACTGTTTCTAAACTACAGTTCCCACTAGTAACATCTCTACGGATCCATCTAATTAATCTAGTATCAGCATCACTGCTAATAAAGATCTTGAATTTGGATAAGTCTCGAATTTCTTTATCATAAAGGGCATATAATCCATGAACAATAACCAATTGAGTTTCGTCTTGGGTCAAATCATCTTTCAATTGTTTGAAATCAAATCTTGATGGTTTTAAAGGTTGGAATACTTCATTAGATACTGTAATGGCGGTGGATTTTGATGATGAATATCTACTTTCATTAATCATTCCTGGAATTAAATAATTATCCATATCAATTAATTTGACTGACAACTCAGGAAAGGTTTTGGTGACTTCAATTTTGAGTAGATCTGCAGCTGTGGTCTTCCCTGAAGCATGTCCTCCTCCAATTAGTACGATTATGGACATGATCTCATCGCGAATTTTTAATATCATCACCAATATGGAAGTGAATAACAAAATCAAGTTCAGTTCTAAGTCTACAAAGAACATTAAGATTCATTCTACTTTCGAGAGTATGAACCTTAAACCTGAACTTTTAAAAGGTATCTATGGTTATGGGTTTGAATCTCCTTCGGCTATTCAAAGTAGAGCTATTATGCAAATCATCAGTGGTAAAGATACTATAGCTCAAGCTCAATCAGGTACTGGGAAAACTGCCACTTTCTCCATAGGAATGTTACAAGTTCTAGACAATTCTAAAGAATGTCAAGCATTGATTTTATCCCCCACCAGAGAATTAGCCATACAGATTCAAAATGTTGTCAAGCATCTTAGTGGATATATGAATGTTCAAAGTCATGCATGTGTTGGAGGAAAGAATGTAGGTGAAGATTTGAAAAAGTTACAAAAGGGTCAACAAGTCATCAGTGGGACTCCTGGAAGAGTTTTGGATATACTCAAAAGAAGACAACTTAATAGTCGAAACATCAAAATGTTAATTCTAGATGAAGCGGATGAATTATTTTTGAAAGGTTTCAAAGACCAAATCTATGAAATTTATAAACATTTATCTTCAAATGTTCAGGTAGTCATCGTTAGTGCTACATTGTCACGAGAAGTTGTTGAAATCACATCTAAATTTACCACTGATCCTGTAAAGATCTTGGTTAAAAGGGAAGAAATTTCTTTACAGGGAATCAAACAATATTATATTCAGTGTGAGCAAGAGGATTGGAAATTTGATACTTTATGTGATTTATATGATAATTTAACTATTACTCAAGCAGTGATTTTTTGCAATACTAAATTGAAGGTTAATTGGTTAACTGAACAAATGAAAAAGGCCAATTTCACTGTTGTATCAATGCATGGTGATATGAAACAAGATGAAAGAGATGTGGTAATGAATGATTTCAGATTAGGAAATTCTCGTGTTTTGATATCAACAGATGTTTGGGCTAGAGGTATCGATGTCCAGCAAGTATCCTTAGTTATAAATTATGATTTACCTTTGGACAAAGAAAATTATATCCATAGGATTGGTAGATCGGGTCGTTTTGGTAGAAAAGGTGTAGCTATCAATTTGATTACCCGAGACGACAATGATGAGTTTAATGATTTACAAACCTTTTATTCGATAAAAATTAAAGAAATGCCGGGGGATTTGAACGTTATGTAGCATATATAAATTAATGACTGTCAGGATTCTCAGACTATAAATAACATCCTCTTCCGGAAGTGTTAACTCAACTTCATCTCGTCTTTTTTTTTTGCAGCCATGTCACGTGATCTCTTCGCAGGTTAGAAAAAAAAAATTTTTGAGGATGCCAAAAATTTCATACAAATGGATCCGCTGTATGTTGCTTCATTAGAAGCCACTTTAAAGCAAACATTGGTTGCTGATACCGCTGTTATCAAACAAGCGTCTACCAAGTTAACCAAAGAGTTTTATACCAACAATGCTGCATTGCCTTCATTATTCCATATTCTTCAAAATGCTCAAGATGATCAATTAAAACAATTAGCATCAGTTGAAGCCAGAAAATTGGTTTTAAGTAAATGGGAAAACGTCGATGCCAGTTTAAAAGCTCCCATCAGAGAAGCTATGTTGAACAATACCTTCAACCAACAATCTAAATTAATTAGACATTCATCGGCCAGAGTTGTAGCTGCTATTGCCGAAATTGATTTAGATGGTAATAACTGGCCAGAATTATTACCAGCATTGATTGCCAAAGTTCAAGATTCTGATGTTCAAACCAAAGAAATGGCTGTTTTCACACTTTTCATTTTATTAGAAACTCAAAATGAATCATTAGTTGCCAATACTGAAGATTTCCTCAATTTATTCAGTTCATTATTAACTGAACAATCATCAAGAGAAATTAGAGTCAACTCCGTTTTAGCCTTTGACACTTTATCAGCTTTCATTGAAAATCAACCAGAAATTAATACCCATTTAGCTAACAAATTCAAATCAAGTATTCCAGTTATTATTGAAGTTTTGAAAGAAGTTATTCAAGCTGAAGATACTGAAAAGGCTAAAGAAATTTTCAATGTCTTAAACTCCTTCATTTTCTGTGACAATAAATTAATTGGTAATTATTTAATTGATTTAATTAAATTTGCTGGAGAATTAGGTTCAAATAAAGATTTAGATGAAGAAATCAGAGTTTTCAGTTTACAATTCCTTATTTCTGTTGTTAACATCAGAAAATCAAAAATCTTATCATCAAATATTGGTCCAGATATGACCTTAATTGGATTAAAAGTTGCCAGTGAAGAAATTGATGTTGAAGAAGAATTAGAAAACGAAGATGAAGAAAATGAAAATGAAGAAAATTCTCCTGCTACTTTAGGTTTAAGATTAATTGCTATGTTATCAGCAGAATTACCTCCATCTCAAGTTATTCAACCAATCTTATCAAATGTTGAAGCTATGAGTAATTCATCAAATCAATTCGAAAGAAGAGCTGCTATTTTATCAATTGGTGTTGCTTCATCAGGAGCTCCAGATTTCTTAGCTATTCAAATTAATAAAATCGTTCCTTTATTAATTAAATCTTTAAAAGATGGTGAATTAGTTGTTAGAGTTGCTGGTTTAAAAGCTTTAACTCAATTAACTTCAGAATTACAAGATGTTGTTACTGCTTATCATGAACAATTCTTACCTCTTTTAATTGATATCATTGATAGTGCTACTTCAGTTGCTGTTTATAAATATGCTTGTTCAGCATTAGATGGATTAATTGAATTCTTAAGTCATGATTCAGTTGATAAATATATTGAACCTTTAATGAATAAATTGGTTTCAATGTTACAAACTGCCAATACTTCATCATTAAAATGTGCTATTGTTTCCGCTATTGGTTCAACTGCTTATTCTGCTGGTAAAAAATTCATCCCATTTTTCAAACAATCAATTACTTTCTTAGAACCTTTCCTTGCTAATGTTGCTCAAACTGAAGGTTTAACTGAAGATGATATTGAATTAAGAGCTTTAACTTTTGAAAATATTTCAACCATGGCTAGAGCTGTTGGTAGAGATGCTTTCTCTGATTATGCTACTCCATTAGTTGAAGCTGCTTATCAATCTTTAAGTTCTGATCATTCAAGAATTAGAGAATCTGGTTTTGCTTTCATTTCCAATATGGCTAAAGTTTATGGCGAACAATTTTCTGGTTTCTTGGATAAAATCATTCCAGAAATCTTGAAATGTTTACAACAAGAAGAATTTACCTTCAATTTTGATGGTGAAGATGAAGAAGAACTCGATCTTGAAGATGAAGAAGATTTAGGTAATAAATTAAATGTTAATACTGGTATTACTTACGAAAAAGAAGTTGCTGCTATTGCTTTAGGTGAATTAGCTATCGGTACTGGTAAAGATTTCTATAAATATGTTGAAGAATCTTTTAAAATTTTAGCTGAACAAGTTGAAAACAGTTACGGTATGAGAGAAGCTTCAATGGGTACTTTATTCAAGATTGTTAAAGCTTTATTCGTTGCTGAACATGGTGAAAAATTCAAATATCCTAAAGGTGTTTGTGATAATATTTATATTAATCAATCTATTTTTGAATTAGTTAAAAACATCAGAATGATGGCTATTGACAATTTAGTTGAAGAATATGAAATCACCATGGTTGCTTGTATCTTAGATAATTTGGGAGAAATTATTCATAAATTTGGTTCAATTGCTATTGTTGATCCATCAGATCAAGAAAACTTAAGCAAATTATGCCAACAATTAATGATGATTTTAACCAAACAACATCCTTGTCAATTAGAAGATGATGAAGATATCCCAAGTGATGAACAAGATTCTTCAGAATCTGAAACTGTCTTATTTGATAGTGCTTTGGAAGTTTTAATTAACTTATCAATCACTTTAGGTAAAGATTTTGGTAAAATCTTTGCTTCATTCAATCCTATCATTCAATCTAATGTCAAATCAAAGAACAAAACCAAGAGAGTCGCTTCTATTGGTTGTTTAGCAGAAATGTCAATCTCATTGAAAGATGATGATAGTATCATGACTGATTTATTACAATTATTCATTTCAAGATTAAGTAATGATGTTTCTCTTGAAGTTAAAGGTAATGCTGCTTATGGTGTTGGATTAATTATCGAAAACAATAACCAAGATTTCTCTAATTATTATCAAAACATTTTAGAGTTATTATTCCATTTATTGAGTAAAACTGATAAACAAGCTTCAGGTGAAAATGACGAAGAAAATAAAGATGTCCTTAATAGAGCTTTTGCCAATGCTTGTGGTTGTGTTGCTAGATTAACTTTAAAAAATCAACAAGCCATTCCTTTACAACATATAATTGATCCTTTGTTGAATCATTTACCTTTACAAGCAGCTTTTGAAGAAAATTCTCCAATTTTCAAATTAATATTGAAATTATTTGAACAACAAAATGGTGATATTTTAGCTAAATCCGATAAAGTTGTTGAAATCTTCGGTAAAGTATTTGAAAAGGAAATAGATGTTGAAAACTTAATCAACAATAGTACTTTAGGTAGAGAAGAAGGTTTAGATAGATTAAAACAATTCGAAAGTGAAGATTTAAAGAATAAGGTTGTGGAATTATTAAAATTTATCAATGCTAATAATGGAAGTGTTGGTAATCATCCGGTTTTAAAATCCATTATTTAATATAGTGTTAGTTTGTATTCATTCTCTTTTCTTATCATCTCACCGAAGTTCTTTTTTTGGCTGCAAAAAAATTTCCTTTTTGAGGTTCTAAAGGGGAATCTGAAACTTACCACATTTTCATTTTTTACCACATTTATGCTTATCTAGACTCAGAGGATCTCCCTTGAATTGTCTATATAAATCTTATGATTTCCCTTCATATTCATCAAAAATGAACGCTATCGGAAATTTATTTACTGGTTTATCTTTTATAGGATTAGTGATATTAGTACCACCATTTGTGTGGCATATCAAGAACGTCAACTTACCTGCTGTATTCTTGATCTTTTGGTTATTATTCTCCAATTTAACAGGATTCGTCGATGCTATCATTTGGAGTGGTGATGATTTTTATGATCAATACGATGGTAGAGGTTTATGTGATGTGACTATTAAATTGAAATTGGGTTCTGTAACAGGTAAATTATGTGCTGTGTCAGCATTATCTTTACAATTATTTATGATTTTAAGAGCCAATAATCTTAGGTTTATGAATAATAGAACAAAATTCAAAATCATCTTTGATTGTGTTTTTTGTTTAACTACTCCAGTAATTATCATGAGTTTAAGTTACTTGGTTCAAGGAGCTAGAATTGGAGTCCTTAGATATTATGGATGCTCAGGTATTTATTATAGTTGGGTTTATTTAGTAATTCAATCTTCCATGATGTTAATGTGGTCTTTAGTGGCTACTGTGTTGGCTGTATTAACAGTTTATACCTATTTTAGGAAGAAGATCGATGTCAAAGATATTTTAAAATGTACTAACTCCGGTTTAAATTTGAAAAGATTTGCTAGATTGTTAATCTTTAGTAGTATTATCATACTCACCTTAACTCCTTTATCTATTTATACATTTGTTGGTGATGTTACTACTGAGCAATTCAGAATGAGATATAATTTCCATTTCATTCATAATCCATTACTCTGGAATTATACTTATTTCGTAGAAGCTCCTTTGAAAATTTTATACTTCCGTTGGATTGATATTGGGTTGTCAATTATCACGTTTTTGATTTTTGGTATTGGAACTGATGCTATCGAACTTTATAAGTCTATATTGATCAGATGCGGCTTAGGTAAGATATTCAGGTTGAATACTTTGGAGGATATTGATAGGTTTCCTAGTAACATATCCAATGATAACACTACCAAGCTGCCTACTAATCAAACAACTAAGAGTCAATTAAGTGCTGGGTCTAATATAACCGGTTCGACTTTCATTGATGGGTTAGAAGAGTTCCATGAATTGATAAATGATGATGATGATGATGATGATGATGATGATGAAAAAGTAATTCCTAAGGTGTTTACGGTTGATTTGGAAAAAGGGTGTCAATCAGAACACGATGCCGAATCTAAAGAAATTGAATATTTCATCAATGGTGACCATGATGGTACTGATATTACTTACCTGTATAACATCACTAAACATTCATAGTAGTAGTCTATATGATTTGTATTGGTTATATTTACATCTTTATTTACAAGTTCTATAACTCTAATAATTGCTTGAATTTGTTAAGAAACACTGATGATTTGATCTGACCTTGAGTCTGTTTCATAGCAAGACCTAAAAGGAAGTTGATGGAATTTTTGTTACCATTTTTGATTTTTTCAACGGTTTCCATGTTATTGGTGATGATCCCTTGACAAATAGTTTTCACTTCTTCATCTCCTACTTTCTTAACACCCATATTATTTTCTTCGATATAATTGTCAATGGACAAATTTGGATCCTCGATCAGTTTTGATAAGACTTTCTTTGCATTATTCAAAATGATTTCGTTATTTATTACCTTCTTCATTAATGAAGAGAACGTTTCAGGGGAAATTGACAATTCTGAAACTTCCACATCTAACTTATTCAAACCACCCAATAATTCATGGAAAATCCAATTATTGACCATCTTGACATCTTGAATTTGGTCAATAACTTGATAATAAAAGTCAAGTAAGTTCAAATTATCGATCAAAAATCTTGCATGTTTCAATTCTAATTTGTAATTGACAGTAAGTTCTTCTAATAATTGGTCAGGTAACTTAGGTAAGATAGCTTTGACCTCTTCATGAATGTGTTCATCGAAATGGACTTTTGGAATTTCAGGATCAGGGAAATATCTATAATCAATAGCATTCTCTTTGGATCTCAACTTGACAGTTTCATTATTTTTCCAACCTCTAGTTTCTTGCTCAATCACATTGCCTTTCTTCAATTCATCTACTTGCCTTTTGTATTCAAAATTCACAGCGTCTTGAATTTCACTGGTACTTCCCAAATTTTTAATTTCAACTCTATTACCCCCATTAACTGAAACATTCACATCAACTCTTATAGCACCAGTTTCTAAATCTCCGGTACATATATCTAAATATTTAACTAAAGTTTGGTATTTCTTAAGGAAAGCCTTAATTTGTTGTAAATCTTCAAAATCCGGTTTGGTAATCAATTCCACTAATGGAATATTAGCTCTATTGTAATCTAAGTTGATCTTTTTATCGTATTCAAGATAGTTAGACTTACCAGTATCTTGCTCCAATTGAATTTGTTCAATGTTAATAGTTTTATCAACACCATCGAACTTTGAGTTCAACGTCAAATATCCATCATTACTCAATGCATGGAAATGTTGAGTTAATTGATATCCTGAAGGTTGGTCTATATAAAAATAATGTTTCCTATCAAACTGACAAAAGTCATTTATCTTACAATCTAATGCTACACTTAATTTCAATCCTAACAATAAAGCTTCAGGGTTTAGTTTTGGTTGAGTTCCAGGTAAACCAAGATCGAAGTAGCTGACTTTTGAGTTGGGAGTTGAATTGAAACTAGTTGGTGATAAGGAGAATAATTTGTACTTAGTTTTCAACTGTGTGTGAATTTCAAGACCACATTTGAATTTATATTTGGGATCAAATGTGCTATAGAACCTTCGTATCATTGAAGAATATGGTGATATCTGGTGTCGCGATGACTTTGGTGAAGAATATGTCGCGATGTCTATCTTTTATGTTTCTTCGTATGATGTTCAGGTGGTGTATTCTTACGTTTACCGACTCTTTTGAGGGGTGACCATTTACCTGGTGTATTTTCATGGTTGATTGGTTTGTCTCTCAAAACAGGAGTTTTCTCTGGACTTTTTAGAGGACTTTTCCGATCGAAATGCATGTAATTGAAATTCAATTGGGTGATTTGTTGTAACTTCTTCTGGTCTACGTTGGAAAAAGAAGGAGATTTAGAAGGGGGCCTTGAAAGTTTTCCAGGATACAATTGTACCAACGAAGATTTGTCAAATTGCAATGTGCCAGATTGTGTGATCTTACTTCCATCATTCCTGTCATTGTTGAACTTGAGCCTGTCTTGCAGCTTCAACCCTGTGAGTGTTTGGCTTGTCTTGTGTGCAGACATTGGAGTTGATGTTTCGAAGGGATTGATCGAGGGAGAGCTGTGCTTCAAGTAATCACTTGCATCCGATGTAGTTAACATTTTATCTTCGCCTTCGAAGGAGTAGTCCAACTTGTCGATTGACACACTTTGCACGTCCTTTCCCAACATCGAATAATGAATCTGAACTGTCAATTATCTTCTAAAACAAAATCCTAGATATCTTTAGATCAAAGGATTTTTGAGCCGCTGTCACAAATGGAAATCGAACTTAAGCGGGAGTAACCTGAAACTTATTAGACCGCTACTCTTATTTTATACTTACACTATGAATGTTCGGTTCTTGACACTACCAACAGTTTATCACAGCATTAATACACCTCTCAGGATGATATCATATTTAACTATGGGTGTACCGATGTGTGGACACCCCTTATCGTCATTTAAAATGAAATCGCATTTTATCCTTATTTATTTTGATAAGCAATTAGGGAGAATGAGATCACAATTTAAAGACGAATACGATTTTGGTATGTATAAGTTGAATTGAAGGTGTTAAACCTGATGGATTATGTTGTACGGTCGAATTGGGTCAAATGAAGTTTTCAAGAGAGGTAATTGGTAGCATTTGCCGTTGGTTTGTAATGATGCACGTTACACAGATAAAGGGTCTGGCGTTTCTAGTCATGAATTTACTCCCATATTCCGCCAAAAATCCAATCTAGGACTAATAATTGATCAGTCTTGTACCATATCCTGCAAGGCAACAACACATTTTTACAATATTTGATGGTGATGACATATACTAACCTTTTAGAAAAAAGAAAAGCAGAATCTACTAGAATTTTAGAAAGATTTAATGATAGATTACCAGTCATCTGTGAAAAGGCTGAAAATTCTGATATCCAAGAAATCGATAAGAGAAAGTATTTAGTTCCAGGAGATTTATCAGTAGGTCAATTTGTTTACGTTATTAGAAAGAGAATTAAATTACCATCTGAAAAAGCCATTTTCATCTTCATTGATGATATCTTACCACCAACTGCTGCTTTAATGAGTACAATTTACGAAGAGCATAAAGATGAAGATGGTTTCTTATATGTTTTGTACAGTGGTGAAAACACTTTTGGAGAAAAGAAAGTTTTGAACTTGGCTGAAATCTTTGATGAAATGTAGTGAATATTTATGTTATTGTTACATCTCTGTCTCTATTGCTAAGAATCAAGAAAATCTCATAAACCGTATACTAACCTAAAAACAACCATATCTTAACTCATAATATCAACAGTACTATCTGGAGAAACATCCAAAGTAATACCATCATTTTGTAATTCCTTCCATCTAAACTGTTTGAGAGATCCTTCTAAAGCATCAAAATCAAATTCTGTCATTGGATATGGAAATTCTATTGCCATCCCTTTGAATATAGTATCATATTCATGTTTAACACTATATCCCAAATCTTTTACATACTGTTTGAATTCCGTTTGAATGGAATTCAAACTCAGAGATTCTCCAAGGAATAAAATGATAGCTCCTGAGATCTCAGAACTGATAACTTGTACTATAAATAACCACCAAACTAATAATTTCATCCCTGCTGGTTTGAGTGAGTAATGTTAAATGATCAGGTTAGTAAAAATGCTGGTTGCGAAAAAAACCAGCAGGCTGCGAAAAAGGGAAATGAAACCAGCTTTGAGGCTCTCCTTTATAAGAACGATGATCTGATCGATCCGTAAGTTTGATCAATCATTATTACTTACGTTCCTTATTTTAACAATTCATTCTTTTGATTTTTCTTAAAAATGGATTACTACGAGCCAACTTTATTGTTCAGACAAAATGCTATTAGAAGGAGTCCTTATAATTCCAACTTTAACTCCAAATCCCTGTTAAATGTGCCTGATTATAGTTCAGCTTCAAACAACTGGCTTTTGAATGCCAATGCTAATGATACAGAAATCTTAAACAAAGTTTGTTGTCTTAACAGATTGAATATCAAGTCTAATTATTGGAAAATTCCTGACACTGAAATGAATCTTACTTCAATGGCCAGTAAAAGTTTGGGTGATGATAATGCTTTAATGGCTATTTCTTCAGGTAGTAAGCAAAATAATTTGTTTTTGTATGAATTAAACCTCGAAACCAATTATTTAACTCATCATAATACCATATCTTTACCAAACATACATTCCATGAAATGGGTACCACAATCTTCCAATCTTTTGATGACGGGGAATAATAAAGGTTACGGTCATTTGATAAGCACTCCAGGAATAGATGACGATGAAAGTGCCGAAATTTTGAAAAGATTCAATCACAGAAAACATCTTAAATCTATTAACAAAGATACTTCCATAACTAAGCATGCTTCAACTATGATAGAGAAAATGAATTTTTTGAATAAAGATAAGCTTATATCGATATATGACGATAATTTATTCAACTGGGATTTAAATGATGCCACATCATCATCGAAACCTCGTCCTACAAATATCACCAGTATAAATGGGATACTAAATTTCGATATTAACAGCAAAGATTCTAATTTATTGGCATTAGTGGGTAAGTTCGGGATTTCTTTATTTGATGTAAGAGATCCTAAATTCTCCATACCTGAAATTTCTAAGAACATAAAAAAGAAATCCACATTAACATCCAATATCATCAGATGGAATCCTCAAAATGAATATGTGTTTGCTTCAGGGCATTTGGATAGTGTGGTAAGGTTATGGGATATCAGGAAACAAGAATACTTTGGAGAATTGAACGGGCATACTAATAAAGTCATTAATTCTTTAGAATGGGTAGACGGAGACTTATTTAGTGGAGGTAAAGATGGAAATATTATTCATTGGGATTTAACTACGGATTTAACCAGCCAAGATCAACTCTTAAATTGTGGACTCAAGGAAGGGTTAAATAGTGTTAATTATAATCGTTTGAATAATATGGATATCATCAATCAAAGACAATGTGGTACAATATTACCAGCATCAAATTCTAACATTATCCATTTAGAAACTTTTCAAACTTTTGAAGATTTGAAAGTGTTATCTATAGATGGATCATCATTTTTCGGTTTACATTCCAAGATTGTTGATGCTGTATTACCAGAATCCAAGGGATTCTATTCTAAGGATGATCTCAATATGATGGTAGCTTCAAGTGAGACTTTGGTAGATGAGACTCAACCATTGAAATTAAGAAGCGATGTCATAGATATAGAGTCGATCTCCGAACAATCAGAACCACAATCAATTGATTCTGAACCTCAATTGGTTGATTTGGAATCAATCGATGATTTGGAAGAGTTTGAGACTAATAGTCAAGATCTTCAATATACTGAAGATGAACTTCAATTTGGAGATCAACATGAAGACCAACTTAAAGACTCATCGGAAGATGTTCATTCTGAAGACCTCCATTTCAATGATAAAGATTTTACTTTAACTGAAGAAGAAGTATTTACAGAAGAGGAAGTGTTCTCAGATTTAGAACCTTTCTTATACACTCCAATCTCCTACAAACCAACGATGAATATGTCAGATTATTCATTAAATCAATCATCCGATTCTTTAGGAGAATTTGATTTCTTTGATACACCTAACTCCACCCGTACCGATATCACTGAGATAGACACTTACAATGATACTTTAGATCCAATTAAACACCATAAGTATCAATTACTGGAAGTAAGATTTGACGATTTTACCTTTGGTAACTTTACATAGACGAATTACGAAATTTCTTTAGAACCTTTGCAAACACTTTTCACCTATTTTATCTCTTTAAATAGTACTTTCAAGTATCCCGGCTTACCGAAACAACGGCTAAGATGTTACACAAAATGCTCAAAAGTCGTGCACGGATCCAGCCGACCCTCAAAAAAATGACAATCTCAAATTCAAAAACTTTTCAGTTAGGGGCCATACAGTATAACGCAATAATACCATCAATATCACCAACTAACGTCAATTATTTACAATTTCTGATTAATTAAGTAGGTTTATTTGATAGGAAAGTATATTAAGCGGAAAACCCCGATCGATTTAGTGGCATTTATTTAACTCCAAAACATCCCTTCATTGCACCAGCCTTATAAGTAAGCGACTGAGTTAATAGAAGTTTAATATTCATAGAATAAATTTAGAGTAATAGATATTGATCAACTTTATCATGTCAAGCTCAACACCCATCAATGTCAAAGTTGTGGCGGCTGAATCACTTTATAAAAGAGATGTATTCAGGCAACCTGATCCTTTTGCTGTTATAACAGTTGATGGTTCCCAAACTAAAACTACTAAAACTGCTAAAAAGACATTGAATCCTTATTGGAATGAAAGTTTCAATTTCGATTCTTTAGAAGATTCCATCTTAGTCATTCAAGTATTTGATCAAAAGAAATTTAAGAAGAAAGATCAAGGTTTCTTAGGAGTTGTTAATATCAGAATTGGTGATGTTATTGATTTATCATTACCAACATCTGAAGAAACTATTACTAGAGATTTAAAGAAATCTAATGAGAACTTAGCAGTTAGTGGGAAAATAATAGTCGTTATTAGTCATAATTCATCAGCACCAACAAATTCCAGAACCAATAATTCATTAGCTCCTCCTCCATCATCCACCTTAACCAATTCGAATTCATCAGCAAGTCTTAATAATTCAACTAATGGAACTAACGGCGATTCAAACAGACAATATTCATCATTTGAAGATCAATATGGTAGATTACCACCAGGTTGGGAAAGAAGAACTGACAATTTTGGACGTACTTATTATGTTGATCATAATTCTAGAACAACCACATGGCAAAGACCTAATTTGAATCAATCTGAATCAGAAAGAGGTCAACAAAGAGAAGATACTACTGAAGCTGAAAGAAGACAACACAGAGATAGAACATTACCAGGAGAATTCCCTGCATCATCACCTGATATGTCCAATAATTCTGTTACCAATGGGAATATTACTGTTAATTCAACAGGGGCAAACACTCCCGTTTCTCCAGCAGCAGCAGTTTCTATGGCTTCAAGTGGTGCTACCACTAGTGGATTGGGAGAATTACCAAGTGGTTGGGAACAAAGATTTACTAATGAAGGTAGACCATATTTTGTTGATCATAATACTAGAACAACTACTTGGGTTGATCCAAGAAGACAACAATATATTAGAACTTTCGGTCCAAATACTACCATTCAACAACAACCTGTTAGTCAATTAGGTCCATTACCAAGTGGTTGGGAAATGAGATTAACTAATACTGCTAGAGTTTATTTTGTTGATCATAATACCAAAACTACTACTTGGGATGATCCAAGATTACCATCATCATTAGATCAAAATGTTCCTCAATATAAGAGAGATTTCAGAAGAAAAGTTATTTATTTCCGTTCTCAACCTGCATTGAGAATTTTACCTGGTCAATGTCATATTAAAGTAAGAAGAGATCATATCTTTGAAGATAGTTATCAAGAAATTATGAGACAAACTCCTGAAGATTTGAAAAAGAGATTAATGATTAAATTCGATGGTGAAGAAGGTTTAGATTATGGTGGAGTTTCCAGAGAATTTTTCTTCTTATTGTCACATGACATGTTCAATCCATTTTATTGTTTATTCGAATATTCATCTCATGATAATTATACTTTACAAATCAATCCAAATTCAGAAATTAATCCTGAACATTTGAATTATTTCAAATTTATTGGTAGAGTTGTTGGATTAGGTGTTTTCCACAGAAGATTCTTGGATGCTTTCTTTGTTGGTGCATTATATAAAATGATGTTACACAAAAAAGTGGTATTACAAGATATGGAAGGGGTTGATGCTGAATTTTACAGATCATTAAAATGGATTTTAGATAATGATATTACTGATGTTTTAGATTTAACATTTAGTGCAGAAGATGATAAATTCGGTGAAATCGTTGAAATTGACTTAAAAGAAAATGGTAAGAATATTGAAGTCACTGAAGAAAATAAACATGAGTATGTTGAGTTAATTAGTGAATGGAGAATTAGTAAAAGAGTTGAAGAACAATTTAAAGCATTTATTACTGGTTTCAATGAATTAATACCTCAAGAGTTAGTTAATGTATTTGATGAAAGAGAATTAGAATTATTAATTGGTGGTTTAGCAGAAATTGATGTTGAAGATTGGAAGAAACATACTGACTATAGAGGATATTCAGAAACTGATCAAGTTATTCAATGGTTCTGGAAATGTATTAAAGAATGGGATTCCGAACAAAAGGCAAGATTATTACAATTTACCACTGGTACTTCAAGAATTCCTGTTAATGGTTTCAAAGATTTACAAGGTTCTGATGGTCCAAGAAGATTTACTATTGAAAAAGCTGGAGAATCAAATCAATTACCAAAATCTCATACTTGTTTTAATAGAGTTGATTTACCTCCTTATAATGATTACGAAAGTTTAAAACAAAAATTAACCTTGGCTGTTGAGGAAACAGTTGGTTTTGGTCAAGAATAGTTGTTAATGTATGATTTAATTGAGCAAATCTCTAATTTGAAATTGTTCGGAATTACGTTTCTCCGAATTTGTTCTATCCCCAATCTCTTTACTCTAGAAACCAAGAATTTACTAAAAAAACTCACCATAAGCTTTATAAGAGCTTAGTAAAACTACCCAGTTGCAAATCTAGGTGTCGCAATTTTAGGGGTTTTACCCCATATTCGGCATTAAGTCCGCGAAGTGTCTTATCAGCAACTGACCATAGCTTAATTAGTAATGGAGCTTATGTAAGTAGTTGTTCTCCTCTTATTGAGGGGATATCACTATAAAAGATAGTTTAGATGTCAAATAACTAATATACATATTCTACATAATGCCAGATTTATTTGATAATTTCTTTGGCAAAATAAATCACGCTGTTAGTGGTAAAACCCCAACTCATTACGGACTTTCATCCCAAGTTAATTCAGGAAGATATTATAGTTATCATACTAATAGTACCAATAATAATTATTGGATGCCTAGGGATGATAAAATTAAAGTTATGAAACAAGATCATGAAGATAAGATGAATCCTGAAATGCAAACTCCAAGACCCAGAATGGGAAGTGATGCTAGTGATATGGAAAGAAAAGGTAGTGTTCTGTCACAAGCTTCAGATTAAATCTTGAATGTATAATGATAATCTCTAATTGAAAATATCTTGATTCAATATCTCATTGATGAAATATAAATCATCATTACTGAATTGTAAATAGTCTATACCAATATAATCGTTGGAGAAATTCAAATCATCGAAAAACTGTTTGGAGTTCATTTTCATGAAATCTGATAATGAAGGAAGAAATAAATTCGATAAATCCAAGGGGAACTGATTAAATCCAATATTGTGAAGGTATTTAATAAGTTTAAGTACTTGATTCAATTTAGCGTTAGCTATCAAGTTACCCATATTGGACATGATTTTAAGTAATTTCAAACATATTTCTAAGTAACTGATAAAGTTGAAGTTTATTTCATTTTCTCTGGCTTTATCATTTTCATTGTGAGTCTCTGGTAATGAATTTATATCTAAGATGATGAAGATAATAAAAATTAAAGAATTGGCATAAATATAATCAATATCAGTAAATCCAAAACATCGGAGAAGCAATTTTTCATTCAATTTCAAGTAAATATGAACTGTAAGTTCACAACTTTGAATAGTATAGTTAAGTAAATTCAAAATGTTATAGGAGATCTTTTCAATTTTGAAGTTAGTTGCATTATGTTGTTTGAAGTTATTGATAGCTATCTTACTGAAATTAAGGATTATAGGAATACAATTAAGATAAATTTGATGCAAGTAATTACAATGAAGGGAACTTAAAAGTCTATCATTTTGATTTTTGGAATTAGTGGTGATATTTAATTGTAAGTCTTCAGGTAGATTATTAACCCAATGCTTCAATGATTTCAAATTATCAAACATAATATTAAGAAGATTCTTATTGTTCAAATTGTTATTGTTATAAATATTGATATTGATCATCTCACTTATCTTAGCCAACTCTATGAAATACTTGAAGTTTTTGTCTTTAGTAGGGAATTTTGTCTCAATATTAATGTTATTGAACGTCAATAATAATGGTTGTCCTATTCTCCCACTGAAGAATCTGTTCAAACAGTAAATGGACCAAAAGATCCTATTGTTGTATTCGTTATAATTATTGAACAATCTTTCCTTCTGATTAAGTTCTTTCTTCCTTAAGATCAAATCCTTGTGTAAGTTCAATGAAATACATAATTGTAAAGCATTTAAAGTGAAGAATACGGAAGCATTTTTCTTATCCATAAAACGAAGATAAATCGATATTAATCCGAATAATTCAATGATATTAAGAATGTCATCAATATTACCATTATTGAAGTTAATAAGTTCATAACTGGTGGGTAAGTACTTAATGACTCTTTTGAAATATTTGATTCCAGGAGGTTCTTGGAAGAAACTTGAAGATCCAAGAAGTGTACTTGATTCATACATTTGTCCAATGGAAATTATCACTAATAGTTTCAAAATAAAGTAATTGATAGTACTTGAAGGCTGAATCTGATTAAATGTTTGATCAGTATAATAAGTTCTTAATTCATGTTTGAAATCTTCGGGATAAATGGTCAAGTATCCAACATTGATGAAAATCTCCACCGTATTAAGGTAATTTTCCGCTTCGTCTAATGATAGTTGACTCAATAAACTGTTTATCTCTCCTACATCTTGGAAATTGGTTCGGGTATCACTACCGAAAATTATAGTATCATAAACTTTCTCTTCAATAAAAGAATTAAAATCCGGAGATATAGTGAATTCCGTCTGATTGGTGGTTATAAACTGTGTCAAATTCCAACATATAACTTCAGATGCTGGAGAGCCTAACTTAATGGTGAATTTAACGTCGTCTTCGTTACCACTTTCTCCGCCTGCTCTATCATTATTATCCATAACATTAGATCTATCCAAACTCGACCTGCTATCTAACAGTCCGAGATTATCCATACTATTATCCATACCTCCCATTTCAACTTTTATCCTTTGAGGATCACCATCTCTTGATTCTAATCGTAATTGGTTCTTTAATAATGCTATCTCTCGTTGTAGAGCCTCAACTTCGGTATCAAAAACCTGTATTTTTCTGGGTTTTCGAGGATATATACATTCACTCTTCGATAAAACACATCCTTGACAAGGTATCGTTCCTGAACATTTAGTTTTACGTTTCTTACACCTGACACAAGCTGTCTTTGACCTATTCATCGTGCGGAAGTTTTGTGACATCTACCGATCAGATAAGTAGTGCGACTGACCAGAATACTACAGTAGAAGACCCTTACAACAAAGAGGGAAGTTTTAATCGAAGACAATAAGATTATATGAGAGAATGTGTGAACGTTTCTAAATTGAATGTCACCATCACATAGGCGTTTTTGTGTTTGTTTTTAACATTATACGTATAATTTACAAGAAGAATTAAACTAAAGACAACAGAAGAATCTCGATAAACAATTTCTATCGTCTAAACTTTCAGGTTCATCATTAACAGGACTGAATGGTATAGCATTATAATTATTCTTATTTGGTTTCAATCTTGAATTATCATTAAATTTGGGATGAGGTTGTCCATAACCGTGTAAATTAGATTTCTTATTCAATGAAGCATCCCAACCTCTACCACCATTCAAATCCATCCAATCATAATGACCATCATCTTTACAATTAATTGATATCATAGCTTTGTTCATCAAATTTATCAAATAATTATAATCTGGATCTTCGTCAAATTTCAAATTCCTTACATAATTTAAATATTGGGAAAATTGGATTGGGAATCCAAAACATAATTCATTGATTGATGTCATCTCTTTCTTATTACCAATTTTTTCATATTTCTGTTTATTAGTTGGAGCCTTTAATCCTTGCCATGGTAATGAACCTCTTAAGAAATACATAAATACATGACCTAAACTCTCCAAGTCATCTCTTCTCAGTTGTTCTCGACCTTTATGGGTATTGATAGACATATATCTTGCCGTACCACTTAATGCTTTCCTTTCTCTATAAGGTATATGATTTTTGGTTTTTGGATCTCTATATTGTTTGGCCATACCAAAATCAACAACAAATACATCATTAGCTTGATCTGTTCCTGGTTTACCAATCAAAAAGTTATCCGGTTTAATATCTCTATAAACGAGATTATTTTCATGAATACTTTCAACTCTTTGAATCATTTGTTTAGCAATTTGGATCACTGTTTTGATAGAAAATTTTCTCCCACACCAGTCAAATAAATCTTCTAATGAAGGTCCTAATAAATCAATGATTAATATATTATGAACTCCTTCTTGTCCGAAAAAGTAAGCTTTTGGTATTCCTTCAATATTATTTAAAATTCTATAGCTTCTATATTCATCTCTTAATTGTGGAGCTTCACTTTTTCTTGGTTCAAACTTAATAGCTACTTGTTGATTAGTCAATAAATTAATCCCTTCAAAGATAATCCCAAAACTTCCTTCACCAATCTTTTTACCCACTTTATAATGGACTCCAACTATATGAGAATAATTAGCCATATTTAAACGTTTAATGTATCGATTATTCTCGTTGGATTAGATGGTTATTAATCTTTAGAACTTCTTTTCACTTAAAATCTTCTTCTTTAACTATCAATATGTTCAGTACCCGTACTATTTATATCAACTACTAACCCTCAGTCGATGAGAAATATGACGAGTTTTTTCCTCACTCGTCAATGATTTTTAAAATTGGGGCCAAAATTTTGGCTTACCATGGTCCATTAATTTATGAAGGAAGGGTATTAAAAGTTCATGAAAAGGGGAAGAATTTTGTTGAAAGTGGTGAAGGTCATGAACCAATTGACGAAAGTTTACCTAAAAATTTAGTTGATATGGATTGTTGTTTTTTACATTATAAAGGTTGGAAACTGAAATGGGATGAATGGGTTACTCTGGATAGAATGATGGAATATAATAATGAAAATTGGGAATTATCAAAGACTTTACGAGCTAGTTATAATCAAAAGATGAGAAATAAGGTTCCTACTGAAAAACCTAAGCCTGTTAATCCTCCAACAACTAATAATGATCCTAAAGTTGACAATGGTTATAATTCAGTAATCAAGGGTATAAAAAGAAAATTAGGTGATGATAAACCTAAGAAGGGAAAGGATATAGTCATACCGATAAGTAATGAATTAAAATCGCTATTGGTTGATGATTGGGAGTTTATCACTAAAGATCATAAGGTGTTGTCATTACCGGTGAAAAAGCCAATAAAATCAATTTTCGAAGATTATTTGGAATTTGAAAAATGTCAAAAGGCTGATATGGTACCTATCAAAGAATTCATTCATGGGTTAAAGGTTTATTTTGATCAAACTTTGAAACTTTTCCTTCTTTATAAATACGAGAGATTACAATATAGCTATCTTTTAAAAGAGAATAACAACGTTTTAGAAAGTTGTGAAGTTTATGGGATTGAACATTTATTGAGGTTAATAATAACTTTACCAGGTTTAATATCAAACACGTCAATGGATTTGATAAGTATAAATGTCTTAATTGAACACTGTGATAATTTTTTGAAATTTTTATCCATAAGTTTCACTGATTATTTGAATGATTACGAAAACACTCTGCCAGCTTACGATAATTTAGCTAGATCATGAATATATATATATCTAGAGATCAGAGAGATCCAAAGCCCAAAGCTTGAGATATAAAACCTGAAAACATATATTCATAAATCATTTCTTCGTGATTCAAAAAATTGGGCCATGCTAATTAAATTGGGATAGCTTTATAATCAACATCGACCATAGCATTTTCATTGTTACAAGTAACTTCTAATTCTAATTTCCAATGTCTATCGAATAAATCTTCTTCTTCTTGCAGGAATCCATGATCAGTGACATCTTCGAATTTCCATGTCATCTTTTTAGGAGTTTCATCAACTGCGACCTTCTTGAAGTCCATATCATATCCAGAACAGATTTGCATATCTTTCATCAAATGCCTCTTGATATGATGTTGTAAATTTCTCTTAAACTTACGTGAATTCTTGTTAGCAGTAGGTTTAATCTTATCTAAATTATCATGACATTCCTTCATGATAAATGGTGGAATGTATTTTAAATGGGCATGAATATAATCAAAATCATTATCCCAAGTTTCATCCCTGATGTAACTTTCGAAAGCAGTAATGTCTTCAAATTCTCTCATTGGTGGAGGTTTCAAAACACTTTCAATAGTACCATCTTCACTTTCAACTGAAGTAATTGAAGATGATCTACTTTTTGGAATGGCTTTCAAATGTTCTAACCTTTCACAATTTTCTAAATCTAAGACAACGGAATTTTTTCTATCTTTTTTACCCATCTTTTACAATCGTTAATAGTAAAGTATCGATTAGTTTGTCGCTATATAAATAATCTTGGAAAATCTGTTTTATTAATTTGAATTAATATAAAACAGTGAAGACATTAAGGATAATTGCTAACTATTTATATTTTGCAGCCATTGGTGCAAAAATTATCAATGCGAAGTCACTCCACATTTCAGACATTTAGCTGGAGACAAAAACTGGAGATTCAAAATAGGAGATCACCCTATTATGACTCAACCCTTCTTTCTTTATTTTGTTTTCTCCTGTTTTCATCCATGGTGTGCCGTGTTTTCGGTACCTTACCAATTCCTTGCTGTCGTATAGAATATCGTATGGAATTGATGGATAAATGTTTGAAGCATGTAAAGAATTGGATTACACTAAAGACATTGATAAGAGATAAAAGAAATTACACTCTTCCCCATATTGGATTTCCTATTAATGAAATTTCTATTGTCGGCCACTATTCAGACCTATCAGCGAATTTTGCACCTTTATCGTTCACGGATATGATATTTCTGACCCCTATACCATTGCTCTACGAGTGTGAGTGTCCATCCCAGGTCGGTGGCACCATTCTCGTACTTCCCCTAAAAATGATGCAATGGTGTAGGATAGTCTGGAGATTGAAATCATGAGACCTTCTCCTCACACGATAAAGGGGATGATTAAGTAATCTGAGGGTTTTTTTTTAATGGTCACTAGGATTTTACTTGCTGGGGTACATTCTCGGATTTATGACCTAGGGTGGTGGTTTATGTAATAAGAGGTGTATCGGTGTAGGGTGTGGCTGATAGAGAATGATGCAAGATTGTTCTTGGAAATATTCTAGTAGTTATTAAAAACATTATTGAAAATGAAAGTGCACATATAGTAGACAAGTTTCAGTGGTGATGAAAATGAAGTTAACTACTCGAAGAAACATTTTATGACTTGGGTCGTCATAGAAGAAAACACTGTTGGTTTCATCCAACCTATTCCCACTATCAACGATTCTCAAATCTCCATCGCATTTTTCATTCTCAAAGTTTTCATGTTTGGAGTTTATGAACCACCACAACCACAGAAGTCTCCCCAGGAGATGACTCAGGAAGAAATAGCCGATCATGGAGCTAAACAAATGATTAACTTCATGCAATCCTGTCCTGGAAAAACCACCATGGCGGCTGTAACAGGGTTCGCTTTAGGGGGATTCTTTGGATTGTTCATGGCCTCCATGTCATATGATTCTATTGGAACCACCAGTGTTTCCAAGATAAGTGAATTGCCTTTAAAACAACAAATGAAAATTCAATTCAGTGATATGGGTAAGAGAACATACTCATCAGCTAAAAATTTTGGATATATCGGGATGGTTTATTCTGGTGTTGAATGTACTATTGAAAGTTTAAGAGCTAAACATGATATTTATAATGGTCTTAGTGCAGGTTGTATAACGGGAGCAGGATTATCCATACAAGCAGGTCCACAAGCAGCCGTCATTGGATGTGCAGGTTTTGCTGCATTTTCTGTAGCTATTGATTTATATATGAATAGTGAATCAGCTAAACCTCCTATTAATGATTATGATGATTAAAAAGAACGTACATTTACATAATTTACATATTCTAACAAAAATAATAACAATATCCATACTTGAAGTCTGAAACAAAATATGAAAATAATAGAAATAACATTGTACATAGTATTATAATTTGAATTTTCCTTGAAAGCTCTCGACTCTGCCATCGATTAAGCTCTTGAAATATTTCCGATTGTGGAGGTGCTTGAAGGAGTTCATTAGTAACTTCATCTTCTAAATCATTAAATTCTTTAGCATTAAATTCTTTAGTTTCATCGAATTGTCTGATTGTATGTTGATACTCGCTGATGTTTGGGTCTGCCGAATATTTCCCAATAGTTTCATGTAAATCGCTTTCGATGTTCTTCAAAACATCAATGTCGTCGTGATTCAATCCTATGGTATTGAGGTCTCGGAGCTTTAGTTCAAGTGAGTTGAAGATATCTCGTTTAATAGGTTTGGGCCTTAGTTTGATGAAATTCTCAATATTTATATCATGTGAATTGGTTCGGGAGTGATTTGATGAGTTGGGTTTACCATTTACTTGATACGGTAGTGGTAAAGGGTCACCAAGCTGCAGTAGAAGTTCATCTCTCTTCATAACAAACACGCGAAACTGAGACATCTCAAAGGGTTTTAAAGGTGAGACACTTTAATCTTCTTATGCTTATATTACTATACAGTTAAACTATAATTTCAAATTATTGGAATCAACTTGTTTTTGTTTCTTAACATTTCCTTTGACATCAGTCTTTTTACCATCTTTTCCAATAATAGTCAAGTTCTTATTACTAGACAAAGTATCAATGATAGAACTGGTTTTAGATTTCTTCTGTTCCTTTGATTTCAATTGTTTAGATCTCTTTCTCTTATTAGACCTTCTCAATCTTTGTTTCTCTTCTCTTGATAATTCATCTCTTGAGTATGATAATCCTGATTTTAATGATATTTCATTTGAATCTTTATTGGTATTAGGATTAAAAATTTCTTGTGGTGCCAATCTATTGTTATCACTGACGAATTCTGGTTGTGAATCTTCCATTGAAATGGTGGAGCTCTTAACTTCGATGATTTTGTTTTCATTAGGTTTAGGTACGAAATTGAACGATGTTAAAGAATCTAACTTATAATTCAATTTATTGATCATTGATAAGATTTCTTCATGTTCTTGAGTTAATTTTTCTTCTTTTTCGTTATTTTCTTCGACCCCATTGAATTTGTCTTCATAAATTTCTGCTAATGATTTGGATGATTTAGTTTCTGATACTTCTGTTCTCACTCTTTGAGGTTTTATAATATCATTCAATAATCTCTTTGGTAAGTCATTGAATTCTTCACTTTTGATTCTTCTACGAATTAATTCTTCAATATCTTCGGTGACTTCTTCTGTTATTATAGGTACGGGTTTATTGACTCTTTCGAATTCGAAATTATCTTCATCTTGTAAAAGCGATCCTTCAGGTCTTTGTTTGTTATTTACTTCCCCTTTCATGGACCATTTCTTTTCTGCTACTAACTCATCTTCTAACTGTTTGATTTGTTGTTGTAACTTTTCTTGTTGTTTTTCGAAACTGGATTTTTCGACTAAATCTTGTCTAATATCTCCTAATGCATTATTGAAATCGTCTTCGTTGAGACTATCGTATCCTTCATCTCCTTTATAACCGTAGTCATCTTTTTCGTCAAATTCTAATTCAACTTGGTTATCATCTTCGCCATCGAAGTCTTCTTCGCCATCAAAACCTTCACCTTCAGAATCTTCATCATCACTTTCGAGTAAATTCTTAGTTTTCTTGGAATTTGGCTTATCAAAGAAATCATCGAAATAATCAACTTCTTCATCATCTGATAACTCTTGGTTATAATCAACGAACTCTTCAACGATACCGTTATCTTCTAATGATAAGATTTGTTTGTTAAATTCATCGATATTGAAGAACTCATCATTTAATTCATTTCCAGGTTTATTGGTTCCGTCTTCCTTTTCTTCTGATTCTTCATCTTCGGGTTGTTCGTCCTCCGAATTCTCGACTGACTCTTCTTCTTGATCTTCAATTTCTGGACCTTCTTCACCAGATGGTTCATCGACAAAATCATCTATTAAATTTCCATCCTCATCGACTTCACCAAATTCCTCATCAGATTCTTGTATTTCTTCAGTTTCTCCGAATTCTTCTGGTTCTTCGTCACTTTCGGCATTTCTATCATCATCTTCATCTTCATCTTCACTATCGCCTTTGAAGTCTGCGAGTTTCTCCATCAAATCTTGTCCTACATTTTCAAGAACTATCTTTGTTTGACCAAAGATTTGACTTGAATCTAAACCATCGATGTAAATCTCATCTAATTTGGAATTTTTACAGATCGAGTCACCCAAGTTCTTAATCAAACCATTAAAGAACGATTCTTTGTCTTCAAGTTGATTGAAAATCCTCGTAGGATCATCAACTAATTCACTTAAGATGCTCATAGTGGTTTTTTTCCGATGAGATGCGATTTCTTCCTTTTGTGTTACTTCTCACGATCTTGGTTTTGATGGATTTTAGTAAGAATTGATGTGGAAATTCAATTGGAGACTGATAAGATTCAAGTCTTCGTCATCTACAAGATGGTTGAATAGACAAAAGAATGATGAGTTCAGTAAGAAATCCAAAACCCAGCATTTCAAAAGTAGAGCTGCTTTTAAATTGATCGAAATCAATGAAAGATTCCATATTTTAAGGAACTGTCGTAATATTGTCGATTTGGGGTATGCTCCTGGGTCATGGAGTCAAGTAATCAAGAGTTCGATGGAAAAGTCCGGTAAAAGAGGAAAAATCTTGGGAGTGGATTTGATCAATTGTAGTCCTCCTGAAGGAGTTGATTTTATTCAAGGTGACTTCCTTCACCATGAAACTCAGCAAAAGATAATTGATTATTTCAATGGTCAATATGTTGGTGAAGTGTTTGGAAGTAAAAAGCTTTTGGCCGAAAAAGTGGCTTACCCAGATTCGGAACCATTGGATCACGACATCGAGAACAAAACTCAACTGGTGGACCTTATATTGAGTGATATGCTTGAGAATACTACCGGTTTGAAGAATATCGACCACTTAAGTAGTATGGATATCTGTAATTCAGTTATGATTTTTTCCAACCGCTTACTTAAAAAAAACGGAAGTTTAGTAATGAAATTCTACCAAGGCAACGAACAGACCGGGATAGAAAATAAGCTTAAACAAATGTTTACAAAAGTCTACATTTTTAAGCCGAAGAGTTCCAGGAGTGAACTGAAAGAAATGTTTTTCGTTGCATTGAAATTGAAATAATCTGCATCAAGTGTAAACCCTGATCGAACATTAAGCATTTGAAAGTTCGGGGTATTAACTATTGTTCATGTAGCAACAGTAAAAATGTGTATGGATCAACATCAGTGTAGCACATGTAACAATATTAGGAGACATATTGTGGAGAGACATTGAAGGTGTACTAAACACTTCCTTCACGTGATGTCGAATTATCCCGGCTATGAATACCTGAGCCCATACAGAAGGCAGTTCACATTGCCACGGATCAACTATAAGTACCCAATGGCTCAGGAGGAACCAGCTCCTATTAATTGAAATTATCGGTAATTAACCACTATTATATCTAGAAAATAAATTCGTAACAAGCTAGTGATTTCATTTAATGACATAAGCAAACCCCTTGAAATCCCCTCGGGATCGATCAACTTAAAATCACCGATCTTTGCTTACATGGTTTACATCGATGTTCATATATATACCAATGCTTGTCATTGCTAGGATTTCGTCATGTCTAAGGGGTTTATTGCTTCTTAAAGAACTAAGAAATTCTCATCTTGTCGTTCACATATTTTTTACATCATAAGTTAAGTGCGCAGTTTTACGATATGCATGTAATTATTTAACTATTTTTGGAAATACTATTTATAAATTTAGTGACATTTTTTGTGTTGTCATTTTTTTTATCCCCAAAAAATAATATAAAAGTAATGAAAAATTCCCTTAAGTAGAAAAGTAATAAGATTTTCATTTTAATCTATCGTTTCAAATAAAAAAAAAGAAAAGATGAAGTTCTTAAACATTATTGCATTGTCAACCTTGGCTATTTCAGCCTATGTTCCATCAGATCCATGGACTGACTTAACCCCAACTGCTACCTTAGCCAGTGATTCCGGAGCAACTTCCTCTTTAGAAGGTAGTTATGCTTTAAGTATCAAAACTATTAGTGTTGCATCTGAAAGTACTGCTGCTAGTACTATTGAAAAAAGAGATGTTGAACAAATCACTGATGGTCAAGTTCAACAACATACTGATGCTCCTGTTGCTCAAATCAGTGACGGTCAAATTCAACATCAAACCGAAGCTTCCATCGTAAACCAAATTTCTGATGGTCAAGTTCAACAACAAACTGCTGCTGCTTTAGTTAACCAAATTGGTGACGGTCAAGTTCAACAACAAACTGCTGCTGCTTTAGTTAACCAAATCGGTGATGGTCAAGTTCAACAACAAACTGCCACTGTTGCCAACCAAATTGGTGACGGACAAGCCCAACAACAAACTGCTACCGTTGCATCTCAAATCGGTGATGGTCAAATTCAAGCTACTGCCGATGCCGCTTCACAAATTAGTGATGGTCAAATTCAAGCCACTTCCGCTGCTAACGATGATGGTGATGCCTTCACTGCCACTTGTGTTGCTAAAGATTCATTATTATTACAATTGAAGGACGGTATTTTAACCGACAGTCAAGGTAGAATTGGATCTATTGTCGCTAATAGACAATTCCAATTTGATGGTCCACCACCTCAAGCTGGTGCCATCTACGCTGCTGGTTGGGCCGTTGTTCCTATCGATTATGTCGAAGATGATACCACCAAGGAAGAAGCCGATAACAATGCTAAAGGTACTACCAGAAAAGTTAAGAGAGAAGCAGGCTACAAATTAGCTTTAGGTAAACAAACTACCTTTTACCAATGTTTATCAGGTGATTTCTATAACTTATATGATGAAAGTATTGGTGGTCAATGTTCTGAAGTCGAGTTTGTTTTATTAAAAGCTCTTGACTGTTAGATCATTTCACTAAAAGTTCAAAAAAATTGGGTTTCAAATTTCGTATTTCGTATTTCGTTAGCTTTTTCTGCATAATATAGTCATTCCTTAATTTTCGTTTATTTCTATTCTATCCCATCTGAACCACTCTCTCAAATTTGTCTATGGTTTCCAAATTTCTCCTCCTGTTTGTGACCAACGACATCTTATTGATTATTTGAGTATTCAATTTATCGATGTTGCTCAATTTTAGTGTGACTAAAGATAGTTCATTAACTAAAAGATCGGAATTATCCTCTTGAGAATCTCTAATATTCTTGAGCTTTTTACATAATTGACCAACAAGGTTATTAATCTTTATGGCTTTCTCTGGATTCATTTCTTTGGACAATAAGTTATTCAAAAGATTGTTCAAGAAAGCATCTAATTGGTGAACCGAATTAATTATCGAATCTTTATCAATGGTGTTTTTGTCATTGTTTAAAGACTTCAATGCAATACTTTCGATTTCATCATTCTTAATTATTATCTTTGTTTCAATACCATCTATAAACCCTTGAATAAATGACGAACTGTGAGATATTTTGGAATTAGTTATTATGATCAAAGGTAATAATAATATTTTATTGATATCATCAATCACTGAAGGATCTACCGTTTCATTATAATACAACCCAAGCGGTTTCAAATCAGGAAACATGGTGATGAACTGTGGCAATCTTTCATAGTAATAATTCAAATCTATTATTTCGAATGATGTGACAATTGATTCATCCTGACCAAGCACAACTCCCATTTGACTGTTGCATATATTGAAAAGTGCTGTTGAATTTATCGTTACCATGGTATATTTAACTGTTTCCTACAAGTTTGATTTATCCTGGTTATCCCTGAACTTTTGAATTTTCAAGCCTCTAACTCTCTGACACCACACTTAAGTCCCTATCGCAAATGTCTGAGATCGCACTCATCACACGACATCGAAAATTTTTATTAAGATGATTATGACGATTGACAGGAAGAGGGTAGGTTCAATGGAAGTAATGAACAATAAAAGGTTTCATGAAGATGACCGAAATAACAATGAACAAAATGATTTCAATGATAAATTTTACACAAGTTATATCCAACAAGCCCTTGATAACAATAATGTGGACCAAATTAATAATCTTACCAGAAAATTAACCCTTCCTTCAAGTGATAGAGACAGTTTGACAACACAAGATTACATCATCATATTAAGATATTTATCAAGAAATATCTCCAAGTTAGATAACGAAGATAATTCTTCATTTATAATATCCATCATCAACTATAAATTTGTTAGCATAAATAAAGGGGAAGTTGAAAGTTATATTCATTTTTTCAAAGTTTTGATAAGTTCCATTCCCAAATATATTTCTAAAGTCATTAATCAAATAGCGGAAGATTTCAAATCCAATAAATTTATCTCTCCAGATGGAGAAGATAGAGAAGTCATCAAACCATCGCATGAAATTTTAAGATATATGATTAATTTTAACCCAACTATTGTTTCCCAATTACCAGGTTACTTCTTGAAGCACTTTCCTCATCATTTAGCCGATGTTGTTGTATTAAAAAATTACGTAGGGAATTTATTGAAGGTTATTCAGTATAACGATAGTTTGAAATATGATATTTGGAAGCTCATCATAGAATGTTGCATCAAATTGGATGTCGAATTACAAAACGATTTAGATGATTTGGATGACGAAGAAATTGATGAGTTGATAAATGGCGATGAAAATGACGATATTGATGATGAAAAAGATGATGATGATGACGATGATGATGATGATGATGACGATGACGATGATGACGATTCTGAGAGTGATTATGATAGTAGTGATGATGAAGGGCAAGAAGTTTATGCTCCTACTACTGATATCAAAGACGTTAAATCTCTAGTTTTCAAACTCGATGAGATACTAAATCTACTCATCGAACACACAGACAAAATTTTTGTAGGTGAAGAATTACCTGTAGAAGCCATGAACTTACATGTCATGTTTAAAAAATTATTTCAAAGTCACATTTTACCCACACATTTCACCAAATCCATTCAATTTTTAATATTTCATACCACACAATCTAACTGTACATTAGCTGAAGATTTCATAGTTTGTCTCACCAACATAATATTCAACCCCGATGGTGCATTGGAGAATAAATTGAAGTCCATGCAATATTTATCATCATTCATTGCTAGATCTCCGGTTTTGACTAAAGATCAAATCCTTGTGGTGGTAAGTTACTTAATAAATTGGCTCAATAATTATTTGGTTGAAAGAGAACACGAGATTTCAATCATTGGTAAAGGTGGAATGGAAAGATTCAAATTATTTTACTCTGTTTTTCAAGGATTAGTGTACATCTTCTGTTTCAGATATAAGATTCTAAATGTTAATGAAGATTGGGAATTGGACATTGACAAATTTTTCCAAAGAATTATCATAAGTAAGTTTAATCCCTTGAAATTCATAGATGAAACTGTTTGTTTCATTTTTGCTAAGATATCTACGAAATTGAATGTGTGTTACTGTTATTCTATCATCGAAAACAATAAAAGAGAAAAGATGATTAATAAGAACAATGCACCTCAAGTTCAAATGAACTTCAAACAGAAACAAGAATTTTTGGATTTACAAGGTTACTTCCCATTCGATCCTTTGGTATTACCCTCAACTAAAAGTAAGATCAACAAGAGATATATCGAATGGTCCCAAGTAAACCCAAATATTGACGATGATGAATTCGGTAGCACGGATGATGATGATTAGACATGATTGCATAATAAACATTTTAAAAAACAAATCTCTTTCTAATCCTTCTAGACGAACGCACCAAGACGATCCAGACGAATCGATACGAACTAAAATAAAAATATGAAAATAAAAAAAATGATTCTACCGAGGATCGAACTCGGGACCACCTCCGTGTGAAGGAGATGTCATACCGCTAGACCATAGAACCATTAGCATCCGACATTACGGATGAGACATTGATCATGTCAAAAATCCACAAATGCGACTTTTTGTTTATTTCAACGACTTTTTTGATTTTAGACTAACCCAACATTATCTCGTTAATGGATCTGACCTCAATTTTTGTGCATAAATCTGAAAAAATCCCATCTCTAATTGTACCATTACCCGTAGCGGGAAAACATTTACGCTGGTTTATATCTTTATATCTCACATTGTCTAAAATTATTGTTCAATGATTCACCCCACAATTTGAGAAACGAGTCATTTTAATCAGGTGGCAGATAAAAGATCTCCCAATCCTTTTCTCCATAATTGTAACGTTACATGGAAATGATGAAGATGTGGACAAAGTTTAATACAGAGATTGAATTCACCTTAGAGTTCATAAGTGATGAAGTCATGAATTTGACGGAGTAATGAACTCCTATCTCTCCAGGTAAAGTCATCCTAATTCTTCCGAGACAAAAGTATTCCGTCGAATTTTCCACACCAATGAACAATGCTGACGCCAATGGTGTATTTCACCTTTTTCAGAGTCACTTATTATCAATAGCATAATATGAATAACCGCCAAAATTCAACTCTTAACCAAGAATCTCCATAATTCATATTAATCCGATACGACAAATGCTGGCAATTAATTTCCGAGCCTTTTGGATTATTGAGTTCATCCTCTTTTTCTAACTTTTCTACAAATACCTACATACCAACAACGGATAGCGCAATCCCAAAGGCATCTATTACAATCTTAATACGGAGGGTACCGGTCCCCATTGAAGTCAAAATTAAAGGGAAAAGTGTTATGTCTCACTCGCGACACTGTCATCAGTTAAAAATTCTCAACTCTCAGTTCTTTCAACAATCATCATCCTTGATATTGTTACATAAATTTTCAATTTTTAAGTAACTAGGATACCTAATATGTCTCAGGAAATATTTACAGGTGGTGCTACTACTTCACAGCACATTGATGCCGAAGATGATGATCATTTTAATAACACAACCTTTCAATTAAAGCGAACAAGGTCTTTAGGTTTGTTGGATGAATTCATACCAAAATTAGAAACTGATGATGATAATCCATCTGCTAATGATGTCAATGACAAGATAAATGAAAAATTGAATGCCAAAAAGTCTCACGATAATGATAATGAAAATGAAAGTCAGTCTTCCATGGAAACTAACCTAAAAGATGACAAATATAGCCAAAGTCCTGAATTTGTACCTTTAGATGATAACGATATAGAAGTTGAACCATCATTTCATGTGGATTATTTCAGTCATCAATGGGATGTGGGTGATATTTCCAAATCTTGGAGGTACATTATTCAAAAGCGTAAAAATGTTGCTAACTCCGCAAGATTGGAGAATGCATCTTGGAGGACGTGGGCTCAAAGAAGATTGAATTTGAAAACTATTAATCCTGAAAAATTGAATTGGTCAAAAGAAAGTGATATCACCTGGTTATATGGACCCATCTTAAAAGATGAAGAAACCAATGACAATAATGATGACCCTCATCACAAACATTCCACAACTGCAACATCTGCTGTAGCTGGGGATATTTCCATACCTTCAAAAAACAGAGGAATCTTGAAGAAAAGGTCTGTTCAAGATACTATGATATCTCATGCTAATTTGGTCAAATTAGAAGCCATGGAAAACAGATTAAAATTGAAGAAGGAACAACAGCAGCAGCAATTGAGAGATCGTCGTAAAAAATTGGGTCACAAAAGGACCTCCAGTAATGAACCTCCGGAATTCGATGATTATGATGCCATTTCTGAGAAGTTAAATTCCCAATATAAATTCTCTTCAACTAGTTTGAAGGATATGGGCAATGAAAATAGCTCATTAAAATCATCATTAAAATCAAACAATAATTCACAGAGTTCTTTCAAATCACCTGAAATCAGCTCATCCCAATTAGAATCATCAGATTCAGTGGACAAAAAGTCAAGGCATATCCATTTCAACACTGAAGTTCAACAATGCATTGCTTTAGATATGGATAATGATAACAATGATTATGATGATGACGATGATTATGATGATTATGATGACCTTGATGATGAGTCCAATGACTATGCTCAAAAGAGTTATATTTATACCAATGATGATGACGAAAATGATGATAATGATGATGACGAAGACGATGATGATGAAGATGGTGGATTTTTCTTGAAAGTAAGGTCTCCTTCGTCATCCAGTTTAGCTCCTCAATTCAAATTAAAGGAATTCGAACCTTCTCCGCCAACTATATCACAAAAAACTGACGATACAGATTCTATATCGACAAATAACTCCAAAACTTACAGAACTATTCAAATTTTACCATCAACTAATATCAATTGGGGCTCAGATGATGACACTAGCGATGAAGAGAATCCTTACACATCTTCTCTTTCCCATAATGTTAATAACGGTACCTCCAGAGGATACGATTATTATTATGATTATAATACCGTTTACACTATGGATGATAAAGGTATATTTCATCAACCTCATGAAGATTCACCTGATGTGGTTGATTTGCCTGAAGATTTGGCTAATTTCCTGAATTTCGATAATGTCCCTGTCATGGATAATAATATCATCATCCAAAATAACTATAATCAAAACCATCAAAGTCAAGGGTCAAGTAACGAAGTCACAAATAAAAGTAATGAATCTAACATAGTCAAAGGGAAAGGAACATTCAATCTAGATGATTCTGATGATTCCGATTCTGATTCCGATGAAGGTTTATCAATTGCTACTAGATCATCATCTCAATCATTAGCTCATCAAGTTTATGAATCAATGACACCTCATGAAAATCAACCAATTAACGATAATTTAGCATCAATTAATCCTCGACATTCATCAACTGGTCTTTCCAAACAATCCACATCTTCCAATTCTTTATCGGGTCAATTCTTCGGTACAACTAATATAAATAATGATTTGTCTTCACAATTTTTTGGAACTGGTAGTCCGAATCAATCGAGTGGCATAGGAGTTGGTAGAACATCACCTTTACCTCCTACCACCACGCAAAAAAATATTTTGGGGAGTGGATTCAAATTTGGTGACGACAGTGATGATGAATATGTTGAAGATGTAAGTGATTAAGTGTAAATATAGAGGTTGTTTCCTATTCTAGTTCAAATTCTGGTTAGTCTCTCAAATTCCCCGTGCGCTCTCAACGGTCTTGCTGCAGATGACATCGCAATGTCGCGATAATCACTCATCATTATGATAACCCTTAAAGATGATGATAACAAGTGTGAACTAATTGGTACTTTTTCGTTGTTGACTCAAGCATCCTTGGGCTTATTATGTTTATCTTCATTGATTGTCAAGAGATATTATGAGTGGCCCAATCGTAGAACTTGGAAGATTTGGTTTTTCGATGTAAGCAAACAATTATTTGGTGCATTTGGAGTTCATATAGTTAATGTTATGTTATCGATACTAAAGACCAAGAAAGATCCTTCTACAACTATAGATGGTGATAGTGATGATGGAAGTGGTGGTTGGGAAACCGACGATGACGATCCTTGTAATTGGTATTTCCTCAATATTGTCTTTGATTGTACTGTAGGAGTATATATATTGTATTGGGTTTTTAAAGGATGTAACCATATATGTAAGAATTATTTCCATATGACAAAAATAAAGTCAGGTGAATATGGAGATCCTCCAAGTCTTGTTGCATATTTCAAACAATTATCAATTTATTTCACATCTTTGATGATCACTAAAGTCATATTGTTTTTTGCCATGAACATCTTCTCGTTACAGTTGGTTTGGATTACTAGCCACATCCTTTTGGGATGGTTGGATGACTATCCTGATGAGTTGGAAATTTTTATTGTCATATTTGTTGTACCAATCTTCATGAATTGTCTTCAGTTGATTTTAGTGGATAACATCATCAAGAATCCATACTTCACTAGAACAATAATAGAACCAGCCCCAGAAGACTTGGAAAATCCTAATAAGATTTACGGTTCCATAGAAGATAGTTAAGCTCATATTTATTTACATCTATTTACAGTTGAATTTTAATACATAATTTTAGAAGTTTTCTGGATTCTGGGATCGAACCAGTTTCTCGACCTCCTATTTACCTTCTTGCTGTTGCTGGTAGATTTAAGCAATCTCGAATCCATAACCTTTCATACAAACTTTGTACTTTGAAATAATGTCATCACATTTTCCGCTGTCTTGACCGTTCTTCAACAAACAAGCGTCTCTAACTTTTTTCTCGTCAAGGCATACACAACAAGGTTTTGGTTTATTTTCGGTGGTTCCACTCATTATTTTACTTTCTTATTAGGCTATTGCAAGATTTCAATATCTGGTGCTTACTAACAGGTGATTGAAGTTATTTTCGCGAGCCAAGTTCGCGAACAGTAGTTGGAGATAATAATGGATCTGCTAGAACCACCGACTGAAGGTGACCATAAATTATCAATTGATTTGAATGATGATTTGAATGATGATTTGGCTGGTTCAGATTATTCGGGATCAATTATCTCACACCCTTCAACTCAAAGAGCGAATCAAAAAGTCAGGAAAAAGAACGGTACAAACTCCATAAGAACCTCAATAGATGATTCGTTTCTGTCTTCGATGTTCTTTCAGAACATTCATGATGAAAACTTTCAAGACAATGAGTTCAGTCCTTTGGGAGCCAACTCAATCTATGAATTGACTATTGCAAGTGATTTGAGCAGAGAAAGAAAACGTACAACTAAATATCAAGTAACTTTGAATGGTGGAAATAATGTCATTTATAACGTGAAAACTCCCACTACGAAAGAAATTCCTCCCATAATACTAGAGAAAATCGAAAAACCTGATAAAGAGGGTTTACAGAAGATTTTGAATGTCAGTGATGAATATAAAAAATTCGATAATACCAACAAATTGACCATTGATACTTTACAACAATTCAACCGAGATTTTAATGAGTCTCCCAGAAGTGACACCTCAATCAATGAACTAGATTTGATTGTGAAAGACACAAACGAAGCCATCCCTGAAGTGTTCTCCCAAACAGATTTCAGATTAGATGATCCAAGAATTTTCAATAAAGTGATTGGGAACTTTGAAGTTGATAATGAAGTCAGTAACTTTAACAACAATCTTCAAGATGATTTGTCTCATTATCTAGATTTAGTTGAGATTTCCTTGATCAATGAGATATCCAAGTCTTCCGATTCATTCTTCAATACAATCGATGATATCAAATTAATTCAATTACTGAGCAATGACAATGTCACTCAATTCGAGAAAGTGAAGAACCAGATGGAATCATTGAAATCAACCAACAGCCAAGGGTTGAAAATTTTGCATCTTTTAGAAAAGCGTAATGAAGTAGACGGTTTGGAGAATGACATCGTTAATTTATCGTTTGTTATGAAAAAATACGATAAAGCAAAATCTCTTTATGGAGAAGATTCCAACAAGTGTTTACAAGAGCTTTTGAATGTGGAAAAGATGATCTTTGACTATAATTTCAATTCTCTTCCAGGTTTGTTCAATTTGCAAAACGATCTCCAAGTGTTGAAGAATCAATGTTCTAAGAACTACATGAATGATTTCGTAGACTTACTTTTGAAAGATTTGAAGAACCATTACCAAAGTGCTCCCCCGAATGACTGCCTTGAACGTCTTTACAGCAAGAAGAAACAGCCATCTTACCCATATCAAGTAATGGACCAAACACTCAAGGATGAGTTATCTGGTTATATTGAGATGTTGATCAAATCGAAACATTTGATTGATGCTTTCCTGGTTTATCAAGACAAAATAATAGCAGAGGTTAAAGATATCATTAAGATCAATTTACCAAAATCTGAAGTCCCGTCAAGATCTTCTCTGGTCCCTTTGGAAACTACAAATTCAGTCTCCGGTAATAATGCAAACGAACCATCTTTGACCAATAGTTTGAAGGGTTTAACACCACTGGAATTTGAAGAAATGTTAATCAAAATCTTCACTCAATTATCTGAGTGTTTAAGGAGACTCACCGTTCATGCTAAAGTTTTGTTGGATTTGTCATTGAGTAATTTAACTGAAGATTTGGATGTCATGTCTTTGGATCTAACAGTGACAATAAATAAGGCCATCGAATTGACCCAATTAAGATTGTCCAAAATCATCAATGTAAGATCAGAACAAATTGCAGATTTGGCTCTTCCATTTTACTTATCATTTTATTCCATTGTATCTGTTTATTTACAAGAATGTGAATTGATCAATCCCGGATATCTTTTGAGTGGTGCTGGTAGTTCTTTGAATGACTGGGTGAAAAATCATAGTAATTACTTTGTACATAGATTTCATCTGAATCATTTGAAAGCAATCAGTTCTGATATTGATAAGGAAATATGGAAAGAAGTGGGTAATCTCAGACACTCACAAACCCTCATTCAAAGAATTGTTGATGGGGAAGATAATTCCAATTACTTAGAATATCCTTTCAAGTATCATGACGAGAGTCAAAGGGATGCAGATCCACTCGAAAGATTGACTATCCTTGAAGAATCATTCATGGTGCCAAATTCCATCAAGTTAGTGGTTGAATCGGTTCATGATTATATTGTCATTGGTTCTATTTTCACTCATCATAATAAGACTATTGAAAATAATATACTTAATTTCTTCAAACTAGTCAATTCAAAAATTTTACAGTCAGTTTTGAATGCGGGTGCCACTCGTACTGCTGGTTTGAAACACATCACCACCAAGCATTTAGCTTTGACAATTCAAACAATAGAGTGTCTATTGAAATTCATCGAATTAGTAATGAACAAATTCGAAAGAAATAATGAAGGGGATATAACATTCAGTAAGATATTCGACCTTTACAAGGACCATGAATCACAATTGAGCACCAAATTGGTGTCTATAATGTATGATAGAACAATCAATCACTGTCAGAGCATCTCCACTATTGACTGGTCCCAACCTTTACCTGATCCTCAACTGCAATGTCATAAATATATGGAAGTTTTGGTTAAAGAAACATTAACTGTTTCAAAAGTTTTGGTAAAGTACTTGTCATCTGTAAAATACTCCATCATTTTGAGTGAAATATTCAATAATTACAAAGTTTTGTTAACTGATGCTTACAAGAACTTGCCACAATTTAATGATTTCAACGAAAAGTACTCCGTATTGAAGGATATTGATTATTTAAGAGTCAAATTGTTGGAAGTCCCTGGCTATAATGAAGTGGGTTCGGTAATTTGGGAGAATGTCAACAACCTCCCAACCATTGAGGACACTAAAATGGACAAGATTATGAGGAATAATATCGAACAGTCAAGAAACACTGAGGTCTTGTTCGAGACACCCAAGGAAGAGGAGCCACACAAGGAGGCTGCAAACCCAGAACCCACGAAACAAATCAACGAAGAAAAGTTGGCCATCGATGATAGTAAAGAGAAATTTGAGACTACTAAGCCTGAAGAACTTGAGAACATTATTGAGCAGGAGATACTACAAGCCGAATTACAGGAAAAACAATCAGCAGCTGAAGATCTTGGTAATGTCACTATAAGTTCTATCAACATGAAATCTGAAAGCCCCGGATTGGATGAAACTATTGGGGAATCAATCGAAAAAGTAGACTCCCAAAATGTTGGTGAAGATAATGCAAGGAAAATGCTTCCTGCGTCGGGTGAGGAAGAGAATAGAAAATTTGGGCCAGACGAAGGTATCAGTAAACTTCCGGAGCCGGAGTCCAAGTCTGAGTCTGAGTCTAAGCCAGAACCCGAGTCTAAACCAGAACCCGAGTCTAAACCAGAACCAAAGGCTGAAGTGGAAGAACCAAAGGCTGCCAATGCACAGACGATCGAAGCTGAAGATACTGTAGAAGAAGGAAAATTTTCAATTGAGAAAACTTCCAGTGTGGTTCTGGGTGCTCAAGGATCTCCTTCTGCTACGTCAGAAAATGACACAAAACAAGAAGCAGGTGTGGAACATGAAAATAATACCGTTGAGAAATCCGCTCCAGGAACTGACACAGTTGACGTGCCCGAATCTTCTAAGGGATCTGAAACTCACACGAAAACTAAAAATGACACATCTACGCCAATTGAAAAGGAGGCCAATAATTTGAAACCCGAAGTCAAACCCAAGAACAAGAAGTCTCCAAAGAAGAGGAAAAAGAAAAATAAATAGATTTATAGCATTAATTCAAAGTAAATTTACCGTTCTCCTTCACGAAGACCTTAGGCAACTCTGTGACAATACCGTCTATCAAAGAATGAGGGGTGACATCAAAAGCAGGATTCCAAACTTGAATTCCTGGGGTAGCAATTCCTACAACAACCTTATCTCCCACTTGATCATTGTCGACTATAGGACCTTTCAAAGTGGTTAATTCATGAGAAGGTCTCTCCTCGATGACAATATCTTCACCAGTTGAGGTATTGTAGTCGACAGTGGTTAAAGGTGCAGCAACAAGAAATTTAATCTTTTGATGAGATCCAGTCGAATTGAAAAACGATGCAATAGTGGATAATTGGAAAGTCCCAATTTTATTAGCGGTATCACCATTGGCTACAACTCTATCGGCACCAACGATGATGAATTTAACGGGGCTTTTATTTTCTTTAACTGAAACAGGAGAAGGAGAATTCAAATTATTAATCAACGAAGAAGCCATGTTGTCACAAATCAAAGTGAAAGGGATCTTTTCGTAGTTGAGTTCATAAGTTGTTAATTTGGCACCTTGATTGTAAGGTCTTGTTTCACACGGATATACATGGTCCAAAAAGAATTCTTCTTTGGTGTTGGATTCATTCAATTTTTGATAAACAGATCTAATGATCCCTAAAGCAGTTCCATGACCAGAAGTTGCAAGTGATCCTGTGTTACAAATAGTCATAATTGAAAAAGAACCCTTAAAATTTTCCTGTTTCAAGGATTCGATGATGAAATTCAAACCATTTTCTCCAATAGTTTTATTGTTGGCTAAATCGTCATCGTATAACTTCACAGCGTAATCAAAGATCTTGGATTCGATAGTTTCATCTATAGTAGCTGCTTTGTAAGGAGTTATTAAATCTAATATTTCGTTACAAGCATTCGAAAGATTGACGGCTGTTGGTCTTGAAGTGATAAGGTAATTAATCCTCTCTATCAAATGGTCCACAGATTTCCCCTTCAAATTATGAGTAACATCTACTGCAATACTAAATGATCCAACGATTGCAATAGCAGGTGCTCCTCTGACTTGCATTTTTTTGATAGCATCATAAGCATCTTCGATATTTGAAATATCAATATAGTGAGTCTGATATGGTAACAATAGTTGATCTAAGATCTCCAAGCTGACATTTGATCTGTCGAACTTGATGGCTTCAAGAGTTTGATTCATGTTAATTTTTTCCGCAGCGAAAACGTTGGTTGCAAAAAAGTGTGGATCAACTGTAAGGTTTAGGTAGGTTTCCGGGTATTAAACAGAACCATACCAGACATAAGAGAGATTGAAGAGCATTGTCTTATATATTAGAATATGACTTTTCTTATGTTGTTGATTTCCCATTCATTTTTTAATTCGTTCCATTTACATCCTAAAAGCTTGACCCCTGTGATAGGACATCTACCACCTTTGGTGATATCTATACCTTTATTTTCATCCTTGATCTTTCCCTCTTTTTCTGAATTGTCACCTTCTGCCTCTTCCTCACTATCATCATCTTCACTATCACTCAAAGCATTTCTTCTAGCTTTGGCTCTTTCGCCTATAATCTTGTGGGAATTTGATAAATAATTATAAATACAAGTGTAACAAAACACATACCCAGTTTCGATTACAGCTGGGTTATTGATCTCTTCGTGACATAAAGGACATTTATCTCCTGATTTATAAACTTTTTTTACCGTTTTCTCATCAGATAAGGAAGTTATGGGAACCACAGTGTTGGGAGGTGGTAAGACTTTATCTAAATGATCTGATTTTTTCAATTGTTGGCTGAATTCACTGCCATTCCACCATTCTAAGAACTTCAATGAAAATATAGCCACTGGGAAGAATGTTCCCAATATCAATTTCAAAGATCTCAATATTGGCCTTGAAAAATATTTCATCAAGTATTTCAAAATCAACTCTTGACTGGTAGGAGGATTTACTCTGGTGGGTTTCTCATGGGGAGCTTTCAAGTTATCGTGTTCTTGATAATCATGTTGATTCAAACGAGAATAGTTTATTCCGAATAAGAAAGTTAATAATGAAGGGGACTTGGATCCATTCAAATAACTCAATAAGGCAATGAAATTACCTAGCTTCACTACACTTTGAATGTATGGGAATATCTTGACGAACCAAATTCTTATTTTCATTCTTATCTTTTCGTATTGGTCCATATCATCTGTTATATTCAATTGATTGGTGATGAACTTGGGGTGTAATAATTCATACCAGTAGTTCAACTTCTCACTGATGTAAGAAGTCCCTGTAACTTCGAGTATTGACACCCATATCTGTATGTTGGAAAGTTTCCGTCTGTCTTCTAACATCAGTGGTGATAATTGAATCAATTTACTGGTCTTGATTGGAGTCTTGTTCACCCGTTTTAAACCGTAGAAATTTTCAGTAAAAGAACCATGCCAATATTTCATGAAGTACCATTCAATGAATGATCTGAAAAATAGATTGATTTCATCAAAATTATTCACTACTTTGAGTAGGTAATATGGATACCTCGAAGCATAATGAACAAGAATATACCTCAAAGAAGGAGATAAAAGCGACTCCAATTGATTGGAAGATATAATTTCAAACAAAGTTGGAGTCTCTGAATCTAGCTGTGAAGCGTCAAGAGACGAATAATATTCCATTTTGTTTAATTTGTTTCACTTCAATGACTGCCTGTGATCGCGCTGGGGTAAAAAAGTTCCTCGCTCTATATTTTATGTCGCTCAGGTGTCGTCCCCTTTTCTTCTATCTATACGGGGGTATAGAGCTACCAGGAGGTCTAATGAGGTGATCCTTATGGGCTCTTTTGAAATTCTACGGGATGTTGTTTGTGAGGATACTGAGTCCATGGAAATATTGCTGCAAAAGACCTAAATTCGAAATATTCAAATCCAGGAAATGTATGTTGACTTGAAATACGATCCAGATTGTGAAGCACGGTCAATTTCCGATAACCCAGATCATGCAAGAACGTAGAATTACTTCTGTCCATCGACTGTTTAAGTTCTGTATCATAGTGCATCTGTCGACGGTACTCTAAATCTATCGAAAAGCCGCACTCAAATCTGGGGTATGAAGACTGTTGATGACTATACAAAGGGTATCAGGAAGGAAGTACTAGAATTATATGGAGTTCCTGACGGCAAAGAGTTTAAGAGAATAAATAAACTTCTATATTACCATGGAGAGGCTACAATTCTCTTTGGAGATTCTCCCTTGACGTTTAATGTGATAGATAACCACATTGACGTTCACTCCCTGTCACAGGTTAGCACAAACACAAGTGATCCTTTCAAACCATTGGAGTCTGATGTAGAGTTTGATCTGAACATGATTTCATATAATTCCTTTAGTAAAGAACCTTTTTCTGACGAGATAATAAGTGAATCATCAGAACCTGAAGTTATAGAGTCCGAACGCACATAGATTTGACGAATTTCATTTATAACATAAATATATTAAGCTAAAAATTTGATACCATCCATCTCAACTAAATTGTAGTCCAATTTGAATCCAAATTTGATTTGGAAGTCCCAGCTTTTTAAGTCGAACACTTGGTAGTCTGATTCATTGATGTTCTTGAACCAATATTCGAATCTTTCAACATTATACTTGTCGGTACTTTGCTTTATGTTGTAAGGTCTCCAACCCAACTGGAAAAGATACTTTTCTGCCAATAAATTCTCCAAAGGTGTTATACCATAATAAAACCCGAAAAATAAAGTTGAAGTTAATATATTGATCTGTTTCCAGTCTGATTGAGAAGCTGACAAACCGTTGATCTCTTCTATCAACTGCTCGAACTCATTGTTTCCTCTGATTGAATTCCACTTCCATGCATATTTAGATAAATCTATTTGATTCTTATATTTGGAACCTTGGTAATTCAAATAACTCCCTTGAACAGCCGAGGGTAAATATGGCTTCGAAATTGTTGACATAAGCGTTTTCCCACAAAGGGTGTTATTGTTACTTGGTTTCAACAACTGGTGTGATCCATTTGCAGCTGTGAATGAAAATATCAAATTTTGGATTCCAGGAGGTAATTTTACCATTGAATCATCACTAAACAAACTCTTTTCGTGATTGGAAAGTTCTGACTGTTCAAAAACGGAAGAAAATTCTGAATCGAGGACCACTTGATCTTGTGACGAAATGTTTGATTCTTTTGAGCTAGATTGTTGAATTGGAGTAGTGGAGTCGGTCTCAGAGCTGATCACAGTTGTGACTGCATTGTTCGGTACTGCTGAGGTAGGAGCTGAGCTTGAATTTGATACTGGACTTTGACTTGTTCCATTGATAGAAGAAGCAGCTATTGAAGACCAAGTTATTTCGCCCACTTTAGCAGGAGTCGATGCTGGTTTCAATTTATGAACAATGTCAGGGCTGGATACATCTATTTTATCAGATTTCTTTGGTGTTGAAGGTGAAGGGGATTTTGATTTCTTGGTCTGGGAAGATGATACCACTCTTGATCCGGGAGTTGATGAGGGCGGCACTTGGGCAGAACTTGATGGTGGGGCCGTAGAAGGGGCTGTTGAACTGGCAGTATTATTATTGGTGGAATTTGCACTAGTATTGACACTGGCGGTTTCAGGATTGACTAAGATTCCATCATTTTCGTCCTTTGGTTTATACTTGAAGTTACTTTCAGCTTGTTGGTTGATTTCATCATATAAAGTGTCATCATTTATGAAATCTGGGTCTTGGTTACTTTCAATGATGAAAATGATATCTTCTTTGATCTTTTCCACCAACTCAGGATCAATCTGGTTGGACTTCAAGTGATCTATTATATTGTCAAAGTTTTCCAAATGAAATCTGTCAATAGATAAGAAATTTTCAAGTTCCATCTTCTCGGATTCATGAGAACTATTCTTCTTCGATCGCTTACTGCTGATTTTCTCATATTCTGCTTCTAATGCCTCGATTTGTTCGTTTAATTGCTCTTTGGATTCATGGAGGAATTCAATCATTTCAATAGCTAAAGGTGTCAAATCGTTTGTCTCCAAACTGGCCATCATAATACTTTGATTGGAGAAGGTTTTCATTTTGGAGTTCTTTTCAACTTCTTTGTATTTTTCCATGGCATATTCCACTAGTTTCCTGTTTTCATTCAACTTAGATCTATCCACCACAGCTTCGATGGTTTCATTACTCTGCCAATTCTTGATCATTTCTCTGTGCTTTTGTAACTTTTTGATCTCTCGTTTGAGGTCAGTTTCTAGTTTGTCCTTCTGACTTTCAAGATTTCTATCTAGCACTTGATTATTCAAATCTTGGATTCTGTCATAGTGATAATTAAAGGAATCTAGCCCTTCATTGATCTTTTTAAAAGTACTCTCGATTTCCCTACATTAGTTAGTATATTGATTCAGCAATCTAAAAGGGCAATTATGGGGCAGAAATCTCTACATTCTATGTCAAGAAAAACTGCTGGTTCGTAGGGCAACTCAATATAAGATCATTGCGGTTGTATCTCCCTATATGTAGCATAAAGCCTATATAAAGATGACATCAGGTACACTTTTTGCATGATATAAGCACATTCAAAAAGTGTCAGAAATTGGTTCAAAATGTCCCTATACGCCAATTATACTATTCTTCACCTATATGTAGGATATTCTGGCTCTACATCTACCCATTATAGTCATATATACATACTTTTGCAACTTCCTGGAACTCATGATACCTGTGGAAAAATTTTCGTCGGTGAGCATCATGTGACCTATGGTTGCAAACTTGTACAATAGGTGCCAAACATATATCCTCTTTGTGGCCGTGATCAATTCAGTCTCCCTAATATACTTTCTGACAAGTCGAAGTTCCTGAAATCTTTAACCCCATCAAGATCATTGTTTTACCCAACAATACAGTGAATTGAGATTATTCAGGGTCCTTTTCACCCCAGCTTAAATCCAAAAAATATTTGACTTTCTAGTAATGCTATTTTATGCTTTAAAGTTATCGTCTGTGGTTATCTGTCGGTCCTTAAATGCTTATATTTTTTTTGTCAATATATTTATTGTCTGTTTTTAGAGAGCTTTAGAAGTGTAAAATTTGCAACTTTTATTCAAAAATATGGAAAAAAAAAGATATGTAAAAAAAAAGACAAAATAAAATAATGTACAATAAAGAGACGAAAAGATTATCTAAATCTTATATATTAGGTTTATACAGCGATTATAATTCATCGTGATCGAAATCATCATCACTATCATCATCACCAAATTGCGCACCAGCTCCTGAATCACCACCGTAAAGTTTGGCAGTAATTGGATTAGCAATATCGATTAATTTTTGTTTTTGTTCTTCAAATTCTTCAGAAGTAGCAGTATCAAAGTTATCTTCGATAAATTCTAATGATTCTTTGACAGCATCATCTAAAGTTTCTTTGTCATCATCATCTAATTTGGAACCAAGACCGGTTTCAGAAGAATCACTGAGTTGGTTCTTCAATAAATGACAGTAGTTTTCTAAAGAGTTTCTGGCTTCGATCTTAGCTTTAATTTCTTGATCTTGTTCAGCAAATTCTTCAGCTTCTTGGACCATTCTTTCGATATCTTCCTTTGATAATCTACCTTTATCGTTGGTGATAGTAATACTTTCACTCTTACCAGTACCTTTGTCACTAGCTTCAACCTTCAAAATACCATTGGCATCTAAAGAGAAAGTGACTTCGATTTGTGGAACACCTCTTGGAGCTGGTGGAATACCAGTTAATTCGAATTTACCTAATTTGTTGTTATCTTTAACTAAAGATCTTTCACCTTCGTAAACTTGAATTAAAACAGTTGGTTGATTATCAGCAGCAGTTGAGTAAATTTGAGATTTCTTAGTTGGGATAGCAGTATTTCTGTTAATTAAGGTTGACATAACACCACCACTGGTTTCAATACCTAAGGTAATTGGGTTAACATCTAATAAAACAATATCTTCAACACCATCTTCACCACTCAACACACCGGCTTGAACAGCAGCACCATAAGCAACAGCTTCATCTGGATTGATACCTTTTGAAGCTTTTCTACCATCAAAGTATTTTTCTAATAATTCTTGAACTTTTGGAATTCTGGTTGAACCACCGACTAAAACAATATCATCAATTTCTGATTTTTTAACACCAGCATCCTTTAAGACAGATTCAACAGGTTTTAAAGTTTTCTTGAATAAATCAATGTTTAATTCTTCGAATTTAGCTCTGGTAATAGTTTCAGAGAAATCAATACCATCAACAAAAGAATCAATTTCAACACGGACACTCATTTGAGATGATAAAGTTCTTTTAGCCTTTTCAGCTTCTCTCTTTAATTTGGCATGAGCTTTCTTGTTACCTGAGATATCAATATCATGTTTCTTTTTGAATAATTTAGATAAGTATCTAACTAATTTCAAATCAAAATCTTCACCACCTAAATGAGTATCACCACTAGTAGCTAAGACTTCGAAAACACCACCTTCAATAGATAATAAGGAAACATCGAAAGTACCACCACCTAAATCATAGACAACGATTTGTTTTTCTTCGTTAGTTTTATCTAAACCGTAAGCAATAGCTGCAGCAGTTGGTTCGTTAACAATTCTTAAAACGTTTAAACCAGCAATAGTACCAGCATCTTTAGTTGCTTGTCTTTGAGCATCATTGAAGTAAGCTGGAACGGTAACAACAGCATGAGTAACTTTATTACCTAAGTAATCTTCAGCAATTGATTTCATTTTAGTTAAAATCATACCTGAAATTTCTTCTGGGGAAAAAGTCTTTGATTCACCTTTGAAATCAACATTAACAACTGGTTTACCACCTTTGTTGGAGATTTTGTAAGGTAATGATTTGATTTCTTTTTGAACAACTTTATCATCATATTTCAAACCAATTAATCTTTTAATATCATAAATAGTGTTGGCAACATTTGATGGAGCTTGATTTTTAGCAGCATCACCAATTAATCTTTCTTCTTCATTAAAGGCAACGAATGATGGAGTAATTCTATTACCTTGATCATTAGCTAAAATTTCAACTTTACCATTTTTCATAACCCCAACACATGAATATGTGGTACCCAAATCGATACCAATAACTGTACCATAACTTTCTTCTTCTTCAATGGCTTGGACACCAATTGATTGGTTGATGAATGGTAATACTATCAATAACGATAAGTATATTAACGATATGTAAGATACTAATTTTGGCAACATTGTCAAAAAATTTTTCAAAATTTATCCAAGATTGATCGTTGATTTTTCAGCTTGAGGTCGTCGATTTATAAATTATCAAAAAGTCGTTGAACACGTCAATTTTAGTCCAATTTTAGATTCTTAGAATGTCGCGGAATTTTCCATGATTTTGTGATAATTTAGGGAGAGATGTTCGCGAGACTGGTGGGACCTATGCCACGAGGCTAATGAGACCGGACATCGGGTCCATAGTTTTGGGTAAAGGGAATTTTTGATTTGGAATTTGAGCTCACCAGTTGGAAATACTCTTTCGATACTAAAATCATTAAACCAGGAGAATCATTCCGACGATTTGGCCCAGGTGAGAGTATTTTCTCTATATTGCTATGCACTGTGGCCAGTGCGGCTGATAAGCGTGAATGGGACTAAGCTTCACCGCACAGTCGGTGAGAAATCGCGGAGGAACCAAATATGGACACATCTGGAATGAGAATTTCGCACAATCGTCAAGGGTCAAAGTTAACCATGACATTTATCACTGATGAATTAAATCAATTGCAAAACGAAATCATATCAAAAAATCCTGTTGATATAATTCAGTTTTGTGCAAATTATTTCAATGCCAAATTAGAATTGCAAAGATCTTATTTGTGGCAACAGCAATCAAAGGCTAAATCCGCAGGTATTAATTTATTCCCCAATATTGAAAATGTTAATATGTCCAGTCCAATAGTTAATAATAGACAACCAAGTTTCAAGAGTCCTTTCAATGACAGTGACCCACATCATCCCGTTTCAAAATTTGATGATAATGATCCAACTTCAATCCCATCCATCCCTCCATCATTTTCCAAATCTAATGAATCTCCAGGTATGAGTTCTGGTCCTTTCAAACTGTCAGTTAAAGAAGGTATCATATTCAAAGATAGTACTAATGACCCTAAAGATATGGAGGTTGATCACGACCCAATGGATCCAAATGCTATCGGTCCAATTTCCGAAGAAGGTGATCCAATGACTACCACCACTAAACCAAAACCTTTAACTAACAGCAAAATTCCTATTAATTTCAATGTAAACAGAAGAATTTCCGTTTCTGCTGAAGCATTAAATCCAGATAATTTTAAGTCTGATGATTGGAAACCCCCAACTAATGATTTAACTCCTAGTCAAAGAAATGAATTATTTAAGAGTTTATCATCAAATTTCTTATTCCAGAAATTAGATATTAGTTCTCAAAAAACCGTTGTTTCAGCATTAACTAAGAAAAGTTATAAGAAAGGTGATGAGATAATCAAACAGGGTGAAGAAGGTGATTATTTCTATATCATTGAAAATGGTTCAGTTGAGTTTTATGTTGATAATATTGAAAGAGGCAGTGCCAGTGAAGGTTCATCATTCGGTGAATTAGCTTTGATGCATAATTCTCCAAGAGCTGCAACAGTGTTAGCAGCTTCAGAAGTTGTGAATTGTTGGGCATTAGATAGATTAACTTTCAGAAGAATCTTATTAGAAGGTACTTTCAATAAGAGAATCATGTATGAAAATTTCTTGAAAGAAGTCAAAATCTTAAAGAACTTGAACAATCAAGAAATCAGTAAATTGGCTGATGCTTTGACCACCGAAATCTATCATGCTAATGACAAAATTGTTGTAGAAGGTGAAAAGGGGGAAAATTTCTATTTCATCGAATCAGGTAATTGTGAAGTTATTAAGAATGGTGATGTCGTCAATAAATTAACTAAAGGTGATTATTTTGGTGAAATCGCTTTATTAAATGACTTACCAAGACAAGCTACAGTAATGGCTCAAGATAACGTTATTGTTGCAACTTTAGACAAGTCAGGATTCCAAAGATTATTAGGTCCTGCTGTCGACATCTTAAAAAGTAATGAACCTGAACATCAATAGGATTATTTGCCATAGACTGGTCTTTTGAATTGATAATTTTGTATCTTCTCTCTATGTCTCTTTACTGAAACTTTCGCATTCGATCTCGTTTAGAAAATTCTCAAAATCAGATCACAATTTATAATGGTATTTGAAACTTTGTTACCTTTGTCAAAAGGGTACTTACCATCATGGTTATTCTTCATTTCAACATTGTCAGTGTTCAATTCTGTTCAAACATATTTCTCGATGGATTTATCCAAAAAAGTTTATAGTAATTCTAAAGATATTACTCCGTTATCAGTCAGAACATTTGGAACCTGGACTTTCATCACCAGTATCGTTAGATTGTATGGTAGTTGGTACACCACTACCCAACCAGTATACGATCTCTGCTTATGGAGTTTCATAGTAGCTTCAGGTCATTTCAATTTAGAATGGTTGGTATACAAGAATTGTAAATTCGATAAGGGTTTAATGGGTCCTTTCATTGTATCTACTGTTTCAATTATTTGGATGATTTCACAAAGAGACTTCTATTTAAACTAAGCTCTCGATGTACATAACATATATATGATAAATCAATACTAAAGTTATAAGGTCACGTGTCTCTTTTTCTTCTGGGCTGATTCAAAGCTCTTGATCTAATGTTGATCTTCCCCAAGAAACGTATCACGAAGAACACCGGTGAATTTTATACCGGTGGTGATTTCTTAACTATGGCAGAATTGCTATTTGCCGGTTTTCCAACGGGATAGCGAAAATTATACGGAGCATCCTTCGGAATACATCCGTACACCCATACTTAAATCATGTTTGAGCAATTCAAATGTCACTCAAAGTGAGCTTTTCCCAACGGAGCAGCCGTGGACACGATAAGAATTCTGATAATGTGGGTTCAAAAAATGAACATATAAATTGATCTGAAATCCTTCATCAAACCCAAAATTAATTCAACATGCATTCAGATTCAATTCATATTTCTCCATTAGAACATAAGTTCGGTTGTAAGGTCGATTTACCAAAGTACTGTAATAATGATCCTATCAATTTAAATGATGATGATTTTAAACAATTATTTGAAGCTGTTCATAAATATTTAGTCGTTGTTATTCCAGGATTAGAAGAGTTAGCTCCAAAATCCCAATATTTGTTAACCAAAAGATTTGATCCATCTATTCCAGAACCAAAAGCTGAAGGCTTTGCAGGTTATGGTCATGGTAAAGAGTTCAGACACGAACAAAGTGTTTTAAGAAAAGATGGTACTACTGTCAAATCACAACCTCAAGTTCAAATTTTAGGTCAAGGTGTTTTCGAAGCTGATGAACCTGGTAATGAAAACGGTGAACAAATTTCATTAACCCATCCATCACATACCAGTTTCCACAAATCCCCTTTGACTGAGGATCAAATTAAAAATGAACATAAAACAAGATATTACAGATGGCACATCGATTCAGCCTTATACGAATTATCACCACCAATGGTCACAACTTTATTAGGTATTAAAGTTCCACCATTGACTAAAACCAACACCATTTCATATGGTGATAATGAAGATCCATCTAAGGAAACTACCAAAGAAGTCGCTCAAGGTGCCACTTGTTTCGTCAGTGGAGCTGAAGCATTTAAAAGATTAAGTGACGAAGAAAAGGAATTTGCTTTAAATACCACCATTGAATATGCACCACATCCATATATTTTCATTTCTCCTGCCAAAGCTACAGCTGACGGTTTGACTATGGTTAGTGAGGGTAAAGAACTTCCTTTCGATAAATTACCTGAATGGGAACAATCAAAGGTTAAATTCTTACCAATGGTTTGGACTAACCCTGTTACCAAGGAACATCATTTACAAATCCACGGATGTTGTCTTTTCAAACTTCACACTAAATTAAATGGTGAAACCACCACTTTAACTTTGGAACAAAGTAGAGAAAAGGTCCACTCTTTAATGAGACCAGCTATTGAACCAGAAAATGTTTTGGCTCATGGATGGAATCAAGGTGATTTAGTTATTTTCTTCAACAGAGGTGTTTGGCATTCTGTCACTGGTGAATTCAAAGGTGTTAATCAAGGAGCTGATGAAAAGAGATTGATGCACCAATGTAATATTGCTAGTGGAGCTGATCCAAAAACCATCTTTTAAAAATATTTAGTGATTATATGGGTTAATGTGTTTGAACACTTCCTTCTCTATTTTGGACTTTGTGACTCACGTACTCTCTTACTCTTGGTCTTTTCAACTACTTATTCTAAGATCGCGGATAAATCCAAATTTGAGTCATGGTTAGGTACATCACAGTTTCTACTTGTAACCTTAATCAATGGGCACTTGATTTTGAAGGTAATAGAGATCGTATCATACAAAGTATTCACGAAGCCAAAGCCCATGGATCACAATTGAGAGTGGGACCTGAATTGGAAATCACTGGTTATGGCTGTTTGGACCATTTTTTAGAAAATGATACCTATCAACATTCTTGGGAGATTTATAGTCAAATTTTAAGTGACCAATCAACTCATGGTTTGATTTTAGATATAGGTATGCCTATAATTCACAAATCTGTCAAATATAACTGTCGATTGATCTCATATAATGGGAAAATTTTATTGATAAGACCTAAATTATATCTTGCCAATGACGGGAATTATAGAGAAATGAGACATTTCACCCCTTGGAAGAAGCCAAAGTACTATGAAGATTTTACCTTACCTTCAGAGATTCACAAAGTAAGCGGTCAAAAGTCAGTCAGATTTGGTGATTGTTTGATTTCCACTAATGAAACCAAATTGGGTGCTGAAACTTGTGAAGAATTATTCACCCCTAACTCTCCACACATTGCCATGGCACTTGACGGAGCCGAGATATTCACCAATTCTTCAGGTTCACACCATGAATTGAGAAAGTTGGACACTAGAATGGGCCTTATAATGGAAGCTACCAAGAAGTGTGGAGGTGTTTATTTGTATGCCAATCAAAGAGGTTGTGACGGTGATAGGTTATACTATGATGGGTGTGCAAGTATCATAATGAATGGGGAGATGTTGGCTCAAGGGTCGCAATTCAGTCTCAAAGATGTTGAAGTTATAACTGCTACTGTTGATTTAGATGACGTTACAGCTTATAGAAATGTCAAGTCAGCTTCATATCAAACTTCCACAGAACCTTATCATACCATCGAGTCAGGTATCCACTTATCCCTTGGGTCAGATATGGATCCTCTTGTTGTCCCTACTAAACCGATAGATGTCAGATATCATTTACCTGAAGAAGAGATTGCCTTAGGCCCTGCTTGTTGGTTATGGGATTATTTGCGTAGATCAAAAACCGCAGGATTCTTTTTACCTTTATCAGGGGGTATTGATTCGTGTGCTACTGCTACAATCGTCCATTCAATGTGTAGATTGGTTTTAGAAGCCGTTCAAAGTGGTGACAAGGTGGTAATCGCTGACGTTCAAGCTCTAGTTCATGAACCAGGATTTATCCCTAAAACCACTCAAGATATTGCTGGAAAAATATTCTACACCAGTTTCATGGGTACAGAAAACAGTTCCAAAGAAACTAGATCAAGAGCTAAAGAATTGAGTGAAGTCATTGGTAGTTATCACGTTGATTTGAATATGGATAATTTAGTGAGTGCTGTGGTGACTTTATTTGAAGTTAGTACAGGTAAGAGACCTATTTTCAAGATCTTTGGGGGTTCCCAAACCGAAAATTTGGCGTTACAAAACATTCAAGCTAGATTGAGAATGGTTTTAGCTTATTTATTTGCTCAATTATTACCTTGGACTAGATCTAAAGCTGGTGGATTATTAGTATTAGGTTCAGCTAATGTTGATGAATGTCTTAGGGGATATTTGACTAAATATGATTGTTCAAGTGCCGATATTAATCCTATTGGAGGAATTTCCAAAACAGATTTGAAGAAATTCATTCATTGGGCCACTTCTTCCTTCGATATGCCAATCTTAGATGATTTTTTGACTGCCACACCTACAGCCGAATTAGAACCTATTACTAAAGATTATGTTCAAAGTGACGAAATCGATATGGGAATGACATACGATGAATTGTCAAGATTCGGAAAATTGAGAAAGGTTGATAAATGTGGTCCATATTCGATGTTTATTAAATTGTATCATGAATGGTCTAGACCTCCATTGAATCTTACAGCTGAAGAAGTAGCCACTAAAGTTATGAAATTTTGGTGGTATTATGCCGTAAACCGTCATAAAATGACCACCATGACTCCTTCATACCACGCCGAACAATACAGTCCAGATGACAATAGATTTGACTTAAGACCTTTCTTGATTAATCCTTCATTCCAATACGGTAGAAAGAAAGTTTACGAATTAGTTGAAAAAATCAAAGTGAGAGAAGAGGAGATTAAGAAAGTTACCTTGAGCGTTGATTAATGTATTTACTTATTGATCTTACCTCCCCATTTGGGTATAACACCCAATTCTCTTTTCATGTAACCTTCAGGATCTTGAATTTTACTACCAAAATCTGTTAATGTTGCAGCAACTCCGACAGGAACATCCTCTTGAAGAAAATGACCTCCGTGCAATACAACCAATTGGAATTTTCCTTGCATTTGACCTATCATAAGATCTTTGTCAAGCGATTCGTGTCCAGCTAGGATCAATAACTTCCCTACATTTTCCCCACATGTGACGAAATTTGAAGACAAGTCCTTGAACCAAGTTTCCCAAAATGGACTGGTGTCTCGAAGGTTCATCTTCCAGTATAGTTTTCCGTTTCTGTCGAAGAATAAATCTGGTATACTGATCTGAGCACTGAAAGTATTATGGAGTAATCCCATCTTCTTATGCCATTGAATTGCATCATCGTATGTGACAAAGCTTGAGGGTAACTTATCTATATAGCCAGTCATAGCAGACAAAGAATGCACGGCTGTTTCCTCAACTATATCAATCATCGCTAATCCTTTCACTTGATTATCTTCATTCTTAACCAAATAATTGGTAAGCACTGCTCCTCCAAGAGAATGTCCCACTAATACCACATCTTTGATACCCCACTTCTCTCTTGCTTGTTTTAGCACGAATTGGAAATCATCTGTCAATGTATCAAGGGAATAATCGGGGGGTCTAGAAGTAGTGGACTGTCCGTGGCCTCTCATATCGTACAATAAAACTGATGGTAACCTCGGAGCCATCATGGAGAATGTCATTGATGATGAACCTGCACCATGATTCAAGACATATGTTATCCCCTCCACCTCAGGAGGTTGATAATACACTTCGAAAGTGATATCACCTCTTGTGAATTGGCATTGTGTGAAGCTAGAACGGGCATTCTCATAAGTTTTATGGATCAGGAAATGATTGGTTTCGTCCCTTTTTCGAGTGGTCTGTTTGGGAAAATTGATAGTGGCTGGCAATGGTGATGGAAGATCATCACCCTCTTCACTCAAACTCGATAAACCTAAACTGGCCTCCGCTTGTTTAGCTCTTTTCAAGAACAGTTTATGTAAATCAGACATATTCGCGGTTTACAGAGATGGCTGATGATAAGACTGAAATACTAAAGCATTTCAAATTTATGGGCATAGCCCTTTATGTTGCATACCAGGCACTTATGGCCAATGAAACTCCAGTGGCGTGTATCTTGGTTAAAGATGACAAGGTCATCAGTATAGGATCCAATCTCACAAATGATAGTTTGAATGGTACTAGGCATGCAGAATTTATAGCTATTGATAGTGTATTAGACGGTTTGAAAGACCGTAAGCCGGAAACCATACGAGAAGAATTTCAAAAATTAACCCTTTATGTCACTGTGGAGCCTTGTATCATGTGTGCTTCTGCGCTAAAGCAATTGGGAATTGGTAAAGTCATCTTTGGATGCGGTAATGATAGATTTGGTGGTAATGGTACAGTTTTGAATGTTCATAGGGACAATATTGGCGAAACATACAAATCGTATGGAGGTATTTTACGCTGTGAAAGTATCCAACTACTTCGAAACTTTTATATTCAAGAGAACGATAGTGCACCTATCCCTCAAGTAAAGAAGAATAAAGATTTATTGAAGCCTTATCCGCCAATGGAATGGGATTTGTATGACAAGGTAGACCTATTTGACGGTAAGGGTAGAGAAGTAGCACCAGGAGGCAGCTACAAGTTAATAGATTTGGTACAGCCTGAAGATTTAAAAGTAGCTGGGGATGTGGATATGGAATTCTACGATTATTTTTATGATATCAAAGATGGAGAAGTAGATTTCAACAAGGCTGTTAAGATAGTTGACGGCAAAAGGAGACGAGTTAATGAAGAGTGATAATAGATTTGTAGGTGGAGTGTAAAATTTTGTAGATAGTAATGAAAGATTATAAAACACATCTTTGAGATACCCTTAGCACAGTTCCGTAAAGACGACAATATTCAAGGCAAAAAATTGACCGCAGAGACACTTAGATACTCAAAATCTACATAGTGTTCTTACATAACTTATCAAGACAGAAGGTGAAGCAAAACTTCGCGGTATGGATACCTCTGATGAAGAGTATGTGGAACCATCTCTGGTTCCCAAAGAACATAAAGCCAAAAAGAGAACCAACCAAGAGAATACAGGGTACTCTTGGGAAGATGAATATCAAAGAACCTGGGATATAGTCAAAGACGATGATTCGAGGTCTTTAGAAGCCATTATTCAAGGTATGATAGAAGGTAGAAAGAAGAAGATAATGAAACTTTCAACATCTCCCTATCAAAGGGGTATTATCAGAACTATGGTTGTGATTATAGATGGGTCATCGATCATGAGTGAAAAGGACTTAAGGCCGACAAGATTTAGTCTAATGTTACAGTATCTCCAAGAATTCATAGTAGAGTTTTTTGATCAGAACCCTATATCTCAATTAGGTGTGGTATTGATGAGGAACGGGATAAGTCATGTGGTCAGTGAAGTTAATGGATCACCCCAGTATCATATAGATAAAATAAGAGGTTTGAGATCTCGTCAACATAATAGATTTGAGCCTAAAGGTGATCCTTCTCTACAGAATTCCTTAGAATTAGCTAGATCACTTTTGAAATACAATTTTGGTAACAACATTAATGATAGTAAGAATTCAAAGGAGATTCTTATCATCTTTGGAGCTTTGTTCACTTCAGATCCTGGAGATATTCATGAAACAATAAATAGTCTTGTAAAAGATAAGATTAGAGTTAAAGTTATTGGATTATCAGCTCAAGTAGCTATTTGTCAAGAATTAGTGACAAAAACCAATCACACTAAAAACCTGAATTATGGGGTCATCATGAATGAGACTCATTTCAAGGAATTGCTTATGGATTGTGTCATACCATTAGCTATAACAAAAGATCTGGCACCTAAAGTCAATGAAGAAAAAGTCCCATTAATGAAAATGGGTTTCCCTACAAAGATTCAACCCGTAACGACATCCAATCTAGAGCCTTTACATTTCTGTGCTTGTCATCCAACCAGAGGTTCAGATGATACTAAAAATGTGGTTGAAATTCAACTGAATGTCAGTAATATAGGATATAAATGTCCTCAATGTTTCAGTAGAGTTTGTTCTTTACCCACAGTATGTCCAGTTTGTGGATTGATGTTGATTTTATCTACACATTTAGCCCGTTCTTACCATCATCTCGTGCCGTTGTCTGAGTACAAGGAAGTCCCCAAAAATGATGAAGGTGTTTATGATAGTCAATGGTGTTTTGGGTGTCTTCTTAAGTTCGAAGATGGTTTGGGTAGTAGTAGATACAAGTGTGGTGAGTGTAAAAATGATTTCTGTATTGATTGTGATGTGTTTGTTCATGAAATCTTACACAATTGTCCAGGATGTCAGTAGAGTTCTATAGATATTATACGAGATTACATCAATTCATCGATAAAACGATACTATACAATTAGGTCCAACTATTACCTCCTTTCTTCCAAGTACTTCCACCTCCCCAAGTACTACCACCTCCTCTTTTTGATTGACTACCATCTTTTTTCCAAGAAGAGTTATTTCCATTGTTACCCCAAGTAGAATTTCCACCGTTACCACCCCAAGTGGATCCACCACCATTTCCACCCCATGTGGAAGCACTACCCCAACTTGAAGATCCACCTTGAGGAGTTTTTCCACCCCAAGCTGAATTATTACCATATGCGGTTTTATTACCTCCCCAAGCTGAAGCGTTACCATAAGCAGTTTTACCTCCATAACTTGAAGATCCTCCTTCACCCCAAGAACTGGAACCTCCATTCGAGACTGGTCTGGATCCAAAAGCATTGTTCAGTGATGGCATAGAAGGTTGTTGTGAATTTACTGGTTCTGGAGCTCCAATGAATCTCAAATAAGGAATAGATTCTCCTCTGATCATAACACTCAATTGATTCTTCAAAACTTTAATCTTTTTGGATTTGGTATGTAATTCAATTCTGGCATAAGAATCATCAGCATCAGTGACTTTACCCATTAAACCTTTATGGTTTCCACCAGTAACTACTACATCTTTATAGATTAATTTATCTCTACCACCTTGTCTGGTCTTTAATCCAGCCATTATAGGAGCTTTGAATGATGGGTTCATTTTGGTTAAATCAGGACCTAAATTCTTAGATACAATAGAATCTTTGGTGGTGATGGTAGTAACATTCATACAATTAGTAACGAATATACCCAAGTTTTCGATAATATCATGTGATGCTACAAACAAGGTAGTTTTATAGATATGTAAGATATTACCTTCTCTGTTCTTATCACTTCTTATTTCTTTAACAGTATCACCGACTTTGATGGTAGATCCTGATCTATCGGTAGCCACTTGTTCGAATCCTTTCAATTTCAATTTAGAAGAAATACCTGATGGTTTAACATTGATGATTCTACCATCAGTAGTCATAACAGAGAAAAGATCTTTCTCTGTTTTGACAATCACCCCTACAGTAGAAGCATTCAATTCAACTAAATCTTTGACATCATAATCATTATCACTAGTTACAATGTTTGATGAAGTATCAGTAGCTTTGATCAAATAATTGGCGAATACTTTGATATCTTCTTGGGTTTGGTCACTCAATAAGATGACCGAATCCTTTTCAAGTTTAATAACTAACCCTGTTTCTTCAGAATGTTTACCTTCGGTAACTTTAACATGGTCACCAGGTTGGAAGACTTTTCTTAAATCAGATACTGGAACTGTTAATGATTTATTGATGAAATCTGGATCTCCACTATCAGTAATGGTTATAGTGACTTCATTTAATGACGTGGTAACAACTCTACCAATAGTTTTAGCTTGTTCACCTCTTCTAATTTCAACTTTATCACCAGGTTGGAAAGCTGAAGAGCCTAATTTCTTGCTCTTTAAAGATGAAGCAACAGCTGCAATATCGAAACCATCTTCTTCATTATCAACTTGGAATCTATCTAATTCTTCTAAAGAAGGATGGACATTAGCTGTTTGAATATATTGAATTTTGAAATCTTTATAAAGGAATCCATCATTATATTCATCCCCTTTATAAATGAATGATCTTGGACCTCTTCCAGGTTGTAAATTTTCATTATCATGAATTCTGGCTTCATAATCTGAGAATAATCTAGGTACAGGTTTAATTTTGGATTTAATTCTCTTTCCTTCTTTATCGAATTCATCATTCTTACCATAATCTAATCTTGGAACAATCTTACAACGAACATCTAAACCATTTTCGGATAAGTTATCAACAATGGCTAAATCACCCTTATATTTCCCACGATTAATACGAATATAAATTCCAGGGACTAATTCGACATCAGTAGATTTGATTTGTTTCAATAAATCAGGATATTCTTTGACTGGAACCAATAATTTTTGTTTGGCATAAACGTTAACCATACCACTTAAAGCGGTTTCAATAGCTTCTGGTTTTTTGGCTTCAATATATATATAACCTTTAAAGGAATCTCTTTGGAATACAGTTAAGATTTCTAAAGGTCTATTTGATTTGGCTAAAGTTCTCTTCTTTTCGTATAATTTACGAACCAAATCCTTTTCTCTCCCAGGAGAACATCTAATGGCGTAAATAGATGGGTCATTAATAGAAGGCATTAATAATTTTTGTGAAACAGCTCCACTAGTAGTGGTGTCACCACGATAAATCCCATGAGTTCTTCTATATCTTTGTTTCAAGGTTTCAGCCAAAGTTTCGGCATCTTGATCCTCTTGTTCTTGACGACGACGATCAAATTGTCTGTGAAGTCTGTCATCACCAGCGTCTGGTACTTCAGCGTCATCACGATGATCATCAGAAATGAATTGTTCTCTTAAAAGTTCGGCTTCTTCATCATCTTCGTCTTCATCTTCTTCTTCATCATCGACTTCAGCTTCAATATCCAAAAACTGGTTGGCTCTTCTTCTTTTTCTTCTACTAACATCATCATCCTCTTCTTCTTCCTCTTCTTCCTCTTCTTCTTCACCTTCTTCCATATCATTTTCTCCACCTTCTTCTTCTTTGATAGATTCACCAACGGTTTGAGGTTCTTCGTCTTCAGCAGGACGTTTGTCCCCAGACTTGAAATCATCAATACTGTCAGTTGATTCTTCTTTCATTGCATCTGACATGGTTAGTGTGTATCAGTTTTTCAACGACAAATCTGCGCGAGTCGTTTGGTGATCAAGAATTAGACCCGTACACCCTTACTTAAATATGAATTTAGGTGGTGGTGATCTAGTGGTAAAGACTAGAGTATTTATATAGTTGGAAGACAAGGAGTCTAAAGATTCATGTGGATGTGTTTGTTATGGTGATGGGAGTTCAGGGAGTTTCTATGTTTTAGGCAACTATATGCAAGTGCAACACTAAGTAATTCTATGGCATAGATTAGTGATGAAGAGTTGACGACATATAAAATGGTCATATAAGTAATAAGGAGTAAGAGGTTGTCTGCACGAATCAATGAAATTTCAGCTCTGGATCACTATTTTGTTGATCAAGCTTGTTGCAAGTTATGAAACTAGCCAAACTTCAGGAAAAGTTAGAACATCAAAGATAATTGAGAAACAATCTCCTAAGAAACAAGTTCAATCTGTTGAAGAAGTTGACTTCAATCAGCATGACGTAACTTATGTGTTGACACCAAATCGGTATATGGTTCATAAGTCTTTACTCGATGGTAGAGCCACCCAGAAAGTCAAAGGCGACGATTGGTACGAATTTGAATTTGACTTCGATAAGACTATTATAGGTCCACCTATTGGGTTTGTATCGATGGATCGTGGGAATACTGATGGGACTATCAAGTTGACCAGAAGTAAGAATTTGGGGCTAGCATTCTCGATCACTTCACCTAGTTATTCTTCCACATTTTTGAGCTTCTTTACATTGAGTAGAGCTTATTCTTTGGATATTGCTGCATCGGTATCAATTTCAGCACAAGCCAGTTGTTCTGTACCTTCAGGCAAGATTGGAGGATTATATGTATTCGAACCTCAGGATGTCTACGATATAAAGACCACAATTTGGAAGAAAGGCAAACATGGATACCAACCTTTTGATGAAGGATTCAAACAAAAGACTTTGGTTAGAACCTTCCAGGACAGTAAATTTGTATGTACTGTGGATGAGAAGTATATTGAAGACATTGAAAATGATATCTTCATCAGTAACCAAGGAGAACTTCTCGATTATGCCAAGTTCATCTGAACATGATTGGTAACACAGATAATGGCAATTTCATCTGGCAGTACCACCTAAAAACGAGAAAACCTTCAAATGTTAGTTACACGGTTCGTACGACAGCTACCCACGAAGGGCATCTCAATCGCACAAATTTATATCCCAACGTGATGAGTTTACAAGAATTATCAACTGAATTAAAGACTCACTTAAAACAATTCCCAAACTTCCCAAGTGAAGGAATCTTATTCGAAGATTTCTTACCAATCTTTGCTGACCATAAAGTTTTCCAAAAATTAATCGATGCCTTCAAACTTCATATTGGGGATGCTAAAATTGATTATGTTGTAGGATTAGAAAGTAGAGGGTTCCTTTTCGGTCCAACTTTAGCTTTACAAATCGGAGCTGGATTCATCCCAATTAGAAAACCAGGTAAATTACCAGGTCCAACTTATCAAGTTGAATTCCAAAAAGAATATGGTAGTGATAAATTCGAAATCCAACAAGATGTTATTCCTAAAGGAGCTAAAGTATTAGTTGTTGATGATATCTTAGCTACTGGAGGTAGTGCATATGCTGCTGGAGAATTAATCAAAAAATCAGATGCCGAAGTTGTTGAATACTGTTTCGTTATGGAATTAGATTTCTTAAAAGGTAGAGATAAATTATCATCACCAGTTTTCACATTATTTGGTGGACAAGAAGAAAAACTCCAAAATTAGTGAATATATTTGAACTATTAACCACTCTTGAAGATTAAGAACGCCAATTCTCCAATGTAAAAGTATGTAAAGAATCCTTGGTCGTGAGTGACATAACTTCCAAAACTTTCTCCCACTATGACATGCCATGTAGGTCCGAACAATTGATCTAATTCTTTCTTTAAGTATGTGGCAATATCTTTTTCTATTTTGTAGTTGGCTATAGCATCTTGACTCAATTCGTAGATTTTAGTTTGCAAATCATCAGAGATATCTGATGCTCTTAATATAGCTATAATGTTAGTATGTTGGACGAAAGGATTGGGGAATGGATATATGGGATGCTAGATGTAGTAAAAGAAAAGTTTTTGGGTCATTTAACATGGATTCCAGTTGTAATATATCATTCGATCTGTTTCACTATGATACATCATATTGACAAGGACATATATTTAACCCTACTTGATGCCCATAGGTTCCTTAAATACCACAGACTGATCTTTCAGCCCTTTACTATCATCCCACCTCCAAATACTCTCTCAAAACCCCGTATTTGGTGCTCAATTTAAACACTTATACATACGAACTTTATCACTCATGTTTATTTCGTGAGAAATATTCACTTTTGATCAAGATGGAGATAACACCATCATCGATTGCCACCCATTATTATAAGATTGGCCATATAAAACATGTCCAATACTCCATTTATACACACGAGAATGATCAAAGTCTATTGGAACTAGAACTTACCATCAGACACAAATATCCCAATATACTTATCACCTATTATAATAAATGCTTGTATCACTTCAAGTTAGACAAAGAAAAGTCTACCATTAACATGGACGAATGGCTGTTGATATTGAAAAGTCAGGGAACTGTTTCAGTAGATGCCATTGCCAATCCAAAGTCCAGTGGATCATCAGCTGGTACTGGAAGTGGTGGGGGAAGTACTTCAGGTAGCGTAGGAGGTAGTGCTGGAGGAAACCGTCCAAATCCCACCAATGGGTCAACTACCGGTACCACTCCACCAAAAGAAGAGAATGAAACTTTTTTGAGTGTAAGTCTTTTGAAAGCCATTAAAAAGTCAGTGATCTATAAATTATGTCTGAATCCTAAAGTAAGGATTTTTGGAAATTATATCATATTGAAAAGATTTAATACCAACCATGTTATCCACCTTGACACCATAATACTTGCTAATGGTGATATTTTAGTGTCGGCCATTGAAAATAATGATTTAAACTTATATGACTCAAAGATCTTGAAGATCAATGAGATAACGAATGGTACTTACAATGAAGAATTGAATTCCAATTTCGTCATTTATTTGGTTCCTTCAGGAATACGATGTCATTTGTTTGATAGTTTGAAGATACTAAACAGTTTCACCACCACCCCGCCGCAGAATGTTGACACTATTAAAGAGTTGGTGAGGTTTTGTACTAGAATGGAACTAAAATCTAATGTTTGGGTAAAGCTTATTCCCAATCTACAACATTTGAATAATCAAACATCCAAAATTGCCAAGTTCATCCATGAAGTCGAAAACAAAAAGTATATTTTGTGGCCCTGGGATTTATGTGTACTACAATTTGGAAAATTCGAGCCCGAAACTAATCTTTCGAATCCTGTTGATGATGATTTGATAGGAAAGTTCCTTGATTTCAAAATAGAGATTAATAACCAGAACGTGAAGTTTGATGAATTTGATAAATTCTTCGAAAATGAAATCAATCCGTCTCAAGACATGAATCTCGATTTTGACATAGACTTAGAGATCAAGGATCCTATAAATATTGAAATTGAAGAATTGGATAAGCCAGATAATGACGAGGATTTGTTTGGGGACGAAAGTGATCTTGATATCGATAATGATGATATTGCCAATGTTGAACCAGAAACTCAACCTCAGTCTCCTGACAAACAACTACAGGATGTAGATTTGAATGATGTTAATGTTAATGTGGATTTTGATCAAACGAATGACTTGTTTGATTTCTTACCTATGGATCAATCAATATTTGATATTCCAAAAGATCAAATGACTTACGATGACCCAGGTGCTCCTTTACCAATAATTCCCACACCTCGTCAAACGAATACCAGCAAATCTTCTTTTTCACCCATAGTTTTTAACCCATTGATCAAATCTAATATTGATACTAAATATGGAAAGGGAGGAAAGTTTTATGTTGCTCGTAAGGGAAACGACACTTCTAAGTTAAGAGCGACTAGTGTCAGTGGAGCAGAAATCAGGAAAGACTTATCTGCAAATAGTTCATTGATAGGAAGTGCTGTCAGTGATTCAGAGAGTGAAAGTGATGAAGATGAAGATGAAATGTTAACTCCTTTGAAATTGAACGATTTCCCCTTCCATTCATCTCATCGTCAAATATTACCTACTACAGAACCACCGGCTGCCATTGAAACAGTCCCACCTAACGATACAACCCATTTTGATGAAGACAAGCCCGTGCATTCTTCAGCGTTTTCATCACCTAATGTTTTCATGTCCAATAAACTTACCAGTTTGTCGAAGTTTGAATCACCTTTTTCTCCTGATAGATTGAAATTTTCCCCTTTGGATACAGAGGATTTCAAAAATAGAGCTGGAACTTCAATACCGACCAATATGAACATGAATACCAGTATGAACCAAATGACACCCATATTTACACCTGCTTTACATAACAATCTTGGAGGAACGATGTTGGGAGCTACACCTGCTCCTACACCGTTTTCAAATATTGGTATTGGGTTAGGCATGTCATCAAATTCTGTAGCTGGTCCTACAGCCATTAGTAATAGTAACAGTAACTTAGCTGTGACTTCAAGCTCCAGTGGAGCCACTACCAATAGCGAAGAATCTTCAAATTGTTTACCTTTGATTTTAAGAGGTATAAATGTCTCCACAATTCCTGAAGAGTATTTATTGAACAATATTGCTGGAGCTATCAAATTTTTACCTTCAGCCAGTGATTTTGAAATGGTGGATGAAGATGATGAAGATGGAATATTTAAAAAGAGTGAAATGATTGTTAACAATCTCGATTTCCTTGAAGTTCTTACCACCAACTTAGTGTTTGATTTGGGATTGAATGAGTTCAACTTTGTTACTTCTGTACCTCCATCAGAACCTGCGACGGAAGTCTTTGGTGATGAGACTATCGATGATCTCATTTCATCATCATTTACTGGTTATAGAATCAAGCTAGATGAATTTTTGAGTGATTTGACAGCCATAGAAATGGATCAGTTCAGTTTTCTTGATGAATTAACTAACGATGAGATGGACCCCAAGTCCAAGCTCAAGAAATTGGAATCAATCGAATGGGATACTTTTGAAAATGAAGAGAATTTCCACAAGTACAAAGAAACCATGGAGGAAATCAATGATAATAAAGTTTTAGACGTATCCAACAGTATTCAAACACTTCCTGAGAATAAGATCAAAGCGAAGAAATCTGGAGAGATTGTCAATTTGAATGCTACGGCCTTGAATTTTTGGAAATTCTTGAACTTTCAACCTGACTTCACCAAAGATTTCAAGGTTATTTTGGTCAGTGAAGTAGAAAGTGAATTTTTGTCATTACTACAATATAATTATCATGACTGTAATTTAGGTAAAATGGATATCTTGGAAGAAATCATCGTGAATGGTGATTATAGAAAAATGTATAAAAAGATAATCAAAAAACTTGAATCAATAGAGCTTCCTGAAGAACCAATTTTATTGTTATTTGTCAATTTTAATGATAAAATGAATTCCATTTTACAAATATCCAAAATCTCCCAAGTTTTAAAAGGTAATGTTTTTGTTAAGATCTTACCATCATCAGCAATATTCCATCATAAGAGACTTAAATATTTGTCAAGTAGTTTCCTTACCACTTTGAATCTTAACTTATTCAACATCTGTCCTCCGAACAAGTTGTTCACCAATGTTGTTAAAGATCCATTGTCAAAAGTAGCCTTCAAGTTCTTTCCTAAACATGATAACGATACTTCTTTTGATGATGCTTTCTTACATTTAGCTTATGAAAGATCAATAGATAAACAATGGCTTAGTGTGGCATGGTCAGATCCTACTGGATTGGTGACTAAGACCAAGAGTTGGAAATTGGGAGATTTGAAATCCGTAAGTGATGAAGTATTCGATATTTCGGTTGAACTATTCAAAATCTTGAATGATGAAATCATCTCCAGAACTAATGGGTTAGGTGGAAAGAAATTCCTCGTTTTAACCAGATTGAATAGCGTTATACCAGATGATGAATTAGTTCATTGGAAAAGACTAAGTTTAAAGTATAAAGATATCTCATTAATTGTATTGTCAGTTAGTGGTCAAACAAGAAATACTTTCAGTGATTTGAATTCACCAATTGTCAATGAGGTTAACCTACAGGGCATGAATAATACATCCAATAATGCATCGGGTGGTACTTTCAGTCCATTTTCTCCTTATTCTTTCTTATCACCTGACCCTAAAGAAGTCAATTACAAAGATATGGTGATCCAAGATTGTAATATAATATCATTGATACCTCAAAGTTCCGTCCCATCGTTCAACTGTCCTACAAGAGTGGGAATGAAATTGGGATTGCTTGTGAAAAAATTGGATCCTGGATATGAAATCTTTGAAGTAAACCTTTTGAGTTGTTCTAATTACTGGAATGTTAATAATCTTATGAAACTTATTTTGAACCATTATAAGAAGATGATGGTGTTGGGAGATATTTTAGGTGTTGGTAATGAAATACCATGGCATATTGCAGCTGTGAATAAGAGTTTGAGGTATCTTGTGCACATTGAAGTTGAAACCTAGAAGTTTGCGATACATCACCAAAGTCGCACTTTTGGAATCTTTTCGCGTCTGTAAATATGGATGATACACAAGACATCATGGATAAGTATGACTTGTCAATATATTCAGATGATTCCATATTCAAAGAGAATATCTCACCGTTGAGATCACCCACCAAGAACATTTTCAGAACTCCAAAACGGTCACCTTTGAAGAAAACCTCCACTCCTTTTAAGAATATCCTAACCCCAGGAGGATTGAGTTTTACCCCCAATGATGATTTGTTAGTACGTGAAACTCATAAGCTAATCAGTGAGGTACCACAAGATGCCAGTGTGGATGTATTGAAGAAACTTTTATCAAGAATTGAACAATTGTCCAATGAAAATAATATATTGAAAGAATCATTAGAAACTCAGAATAATAACCAAGGTTACGAACAAAAGAAGGAATTGAATATCATGACCGATAAGATCAAGAATTTAGAGGTGAAAAATGAAATCTTGACCAAAGATTTAGAAATTGTAAATAATGATTATATGAAAAATTTAAATGAACTAAATAGCTTGAAAAGTAAGAATGAACTTTTAAGAACAAAGTTGATTAAATACAAGAACCTTTATGAACAAGTTAAAGGGGGAGAAATAAAACCTCAAACCAAAGAATCAAGTAACGAAAAGGATATAAACAAATTAATCAAAATGTATAATGAAATGGCAGGATTATTGAATAAAGAGCGGAAAAGTTTTAGAGATCCTATCGAACAAACCCCAGAAATCCCCAAACAAGTGTCACAAACAGAGATCTTAAATGATTTATATGAAAAATTCCAAGCATTAAGTGATAGAGTAGAACACGTAGCGATGTCAAATCCTGCACCAACATCAGAAATAAATTCCGCACCTAATCTGGCATCAGCTCCTGCTAAACAACCTAATCCTATCACAACAACAACACCTGAAGTGAAAGATGTTATCCTTAATTGTTATGTTTGTTGTAAAGATGGTGAAAAAACCACCAGTCCACCTACGACCAAAAGGAAATGTGCTCGATGTTCAGGGGATAATGAAGATCACCGAATTGATTTAATGGGAGAATATAAATGGAGTTTATAGAATTTGTAGTTTACGAATCTGATGTCTATAACTATTTAAACTCTCCTAACCATGACAGCTCTTCTTACAACAGACCCTTTGGTGAAATTTGTTTATTTACACTCTGACCCAAAAGGTGCAAACGCGCGAAGTTTCCAAAAACCGAAAAATAAATAACAATTGTTGAGACGATAAATACTGACAACTTTAAGTTTTTTGTAAGAAAGTAATGGGTAAGGATATGGTTATAGTTAACGATGAGAATCAGTATAAGATCGGAGGTGGTAAAGGTGAGAAGAAGAAAGAAGAGAGAAGTTATTTAGGTGATATATCGAGACAATATGGTATAAAATCTGAAAATACAACCACAACAATTAGTACTAGTATTAGACCCAAAATTATAGACAAAAAGAAAGAATTATTAATACCTTCAAGAATGCCAACTAAAAGGCAAGCTACTGAGTCATCTACCAACTTGGTTGAAAAATTATATATCAATGATAATTTAAAAAAGACAAAAATTATTGATTATGAATGGGATGACTTAGATGCTGAAGATTATGATGATCCTTTAATGGTAAGTGAATATGTTAATGTTATTTACCCTTATTTATATGAGTTAGAGATAAAAACTTTACCTGATTCCCAATACATTTTTAAACAAAAACACTTAAAACCAAAGATGAGAAGTATTTTAGTCGATTGGTTAGTGGAAATGCATTTAAGATTTAGATTATTACCCGAAACATTGTTTCTAGCTATTAATATCATGGATAGGTTCATGTCATTGGAAATTGTTCAAATAGATAAATTACAATTATTAGCAACTGGATCATTATTTATTGCAGCAAAATATGAAGAAGTTTTCAGTCCTTCAGTTAAAAATTATAGTTATTTCACTGATGGTTCATATAGTGAAGAAGAAATCTTACAAGCAGAAAAATATATCTTAACTATACTAAATTTTGAATTAAATTATCCAAATCCAATGAACTTTTTAAGAAGAATAAGTAAAGCTGATAATTATGATATTCAAACTAGAACTTTAGGAAAATATTTATTGGAAATCACTATAATAGATTATAAATTCATTGGTTTAAAACCTTCATTATGTTCAGCTTCTGCTATGTATATTGCTAGATTAATTATGAATAAATCTCCAATTTGGAATGGTAATTTAATTCACTATAGTGGAGGTTATAAAACTGATGATTTAAAAGATTGTATTAATCTTATAATTCAATATTTAATCCAACCCATTGAACATGATGAATTTTTCAAGAAGTATTCTACAAAAAAATTTATGAAAGCCAGTATTTTATGTAGAAGTTGGGCTAAGAAGATAATCGCTGAAAAGAGGGATATTTTCCAATAAATAATGATAACGAACTGACATTGCATTCAATATATGTATTAATATTACTTCTAGCTCGTAATATCTCCACCAGATAGTGAACTTATGAATTAGAGGTTCTGGGATATCTCATCTCTGTCTCCAGATATTAATTCCGCGACTGTACGCGTTACTATGTTTGAAGGTTATCGATTCAAGTTACTTAATCCTACTACTAAACTAACGTTATCCATTGAAAACCACAACGGGAAGGTGGTGGATGAGGATTATAATCATGTAATAGCTGAGGATATTGATTTTGATGAGTATAATGATGTTATCAACAAGATGATTCCTATTACTTCCAGTGATTGGATCTATGATAGCTTAAGTAGCCAGAAACTTATGAATACTAAGAAATATCACCCCGATGTTAGACATTTCATGAAAGGCGTTTACATCTGTGTAGGTGATGATATCTCCAATAACGATAAGGAGATCATTTATGGAGGTGTTAAGGCTTTTGGAGGAATGTATTTTGACGAATTAACGAGATTAACCACCCATTTGGTCACTTTAGCCATGGATAACGACAAAGCCATTGTAGCAAGTTCCAGTGACATTGATATTAAGGTTGTCAGACCAGAATGGATTCACGATTGTTTCAGATTGGGTAAACGATTGAATGAGAGTAATTATCTTATTGAAGACAGTAATGAGAATTCCATTGTATCTGATGATTATGACAAATTACCTTCTATTTATGATTCAGAGGTTCTTAAAGGTAAGAAGATCCATATTTCTACTGATTACCAGTTATCGAGGACATTCAAAGACAGTATTACAGCATTAGTCACTGCTAACGGTGGTGAATTGTCTAAACTCAATCAAGCTAATGTTTATATAGGTAAATTCAGACTGGGTGACTTTTTCCAAGCTTTAGAGTCAGGAATCACTATAGGGAATTTACCGTGGCTTTACTCAGTGATCACTCATGGTTGGTCATTGCCTGTAAATTTACTTCACTTCCCTATCCCTCCATCACCATTATCTTCATTCAGGGATTTGAAAATCTGTGTTTCGGGATACGAAGGTGATGCCAGATATTACATTTCACGCTTGATTGTATTACTTGGTGCAACTTATACAAAGACATTAAGTAAGGATAATCATATACTTATTTGTCTGAAACCTCTCGGAAAGAAATATGAAGCTGCCAAAACCTGGAAGAAAGACGATGTTCCCATTATTAAGGTTGTGAATCATTTATGGTTGGAGGAAAGTTATAGTAATTGGGAAAAGATGGGATTCGAAAAGAAGTTTGAAGATTTATCAGGTATGGAGAGATTAATTGGGGCAACAAAATTGAATTTGGATATCTTAAGATCAATAGTTGATGATAGTGTGGATGATGAGTTGTTATATGAGGGAGCTGAGCCAGAAGAGATGGAAGAATCAGAGACACAGGATGTTGAGGTTCAGAAAGAGGGATCTGAAGAAGTTGAAGAAGGTGAAGAAGTTGAAGTTGAAGAAGGTGAAGGAGGAGGTAAAGAAGTTGAAGGTGAAGAAGTTGAAGAGGCTGACGGAGTGGAAGAACCTAAAGTGGAACAGATGTCAGAACAAAAACAAACCAAACCACAAACTCAAGAATCAGTTGCAACTGAATCACAGTCGATACAACCATCTACTCCAACGCCCCAACAACTGCCACAACTGTCTCAACCTTCTCAGTCAAGAAGTAAAAGAAAGGCAGCCAGTAAAGCTGCCCTCAAATTACATGACAATATGGAAGACCTTAATAATTATCAGCAAATGAGTAAATCCAATAGAAAAATGAAAGATTACATGGAAACTTTAGATAAAGAGAATGTCCACAAACGAGCTAAAACTGCTTCGCCCAAAAACTCACCACCGAATTCCCAAGAAACTCATCAAAATACCCCACTGAAGGCCTCCGTTAAAAGTCAAGAGGATAAGATAATAGCCATCATCACAGGTTGGGATGAACTCACCAAAGAGATCACGAACAAGCTCAAAGGTCAAGGGATTGTCATAACGAACGATTACCGTAAGGTAAACACATTGATAGCTCCCAAGATTCTTCGTACGGAGAAATTTTTAGTAAGTCTAAGTCATGTCAAGAGAATCTTACATCCATTATTCCTTCTTGATAGATCTAAGGGTCTCATAAAACCACCTCAAGAATACTCGTTAGAGAAAATTATTGGAGAAGACACTATCAGTAAGGAGTTGGGATTAACAGGGAATATAGTCAGCGAGATATTAAGGAAACAAGCTCCCATTTTCAAGAGCTACAGATTGAACTTATCCAGTAATTTGAATGGGGGATTTGATGTATTGAGTAAGATCTTAAGAAGTCATGGTATAAGTGGAGAGAACTTGAAAGAGGTAAACTTCAAAACCAAAGTTGATTCATTCTTAGCCAAAGATGAAACAATCGTAGTAGTGAACCCTAAAAAAGATAGCAAATTAATCAAGAATGCCAAGGATTGCGTTGTAATAGACTGGGATTGGTGTGTCAAATCAATCTTTTCTATGGAAGTTCAACCATTCGAAGGATTTATAGTCACTTCCCCCTAAATAGGTAATAAGTAAAGTTGTGTACGAGAGTAAAAAACTACATAATACATTTCTCTAAATATCAATCAAACTTGGACCATCCTTTTGATTATTACCAAACCCATATCCAGTATAAACAGGTTGTTGTTGCTGAGGTTGTTGGGGTTGTTGAACAAATGGGTTACCTGTGGAAGTTGGTTGTAAAGACTTATCGGTATTTTGAATACCGGTATAATTTGAGGTTAACATAGAATGAGATTTAGTATAATGATGAGCAACTCTAGTATCACCAGTATTACCAAAAGTATCAATTCCAGTACCTTGAGCAAGTAAATTATTCAATTCAGGATGAGAATGATCACCATATTTAGATGATGAAGTATTTTGAGACACAAGAGGTTTCTCTTGAGCTTGTGGTGGAGGTTGGGTGAAAAAGTTATTTTGAGCTTGCATATCATTTAATGAAGGTTGAGTTGGTTGGGTAGGTTGAGATTGTGAACTCATGGCAAATGGATTATTTGATCCTGTTTTCAATGGAGTTAACTCAGGTTGAGGTTGTGAAGTTGGTTGATAATTGAAACCTGTAAATTGAGGTTGTTGAGGTTGAACATATTGAGTATATTGAGGTTGCATTTGATATTGTTGTTGATAACCTGTCATCATAGGATTTTGAATAGGATTACCAAACATGTCATATTGTTGCTGTTGTTGTTGCTGTTGTTGAGGAACATAATATTGAGGTTGGAAGTAATATTGAGGTTGATCGTCTAAGTCTAACAAATTATCATTTTGTAATTTTGATTTCCTCATTTGTTCTTCTTCTAGGGATAATTTCAAAGCAGCATTCAAATCATCATCATTATCAACTTGTCTATTTTGGTTTTCTTGTTGAGCAGTAATTCTTGATAATTCCAAAGCTTTTTCTAATTCTGAATCATAAGGATCTTCTCTTCTCCTCGATGACGATGAATTGGTCACGTTACGAGCTGGACGTTCATGGTTTTTAGCTAATTGTCTTTCATGATGTAATCTGTCATCATCTCTTAATAAACTAACTAATTCTTTAGCTTTAACTCTTATTATAGCACCTTGATCGTTATCAGATTCGTCAAAATGAACAAATTCTCTTAATGTCTTGATGATATAGATGTTATCTTTAGACCACATGACACACTTTTCAGAACCAAATCTGACCAAATAATCTAATACAGTCAAAGATTTGGCAACATGTCTCCAATTTTTACCTTTATCGTTTAATCTCCTATCTAACATATCCATAATCTCTAAGAATTCCGTTTGAGATTGATAAGTGTAGGAAGAAATTTGTTCCATATCATAGGTAGTAGGACCAGTGGCATCATTGGAAGTGGCATTTCTTACAAGAATTTGGACCAGGGAATAACCATTGGCGACGTTTTTAATTGATCTAACAATCCCCATTTGAGTGTTGAATGGAATTTTTGATAATCGGCGCGGCAGATGGTTAAGTGACTAAATCACTGGCATAGGGGAAAGATAGGAATAGTACAGCATAAGGATCGTAGCAAGAGCCAATGTCATGTGTGAAAGACAGGTAATTAATAACTGGAATTTGAAGTCAGACGGAGGTTCTGACGATACAGATGACGAATATTGGTAATCAAGTGAAATAAGAGATAATTAAGCGGAACGGCGGTAGTTTTACTACTGATTCAATGGGAACTGGTTGGAACTTCGGGAAGGGGCTTTAAAATGTTCAGAATTAAGTATCAGATTGCACAGACCAATTCCACAGCCTCAACGATCTCCGAAGCCTACTTCATTGAGGTTGCGATAAGAATTCATACCTTCCAAATTCTTCGATAGGCATTGTTTATACTTTCCCAGAGAGCACGAACCTTTTAGCTGTTTGGATTCTCCGGTATTGCCATAGCTCGCTCGAATTCTGTGCCCTTCTATCCTTATCATGCTTCATGGCCAATCAACCCCTGAAGCCGCGATCTATCAAAAACGGGTTTCACTCATTCTCTTGACCTGATGGTATTCAATTTGACCACCATAATTTATGAACAGTCAACTCCCTATATCTACTTTTTAAAGTTTTCTTCCATAAGCTTCTTCCGAAATTGCCATTCCATGACTACATCACGTGATCGCCTGATTTATATTTTTTTTCGCACTCGACAAAAAAAATATATCCCACAATGAGTGAAGTAAGAAGATGTAGAAGATGTAAGAGAAAGAGAATGGATGATGAACCTCCAGAGGTTAAACAATATAAGACTTGTGCCAAATGTAGAATTATCGAAAGACAAAAAAAGAAATCCAGAAAACCTTTGGCTGAAGAAACTGTTTTATATGGAATGAAACAATTCCAACAACAAAACCAAAATACTTCATTCTTAAAAGATGATTTAGATTACGATTCTTATTCCAAATATGATAGTTATGGGAACCAGAAGTATCAATACTCCTACCAATATGATAACAATACTCCCACTTATCCAAGTACTCAAACAACCGCCACAACCAATTCTATTACTAATATCCCCCAAACTTATAATTTAAACTATCAAATGGTAGCACAAAAGATCTTACCTTTACAATCCAGTAACTTGCCCAATGATTTACCTGTTAACTGTGATATCTGTGATAAAAAATTGGACCCTAATGATGAATTAACCATTACTTACAAATTATGTATCGATTGTTATTCTAATCCTTTCAAATTATTCAATGTGTTTGAAGATTTCAATGAATTCTTATCAAAGATTAATGATAACAAGAGTCAGAAGATATTAAATTATATCTTTATCAAGGAAATCGATAAGAACTTCATCGATAATTTGAATGGATTCGTTAATGATTATAAATTCAAAGAAAATATCTTGGATAATTTATGTAAGATCTATATCGAACCAATTATCTCATCAGTGGATTATAAATTTGTTCCAATTTCATCCAATTTGAATGAAAGATCAAGTGAAAGAAAAACCATCAAAGCTTTCTATAAATGTTCAGAGGAAATCAATGATAAGTTAAATTGTCATTCAAATTTGTTCTTAGACTATAATTTAACTACTAATATCTTAAAGATCAAATTCAATCACAATAATCATAATTATTTCCAAGCGTTGTCAGAAAAATTTGTGAAATACTTGAAATCCTTAATTGAAGAATTATCAATAGGAGAATTTAATGAAGATTCAGGTAAGAAAGTATGGGATAATTTAAACAATGAAGAATTCAAAGATACTATCAGTGAACTTAAGAAGGAAGAATTCGTTAGTAATTTTGGATCGTTTAACACTGTAGCTGTATAGGTTACTGTAGCTGTGTAGGTTATGTATATTTAGATTGTATGGTGCGCTATAAAAACTATTTTTAACCTCTAAATCCCCTCGCGCCAGTAACACCTCCAAGTCCCCCGACCCAAGTCCCCCAACCCAAGTCCCGTGCCATCCCGCGCCCCCAAGTTTCTGGGCTCCTCCAGAACACATCACCAAGTCGCGCTTCTCATCCCTGATTTTTCATACCAGATCATTATTTTATCACTTAACGATTAGTGTAAACCCACATCTCGGATATTATAAAATCTATTTCTCAATGAAAGTGTGGATTCTTTTACTATCGTTAGTTCATGGACTTTATTTAGATCCTTCAAATTTAACCAATTTACAAGAAAATACCGCTCTTATAGCTAAAGGGTTATTAGATTATTATGACGGTAAAAATTATGGTGGAGTTATTGGTATGTTCACTTGGCCTTACTATTGGTGGGAAGCTGGTGGTGCTTGGGGTTCATTAATCGAATATACCGCATTGATGGAAAACGATACTTATGTTCCTTTGATTAAACAAGCTTTAACTTATCAAACAGGTGATGATGATAATTATATCCCATTAAATCAAAGTACTACTGAAGGTAATGATGATCAAGGGTTCTGGGGGTTAGCGGTTATGAGTGCTGCTGAAAGAAATTTCTCCAACCCTGATGATCCAAAGAAAGCATGGTTAACTTTAGCTCAAGCTGTTTTTAATACTATGGCTGCTAGATGGGATACCGGAGAATGTGGAGGTGGTTTAAGATGGCAAATTTTCCAATGGAATTCAGGTTATGATTATAAGAATTCCGTTTCCAATGGATGTTTATTTAATATTGGTGCTAGATTAGCCAGATATACTAGAAATGATTCTTATGTTGAATGGTGTGAAAGAGTGTTTGACTGGATGTATGGATCAGGATTTTTAACTGAAGGTGAATGGTGGTTCGTTTATGATGGTGCTAAAGTTGATAACAATTGTTCTAATATCACCAAATTACAATGGACTTATAATCAAGGTTTAATGATGTCCGGTTCAGCTTACTTATATAATTACACCGAAGATACTAAATGGTTAGAAAGAACTGAACATTTCTTAGAAGCTGCTCAAGTTTTCTTCAAAGAAGATGTTATGTATGAAGCTGCATGTCAACCATCAAATAGTTGTAATCAAGATCAAAGATCATTTAAAGCTTATTTCTCCAGATTTTTAGGTCAAACTGCTGTTATGGTTCCTCAAACTTACGACGTTATTATGAATTATTTAAAAACTTCAGCTATAGCTGCAGCTGAATCATGTTCAGGAGGTAGTGATGGACATACTTGTGGTCTCAATTGGACCAATGGTACTGGATGGGATGGAGTTTGGGGATTAGGTGAACAAATGAGTGCTTTAGAAGTAATGACTCAATTAAGAGCTGGAGATGTACCTGCTCCTTATACTGCAGAAAATGGAGGTTCATCTCTCGCTGATCCAGCTGCTGGTTTTGGTACTAGTCATACTGATTCTTCACCTTTAGTTTTAGGAACAAAAGATAAAGCAGGTGCTGGTATTATTACTGCTATTATTGGTCTGTCTTTAATTGGGTCAGTTGTATGGTTAGTTTTGTAGTTTTAGATTCTTTAAGAAAAAGTATGTTGTGTCTCACATTTTCTCGAGTAACTTTTCCTATTTTGTATTTCGCAATTATCCCTAATATGACAGATGAATTCACATCAGTTCAATGGGACAGAGAGAGTAAGATAATCAATTCAGAAGGTGGACCTGATCATGATGAAACCCCTCAAAATGATGAGATCCCTGAAATCACCAATTCAACAGTTGAAGAACCAATCATTGAATCCAATAAACCGCTGGCGTTAGATTCGAATGACGTTCCGTCTACTGAAGAATATATCATCGAAACAACTGTTTCTGATCCTGTAAGAGATTTAGATCAATCCTCCAAACCATATATATCATATTTAGTCACGACAAAGACTAATGATCCTTCAATTATCAAATTATGTCAACAAGATGAAGTTGTTGAAGATGGTGATTTTAGTATTATAAAGAGTCGTAGGAGATATGGGGATTTCCGTAATTTATATCATTGTTTAACCAATGATTTCCCTATGAATCTAATCCCATCAATCCCTTCCAAGTCAAATTTAAAGTATCTTACAGGAGATACTTTTAGTGGAGAATTTATTAATAAGAGATTGAACTCTCTTAATAGATTTTTGAAGTTTTTAAATGAACATAAGGATTTAAAGAAATCATCAATTTATAATTTGTTCTTGAGTAACTCCAATGATTGGGTCAGTTTTAGTAAGAACTTGAAAGTAAATATTAATGAAATTGATAATAAATTATTCCCCAACAATATAGGAAAGATTGTTAATGAAGATCTTATAACTGAAACATTGATGAACTTCCTTACTCCTTCAAAATATAAGAAAGAAACAAACAAGGAAATCTTGGAAATCATCGATAAATTGAATAAATTGTATGAAAACTTAATGAAACTAGACAAGATCTTTCAAAGAATAAATAAGAAGAATAATGATTTAAGTATTGATTATGAAATATTTTCTAATGAAATCAAGAAATTGAACTTTAACGAACATTCAGAGACTTCAGGTGATGGAACTGATGAAACAAATGACTTTGAATTTTTCAGTAAATTATTCAAAGAGTATTCTAATAATTGGATGAATAATTATAAATTCATTGATGAGAATTTTCTTATCACCTTGAAGGATTGTTCAAAATATATCATCAATTTGAATAATCTTATTGAATTACAACATAATAAGAAAATTGATTTACAAGTGTTGAAAGATTATCTTAATAAAACCCGTAATGAGTATAATTCCTTGGAGACTAATCGGGCACCCCCATCTCCAATCAAGCATAATAATGGTATGATAAATAATACTACTCAATTGATTAAAGATACCTTAACTACCAGTAATAATAATGAAAAGGTTAACAAATTAAGATTAAAAATCGAAGAACTTGAAGAAGAAATTAAATTGCAATCGGATTTATTGAACAATCTTATCAATAAAATCATCAATGAAGAATACCCTAACTGGGATATATTCAATAAAAATGAGTTAAAACGAAGTATGGTAGAATTATGTGATAATCAAATTGAATTTTATAATAACTTGGTTAATGAATGGGGAGATACTGAAGCAAAACTTATGAAGAAGATAGAAAAGTTATAAATTAACTACTTCTTGTAGTTCTCATCGCCAAGTACCTTTATAGCCTTTAATCCCACAACCCGCATTTTCTCACGATCTCGACATGTACTTTTTATTACTATTGGCATTAGTTTCCACAGTATTCGGGAACAGAGTCAAATTCAATGAAGATTTGAGTCAAGTTTGTGAAGGGGTTTACTCCAAGCATGATTGGGGTGGTTCTTTCAAACCTCACGTTTCCCTTAAACTATCAAAATATGGTGAAAAAGATGAAAATATTAAAGTCAGTTATATCATCTTTGAATATAAAGATTTTTATAATATCGGTCATTATTTCGAAGATGGCCAAGTGAAATATATTTGTGATGACACTGCCATTGACTTGAAAGTTTGTAATTCTACTGATAAAGGTAAATTTATTATCAATAATGAAAAATCAAATAATACCATTTTGACCGATCAAATCACTAAATTGGGTCCAATTGATTATAGTTATAATATTAATAATACCGGATATTATTGTGTATCTACATTTGTGGATGATAATACCAAATACCATGGAACGGTGAATTTTCAAAATGCTTTTGGGGAATTATCGGCATCTGAGATTCCAAAATTACCTGCTTATGGGATATTAACCCTTTTGTATGGTATTAGTATAGCATTATTTGGATGGCAATTCTTCAAGAAACGTAAGGAAAATCAAATTTTACCTTTACAAAGATATCTTTTGGCCATGTTGGGTCTCTTGACCTTTGATACCTTGGTTATTTGGTCATACTATGATTTGATTAATCGTTCCCCAAAATTACTCACTAATTTCAATGTGTTCTATTTGGTATTTTTATCCATATTAAATGCTTCCAAATTAACTTTTTCATTCTTCTTATTATTATTAATTTCCTTGGGTTATGGGGTTGTTACTGTTAAATTACATAAGAAGAAAATGTTACAATGTAAGATTTTAGCTGGTGCTCATTTTGTATCATCATTGATTTACTTGGTTTTCAATTACTATAATGGTTCAATTGCTTCAGTTAATGCTGGAAACAATTTGGAAAGTAATTCAAATGATGAATTATGGACTTTATTACCTTTGATACCAATTTCAGTAACTTTATGTATCTATTATGTGATGATCTTAACTTCCATTAAAACCACCACCACCAATTTAAACAAACAAAGACAAGTCATTAAATTGAAATTATATGAAAACTTATTCAAATTGATTTTTGCTTCATTCTTCTTAATCTTCATTGGTATCTTTTTGTCAGGTTTCAAATTCATGACTATGTCATCGCTTGAAATAATTGAATCCAGTTGGAAATATACTTATTTCGTGTTTGAATTCACCCCTTCAATCATTTATTTCATTATATTTATGGGTATTGCTTGGTTATGGAGACCAACAGAAACTAGTTATATGTTAGCAGTATCTCAACAAGTTGCTTCAACTGATGAAAATAATGGTGTAGAATTTGAATTAGATGATTTATCTCTAATGTCACATGATTCCCATCCTGATGAAGAAAATCATAGTTTTGACTTAGATCCTCCTGAATATGAAAATGATAACACATTATTTGAATTAGGAGATAGTGATCATGAACATGACGACAGATTAAAAGATGATTCAAAAGACAATTCAACAAAAACCGAAGATGAAGGAAAATCCACTGATAAATAGATGAGTAGAAAAAATATATACGTTATTATAGAGACCAGAGTAATTCACTTTCAATCCATGTTTATTTAATTCTTGTTTGTTTAAGTATCAATCCATAAAGAACCTCCATTTTTATGAACATCATTAGATAAATTTAAAACTTTTTCATCCCATTGTTTCAAATGACTATGCAAGGTTTTGATTTGATTTAAGTTAAGAATTCTGGGTTGTAGATAACTAATAGTTAAAGTCTTATTAATTTGATCAATTGATCCACTGAATAAGTTTAATGAGAAACATTTAATAATCAAATGTTCAACATCATTCAAATCTGTACTGGTAAATTCACTTATTTCTTGGAATGATAATTTCTTATTTAAAATAGATTTCACCGATATTAATTCAACTAAACTCATTATGATGATTTTTTGATTTAAGAATGATTGAAATTGTTTCAATTTTGGGAATTTATCGAATGAAATGGTCAAGTTTTCTCCAAAATTCTTTATGTCCCCATTATTCAAATTGATAATAAGATCATATAACCATTGATAAGGTGAATTATTTAAATTTTCCAAGATATTATTTAAAATTAATTCTCCAAAGTTATAGATTTTATCTCCCAATAATGCAGAAATAGATAAATCAAAAGCAAATTCTAATTCTTTAGCTTTATTAACTTCCACATCTTGAGTCTCATTCAATTCATTTAATGTGGATAAGTATAATAATCCATTTGTATAGAAAGAATTATAATTATCTTTTGATTTGAAGTATTGACATTTGGTTGAATAATAAGCATTATTAATCTTGGAATTGAATTCATTATTAATCATGGTGAATTTATTATCTAAAGAATCTAAAATCTTATTAGCTTCTTCAAAATCATTCAATAATATGTAGAATCTTGAAATTTGTAAATTGATATAGATCTTTGCATTTTCATCTTCACTGGATTCAATTTCACTTTGAAGTTTGATGAGTTTATTGAGACATTCTTGTTGATTGTTTTCAAATGATTTCAAAAGGAAATCAGTAACTTTATAACTGTTTAATTTCTTAGTTAATGTTGAAATGAATTGATTAAAGATTTGAACCTTTAAATCTTCATTTGCAATCTTATAGAAATTTTCCAAACTTAAAGTAAGTTGATGGTATAATTTCCTTTCACTGAAATCTTCCAATTCATAAGTAATACTGATTAACTCTTCATCATCAATTGATTGCCTGATGGAAGCTAAAACTGTTGAAACATCCATTGCCACTGATTTTTGTTAACTGCGCGCTTTGATAAAGACAGAGTTGATATTCTGTGGTGTACCGATGTTCATGCATTTATGCTATTTAGATTGTTGAAAAAATTGTTTAAAATCATTCCAATTATTAAGATTTTCGATGAATAGTTGTTTAGTAGCTCGAGTAAATTCTAAGAATATGACCAACCATTTCTTTTCAATGAGTTTTGAAAATTGTTGGAAATTATCACTAAGTTCTTGAGTTAGATCGTGTAAGTCTTGAGAGGAAAGATCAATGAGTTGATCTAATTTATCTAAATCTCTCTGTATGCTTTCTATCTTAGAATCCTTATTGTGGATATCATTTCTTTGAGGACTTGCTTGGAGACTGTTGATACTCTTTCTTGGACTATTTTGAGGACTGGATGTGGTAGATCCATGGATGCTAGAACCATTATAGCTATTGATACTAGGACTTACACTTCTGATATCTGAAGTTTCTATATTTGTGGTTTGGTTTGTATTTCCGTTGGAATTGCCGTTCAAAGTGGTCAAACTTGAAGGGGGAAGATTTGGTTTGGATCCTCCAAAATATTTATACCAACTTTTTTTCAGTCTATTATTTAAAAAGTTCTTCACTGAAGGACTATTCAAATCTTTCAAAGTTTCAAAATCACTATCAAAACTCTTGAAATTATATAATTGGTTCATCTTATTAAATTTCAATCGGAAAATTATCAAGAATTGAATGATTTTGAATTTATAGAAATTCACGAGATTTAAGCATTCTTCGAAATAAAGAATCAATTGATTAATAGAATCTTTCCAGTCGGGTATAAGATGATTGAATAAATAATTTTCATAATTCAAATAATTCAAGTCGATGATTGAACCAAATTTTTCAATTAAATTACTCAACTCCTTGTTGAGTTCGAAGATTTCCAATGAGAAATTGTTTAAATTACCACCAAGATTGATTAAAGATGAAAGAAGGAATTTAAAATTATTCAAATGATTAAAATTGATTTTATTAAAATTTTTAAGGATTTTCAAATTCTTATTGATGAATATCTCAAATTTGATCAAATCTTCGGGTATGAATTTGAAAGTGTTATTAGATGGTGATGGATTTTGGTTAGATTTATGTTTCTTCGTATCATCATATTGACTCATCTTACGTTCCAATTTGACTAAATTATCATTCAATGATACAAAATTGTCCAATTTGATATTATATAATTCACTCATATTATTATTGAAATTATTGAGTTTGGGTAATAATATGTATAATCCATTGAACTGTAAAGGGTTGATGGGATTACACAATAACATATTCTTGGGTAATTGAGTGATGGGGTTTTCATTAAGGGCATTATTCCAACATAATTCATAATTGGGGTCGAAAAACTTTTCAACAAATGACAATTCGAGGAAGTTAGGTTCTTTAATCTCAACCAAATCGTTTAAAAATCGGTTGAATAATCTTCTTCTAAATTCTATCAACGAAACTTCCTTATTATTATCGATTGAATTGAGGAAATATGATATTATCGAATGTTTTTCAGGAATTGGTGGAATTATAACACTGGGGTATAATTTGTTTAAATTATCTCTGAAAGATTTGAACTCACTGAATCTTCTTTTTATAATTATGGTATCTTTACCATTAGTTAACTCAATAAGGTAAACAACTGTAGATGAGTGAATTAGCTTTTCTGTTGACTTTATGGAGATTTGGACCTTCTCATCACGAAGTAAGGATTGGATTGTATCCGAAACAGTGATTGAATTATTCACTAGCTCATCATAATTGCTGAATAATGAAGGTTTGTTATCCTCTTCAATATTAAACGGATGATCCATTTTGGTAAATATTCGCATTTTTCTCAGTCTTATCTTTGCTCCCTCAATGGGCCCAAGTGACGAGGTAGATGTTTGGAAAATCATGCGTATGGGAACTTCTGGGCACGACTTATGGATATCTTATAAAAGTTAACGATAATTCCGATGAAAATATCCCATTTGTAAAGATGTTCCCTCGCTGGATTTGTGATTTTTACTGAGACTTCCATCAATTGGGTTGATTTTTGTGGAGGTGAACGTCTTTACTTGCAAATCCTCTACTTCTGAGTAACTTCGGTCAATTTTACATACATAAATAACTTTCATCTCGACTCACAAGGAAAGTTGTTTGTATTCACCTCAAAGTCAACTCTAAACACACCGTGATGTATTACTGGTTTTAATGTAAATTTGTTTACTAACGGAACCATAAAGAGCCGTCAATCGACTAATTCGTCGATTTCCGAGTTATATTTTTCCTTTTTCCGTCGATTTAGCTGAACGGAAATCTGAGATCTCCGTCTCGTTTTCTTTACCTTGACGCAAACCCGGGTGGACCTTTTTGGCCAAAAGCCGCCTGAAACCCAATCCTCCACAACGTTACTATATAAAGCAATCAAATTTCCAATTAATTCAACACAAATAAAATGAGTATTGATATTGGAAAAAAAGGTTTCGGAACCATGTCTATGACTTGGGTGCACCATCCCCAACCATTGGAAGAGTCTATTAAAACTTTAGAACATGTTAGAACTAAATATGGAGTCAAATTCTTCAATGGGTCTACCTTTTACCATGTAGGTCCTGAACCATTGAATTTGAAGTTATTAAGAGAATTTGCAATTGCAGCCAAAGATCCTGAATTGATCTTCTCTATTAAAGGAGGAATGAGTAGGGAAGTCTTATTTAAATTCGAAACTGACAAAAAAGGTATTGACTCAGATATGGAATTATTGGATGAATATTTCGGTGATTTAAATCCTAAACCGAAGTTGGTGTATGAAATTGCTAGAGTTGGGTCTGTTCCTATTGAAGAATCAATCGGGTTCATTTACGAGCACGTCAAAGCTGGTAGAATCGATGGTATTTCCTTGAGTGAAGTTGGTGTTGAATCTATCAAAAAGGCAGTTGCTGTAGCTCCTATTTCTTGTTTAGAAGTAGAAATCTCCTTATTCGCTCAAGATATTGTCAAGAATGGTATTTTGGCTGAAGCCGCTAAAAACCAAATTACCATCGTTGCATATTCTCCTTTAGCAAGAGGTATTTTGACTGAAAAAGCCTTGGAACCTGATTTCTTGGATCAACTTAAAGCTAGTGGTAATCATGCTGCCGCTTTTGATAAGTTTCAACCTGATACCTTCCAAAAAAATATGAGTTGTTTGAAGAAGTTACATGATTTTGCTCATAATAAAAAGAACATCACTTTGGAATCTTTGTCTTTGAGTTACTTAAATAGCTTATCAGGACTTAAGGAGTTCGAAGGAATCAAGAATATCCCAGCAATTGTACCAATCCCTTCAGGAAAATCAATTGAAAGAGTAGATCAAAACTACTCCACCTTAGTTGAATTATCTCCGGAGGAGATTTCTGAAATTCAAGCGATCTTGCATGAAAACGAAGTCATTGGTTCAAGATATACTGAGGCTTTATCTCACACATTAAACGGTTAGTTTCAATACATGCACTTAACTTTATGGTAAAATTTTGCCCTCCTCTAGCGGACATGCTCTTTATCTACATTTGTAAGCCGCAGCGATAACTTCGCGATGAAGAGAAGAAGATTAGTGTTTGTATGCCTCAATTGTAAGAAACGAAGGGTCAAATGTGATAAGGGAAACCCTTGTTCTAACTGTGTAAAATCAGGTAAAAATTGTGTTTACAGTGATGAAGTCACCAATGGGAAGTCGTATGTGTTGAGTACTTTCCAACCTTTGGATCTTAAAATCAAATCTCCGCTTGGACAGAATTCTATCCAGCATGGCGGAACTGAAATTGCCAGTACCAAGAATAGAGATACTACTGGAATATATTCAGCTAAACCTTCAAGTAGTGGTGGAACCTCGGAAAGCTCAGGTTCAGTTCCAGTTGATTCGGTTGATAAGCAAATACCCAATCCCGATTCCGAGGCAACTGTAGATGAATTCAGTCTGGTTGACGGTAAAGACTCCATTATCCGGTATGAAGAAGAAGGTGAAATTCCAGGTAAGGAAACAAGCTTTTTTGATACGGTCAAAGTCAGCTTAACCCAATACGACTCGTCGCCATATTCCCTCAAGTCATTCATAGGATTCAATACCACCTTCAGAACGTTTCATAATTCGATTCCGTTCCTTTTACAGAACCTCCACACCCCCAGTAGTACTTCAGTTCCTCCAAAAGATGAAGAATTCCTCAGTTTGGATGATAGATTGATACTGGTTCTACCTCCTCAACAATATTTTTGGCAATTGCTTGATAAATTCTTTGCAACTATCCACCCTGAGTTTCCATTTGTGATAAGAGAAGAATTCTTTGATGATCTCAATCCCATAATTGGGTCCACTGATGATAAAATCTCATTGAACATTAGAACAAATGAAGATTACCTAACCATCATGTTGGCTTTGGTCTTCATAAGTCTTGCATCAATCCCCATTATGACTCGGAAAATCCTTCCAAATCAAGAGTCTCTACACACAGAGGCTGAACTTAAAAGATGTTTGAAACATTCCCCAGATATTGTTTCTGTTGTGAATTCTTGTATCAAATCATTACCTGAAAGCATGAACTTCAAGACTTTCCAAGTTTTAAATTTCCTCAGAATATACCATCGATATTCTCCTGAATATGATGCAAAGGAGATGGTGATAATTCTGGAGCGAATCATCGAGTTAGGAGAGAAATTAGGGATTCTTTACAATACCAATGAACTTTTGACTGTCAATGAATTCAAACTAGGGTTGAGGATGATTATATACTTTTCCATTTGTGAATCGTGTCATGTACCCCTTTCTGCAAGACAGTTTCCAGGGATTTTGAGAGTCCTTCCATTTACTGTTCAGTTTTCTGATATTGCCATAAACCACGTCGATAACGATGATACTGTTAAATTTCTTCATTGCTGTACAAGGCTTTGGAATGAAGTACTTCCCAAAATCGTGCAAGTTCCAGATCTATTCTCAAACCCCAATCTACCTATATCTGTATTTATCAAACGAATATCTGATGTAGAATTGAGTGTTCAAGATCACTCCAAACTATTCAAATTCTATTTAAATGACGAGTCTAACAAAAAGACTATCACAGATTATAACAAGTTTGTGGGTAAGAATTCTATGGGGAAGTTTGTCCTTAGTTACAATCTTTTCTTCACCTTAAACTTCAACATTATACTACAATTCCAAGAAAAAGGTTACTCCCTGTTTTTTTATAAACTCAAACTATTGAAGAAAGTATATGAATGTTTGAAGTCTTTTCCTCCTTTGATTCAAAGATCTAATATGGAGAATGATTTCATTATCAATCCTACTTTGCAAGTTCTTGTTTTCCGAATCTATCTCATACTAATAGATTTGTATATTCAATTTGGGAGTTATTTAAAGAGTGAGCAAATAATGGATTTAACTTCCAGGGTCAAACTAACAGAAGTGACGTCTCTGTTGAGGTTTCAAATTCGATATTTGATTTACTTGTTATATTTTTTTGTACCAAACTACTCATATGCTTGGAAAGCTTTCAAATTGGCCAAAATCTACTACCGGAATCTTGAAAAGAGTTTGAGCGATTCCATAACTGACACCGATTTTGATGATCCTACTTATGCTATTGAAAGATTGGATTTATTGATTTCCATAATCGATATCCCCATACTTTTTGATGAATATGATTTTGATATGGACTCAGTAGATCAGTATGACGATAAATGGAGTGATGGTTCAGACATTTTCGAAGATTTGAATCTTATCCAGTAGTTATCGATGACATTCCGTTTGGTACACGACCGTGCACTAAATAATATTTTTATCAAAGCCGAATTCAATACAAACGAAAGGCAACTCCTTCAAATTCCATCGAACACTCTAAAATCATAATAGAATTTGAATCTTTTGATAAAAAGTCTTATCAGAGCTATACACGTTAATTTTTCTTCAATGTGGTTAAGCCACAGGAACGAGAAAAAATAAAACTTTCGATCATGATGATCAATTGTTAATTCAAAAGTCTAATGAACGCCTCAGATTTAATAACTAATATCTCATCATCTGTACGTTTTCTTATCATTAAAACACGGTTCCTAGCTACTCTATCCAATGGCTGCAAACCTCAAAATGTTGATTTCGCGTGGAAAATTTTTATATTAGGCTTAACCAATATCGGGCATTTCGATAAAGACAATTATAGCATATTCTGTGTTAATATCAGTTGAACAACGCGACTAGTCTTTATCTCATATCATCATATTCGTTGTGTAATTTTCCATTTCTGAATTCATTCACATTTGTCTCCTTTTAAAACTGTAAAGTCAAAAGCAAGGAGATTATTTGAGTCCATTGGAAAACATAGTTTTTTCTCCGTAAACCATAATTAAGGTTAACCAACTTTGTATTATAATATTCATAGATCATATCAGAGCATAATGAATTTCAAACCTTTAAAGAACCTAAGATACATCATCATAGGGTGTATAATATTCACTTTAGTGAACGTTTTATTCTCATTCAGATCATTCGGATCCATTGATGAATTCCTAGATAAGACCATACCTAGAACAGTCAAGGTATACACAGTTTATCATAAAGATGATCTGAATAATTTCGTTATTCTTCAAAAATCAGAAATATCATCAAATCAATTCAGATCAAAAAAATATCAGTATTTGGATTTGAAAACTCCAGTTCAACCTGAAGATTTCCCAAATTATGAAATCAAATATATTGATGAGTTTGATTATAGTAATATGACTGCAAGGAAGATTGAAAAATTCATCGATGACACTAAATTTGGTGACTTGTTTATTGTTGATTACGAGAGTAGATTTTCCAATCAATTTGTTAGATTTTTCCAAAATTTGTTTGATATTATTGAAGATTGTAAACCTTCCATACCTGGTATCAATAACAACGACCATTATAGAATTTGTAAAGAGGAAGATAAAGTTCCTAATAGAGATGGAAGAGTTATGGTCTATGGTGGTCATTTAAGAGAAAATTATCTTGAAGAAGAAATCAGAACTAAGGAATTTTTAGCTACTTATTTAAGATTAGATGATAATGAAATCAAGTCTTTGACCGAAAGTCATAAAAAGTTTTTATTCAAAATGCCAAATTCTATACCTCAAGAATTAATTGATTACAGTAAATTCAATGATTTCATGAAAGGTGATGGTATAGTTTATCTTGGAGGAGATGATTATAATCAATTGGCTTTGTTATCAATAAAGATGTTGAGATCAGTAGGGTCTAAATTACCTATTGAATTGATTATTCCTAGAGAAAGTGATTACGATATTGATTTATGTAATTCTATTCTCCCAAGTCTCAATGGTAAATGTAAAGTTATGGAACATTTCTTACCTAAATCCATAATTGATAAAGTTAAAGGGTATCAATTGAAAAATTTAGCTTTAATGATTTCATCTTTTGAAAAAGTATTATATTTGGATGCTGATAATATTCCAGCAGCTAATCCTGATACATTGTTCAATAACGAACCTTTCCTTAATAATCATTTGGTTGTTTGGCCAGATTTATGGAGAAGAAGTACTTCTCCTTTATTCTATCAAATTGCTAATATCGAAACAGATGCTTCTGTTAGATTGAGATCTTCTTATTTCAACGGTGATAAACGTGGAGAAAATAGTAAAATTTCTTTCCATGATGCTAAAGGTACTATACCTGAAGCATCTAGTGAAACAGGTCAATTGTTGATCAATAAATCAGTTCATTTCAAAACCCTTATCTTATCCATGTACTATAATTATTACGGGCCTCAATATTTTTATGCCTTGTTGAGTCAAGGTGCTGCCGGTGAAGGTGATAAAGAAACATTCATTGCAGCTGCCCACAAATTAAGATTACCTTATTATCAAGTAAAAGAGTTTAATAGAGAATTTGGTCCAGAAAAGTCAAAAAATAAGCATGAATTATTTGGAATGGGTCAATATGATCCATTAATCGATTTCGTTCAAGATAGTGATCATGAAAAATGTTTAACATCAAATTTCGTTCCTGATTATGCCATTAATTCCGGTGATAAAGATCATTCTAATTACAATTTCCATTATTTCAAATCTTCTAGATTAATGTTCCTTCATGCCAATTGGCCAAAATATAAATTGCATGAAATGTTCATTGCCAATTCTTTTGGTAGAGGTCCAAAACATGGTGATAAAAGAAGAAGACTTTATGATTTGAATATCATGCAAGAAACTGATGGTTTTGATCTTGAATTATCTATCATGCAAAGTTTACAATGGCTTTTCTGTGAATTGATGATCAATATAAAGAAAGTCCCAGAATTGGAATCCGACGATAGAAAACGAATCTGTAACGAGATTAACGAACAAATCATTTTTTTGGCAAGTAATACGGGTAACTAAGTAAATCTAGTTGTAAATTATTAATATAGCACTTAATTTTCTAACTCGGGATTTTCTACCTCTCGTTGAACCAGCTCTTCCATCACCACTTGTAATGATATTTCATGGGGTACGCGCATTTCTCAAACTATCAACATGATTCAAGATATAGTTATCACGAGGAACAAGGTGTATCCTCGAGGAATTACCTCCAATGACAGTTCAATGGTATCTGTGAATCAAGGGCTGTCGTTACTCTTGTTGGAGCCCAAGTTTCCTAATTTACATCAGACTTTAGAATGCTTCGATGAGAATAACAATAACTTAATCACAAAGAATCTTTTCAATCATCTCAACATTCTAGATAGTAATACGCTTGATAAGTTTGACATAAGAAAGTTTAACAAGACCAATGTTGTATCCTCATCGACAGATTTCCATTTTGCCCGTGTTGAACCAATCATCATCAAACATAAATGGTTCAATCACTCTAAGAATAATAAGAGGAACCTGTTAATGGTCTTATTCAATTCAGGAGAATGTATTTTGGTCAACAACGTCAACAATGAATGGGTAATGACTGACAGTTACTTCAATTGGTGCTTGAGACAGGGTGGTATAAGAAATGATGATCTTGAATATAATCTACAATATGAAGAATATATCGAGTATAAGGTAAAAGATTTTGAAATTTGTCAGGAAACTAAAAGTTTCTCCATCTTAACTGAATCAAATTGTTTCAGGGAATTTGATTTGAATTTTGAGTTGTTAGATGAATTTACAGTTAAACATCAGGTCATAAATTTTAAATATAGTATCGATTTTTATGTGTATACCACAGTTAAGAATGAAATCGTCACTCGAGATGGTAAAGTGCTCCTGGAAGAAAACAGATTCAAAATCAGTAAGATTGAGTTGAAGGATAATCTTGTTTATGCCACCAATTCTAAACAGGTATTTATTCATGATATTGTCTCCGGTATCAACGAAATTATACCTCTCGCCAGCCACTGGGTCAATGATCTTCATATCTTCGACGGTAAATATCTTGCTAGTGACGACAGCAGTATCTTCTGTAATGATGCTACCGTGCAAAATATCATCGATCGACAACTCAAAATGATCAAGATTAAGAACGATGGGAAACTTATGATCTATGGTACAACGATAATGAACGGAGTTCTAATAGTGGTCTATAAGAATTATCCAATTAACACTTTAAATTACACAATTTTGAGTAAGCAGGAGTTCAAACTCAGTTTCATTCCTATAAAACATACAACGAACCATAATCTTAATTTGATCAATAATCTTTGGTTCGAACACTACAGTGATATCAAGATATTCCCAGAGAACTCCACCATAACGTACGATTTGATAGACAAGTTCCTAGCATCTTTGACAGATTTAAAGACAAATATGGCTTTGGAATTCAAGTCATTGATACCACAGATTCAATTTAAAGATCAATTTGCGGATTATCTAATATCGAATTTCACCACAAACCCAGACATTTTGAATTTACAAGATGTTTACAATTTCAATGCCACCATAATAATTGGTTTGAACGCCTTGATTGAAAGGTTGAAATCAATTTCAAATCTAGATATCAGTCTTTTGGAAAAGTGTCAAGCTTTCTATTATAAATTGTCTGAGGAACAAACTCTTGTTCAAACTACAATCCAGCGATTTTTGTTTCAAGCGATCGTGAATTTTGACTACCCTTTACAACACGATATTGATAAATTTATTATCGGGAACTACACCACATTCCTTGGATTACCTAATCCATACCCCGACCTTACTGTTGAAATTTCAACAACATTTTTCAAAGAGTCATTTAGAATCGGCTCCAATGTTTCTTTATCCGATCACCAATGGCCTCAGTGTGCTCTTACTTTCCTTCCCATTATGGACTTAAATTCGAATACCGATTTGCTAAACAAGTTTCACTATTGCTCAAATAAAGATAGCAAATTTGTTTCTGAATTAACTTCTATATTGAGTTATTGTATTGTAACGGGGAACAGGTTCAAATAGAGGAGATTTGGGTGGTTAACTTCCGGATTTATCAAAGTCAATTTTACAGTTTCCTTCAAAATAAAAGGCTGCGAAAAATAGGAGTCAGATGGAAAGACTCCTCCAGACTCCGCGCTGTTTCGAGTCAAACGTCCAACAGGGATATAATGCTACTTCTCCCGGATAACAACTTGAGTTGTGCTAAAATTGATTAAAGACAATGTCAGTTGAACAAGTAAACGATCAATTCCCCCATGTCAAAACATCCTTGGTTGATGTAACGGATAAATTACCTTTCAAACCACCTTGTAGAATCTATTTCAAAAATGAAATGGAACAACCCTGTGGGAGTTTTAAGCTTAGGGGTATTGGTTATATGATTAAAACCAGTGTAGAAAGATTGAGGTTACAAGGTAAAACCAAGATTCAAGTTTTCGCAAGTTCAGGAGGTAATGCAGGCTTATCAGCTGCTTATCTGTCAAGACTTTTAGGGATCAAATGTACTATCGGTGTACCCAGGGCTACTAAAAAACACATTATCGAAAAATTGCAAGAATATGGGGCAGAAGTTCTCATGTATGGAGACTCAATTAACGAAGCTGATGGTCATTTACAAAGAAAAATGAATTCCCTTGACAAACTGATAGAAACCCTCTATTGTCACCCTTTCGAGAATGAGTTAGTTTGGGAAGGTCACACAACGATGATAGATGAAATAGCTGAACAATTACCTGACCCGAAGAAATTCAAAGGTTTAGTCTGTTCAGTAGGTGGTGGTGGTTTATATAATGGTTTAATGAGAGGTTTGAAAAGACGAAACCTTAAAACTGATATATTATTGATCGAACCAAATCAAGCACCTACCTTCAGGGAAACCATCAAGAGAAAAGAAATCTTTTTATTAGATGATGTTAAATCCGTTGCCACATCTTTAGCCTGCTCATTCTTAAGTAAACAAAGTTTGGACTATTACCTCGATCAATCCCTCCAAAAAACTTATCTCGAATCGATCGATGATTTGGAAACTATCAAAGGTTTAGTTAACCACTATAAATATTTCAATCAAATTGTTGAACCTGCTTGTGGTGCAGCTGTATCAACAGTGTTCAATCAATTACCATTATTATATAAAAACTTTGATGTCAAAGCTGATGATATAATAGTTATTGTTGTTTGTGGGGGTTCTTGTACCAACGAAGAGGATCTTCAAGAATTTATGAACTTGGTGTCCAAATCTAAATTTTAATAGACGCATTTTTTTTTGTTACTGAATCAGTCTCTCATAGCTTTATTTGTATAAGTGTAACGATCTCTCGGAACTTTTTTTTTGCAACTATAAATCTGCGCGGGTATGGATTATCACCATCCTTTCAAGCCGTATGATATACAAGTTCAGTTGATGGATCAGATCTATGATACCATCGAGAAGGGGTTCAAAGTGGGGATATTTGAGAGTCCAACCGGGACAGGGAAAACTTTATCCCTAATATGTGCCACAATGGCTTGGTTGAGAAACTACAAGAAAGAACACAACCATACTCAAGGGAGTGTTGATACTGACTCAGATTCAGACTCAGAACCTGAATGGGTTAAACAAAAATTCATGGATTCGATCGTCAATCAACAAAGAGGGAAAATGAAGGATTATGAGAAGCATTTGGACGATATGGAGAAAGAATATAAATCCAAATCAATCACATTACACCAACTTAAAAAGATACGACATGTCAAGGAAGATAACTATTTACCTCAAGATTACGTTGAACAGAATGATCAGCTCAAAGAAGAGATTTCGATGTTGTTGGATAAATTAAGTGGTCTGGAAACCGTAAAATTAGAACAGTCATCACCCACTATATTTTTTAGTTCAAGAACTCATAGTCAATTGAAACAATTTTCAGATCAATTAACCTTACCCCAATTTGAATCATCTTTGGGGGATACCCCTGAGCGTCCCAAATACCTGGTTTTGGGATCCAGGAAGCAGCTATGTATCCATCCAAAAGTCTCCACTTATTCAACAGTGGAGGCTATTAATGAAGGATGTAAGGATTTGAATGCTAGCGATGGATGTGACTACTTACATGCCGATGGTAAATTCACTGATTATTCGATGACAAAGGTCCATGATATCGAAGACTTGAAGGACTTGGGTAGTTTCTTGAAAGTGTGTCCTTATTATTCTGTAAGAAACAATCTCAAAGCCAGTGAGATTATATCTTTACCTTATCAAATGATCTTGGAATCTACAACAAGAGATTTACTCAAACTAGACCTCAAAAACTCCATTGTCATCATTGACGAAGCACACAATTTAATAGATTCCATAACATCTTTGAACTCAATGAAAATATCCCAACTTGAACTAAATAAGATTTTGGGAGGTTTGGAAACTTATTACAAAAAGTTTGTAAATCGTTTGAATTCAGGAAATAGAATCAACCTAGTCAAACTTATTAAAATCGTCAAAATCATCATGAAGTTTTTTGATGGGGATAAGAAATCGGGAAAAGAAATCAACGTCAATGACATATTCATAGGAAGTACGGGTGATTTGTTCAACATACACTCGTTGGAGACTTACTTGACAAAGTCCAAGATTGCTTACAAGATTGAAAACTACCTTGAGGCTATCGAATATAAGAATTCCAGTCCCTTGCTCTTCAAATTGGTGAAATTTTTGAAATGTGTGAGTTTCCCTTCGAAGGAAGGTAGGTTCTTCTGGGATTTAGATGGTGAACCGTCCATTAATTATATGCTTCTTGATCCTTCCCAACTTTTTAAACCAATCATCGAACAATGTAAGTGTTTGATACTTTGTGGGGGTACTATGGAACCCATGAGTGATTACACCGAGATTTTGTTCCCTTATCTCAAAGCAGATGATATTAACACCTTTTCATGCAATCATGTTATTCCAGATGCTAATCTTAAAGTTATGCCCATCGGCACCTATAATGGAACTAAATTTGATTTTACTTTTGGCAACAGGGCCAATAGCAAGTTGATCACAAGTCTTGGGGATGCACTACTCCAACTATTCAAAACCATACCTTTTGGGGTGGTTGTCTTCTTCCCGAGCTATAAATACCTCGAAGAGCTCCACCGTGTATGGGAAAGAACTGGGCACATAAAAAAGTTCGAATCAGTGAAAAAGAAGCTATTCATGGAAACATCTGACACTGATAAGATTCTAGCAGACTATTCTAACTGTATACTGATTCAAGGTTCTGCCCTATTATTTTCGGTTGTTGGGGGAAAGTTAAGTGAAGGTATAAATTTTTCTGACAACTTAGCAAGGGGGGTGATCATGATAGGATTACCTTACCCAAATATAATGTCTTCAGAATTGATTGCTAAACGCCAATATGTTGAGAGAGTTTCTGGGAAGGAAAGGAGTAAAGAATACATAGAAAATATTTGTATGAGGGCCATCAATCAAAGTATAGGAAGAAGTATCAGACACATCAATGATTACTCGATGATTTATCTTATTGATTCCCGTTATGAGAATACTAATATACAGAATAAATTAAGTGGGTGGATCAAAAGAAGAATAAACGAATTACCTTTCAATGAAATTATTGACGAAACAAACGAATTCTTCAATAATAAGCTTGTCACTAGAATGGTATGAAGATCTAGAATACAACGTCACTCCTCAAGACCCATTTAGCTCCTGACTTGACTAGCTCCGCTTCGTGCATTAAGCAATCATCGCCATGTTTGTGTAAAAGTGCCATGCCCTTGGAAGGGTGGATATTCAATGCTTTTTTACTAAAAGGAGGGTGAAAAATTGTACCACCGCCCTCGAATTCTTCGTCTCCTGTCAAATAAATCAATAAGGTCCATCTAGTTCTACCCTTAAGTGCCTTTACGGATTCATCATAATGCTTACCGAAATAGTGACCTTTCAAATAACGATAAATTCTCAACTGAGGATTTAACCCTTTGGCTTTGATGAAAGTGTTCCTAATGACATTTTCGTCAAAATCATCCTGAAGAAGGACCTTCTGTAAATATTGCCATAACTCATTAGATTTTATGTGGTCTTCTATAAGTACTCTGTCATTGACTCGTGCAGCATAATCTTTACTTTTAATCAACGGTGTTGTTTCTAGTTTCAACTTTTGGAATTCTTTAATAAGTGCATTACACTGCTCTGTCGAGAAAAACTTGCTAATGGTGATTATCTGGTCATGGATGACTATTTCGCCGGAGGGTTTGAAATACAGTTGATCGAATTCTTTGGATAAGCTACTAAAGTTCATTGCGCGGATTATCTAATGGCCCATGATTAAATAAGAGTTACAAGAGGATAAGCTATGTTACAAAATTATGCATTACCTATATCATAATTGGGATTCTAATTGAACTAATAAGCTGTATGTCTCCCTGGGCATTTTATATTGTATCATACCAGCAAAGATCATACAGTTCTTTGCAATAATTTTCAACCTGCTGATCTCATCTGTTTCGTTCGACAAACTCTTGAAATTTGAAGACAAAGACTGGTTGTTCAATTGAGAAATTGAGGACATCACCATGATCAATAAACAAGGAATGACTTTCAAGATATTGTTATCCAAGGAATTTTGAATAAATTCTGATAATGATCTGATTTTGATCAAATCATCATTAACATTTATAGGCAACAAGTTTAAATTTTCAATTTCCAATAGTAAACTATTAAATTTTTTATTGATGAAGCTCTCCCTGATGTTGACGATCGATATTAACAAATCTGTAGTAAATTTATTAGCTTTGTTGATCTTGCTAAGAATGCTAGCATTGTTGAAAATGGAGTTTATATGTTGAGACAACAAAACGATATTATTTTCGTAGGTCTCATTATCGCCAGACTTCAATGATTTGGAGAAATCAGTGGTGGAAATTAATTCACTTAATAGTTTGTTGATAATTAATAATACTTTGTCGAAATTTTGGCATAACTGATAAAGTAAGATACAATCAAATATTCTTCCCTCTTCTTCACACTTCTTTCCTGAAACTTCAATGATTTTGTAATTGAATTCATCCACATCTGATAATTTGATCAAAGATCTTTGATTGAATAATAACCCTGGAATGATTTCACCATTATCATGATTCAATTTTCCCAATAATGAATTGAAATCTCTTGAAATGACAATCAAATCAATCAAGTTTTCGTGACAATTTTTGATTTCCTCAATGGATTCACCGTTGAATGATAATGCAATGAGAATGAGGTACTGACAAGCAATTTTTGGATCGCTAATCTTGAAACTTCTAATGAATAATGTCATCATTTTGCCGAAAGACACTTCATAATTGTTGGTTTTAAAATTTAAATTGATCAATTCTTTTGTTGCAGTAGTGCTTACTTTAATCAATCCATAATAATTCAAAGCAATGCATAAATGTACACCATCGATTTCATTGATGAACTCATAGACATATTTGATGGCCAATTCATACAATCCCACCAATACTAAACATTTCAAGTACATAGGGTTATTTGATGAGTTGTTAAGTTTGTTTAAACCAATTGAAATAATTTGTTTCTGTAAATTTGATAAGCGATAATTTTCGAAAATTAAATCGTTATCTTTGTCACTATCCTCGTTGATAATAGACAAATGGAACCACAACCAGTCCTCAATGGTCAAGTTAATTATGGCAGGTAAATTCTTCTTGGATAAATCACACTTTCCGATGATCTTGTAGATACAATATTTGTAAGGATCAATTTTCTTGAAATCTTCAACCATTGAGAATTGTTGGTTGAATTCCTTATTGATTCTCTCGTGTAAGTTGGGACTCAATTTGAATTTATTGTCTTTCAAATAATCTTTCAAGTATGTGGGGAAATTTTTGTCAAACTTGCTGAAAACATCGCTATTATCATCGACAAATTTGATGACCTCGCTATGAAGTCCAGATCTCATTAAATAATAGATGATGGTCCAGATGGGCAAGCCGTTTACCTTCAAGATGTTATCGTTGGATTTCAAAATAATCTTCTTGATAAAAAATCTGATTTTATTAACATTGGAAGACGGTTTGAACTCTTCTTTATTATCTTCTTTATTATAGATTTCCTCAACATACTGGAAAAATTGATGCTGTAAAAAGTTTTTAGACTTGTTCACTACCAACTTACTGTTATCTTTGAACGATTGTTCCTGACTGAATTTGGCTTCTGATTCATTGGTCAATTCCATGAGAATCTTATAAATTTCAGTGAGTTGTTTTGATTTTAAATCAGAATTACCATCGTTCATGTCTTTGAAGCTGCTTAAGATTGGAAAACTTTCATTACTCAACCTTGACTCATTTAGTCTGTATATGACAGTTGCATATTTTTCAAATTTGTCTCTAGTATAATTTCTAACCATTTTGTCTTCTTCATAATTTCCATTTTTCCAGATGAGTGGGGCTACTTTTGACTTTTCTTCCAGTTTCAAATCTTTGTTATTCAACAAATTCTTTCTCAATTCGTTTCTTTTCAACTTCCAGTCAATTTTGATAGTTTTGTTGATATATTCATCAAAATCTTGCGATGCTAAACTTAATGATTGTTCGATGGTGTTCAAAATATTTTCCTCTTTCTTAGAATTCAAGAACTGATCAATGCCTACGGTTTTAGGTTTCATTATCTTATTTGTGTAGATTGGTTCAATGGACTTCAATTCATTTTCAATTTCTTCGGCACTAATACCACTTGATGCTAACAAGTAATGAGCTTTGGTGAAATTAGGTTTGTCAGTTTTATTTTTTATTAACTGTTGTGACTTCCGTTGTAATTCATCGGGTGTGAGGTTTATGGTTCCAAGATCATTATTGTTCAATCTAGGAAGATTGTTGGCACTTTCAAGCAAATCTTTCAAAAGTCTAGTTGTTGATTTACCACTTGAAGTAGTCAGGTTGTTTACATTCCCTGAAGCAGATGACTTTACAGTTCCTGGAGCTTCATGTCCTGTAACTATTCCTGATCCTTTCATGGTGGATCCTACTGATGTAGAATTAGTACTTGATGCAAAATTACCGGACCCACTTCCAAACATAATAGCTTCGTTCTTCACAAATTGAGAATAAACATCGAGAAGTGGTTCTGTCCGACACACGACATCTCGCGCCATCTATAAAAGGCTTCCTGTGCTTGAAAATTTTTCAACTTTGTCCAAAAGTAACCCATCACATTGACAGTACAAATTATTACTAGTTAGTGATTCGAGAAGGAATGACATTGGATGATCTATCATGTGTATAAGGCGATTGGTTTTCAATTGCTAAGTACAATCCCATGATATTTTTGAAGGTTGAATGATTTCTTGCAATTCTAATTAGTGAGTGATAACTTTGTGATAGTTGATGGGAATATTAATATGAATCTTTTAAGAACCTGTCTGGACTATGATGAAAGAGAGGTGTCAGTAGATTCAGAAATCTATCACATTATTATTTCCATTGAATTTTTGTTTAATTATGTGTATTTCTAAAAGTACTATCTTAAATTAATTGATCTACTATATATCTTCGAGACAAACGTCAGGGAACTCTAATTCTTCTGAATTACCCAATCCACCTGCAAAGTTTTCTCTACAACTCCATGGCTTATAAGGGAACCACCAGAAACCTAAAGTCAAAATGATGTAGATTCCATAAACGGCTGAAATATAATTCATTGAGCCAGCGGTAACAGGTAAATAAGTTGGGAAGGAATAGAAGACTAAACCGAAAGCAGTCCATAACAAACAAATGATATTTGAAACCATACCAATTTTACCTAACCAGAAAGGACCATGTCTGACTTTGTCTCTACCTCTGTATAATAAACAAAGAATTGGAACTGAATATGATAATAATAAGAATGTAATGGTACCAATAACCATTGAATTGAAAGCGGTATCAGAAACCATGTAAAGAACACCTAAAATGGCAACTATGACTGTACTGAATAAATGAGCGTTGATTGGGATTCTTAATTTTGGATCAACAATCTTTAAATAGTTTGAAAATGGTAATCCATTATCTCTAGCAAAAGACCAACATAATCTTGCTTGCCAAGTGTGAGATGAAATGGTACAACCACAGGCTGTTAATAACAATAAAACACCCAAACAAACAGCACCAGTTTTAGAATCTAAAGCTTGATGATAAATATCTAAAATAGGTGATCCGGTTGTTGAGTCTAAGATTCCTTGGAAATCTTGAATAGAAAAGAACATTGAAATTGAATAAGTGAATGAAGTAACGAAACCAATACCAACAGTACCAATGACTGCCATAGGAATAAATCTTTCTGGTTCCATAATTTCTTCGGCCATATGAGTGGCACAATCTAAACAAGAAAATGACCAATTTGGATTAACCAAACCCAAGATGAAAGCAATACCACCAGTCCAACCAGTAGCTGAGCCATCAAAATCTTTGAAAACGAAAGTGGCGGGTTGGTAAGATCCTCTAGCGCATACTAAAACAGTGATAGTAATAACGGTGTAGGAAAATAATGAAACATACAAAGCCGAATTACCTAAAATGGGTAAAATTTGACCATTACAGTTGAATAACATCAAAACCAAATTGACAAGTTCGTATAAAACGAATAATTGCCACTTTTTAGTAATATGGTCAGGATGCATAATGTTCCAAAGACCCATAATTTGACTTGCAACAGCTAAAGCCATTGAAGCTGAAGTAAAAATTGAACCAACCCATCCAAAAGAACCACACATATAAGCTAAAAATGATGAATATTTTCTTGGAGCTAAAACTCTAGTCCAGACATATTGACCCCCAGCTGATGGGATCATGGAAGCGAATTCTGATAACATAATGGCAACATTTAAGGAAATGAAAGCAATGATGATAATACCATAAACAACAATAATTGGACCACCAGAAGCGATAGAAGTTTGTAAGGATGAGGAAATACCATACCAACTATTCGTTAACCCAAAACCAACCCCTAACAAGGAGAAGAGTCCTAAAGACTTTCTCAATTCCCCTTGTTGTATTGAAACTGACTCATCGGCAACCTTGATGTCACTCTTTTTACTGCTATTATCTATATCTAATTCTAAATCAGTTTTGGACATTTTCAATCAAAGTTTTAATCTTAATTAGATCCGATAAGATGAGAAAATTTTCACAAGACAGTTTAGTTTAATTTTATCGTGTGAGTTGAAAATTTTTTGGGTGAAGAGCCGTGTAGATGAATTTGGCGTTTTTTAGATGTTTAAATATTATTATTACATTTGATTATCAGATTAGAGGTTGAGATAAACCTTATGAGGCAAAGATAAGATAAGATAAGGAAAAAATAGCTATTTCAAGAATTCGGCGAATGCAGCTTTTATCTCCTGTATCACCTCTATTTTTTACTTCAAGTAGTGAGATTTTCATTGCTTATTCATTTCTTATGTAAGCTGCTTCGAGACAATAAAAAGGAAATGTGATTCTGTTTAATTTATGGCTTATATTGACATAAAGTTACCATATTTTGACATTTCATCCTTGAGAACTTTTGGTACCCAATTTAAACTTTACAATTATTTCGTTAGTCATGCATTGTCCCCCGTTGCAAATCTTGAGAAACAAACAGAATTTTATATTTATATTTACCGATAAAAAAATCATAACTTATAGTATCCCCCAGTTGCTTGATCCGCAACTTTCTTGGGTATTTGTACTTGAGCTTCTTGATAAACACTTACTATCAATTTTCCCTCAGTATTGAAACCAAAGGTTTCGAATGAAACTCTACCGTTACTCAATCTTGTAAATCTATAATCGATAAAAATCCATTCAGTTATATTAAAATCGTGATCATGGAAATAGATGTTGTGGTCCATACTAGCATATTTATACCAGAAATACTTGAAGTTAAAAGCAATACCTAGAGATCTAAAAAAAATCACTAAAGTGGTGGCATCCGTGACAAATCCTAAATCAGCATAATTGGCTTTGATATCACTTTTAGCATCCATGAGCTCATCTGTATTTACCCTGGTAAAAAATCCAAGTCTTCTGTTACCGATATCGATGGTCTTTTCTGCATCTTCTGCATCTTCGAAAATTTCTGGGGGTACCATAGCTTGGATGGAATCGTTAGTGGTGTTGAAAATCATCAATTCCTCCATATTATCTTTGTATTTGAAGAAATAGTCATTTGGTTTAAACTGGAAGTCGTAAGGTACACTCTTAACATTTGGACTAGGTGAACTATGCCAGTCTTTAATCCTTTGAACACTGTTATTATTATAACCGAAGGACATCATGGCAACGAAGACTAGCTTATTAGTATTGTCCTGATAACAATTCACTAAACGATTCTTGAAATTCTTTCCATTGCTTTGCTCGATAACTTCATACCTAATGACACTCTCTACTGTTGCAGGTCTTATGAAGTAACTGTGGAAAGAATTTGGACTCCATCCTTCTTCAGGAACAGTTTCCCACGCTGCAATTATGGATTGACCAACCAATTCACCCCCAAATACCAAATTTGTAGCCTTCGAATCAATAGATTGCAAAGGCTTGGTACCATAGATCACATCACCTTTCTTAACTACTTCATACTGTCTGTTTTTAAACATGTTAACTTCCAAGGATTTTCAAGAGGTTTGATTAGATCTCAAATAGCGCCGAAGAATCGCAAGTACACTACAACCCTTAAAGTTAGGAAAGTTTAAACGTACTCCAGCTTATTGAAACTGTGATTTTGTTTAATTCCCTATTTTGTAAATTTTTGCTCCGTATATTCTAATTAGATATAAGCTTTTTTTATGACTTGACAACAACTCAATCAAGAGAAAATTTGGTGAAAATAATTATACAAGAACCCAAATCAACTTATACCTGCAATTTTGTTTATCCAACAAAGCACTATTACTTAAAATGGTTATAAACCGTATCGTATTTACAACAATCGTATTTTAGCCAGTTCAAGTATATATTGGGTCATGAATGCATGAATCAAATTTCAGGCGACGATCTTTTTTTGACGTATCTGAGATAAGACTTGTTGACGGTCAAGTCGGAAAAAATCTTTGAGAATGAAATTTACGGTACAAAGGGAAGATTGTTGGCTATAAAGTGTAATTGATATCACAACAAGCAGTGCAGAAAACTGTGAAACTGATTTTAGTGTCTGTATCAGTTTAGAATCATTGATTAGATATCGGTCTGCGAAAAAGTTCACAAATGACAAATGACTTTTGGGGTGAAAGTCCTAACCCAAATTGGAAACTAGGTGATGGTTCCAGCAATGATGAATGGAAGAAACACAAGAAAATATCCATCAATCCGTCAGATCAGTCTAGAGATGGTTTAAAGAATTACAAAATGATCTGTGGAGCTGTAACTCCAAGACCAATTGGATTTATTTCTACGATCAAGGCTAATGGGGTGAACAACTTGGCACCCTTTTCCTACTTCAATGTTGTTGCTGCAGATCCGCCATTATTCACTGTATCCTTTTCAGGGTCTTCTAATAAAGATACTTTGGAAGCTCTTCTTTTGAACAAAGAATTAACTATCAATATAATTTCAGAATGGATGATTGAGGCAGCTAACTTGACTGCTATTGTTGCTGGCCCCGAAATTGATGAATGGGAATTATCGGGTTTGACACCAGTACCATCAGAGGTTGTTAAGCCACCGCATGTTGCAGAATCAGGATTTTCCATTGAAGCCAAGCTCATTGACGTTAAGACGTATGATTCCAAGTTTAAGCCAGGCACTAGATCATCTACCATTTGTATTGTTGAAGGGGTTAACTTTCATGTGAGAGAGGATTTGATTGATCAGGATTTAATCATGGTTGATACAGGTAAATTGAAACCGGTGGGAAGATTAGGAGGTAATTGTTATTCAACTATCACTGCAGGTTATGAATTGCCCAGATTCAACTACGAAAACTTGGACAAGGAGGAACTTGAGAGAATAAGAAAAGAATAGATAAATTTATATTTTTTATTTAGATGAATTTAAAACTCTGTAAAAAGAAATTGCTATCATTAAAATCATTACAACTTCACAAAATCTTCGTTGTCAAACAACTCACTATACGCTTCGCCCAAGTAGCTTTGTAATACACTGGTTTGCAAAGCTCTTCCGGAATTCTTGTAAGCTTTACTGCTGGCTAGTCTAGTGACCCCGCTGGCGGCAAAACATGCTAATAACAACAGGTCCTTGTTTCGTAACTCGGGTTCTTCTGAAACAGCTTCCTTGGGCCAATAACCTTCATTATAATGATACGACCAGATTACGAATGTAGCCAAGCATCCCGTCAATGTGTCTCCTTGTCCACCCACCCTCCTATTGGACCCTTTCATGTCATTTACCAAGTAATCGTCACCATTAACAATTAATTCTATATCCCCCTTACGAATGATTGTTAAACCACCTAATATCTTGGACAATTCTGAAGTGACTTCTAATACTTTGTCGAAATTGGTTTCTTTCAAGATTGATTTTAGGTTAAATTTATTACCTATCCTCTCAAATTCAATCAAATTTGGGGTAAGGATTCCCTTTTCGTAATTTTGGATTATTGTAGGGTCTAAGCTTACCAAGAACAATGCATCAGCATCCAAGATCATAGGTTTGTTGACGACCTTGATTTGCTCTATGATCTTTATCATAGACTTGAACATGAGGCTGTCCCTCCCAAATCCAGGACCTATTACAAAAATGTCACCTCTATTTATTAATTGTAGCACCTTTGGAAGAATTTTAGATTCTATAAAATCGTCAAACTTCTTGAAATCCTTACTTATGATATCCTCTAATCTCATGGCTGTAAACTTTTCGATATCTGAAGGGCTGAAATAATTGGAAACTTCTGGGTTGGTCAATTCGTATAAATAAGGATGCACCATTAGATCAGGTGAATACAGTTTAATCACTGGGGACGCCAATTTCTCACAAATAACATGGCTAAGATCACTTCCAATCAACGAAGCAGCCTGGCATGAAAAAAATGGTGCTCCCGTATAATCTTCACAGCCTCCTATAACCACCACTTTCCCACCTTGTCCTTTGTAATAGTTCGGTAACAACGGTTGAATTATCCTCTTGGATAACTTTAATAACTCTTTCTGACTCTTTCCTTTCAACATCTGCCCAGTCCCTTGAGATAATTGTTTTTTTGCTAAGATATGTTCCCTATTTCCAGATTCAATGACACACTAGTTATGTTCTACTAATCACCAGATAAAGTCTCATACTTTGTTATTTAGCAACTCCTGTATGAACCTAATCACGTGCGCTCACTGAAAAGTCTCACAATTGTCCAATACATTTTTCGAAAGTTAGATTATCTTTGCTTTTAATTACAAGTCTAAATTTACCTTAATTAAAAGATGTTCTCAAGATCAGTCAATAAACAATTGTTAACCATTGCTTCTGTCGGAGCAATTGGAGCTGTCGGATTGTCTTACTACTACAATGCAGCTAAACCAATTTCCAACGAAAATGGTAAAACTTTTACCAACCCTAACGATTGGATTGATTTGAAAGTAAAATCGACTGTCAATTTAGGTCAATCATCCAAAAAATTAATTTTCGAGTTATCAAACCCAGACGATGTTAGTGGTTTAGTTGATTGCTCCTGTTTGTTAACCAAATTTGTTACCGCTAAAGGAAATAATGTCATTAGACCTTACACTCCAACTAATGACCCTAACGAAAAAGGTGTTATTGAATTAATAGTCAAGAAGTATGAAGGAGGTAAAATGTCATCTCATATCCATGACTTGAAACCAAATGATACCTTATCATTTAAGGGACCAATTGTTAAATGGAAATGGGAACCAAACCAATACAAGTCTGTTGCCTTGATCGGAGGTGGAACTGGTATTACACCTTTGTACAGATTAATTAGTAGAATTGCCGAAAATCCAGATGATAACACCAAGGTCGAGTTATTCTATGGTTCTGTTTCTGCCGAAGATATCTTGATGAAGAAAGAACTCGATGATTTAGCTGAAAAACACAAAGATCAATTTAAAGTAACTTACTTCCTCGATAAACCTCCCGCTAATTGGAAAGGTGAAACCGGTGTCATTTCAAAAGAATATTTGAAAAAGTCATTACCTGCTCCTTCAAAGGATGCTAAAATCTTCATTTGTGGACCACCTGGTATGTATAAAGCTATTTCCGGTATGAAAAATTCTCCAACTGATCAAGGTGAAGTTACAGGTGCTTTAGCTGATTTAGGTTACACTAAAGAACATGTTTATAAATTTTAGATTAGATCTTAAGTATACGTCTTCACATTCACTGTCTCTGTAAAGCTACCTTAATTTCTTTATCTACTATTTGGGTGTAATTCAGGATATATTGTTCAACAATAGGAAAGAGAGACCCCTTCTAAGTTGAATGTTGGAAGATGCGACTGGGTATATTGGCTGCGAAAACTTCGAGCTATAGTCCATATTTCCGTAGAATAGCACCAAGAAAACCCGAAACCACACTTCATAAAAGGTTACTTCGGCATCCTGCCTATTCAATGTACTCTTTGTATTAAATGTCTTCATGCAAAAGGCATGAGTACTAATTTGTAGATTTTTGTGAAATTCACAATTTATAAATGTACAATAGAAAGCACTCTCATAAATTACAAAAATAATAAATTTGTGACTATACAAAACCTTTTCGAAGAACAAGTGATATGCCCAGTGAGAACCTTCTTCAGGGTGTCAAAGTATCTAACGTTTATCTAGATAGCAATACCGGGCATTGAGAATGCCGCCAAATCATCACAGCCATCGAAGCAGAAACATCACATTCAACTGAAAATAATACAGATATTAGCCTGAGTGAAACAACCTCAAGCAGCACAAATGAGCATTAATTTTAACAAAATAAATTAAATAAATAAAATAAATAAAATAAATAAAATAAATAAAATAAATAAAATAAATAAAATAAATAAAATAAATAAAATATAAAGTAAATAAAGTAAATAAGTAGAATATCGATTAAGCTCTGAATATCGAACGCTACCCTGAATTATTGATTCTTCAGGGATTCTATAAAGATGTTTTTATTAAAATGCTCAATATTCAAGAGATTTCTAATTAAAGACTCTCTGAAAAGAATTCTTGCTGTATCATAAACTATTCGACAAAAGTTGGAAAAATCTAAAGTCACGTGATAATACATAAATTAAAATACAACTTGTTCAATCCATTCAAACAAAAAACTCGATACATTAGTACGACCTCACATCCCAATCAAAACTTAGTACATCCATTCTACAGTAAAAAAATCAGAGAAATCCATGTTTATGTAACATTTAGAAAAAATCCTTTCGTCACATCAGAACAAAAAAATACCGTACAAACAAAACTCAACAGATATCTAGGTGGTACAAAATAGATGATTTTGAAGACTGTCCAAGCTTACAAGTCCTTAGCCGTTCCTCCTAAATCCATAAGCCTCTTAGCAATTATTTAGTTTTTTAAAACTTAGCTTCATTCCCTTAACGAATTCATTGATTAACAGTATTGAATTCAATCTGCCAAAAACCAGAGGTTGAAGAGAAAACGGTCATTTTGACTAAATACTGTGATTGTTAGAAAGTGAGATATGAAATAAAACAAATCGTTTTTTTCAGAAAATTCTATAAGGAGTGATCTCTATATCAATAACATCTAATCAATATCTGATACCTTTGAGCAATAAAACTTGAATAGTCCTCTACGAAATGGCATTAGAAAATGTACATTTCGAGCTGCAAAACTCATTGACCTTAAAATGGAATAAATCTACTTATCAAGTGAACAACTCCTCAAACAACTACGAGTGTGTTCCATATATGTTCCGTGCATTTCTGGTGGAAGCAAACGAGAAGCATAGGGTTACATTAAGAAAAGCTAACCCAACTGAACAATTACAATACACACTAGGAACAGTCATTGATAAGCATTTTTCCTTGAATTTGAGCAGTAACTAATAACATCACATTAGAATTAGACTTTATCAAAAAGTTCAAGGCTTGACGAGAATAGGATCATGGCAGCACGTTTTCCATCCATGTTTTGTGATCATATTGTTGTTATATGAACAAGAAAAGAAGTTTTGAATGAACCAGGATTTAATTCTATGCTTTCATCTTACTCAAGATCTTTTCATCACCATTTGGAAAATAAGGCGTCCACCAAAGCAAGTTTGTTCCACAAAGAAAAGACCGTACACAGAGAATATAAACTATTGTCAACTCAAAACCAACATGAGGATATGTAACATGTTCTTGAAGTGAATCATGAAAAGTATGATGAAAAGTAAGTAGCACATTTACAAAGCTAGAAGTCATTTTAGGAATTAAATGAAAACCAATGGACCCCAAGATTTAGTGGCAGTTGGTGACAATTTGTCTTGAATCAAAAAATTGGAGGCTGATAGGAAGGATTGATGTAAGTATAATATAAATGAAAAGTAGCACACTCCACCACCGATAATATGGAAGGATACACCAGACATATAGTAGCCTTGATAATAGTATCTCTCATGAATAAAAATCTGTTCTGCGAATACATACCATTGGCACTAGTGTGATTGTTCTTAAGAAAGCCATATATTCAAAGGTGGTATAATTTGCCTTTTGTTGTTCTGCGTTAACCGTTTTGAGATCAACTTATATATATTCATTTCTGAGCTTCGTTGATTTTATTGCTTACCATTTATTGAAAATTGAAAATTCATCCTATAAGTTATCTTCAGCAATGTTTTATTCATTAGGCAGATTATGTGACAAGCTTGTTTTACAACTCAGTAATTTGAACTGCAGCCTGCAGTTGGATGAAGATACTTTCGAAATGTACAATCGCTTCATAATTTCTATTCAAGAATTCGAATCAGTATAACTTCAAACTACTAATAAAAAGAATGGTCTTCTATTTGATGATAGGTCTAAAGTCCCTGCATCTTGCTATAGTTAAATAAAAGAAGACTAATGGGGACATAAGTTGTTTTATAACCATACTCTTCAAAAATTTACGTAGTGTATTGTAATCATTCACCATAGTAGCTAGTATTTGTGGAAACACTTATGGCCCAAATGGAGGTTGGTGTTCATGTGGCATCTTGTAATCATTCTAATTAGAAGATAAACGTGATAAGTATATATTTAAATATTACAGATGTGGCTTTTCTTTTCCATTTTATTTGAAGATTAGTTGCCTATTCAATAGGAAAAAAGATGATTGTGGCATGTTTGTATTTATTTAGGATTGTCATGATTCAGGCTCATGGGAGTATGATGAGCCAATAGATCATGTGTTTGACCGACTGTTATTCGACCCTTGGCTAAGAATGAAAATAGATGAGTTACATGAATATTATGTATTACATTACTTTCTACCATGAAGTTTTGGAAATTTATTGAATATCATTACACGAGTCATACAATTACTTATATGAGCCAATGGACGTATTTTGGCCCAATGTACTGATGATTAATGGAGTTGTTTAATCTTGTTCGGTACCCAGAACTTGATTAACTTTTCTCCGCTGGTTTAAGCAGTAGTAGTTAAGTACCATAGCCGCTCGTATCATAGAAAGAGTATATAGGCAGTAGATATGGGAAGAGTATAAAACAGTTGACTTTCGAAGCTTGCTGGTTCCATTACGTTTCACGAGGGAAGAATTTTTTTTAATTTTATACTAGCGAAGAATTTGGGTGATTTGTTTTCTAAATCATTCTTGTTGTACCACAGCACTCTCTTGTTGGATAGCTTCAAGCGTTGATGTATTCTTCGGATTATATGAAGATATGTCTTTGAAGAAGAAAGATTTCTTCTGCGTGAGTTTCGTAACATATGCTTAATTCTAATTGTTTACTTTGATGGGCCCTTTTTCTTCGAGATACGCTTGAATCTTCAGTTAGCTTGAATGTTCAGTTAGCTTGAATGTTTGTATAGAGCGAAGTTTTCTATCTTTGGGGAATCATTCTATTGATCTCAGTATTAAAATAGATATATATTTTAGAAGCTATGCGATTTCAGTACATACATTGCTATAAATCACTATAATGAAGGCATATATACTCAATAGTCGCTTCTCTTGAAATAAAGGAAAGTTTGATTGGATACATTACAAAAAGATATGACTTAATTTTAATGGTCATCTAGTGAAGTGACGGAGTGGTAGATGCCACTATCAATTGGGCCTATATATGCCCTATCACCAAAACCACCAATGAAATATATATCCTCAACTTTCAATTTCATCCAGTGGGAGTTGTGGGATTGTGACTTTCCAGGAATCCAATACTTTGCATCTGGATGTCTATTGAGGAAACATTGTTCTAATTTGAGTTGTTCTTTCTTCGTTTCAAATGAAACATCTTCTAATTTTCCTTGAATATTGATTCTAGGGGACCCAGCTGGTGAAGTGGACATTCCACCTGGGTATTCAGGGTTTACTTCCTCGTTAACCGGATGATCACCGACTCTAAGGGTGAATGAGTACTCAGAACCATGTAATATGTTTTGATAACTGGAACCGATATCAACGACTAACCAGTAGAAGTCACCATCGTTATCACAATCGACATAATACTCCATCGAGGAAACAGGTACTTTCACAGATTTCTCGCCTTTCTTGACAATTTTGAAAGTGTTAACATTCACCATAGACTCCCTGAAGACGAGAGTTCTAGCGATTGAAGCGGACTCTATCTCACCGGGAACGTGATCTGATTCTGATAATATAACACCATCTGAGCCTTGAACTAAACTTTTCACTCCGAAAATGGGAAGGTTAATTGGGAAAGCAATAACAGATTGAATTAAGATCAATAATAAGGCTGTTTTCATTAACATTATTGGCTATCTATAGATCTATAAGTTTCCTCCGTTGTTTGTAACCAAAATAATTATTATCTATCCTTGATAAAATTGCAAATTTATCCCTTGTGCGAGAGCGGTAGATAAGGCAGATCTCTTGTCTCCTGATTCGTAAATCAATTTAACTTTTTCGAAAATCTATTGGTCCGCAGCACTTAGCAAATGATTATTGTGCTGGGTCTCTCCAAATCACGCTATCCAGCATTATACCGTTGATCATTTGCTTCATCGACAAGGATTTATGTAAAAGAGTTCCTGTATATTGGAGTTCAATTGGATAGAGTTCATTCGGAGTCCATTCGGACGGAGCTACTCCACTGAAGCTCGAATCATAAGTTAGTACGTTAGACATTAGTTGTTGTACTAAATTTACTTGCTAATGGTTCTTTGCTAGCATATGACGGAAAAACCTTGTGAATTCTATGTTATTCAGCAGTATTTGTAAATTTTGCGAAATTTATAGTGCATCAATCTCAGAAACCAAATGATATCTCAGAGAATGATCATTCTTTAAACACCCACACAGATAACATTACTTCTCTCAAACCAAAACCGATTAAGGATGAGTATTCGAGGCTTGATTCACTTTGAGCATTGAAATATTAGAGATCTTACGTGACAGATAAGGATATCGCGAAATTTTAATTCAGTACTTAAAGCCAATATCAGCGCCGAAGAATCCACCAATGTGTCTTTTTGGATCTTTGACTCCAATTTGATACAACTGGTCTAATTCTTCTTCAGTCAAGGAAGGTAATCTGACGGTTGTTTTGATCCTCTCCAAATTTGAAGACCTGGGGATCGAGGATCTACCTTGTAGAATATGGTAAGCGTTGGCCACTTCATTAGTAGTTACGCCATATTTATCAGCAAACTCTTGAACGAGAGGTAACTTCAATACAGGTGCACCCTTGCTACCCACGGGAGAATATGCCGTAACATGAATTTTGTGTTCATTGCAGAAGTTAATTAAATCTTGTTGAGGTAATTGAGGATGATACTCGAATTGATTCACAACAGGAATGACTTTAACTTCAGGTAACAATTTCTTCAAAAAAGGAATGGAATAGTTTGAAACACCAATAGATTTGATCTTTCCAGGGTTTTCGAGGTATAATTCCTCAATTCTTTTGTAAAATTCAATGAAACCTGAGCCATCATCAGTCTGGTCGTCAAATAAGGTGTTTCCATCATTGTCCATGGGAACAGGTGGATCACCTTCATTGTTATCACATTTAAAGCAAAGGGGCCAATGCTGTAATAGCAAGTCCACATAATCTAAACCTAAATCCTCCAAAGATTTCTTAAAAGAATCTTGGGGATTTTTATGGAATACGGGCCAAATTTTTGTAGTCACGAATAAATCTGAGCGTTTAACTATACCTTCTTCAATTGATTCTTTAATTGCTTCACCAACATAAATCTCAGTTCCGTAACGCCAAGCTGTATCAATATGACGATATCCTGCCTTGATTGCAGTTTTCACTTGATCTTTAACTTCGCTAGCATCTTCGGAGGGAACAGTTCCCAACCCCAATGCGGGAATTGATGAGCCATTGGATAACTTGAATGTAATTGATGTAGCTAATTTTGTCATTGATGATTAATAATGAGAGTCGAATTTTCTGGTTATGTAATTTGGAGTCCAAAGGAAATTCGCAATTTGCACCCAATGTAACATTTCTTATATTAATAGATTAGAGACGAGCTGATCGTGTAACATTTCTTATATTTATATTCGAGAAAGATCTAATCGAATTCAGTAGACAAGGTGTCTCCTTCCCACCATTTGAATCCAATACCATAACCCCAAGGATCGTTTGTATATCTGACAGGTTTCTTGTCACCTATATTGTAAAGTTGTTGTATCTCATCATTTGTTAATTGTGGCAATCTGACGTTGACCTTGATCCTAGCCAAGTTAGAAGATCTAGGTAATGCAGATCTACCTTGTAAAAGATGGTATGCGTTGGCTATTTCGTTTACGGAAACATCGTACTTCTTTGCCAACTCGTTGATAAGAGGCAATTTCAAAACAGGGGCACCAGTTCCACCAACTGGTGAATAGGCTTCGAGGATAATGTTATGTTCAGCACAGAAATTTTCAAGATCCTTCTGTGGTAATTGGGGATGATACTCGATTTGATTTACAACCGGAACATATCTTTTTCTGTTCCTCAAAAGCTCTCTCAACTTTGGAACTGAATAATTTGATACACCAACTGATTTGATTTTATTACTGTTGAATTTCAAATCTTCAATTCTATTGTAGAATTTGATGTAACCAGTACCACTCACAGGATCATCATCATATAGTAAATTTCCTTTAGCATCAAAGGGGGTAGCAGGTAAACCGTTTGCATCACCATGAAGGCACACTGGCCAGTGTTGTAAAAGTAAATCGACATAATCAATTCCTAAATCCTTCAAAGAACTATTCAAGGATTTTTCCGGGTCGTGATGTAATGATGGCCAAACCTTAGAAGTGATGAAGAGATCTTCCCTAGTTGCAATCCCTTCTTCGAATATTTGCTTCAAAGCTTCACCGATATATTTCTCTGTTCCGTAATACCACGCAGTATCTATATGGCGATATCCTGCTTTAACCGCAGCCACGACTTGATTCTTTACATCTGATGGATCGTCTGATGGTACGGTTCCCAACCCTAATGCTGGAAGGGTATTACCATCATTCAACTTGATATCTACTTCTGTTGCTAAATTATGTTGGACCATTTTAATTTCAAAAGTTAATTGAACAAAGAATTTCAATAATAGAATCTGTTTATTTCAAAGGTCAGATAAAGAGGCATAGCAGCTTAAATAAAAAATACTGAAAGCAAAAAGCAATAGACTGAGCTGTGTCAGTGCTATAACTCTCTATCAAAAGACACTGATTTTGCGACGTTTGCTGACACGAATTTTGGCGGAAAACCGTTCTTCCTGGCAGTAAATTTTAGAGTTGCGCATAAATTTTTAGCAAGATCCAGACACACAACCCGTATATTTTATTTACCTCATCGAAATTACGTAGATGGTGCAAGATTCTTCTATATACGTCACAAGAAAGTCCAGAAAAAGTGATGCAATAAATATATTATGTATTAATTCAGAAAAGAAGTGAAACTTAAGTACGAGGTATGAAAAACCGGATAAACCAAAATACCTCTATATGGCAATGTTGTCAATTTCTTGATCTTCATCGTCGTCATCGATGAAGACTTCCTCGTAGTCATCCATTGACATGTTGTCATAGTCGGTTTCCTCTTCGCCTATTATTTCACTGAGGTTCTTTTTATTGGTATTGTTTGAATATTTCCTGTTTCCATTGACCATAGAATAATGAATTTTATTGATAGCAGTTAAATATATAAAGGCGACTTTCTTCTTTTTCTTATTGTAAATAAACCAATAATTTGACCACATAGTTTGATAAGGATAATTCAAATCTTCGATGATGGAGGTCTCTTTTGGTCTAAATTCAAAAATTTGACAATACTCTGTAGTAAAAGGTGTATCATTGGAAAACCTTCTATGCATACTAGAAGACCTTGGTTTCTGTATATATTCTTCTTGATTACTACCTGTATTGATCAAATTTCCGGGTATCAAAGTTGGTGAAATTGGATTTTTTGGTATGAGATGTAAATGACTATCAATTCTATCCCAAATCCAATCTAAGTTCTCCTTTTTCTTTCCCAAAGACATCATCACATTGTTGAATCTAGAAATCAAATCCTCCGATGATATCTTGTGAAAGTTCTCCGTTGTTGGAGATAATGCAGAAAAATCGTTGTCAGGGAAGGTTGTGTTCAAAATGGCTATCAAGTTAGCAAATTTTTTCTTCACCTGTATGTTTTTCAAAGACCCAAATGGTGATTCATCAATTGAATCAAGTTCGATTGACGAATCTGTGACATTCGAATTCAGTCTTCCTTTATAACTAAGGTTGCCATTGGCGACTTCACTGATATTCATCTTGTTATCGAAAGAATTCGTTATCGTTGGGCTACTTCCCATCAAGGAGTTTATGGAATTCTTTCTCTCTTTTTCAATGGTCCTTGATAACTCGTTATCTTGTATCAATTGAGTTAAATGTTTATCAATAGTCTTGTAGAGCTTTTTGTCGGAAGTGATTGGTTTCGTGGTAAATAGGTCACAGCCACCCTTTATCACAAGCGAGTTATCGTTTGTATGGAAGTTAAGCTCTTGATTTACTAGTTCAATATCAACCTCATCAATATACTATGTTGTTAGTGACTCTGCATAAAGATGCACATTCGTGTTGTTGACGCGTCCTAAAAACAGCGTTCCTCTTATCCTTTAGAACAGTTCAATATTTACATCTCAATATCAAATCGCTGGGAATTTAAATGTGCAAGCCGGGGGTTTGTGTACGTACCTTCATGTTTAATTAATTGACTTCTCAAAAAAACCGTGTTGAACTTTTTTGAGAATCCTCACTATAGACACGACTTTTGATGGTCTTATCTTATCATCATTCCACCCTCACAGGACCCTGGGAGGTCCACAAACATTGAAATTCGAGATTTTTCTTAGGGCATTACCTTCAAACCTCCAGTAGAAATTTCAAAATTCAACGAAGTTGATGAATTATCGTTTACGACTTTCATACTTCTCTTTACCTCCCATCCTTCATGGAGTTTTCTTTTATTATCAGCCATGACTTGGTACTTTTTGGACAAACTTATCTTACAATCCACCAATTTCATCCAATGGTACCCCAAGGTGGGAGCATGGTATTTAAATTTATATGAGTCATGCGAGTTAGTCGTAAATGAAGTTGTCTTTGGAAGATACCTGGGATCCTGCATCGAATTATTATTAGCATTTTGTGTATGACTAACAGGATTTGATACCGTGCTTGACGGTTCAGTTGAACCATTCATAGTTTTCTGTCTTATCTCATTGGAATAATCAAAATTGGGATTATTATTATCGTCTCTGGTGCCGTTATGTATCTTCTGATAACTCAATATCGTGCTACTATCCCAACCCACAATATGACCTAATTGGTAGTCCAAATCTAAGGAGTCGTTTGAAGGCTCATATTCTGGATCGTAGTTAGAAAGCTGGTCACTTACCTGATTTGCTACTACAATCGAAATATCAAACTTTGAGCAAAGTCGATTCAAATGCCTAAATAGCTCAAAATAGTAGTATTTCTTGTTCATATTTATATCATAAGTTTTGTCAAACCTAAAGAATTTGGAGTATTTATCATTGTGGGTTTGTTTCACGTAGCTTAAGTATGTATTGTCATCAAGAGATAACTCTTTCTCTTTAGCTACCTGTTTTAAAAAATTTGCAGTTGTGATGACTTGTTCATGACGCAAATGGTGACCTATGGAATCAATAATTAGTGTTTGAATGGATGAATCTTCAAGTTGTAATGGTAGTTGGTTATATAATATATGGTGTTGAGTTTCGAGATCTGCACAGTAGTAATATAGAATATTATCTAGACTAACTTTATTAACCTCACTTCCTTCATTTTGCTCGTTTATATGATCAATCATATCCTGTAGTCGTTTTGTCTCCAAGAAAGACTCTGTGGTGATGAAAATGACTTTATAGCGTTGACTTAATTGAGTATAACAAGAAATTTGATACAAGAGTTGTGATTTCCCACATCCGCTGGACCCAAAAATTTCAGTTATCTCTCCCAATCTGATACCTCCATGTAACTGATCATCCAATTCTGCCATACCAGTGGTGAAATATCGTTGCTTCTTTATTGGAATCGTATATGATGCTGGTTGATGGTAAGAAAGAATTTCATTCTTAAGGCTTTCTACTTCGATTATGGATCTTTTGAGGAGTTTCGAAAGCTCCGTTGGCAGCTTGATCAATAGGTCAACAGTGGTAATCCCATTCAACTTTGAAGATTCGAATAGATCGTTGTATCTATCATCAAAATTTTTCAAATCTTGATTGATCAAATTCATGAGACGCGCTTTTGAGATGAGAGAGGTGAGATGATAGAATATCAGTATTCACTACTCAAGTACAGATTGTAGTATAGTGGTTGATTTCTGGTAAATGGAGGTCAGTGTACTAAATTTAATGAGCACCTGAGATGTAGAACCATTTATCAACAGATTTATCGATTGGAGCAGCTGGTAATGGAGAAGCAGCTGGGATATCGCTGGCATCAACAGTTGAAGCTAAAGATAAGGTAGTGTTACTTAATTCAATACCTTTTGGATCGACTGAACCTTTGATCAATTTTTCCCAAGCTTCAGCACATTCACCGATAACTTCTTCAGCGTATTTCTTGTTTTTACATTCACCTGAGAAAGCGAATTGATTTTCTGGTTTACCATCAGGAATTTTGTAAATTCTGAACCATTCATTGGTAGCTCTTAATAAACCTGGTAAATGGGTTTCAACATCTTCGACATCATGTAATTTTGAAGCTAATGGATCGTTAACATCAATGACAATAACTTTCCAATCAGTTTCACCTTCATCTAATAAGGCCATGACACCTAAGACTTTGACTTGTTTAACTTGACCAACGTAACCAACTTGTTCACCGATTTCACAAACATCTAAAGGATCATTGTCACCTTTAGCTTTGGTTTCAGGATGTAATTGATTTGGATCTTCCCAAGTTTGTGGGAAAGCACCGTAGTTGTGAATATAACCATGGTGAGGGAAACAGTTTCTAACGAATCTTAATTTACCTTTTTTGGTGTCTTGAATGATTGGGTTTAATTTTTGTTCTTTAGAGATTTCCAATTTGGCGTTGGTCCATCTTGGAACTTCAACAATCATGTTTAAGATAGTTTTTTCTTCATTAGCATACAATGGAATATCATGGAATGGGGAGACTGGCTTACCATCTTTTTCAATGAAAACCTTGAAGTCTAAAGTGTTAGCAGCACCAATTTGTCTGGTTGAATATGACATATTTTAATTAATTTGGGATCTCAATTCAATTCGACATTTTTTTCAACAAATTTTCAATCACGTGATATTGAAAAATTATTACCCGGTTATTTTGGAGTTTGCGTCTTACCTTATCTCCTGAATATGTAGAACAACTAAGAATATTTTTCTGGATTTAAGCGAAGCTTAGTGATTTGATTTGCTAAATAGAGCCAAGCTGTGTATCAAGCAGATGCTGTGAACTAAATTCAGCCACAGTAAGACTGGAATCAATACTAGAATATCTTGAGTTTCCACTATTGTAAGTATTTTCCTCATCATGCAAAAATGGATATATTGTTTCGAAGATATAGATATTAGGATTACCTGCAGCACACTCCGATTCAATGGCTTCCATTTCTGCTTTCTTGAAAAGAAACAAACCTCTCTGAATTTCTCGTCTCCAGACTTTTAACTCTATTTCGTCTACCTGTTGGTTGGGATGACACAAGAAATTCTGCATAAGTTTGAAATCTCTCAAGCTAATAGTTATCAAGCTATTTGATTCCGAATTAGCTAGCCAAAAACCCTTGAATTTGAATAGAAATTTGGCTGAGTTTATGAACGACTTAAATATATGGAATCCGTAAATGTCTGAATCCATGAAACCCCAAATGGGAACATTTAAAGTTGTTAAATAATTAACAAACTGTTTAGTCAAGTTGTCAGGGCATCCTTTACCTGTTACCACCAATACAGATGATAAGTTACCAAATTTTCTGATAAAGTGACAAAAAGATTTGAATACGGCATCTTTTTCTATTATCACGATCAATTCTATATCTCCGAGTGAAAGCGACTCATACTTCATGGGTACTAAAATGGGCTCTTTCATCGAGTTTTTGAAAACCAATCCTTTCTGGTTCGGATAGATGTTGAATTCTGCCAAATCCAAAGAAAACGATACTGCAATGCTATCAATGATCTTATTACTGAATTGCTGACTTTTGAATAGCTTGACGTTGTTATAAAATATATCCCTCTTAGTAGTGATTTTGTTCTGGCTCAAATTTTTGTATATCACCTGTAACACTTGTATTATAGAGGAAACCTTCTGCAACTCTGACAGTTTGGATGATATACTCTGAAGCTTGGACCTGTGACCAGTTTTGGTTAACAAATGGAATTCAAAGGGCTTGCAGAGATGGATAAGGTCATAAATTTGGCAACATATCTTGAGTAGATAATCCTTGATAGGCCTAAAATTGGTTAGTTATGGAGTTTTTCAAATTGTAGAAGAGTACACCAAAAGTTTGAATGGAACAGTACCACAGCCCGAACATTATTCTGGCTTTACAGCAACTCGTTACCCTGTCGAACCATAGAAAGGTATTCTTACTGATCGGTAAATAATTCAATTACCGCCATCGTGGAAAACTTGTCCAAAATCGACCGGAAGAATTACAATCAATAGTATTGTATCTCTAGATATGTGACTGAATGAACCGGATCTATCTACACCTACGAAAGCTACTTTTTATCGTAATCAGTAGATAACGCTCGGTGGTTAATCTCAATCCGCAGACGATACCAGAAATTTAATAAAATTCTTGTCATTCAAAGTCATTAATTCTCATAATCGACATATAATAAAAACTTCGCCTGTAAGACTAATCATCAAATAGATTATTGAATAGAGCACTTTTACTTCAGAATAATCATCCAGGAGTTTACGATTTGATACAAGAACAAGGAGACAATGGCAGCTATAAATTTAGTCGAGATAGGAAAGAGAGATCTTTGGAGTAATAACGATGGAGCTAGATGGGCATTGTTTGCAATCTTCATTCTTATAATATTGATCGTCATAGGAGGAACGTTGAAAGTCAATAAAAAGAGAACTACTAATGGATTACAACCAATTTATGGTACTAGATGGATGACTCCGCCATCATATAATCAATCACAAACTCAATATGATCAACCAGCAAATGGAGGAGGGGATGTACCTACGAACTATGTGCCAACTTATACCGAGAGGGCCAATGATCAAGATATGGGATATTATGATAATAACGGAGAATTTCACCCCAATCCTAATGTGAAAAATTTCCAAAGTCACAACGATAGTCTGTTCGTAGCGCATCCACCTGAAAGTCACAACAGATCATACAGCACTAGTAATGGGGTGGCACTCGATGATTTGGATGAGGATTTAACAAGACCGACCTTCCGTTCCAATGACGTTTCACCCCCTGCTGGACCTCCGCCCAATGTTGAACCTTCTCACGCTGCTAATCAAACCACAAATCCATCTGAACATACGGCCACACCTTCAAGGAATTAATCTTCACCAAGTGTATAACTTAAAACCAAGAGAATGTATATGAAATAATTTTTGTCTGTGTCTGTTTAACTTTTCGTCACATGAAAACCACATGACGAAACACCGTCTAATTTCACCCCTGCGCCTCTAACCTTAATGACGCAAAACTGACACATCTTCAAAACAAACATTTCGTGTATCGGAGGTAGAAACATGTATATAGAAGTAAAGAAGTTTTTTAGGCCAAGTACCATTGCTTATGACTTGAACACTTTGAATTGACCACGTAACGAAAATTGCTTGACGAATTACCTATCCCCGTGTTGATCTGTCCTACATGTAGTTTGTGCGATGGTCTCCAGCAAACATACAATTGCTGCATTGATGATGTCGATTATTTCAACAATTGAAATAAGTTTATTATCTTATGAGTGGCTATAGACAGCAATGTACGATATTGCTCATCGAAGGGTTCGAAAAAAGCTTAAATCCTTTTATGAACTCATCTCTTAAAATTGCACTTACCATAGAAGAAAGGAATAGTATTTTAAAAACCTAGATGTTCAAGCAGAATTGACCTCATCAATAAGTTACAATAGTTGTCTAAATTCTCTGGTTAGTAAGTCATTGGTCTATTGTTCTCTCACCTTAAAACCGCGATTTCATATGAAATATCAGCAATTTCAGCCATTTATCCCTTCATACAGTATATTGTTCTAATTTCAGCAATTTATAAATAAAGTCATTTCCATTACAAAAAAAAAATTCTTATTTCAATCCATTGATTAATTAGTTTGCAATGGCAGGAAGTGGCAGTGAGGAACAACAAAAGGCCGGATCATCAATCTCTGCATTGGTATCCACCTTAATCCCATCATTGATTATATTTGCTGTGTTTATTTTAATATTTACATTATTAAGAAAGAAACAAAAGAGAGTTTATGAACCAAGAACTAATGTTTCAACATTACCAAAAGACTTGAAACCTGATGAAACTCCAAGAGGTTTATTTGGATGGTTAGGTCATATTATGAGTAAACCTGAATCATTTTTAATCCAACACACAGGTGTTGATGGTTATTTCTTTATCAGATTTTTATTCGGTTTTGCATCCATCTGTTTCTTAGGATGTTTAGTCTGTTGGCCTGTTTTATTCCCTGTAAACATCGTCAAAGGGGTTGGTAAAACCGGGTTCGATATGTTATCATACGCTAATGTTAAAGACAAATACAGAACTTTCGCCCATGTGTTTGTTTCATGGTTATTCTTTGGTACTGTGGTATTTTTCATGTACAGAGAAATTGTCTACTATACTACTTTCAGACATGTTGTGCAAACCACTCCTTTATACGATTCAATGTTAAGTTCTAGAACTTTATTATTGACTGAAATCGATGAGCAATTGTACGATGAGGCTACTTTGAGAAATTACTTCCCTACTGCTACCAATATCTGGTACGGAAGAGATGTGAAAACCTTACAAGATAAAGTTAAAGAAAGAACCAAATTATCCAAAAAGTATGAAGGTGCTTTAAATAAAGTTATTAATGGATCAACCAAATTGCGTCTTAAATTGACCAAGAAGAAGAAACCATTACCTGAACCATCTGATGATTTAAACAAATACTTGAAAGATGGTAAGAAAAGACCAACTCACAAGTTGAAATTCTTAATTGGTGAAAAAGTTGATACTTTGAACTATGGTGTTGAAAGATTAGGTGAATTGAACAAAGATATCAAGAAGGATCAATTAGAATATCATTCTTTCAAACAAATACCTGCTGTTTTCATCGAATTCCCATCGCAATTAGAATTACAAAGAGCTTACCAAGCTATTCCTTTCAATACTGATTTTAAAGGTGCTAAAAGATTCAATGGTTTAGCTCCTAATGATATTATTTGGGAAAACTTGTCCTTAACTCCATGGAAGAGAAGAATTAAGAAAATCATTGCTTCAACCGTCTTGACTTTAATGATTATCTTCTGGGCTATCCCAGTTGCAGTTGTTGGTGCTATTTCCAACATTAATATGTTAACTGACAAAGTTAAATTCTTATCATTTATTAACAAAATGCCTGGTTTCCTTATGGGTGTAATCACTGGTCTTTTACCAGTTGTTGCATTGGCTGTTTTAATGTCTTTAGTCCCTCCCTTCATTAGAAAAATGGGTAAAGTTTCAGGTTTAATGACTGTCCAACAAGTTGAAGGTTATTGTCAATCCTGGTATTTTGCTTTCCAAATGGTTCATAGTTTCCTTGTTGTTACAGTTGCCTCTGCTGCTGCATCAACCGTCACAACCATTATATCTGATCCAAGTAAAGCTTTGAATTTATTGGGACAAAACATTCCACCAGCTTCAAATTTCTATTTAGCTTACTTTTGTTTACAAGGTTTGGCTATTTCTTCAGGTATTTTAGTGCAAATCGTTGCTTTGATTTTAGCTCAATTCTTAGGTAAAATTTTGGACAAGACCCCAAGATCAAAATGGACTAGATATACTACTTTGGGTCAACCATCATGGTCAGTTGTCTATCCTTTGTATCAATTCTTAGGATCTATTGCTATTATCTACGCAATTATTTCCCCATTGTTATTAGGATTCGCTTTTATTGCCTTCGTATTAATCTACTTCGCATGGAACTATTCCTTGATCTATGTTACTAGACCTAACATTCACGATTCAAGAGGAAGAAATTACCCAAGAGCATTATTACAATTGTATACTGGTTTATACTTGGCTCAAGTTTGTCTTGTTGCCTTATTCGTCTTCAATAAGAATTGGGCTTGTGTTGCTTTAGAAGCTGTATGTATCGCTGCTTGTGCTGCTGCTCACATCTACATGAAATACAAATTCTTACCATTATTTGATATTGTCCCAATTTCAGCCATCAAATATGCTGCTGGTGACTCCACTTTCCAATATCCAATGCACGATCAAGGTTCCAAAGAAATCAAAGTCGAAGGTGAAAACTATTGGGATGGTGGTAATCAATTAGGATTAAAAGATCAAAAAGATCAAGTTTTACCAACTGCCGATTTAGATCAAACTTCCCCATTACAACAACCATTGGTTCCTGGTACCCACGGTGCTAACTCAATGGATGGTAATAATCCAACCATTATCGATTCCGATGATTCCAAACACAACGATGATTATTCCAAATTTACTCATGATTCTAAAGCTCCAATCAACAACAAAGAATTACTCGAAAGAGATCCTGAAAAATCTGGTAATTTCGAACCATCACCTACTAAAGGTGTTTCTTGGTTGAAGAGATTCTTCCAACCAAAGACCGAATCTTTCGATTTAATCAGAAAGGTCATGCCAGCTGCTTATTTCAACTATGTCGAATATCACCCAGATTTCTTAAGAAATGCTTATAATGATCCTGCTATCGCAAATGAGGAACCCCATATCTGGGTTGCCAGAGATGAAATGGGATTATCTGAAATTGAAAAGAATAAAGCTTTGGAAAATGGTGTTGATGTTTCCGATGATAATGCTAAGTTTGATGAAAAGGGTAATGCCATTTACACTGGACCTCCACCATCTTACGAAGATTCTATTAGAGTATAAAGACTAGGATGAGTTTTTTTAATTTTCTTTGTGTATTAGCTTTTTAATATAGTTTGTATTTGTGATGTCATCTCTAAAATGAATTCTAGAACAACTGCGATTACAAGGAAATGTCGGACTGACGTAGGGTCGTCAGCTGTTATCTAGAAAAGAAAACCTTACATCATTGTCGTACAATCATGCTCGTTTGCTGCGATTATACTGTGGATAATTTCCGATTGCTGCAAAAAATCCCCACATAAATACCCACTCATAGATGAGGTTTTAGTCATTTTTTTATCAGACACAATATGATGAGAGTTAGTAAAAGATATTTAGTTAGTCCAGGAATCAAGAGACCTCAAATTGTCAAAACCACTCAAACTTCCCACAAAGTAGACGGACCTGTTGCTGCAAGAAGTCTTATGAACGGATTGAAAGGACAACCAGTTTTCCCAAAGGGTAACGTTTCCATCAATTTTAAGAGACAATTTTCCAACATGTCAGCATGGTTCATGACTTTTGGTGGTATGATGATGGCTTGGCCATGGTTAGCCAAGCATGGATCCAACTTTGTCCATTCTGTTCCAGGACAAACCCCTGCGGTTTACTTCGATCATGGAGAGGCTGTAGTTAACACTCCAAATAAGGTACATTTAGATAAACCTTCAGATGAGTAGAGAAGCTTTGAATAATGACTATGATAAATAAATATATTGACTATGTAACTGCCATTTGCGATTACTCTATAATCATTTTTTCAATCCATTCAAAATCGAAACCAATGACAAGAATGATGCAAATGAAACATCTTCATTGATTCCAACACCCCATATCTTATCTTTACCGTCAACTGATACTTCAATGTAAGTGGCAGCTTTTGAGTTAGAAGAATCACCCAAGGAATGTTCATGATAATTCTTTACGTCTAAATCAATTGATAAATTATTCTTTATAGCATTGATAAAAGCAGAAATTGGACCATTACCACTACCGTTAATGGTGGTACTCTTGCCGTCAACTTCCAAATCAACTGAAATTGATCTGTTCTTATCCTTAGAGGAGGATAAAGAATAATCAATTAATTTGTATGGATATTTATCATTAATACCATCCCACAAAATGCAGTAGTTATTCTTGAATAATTCACATAATTCCAAGTTAGTCAATTCTCTTCCTTTAGAATCAGCGACATCCTGGACTACTTTAGAGAAATCAATTTGTAAACCTCTTGGTAAATCTAATTCCAAGTTTCTTAAGATAACCCAAGCAGAACCACCTTTACCACTTTGAGAATTAACTCTGATGATAGCTTCATAAGTTCTTCCAATATCTTTAGGATCTAACGGTAAGTAAGGAACTTCCCAAGTCAAATCCTTGGTATTCTTCAATTGTTGTTCGTGATCAACAAAACCTTTCTTAATAGCATCTTGGTGAGATCCACTGAATGCACAGACGACCAAAGAACCTCCGTATGGTGCTCTTGGATGAACAGGAATCTTGTTACACCTTTCAACTATATCAATGACTGACGAAATATCAGAAAAGTCCAATTTTGGACTGTAACCTTGAGTATACAAGTTTAATGCTAAGGTAACTAAATCGACGTTACCGGTTCTTTCACCATTACCAAAGAGACAACCTTCAACTCTATCAGCACCAGCCATTTGTCCTAATTCAGCAGCAGCAACGGCACATCCTCTATCATTATGAGGATGTAAGGAAATACAAATCTTTTCACGATCATTGATGTGAGAGGAAAAGTACTCAATTTGATCAGCATACACATTAGGAGTAGACATCTCCACTGTTGCAGGTAAATTGAAAATAATAGGTTCTTCGACAGTTGGTTCCCAAGCTTTTGCAACATTATTACAGATTTCAATAGTAAAATCCAAACCTGAGTCACTGAAAAATTCAGGACTGAATTCAAAGTTCCAACTTGTTTCAGATTTCACATCTTTAGTCAAAGATTTGATCAATTTAGCACACTTCACGGCCAACTCAATTGATTCTTCTTTGGTATTTTTGTAGACAACCCTACGGAAACAATCTGAAGTAGCTAAATAAATGTGAACTGTAGCTTTCTTAGCACCTTGTAAACTTTCAATTGTCCTTCTGATTAAATCTTCTCTACAAGGACTCAAAACTTGAATTCTAACATCATCAGGACAATTTTCAATAGTCCATCTGGTGAAATCAAAATCAGTTTGAGATGCTGAAGGGAATGCAACTTCAATTTCTTTGAAACCGATTTCCACTAATTTCTTGAAGTAGATTTTCTTCTCTTCAACTGACATTGGATCAGGTAATGATTGGTTACCATCTCTTAAATCAGTACTCAACCATCTAGGAGGTTTGTTTAAAACCTTGGAGGGCCATTGTCTATTGGGCAAATTTATTGGTGGGAATGCCTTATACTTCACACTTGGATCTTGTAACATTATCTTGAATAATAATTTTCAAAATTGGAATCCTGTCAACTTTATACAGGGTTTCTCCAGGTTTTAATGACTAATACCGCTACAGGTTCGCGCTTTCGGTGTTGAAAAACCGAAGATTTTCACCTTCTCTATAATGGCACCACTTTGGCTGCGAAAAACGGTAATGGGCGGATAAGGACGAACGGTTAACCAAATCAATGGCTGCAACTTTTTTAAGAGGTAAGAAGTAAAATCTGGTAACGTATATCATAAAAAGTAGTCGTTAAAGTTGTATCTGAATTTTTTCCACCCAGTTAATGATTTATAGTGCTCAGTTTCCATTAATTCCTCTTCGCTTTCAATATATCTATCGGTCTCAAAATCCATTTCTTCGGGTTTGACGAATTTATCTTTTCCTAACCTATAAAGCCACCAGATGATGAAGGTAGCAGGGAAAACACCCAATTCTAAATAAGTTTGGAAAAATGCAGTTACATCCCATGGAGAGAAGACTTGCCATCCTTGTAGTAGAATAATGACAATCACCCCAACTAATGATATCCACGGCCCATAAGGATGAGTCCAATTCTTGAATTTCAAGTAGTGTAGTTTTCCTTGAGCTTTGATACCACTTCTGAAACGAATACTAGTGATAGCGATGGACAACCAAGCTAATTGATTGGAAACACCAACAATGGATTGTAACCAAGACCACAAAGTTCCAGTACCAATGAATGATGCACCAAAGGCTAAACCCCCGGCCAACCAAGTGATGAGTACAGCAACATAAGGAATTCTCCATCTATTCAATAATGTGAAGAATGATGGGAAATATCCTTGAGAACCCAAAGAAAAGGCCAATCTAGAACCAGCGTACAATGCGTGATTACCAGCTGAAACAACTGAGGTCAAGATGACAGCATTCATGAAGGAGGCTCCAGCTTTTGCTCCTACCATTTGGAAAACAATGGTAAATGGAGAAGTTACAACATCACCAGTGGATAATCCTGGGTAATCATAAGGTACATTCATACCAATGAAGAAGATGGTCATGATATAAAAAACGAAAACTCTAATCCACATGACTTTGATGACTCTAGGAGTATTTTTTACAGGATTTTTCATTTCCCCTGAAGTCAAAGTGATGGATTCGGTACCACCATAGGCGAAAGAAGCAGTAACGAAAAGTTTTGCAAAACCTCTGAAACCATCAACAAATGGAGCATCACCGTAAGACCACCATTTGAACCCGATATATTCGTGTTCTGGATTTTTACCCACATTAACAACAATACTGACGATGAAGAATATGATTATAGTGACAATCTTCAATAAAGACATCCAATATTCAGCTTCCCCATAAATTCTAACATGAACAAAGTTTAAAGATAATAAAAAGACCCAGAAGATCAATGCAACAATCCATCCATGAAAATCAGTCCAGTATTGTAATAATATTTGAACAGCAACCAAGTCATTAGCGACAGATATGGCGTCGTTGAACCAGTAATTGATCAAAATTGCAAAACCGAAAGATTCACTTCCAAATCTTTTGGCATAAGTCGTAAAACTACCCGAAACAGGTAATAAAGTGGCCATCTCACCAAGACTTAACATTGTTAAGTACACAATTACCCCCACTATACTGTAAGTGATCAACATAGATAATGGACCACCATTACTCAAAGCTTTGCTAGTACCTAAGAAGATACCTTGACCGAAAATACCTGCCAAGGCATTCATATTAACGATTCTCGATGATAAACTTCTATTTAAGTTTTCTGTAACATTTCTTCCCGTTTCCAAGTCCGAAGTACTTGAACCGGACTCTACTGACTGTTCAGCATCCAAGGTCTTCAAAGTATCCAAATTATCAATAGTCAGCATATTGAACAACTGGAATGCCTTCTGATTTATACTTTTTACTGTGTAGATTTTTGCACCTAAAATTCGATGCTGGATTCTCTTTGGTCATGTGCTTTATATGAGCGCCACAGTCGGTTTTAATTTTTTGATCCCGCAAAAGTCAGGTGACTGGCCGGAAATATATTTGTCATCAGAGAAAATTTTGCAACCAAATTTGCCATAGTGCATACAAAAGAAATTATGTGACATAAATAGTATAGTATTTGAGTTGTAATAAAAAAGAAACTTGAAGTGGGAGTGGGATAGTTTTGTCACAGATCTCTGGAGGGGTGCCTGAAGTTTAAACCCCTGACAATTAACAAAGAATGAGATCTGAAAACTTTGATTAGTCGTTATAACTTTCCCCAGCCGTGCTATGTTGTTTATGCAATAATCATGGCTAACATTCAATTATAAATGCCGTTTACATAACTTTATGAGCGAATGACTAGTTCCGAAGTACTCAATTATCGTCGTGCATGGACTCTTTGAGGAGTCGACGGCAAAGGGCTGTTAGGATATGGTCATATTATGCATAGAACGAATGCGAGACATTTACGTATAAAAAGTTTGTGTATTTCTAATAATGTCGTGTAAATTCATGGTTCATGTCGTTGGGTTCTCAATCTCACTCAAAAATGACAATGGATGAACCTTCAAATATTGGAGAAACCTATAAGCAATTGAATGAAGCAGAACAGCAGGCTGCTAAGTTAGAAAAGATGCTTGACGATTTAGATGCCAAGATGGATTCTATTTTGAAAGATGCCGAAACCTTAAAGTCTGAGACTCAGGAGAAGAAATCAGATTAATTTCTTACTGATAAACTCAGCTTCTGGAGATGGAGTGAATGGGTTTTTAGGGTATCGAGGATTGATGATGGTGTTGGGATTGTTCAAGTCATTGATGGATATTTTGGCAGGTAAACCATCTAACCACCATTTCCTAGAATCAGATGAAGGTGGTGGTAGGATCTTATCATTTAAATAGGATAAATTTGAATTGTTGACGATATCATTGAATTCTCCAAACTTTTGTTTGTAAGAATCATAAATTTCATTTGTCAAGTTCTTCTTAATGGTTTCATTTTCAATATCGATCTTAATTTTGAAAATTGAATACACTGGTCTATGGTCGGAAAATTTCAATTCGGTGAAGGAGTTATAAATCAATTGCTTGAAAATCTTGTTTCTTGATAAGTTCAATATACGGTCTGTCCATGCTGGAATTCTTTGTTTCTCTGATGTGTCATAAGTGTTTGTACCATTATCGAATTTGTAGGTGGGAGCAAATGTGATCTCCATTTCATCGAAGAAGGGGAAACTTTCTCCATTTGCCATTTGTTTGTTCAATTGATCGAACTCAAACAATTTATTAAACTTACCCTCCTGAATCAACAACTTTGTTTGTTCGTTATTAAGGTTGATTCTAAAATTCAAGTCTCCAAGCCAAATAACACCATCATGGTCTTTAATTTTCCTGTTCTTACTGAACTTCACTCCTTTGGATATCACTTTGTAATCGTAATGACGTTCTTCTACATTATTCAAACCAGCAGCTAAATGACTGGTTACAAAACATAATTGAGTGTTTTCATAATTGAATCTTACAGCTATACACCCTTTATTGGATGAAACCCCTCTGAATCCAGTCTTTTTGAATGCACTCTCTACTTCAGAAATCTTGTTCATCTCAGACTTTTTAACAAAAATGAATAATCCCAATCCTCCCAATTGACCTGTCCATAAAGTGGAATATTCACCATGCCTATTCAAGGTTTTTTTGATTTTTTCCGTCCAAAACTTTTTATTCTCGCTATCTATATTCACCATCTTTGTAGCTGTTAACTCAATAATCTCTTGTATTCCAATCAAGATCAAATCATAGTCTTTGATCTTACCTTCAGGAAATATCCATTTATCTATATCATCATTGTAACATATACCATTGATGTTGAAAGTCGTTGCAAACAAAATGATATCCTTCGATGATATATATGAACTAGACTTCTTAGCTAGTTCCTTGTTAATATAATTATGGATCGGGTTGATCAATTCTACATAGTTTTGATCATGCAATCTTCCTAGAAGTTTCAACATGGCATTCTCATTGACTTTGACATCTACTACATTACCGAGATACTTCTTATTGATTTTAGATTTGAAAGTTTTCTTTGTTGACGTAGCACTTGAACTTTTCAATTTATTGGATGAAGTTATTATATTTTCCACATTCTTATTTATGAAATTATTACAGTCTTCCCATAATTTAGCATGTTTGATCAAAATTTCATCGTTGATTTTTATGCCAATATCTCTGAATGCAAGTTCAATGACCTCTTGTGATATGATCTTCGAAATGAAGTTGGCTTTGGATAATGAGTCAAAAGTAACGATACGAAACACTCCTGATTGTTTACCTACAAAAGATTTACCATTAGAATCGTAAAATAAAGCTCCAAAATCAATAAGATCATCCGAAAGTAAATTAATCAAATTATAAGGATTAGATGGTGAGTATCCATATTTCTTGATAGTTGAATTCTTCAAAGGGAAATCTGTTACACTCAATTGGTTGATCAGATCATTTTTATTGAACTCGTTCAAATGACTGTCAAGCTCTTTATTCAATTCACCCTTATAATTATCTTTAGGGAATGATTTTATGACATGCAAATCTCCATATTGGTTGAATAACTTATCGAAATGTTTCTGGAATGAATTTTGACAGGTTTCGAAGGATCTGGATAATAGGATTTTCTTACCACTGTTTTGACTTATTAACTTATTTCTTGAAAAATGGCTTTCAACTTCCCAAAAGATTGGCAAGTTTCCTTTGAGAATGAGATAACTGAAACAGAAATTTTCATTATATATGATAACTTCACATTCTTGGAAATTTGAAACATTCCCATCGTCATCTGAGCCCCAATCTCCAAATAATGGACCTGTCTTATTACAGCTCTGTTTGTTGATAATTGTCAATAAACTATCGTTTGGTTTATTGATTGCGATATTACATGTTTTGACATATCCTCTTGTTATGGTAGTCAAAAAGCCCGATTGGTCAAAATTGTCCAACTCAAAAGGTGTCAAACGTTCACGAAAATTGATTAATTCATTGTTGAGGAAGAAATTCCACATAAACTTCTTATAGTATGAGTTATTGGAGAATATCTTAGAATTACCTTCGAAGCCTCTCTCTTGTATACTGGAAGTTATATCAAAATCAGTGGAATAATAGAAGTCACCTTCACAAAGGAATTTCTTCACTGAATTAGGCGGTACCTCCTTTCCTACCTGGGTATATTGATCATATTTGTCACTGTTGAGACAGAACGAACTCACAGACTTTATAACTTTGATATCTTCCCCAACTCTGGGTGTACCAATGGTCTCTGACTCCGATATAAACATAAGATATATATCTCCTTTTATATTCAAAAGTCCAAGAAATCCCAAAAGGTCATTGGTAGTTTGAGCTTTCAAGTTTTTGAAATCAATTGTATCTATGTTAACGAATTCAACTATGGCTCTGTTGTCTAGCGTTTGGATATGTAAATGATGGTGTGATTCCTTCTTATAAGTAGGTTTCGGATGCCTTATAATTAGAGCCCATTGGTTGGATGTGACGATGAATGTTCGAGGCTTCTCGTTCAAGTATAGCTTCATGGTAGTGAGATTGAAGTGCGATCTTTCTGATGGTAATGCCGCTGAGGGTTGGGGAAAGATGGCGGTGCGCAACCTGGCATACAATAAAAGATAAGATAACACTCCAGCTTTGATATACGGCAAAAACAAAGAAATTTTTACATTACCTGATCCAGTGATCTGATGGCTCTAATTCTATGAAGAGAGCAATGTTTGATGACTTGGCTAAAGAGACGAGTGGATTTTGATGGATAAAATGAGGTTATACATACATTCTTATCAACTATGTAGTTTTTTTGATGTGGTGTTTTGGAATCCATGATGAATCGTAACCTTTACTACTTTCAACTGGGACTGAATCTTTCTTAACAGTTTTCTTAGGAACAATATTGTTGAAGTAGTTTTTACCGAATAAATCATATAAGACTAAACCAACAACCCCAATGGTAACAATCAAGACTAATTCTAAGAATAATAATTGAGGGTTGAATAAGGAAATTGGAATATCTGAAACATTGGCTAATAATGGTTTAACAGTAACTGGAACAATTTGGTTATCAACGGCCATATAGACAATTGGTTTCAAAATATAGTTGTTTGGAACTAAATTCAAGTTAATGGCTTGTTTGAATTGTTGACTTTGACCGTTTTCTAAGGTGATTGGACCAACAGATCCAGTGGTGATGTTGGAAACAATATCGTTGGAAGCTGGGTCATTGAAAGTACCAGAAACACCGATGATACTTAATGGGTGTTCACTATCAGCGTCATTTTCCACATTGTAGACTAAGGTGATAGTGTCACTGTTGAATAATTCTAAAACACCAGTTGATGATTCGAATTCTTCAATTGAGTAATCAATATCGACCTTTAATCCACCAACATCGATAATTTCACTCTTGATGACTGAAAAAAGGGAAACAGCTGATAATAATTTGATCAAGTTCATAGTTGTTGAAAAAATTTTCGCGGAAGGTGTAGGTGTAAAGATAGTACGATAGTTAGAAAGCACGTTCGATCGTTTAAAAGAGATCAGATAGTGATTATTCGTAAGGAGTTCAAAGGAGGGTAAGGAGAATACACATCAAAAGAATCAGATTATCGAAGATCAGGTGTTAAGTAGTTTTTGAGGAACATTTAAAATCCTGGTTGAAGATCGTTTAGTCGTTTAACAGACACTGTGACATTGTATTCAAAGGTAGGTGAAACCCAATCCATACCTTGGCACACTGTCATCTATAAATTATCAAAACTCCTGTAAATACCAACATATAACAACCAAATAATCGATGAACCGACTAGATAAATTGATCAAACAAGACCAACAGATTTTCAAGGAAAACCTTCAAAGATCCAAGGATCGATTCTTCGAATTAAATCACAAGACTCTCGATGCTTTCAACCCAGTCAGCAATAAGATTAAGTTCAACGAATTCAGAAATAAAAAATTTCATTACTACCATCCTATAGAGAACACATTAAATTCCATCATTACTGAATTTTTGAAGACTTGCACCAGTAAGAAGGCACCTTGGTCGATTGGTTCGAAGATATCTTCCCCAGAAAGAAAGTGTAATCATTTGACATACTGCGATTCCCAGCTTACAAGATTTACCAAAAATTATAAGTCCAAATTCGTTTCAAGGTACGAAACTGACAAATTTGCATTAGACCAACAATCTGAAGGTCTCAAATCAGACGAAATCATAATATGTGTGGTAAGAGAGTTGATGAATTTATCTCAACCACCCTCAATAACTTACTTCAAGAAGCTATTGGACTACTTACATAAGAAAAACTTGAAGATTTATCAATCGATAATCATTCGAAATTTAGTAGATTTAAAATACGGAGTCACTGATTCTAATTGTACTGAATTCAGACCAGAATTTTTCAAGTCCATAATAGAAAAAGATCCTAGCATATTGGGTTCACTCTTGAACTATTTCATATCAAACAATGATTCAGAAACTTTTAAGAGATTATTAATATTTGACCTTTCATCTATTGATATGAACCAATTGTTGAAATCTTGTGAAGGTTTAAAAAATCAAGATTTCGCCTCAGCATTGAAAAACCATGTACATAGTAAATAAATTTCGCAGCCATTTGCACCCAATCACAAAATCATGATACCTATCATACAAGTAATCCCACCACAAACTGAAATAAACTTATCTAATTTCAAAATCAGCCCTTCTGTTTCTAGACTCAAGAAGAAGAGCAAGTACCTGAAGCTAGGCGTGGCCAGGAAGCGAATCTCGATCAAAATGTATGAATGGTTTTTTTACATCCCCGAAGAAAATCCCAAATGGGTCGAGAGAACAAAGTTTGCGTTACGAAGATTCAGCGGTACCAGGAAGATTCAATGCCTGTGATCAACTGGCGGGGTTTTTGGAATCAACCTTAAATACTTGAAGAAGATGGAGCTATTCCTTTTAATACATAACTTCATTGCTCGTACAGCGATTCTCCGATATTAACTCATATCCTAATGACTATAAGTAAAAGTCTTGCGGTCTCGGTCTAGTATTACCCTAATCTTTCACCGATCACTTTTGACAGGATTGAGATCTTATCAAGAAGATTTGAGCAGTGCGAAAATCTCATCTCATCCATGAAATTTTTAACCACCAATTTCATTCAATGTGCCGTTAAAGGCTGTCAATCATCTGACAGCTCCTTCCCTTTGAAATACGAAGAATGTGAGTTAGTTGCAGAAACCCAAGAATTCAAACCAGAATTTTTAGTTCACATGTTAGAAAAAATCAACTGGAGTGCTTTAGTTCAAGTAGCTAGAGATTTAGGAAATGATAACTTACCTACAGAAAAACCAGAATTGGACCCTATAATGGAAGATGATGTACTCATATTGAAAGATTTGCATAATTTATTGGTGGAAACCAATATTTTAAATGGTAAAATGATTTGTAATAATTGTGGACACATTTACTTCATCAAGAATTCCATTCCAAATTTCTTATTACCACCTCATTTATGTAATTAATCCATGCCAATATACGATAATGATTGAATCCTTTCTATTCCCGTCTTGTAAAAGTTGACTAAAACAGAAAATCGACTAATAATCGAATTGCAGTCTCATCAACTATCAGAATAGCACTACAAACTTCCTTGTTTTGTACTTTTGTCGCCATACCCGAAATAGTGCTGTTGCTACCTTCTCTGCCCCTCTGTAGCCAGAGGAACCCATCGCATGGCGGAGTTGACAAAAAGCAATTGTGCACGTGACGAGCGCCTTAAATACTCAACATTGAGATCCATTTGGTGATAGATCCAGAAACTTAAACAGAGCTAATGATTAAACCCGAACGAAGGAGATCATTGTCCATAAGTAAATTGTTTTTCGATGATGATTCCAAAATCAAGGGGTTGTTCCACAAGAAAGAGAAATATGATAACGAGTTTGAGTTTAAAGACTCACCAATAACAACACCTAAAGAAATAAGAATTATTGACACCACAGAAAGTTCGGTTCCTCTGAACGGACTGACACATCTGAAACAAAGTTCAAATCTGAATGGCTGCCACCTGGTAAATGGTAATGGTTTAAAGGGAGATAACGGAAGCCAGCTTACCAATCTGATGGAAGCTCCGCCTAGTATGTTGAGAAGATTTGGAAGGAACAGATCCAAATCAGTTATAAATGATATAATAAAAGAGGACTTAACTGTTTCATTGAGACATAATGATTCTGTTTTATCTATCAGTGAACAGAAATTACCTCATAAGATCAATTTATCGACATCTAGTGATTTAAATCAAAGTAAAGTGAGTCAAATAAGTCAATCAAATGATAATAAACAATCGAATCTTACGGTTCCGATAGAGAAGAATCATTCTAATCAGTCCAACATTGAAGAATTTGAGAATCCTGCAGGATCAGGTAGTATACAAAAAACACTTAGAAGAGTTGCATCAGCACCATTAGTTAGACTACTTGATTCCAAAAAACCGGTGGTTAGAGAAGAGTTTGATATTAAGCAGCATATCGGAGAGATCCAGGTTTCTAGCCGTCCTCGTTCAGCTACCCAAGGAAGAAGCTATTCCAAGGCCTCAACAAAGATTGTCAAATCTCAAGTAAATCCTAGTAGTTTCGAAAAGATAAAATTATTGGGTAAAGGTGATGTGGGAAAAGTTTATCTCGTCAAGGAAAAGGCTTCCAACAAACTTTATGCAATGAAAGTCCTCAATAAGAAAGAAATGATTGAGAGAAATAAGATTAAAAGAGTACTCACAGAACAAGAAATTTTATCCTCAAGTAATCATCCATTCATTATTACTTTATATCATTCATTCCAAAGTGAAGATTATCTTTATCTTTGTATGGAATATTGCATGGGAGGAGAGTTCTTCAGGGCACTACAAACAAGAGAGAACAAGTGTATTCATGAAAATGATGCCAAATTTTATGCTTCTGAAGTTATTGCTGCCTTAGAATATTTACATTTAATGGGTTTCATATATAGGGATTTGAAACCTGAAAACATCTTGTTGCATCAGTCAGGACACATCATGTTGAGTGATTTCGACTTGAGTAAACAGAGTCAATTGAAACAGAATCCCATAATGAACGATTTGAAATTGGATACCAAAAAATGTATTGATGGATTCAGAACCAATTCATTCGTGGGTACAGAAGAGTATATTGCCCCTGAAGTTATCAGAGGTAAAGGTCATACATCCCTAGTAGATTGGTGGACTTTGGGTATCTTCATATATGAAATGATTCATGGAACTACACCTTTCAAAGGAGCCGATAGGAAAAAGACGTTTTCAAACATTTTGAAGAAGGATGTCAGATTCGAAGGTAAAAATGTCTCTTCTCATTGTAAGAGTCTCATAAAGAAGTTATTGATCAAAGATGAAAATAAGAGACTAGGAAGTAAAAATGGTGCGTCAGATATAAAGAACCATAGTTTCTTCAAAAATGTTCAATGGGCTTTACTCAGAAATCAACAACCTCCAATGATCCCTGTTCTCAACAAAAGTCCAAGCAAACCTAGAAAGATTGAGAGCGAATTCGAATCAACTAATGTGAAGTCATTCGAAAGCACAGGCGACGATCCTTTCCAAGATTTTAGTTCCATTTCATTATTCTATAACGAAAGTTCAGACCAATATTTTAACAGTTCCATTTACTCAAGTGTTGCTTACACTATGACTACGAGTCCCAAAAAAGGTATTTTCAAATAGATACAACGGTTTTTCGCTCTACGCTTATATGCACTTAGGCATATATCTCTATGCACTGTAGATCTTTTAGCGCATCGAAATTTTTGCAGCCACGTCTTACTAAATAAGGTTGGAAGGGGTGAGGGTTGAATAATAAGGTTTTAACTTATGCCAGGGTACAAAGAGAAGGAAGAAATTTAAACCAAACCAAACTTTTTTTTTCTATTTTACAAATCATAAATCATACTATTTAACAGGAGACGAAATCAACAATGGCTAATTTGACAGGTTCACATTGTTCAGCAACATTTTCATCATATAAGTTGTAGAAGTCTCCTGACATACATTGGTAGAATTCAGTTTGATCACCTAAAGCTAAGTAACCATCAAGAACGGACCAACCGGCAGCATAAATTGAACCAGCTTGAGGTGGAGGACCATCAAATTGGAATTGTCTGTTGGCAACAATAGCACCAATTCTTCCTTTAGAATCAGTTAAGATGGAAGATTTCAAGGTCATTGATAAACTGTTGTCGGTAGCACAAGTTTGGAATTTGGCGGTACCGTTATTTTGAATTTGACCATCATTAATTTGATTGGCAGTATCTTGGTTATTTTGGATTTGACCATCACCAATTTGGTTGATAACTGAAGCAGTTGGTTGATTTTGAATTTGACCATCACCAATTTGGTTAATGACTTTGGTTGGAGTGGCAGTAGGATTTTGTTGATTTTGGATTTGACCGTCACCGATTTGGTTAATGACTGAAGCTGTAGGTTGGTTTTGAATTTGACCATCGCCGATTTGGTTAATGACTTTAGTTGGAGTAGCAACAGGGGTTGGAGTAGCTTCACCAGTTTGATGTTGGATTTGGCCATCACCAATTTGTTGAATTTCTCTCTTGTCTTTCATAGTTTCAATTTGGATACCGAAAGAATCTGGGTAATCAGTAGTACCGGTTGGCTTAGCTTCTGGGGTTAAAGTGGAAAAGTTGTCGGATGGGACATAAGCAGCAATAGCAGTAGCGATTAAGTATAAAGCAGTTATCTTCATTTTTCTAATATGATTTTCGTATTTGTATTGTGACGGTAGTTGTTAATAATGATTGACAAGAGGAACCAATTCCCCTTTTTATATTGATTTGAAGGTAAATATAAACCTGGTAGCCAGCATAAACACATACCTGAATCAATCAATTAATGACATATGTCATGCGTCATAATAGATATTGTGCCTTAAATCAAATTAAAAATAGATATCTGGAGGATGCTGGTAATAATAAATGGCTGGTTGCAAAAATCTCAAATTACGTAAGCAGTTGGTCAAGTCACGTGACTTATTTCTGGATGGTCTAGATTTTCTCGTGGATATACCGAATCATCAGATGATGCATTACCGGTCGTGTGAAACGGTAACTAAAATGCATAACGTGTTAAAATGATTAGCCTTCGAATAATGTGCGTATACCATATGTATTGAAGATTAAAAAATAAAGGTAGTGTGTATATTAAAGATGGCTATAACATGGAATGTTTAAAGGGTACACAATATTAATAAAAAAAAAAAAATAGAAGTGAAGCAATTACGTGGTCTGCGACGTAAGCGGGAATTCGGATGTTATTCCAACACAAAAAATTAGTGGAGAATAGAAAAAGGTACACACAATGTATAAAAGGCTAGATCATTTCATAAATGATTGCTGTCTTATTATAATTTACTGACTCAACAATGAGGTTTTTTTTTCCCAAACTCTTTATGCACAAGATGTTAGTTTACATAATAATATACCCGAGTTTCTGTATCGGACATAGTTATGAAATAAAAATTAAGCGTGATAAATCCCCTGTTCAACACTCTAACAATAGAAACTGAGCCTGAATTAAAAAGGATTTAACTACCCTTTCGAGGTTATCGCCGTGTCGAAAACCATGTGAAGTGACTCCGCGACATTTCTGTCGCAATTGAATTTACGAACTTTTCGAATAATTCAATCTGGTTGTTGGCGATCCCCTTTAGCCTGTGACTCAAGTTGACTAAGATTATTGTGATTATCAATACTGATACTATCAACTAAGTAATAACCATCTTATCGTTTCTTATCGAAGAAAGTATTAATCATAGACATATTAAATCCCCCTGAAATCATTTCATTATCATTGATTTTTTTTCGAACCTTGAAAAAAAATATTTAAATTAATTAATGCCCAAATATGTATTATTTTTTGGGTATTTTTGTTTAAATTAAAGAGGAAATAAAATTTGGTTATTCAACATGAATAACGAAAACATATCTTATCAATATCCTTATCCATATCCGAGTCATCCAAATACAAATTATCGGCAATATCCCGTATCTCAAAGTAATAATCAGAATCAACAAATAAATATTCAAGGAAATACACAGATGCAAATGAATCAAAACACACATATGAATCAGGGTTTAGGGATAGGAACCGGAGTCACAACCTCGATAACAACTCCAGGGTTAGGGGCTTCAGGGGTTGGAAGTTCAGGGGTAGGGGGTTCTTCATTAACAAGTGATCAGTTAAGCCCTGTAATAAATCAACAACCACAAATGAATCTAAGTACTAGTCCAAGTCAGCAGGGTCAGTTACTGGTTCAGCTACAAAATCAAATACCTCAAAATCCTATACAACCACATATAACCCCTGGAATATCGACTATAGGGAGTCTAGCAACTAATCAAAGTCCTACTAATCAAAACTCCCAGATAAACCAAGGATATTATCAATATAATTATGAACTACCACCTATTGTGGCGAATGATTGGGACTATATGATAGAGTCAAACCCCTTAAATTACAAAACCACACAATACCCTTCCCTACCAATACCTAATCAACAAGTAAATCCCATGGGTATGACCTATGGGTATCAAACTTCCATACCATCAATGAACATGGGTGTGTCGAACAGTATATCGAACGCAACCGGTTTGTCGACTTCATTACCTGGACCACCACAAATATCGATACCTAATCAATCAGGCGAGAGGAAGAAACGAAGGAATACTACAACAGTATCAAATATGACACCTCAGACAGCTGCTAGGAATCGTTGTCCTATTTGTCAAAAACAGTTCAAAAGACCTTCATCTTTACAAACTCATATTTATAGTCATACAGGAGAAAAACTTTTTAAATGTCCATGGCAAGATTGTGGGAAGCTATTCTCCGTCAAAAGTAATATGACCAGACATTACAAGCTACATCAGAGAGATAATAATTAATGTATTTTACGAATTCTCTTATTCTTCAGAAGTTTTCACAAACTTCCATAATTTCACGTGAGTCGGGATTATATATGTGTGAGATTTGGTGCGATTTTCTATAATGAGACCAACTTTGATAAAGCTCTTCAAACCTCCATTTGTTCCATTGGTAGCTAACAGCTTCACTGAAGCTATTGGTAACACTCCTTTGATCAGATTGAAGGTATCGGATAAAATTGGAAGAAATGTATATGCCAAAGCAGAGTTCATGAACCCTGGAGGATCAATCAAAGATCGTGCAGCTAAATATGTCATCGAAGATGCTGAAAGAAAAGGGTTACAACCAGGTGGTACTATTATAGAAGGTACTGCTGGTAATACTGGTATTGGTTTGGCTCATGTATGTAGACTGAAAGGTTATAAATGTGTAATTTATATGCCTAACACCCAAGCTAAATCAAAAATGGATACCTTGAGATTACTTGGTGCTGAAGTTCATCCTGTTCCTGCTGTAGCTTATGACAACCCTGAAAACTATAATCATAAAGCCAAAAGACATGCAGAATCTTTGGAAAATGCTGTTTGGACCAACCAATTCGATAATATTGCTAACAGACAATCTCATATTGAAACCACAGGTCCTGAAATTTGGGCTCAATTGAACGGTAAAGTTGCTGGATTTACCTGTTCTACAGGAACTGGTGGTACTTTTGCTGGTATCACTCGTTATTTGAAAACCATTTCCAATAATGAAACCAAATGTGTTTTAGCTGACCCTCCAGGTTCTGTTGTACATTCATATATTCAATCTAAAGGTAAGGATATTGTTCGTGGGGGTTCATCTTTCACAGAAGGTATTGGACAAGGTAGAATCACTGAAAATTTAAAACCAGACTTGGAATTAATCGATGATTCTTATAAAATTCCAGATGAAGAATCAATTGAAATGTTATATAGATTGTTGGATGAAGAAGGAATTTATGTTGGAGGTACTTCCGCTTTGAATGTTGTTGCAGCCATCAAACTTGCCGAATCTTTACCTGAAGGATCCAATGTAGTCACAATTTTGGCCGATTCTTGTCATAAATATAGTGATAGAATTTTCTCCAAGAAATGGTTAGAATCCAAAGGATTGTTACAAGCTATTCCTGAACACTTATTAAAATATGCTCTGTTAGAGTAGTTAAGTAAATACATATTTATGGTCATCAACTTTTACACCCATTGACTTCTCAAGTCTATAAATCTTCAGGATTTCAATCAATTTTATTAAGAAATCCACCAATACAAAACTGTCTTTCTCCCTGATCAACAGAAATTCGAATTTGACCTTACCTTTTTTTCGGCACTTATTCTTTTAATTTAGTTGATGTATATTTATCTTCATGTAATCGTGAAAATGTAAAAACCACAAAAAGAGTAAGTCGTATAAAAAAATTTAATACTTTCGTAAAAATCGGGAAAAAATCAACAGCATCTTGGATTCGATAGGAGATTCTGGGACAGTCATCCGTTCACTGTTTTATGACTAACTTATAGTAAATTTAGTGACTCAAAATGAGGGGGGGTAATTAGGTGCTAAAAAATTCGTCTACTCGCAGTAAAAAGTCATCAACTATCTAAAGACCTAGTGGCAATCGGTGCGCGCTAGTGCTGTTAAACAGTGAGAGATCTGAGAAAAAAATTTTCATGGAACAACAAATCACCCAAGCAGTGGAAATTGCCTTAAATAATTCCAATAAAGAATTACACGATCAGGCTATTGGTTACATTAATACTATCAAACAAACTAAAGAGGGTTATGAATCATGTTTAAATCTTTTGACCACAAAAGTATCTGAAGAGCTCAGATTTTTCATTTTTCAGGTTATTGAAGAAAATCTTCAAAATTTAAGTGACCAAGAGATCTTTACTTTGAATGAAATATTAAATAACTATTATTTGGAGATAATCAAGTCATCCAGTTATTTGAAAAACAAATATTGTGAAATCTTATCTAAAATATTCTGTCAGGTATATTTGTCTCAAGATGATTTCTTAACCAAATGGTTAGTCAAGTTGGATGGAGCTGATGAGGACTTGATCGATATTTATTTGAGATTAATGATCTCTATCCATGAAGAAATTGCAGACAAATTGATCAACCGAGATAATTTCATCAACGAAAGAAATACTTATCTTAAAGACAAGATCCGATCAAATGACATGAATCTTTTAATCAAAAGTTGGTCCAACATCATTTTGAAGTACAAGGATAACCAAGAGAATGAAAAACAAAAGAATAATTTGAACAATGCTTTGATCATTGTAGGAAATTATGTTCAATGGATGGAAATATCACTTTTCATTGAAAACGATATGATCAATTCCCTTACTCTGTTAGTCAATAAAGAAAACAGTCAAAGTTGTATCACAATTATTGAAATAATCTCCAAGAAAATGAACAGCGATAAGAAATTCCAATTACTTAGATTATTGGATTTATCGTCGTTTAAACCTTCAGATGATATCTTTTTTCTTGAAAATTTCGCTAAACTTATCAATACCATAGGGTTTGAAATTTGTATCATTATGGAAAATACCAGCAATGTCATGGAATACGTTTATTATTTAAATACTTTGTGGCCATTAATTTTAGAATATTTAGCCAACGAGTATGATGAGATTTCCGTTCAAACTTTCCCATTCATACAATCTTTTCTTACTTTATGTAAAAAGAATAATGCTTTAGTTAATGAGAACTTATTAAAGAATCTTTTGATGGCTTTAATATTAAAAATGAAATTCGAAGATGATATCAAATTTACTGATGATGATCTTATCGAGGAATTCAATGAATTTAGAACCAAATTGAAATTTTTCCAAGATTTGATTGCTTCCATTGTTCCTGAAGTGTACTTTACCATTGTTCCTAGTATTATTCATTACTGTTTGATGAAAGATTTTGGACAATTTAGTGATACCGAGGAAATCAGAACATTAACCTCAAAATTACTGGGTGGTTGGGAAGTTTTTGAATTGGGTTTGTATGAGTTCAACAATTTGTTTGATTCCAAAGAGACCAAAGCTTCTAAAGACGAAATTTTAAGTAATATCAACTTGAAACTTATCAATTTACCATTGAAATTCTTCGAAAATGAATTGATCCAAATCAATTTATTCGAGATCTTAGTCAAGAATTACAAATCACTCGACGTCAGTTTGAAAGAGAATCATGATATGATCTACAAATACTTTGAGTTATTCGAAGTGATTGGTTTGAATAATCCTATTGAAAAAATCAAATTTAGATGTTGGTATCAATTCCTTAAATTCATTAAACTCATAAAACCAGGTTTGATCAGTGACAACATCATTATAGAAAATCTTTTCAAATCACTTATCACCAACAATTTATTGACCATTAATATAGCTAATTTGAATATCAACTCCACTGTTAACGTGGACAACGTTGATGATAATATCGAGGAAAACGATTCTTACTTCCAAAATCAATTGTACATTTTCGAAGCCATTGGATTATTGATTTCCATCTCAAACATTGCTGATGATTTCAAAGTTAAACTTATTGATCTCGTTTTGAGTCCAGTTTTCAAAAACCTCGAAGATTTTATCAAAATCAAACAAACTAATCCATTATTTAATCTCAAACCATTACCTTTGAATGTCGAAATCAATTCTTTAATCATTCAATGTCATCACAATCTCATTCTAATTGGAACGTTCATCAAAGGATTCAATGAAAATTCCGTATCCAAAGAAATTATCGACAAGTTCCATCAATGTAGTAAGATCATACTCATCACCATGGAAAATTTCAAGAATTTCAGAATTATCAGAGAAAGTTCTAGATTTTCATTTGCTAGAATTATTCCTTTACTCAATGATTTAATCATTAATGAATTGAATAAATTAATATCAATTTATCTTTCCAATGAGTTGAATTTGATTGAATTTACAGACTTCATGGCATTCATCAATCAAATCATTCACAATTACAACAACGAAAATATCTATAACATGTTGAATTCACTCATCACTCCTTTGGTTGATAAAATCTTCATTTTTTTGACGGAAAACTTCGATTCTCCTGATGTTAATTTGTTAGAAAAGATGTTCCTTAATTTCTTATCCACTATTGTTATTAACCACAAAACTAGTATTTTAGTTACTGAGTCAAACAAAGTTATTTTGCCTCAAATATTTGACAAAATCTTTGCTAATTGTTATAAAGATTTTGATGATTTAACAATCAATAAGTTGTCCATCACTCAATTGATCAATTTCTTAAGTATCTTCAAAGATGATAAAATAGTGGATGCTAAAGATATTTTCAATTCCAATGCATCAGTAGAAGGGATCAATGATTATCTTTATAAAAATTGTATCAATTTGTCATTTGAATTACCCTTCAAATTCACCAATAAACTCGTTATCAATGAGATTTCTGTCTTGCTTAAAACAATGTCCAAGAATGAAAGTTTAGTGGGAGTTTTGGATGGTTATTTGACTGGTAAAATCAACAATGATTTGAAATCTGAGTTCATTGGAAATTTGATAAAATTAGACCAAAAGGATTTCAAAGCTTATTTCAATCAATTTGTGTTGAATATGAAGCAGAGCAGTTAAAGTGACTTACGAATCATAGAGAGAGTCATAAAAAATCAGAAAATACGAAAAGCCTTCTGTTTAGTAGGCTTTTTAGCTGGGTTCCCTATTTATAAATTCCACAGCTATACCGTTGCATCATACCATGTATATTAGCATTAGCATTACAATACTGTAAATATATTTATTGTACTCGCAAAATTTTTGCAGTTTACTTTTTGCAGTTTACCATTTGCAGTTTTCTCCCCCACCCCGTACTACTCTTAGACCAATATTATTAGAATGCTAGTGCGAAAGCTTCGCACCATATTGGTGGTAAATAAATCTCAAAAAAATTCGCATCTCATCTCATCATGGATCCTATAGAAATACCACCTAAAGATGAAGAAGAATTGTTATTAGAAAAGTTAGTTTTCGGAGATATAGAGAATTTCGAAATCAACTTGAAACAAACTGAAAATTTCTTCGATTCTTCCGACGAATACGAAAGCGCAGACGAAAGTGAAGACCAAAGTGAAGATGAATTTTTCATCGATGATGATGGTGATGATATGGAAGTTGACGAAGAAGCTGATTCTGCTTCTGATTCCGATTCAGAAAATGCATGGAGTGATAGTGAAGATGAAAATGTCACTGTTGCTTTAAGCTCTTCTAATAAATTGAAAAAATTAAGAGCTTTTGAAAACGATAATGAAGTTAATGGTAAGAGTTATATAAATCGATTGAGATCTCAGTTTGAAAAAATCTATCCCAAACCAGCTTGGGTAGAGAAACTCACAGAAGAAACAGAAGAACAGGAGCAAGATGAAGACGAAGAAGATTATGATGATGATGAACAAGATGATGAAATCAAACATGATAGTAACTCCATATTGAAAATTCTCAAAACTACTGACAAATTCATAATAACTAAACAGTTGAAGTTGATATCTCCTCACAAATTGTCCATATCACGTTTGAAAGATGCCAATCAAAGCAGAAGAGCCAAAGGAGGAATTCAAAGTATGTGTTTTCATCCTACCAGTCCTTTATTATTAACTGGGGGTTTTGATAAGACCGCAAGAGTGTATTATATTGATGGTAATCACAATGAATTGGTAACTTCATTGTTTGTAAGGAATTGTCCTATCTATTCATGTTCCTTCTCCACCGTCAACAATAAGAACTTGATTTTCGTCAGTGGAAGAAGAAAGTTCATGAACAAATGGGATCTTGATTCTGATGAAATTGAAAAAATCTCCAGAATGTATGGTTATGAAAAATTCCAAAAATCTATGGAATCGCTTAAAATATCCAAATCAGGTAAATATCTTGGTTTGATGGGTAGCTCAGGTTACTGTAACATCTTGAATGGTTTGACCGGTCAATTCATGATGAATTTCAAGATCGAAGGGACCATAATAGACTTTGATTTCTCTTCCAATGAAAGAGAACTCATCATTGTCAACACCAATGGAGAAGTATGGGAGTTCCAATTAAGTGATAATCAATTAACCTCCAACAACAAACCTACCAAAAGATGGAGCGATGAAAGTGGTATTGGAATCACCAAGATCAAATTAGGAGGAAAGAACAGTAAATATTTGGCTATAGGTACCAATAATGGTATCGTTAACTTGTACGATAGATCCAAAGACGAAGCCAATCCTAAACCTTTCAAAGTAATAGATAATTTGATCACCACAATTTCCACCTTACAATTCAGTCCTGATGGTCAATTATTAGTGGTGGCATCAAGAGGTAAAAGGGACGCTTTAAAAATTGTTCATTTACCTTCAGGTTCTGTGTATTCTAACTGGCCCACTTCTGGTACTCCATTAGGTAAAGTTTTATCAGTTGCATTTTCTCCTAACAACAAAATGTTAGCCGTTGGAAATGATGCTGGTAAAGTAACATTATGGAGATTAAATCATTATTAATGCATGAATAGTTAATCATAATTCTCTACCACCAAGAGTACCATTACTCAGTAAATTTTCATTCTTCGCACCATCCCTCGCTAGTCACCCTTATAATTTATCAAATCCGCGAAATCATCAGATTCTCAAAACTAACGATGCCTGTTGTTGGAATACCGTATGTACATTCAACTTCCTGATGTTCGAATACTTTTGTGATTAAACTTTATGAACATGGAAAATATAGTAAGAGACAAATACTAACCTTTTGTAGAAAAAGTCACAGTAAATACCGTAATCAAAAGACATTCGAAATAACTCCTGCTTTGTACAGAGTTAGATCCCAATACTTCAACCGTAATCTTATCGGATTCTTTGCCGTTACAGCTATCCCATTAGGAGTTTATTTATACACATGGAAAATGTTGACTACCGATGATTTATCAGATATTCCAATTCCTCCAATCTCCGACGAAGAATTATCCAAGTTGAAGAAAGAGTACTCTTCTAAAAAGTAGGAAGATATAAAGGGAAAGGGTACGCCGTGTACGTAGTAAATAGTAGTATTAATGTATATAGATGCTAATTGGAAATATCTCTTAATGGATATCCTCTATGATTGTCACTGTCGCTATCACTGAGATTTTCGTCTACAGGGTAAGGACTATCGACGGTTATGGAGCCTTTAGGACTCACTGGGTATTCTGGGTCTTTTTTAGGACTTACAGGATACTTGAGGGGACTTATAGGATACTCTGGATCTGCCTGGGGACTAAAATCGAAGTCAGTATCTCTACTGGGGCTAACAGGATACGATGGCTCTTTTTTGGAGCTCACAGAAATTCTGCCGGGACTCAAAGGATACGTCATGTCTTTCTGCGGACTTTCTACGATTTTTTTAGGACTCAAAGGATACTCAGGAGATCTTCGAGGACTGATTGGGGATTCAGACTCCGACAAAGGACTCACAGGCTGTCCAATGGGGCGTATAGGTTCTGTTTGACTCCTGTCTTTTTTGAAAACAGACACGCCTCTAACAGGATATGGAGCCTCATTCAATGAAGAAGCCGAAGGGTTCTCGAGGTTCATCAAGCTGCTAGGTTTTTTTCTTCCTTGTTTTGGTTGATTAAACCCTCCATCAGGTATGCTTGTGTTTCTTAAGGCTCTCTCTGGTTGAATAGGTTCTTGCTCACGGTAACTTTGGTTCCATTGATCAGCAAAAGTCTCTTGGGAATGGTTCACTGGGGTACGAGATACGAAATCTAATGAATCCGACCTGGGAGGAAACTCATCCGAGCTTCTGTCTTGACCCAGCATTAATGGTAGATGCAGTTGAGTGTCGAATGGGTTTTGAACAGAATTAATCGATCCAAAAGAATGCTTATAAGGGTTGTTTGGTCGTGACAGGGGAGCAAAAGATTTAGGAGGTCTGCTCAAACCCTCACGCTGATGAGCTTCAAAAGGATTATCTCCAATCATTGATCCTCCAAGTTGTTCTTGCGAATCTCTAAATGGATCCCTCGACTCTGACAAATCTTTCAAGTTATATGAATGGTTGAATAGTTTCTGATTATCGTTATGGAACAGGGCTTTGTACTCAAAATCATTGTCCAAAGTGGTGATTTCATCATTCAATAATGGATTTTCTTTAATTTCATTGATGTTCAAGATTCCTCTTTCTAACAATTCATCCTTAGGTTTATGATTTTTTAACACCAAATATCTCACTTTATCATTAACTATCTTACAGCAGTACCTCTTCAATGACTTGAAACCCTTACCACGAAGCTTATAAACTACGGGCAAATAGAATAACATACCCAAGACGAATTTGAAGAAGAAAATAGCGAAGATAGCCACCGAAAGACACATAAATGACAAAATGATTGATAATCGAAGATTCAGCTCAGCAATTTTTTTTATGTTGGCAATGATATCATTGGAAAGGTCTCCATCTGTGGCGTAGTATCTCAAAGTTAAGATATTGATAACTTGTCTCGGAGCATCGGCCACTAGTATTTGAAGGGCATTATCCAACTCGTTATAACAAAGGAAACAAGACCAATCAAAGAACGTGTCTTGTTCAATCTTACTGAACAAACAATGAAAGTTGTATGATTTGACGGTATAAAGAATCTTTGCAATGTTATTAACGTAAGCCAAGGCAATGTTTCTGGTTCTATAAGTATGTATTGCCCACAACCAATGATAAAACAAAAGAACGAATTGGAATATAATACATCCTGTGAAGATCCATTTAGCAATGGAGTAAGCATATGGTTGATAATCATCTGTAGACCATTTGTGGAACACTAAAATATTCAAACATGTATAAATATCAACTCCTAACAAGATCCATGAAAGGAAGATCAATATCCAACACCAAATGTAACCGAAAACTGTGGACCAATTCGTGTTGTGGAATTTGTCCACATCTATCAAGTCGAACGTGGAATGATCAAGCTTATACTTGTTGATTTCCCTATTGGCATTCAACAATCCCTTCTCTTCCATGATGTGGTGAAATCAGTTCGCAAAAAATCTGATACGGATCGAGAAACGTAAATCCTGAGATGCAGAAAATCTGAAACAAATCTGAAACGCGAATGGTGTGAGAAGATGAAACAAATAGATGAAATTACAATTTGAATCAAGAGGTGAAACAAGAAATGAAACCTGATTCTGAAACAAGATCATGTGATCTAAGCTGAAACAAAACTCGAAGAATATGTTGTAGACAGCTTCCTGAAACGATTTCAATGTAACATACAAAGCCTGACAAAATATGAAACTAAAGTATGAAACAAAAATATGAAACTAAAGTATGAAACAAAAATATGAAGCAAAAATATGAAACTTATTCCAGCGTGTCTTCAAACAAATAGAGATGAGAAAAATGCTGTAATGAAAAATGGAGCATAAAAATGAAACATGTTCAAAAACTTGTGAGACTGACCACTACTAGTACATTAAACTATAAACTTTAAGCCGAAAACTTGGCCAACAACTTTTCAGCCTCTTCTTTACTATCTTCTATCTCACTCAATTGCTTTAAAACATCAAGACATGCTTCCTTCACAGGGGGTCTGAACATCAAAAGATACTGTATAGACAAGAAACCCAATTTACTTCTGACAGGATCAACACATAAAGATTTGATCTGTCCCACTAATTGAGGCGATAACACTGGCAAATCACTCAACAATCTGATGAAGATTTTACGGTCATTAGCTTCCAAAAAGGGAATGATAGAAGTCAAGATTTTAGTAGACCACTTATCATAGATTGGAGTTGGAATATCGAGTTTTTCGAATTCTTCATTGATCTTATAATCCAAATCGGTTATGTTTCCAGATTCGTACTCTTTCATATATTTCAATTTGATTTCGTTTTTCGTTTTCAATTCATTATAAACAGTCTCACTGTACCATTCTTCGTTCAACCATTCAATAATCAAATCAATTCTAGCATGGATATTTTCCAAGAAAAAGTCCATCAAAGCATTCCTTATCAAATCGCTCAATTCGGAATTTTTATCGTTATCTATGGAATGATCATTGGAATCTATGGTTCTCATACCTCTGGTTGCCAACCTAGTTAAGATTACTAACCATGATTTCTTCTCCCAATGTTTTATAGCAATCTTTGTGAGTTCTTTGTTAATACCTTCTTCTTGTTTTGCTTCTTCAACTTCTTTAATATTTGTTTCAGATAACTTGAAAAAATTTCTGATGATCATATTGATTTGTTCTCTTTTCTCTTGGAATGATAACTCTTTTGGTGGTGGTAAATTATAAACCGATTTTGTGTCATAATTGGTCACACCATCGTCCTCATCGTCATCTTCATCATCCATACCTAGTTTGATACGTTTATTCTTTAATTCTTCTTGATTTTCTAAAGCATATTTATACCTTTCACTGACGATGTCAAGAGCTTTATTTAATCTTTTGCCTTCAACTTTTCTCATGGCTGTCATGATCATAGTGACCAATACTTGTGGAGGTAAAGTTGACAAATCAAAGTTCAATTGATTAGATTCATCGTTTAAAGAATACAAATCCTTGTATTCCAAAGATTTGACTTTCTTCGAAAAGTTGGCGAAACCAGTGAACTTAACTTTCTTGATATTTTCATCAAGCGGTGAAGGGTCGACAATATTTTTACGTCTGATTTCATCACCTCTTTCAATTAATACCTGCACTTTCTTGTTCATACTCGATTGGAAATCTCCAGGGATTAATTTGAATTTTTGTAAATGGATGAGGAAGATTCTGATTATTCTATCAACATATTTCCTACTCAATTTGAATTCTTCTATAGTTTGATAATTGGATTGAAGTTTCTCATGGGTTTCAAAATTTTCGATTACTGTTAAGATTTTGGTGACAAATTGGTCTTTTCTTTTCATTAAAAATGATAATTGGATAATTACAGGATTGATTAAAGGTGGAACCAACACATCGTTTTTGAAAATGTCTAATAAGTTATTCAATAAACTTGTAGCTTCGGCCTGAATTGCATCTCTTTTGATTAAAGAATGATTTATGTTGACCATTCTACAATTGAAAGAATTGACATTCGAATTAGAGTATGTTTGATAGTCAATGACCACTATTATGAATTTAATGAGTTCAATTTTACTCAAAAGATTTCTAAATCTATCTTTTTCTTCATCATCACTATCTTTTAATGGCCAAGTACCATTGAATTTACTAGTTAAACTCATTTTCAACTTATTTAAATTGGCCCAAACATCTTCACAACCATCATTTTCAGCTACAAATTGGAAAACTAATTTGAAAATGGTTATAGCAATATCGATGACATGTTTAAAGATCTTTAAATCTTCAACATTGGATAAATAGATTAATGATTCCATGGTGTCGATAGCTAAATCAACTTTATCACTATATTTCAATGTGTCTGATTCAAAGACGTCCTTAAGGAAAGTAGAACACCAGTATTTGATTAAAATATCATCATTGGTGACAAAATTCAATACTTGTCTAACAACTTGAGGAAAAAGTGATGGATCATTGAAACCAGCCTCTCTAGCCTGTTCTAGACCATTCAAAATATCTTTGGTGGTGAATGACATGGTTTATTATGAAAAAAAATGGAGTCAGAAAGATTTATTCGAGGGTCTTAATGTATTTGATGAACTCTATCTTCTGTACGATGTCTCGAATATTACAAATAATACACTACTAATTAGATTATCAAAATTGACTCAACAGTCTTCTATGAACAGTTCTTTATGACTCTAATTACTCGTTTACCCAATTCTCTGATTGATTTAACGATACAACGGTTTTTTGTTTTGAAGTGTGGGTCAAGGTAGTCTTCTCAAGTCAACGCTGGAAAATTCGCGATCCAACATTAGATGGTACAATCGCTAGGGAACAATAACAATACCCATGATGAGGTTGTAGGGACTTCCAATGGGTCTGGAAATCCCCTGGATACCACACCAAGTGTATTTAAGGTTCTTGATGATAATATGTATCAAGATGAGTATGGGGATAGTGGAGATTTCCCATTTCTTCGCGAGAGAAAGTATGGTGATTCCATTAAATCACGATCCAATTACCAAACCATGACTCAAATTAACCTTTCAGGACCTCCAGATCTTTTGCATGTGGGTAAGTATTGTGGTATAACAAGCTCAGCCTACGAGGATGATTTCTTGGGTGAGATCGATAAGCATGAAGATGGTTACATAGGTACTTATCATTATGTTAATGGAGTTTACCACGATTGTTATTACTCAATAGAGAAGTACATCTTCGATGTCATGGGAATCAAAATCAAAAACAATGATTATTACTGGGATAGTGTCAATAAGAAGGAGACCGTGGTGACTTATTGTTCTTACAACATTTTCACCAAGAGTGACTTGAGAATCAAATACGTTTTAACCCCCAATAATAAGAAGACCATCTCCATAGATAAAACGTTTCAAATCTTGCCGAGTGATTCCAATGGCAGGAAGGTTCAGGCTTCAATAGGTAAGTTGAATGATTTCAATTGGGATGATATTAATGTTTCTTCGATTATAAGATCATTTCAAATGGATGAACCGTCCAAACAATTACCAGGACTGATCAACTTCTCCAAATTAGTCGACAGTAAATCAAGGATCATAAACTGTCTTCAATTACTTGTGAAATACCTTTCCAAAGGGTACCTCACCAATTATGATGAAAGTTATGGATTAGTGACAGGGTGCCAAAACAATAATAACTTGAAAACCAACCATTTCAGAAATAACCTTACTGATACAATAATCAGAATCTGTGACTTGGATTATAATGGGAACCTTACCAAGTACACAATAGAGCTTTTGGATAATTTGAAAGATGATTGGACTTGGCTCAAACTCAGACTATTGAAGAATGCAAATGGATATAACAGTTCTGTAGAATTTGTGAACACTATCCATAGCTACTTCAAAAACAACGATATTTATACCACCCATTCATGCTTGATCTTACTCGAGCAAATCAAATTCTTGATATCCAAACAAGATTATACCAATGCTGTAAAGTTGAGTGAAACCACCATCAAGATCATGCCATTAGATTTTGAATGTTGGTATTATCTTATTTTGAGTTATACATTGGTGGACGATTATGAGAATGCTTTCATTTCTCTTAATTCTTTACCAATTACCATTAATCAAAACTTAGAGGTTGAAGTGGTTTCCGGTATTGAAGACACCTTTTCGACCAACTTTTTACAGAAAGAGATGAGCGAAAAGACCTTCATGAAATACTTCCCTCCACCAAATTCATTATCCCAACATTCGTTACCTTCAATTTCCAAACAGTCCACTGGAGAGATTAAAAAAATCTGGAAAGATGTGTTCATATTCAATCCTCTCAGTAGACATCCAATCATGGGGAACAAATTTTATCAAACCCCTATCATTTGTAAATCAGTTCAAGAAGTTTCATCCATCGATGGTAATTTGAGACGACTCACCGATGTTAATACCCTCAAGCTCAAATTATCGGGCCATTCTGCTAACTCCACTTCCAGTTCCATGCTTGATTTCACCAAAAAATCTACCTGGGGGAAAGCATACAATATTTTATCATACATCATAGCCAAGATAGGATGGGAGGAAGTAATGCATATTAAAGTCAAGTTGTTCCATACTTCATCTAAAAAGATATCTGCCGTCAATAACGATAAAAACCAACTCATCTTCATAAACCCATGGTTGGAACAATTATTTCTTATAATCTATGAGGATTTGAAGACTTTGATGGTGATAACAGACGCCACCAAGCTACAAAACCATAGTATTCTCCAATGGGAATTATTAGGAATACTTGGATGGAATGTTAAGTATAATTTGAAATTCACTATCTCATCATTGATCACATCATTCATTGGAGACTCAAGTAATTACAAAGATATCCACTATTTCAACTCCGTTCAGATCCTCATCATCTATGATGAGTTCATCCTTGGAGAAGTTGATAATTCTCAAATCGATAATCTTAATGATGATTACATGAAAAGTTATTACTTGAACAAATTGATCTTGAAGGATAACATGGTTTTCAACACATTCTTGAACTCAATTACTAAGGATTACTTGACTATAGATTTGATCCTTATGATTTTGATCAAGTTAATCAGTTGGAACTTGAGATGGTACCAATTCCTCCCCAGTTATTTAGTACAAAAGATCCTTAACAAGTTGATTATCATACATTCTTCGGAGTTCATCCTCAGTAAGATGAGAATCATCTTCAACGAAAACAAGAGTGGTAACGACGGGTGGTTTAAGAAGGGAGAACAAAAAATGTTCGAAGGAGATGATTCAATAATAGAGTATTTCGAAAAGTTATTTGCATGGATTGAAGGAGTCGCCATAAGAGATTGATTCCGATTTGCATCAATAGAAATATATTAATTTTTCACTATATGGAAGGACCTCTTCTTCGGAAGGACTTCTTCTATGGAAGGGCTTATTCCCTACTCATTCTTCTTTTCGTCTTTCTTTTCACCTTTGGCTTTCAACTTTCCTAAGGCTTTCTTTCTTTGTCTTAATAAATGAGTATATAAATGAACCAAAGCTGGAATATAGATCACCAAGTTAGCCCAAATGAAATAGTAGTAATATTCACTTACAGCTTTACCTACATCTAAAGATAAGTACATAATGATCATTTCTGAACTGACACCTAATGGATATAACACCAAGAAAGCAGAATATCTCAACCATACTAACCAATCAGGAGTTTCACCTTTCAAAGTAGTGGTATGGAAACTATACTTAATGATCTCACTCAAAGACCAAGCAATGGAAACAGTGATGTAACTCCAATGAGAATTAGCGGGAGATTCAGGTAAGAATTGCCAAATTCCCCAAACAACCAATAATCTTGAGTAGACTTGCATCAAGGTTGTAAAGAAGGAAGCTCTGACGATTCCAAATAATGCATTGAAAACCTCAACTAAAGCACAAGTTTGAATGATTGTAGTGACGAAGTTAGTTTTCTCGAACAAGTAAGGTTGGCCAATCAAAGTACCGAGGAATAAGGTGTTGAATAATACAATTGACCATAAGGAAGCTGATACTGAGTTATAGGCAATGAGCCATTTCTGTGGATGAGCCATGTTGGGTTAAGATGGAGTTTTCGCGTCCAACAAAGTTAGATGGTTAATGGGCTAGGGATGGCCCTAGAGCGATGGAGCGATAGAGCGATCTTGGGGGACGCGGGAAACAGAAATCTCTATATTACTTAGTCTTATGGGATAACATTTTTCTTCTTTGTTTTAACATGTAACTGTACAATATATACATCCCTGGGATGTACATCCCAAGACCTAAGGTAAAGAAATAGTAATGGAACCAATTGTCTATGTAAGCCAAACTTTTATAGACTACCACTGGTTCTGTGACCAAACCTAAAGGATAAAGAACTAAGAAAGCTGAATATCTTAACCAATTCAACCAACCTGGAACTTGAAATCCCCCAATCTTCAATAAATAATAAGGATATCTAATCAATTCTACCACAGACCAAGCCACCAATAAGCCCATGAATGCTGGGGAATAATTTCCTGATGATAATGGAACTAAGTAACAAACTCCAATGCAAATAACATCTCGGGCAAAGAATTGAAGGAGAACCACGGAGACTGGAGATTTGGTCAATCCTGTCAAGGAATGAAGGATCTCACAAATGGTGTTCATCACTTGAGTTATCACAAGAAGTTTATGAGGGAAGTCTGTGAACTCATGGGAAAGATAATATGAATCAAATGTTCCTGGAAATAACACAGCAACTATATCCTTAAGGTTCGTCACGAAGATGACAGCCCAAAGGACTGTTGATACTAAATTGTAAGTGATCAAGTACATGTGCGGGAGTTGAACTTTGGGTTCGCGGGACATCTTCATGAGACAGGGTGAAGGTTATGCGAGGTCATTGAGTGGACTGTTCGTCTCCGATAAGGGATGGTTAGAAGAATAAACGGAAGAAGATAGGTGAAGACTTTCATATGCTATCATCGCGCATTGGCTGCAAAAAGTAGTTGATAGACGGAAGGTACAGCGACTCAAGATTCTATGCTCCTAATGCCTATAAAACCAGCAGACAGCAAGCATTCGATGATATGAATACAATTGAGGATCTTTTGCATTTTATAGACTTCTTTGATCTAGACAGCACAGCTCAACTAGAACCCGAGGTTCAATTCACTGAGGAATTATCACCCTTTTCAGAAACATTCTACCTTGATGATACCCCAGTACCGTTAGATTCTCAACAAAGAGTACAAAGATCTCACAGGTACAGAACAAGAGAGGATCCTTACAGGGACGAGATATTATTACGCACACCTCCGGGACTCCCGCAATCATCCTTAACTCCATTACAACATGCTCTTATTGAAGCATTATGGGGCCCCCAAGGTTTCAGAAGAGTATTCTGAGAGTATTTTAAAATACCATCTATTCAAACGTAATACATATGCCCGCTCTATTACTTATATTTCTTTAAAATATTGTCTAAACCAAACTCATCATTAGCAATCATGTTCTGTTCCCAATCTACAATCAATGGAGCTTTGAAAACTTCGGAACTTTCGAATTCTTTGGAATTTAAAGCTTCTTCGAATGCTTGATAAATCATAAGGTATTCGGCTTCACTGAACATTTTCAAACCGTTAGAACTCAATCTTCCAATTACAGCTGGTGCCTTGACAGTGACTCTATCTTTACCTTCAGGACCAGCGGTTTTACCTGAGATGAATGGGAAACAGTTTTTCAAAACATTCTTGGAATAAGTGTCATTTAAACATCTATGAGTGATATGAACATATTGATCATAAGTTGGTAAAGTACTATCCATTCTATCAATAATGAATTTCTCAGTATCCATGTTGAACTTACCATCAGCTTGAGTTAAGATCTTTAATAAATCAATCGATGGAGTTAATCTCTTGTTGTGGAAGATGGAAATAACACCACCAGTGTTTTGTAATGTTTTGAACATGAAGTAAGGGATTTGGCCAAAAATTGAAAGGTGCGAAATCTGGGGTCATGTCCGGTGAATAATGTCCGGGAGATAAGGCATATTCTTCAGTACTATTGAGCCATGGAAGAAGAAAAACCATAAACTCATCAGTTGATCGGTTTATAGCTATTTGGCACAAAGTTTGACTAATATCAATTGACATAAAAGATGTCACATCACGTGATATATCCTTCAAATTCGCATTTCGCAGCCTTGCAATTATTCATACTTTATCTATGTGTAGATTTATGATATTCAAAGGCAAAGAGCCTATGCTTCTAGAAGATTTACTTACTAAACCTGCTCATTCAATCATTAATCAATCGTTCGATTCCCGTCTAAGACTTGATATGAGAAATCCTGTTAATGGAGATGGTTTTGGTGTGGGATATTATTCCTCCAACAAACCCTGTATCTTTAAGGCCATTACTCCGGCTTGGAATAATGTCAATCTTAATAATCTTTCACAATGTACCAAGTCAAATCTTGTATTTGGTCATGTAAGAGCTTCCACACAAGGGGTTTTGGCCGAAACTAACTGTCATCCATTTTTCTATGGAAAGATAATGTTCATGCATAATGGAGGAATACTGAAATTTGAAAGAATCAAGAAGAAATTGATTAATCATATCGAGGATAAGTTTTTCTTGATAATACAGGGATCCACAGATTCAGAGTGTTGTTTTGCATTATTTTTAGATACTCTTTATAAGATGAATTATGATCCTGAAGATACCACCGTTACTTTTACCCATCAAATTTTATACAAAGCATTATTAAAGACCATTGGTTTGATCAAAGACTGGCAAAGAGAAGTCACAGATGAACCATCATTACTTAATTTTGCCATCACTGATGGTGATAATGTGGTGGTTTCCAGATATATTACATCCAGAGTCGATGAAGCAGCATCATTACATTTCTCATCAGGATCCAAGTTCTATGAATACCAACCGGGATTATTCCGTATGGAAAGATTAGATCGTTCTCAAGATGTGATCATGATTGCTTCCGAACCTTTAACATTTGAGAGAAATGACTGGATGTCAGTTCCTACCAACACTATAATAGTGGTATCTAAATCAGGATCAGTACTAATGTATCCTATAATGGACGAATTCTACGGTAATGACGATAGATCTGTCGCTTTGGCATGGAGTAAGGGATTAATAGGTGGAGTCCCAAGACCCAATGAGTTAATGGCAGCTTAAACCGCATCGTAGAATATATTTTCATATATACAATATAATACATTCAACTTTTACTATTAGATCGAGTTAAAGTCTTTTCTTCTTCTTCTTCATCTTCATCACCTTCCTCTTCATCACTATCACTTAACTCTCCTTTTTCACTTATTAATGTACCATTTTCATCATACAAAGGGTTAAATTTCTTATAACTATTGCCATCATCATTAGGATCAATATAATCATTACGAGGTTCATCATCTTCATCACTACTGCTAATTTCTTCATCACTCTTATCAGGCAATTCAGGATTAACAAGTTCTTGAGTCATATAGTTTGAAAAATGATCATCATCTTCATCCTTCTTGTCTTCAAAAAGAAATCCAGATTTATAATCACTTTCTTCGATAACTTCTCCTGACAGTTCATCAAAAGTATTCAGGATATTATCATCTTCATCATCTTCATCATCTTCATCACCTCCTCCTAATATAGCATTATATTTTTCTCTAGTATCATACAAGATATTAGAAACATACTCTTCCCAAGCTTCTTCATTGATTTTTTCATCAATGACTTCACTCAAAGTATTAGTAGGATATGATTGAATGAATTTAACAACTTCTTCAGCTATCAAAGTTAAGTGTCCCATGTATCCTAATCTCAAACCATGGTTTTCCTTTTCGAAAACATCACATAATTTTTGACCTTTAATGATTTTGTTGGTGATATCACCACGATCAAATAAATCAATAGATAAGAATTTATTAAATCCAATATCCATGGATCCATTTAATACTTGTTGAACAATATCAAAAACAACGTTATGTAAGAAATTATTCCAAGGGAATTTGAAAAACATTTCTAAGATATTATTAATGATTTCTGTGTCATAAAGAGAGATTTTCCATTGATCTCCTAATACTGGATTAGCTCTAATTTCTTCTTCAGATAAATTAGCATTTTCATGAGGTTCATCATCATAATTATGCAAAACTGAATCATCTTTTAAATTGAAAGAATCAATAGTATCATTAAAATCATGATCTTTATCGAATTTTTCCTTATCTTCAGGTAAAATGATAACTTCGTTATATTTGAAGCTAATTGGATCATAAGCTTTCATTTTTTCTCTTAATTCGTTACGTTCTTTGACTACTTCAAATCCTTTATTATCATTCAATAATGCCATGTTGGAACAATGTAAAAGTTCAGCTATTAATTCACAAACTTTGAACCTTTCGAATCCTAATGGTTCAATTTGTCCTAAACTGGTAACTAATTTAGTAGGTGTAACAGAACTGGTACGGCCACTACTCAACATCAAATTAAATTTACCAATACGTTCACTGAAAACTTTTAAAAGATATCCTAAATAGATAGGATCTCTACCTGTTGGAGGATGTGATTCTAATGTAATATATAAGATAGGTAATATATCATAATCACTATTGTTTTTTCTGATTATTTCAATGATAATACCTACACCATTAGATAAAGCATAACCACCTTTTTCCATTATATCACATAATTTACTCATCATTTCATAAGAAACCAATTCTCTAGTTAATTCATTAGGTCCAATGGTTGAATTATCAGTGGTGGAATTAGCAGATATAGTGATTAATGCTTTTAAACAATCAGCAGCTGCAGTTTGTTCTACCATAGCTGAGTCACCTTCTTTAGGATTAAGACTTTCTATTAATTTCGGTATTAATTGTTGATTTTGGAAGAAATCAATTATTCCAGTACTATTATCAGGTTTATCAGTACTGATCAATTTCAAAAGAAAATCTGTTAATGGATGATTAGATAAATGGTTAACGAACTTATCAACTAAATTGCTTTGGTTTTCGATGAGATATTGAATCATCTCATCACATTTCATATCCAATAAATGTTCCATAATCTTCATGAAATATGTTGATAAGTTAATACTTAAAGGTGTTGGATTATCAAGAACATTCCATAATTTATTAAGATTAGTTGTTGATTCCATAACAGTATCAGTTAAAGACCAAACGTCCGCACTTAAAATCTCCGTCGCTATGGTAGCTCGACGACTATTCCTTTCTTCATCAGTTTCGTCATCCAGTTCATCATTTTTCTCATTATCTGATTCATCATCTTTGTCGTCTTTGTCATCTTTGTCATCATCAATTTTATCTTCATCATCTTGATCAATATCCTTATCGTCATCCTTGTCTTCGGCCTTTTTGTCCGTGTCGTCTTTTTCATTATCTTCATCTTCATCTTTGATATCTAACTTCGACACATCTCCTATTAAATCTTCCAACAATCCTTCTTTAATAACTAAATCAAATAATATATCTAATATCTCATCATCCCTTAAAAACTCTAATAATGCTGAATTGTTGGATACTAACTCCTGTAACAAATCATCTTCGTCCATTAATTTCATTAGAACATTCAATTTATTGCCATCACCATTTATTTGGTAATTCTCTATTAAAGTGGATACATTGGATACTGAAGTGAATCCATTACTAAATTTCCAAAATGATCCCGACATCGTATGGTTTATAGACCTCCTTAGTACCAATAATTAAAGTTGGTAAAAATTCGATATTTTCACCGGATAAAACTACCTTTATTCAATACTTTATCACCAACAATACTTTAAATTCACTTAAAAACTTTGAAAAGTCCGTTTTAATCCAGATTTTATTCAATGATTAGGAATTTTATAATATGTTGTGATAATGAGATTTTTCCTCGAGTGAGAAAAAAAAATTTTTCACCATTATGTTGAGACTTATGATAAAGAACGCCATAAATCCTTCATTAAGAGGAGGATTTCAAGCTTTTAGGGGAAGTATGATGATGAGATCCATGACTTCTTCCGTTGGTACTAATAATATTGGGGATATTCCAAGCCAAACTGTTTCAACACAAAATTTTAACTTACTCAAGTTCGATTCTAATGGATCTAAAAATTTATATGCTATCTTACGAATTCACAATATTCCTTACTTGGTAACTAAAGGTGATAAAATAATATTGCCCACAAAGTTAAAAGGTGTCAAAGTTGGTGATCAGTTGGATATTAATAAGGTCACTACTTTAGGCTCACCTAACTTTACTTTTAATGATAATAACGGTATCAATAAAGATTTATACAATTTGAAATTGAACGTGGTGGAGATTACAAGAGAACCATATTATGAAGTTTACAGAAAGAAACAAAGATGTAGAAGATTAAAGACTTTCCCTGTGGAAAATTATCAAACGGTTTTGACCATTAATGAGCTTTCATTAGCTTAGGAAGAGTTTAATTATTGCATACTGTCAAATATCCTGTAAATATAATGTACATACTAGAAACCTCGTCTTTTTCTTCATTTCGTTTGACGATAGACCTTTTTGTAGCTCTCTGCAGCTATTTGAATCTCTTTATAGCTCTTTATAGCTCTTTTTAGTAAATCCGGCACATCTTGTTATGCCACCTTCTTCTTACTATTATACTTGATCAATTGAGAGATCTTAGTACTACTGAAATCAAAATCTTCTTGTTTCAAGAAATCATGTTTCAATAATTCTTTAGCTGTAGGTCTTTGTTCTGGGTTGATGACAAAACATTGATTTATGAAATCTTTAGCTTCAGCACTGATCAAATGTTTGATACCTTCTGGTATTGGTGGAGCTAATTTGGTTTTACCAATTTTATAAATAGCACTGATAACAGCTTCATTAGACCAAGGTCTATTACCAGCAAACATTTCCAAGACAACACACCCCAAGGACCAAATATCAATCTTGGCACTGTATCCCTGTTTCTTATCTTCAACTATACTATCAATGACTTCGGGGGCCATCCAAAACACTGTTCCTTGCATTGACATTTCTGCATTATTGACATAGATATCAGTTGATCGCTTAGATATACCAAAATCGGAAATCTTACACGTCCCATCGATATCCAACAATAAGTTATCAGCTTTCAAATCACGATGTAAGATCCCATTGGAATGAAGATATTGTAAACCTTCCAACACTTGCTTAATAATATACTTAACAAGAGATTCTTCAAAAGATCCGTAACTCTTAAGACAAGCTGAGATAGATCCTCCTCCAACATACTCTAAAAACAATGAATAAGTATCGTTTTTCTGTTCGAAACCAAGGTATTGTACAATATTAATATGATCAAGATCCTTCATGGTTTCAACTTCTTTATGTAAGGCATCTAAACCTTCATAAGTTTTAGACTTGGCTTGAGCCGAGAATGTTGAAGGAACTATGACTTGTTTCACCGCAATCATTTCACCAGTAGTAACGTTCAACGCTATATAAACTGATCCAAATGATCCCCTTCCTATCAATTCACCCTTAATCCAAGCAAATTCTTCGTACTTCCCTTTACGAAGTTTACTTACAATTCCCTTCTCTATTTCTCTACTAGTAACTTCTACCACTTTTTGACCCCACATTTTAGTGTTGGAACGAATCAAACTTCCAAACTTCGGTCTGGAGACTACATCAGATTTCTCCATGATCTTTCTACGGGCTTCGTTGGCCACCACTCTGATGGTTTTCATTCTACGAAGAAGTTTCAGCTCTGAATCGCCATAAAATACATCATCATCAGTCGTTGGATTCAAAGGTGATATGTTGGCACTGGAGAATGTTCTGGAAATACTTGGAACCCTTGGTGGAATATGACTGCTACTACTACTGTTGGATTTCAGGATTTCAGAAATATTATGGGTTATGTTACTTGGAGATACTGGAGAATCGTCGATAATTGGTTTGTCCAAATTGGTATTAGGGAAAAATTTCTCCAAATTATCATAAAGTTCTTCTACAGGGGGTCTAACAGTCAATCCTGAGGCAGTACTAGTGTCTTGTTTCATTGGTTTCATGAAAAAGTCTTCATCTTCATCGTCATCATCTGGTTGTTGTTCTTTCTTGATGGGTTTGACAAAGAAATCATCTTCAGAACCAGCATCAAAATCGTTATCATCATTGAAAGGTTCGAATTTTATATCATTCTCTTTGAATGGATCTATCTTACTAGATTTGGAAGTTACAGAAGATCCCCTCAATATCGATCCTGTACGATGTAAACTGGATTTCTTATTTAAAGGTGGTGGTGGAGCATTTCTCTTGGCCACAAAACTGTCCAGTCTTTCAGCGTGATCTTTCAAGGGGTTCAAAGTGGTGGAACTGATTGGTGAGTCCATCTCAGCTGCTGACGATGAATAAATGTTCGGAATCATCTTAGGAGCTTTGGTTTCAAAGGGTGATTTTCTACGTTGGTCAAAATCAATCTCTCTACCTCTACGACGAAGAACCTTGAAAGAACCCCCGTTTGAATCCTCAATAGGATTAGTATTAATTTGAAGGGCAGGCAAACCTTTCTCTGGTTTCTGATTAGGTAGCGATAACTTGAATGGGAACTTGTTATCATTGGATGGTGGGATATAAGGCAATTTCGAATTTTCCAGGATCTTGCCTAAATTCGATGAATCTTTAAAAGTCAAGTAATCAACCTTATCTTGGTTGCTTTGTAAAAGATATTGAGGTGTTGCTGGGTACATACTTTCACCTTTCATTTCGAAACTCTTGGAGTCAGAGGAATTGGTGGAATAAGTATTTGTTCCTGGAGAGGAAAGTTCTTGTTTGACCAAAATCTTTCCCATTGATAATTCGATAGCTTTTTGCAAGAATCTATCATTCAAAGATTCACCTTCTTCATGATTGATCTCTGTTAAATGGAATGTGATGGTACCGATCTCTATCATCTGTAAATCCTTGATAATCATGGCTTTAATATTATGGATAGCTTCATGTTTACTGAATTTGACCACTGAGAAATTCTTATTATCTTTAGTGACCATAATCAGGGATTCGACTTCTTTCAAAGGAATGGGAAGGTATTCATCAGGGAAATCCTTTTCCTTGGATTCCATCAGATGGTTATCATACGTGGCAACTGAAGGTTGAATGGTTTGGTTCATGTTGATATATTGAGGTTCACTTCCAGAGTAACTATCAAAATTCTTTGATGTGAAAGATTCAGCATTTGGACTGATGGGAGATTCAATTTTACTCGATCGATTACTCTTTGATGTGGATGCCTGTACCTGTTTCACTATTCCAGCAGCCTTGTCGGTACCATACTTCCTGAAAGTACTGAAAATTCCTGATTTCCTATTTTGGGGAGCTGCATCGTCAGGGCTCAAACTCATTCCAGGATAATAAGATTTAACTCTTAGTTCAGGTTTGGGTTTAAGTTGTTCTCTCAAAAGCGTAGAACTATCTCCAGATCCATGACGAAGATGTTTTCTGAAAAAATTACCTTCTTTAGAAGGAGGAACTTTAGATCCTTCAACATATGAAAAAGGACGAGATTTTGATGTCGACGATGAACTTGAGGATGTAGACGTATTTGAATTACTTGGTTTATGCCTTACAAATGCAGGATTGGATTTTCTTTGGTCTAGTTTGAAGGTGGTGGTGTATGAAGGACTCAATTCGTCAATGCCTGTCAAAGTAGTATCGTCATCACCAGGTTGATTTTCAAGCTTCAAAAGCCCTATAAATCTTTCAACAGAATTAAGCTCATTATCTAACACCAAAAATTTACTTAATTGTTTCCATGTGAGTGAACCTATATCGTAATTCCCTAATTCTAAGAATCTATTACCTGATATTTCATTCTTTCTGAAGGTCTCCCTCCACGAATTATTGAACTTATGATGTTCCAACCATTTAGTGACATTAGCCATATTCCAACGAGTGCTTACATTCTTGGATTGTGTAGACATAGCATATCTAACAAATCTTTTGTCTTTACTCACAGCACTTGATGGGGTTAATGTTGATGATGATGAATTGTTTGAAGTTGTTGATGATTCAGATCCATTCCTTATATGATTTTTCTTGATTTCTTCCTTATCTTTAACATCTCCCTTCTTGCCGTCCCTTCTATTACTTACTGTACTATCACTATAGGATGATTGATTATCTTCAGGTATCGATGGTGGAAGATACATTGGTAAAACGTCCACCGATGAACTCAAATCTTTACTTTTAGTTTGAAACTCTGTCTGAGTATCATCATGGGAGAAGCTAAAATAATTAGGAACTTGAATGTGTTCTTCTTCTTTCTCCATCATTTCAGGTGTCTCAAAATTGAAATCAAAGGATATATCTTTAATGGAAGGATCAAAGTGAGTATCAAACACGGAACTTCGTTTCTTATTATAAATCATTCCATCTGAACTAACTCTCTGTTCTGGCTTATCCTCTCGTTTATCCACATGGATATCACTGATGGATCTGCCCTTCATGATTCAAGACAAGTTCGCGAAGGTTTCAAGATAGAAGTATTTTTAGCATCACCATCAAACAGTAGCATTATACCCTTCAAACTTCATACCCCTGCAATTGTATATCATGCTGGAGTTAGAGCTGTTGATAGCTTTGCTCGAGAAGCTTTACAGAGAGTCTCATTCTGAGGGTGATGTAATACTGTTGATGTATAATTGTTTAACACAAACATCCAATATTCTTCGATATAACCATTATCCCAATCACACATTGAACTTGACGGCTATTTATAACAAATACAAAACAGAGGATTTGAAATTACGTGTTTACACGCAAGAAGGACATAAAAGTGGTGTAGTTTTCAATAAATCATCAATTTTGACTATCATGAGAAATCCTACTCCACCGATTTCCAATCATTTCCAACTTTTGGCTAATCAATTACGTGACATACGACACCAATATGATGATACCGTAATTATAGACAATTTGAGTGAGTTGTTCCGACAATTTCACGCTATTTCTGAAGATTGTGAGACCCATTTGATAGAATTCTTGAACAAGATCTTCAACAATGAACTTAGACAACTTTCAAATATACCAGTACAACTTGAAGAGTCTCAGATTCTACTCAACGACGAAGAAATCAATCGTTTGGCTTCATTGGTAGATTTGTCCACTGTTAATGAACAATCCACATTCACCAGTTTTCAAGGGTTCCAGAATATTCAAGGGTTTAAAAGTAATGATAAGAATTTTACCAACTTGTTTTATTTCTTCCTACAAATCCTTGGTGCTAGAATAGGTGCTTCACCAGTGAATTATGATTTCACCGATATCTTGAAGCAAATGTTACACCTTTATAAGTCTCATTGTATGGTTAGTTGGATTGAAATTGATGACGATAAACTCCATAAAATGAAGTTTGATACGTTGGTTGAGTTCTTCCTAAATCCTTATAATGTCAGCTCAGAGAAGAAACAAGAATTGACAATTTGTACTAATTTGGTACAGAACTTCAAATTCTTTTCCGACCCCACTGACGTAGAATTTCAACTCCTGCTTCCTTCACTGCCAGAGATGAAACACATCAATACCTCGGTGACTTCTGAAGTGATATTACTTGAAGATGACAGAATGGAACTCATCAATAACGTCAATAACTTGATTCCCCAATTATCAGGATTCACTTTTGACTTCGACTCGAGATTTCAGAAAAACCTTGATACTTTCATCCAACTTCTCAACCTTAACGACGAATTGGTGGTGTCAAATGATTTGGATTATTTGAACGATATGATAATTCTCATCAACAAGCTTGTGGATTATGACAATGAAGACACTAATGTCAATGGAGAGGAAATCTATCAAACAGCTTATCACTTATATCAATTACATAAGCTACTTTCTTCAGAATTTGACGAACCAGATGCCACTGATTTAATGAAATTTGTGGTATTCAGATCTAAATTACAAGCATCAAAGATGAAACGAATCCTTAAATCTTGGAACTTGGAGGTACTCACCCTTAGTCAATTGGAGCACAACCAAAAGAATTGGAGTAAGTATTCAGATACTTTGAAGAAACATTCTGTCATGAAGATTTGGATGAACTCACTTGGAAAACAACATCATTTGATCAGAGCTTCCGATAATTATTACAATAAGAAACTCCAACTCGCAATCTTACTCCGTTGGTTACCCAAATTGAAACAAGTTGAGCATTTGCATACCAAAGAGACCGAGTTCATCACAAAAAAGACATTTAGCAAATGGTTAAGTCTTCACAGACAAAATAAGGAGAGGGAACAAAGGGCTTTGGATTATAACAAAAAAGCCACACAAAGTTCATTCTTAAGCTCTTGGAAATCTAAAGATTCGAGTTTCAAAGACCTCCAACAAATATCCATTGAGTTTGATGGCCAAAGGCAACTCAATATTGATAATATAGTGCTCAAATACGTCTTCGACCAGTGGACGGCCCCTGTGATTGAATCTGGACTTTCAGACAAACTTAAGATTTTGCATCACCAGGAGAAGCTTGTTATCCTTTCGAAGTACTTTGAAGTACTCAAACAAAAGTATCTTCATGGATTGAGAATAAACCAAATCATCAAAAGTTCCAATGTTACACTTGTCAAGTTTTTCTTTCAAAAGTGGAAACATCTCCACCAGCTTAAAATGCTAGCTAAAGCGTTTGACAGCCAAAGGCAATTGATAATCAAGAGGAACTTATTGTTGAATTGGCAAAGAGCCACTGACCTCAATAGTATAGTTGAAGACTTCCAGAGAAGGAAAATAGTACCTCAATTTTTCAAGAATTGGAAATTGAAGCTTCGACTCAAGTTGAAACTCACAGACTTGAACTCCTTGGATCGCTCAGCTTTAGTGAACATCCAAACTTCGGTGTTTTTCAAGAAATGGCAACATGAACGAATGGCCAAGGACTTAGTCCGTCACTTTGACACCAACCTCAAGCGAGATTTCTTTATAAAATGGGTGAACAAGATACTGAAACTCCAAGAAATGCAGGCATTATCCTTGGAGTTGAACGATGATAACAATCAGAGATATCATTTGAAACTCTGGCTTCATAATCTCCAATACCAGAAAGATCTCCCGGGAGTTGCTGATTCCTTCTATGGGAGGAAATTTTTCAGTAAGATCGAAACCAAATTCAAACGCAATGAACATTTGGAGTTGTTAAGTTCTAATTACATGAAAGACCATCCAATCCGATCGAGACTAACATTAGCTGATGAGATTAATGTCCATAGTGTGTTGAAACAATGGAAACTTCAGAAAGAGAAGAAATTCCAGGAATCAGCAGAATGGAAATTGATATTTTTCAACGAAAAAATCGTCAAACCAAACATGCAACGTCTGATGATTACTCTTTGGGTACAAAAGTATAATCTTCACAAATCCATCGACAATGAATTGTCCTTGAAGTGTGATAGGTTTTTAGCTCAATCGAATCTTACAAAATTTTTCTTTTCAAAATGGAAGAAAAAACTACAAAGAGTAAAAGAACTCGAACATCAATCCGGAGCTTTTGAACAAGCTTTATTGTACAAGAAGTTCACTGTTATCTGGTACGATAGATTTGTCGCTACTCAACATCTTGAAGAAATAGCCCAACAACTCCAGGACCAAAAAGAGTGGGACAAACAGAATCAAATTCTCAATGATTGGTCTATGAAGTATTTCAAAATCACCAGAAATCACCAAAGTTGTGATATGTTCATTAAAAGATGGGATTCTTCAAAGATGAAATCTCTCTTTGAGCTTTGGCACTATAAGCTCCAAGAACATCGGTCAAATCAAACTTTTGATGCTGGAAACCAAACAGAAAATATCTTCTTGGATGATCTGTTTGATTCTCCCTTAGATTCGAGAAAACGTTCACCAACGTATTTGAGTTCTCCTGTCAAGGAGCCTAACACTCCTTCAACCAATATCAGTCCTTCGAGAATTCAAACCAGTATTCGATTGAAAAACCAGAAGATTCAAGCATTGAAGAATCATTACGGTAAAGCCAGAGACTCCGTCAGTAGACCAGTATTAAAACCGGTGAAGACGGAACGGTTCAGATTAAGTCCTCCTGAAAGACCTAATTTTTCATCTACACCTGCTAAGGACAGTCCTAGTCCTCCACCCAGAGAATTCAGTTCAAGTCCAAGAATCACACAAGACCCAGGGACTAGTAACAGGTCAGAAATTAAATTAAGACGAAAGTCCAGCTCACCATTGAAATTTGAGGATCCAAGCAATATTTCTGTGGAAACAAAACCACACGATTCAAAACCTTTCATTCTGGTTGATCAGTCATCCGATATCCTCCCTGAATCTTTCTCAGACTCCATTTTTCATTTAAAGTCCTTAAGGAACTTATCTATGGATGACTTAGAGTCACCACCACCTCCCCCACCAATCAGAAGCAGTAAATATGTACCATTATCTCCTTTGATTACTAGTACGTCCTTGGATGACATTGAGACAGCTAAAAGATTAAGGAAAATAAAGCCAATCATTATTCCTGAATCTGATGATGATCTCATCGTCTCCCCCGTCAATACCATCAAGAGGAAGAGTGTAAATTATCAATTGTAGAATATATTATTAATTTTCTATGCTATCGATCTGTTCGTTCAATTCGTCTTTGAGTTTATCGAAATCTGGTTCCTCTACCACTTCATCTACCTCCTTGTCTTCTTCGACCTTCAAGAACTCTGTCTTTCCAACTCTTTCATAAACAAAGATGTAGTCTGTGAGAACAATTGGAGAGTTCAAAATCTCTTTCAATTGTGTGAGGTCTTTTGTGTGGTAAGCTTCCACTACTAAATCCATAAAGAAACCTGCCAAATCTTTAGGAGATCTATGTTTTTGGATCAAAAGCATAATAGGGTACAAACTATAACCTTTGAAAGCTTTGACTGCTTTCAATTTCTTCCAGTCATTGACATCTTCGTTCTTATACTCTTCAATAGGATGAGAAGTCACCAAGATATCAACAGCATTCCATATTTCATTCAATTTCTGTGAATCTTCAGTCTTATCATAAGTAATGAAGTCATCGTGTAATTCTCCAAATCTTGTGACACCTGTCATACATGTGGCTACATCCATATGAACAATTAAAGGTTCATTGGATTGGCTGACGTATTCATTAACGAATTCTAATGCTTCACCACCTGGATAATTGAAACTGGAGATGTAACCAGAAAATATGGATAACAAATTGGCTGCTAAAGATACAGCTATAATCAAGAACACCAATAATTTTGTTGATAATGAACCTTTAGATTTCCTGATGAACCCACTCAAAGCATTACCACCGGACATAGTGAATATAGGTACAGTATAAATGATAAATCTCAATTCTTTGTGGCCTTGGAAAGACATGATGAGAATATAAATAAGAGCAGACAGCATTAAGATTCTGATAGAATTCTTGGAAGGTCTCGTGACTTTGTCCCCTGGTTTTTCTACTGGCAGAGTTTCAGTGGAAGGGTCAGACATGAAACCAAAGGCTGAAAGGTATAAAATGATAGGAGGTCTGAAAAGTTTAGTCAAATAAACTGAAAAATAGGCATTGAAAGGTTCGACCCCCCAATTGGCAGATTTCCCATCCACTACGTTGTATTTCAATGACACCAATTCAGGAATTGTCAATTCTCCCCAGAAATATGAATCTACTGAGAAAGATAAAGCCAACCCAGCAATGGTACCAGCGAACAACATTAATAAGTTAATGAAAATCAGCGATTGACCGAATCCAATACTAGAAATAACAGCTATAACTACAGCTAAAACTCCAACCTCAATACGGAAGACAATACCCACAAATGCTAACCATGTCAATCCTGAAAGATCACCTTTCAAAAGTTTTCCCAAAGCATGGTTAACTAAAGGTAAGGCAAGAAAGTTAGGTAAGGTTCTTGAGGAATAGTATAAAATATGGAATTGTGTCACCATTAAGAATACAAAGCAATCACCAAGAACTGATTTCTCTCTCGACCTCTTAGAAACGAAATCAATGTCTTTCAAACTTGATGCAAGCTTGATAATCATCCAACCATTACAAAGACCAATAATGAGTCTGACCAATAATTGAACTTCCAGTTGATCCCCTTCTAACAAATCTAACCCAAACAACCCAAATACCTTGATAATAGGGTAAGCAATCCCCGAAACAACGAGACTTCCTATGAAAGTTCGTGGTACTACACCAGGAAACGAGATGTGATCATAATTCGCTAAACCATCAGGCCAAATTCCATAGTTCAAAATATCATGGATTGCTTGAATGTTGAAACTTTCTTCCACCTTGGTGTATGGAGATATAACCAAGTGGAACACTATACTAAGAAGAAGTGCTGCTTTGAAGAAGTAACCTAAAGCCATGAAGAATATCGCACAGTCAAGAGGCTTCAGTGCGGGACAGTTGATGAGTTGCTGAATAGTGGTATTAGGTTTTGGAGAGGTATATCGGGTCAATGGCTCTGTAGGGTTACAGAAAAGTGATATGTATGCCTCAAGAATTGGTTTATGAAGGGATCATCAGTGATTCTAGATTAGGAAACTTGCAGGAAAGACCCTACCACCAGGAAACACAAGTTGACCGTTTAATGACCGTTGGTATGTTCAAGCAAACATTGTTCTGTATGAGATTATCTACAATAGCCATGTCCTCCCCTTCATGAAGCATTTGGCTACTGATAATACCTTTGAGATTTACATGTTCCATCTTTGCGTAGTTCATTTCATCTCTTGGTCCATCTCTTGATCTCTTTATCCTATTCGTTCACTTCAAAAGAAACGTCCAACTCAAACCCAAGCCCATTAAACACATTATCCCCCATCCATTGGTATTCTCATCATCAATAAAAAAACCATAACCTGTCCTCTGATCGAACATCACCAATTCTCATTTTGCAGCAATTTTTCACTCGCAATGCAAGACGATATACCAGACTTGGTAGAAGAGTTGACCCCAGATGTTACGTTCAAAGTAAATAACATCGACCCAACTATCACAGAATCAACATATTCATCCACTCCATCAAATGACAAAAAAGTCCCCATCACCATCATTACGGGATATTTGGGATCAGGTAAATCAACTTTATTACAGCAAATAGGTAAGAATTCTAAAAAGAGACTTGCCATCATCTTGAATGAGTTTGGTGATAGTGCATCCATAGAGAAGTCTGTTACCATCAAAGATGAGAACAAAGGAGCTGTGGAAGAATGGTTGGATTTGGGTAATGGGTGTTTATGTTGCACTGTTAAGGATAATGGAGTAGTCGCCATTGAACAATTGATTGAAAAATCCAAGGACAAAATAGATTATATTCTCTTGGAAACCACAGGAATAGCTGACCCGTCACCTATAGCGAGGATGTTCTGGTTAGACGAAGGGTTATCGTCTAACGTATATATTGATGGAGTGATCACAGTTTTAGACACTCAAAACATTATAACTTGTTTGGAAGATGTAGGAGGACATTGGCATAGATCAAATAATCATTTGAAGGCTTCACAGTTGGAAGAATTAACAGAAGAAGAAATCAAAAAAGAGGAACAGGACTTACAACAAGGATTAACCACGGCTCATTTGCAAATTGCTATTGCTGATACGATTTTGTTGAATAAAATTGATCTTCTCGAAGGAAAAGACGACAAAGACGAGAGATTGAAGGAAATTGAAGATAAAGTAAGGTCTATCAACAACTCCTGTCCTCTTTATACCACATCATTTGGGGATATTGATCTTGATAAGATTTTGGATCTTCATGCTTTTGAAGCTGACACTGAAAAAATAGAGAAATCAATCAGCTTAACCACAAACTCTTCTTTCCATGATGATAGAATTGGTACTATATCTATCAGCTTTCCATTTTTTACCTCACCAGAACAGTTTGACGATTTGGAGAATTTCATACAGCATATACTTTGGGAAAGTGATGCCAACGGAAAGGAAATCGAAGTCCATAGACTCAAGGGATTGATGGTTTTGAATGGAGACACCCCGGATGTCAGGGTTATCCAAGGAGTTAGGGAGACTTATGATATCATATCAGGAGGTAAACTCTTGGATAACATTCATGACAACAAATTAGTCTTCATAGGGAAAAATTTGGTGGAGAATGATTTGGTGGAAGAACTTAAAAAGTATATAAAGTCATAAACATCGGTCAGATTCAACTATTACGTGCTTTTAGCCTTACGTCTCTTCAGTTCTAAGTCCTCTAATGTCTACTTCAGAAGCTACTAACTCATAGAGTCGCGGAGAAAATCTCATCTCAATATGGTCGATGTTAAAGATTCGAAGTCAGTAGACGTAAAGGATGCTGCACCTAAAACGGGTACTGAATCATCGCCAGCAGATATCAAAGGCAAAGTAGAAAATGCTACTAAGGTCAAAAAAGGATGGTCTAATCCCGCATTGAGGATGATGGGTATACCCAGACTCTCATTACCTTCAAGAAACTGGATGATCTTTTGGGGTGTTTTAGGAACTTTAGGTGGAGCTGCCTACTACGACAAGTTGGAACAACAAAGAATTCGTAAGGAGTATATGGATAAAGTCTCGGAATCGGGTAAACAACCTTATGAAACAAGCAAGTTACCTAGGAAACTCACTGTCTTCATAGCTCCTCCACCAAACGACTTTTTGGAAACTTCAATGGTATATTTCAGAAGATATGTCAAACCTATTTTAAATTCCGCTTCTGTGGATTTTGATATCCTCGTTGCCAACAAGCAAGGAGATATTCGTACTTCTGTATCTGAGAGAATAAGACAATTAAGAAGAGATGAAATCGCTAAAAAAGAACAAGAGCTCGCAGCCAAAGCTCAAGAAGCTTACGAAAAGTCATGGACCAAGTTTTTCACCGTTACTGTGCCATCAACTTTAAAGAAACCTTTCGTAAAGGAAGAAATCGTAGATGATGTTAAAAACAGAACTGAGTTATACACGCCTAAAGATGTTCTTGGATTTTACTACAATAATGACATGATCACTGCCGTTAGGGAAGACAGTGAAGATCCTCAAGCGGCTGGTGGTGTTGTTTGTATCGGAAGAGGTGCATTTAAGGAATATATTCAAGGTGTCCATGAAGGATTATTGGGACCATTAGAAAAGCCTGAAGAACCAGAAAAGCCTGAAATCAAGTTAGAGGAAGTTAAAGAACCAGAATTAGTTTCAGAAGGTACTACTCCAGTAACCGAATCAATTGCTGACTCAGTTGAAATACCTGTTGAATCGGCCCAGACCGCTGAATCAACGGAATCTACTAACTCGCCAAAAGAACCCGAAAAAATCGAAAAAGATGAACCTAAAGAAGAAGATGCCGAGGATGAAACATTAATCAAACCTTTCATCGACCCTAAAGACTATGGTAAAGCCATGTTTGCTCCAGAATTCAAAGACGGTTTGAATTTAGAAAATAATAAAGTACCAGTATTTTTCGAACAACCGATTTATGTTTTCAAAGTTCCGAACATTTTAGGGTTTACCAATTTCCCCAGAAAAATTTATAATTGGTTTAACAGAAGATACGTTGCCGAAGAGTTCAGTGAAAAGACCATGCATATCATCAATAATAAATCACGTCCATTTGAACCCAGAGATGAATACTTAGCTAAAGAAGAAGAATTACTTTGGCCAAAAAAATGGGTGGAAAAAGGTTTATCCAAAAACTCCGAATGGGTTAAAGAAGTTGTTGTTGATAAAAGAGTTACCAAACATTTAAGAGTTTACGAATAGATCTTATGGAAAACCTCCAGTTATTTCCGTTTCAGAAATCTCCTATTCCCAAGATCTAACGGTAATCTCCATTGTTTACTTGTAAATATATTAAAACCATTGCGGGCCATTTTGCAACCACCTCTCAAGCGAATAATAAAAAAGCGAATCTCGGATATGTCAAAGAAACTTAACCATTTCTGGATGAGTGGGGGACCAAAATTTTATCTCTAGCCAGTAACAAAGGTTGGTAACGATAATTCCTTGATCTGATTTAGGTTACATCATTAAGCTAAAATTTCCATAGGGGGGCCGAAAAGCCGCAAACCTCCGGCTGATGTACAACCGGCGAAGTTGAATGAAAAGGCTTTTTAACCTGTTATTAGTTTCCATAATATAATTTTGATCATAGTATTATGATTATCAAAGGTTCAATTACTTTTGATTGGTGTTCATTGATGTCACGTTACATGGCAAATTAAAACTAGGTGAAAAGGGTAATTCCATGAGTCATTTGCCCTTAAATTTTTTTTGTTTGCGGCTTTCGCACCGTTACAGGTCTAAAATTTTATTGGATGACATTTAAGCTGATTGAACTGATAACGATATCAGTTACTTTATTTTATTAACCAAGAGTCATTGATCCAATTAATTACTTAAGTTATTTAATATAAATAGTGATAATCCTTAAGTTTATTTTCTCTTCTTTTTTTTTCTTTAAAGTTTTTCTTCTCCTTTAATTGCTGCAAAAAGAACATATTATATAGACAAAATGGTATTACCAAACGAACCAGAATTTCAACAAGCTTACAAAGAATTAATCAATGCTTTAGAAGATTCAACTTTATTCACTGAAGAACCAAAATATAAAAAAGTTATTCCAGTTGTTTCAATCCCAGAAAGAATTATTCAATTCAGAGTTGCTTGGGAAAATGATAAAGGAGAAATTGAAGTTAACAATGGTTTCAGAGTTCAATTCAATTCTGCTTTAGGTCCATACAAAGGTGGTTTAAGATTCCACCCATCAGTCAATTTATCCATCTTAAAATTCTTAGGTTTCGAACAAATCTTTAAGAATGCTTTAACTGGTTTATCCATGGGTGGTGGTAAAGGTGGTTGTGATTTCAATCCAAAAGGTAGATCAGATGCTGAAATCAGAAGATTCTGTGTTGCTTTCATGAGACAATTAGCTAGATACATTGGTCAAGATACTGATGTTCCAGCTGGTGATATCGGTGTTGGTGGTAGAGAAATTGGTTTCTTATTTGGTGCTTACAAACAAATGCAAAACAACTGGTCAGGTGTTTTAACCGGTAAAGGTTTAAACTGGGGTGGTTCATTAATCCGTCCTGAAGCTACTGGTTATGGTGTTGTCTATTATGTCGAAAAAATGATTGAAAAGGCCACTGGTGGTAAAGAATCTTTCAAAGGTAAAAAAGTTGCCATTTCAGGTTCAGGTAATGTTGCTCAATATGCTGCCTTAAAAGTTATTGAATTAGGTGGTACTGTTGTTTCATTATCCGATTCTAAAGGTTCAATCATTTCAACTGAAGGTATTACTGCTGAACAAGTTTATGAAATTGCCGATGCTAAGATTAAATTCAAATCATTAGAAGAAATTGTTGGTAACACTGCTTCAGCTGCTTTCACCAAAAACAAAGTTGAATATAAAGCTGGTGCCAGACCATGGACTTTAGTTGAACAAATTGATATTGCTTTACCATCAGCTACTCAAAATGAAGTTAGTGGTGAAGAAGCTAAAGCTTTAGTTAAAGCTGGTTGTAAATTCATTGCTGAAGGTTCAAATATGGGTTCAACTGCTGAAGCTATTGATGTTTTCGAAGAAAACAGAGCTAATCAAGTTTGGTATGCTCCAGGTAAAGCTGCCAATTGTGGTGGTGTTGCCGTTTCTGGTTTAGAAATGGCCCAAAACTCTCAAAGAGTTTCTTGGACTGCTGAAGAAGTTGATAACAAATTGAAAAACATCATGTACACTTGTTTCGAAAACTGTTATGAAACTGCTCAAAAATACTCTAAAGAAAAATCAGACTTACCATCTTTATTAAAGGGTGCTAACATTGCCGGTTTCATTAAAGTTGCCGATGCTATGTTTGATCAAGGTGATGTTTTTTAAACGTGTTTAATTCTTATAGATAATGTGATGATACTTTTTTTGTTTCCTGCTCTCTTTTGTGTTCTGGTTTGTGTTCTGGTTTGTGTTCTGGTTTGTGTTCTGGTTGGTGTTCTGGTTTGTGTTCTGGTTTGTGTTCTGGTTGGTGTTCTGGTTGGTGTTCTGGTTTGTGTTCTGGTTTGTGTTCTGGTTTGTGTTCTGAAGCTTATGTTCTCTTTTTTACTGTTACTCTTTATCTTCAGATCAACAAATTCGCGTTGTTATTTTCCAATGGAAGTTGATGATACCCCAGATATGCTTGACATATCGGTTCCTCGATACTTGCCAATGAGCCAGGAGACATTGAAAACATTCAGTGCAATGGTGAGTGCCAGAGAAGATAACTTAGGGAGGATAGATTCTATCTTGAGAAGTATCAAACAAGATATAGATAAGTATGTGGAGTTCATTATAGGTGAGAATATGTTTGAAAATATCGGATACACCAGAGATTTTATGATCGTTAATCTTCAATCATTGGAAAGAATCCTTATACTGAAATATGAACTTGAAAATTGGAAAGCTATTGCGTTCGAAATCAGAAATAACTTGAATCAACAAATACCTGAAGACCCTGCCACCCTTTCCAATCTACAACAATATCATGATGCTAATGACGAAACCCTTAATGAATTTATACGACGTAGAGTCGATGAAATGAAGAATTCTCCAGAGAAAGACAAGAATATCAGGGAATATGTCAACAAAAATGATCTATATCAGCTTTTAAAGAATATGGCATTTGTAATTGAAAAACCAACTGATCCTTTACCTGAAGAGCAAGACGATGACGACGTTGCCATGGCAGGTGGTGTTATAAGTTTGAAAGATCCCATGTCATTACATACTTTCAAAGAACCAGTTAAATCCAAGAAATGTGATCACGTTTTCGAAAAGTCTGTCATAGAAGAATACTTACGTAATGAAATCAAGACGTGTCCTGTTGCTGGATGTGAAGGGAGATTAGCTAAATTCGATTTAAGGTCAGATGATTTGATGCTTCTAAGAGTTAAAGTATTTGAAGCCAAACAACAAGCAGATGATTTCGAAATTGAAACTATATAAGTCATCACTACCGTACACCTATATTAATATATAACAGAAATCGCGATTCTAATATCTTGTGGTTATGTCAGTAAACTACTCAACTCACAGAGTAGATGTACCTGTGACAGATTTAGATGACGATGATGATATCTTGTTCAATGAACAGATGGGAAGACACGTTGGAAATATCGACGATCTAGATTTTGGCATCAACGAGAACCCACCTTTCTGGAAGAGATTCACTAATTACTTCAGATCCAATTATTCACCTATTGAAAGTTATGAGTTACGAGATGCCAGTAGATTTGACATCAACGATGAAGATGATGAAGATGATGATGAACAACTCAAAGTTCAAGATACGAAGATTAAAAGACTAATAAATAATCCTAGAGTAGCTTATCTCATTTTGAGTATAACTTTGATAATAGGAGGGCTTCTATTTGGGGTCAAGTATACAAGTAGCTATACTGTACTTAATATGAAACCTTTACTTTCGAATTCTACCCATGAATTTTATCCTACCACCATCGTGATTTCATTGGACGGGTTCCATCCTCATTACATTAGTCCTAAATTAACACCCGCTCTTCACGATATGATGATGAATGAATTTGGAGCTCCTTATATGACACCATCATTCCCATCGTCAACTTTTCCAAACCACTGGACGTTGATTACAGGGTTATATCCTTCGGAACATGGGATTGTGGGGAATACCTTCTATGATCCTAAACTTAATAAACAGTTTGTTAACACCAATCCTAAACAAGGTGGCCTCGATCCTGACTTTTGGCAAGGAGGTGAACCTATCTGGAAGACAGCTTTCAAACAAGGTGTGAACTCCGCTGTCCATATGTGGCCAGGAAGTGAAGTTCCTGGAGTAGGAATAGATGGTGGTCCTTTATTTGTTGATAGATATAATGGGTCGGAATTATTATCTTCTAAAGTCAAAAGAGTTATGGGTTGGTTAGATGAAGATATCAAGAAGAGGCCGGAACTCATTCTTACTTATGTCCCAACAGTTGATCTGTATGGACATAAGTATGGGATCAGTGGAGATGAATTGAAGAAAGCTTTAACCTACGTGGACGATTTTGTGTCCTTGATGAGGAAGGAAATCAGTCATAGACATTTAGATAAGATTGTTAACTTGATCGTCGTCAGTGATCATGGTATGGCTCCTACTTCTAATGACAGATTACTTTATCTTGACGATATCATTGATTTGAACAAAATCGAGCATATAGATGGATGGCCCTTATTTGGGTTAAGACCATTTAAAGAGCATTCCACTGAGGACATTTTCAAAGAGTTACAAGAAAATCTCTCTACCAAAGATAATAAGGATAGCTTCGATATTTTCAGATTAGAAGACTTACCTGAAGAATGGAATTTTGGCCACAAAGATCACAAGTTCAATTATAGATTGGCTCCTATCTGGATTGTTCCAAAAGTTGGATACTCGATAACTACACATAGTCAGATGGAAGAAAACAATAATGATTATACTCCCAAGGGAGTTCATGGGTATAATAATACCGAATTGTTAATGAGAGCTTTGTTCGTAGCTTCTGGGCCATATTTCAAATCCTCGCTGAAGATCAAGCCATTCAAGAACACTGAGGTTTATAACATCATCTGTAATACTTTAAACTTGGTTCCTTCTCCGAACAATGGATCCTTCCAAGGTGGTCAAGCTACTATCAATCTCATCGATTCGTTGCCTGACAATTGGACAGATGACTTGATTTATCCAGATTTACCATATGAAGTCGATCATTTAGTTGAAGATGCCACTTATGATTTATTATGGAAACCTAAAGAAGGTAAAATGAAAACAGTTTACACTAGTAAAAACCCTAACCCTGAGAAATCAATTGTTGCTGAAGAATCGACTTTCGGTACATTTGATCCCTCATTACCCAAGCCATCAGATTTTTCCAAGACTTTGGATGCTACCCCATCTATTCCTACTACGACTACAAAACCTGGGTTGTTCGATAATTTATGGGACGATTTAAGTCATCTCGGGAATGACATAGGAGAAGGATTTGATGACTTGGCTGACCAAATTGATGATACCTTTGATGAAGTGGGTGACAAAGTTCACGATGTTATAGACGGTCTTTTCGATCACGATGACCAATGAGTTTTATATAATGTTATATTCTACTGAATACTTCTAATTCCTCTGTCAGTCTTTAAAGACTGTTCTTACGGTAGAAGAAATCAACTTTTTGTATCGTATATTTAAAGACTCTAGAAGAATTCAAGAGGGTCCTTGTCGGTTTGACTGATCAAGATATCGGCATCCAACTCTTTCTCTAATTGTTGTTTGAAAACTTTTAAGAATGCTCTTTCAGTGTTGGAGTGGTTACAAACTATGACAGAAGATCCTGTTTCTTTAAAGTACAATAATTCGTGATGTGATAATTCTCCAGTATAGAATAAATCAGCATCAATTCCCTTGAACACACCACTACCTGAACCAGCACAGATTGCTATGGTTTTGATCTTGACGTCTTTATCTTTCCCATTGGCTATAGCTACTTGTAAATGTTCTAAACCTAAAGATTTCTTTACTTTGGTGATGACATCAGATAATTTGATAGGATTTTTCAATTCAACTAATCTTCCCATACCACAACCTTCAGCCTCTTTAGGATTAGGAATGATAGGTTTCTTGCTTTCGATCTCTTCAACTGTACATAAACCATCAACCAAGAAGTCATTGACACCGCCAATTGCACTATCAACAGCTGTGTGAGGACAATACACACTTATATCATTCTTTATCAATTTCAATAATGATTTCTGTTGAGGGTCTTTGGTGGTGATGGATTTCAATCCTCTGAAAATAAATGGATGGTAAGCCATGATTAAGTTGGTTTCATTTTTGATGGCTTCGTCAACAACACTTTGAGTTAAATCAATGGTCAATAAGATCTTTAATCTTTTTTCAATATCATTGATTGCTTCAACTAACAATCCTGTGTTGTCCCATGAAGAATCAGCCAATCTGACAGGATAGTATTTTTGGACTATTTGTTAGTACATCTTGTTGTTGGTTGATTGCTTAAATGGGGTACATACTTGCGTTAACTGCTATCTTGATGCCTACTCTGCTCATTCTTTTAGTTTGAGATTTTGAGATCAGATAATGAAAATTAGAGATAACTACGAAGACTGTTTAGTGAGAAGCCTTGGTTTCTTTGGGTGGAAGGTGATGGACGTGGGAGCCACCTTGAACTCCCAAAGGAGATCTAAGGAACTCTATCTCATGACAAGAAGCTTGACACAATTAAGAAACAAAAAAAATGCTAAAAAAAGAATGCGCCAGCCAGGAATCGAACCAGGGGCTCAACGATGGCAACGTTGAATTTTACCACTAAACCACTAGCGCTTTCTGAAAGTGAATTTACACAAATCAAATGCGTTTTTGCATTTTGGTGGACGCACGTCTTTTTCATTCAGAAGTTGAAAAGAAAAAAAAGATTGATTGACGAAGACCATTGAAATGGAGCATCAATTAGTCGGTGTATCGCACTAACTCACCACCATAATGACGTCATCTGTAAAAGCTCGGATGTGGTTAAAAATTCATCATCAACCAAAACTAAGAAAATAGACGAGGAAAGCTATCGAAACACATTTTCTTCACATATAATATATTTTTTGGTAAAGTTGAAGGGCACAATCGTTCAACTCACAAAAGTATCAGGAAGGGAGCCAAAAAAAAAACAAATGCGCCAGCCAGGAATCGAACCAGGGGCTCAACGATGGCAACGTTGAATTTTACCACTAAACCACTAGCGCCTTTGGATGGACCGAGAACCCCAGTTTGGATCCATGAAGCTCACAGCATCTGCTGTAGAGAAATTCACTCAATTGAATCAATGAAAGAGGATATATGGGTTTGTACAGTTTTCTGATAGTATCGATCTTCCATTGAATCATCCGAAAGAGGTAATTATTTTCTTACCTGAATCGCTTGTGGATATTAAAAAATTCCGTATTTCGTGTATAAGATGTTGCTTTGCGTTCCTGATTGGGATATTCCTCATTTATATATTTGAATCTATCCACTACCAGTCCCTTTGTTACTGACAAGCTCATACCAACATTGGTGGAAGAACTTTCCAATAATTTTATTCAACAAAATCAAAAATGATAAAAGTCTTCTTCGATATCGCAGTAGATCAAGTTGAATTGGGTAGAATTACCTTCAGATTGTACGATGACGTTACTCCAAAAACCGCTGAAAACTTCAGAGCTTTATGTACTGGCGAAGAAGGCTTCGGTTACGCTGGTTCATCGATCCATAAAATTATTCCTGAATTCATGTTTCAAGGTGGTGATATCACCAAAGGTGACGGTACCGGTGGTAAATCAATCTACGGTGATAAATTTCGTGATGAAAACTTTAAAAGTAAGCACCATAGACCATATTTATTGACAATGGCTAATACTGGTCCAAACACCAATGGATCTCAATTTATGGTCACCACCACCGTATGTTCATGGTTAGACAATAGACACGTTGTTGTAGGTGAAGTTATTGAAGGTTTCGATATTGTTGAACAAATCAAATCTTATGGTTCAGACAACGGTATTCCCAAAACCTCAATCACCATTACCAATTCTGGTGAATGTTAAGTAGTGCAATGTATCCGATGGATGTATCCGATGGAACCAAATATGCCTCTATATATGTAATATGGATCTATCGTAATCCCAATATATATTACTAAAAAAAAAAATAGAATGAATCTTTTGTTAATTCATCCGAAAGAGGTAATAATGAAACAATCGTAGATCTTTGAAAGTTCCGCATTTCTTGCATAAAATGTTGCTTTCTGTTCACGGTTGGGATATTCTCCATTTCCATATTTGAGTCTATCCACTACCAGTCCTTTGTTACTGACAAGCTCTTATATTGGTGAAAAAAATTTCCAATTTCCAATAAATTTGTTCAGCAAAATCAGAAATGACAAAAGTCTTCTTCGATCTCGATAGCGTTGATGTTAGATTCGGTAGAGTTACCTTCGAATTATACGATGACATTGTTCCAAAAACCGCTGAAAACTTCAGAGCTTTATGTACTGGCGAAAAAGGTTTCGGTTACAAAGGTTCATTTTTCCATAGAGTCACTCCTGGATTCATGATGCAAGGTGGAGATTTCACCAAAGGTAACGGTACCGGTGGTAAGTCAATCTATGGTGATAAGTTCGATGATGAAAGCTTTGATAAAAAGCACGATAGACCAGGCTTAATATCAATGGTTAATACTGGTCCAAACACCAATGGATCTCAATTTTTCATCACCCTCGTCCCAACTCCATGGCTAGACGGTAAAAACGTTGTTTTCGGTGAAGTTGTTGAAGGCTTCGATGTTGTTAAACAAATTGAATCTCACTGTGCAACCAACCCTCGTAAACTTCAGAATATCGTCATTATCGAAGCTGGTGAATGTTAAGTAGTGCAATGTGTCCGATTGATGTATCCGATGGAACCAAATGTGTTTCGGTATAGGTAGTATAGATTTATCGCAACGCCAATACATATTACTTGTAAAAATAACTCGTCTGTGTAGCCTGACTATACTTGCAGGTCGAAGAGATTCCTCGCTGCATATCGAGATGCATAAAAGGGATTTAGGGAAATTTTAAGCGAGAATCTCGATTGTCTTGAAAAAGATTTTTCCACTTGAACACTTCAAGGTTAATCAGCATGATTAATGTTGAAGGGGTCCTATTCCCTCTTTATAGACCCTGCCTATATGATTATGGTGGTCTGAAGTTCAATTTATTTTTTTTCAAATCTTTTTTTTATATTTTTTGCAGATTTCACAGTTTTCTGTCAACGATCCAAATTTCCTCCAGTTAATAGAACGAATATTTCTAAAAAAACCAAAGTCACCATAAAGAGACAGATGAGTACTAAAGTAGAGAAAATTTCAGATAGAAGTTTACATTTCGAAAATCTAATCAAATAACTAGCCATTTAATGTTCTTTCCATTTGAGCATTATATCTTGAACCAACGACTTTGTTTTCTTTCAAGATAGTTTGAATTTCTGAAATATCTTCTGGAGATAAATCAATTAAATTGGAATAATTTTGGTCAACTCTTTCGATTGACTTACCTGAAGGAATTGGAACGAATTGTGGTAAGTTTTTAATACCTTCAAATTCTTTGAGACCAGATAATCCATTCAAGTAACTTAAAGCTAAACTTTCTAAAGTGGTATTCTTTTTCTTATGAGCATAATCATATAATTTGTCTAAACAAACTTTATTCTTTTCAAAGTTTTCTGGTTGGAATTTATCTAATTTGATGAAAGATCTAATGTCACCTTCTGGGATATTATTCAAGAAATCAGTTTCAACAGCATGATCAGTTAAAATACCTCTACATAACGGAGAATATGGGACAATAGTGATACCATGTTTGGCAGCTTCAGCTAAAATACCGTTCTCAATAATATCTTGGGAAAATAATGAAACTTCAACCTCAACACATGAGATTGGAGCAACAGATACAGCTTTTTTGATTGATTCAACACCAACTTCACTTATAGAAATACCATCAATTCTACCAGTTTTGACATGTTCCTGAATATAACCAATTGTTTGATCGTAAGGAAGTGGACCAACTCTTGAAACTTGATAAATCAATTTAGGTTTTGGGTTTAAATCACCAAAGAATTCATCTAATAATTGCATATCATCTTCAATACCTTGTTTGTCAGTAGCAGGTTTTCTGAAATCTTCACGACTAGTACCACCTTTGATTGAGAAGATCAATTCAGGATCTTTGGCTGCAATTGCAAATTCTCTTAATAACTTCAAGTTCAATCTTTCTGGACCAACGTGGTAAAAGGTAGAACCATTGAAAAATTTAACACCATATTTAGTTCTAACATGTTGTAAAGTTTTAATTGATTCAGCTAATGGTTGTGGATGGACAGTCCATGTCATAGACATGGTTCCGAAACCTTTCTTTCCAATATTAATACTCATTATAGTTTTGCTTTTGTGATTGAGATACAATTTGAAAGTGGATTATTGGGAGTTTATATAGTGGGATAACGTCCTCTTTCCGATTTGGTAATATCCGATTACGTTGGTATTATGGCCCTAGTTGCGATGTTCCAAAAGACGGAGAGTTGCGTAAAAATGTTCAGCCTATTTCCGAAGCCGTTGGCAAATTTGAGAACTTTGTTAGTGGTGGCGGCGGGGTTGGCTGAGAAATCACCGCCCCGAGTGAGATCTGAAACGTCGTCTCGGTTTTAATTCTGAATTGAGTATTGTGGTCAAAAACCATTAAAATGATCATGTTTCCATTATATTCCACGACGTATTAGAGTAGTAGGTATGCTGACAAATCATATATTTAACATTTGGGATCAGCCCGTATGATCCTAAGACCCATGAACTACCTAATGACCAATCCGTGTGAGCCATCTAGGAACCCATTAACCATCTAAAGAGAATCCCAAATCTTGTTTAAACTCATTGGATAAACTAACTAATTTTTCATGTAATTGTTTCATATTATCATTGACAGGTTCAAATTCATTAACCCATTTACCTACACCGTGTTGTAAAACTCCTTTGGCTCTGAATTTCCCGAAATTCTTATGACCATAGGATCCATGTAAAGTCAATCTTTCTTGAGTACTATCATATTGAGCACGATGCAAAATGTTAGAGTTATAGAAAACCACATCACCAGGATTTAAATCAACAGTAATTTGACCAGAAATAAATTGTTGACGGTCTTCGGCTTGGGTTTTTTCTCTTTCTTCTTCGGTTCTAATACGATTGTGTGATTTTGGAATAACAATGAGACATTTATCTGGGGTTAAGGACAAGTTGAATTGAGTACCAGCGAATGGATTAGCTAATAACTGCTCAGTTTCTTCTTCTGGAGTAGCTTCAGGTTTGATATAATCTCTATGCCAATCAAGACCAAAATCAGTCAATGGGTTGATCAACATATTAAATAATTCCATAGATAAATCATCTTTATCACATTGTAAGATATCTTTAGCGATATCAAGGATTTTCTCCGTGGAATAAACCTCTTGTAAAGCTTTGTTGTTAATCATATCAGGGTGAAGTAATCCACTTACTCCCCAAATATCAGGACTGAAGTTTTTGGGCCATGGAGGGAATTGTTTCCCTCTGGTTCTAACCTCAGTCCATTTTCCATCTCTAGCGAATTGAACAATCTCTCTTGTGAGTTTCTTGTAGTATTCAACTTCTTCTTCATTGAGAAAGTTTCTTACTACAGTGAAACCATTGTCGTTGATTTGATCATGATGGTAATGTGGAATTGATACTGGCATTTTCTGGTTGTGATAATTCTTAATTCAAATCTTTGACTGATAAGAAATCGATGAAATCTGGGGGTTAAATATCAACAATTCCGCATAATGTAACATTGATAGATGTAACCTCAATGCGATTTCTGGTTACTTTTCATCGATAAGATTTCCCAAAATTTAGACTTCCGGTTGCATCTTTACCATCTTTGATTTGTTACATATCAATTACGAGCTGCAATAGTTACATTATAACTTACGAACAATTAAGTATTTGTTGCATTCAAAGTATCAACGAAAAATCTCAAAATTATGAGTATCAATTGGGGAATCTTAGGAGCTGGAAATATTTCCGGACAGTTTGTTCATGATTTATTATTAAGCAACACCGAGTCAAGTTTTAAGCACATAGTCAAATCAATTGGATGTTCAAGTGAAACCAAAGGTCAATCGTTCATTGAAGATTGTAAATTGACTGACGAAAATAACGTGGGGGTGAAACCATCAATTGAAAAATATGATGATTTCTATAAAAATGCCGATATTAACATCGTCTACGTTGGAACGCCTCACGTATTTCATTACGAACAAGTCAAAAATTGTTTGAATAACGGTAAGAATGTTTTATGTGAAAAACCCTTCACTATCAATGCCAAAGAAGCAAAAGAGTTATTTGCTTTGGCTAAAGAGAAAGATTTGATCTTAATGGAAGCTGTTTGGAGTAGATTCTTACCTATAATGAATCAATTGAAGGCCAAATTGAAGGATATTGGGGATGTTCGTAGATTATTTGTGGACTTTGGTTATGACGCTGATTTAGATAATTGTGAAGCATCCTCAAGAATCAGAAATAATGCATTAGGTGGTGGTGCTTTATTGGATATTGGAATTTATCCTATTACCTATTCCAGATTCTTGTTGGATGATAAATTAGGTAAAGACCATAGTCACTTCACTTATGAATCAATGATGACAGTTGATGAAACTGATAAAGTTGATTACAACACTTCTGTAGTTTTCCAATATGGTAAAATCCATGCTATCTGTACATGTTCAAATTATGTTGATAATATTTCACCTTTCGGTAGAGTTGAAGGTTCCAAAGGGAAGATTGAATTGTTCGCTGATAATCCAGCAAGATTAAGGGCTTTCAAAATAACTTATAATGATGGTAAAACTGAAGAGATCAAAGATGATTCTCCATATTTAGGATTTATCTATGAGGCTAATGGCATCGCCAAAGACATCGAAAACCACGAAGAAAGCAAAGTTATGCCAGCAGATGAGACGTTATTGGTTATGGATATTATGGATAAAATCAGAGCCAAACATGGTTTAAAATATCCCACTGATTAAATAGTCAATAAAATCTTCTTCAATTATCCTCTATCACACGACCCAAAATAATGCACAAAGTACTAATCTAATTTTACAGTTGTCATTTCGGATTGTCTGGAGAGAAAGATACCGAGAAATTCTAGGACGGGGCGTAGGAAAATGACACGGGACGGGACCAAAAATCCGTAGTAGAAAATGTGCGAGCCATCCCAAAATGGCGGCAACATAGACAAAGCGCTCATCACTTTAAAGTCTATCTCGTGTGCGAAAGTTCAACAACAATGACAACAGAAGAAGAAATCTTATCATCATACCCACAAATATCAGCTCCAACTGAACAAACTGGTTATACCTCCAACTTAACTGATGAACAAAAAGTTGCTTTAGAGAAACTTCGTGAAGAATTAAAGTCTTTAGGCTATGAAAAGAGACTTGATGATAGTACTTTACTTAGATTCTTAAGAGCAAGAAAGTTCGATTTAGAAAAGACCAAGACCATGTTTATAGATTGTGAAAAATGGAGAAAAGAATTCGGTACTGATACTATCTTAACAGATTTCCAATATACTGAAAAACCATTAGTTGCAAAGTTTTATCCTCAATATTATCATAAACAAGATAAGGATGGAAGACCAATTTATTATGAAGAATTAGGTAAAGTCAATTTAACTGAAATGTTAAAATTCACAAGTCAAGAAAGAATGTTAAAGAATTTAGTCTGGGAATATGAAGCTTTTTCCAATTACAGATTACCTGCTTGTTCAAGAAAATCAGGTTATTTGGTTGAAACATCATGTACTATCTTTGATTTAAAAGGTTTATCACTTACTACTGCTTACCAAGTTGTCACATACGTTAAAGAAGCATCTAAAATTGGTCAAGATTATTATCCTGAAAGAATGGGTAAATTCTATTGTATCAATGCTCCTTTTGGATTCTCAACTGTTTTCAATTTGGTTAAACCATGGTTAGATCCTGTAACTGTTTCTAAAATCTTCATTTTAGGTTCTTCATATAAAAAAGATTTATTAAAACAAATCGATGCCGAAAACTTACCAAAGAAATATGGTGGTACTGATGATGTTCATGATCAAGATTTATATTTGAAAGATGACGGTCCATGGAGAGATGCCAAATATATTGGCCCTGAAGGTGAAGCTCCAAAAGCTTTTTAGAGTTTGTTCGGTCAAGGGTTTGGAGACCCTTCCCATTTAATATACACTTTATTCATATTAAGAGATACCTCTGTTTTATGTAATCTATCCTTTTGACACGCTTTCTAATCTATGACGTACCTTCTCATCAATGGAAAATACTCTTGTCTTTAAAATGCTTTCTAATCTATGACACGCTTTCTATTTTATGATGAACACTGTAATCCACAAAACTCCCTTACCGGTCAGCCTCCACCATGTGTCCAAACATCGAATCATCTAAACCCTTTATTGATAAAGGCAGTATCGGGACGACATCAAGACACCCAACCGCGACATCTTTTTTGTTGGTGGTAAAAGAAACTGTTGCGTGTCGGTACCACGATTTGGAAAAAAAAACCTCGTTTATTCATCGTTTAGAAAATCGCATTTAAAGAGCGTGAATTATCACTGAACCCGATCCTGTCACTTTTTAAATCAATCTTATAGAAAGGGAACAATGGTGTCAGCTGTATACCATGATTACTCATCATTCAATGATGCTAAAGATTTTGTCGGAGTATTCCAAAATTTTGATAAATTAGATTTATCCTTCATTGAAAAGTTATGGGGGACTTATTATTATTATATGAATAATGACATCTTTGCTACTGGTTTATTAATTTTTGCTACTCACGAAATTATGTATTTCGGTAGATGTTTACCATGGCTTATTATTGATCAAATCCCTGCTTTCAGAAAATACAAAATTCAAGAAACCAAGATGCCATCAAATAAGGAACAATGGGAATGTTTTAAATCAGTTCTTAAATCTCATCTTTTAGTTGAAGCTTTACCTATTTGGTTTTTCCATCCAATCTGTGATAAATTAGGTGTTGGATTAACTGTTCCTTTCCCTTCATGGACAACCATTGCTTTCAATTTAGCCGTATTTTTCGTCTTAGAAGATGCATGGCATTATTGGTTACATAGAGGTTTACATTATGGGGTTTTTTATAAATACATTCATAAACAACATCATAGATATGCTGCACCTTTTGGATTAGCTGCTGAATATGCTCATCCTATTGAAGTTATGTTATTAGGTTTTGGTACTGTTGGTATTCCAATTGTTTATTGTTATATCACTGGTAATTTACATTTGTTTACTATTAATTTATGGGTTGTTTTAAGATTATTCCAAGCTATTGATGCTCATTCAGGTTATGAATTCCCTTGGTCATTACATCACTTCTTACCATTTTGGGCTGGTGCCGATCATCATGATGAACATCATCATCATTTTATTGGTTCATATGCTTCATCTTTCAGATGGTGGGATTTTGTTTTAGACACTGAAGCTGGTCCTGAAGCTAAGAAGAAGAGAGAATTAAAAATGAAACAAAAAGCTGAAAAATTAAATTAGGTAATTACATAGATTGTTTATTCAAACACATTAGTCATGAAAGGTTTTACTCTGGTCTTTATGAGTCCCTCTCTACGAATAACTCTTTACATGAACGCTTAATGTGCAAATTGGAAGAACAAACTCAAGAAAGAGTAGTAAGAGAGTCCAAGAACCGTGAGCGTGGAAGTAAAAGAGTCCAAGAACCGCAGAGCGTGCAAGTAAGAGTAGTCAGAGTAGTTATTTCATCAAAGTGGAATAACATTCTATATTAATTATCCTTCATAAACTCATTATATTCCCTTCTCATCTTAACAATATCAATGTACTCTTTTCTATAAGCAAAATTGTAGTTATTAAAGCCCAAAGCATTGAATTCTTGTAAAGATTGATCTATTTTGATCTTCTTTAAGTATTTATCGAATTTGATCAATGAATTGTCCAAATTTAAAGATCCTTTATTCTTGATTGAATTGGTAGCTTGAAGGAAAATGAGAACAAGCGACACCACCAATTCTAGTATTAAATCCGAGGTATATGAAACATTCAATTTATTATATTCATAGGACGAATAAGCACAGTGTATCAATAGTAAGTACCCGATCATTTGTGAAAATAGACAGTGAGAAATTTCCTTCAAATGTTAGAAACGTAATCACATGATTAAACACGTGATACATCACACGACATAATTCCTAAAGTCATTTGTTCATTAATGAATAACATGGAAATGTGGTCATAAATCGATTCCACTAATCACTAACTGCATAGCTGTAAATCTCGGAGCAAGATCAAAAAGTTTTTTCATTTAGTCACCAGATCAACAGGATGCGATGGATTACATAATCTGAAACGATGACCATCACAAAATTTTCTATACCTCTGGTGATCTAGCAAACAGCAACAATACCAACTAAACATCTACCATAGACTCAACGATATATCTCTTACTTACCAAGTGTTTATACTCTCACCTCATAACCTGAATCAAACCCCCTTCCCCAGCCACTCCATATTCCGATACGGGTTCAAACCATGAAATGTAAACAATATGAAATGTGGAGAATCCGAGGCCTTCAAAATAAATAAATGACTACCCCAGATTATATAAATAGAGCAACTCCCTTTGATATTTTCTTTTGAACGTTACTTTATTTAATATTATAATATACCTGATTAACTATAGTTGGTCATTATAGACTTCTAACATATAGATAAGTTATTAGACATAATATATTAGATTTATACTACTTTTTAGAATATCATTCACATATAAGATAGTTTTAGAAATCATAGATTTGTTCATATTCATTTACTTAGTTCTTCAAAAACCTATAGTTGGATATTACACAAAAACCTTACATTATCATAAGTAAAGTTTTGAGCATCACAGCAATCCACAAATATTCCCTAGTTTTATTAGCAAAATTAAAATGAAGGTTTTTTACTATTTACCTATAGCCTATGGTTTGCTTTTACCAACAGAATTCATATCTAATGTATGGTATCCTTTACAAGATCAAATTATTGAAAAATTAGACGTTTATAAGGGAGATGAAACTTTAGATAACGTTGATAAGTCAACCTTTGAAAATTGGATCAATGATCAATATAAATTCAACTGGAAATACTTATTAAGAAACGTTGGGAATTCTACATTTTGTGAAGATTCAGAAATTTCTCCAGGAGTTATTGTAGCTTCACCATCAAAGATCAAACCAAATTATTATTATCAATGGACCAGAGATAGTGCTTTAACTATACGTACATTAATTCATTATTTACAAGATATTAAAGATGGCAGTATTAATGAGGATTTCATCAATAAAGAGGAAATTCAATTATTAGTAGAACAATACATTTGGAACAATTTCAATTTACAAAGATTAAATACCTTATCAGGGAGTTTCCAAGATGGAGGTATTGGAGAACCTAAATATTTGGTTAATAATTCAGCTTTCATGGAAAACTGGGGGAGACCACAAAATGATGGTCCAGGGTTAAGAATTACTTCTATCATCAATTATATGAATTTGGATTTACCTTCATTAACTAATTTAAACAAGACTTTCGTTTATAATGAGATTTTAAAACCTGATTTAGTATTTGTTGCTAATAATTGGAGTAAAGATTCTTTCGACTTATGGGAAGAAATCAATTCTTTACATTTTTTTACATCAATAGTTCAATTAAAAGGATTATTCGATGGATTAAATTTCATTCGTGATGAAAATATCGAGCATGACGAAGATTTAATCAATTCTTTAACTGTACAATATGAAAATTTAAAGAAATTTGTTGAAAGTTATTATATAAATTCCAAGATCGATTATGTAATTGAAAGTCCAAAAGTCAAATCTAGAAGTGGTTTGGATAGTGCAGTATTATTAGCTTCAATTCATTCTCATGATATGGTAGCTAAAGATATTGAAATTCCTTTTAATATCGATAATAATTATATTTTGAATCATTTAATGGCCATGATCAATGATATGAAAACAAGATATCCTGTTAATTACAAATCTTTAGGAATCCATGGAATTGGATTAGGAAGATATCCTGAAGATATTTATGATGGTTATGGTACTAGTGAAGGTAATCCTTGGTTCATTTCAACAGCCACAGTATCAGAATTAGTATTCAAATTAATCTGGAAATTGAATAACGACAAACAAGATATCATAATCACCAATTTGAACAAGGATTTCTACAGTAAATTCTTAAATTCTGTGGAATTAGATGATTATTTGATCATCAAATATAAATCACCAATTTACAATTCATTGATTGAAAATTTATTCAAATTTTCTGATCTGTTCTTAGATGTAGTAAAGAATCATAATGATGTTCATGGAGGTATCAGTGAACAATTCAATAAATACCATGGCTTCATGCAAGGTGCTAGAGATTTAACCTGGAGTTATTCAAGTTTATTGAATGCTTTCAGATGGAGAAATAAAGTCAAACTTTAAATGTGTTTTAGAGATAAGTATATAGCTTTTTTTTAGAGGTAGAGATAATTTATGGGAAATATTTTAATCATTCTCTATTCATCTAGTTAAGTCAGAAACACTATTCATCTAACTTGTTTAAGGTCTCGAACACTGATATGTTATCAAACTTCTTTTTCGATTGATAACATTCAGGGCTTCTATCGAGTAATTCTGTCATTTCTTCATCATTCAATAATTCAATATCATGGATGTGATCATAATCGAATTTGAATTCTCTATTGTTGATACCTATCTTTTTGGAAATCTCTATTAAGTTGTTGAATTCAATTTCATAATTATCGAAATCACTAATGGAGTTACTGATTCTGATGACGATTTTTTCTAAGAATCTTCGACTGTAGTTTTTCATAATAAGTAATTCTTCAATCAGATCTTTGATCAATAATCTAAAAATCTTTACAGGTTTGTCTTGACCAATTCTATGACATCTATCGATTGCTTGAAGATCAACTTGAGGATTCCAATCATTATCGAATAAAATCACAGTATCGGCTTCCACCAAATTGATACCCAAACCTCCTGATCTGGTGGATAGAAGAAAGACTTTGAATTTGGGATCTTTAAATTGTTTTATTTGGACATCTCTTTCTTCTTGTGACGTGGATCCATCGAATCTACAATGTTTGATGGATCTATAGGTTAAAAAGTCTGATATCAAATCAAGACATTTAGTGAATTGTGAGAAGATAAGGATTTTATTATCTTTCAAACCTCCCAAAAATTGATCTAAAACTTTAAACTTGGAGGAATTATTCACCAATTCAGTAATGAAGAGCCCTTCTTTATCCCTAGGACTTCTTTCTCCCTTTGTCAAATTCTCCGTAATAGGGAAGGGCTCATAATAAATATATGGTGAGTTACAAATTTGTCTTAATTGCATGATGGTATTTCTAAGACTCAACGCTCTGACTTCTTTATCAATTCTTTCTTGTAATGCATTTTCGTTATTGGATCTTACTCGATTGAATTTCTTGTAATCCTTGAAATAAAGCTCACAAATACTCTCAAATAATTTTCCATCTAAAGTGTCATTATACATCTTTTTCTGATAATCACTTAACTCAATATGGATCAAGTACTCTTTTTTGGGAGGTAAGTTTCGTATCACGTCCCTTTTCAATCTTCTAAGGATAAATGGTGATAAAATTGTATGTAAATTCTTAATCAAATTACTTTGTAGTTGTTTCCTAATGAACATCTCCATTTCCTTATTCTCCCCCACAGATAATAAATCATCAAAATTAAACCATTGTTGAAACAATTGTAAGTCATGGAAAATATCAGGTAGTATGAAATTCAATAATGACCATAATTCCTTCAAATTGTTTTGCAATGGAGTACCGGTAATAAGTAACCTATTACTGACGTTCAATCGTTTGAGTACTTGAATAAGTATACAGTCCATGTTCTTTAATCTATGACCTTCATCTATAATCAAGAATTTCCAGTTAGTTTTGCTGAGTTTGGAGAAATCTTTAATACTCAATTCAAAACTGGTTAATACAATATCATTACCAGCAATTTCAAGCCCTAATCTTTCTTCCTTTGTACCTGTATGCCTCAAGACCTTCAATTTTGGAGAGAACTTCTTGAATTCATTTTCCCAGTTAGAAATCGTTGATAATGGAGCAACTATCAAATAAGGTCCAGGAACTCCATTTTCTATCAAGAATGAGATAAATGCAATACATTGAATGGTTTTACCTAAACCCATTTCATCGGCCAAGATCCCGTTAAGCCCATTTTCAAATAACGTAATCAACCATTCCAATCCGTCAAGTTGATAATCTTTTAAGGTCCCAGACATTAGTTTAGGTTGCTTGATTTTGTCATCTTTAGACTGTTTTTCGCTGGTCTGCTTGGACAACATAGTCAAAACATCCTTCTTACGTTTCTTGGTTTTCTTTTCATCTTCTTCATTCCCCTGGCTTCTCTTTTCTTTCTTCAATTTGGTATTTTCAAGGATTTGGTCTGCAATGATTTGTGAATAAACCTGACTTTTCTTGATCAAATTATTTAACCTCTCCATTTTGGAATCGTTAGAGAGCTTTTCGAACTCTCTGGATTCTTCTGAATCATCCTTAAGTATTTCTTTAGCTTCTGTGTAATCTATATCATCAATAACTGAGGTATCGGGAGTCTCTGGACTTGCATCTCTTGATTCACTCATAACGCGTAATCGCGGTTGCTGCAAATTTTAGTTTAGCTTGTGAGAGCAAGATGTGACATTGAGAGCAAGATGTGACATTGAGAGCAAGGTGTCAATACGGGGAGCAATGGTGGAACTGGCAGCAGTGACGCAGGTAGATAAGAAGCGAAGAGATCTACAAGAGTTTAGACAGACGGTTAAGAGCAAGAAAATTCAATTTTTCACAAGACAAAGTATATTAATTGACATCTAAATCTATACTAATTGAGATCAAGACCTAAAGCTTCCCTTTGGGATTTTGAATTTTCATCGAAGAAAGGAATTTCAGCTAATGATGTAACTCTCGTACCATGTCTGTTTTCTAAACCTTCATGATCCCAAACAGCATTATGTTGACTGATTCTATTATCCCATAAAGCACTTGTTCCTTTACCAGGTTCACTCTTCCAATTGAATCTGACTTGAATATCCAAGTTTCTTTCGAATATGGAGAAGAGATATTCTAATAAGATATCAGATTCTCTTGGTAATAAACCAACGATTCTAACAGTCATGGCTCTGTTGACAAATAAAGCTTTCCAACCAGTAGCTGGATGAGTTCTAATAATTGGATGTTCACGTTCAATGTATTTTGGACCATTCAAAGGATTTTCTCCATCAATATAATTATGAGCTGATTTATAGATTGCAGTTTTACCATCTAAAAATTGTTGTAAAGCTGGAGATAATTTATCATAAGCTCCATAACCTGATGCCCATAGAGTATCACCTCCAACGGTTGGAATAGCATCAAGATGTAAATGAGTAATACCGGCAGGTTGTTTTTCATGAACTAAATCAGTATGCCATTGGGAGTTACCACCAATACTATTTTTGAAGGATAAATTGAGACCAAAGTTAGCAATAACATAATCTTGCCATATAGTAGTAATACCATCCAAATCATTTCCATCGGTATCGCCAGGAACTCTTGGAACTTGTGGGTGGATTTCGATTTGTCCCCAGTACTTACCTAAATCCAATTGTTTTTGGGGAGATAAATCTTGATTTCTAAAGAAAACAACAACTCTTTCAGCTATAAGTAAAGCCAATTCATCCTTTTGTTTATCATTCAAATCAGATAATTGTAATCCAACAATTTCTGTACCTATGTGTTTAGTTAAATGGATGACTTCTTTAGCAGCACCGAATAAAGCTTTCTTTTCAGGGTCAGCATTCTTACCTCTTTCGATATATGGGTATTCCTCGTTTCTAACTTTATAAGCATCATTAACAAACTTTGGAATGACTTCATTCTTTGGTACAATAGGATATCCGTCAGACAAATCGATATTGTATTTGGCAAATCTATCTTTAGTGGATTGTGGTAAATGGTCTACCCAATTGGTAGATTTCCCGATTTGGAAACTTTTATAACCGGCAATTCTTAAATTTGCCAATTGAGCTACGGACTTGTTAATAGCAGATTCAGTGTTTTCAGAGACTGGTGACATCTTGATGGTTGTTTCAGAAGTGAAAGGAGGGGATTTAAATAGTTGAAAACTGTGGATTGTGGATTCCGTCACGTTAACAAAGTGTGGATTCTGATTTGTAATGAATTTTTACACAGTAACGGAAATGTGTTATGGCTCTATTGTTACAAGTCATAGGATGCGGAAAGAAAAGTGGGTTCATTTACATCTATGGTATAACATGTTATCAGTTGAATCGATGAAGTAAGTCTATGAAGATAGTCAGAGGAAGTAAATGCCACACATTCGCCATTCAAAGACGGACAGGAAAAAGTACAATTTTTTTTCCGAACGAACAAAACTAACAAATAGCATGAACGGTACCTTAATCGGGATCTATTCATCGAACAAAAAAAAGTGTGTCAGAAACAATCGACAATACTATAAAGATCAGACGTTTAAACATCATGAAATAAGGTTTTATTGAAAAATTTCTGTTGAGTACGACATCACGACATCAGACACCATGACTCAAGAAATTTCCCAAACTAACGGGCGACTAAAGGCCCGAAAATTTCTGTCAGTAGCGCGATGCCAAAATTATGATGACGTTTGAGTAAATCTGCAAGTTAAGTCGAAAATGCGGTAAAATTTTACAGTTTAGCTAATGACGTTCATAGATTGCATTCTACTCAACAAAAGTGATATAAAATGAAAATAAAATCCTTCAAATTAGATGAATAAATTTAAACTGTTTAGGATTAGTTCACCAAGACTTAGGAATCTAAGTTATACTTCAGTCAAAATGGGTAGAGAAAATATTTTACATTATCAATTGGAACACGACAAAGAGACAGATTTACCAACTGAGATTAATGTTAAAATTGCAAAGACTAGCATCAAAAATGATAATTTCCCTTTCTCTTTACTGAGAGAAAGTACCATAAAAGATTATTTGGAAAACAACAGATTTTTCGTTGATTCAATTAATCATGCCCATTCTAGAGAAATTTTCAATATGAATGGAAAAGGTCAAAGTCCTCATACTTTATGGATTGGATGTTCAGATTCAAGATGTAGTGAAAGCTGTCTTTCAGTTTTACCTGGTGAAGTTTTCACTCACAGAAATATCGCCAATATTGTCAATTCCAATGACATCTCATCTCAAGGAATTATTCAATTCGCTATTGATGTATTAAAAATCAAGAAAGTCATAGTATGTGGACATTATGATTGTGGAGGTGTTTGGGCTTCTATGTCATCCAAGAAAATCGGTGGTGTTTTAGACCATTGGCTTAACCCAATTAGACAAATCAGAGCTAATAATAAATCCTTATTACAAGGAATTGATGATCCAAAAGAAAGAGCCAATAAATTAGTAGAATTAAACGTCATTGAATCCGTATTAAACTTAAAAAGACATCCATCAGCTTCTGTTGCCTTGAAAAATGGTGATATTGAAGTCTGGGGAATGATCTATGATGTTAGTACCGGGTACTTACATGAAGTTGAAATTCCAACTGATGATCATGAAGATATGTTCCATGTTCATGATGAAGGTGAATTGGTTCATTGAGTAATTGATAGATTGTAAATAAGATATGAGAAACGTAATATATATTTAATTGAATATGGAGTTCTCTTATGGGGATTTGATAAGGACCCCAGGACCCCGTAGATTACATAATCTATGATATTTGGCTGCGAAAGGGTAAAGACTTGGTTTAAAATAGTAGAATCTTTGTAATGTCCTAGGAGTGTATTTTCTGGCAAAATTTCTTCACCTTTGGACCGGGAGGTACCATTTCTGTTATATTTGATTTCACAATGATTTTCAATGAGAAAATATACGGCAGATTTCATAATCCAATACATAGTCTTGTTGAATTGAATGAAAGGTAAAGACCCACAATTCGAGTACCTTACTGCTAGTTCTTGAGTACCAGAGAGTTCACCTTCACAACCAGTCAGTCAGATCCAAAAAAAAATCACTAAAACGTCCTTAGAACTCGGCCAAACTCTATTAAGAGCAAACTATGAGAAACGTGATATAATAAAGTATCAAAACCCTTAACCACTTCCTTATAGCTAGAGGAGATATTCACAAATATAAATATTGAAATTCTAAATAACCAGTATTTAATCTAAGAATTATTCCAATTCAAACCATAACTCATTGAATCTTCATGTTTATAGTTTTCAATGAAATCAAAAGCTTCTTCAATATTATCGAAAACGTTTAACAATTTTCTTTGCTTTTCAGCAATAAATCCAGCCTTAATACTTTCATCAATGAATTTTAAGAAGGTATTATAGAAACCTTTGATGTTAAGTAAAACAATTGGTTTCTTGTGGATACCTAATTGATGCCAAGTGGTAACTTCCAATAATTCTTCGAAAGTTCCAAATCCTCCAGGTAAAGCAACAAAAGCATCAACTTCTTCACCCATCATTCTCTTTCTGGTATGCATGTCTTTAACTAAAGTTGTTTTACCATATTCTTTAATATCTGGTAAAGGAGTTTCACCGTTGTGGTTACTTTGATTTTCTTTAATCTCCTTATTGACTTCATCAGGGTCTTTTCTTTCTTTGGATACTAAAGCTTCTGGAATGATTCCATGAACATAACCGTTATTAGTGGCACATCCATTAGCAATAGCACCCATAACACCAGTACTACCACCTCCATAGACTAATCCCCATTTTTTAGCGGCCAATTTTTGACCCATTTCAAAAGCAGTCTTTTCATAGATTGGGTCATTACCGAATGATGATCCACAAAAAACACAAACTTTCTTTAAGGTTTCAATATCCATAGTCATTTCTTACTTATCTTGCTTCGTTAATTTGTTTATTATAATTTGTTCCCAATAGATTCTATCAATCTTAAAAAAAAACTGAACAACTGTGAACTTGGTGGGATTTATATAAAAAACTGAGAACGGTTCGTCCGAAGGAATAAATTGAGAATTTCTAAGATATGATAAAGAATTCTCTTTGTAGCCAATAAAATCAATTACCCCTATCTCAATTACAATCGAACTGTTCCGATGTTATAGATTTTCCCATTAGAAACTTTTTCTTGAAATTTCTGGGTCTTAATTACTATTATATCGGTGGTTGCAAAAACTATTACTCACTTTGGGGTGGGACACGACCTTTTTCACAGGGTTTTGTATGGGGTCGAACTATCAATTACTAAGTTTTGACCACGATTACAATACCATGGAAGGTTCTTTTATACACCTCTGAGCTGATATTCTCAAATCAATATTTTCGACGTTACATGTAACATCGACTAATTTTAGTGACTTTAACCATTATTTATGTAAGCGAGGTGCAAAGGGTCTGCTACGCGTTTTTTTGAATCGTCTATTTTTGCAAATATTTACCGATCCATTACGAAGATTCGATAGAAGGCATTTATAATTCCAAAACATCCCATTCCGAAGCATCAGCAGGTTATTTTTATATTGGGATTTGGTTAGGTTTTGGTTTTGAGAGTTAAACACAAGAAACACACATAAAAAGATTACACATAAGATAGACGAGCAGTTGATTCAAAGGGATGAGTGAAAAGACGAGAGATTTATTTAGTAGATTGGAACAATTCCAATTGGAGCAGTTTCAGCAAGAAATTCCATCACATCCTACCACCAGGGATAATTACTACTCATATGAAACCCCCCTTCAACAATTTTCCCTGCAAGCATTAGCACTGGAAACTAATTTTGATTCCATATTATCATCACCTATAAACATCAACAAGGTATTCAAAGATAACATACGGGATAATGAAGAGTACGGGTTGGGCATAACATACTCAGACGACGAAGACTTCGATTATGATCTTTATTCAGGCACAATTACCAGAGATACTTCCATCCATTCTTTAAGTGTGGACTTAAAAGATGTCACTAAAGATTTGAACGTCTTGAAGCAAAGCATAGATAACAATAAGTTGATCTTGGATTGTATCGAAGACATGTTACATCAGGAAAATGAACAGATCATGAATAGTTTGAATGATATCATCAATGACATTCAGACGAGTGTAGCAAATAATACTGTAGTTATAAGAGGGGATTATTTTAATCGTTAATGGGGTAATGGATATGAACTTTTGTTTCTTGACTCTAAGTTTCTTCAGAAGCGTTTCTTAAACCATGTTTTCTGGGTCTTTTGTTCCTGCCTTCCCGGCGTTCTGACTCTTTCCTCTCCTGTCTTAAAGTATCAAATAGTTCCTGATCAGGGCGAGAAATCGACCTGTGCAGTGACAATCGATTAGCGAGAAAATGGTACCATTTTAGGAAGATATTCAGTGCGACCTTAGATAACGACTTTTTGCGAATTTACTCCCTATGAGTTTGGTCACTATCACTAACAACTTGAACCTGCTCGAGATAATAATCGATGAAAGATTGAGATTGATAAACATACTAAAGCTTACACCATCTTCCAATGATAATTTTGATCTTATCAATCAATTAGGTAAGATAACGAAGCTTTTCAAAGCTTCAGACAGTGATACTCCTAAATTCAAACAATTAGTCAACCAATATAACGACCTTTTAGATCAGTTGAATGACGACAGCACTATAAATATCGAAGAATACAAATACACCATCAAGAAAAATAAGAATGTGAGGTTTAAAGACGATTCGAATGATCTTCGAAATGAATTAATGGGCACTACCAAATTCAAATCCTATAAAGATGACCCTGAAGAATCCGATAAGGTAGAATTCAACGATTTCAAACCAAACTCCAATAGATACAGTGACTTTGATGGATCACAATTTAACCAAGATCTTTCCAATCAAGATCTTTTTGGTCAAAACCAACAATTGTTATCTAAACAAGATGAAGACCTAGATATGCTTCATGACTCCGTCAAAATCCAGAAGTCTATGGGCTTAAATATAAATGAAGAGATAGATTCTCATCTCATAATGTTAAATGACTTAGAAAATGGAGTAGAATCAAGTCAATTAAGACTTAATAGTGCAAATAATAGATTGAGAGAATTTAGAAGGAAATTTCAAGAGAATGGATCATTGATTACAATTGTAGTATTAACTATAATTTTAATTCTTTTATTAGTAGTTCTAAATTGATATGACATGTCCTGGGGAGCCTAGCCCTTTTTTTTTTTATGTGTAACATCTTTTATTTATATCTCTAGGTTATGATGAAATCTCTAGGTTATATGTGACTTGTTTAACATCCAAACAAATTTCTCTAGAAATTGAAATCATCATTCTCTTCTTCTTCTTCACTGAAGAACCAAATAAAGATAATAATATCGACATAAACAATCAAACCTCCTATGATACTCATGAGCATACTACCAAATTCAATAATTTTACATCTAAATAATACAGTTGGTAACCCTATACCACTTATAACTATGACACCTGTTATAAATCTACAGAACTCTTGAATTGATGTGGGATTGTTACCATGGTCGTTGGAGAATGTAAGGAAATCGTCTCTACTGTTTTCAATGGATGATGCTATTAAATTGGGTAAAGGTGCAATTAAATATATGAAAATGATCCATAACGTTGTCCAGTTATTGAACAATGCTCCAGAAAGTAGTATTAACAAGAATCCCGTGGCTAAGAATGCCGAAAGGAAGATTATCTTGTTTAAAGGATTCATTGAACGTGCGAATTTAAAGGGTGAGATTTTGACGGTTATGGAGTATAGGGGAATTGAGAGTTTAGGGCTATGGACATAGGAAGGTCCTAGAAGAGTGATCGGCAAAGACGAATAGCTGGAAAAAGCTGATACTATTCACCTTTTTAAAACCAATCACCATAATGGTTGTCACATCACAGATATATTCACTATTTACAGGGGAAACATAAAGGCTTTAATTCCAGAACCATCCTTTCTTTTCAGGAGGTGATGTTCTTGAAATGGTATTGGTCTTGGAGGTACCATCAGAATAATATTCTGTTCTGGTTTCTTTATAACTTGACTCCTTGTCGTCATTGATCCAAATGGTTTGGATATCGGTAGAAACCACAGTTTTACCTTCGGGAATGGGTACTACGTCAGTCTTGACATTGCCAACATTGTTATCACCATACTTATCAGTATATTTGTCAACATACTTTTCAACACGCTTATCCTTTTCAAGGCTCACCTGCTCCAATTTTTCATTCATCTTGTTAGTCCATTTCTTACATCTGTCGTTCCATTGATTGAACTTCTCGTCCCAAACTATTTGAGGTCTTTGCTCTTTAGCAACCTTGAACATACTAGCCTTCCAATTCATAAGATCCTCAAAATTCTTGAAATAAATCCCCTTTTCACCCAAATCATATTTTCCATCATAAGACTTATCACGGATCAGATCTTCAAACACTTCTTTAGTTAATACACCATTTACACCCTTGGGAATAATGGCTTGAGGAAACAAACATCTCCAATAACCTTTGGAGTCCCATACACTCAAACCTTTCTTATCCAAACATTCATTGTACTTTCTAACACTAGGTTTGTGACTTTTCAATCCTGTAGATACTGGTCTCCCATCCTCAAAGAAATAGTCAAAGGAAAAGATTTTATCGTTATCCATAATTTGTTTGAATTCTGTGAATGAATCACTGGTGACATTGAAGATAGAACTCATAGAGTCCTTCATCAATTCTTTAATTTTTTCAAAATCGTCGTTCATAGTTCTAAGGATAAGGGATGTAAAATTAATGATGCGTGGATTTTTCTAGATCACTATCAGCACGTTAAAATGACTTCAGTTTCACGTGTTCGTCATGTGATACCTCACGCGAGTTTAACGTAGATTCCAACGGGATCAAACTCTATGGATATTACCGAATTTCTTATCTAAAAAGATTGGAATCTCCACACTTTTAGTCTGACCTTGCGTCACATCTTTTGCATCTTCTGTTGAATCTACTGGTGTTAAAGACAGATCATGAATATATACATTGAACCTTACATAAATAGTGCCTTCCAAAAAACCTCCTAACGATATTGGATATTTTTCACATCTCTATGGATTTGACCATGCATTGGAATGAAAGGCATGAATTCCATATCTGACTGAGTATCAAATGATTTGTGGATGTAAAACTTATTATTAATGATATTCAATATTTGAAATTTATTCAATTCTTTGTAAGGGTTACTTTCAGGGTACATGGTCTTAATGATGGAATATGCTACTAATGAGAATGCTATTAATGAAAATGCTAAAATGCTATCTTAAATAGAAAGAACTCTCTTCCTAAATGCTATTGTAATGTGTAAAGTTAAACTGTAAAAGAATTCCAGTTGATGTTACAGGTTGTACGATTTGAGGTGAAAAATGCGCATGAGAGTACATCCTACATTCCCAGTACGAACAAGGTTTGCACCTTCTCCTACAGGGGTTATACATTTGGGATCAATACGAACAGCTCTTTACAACTATTTACTTGCTAAAAATACCGGAGGCAGTTTCATTTTAAGGATTGAAGATACTGACCAGAAGAGAAAGATCAAAGGGTCAGAAGAGAATATCTATCAATCATTGAAATGGTGTGGGTTGATTCCTGATGAAAGTCCCATGATAGGAGGTCCTTATGGTCCTTATAAACAGAGTGAAAGGAAAGATATTTATAAGAAATATGCTGAGATTTTGGTGGATAAGGGATTGGCTTATTATTGTGGATGTTCCAAAGATAGACTTAATGATCTTAGACAAAGTGCTATGAAGTTAAAACCACCAACCACCGTAACTTATGATAGGAAATGTTTCGATAAACCCCTGGATAAGTCCTTGGGTGGGATCATTCGTTTCAAATCTCCTGTAACTTATCCTTCCATTACTGACCTCATTCATGGTACTAAAAATATTCAACCCCAGTATAATGTTGATGACAGAAGATATGATGATTTTGTGATCATGAAATCCGATGGGTTGCCAACCTACCATTTCGCCAATGTCGTGGATGATCATCTCATGAAAATAACTCATGTTATACGAGGAGAAGAATGGTTATCATCCACTCCAAAACACGTAGCTCTTTATGAAGCATTTGGATGGGAACCTCCACAATTTGTTCACATTCCTTTACTTACGTCTTTAAGTGATAAGAAATTGAGTAAACGAGATGGAGACGATGGGATTTTATCATTACGTGATACCTACCTTCCCTCAGCATTAATAAATTTCATCGCCTTATTTGGATGGGCTCCTGCTAGAGATTCTGGCCAGAGTTTCGATGAGACCATGGACTTGAACACTTTGATTGAAAGATTCTCTCTTGATCATTTGACTCGTGGTAATGCCAAAGTTAGTAAGGACAAGTTAGGATATTTCAACAAACGTCATCTTCAGTCGTTAGATGATAAAGAGTTCACCAAGCTCTGCGAAGATGTCAAATCTAAGTACTCGTTACAAGGAGAAGTGGGGGATTTCTTAAAGAAGATTCTTCCTCATATCACTACTTTAGATGAAATATCTAATTATACCCATTTATTTAAACCCATATATACATCTGATGTCCCTGAAAATTGCAGGGAAGTCTTGTTGAAGATTTTGAACGATGAAAAGTTCGGTCTTGACGATATGTTAAAGATTTCTTCCAAAAAAGATGTTTTTAAATCTTTAAGATACGCATTGACGGGTTTACCCAAAGGTCTTAAAGTCCCGGAGATTGTTGATTTGTTAGGACCCCAGGAAATCGAAAAAAGAATTAACAATGCCATTCATTATATAGATAACTTGTAAATATATGCATCTTAAGCCTAGAACTGATTAGTAAAGTCCATGAAATCCACATCTCCAGATTTGATGAAAGGTCCAGTATAGATACAATGAATTTTCATCTGTGGATGGTAATATAAACCCGTAAGTAACTTAGGGGTGACAAGGAAATACTGAGAATTCACGTTTTTACAAGCAGTTCGGACAAGGTATTTATGGGCCATTTTTTCATTCTTTGGATCCATACCTTGATTGATTTCATCTACAATTCTAATAGGTGCTTTAGTTAACCCTTGTAATGCCATGACAAAGAAAATAGTTGATACTGCTCTTTCACCTCCCGATTGTGATTGACGGTCCAAGATTTTGAAATCTGATTGTTCTCTGAACTTCACCAAAATCTCCAATCTCCATTTCTTGAACTTTTCATTCTTCGCCAATTGAACTTTACCGTTGGATGCTACATTAACGAATTTCCTTTGGAATGATCTTGAAATCTTTTCTACCAAGCCGTCAAGCTCAGGTTCCCAACGGGATTTTATTTCGGTGATTCTGGTATCAAATGATTGTTTTTCGGTATTTAAGCGAGGCAACACTCCATGAATTTCCTCTATCTTTTCATCAACCAGTTTCAATCTTTGAATGGATGATTTATCGGCCGTCATCACACTAATTTCATCTTCCAAAATCGAGATAGTCTCTTTGATATTGCTTTCATTTAATTCTCCTGCTTCACGATATTCTACTGCTTTATTTTGGATTTTTTCAACCTCCAGTGGTGGTAATTTGGCATTAGTCTCTGCAATAATCTGTTTACAATTACTATTCTTCATTGAAAGATATTGTTTTTTGGACTCTTCATAGATCGCAACCAATTCAGATTTGAGTTCATCCATTTGCTGGACTAATGCTTCAATTGCATCTTTCCTATTCCTCTCGTTCAAAACATCAAGATTGATCTGATTAATTTCAAGTTTGATATCACTTAATTGTGCTACATAATCAGAAATTTGTGACCCTTGTTTGCTATTATTACCGAATACTTCGAGTAATCTGTTCCTGATATTCCTAATTCTATCACTGTGGTTTTTATTGAGGTCCTGAGTCAATTTCTCGATTCTTTCTTGTTTGGTCACTATGTTTTGCTGAATTCTGTTTCTTCTAGATTTGAGTAATGAATGTTGATTGACCTTTTCATTGAATAGTTCGATATCTCGTTGAATTCTTACGGCATTAGACTTATCGTTGATGAGTTTATCATTGATTTCTTTGATTTGTGAATGAATATCGTCTAGATCACTTTTCAAACTCTTGATGTTGGTCTCAGTTGATTCTCTCACTTCGCTTGAAATACTATTTTTACCAAAAAAATTGTTATTTTTAATGGTATCAGTACTATAAACGAAGTTTCTGTTTCCATATCTGGATCTGGTAACGTTGAAAAGTTGTTGACCACTAATAAATCTCATGAACGGAATCTTTCCTTCATTATTAGGTGTCATCAATTTATTTAATTGACGATCAGACAATTCCTTTAACGTCACAGGAATGTTATGTATTTTACTGTTAATTTTTAACATGTTCAACACAGGTTGAGGTCCTTGTAAATAATCACTCAAATAGTTCTCAAATCCAAAATGATGTAAACTCTCTTGTGGTATACTTGGTGGTGAAGGTTGTTGTTTTAACACTCTGGTAGGAACAGTAAATTGTTGTAAATGTCTATAATTCTTTTGGTAATTATCCTCATTGGTGAAAGTCAAAGCCACTAAATTGTTCTGTCCGATCACTCTTTCACAAACACCAGCCAAGGATTTCTCTCTGATATCACAAGTAACCACCGGACTTTCAAAGTATTCGTTGGTCCCACTCTTCTCTCTCATGAATTTGTGAGCTTGGAAAGATGAATATAATAATTTACTACTTTGAATATTGAGAAGATTCAATTTATCTTCCGTATTCAATTTACTCATTTCTGCTTTCAACTCTTGACTTAATCTGGCTTCTTGACGTTTCTTATCATTCAATGTATTATTTGATTCTTCTATTGCCTCAGATAATGTCAATTTTTCATTCTGAAGTTGTCTTCTTTGGCCCTTATATTCATTAATTTGGTCTTCGGTATCATCATCTGCTAATTGGGTCAATTCGTTGTTAAGTTTGTTAATTTCTGCTTTCTCATTGATTATTTCTTGTCTCCTCCTTTCTTTACTTGTTCTCGTAGACAATAATTTACCTTTGAGATCACTGATATACTCTTCATTTTTCTTCTTTTCTCGTTGTAATTGTTCAACTTTACCTTCAATTTCATCATAAAGACGTTGTTTTTCATTCTTTTCAACTTGTAATCGTTTCCTTTCATCTAATGACACCACTAAAGCTTCGTTTAAAGGTCGTTTATTATTCTCAAAATCTTTCAACTTGGCTTCAGCATCTTCTTTCTGTTTCTTCAATTCCCTCCTTCGTATTTTTTCATCTTCCCATACAGCATAGGGTAAAATATGTTTATGTAATTCCACCTCGTTCCTTTTCTCGTTGAATTGATTTAAAGCTTGAACAGCTTCATTCAACTTCTCTTTTTCTTGTTGAAGAGTCTCCAATCTACTATTATAAGTTTCCAATTGCTGAATCACGGAATCCCTTTTATCTTCTAGTTTGATCAAATCTTCATGCATCAAGTATAAGTTCCCTGATTTCAAGGTTCTTTCAGTCTCTACAAGAAGTTTCTCTGGAGATAACCCAGCGAACTCTGCTACTCTCTCTTGTGGTAAGAAATGACACAAATTATCTAATTGAATATTCAAACTCTTAACTTTGCTTATAACTTCCTTTTCTGATGTAGACCTACCATTTAACTTCCATTTACTTGACTTCTCGGTGAACGTCCTTTCTATGATGACTTCTCTATCACCAATATCAGCCACTACTAGCTCGATGGTACTTTCAGTAGTACCCGTTTTAATCATAGATTTCATGGTTTTCCTCTTAATCAATTCTAACTTTCCTCCCAACCCTAGACATATGGCCGCTACTAAAGTACTTTTCCCTGTACCATTAGGACCAATGATCATATTCAAAGATGGTGAAAGTTTGAACTCCCCATGGCTATAAGTGGTGAAATTCTTGATAGTGACGGTCTTAATACTTCCTGGCTGGAAATCAAGCTTAAGACGCTTACTCATTTGATCTCTATAGAACGCGCGCTGGGATTTTTATTTGTTTACGTTAGATCAAGATGGTATGTCCAAATAGCCAATACTTCCATCCATAGTGACCTAGGGTCGCCATAGTGGTTATAGATGGCGTCTATGGTTAATAAATGGTGTGAAAATCAATAATACTAACATATTAGTCACAAAATTCTAAAACTTACAAAGATGCTTTTGCCCTTTTCGATAAAAAAGGTACCGGTAAAATTCCAGTTGAACACTTGGGAGATTTATTAAGAGCTGTTGGACAAAACCCAACCTTATCTGAAATCAATGACTTACAAAATGGTATTTCAGGTAACGATTTTGATTTTGAAACTTACCAAAAGATAATTGAAAGACCTGATGGTTTCAAACCTTTGGGATTACCAGAAGATTATATCAAAGGATTCCAAGTATTTGATAAAGAAGGAACCGGTTACATTGGTGTTGGAGAATTGAGATATATTTTAACCTCCATTGGTGAAAAATTAAATGATTCAGAGGTTGATGAATTATTAAAAGGTGTCAATGTTACTAAAGATGGTAATGTTGATTATGTGGAATTTGTCAAATCCATTTTAGATCAATAGTTTATATACCCATTTGTGTTACTCTATCTCTTTGTACCCTCTTGAGTCCTGGGTCGACATCATTCCAGGTGGTGACGTCGTCGGCTGTGACTAGACGAGATCCAGTGCGATATGAAACAAAATCGAGATGGCTTCAGGTGTGGAAATCACCAATATCGATGAAACGATCGATTTCAGGAAAAACGAACGATTCCATTTGTACCCAGATGAAAGACTCAAGGTAATATCCATACTATCAGGATCAGTGGGGGTATTATCAGGATTTTATGAAGGAATTAAAATTCAATCTTTAAGATACTTAACAGAAAATAGTCACAGATTACCACGTAATGTAGGTGGTTGGTACTTTTATCATAAGAAGAAGAATTATGTCATGATAACTCATGGTTTGAAGACAGGTTTCAGACATGGGATCAAATATAGTGGTTTAGTTACTGGGTTCTTTGGTTTAGAGTATCTCGGTGATTATTTGAGAGGTATCGATTTCTTGAACACCACCATATCTTCAACTATCTTTTTCACTGGGTATGGTGTTTATAAGAGATTAAGTAGAGTCCAGGTCATGAATTTCGGTGGAAGAGGATTGATTTTTGGTACTTTATTGGGCTTGGGTCAAGATTTAATGAGATATAATAGAGGTGGTGATGTTTGGTACTTGCAAAAACCTTTGTAAAGGTACGTTCTTGTATATAAATAAATATAAATAATCTTAGGTTCTACTCTTTTGGCCCGACCATTGACTTCGTCGTCACTACTCTTCATCATCACTATATAAATCCATAGAATACTTCAAGATAACAGCTATCCCGGTAAGTTGGTCTAATTGGTTTCCTGAATCATGTAAACTGGAGAATATATATACTTCACCACCTTGTTGTTTGACCTGTTCAACCAACAGAATGAAATGTTTACGTAACTCTATATCATTATTTCTGAACAACGTATCAGTGATCAATAATTGTTTAACAGCACCTTCTTGAATGGCCCTTTCACATTCTTTAGGTCCATACCAAGCAGTTTCGTCGTCATCATTCAAGAGCTTTTGGAATTTCTCGAAAATTATCACTTCTTGAGCAAACTGAGTGTCGGCCAAATTCTTCCTTATATTTTCATCTTTCAATACCTCTTCTAACCCTTGTAAATAACCAGTTGAACAATTTGCAGTGACAAATTTGGAAATGTTCTTAAAGATGGTTTTATCATCGTTCTTTTGAGCAAAACCTTTGATCTCTGATAATAAGTTGGATGATAAAAACCCTGGAGATGCTAAAATAATGACTTTCAAATTATCCAAATTGAAGTTTCTCATCATAGTTGATATTATCAAATCATAGAATTTGACTAATCCCTTATCATGAGATGAATTGTCACCTCTTCTCTTCTTAGGTATGGATTTCTCGATCTTATTTCTTAACACTGTCAAGTTATCAGTAACAAGACACAAATGAGCCACTCCTTCTTCAAAAACTATAGCTCCTATTTCTGCTTTGGATTCAATGGAACAACTCTTTACCACTATATCGTAATTAATTTCATCCCATTCTGTCTTGATGACAGTAATCGATTTATTGAGTTGGATTTCAGCTGTGTGGTAACTTTGAATAGGAACAAACTCATTGGCAACGGTGGTTTTACCTCTTATTCTCATAACTTCATCCTCAGGAGCATAATCAATGTCTTCAACGTTAATAGTTAATACAACATTTTTTCTCTCTTGCTTTGAAGCACCCTTAGTAGCATTCTTTGCTACGTTTCTGGTGGTTTGTAATTTGATTTCATCATTTTTTTGGATTAGGTTGTACAATTGCCAAAGATCTTCTTTATCTTGAGGCATCAAAGTGGTGAACCCACTTGAATTCTTATCGAAGGATTGTTTGATCAACTTCATGATGTGGTGCGAAGAGTAAAAGTAAGGTTTTGGCTTGAAGAGTCACAGTCTAGCACGATGCTCTAGTGCGACCTGGACCCCCACGCAACCCTCGCCATATACCGTCCCCATACACTATAAGAGACTAAACAAACACTAATTAATATTATAACTATATTGACTATCTACCACTATTTAACATCAGCTTTAACAATGGTGGAGTTCTTACAGAAATCACCATTAGCATTAACCAAGAATTTAGGTTCTTTACCTTCTTCAGTATAAGTAACTTTGAATTCTTCAGTAGTAGAGAATAAAGGTTGAACAGTTTCGAAAATTTTCTTCTTTGGATTTAATTGTTTTTCTGGTTCACCGTTGAAATCTTGGAAGAATAATTTATCACCTGGTTTAGATCCTTGAGGTGGTTCAACGAATTCAACTTTACCTTCAGTTGATGCACATAAAACCATACCAGCAGATTTGATACCTCTCATAGCAACAGGTTTTAAGTTAGCAACAATAACAACGTATCTTTCTTGCATGTTTTCCAAAGGAATGTAATTTACTAAACCAGAACAGATAGTTCTTGGTTCTTCTTCACCAACATCAATAGTTGAAACATATAAAGAATCAGCATTTGGATGTTTAACGGCTTTTTGGATGAACCCAACTTTGAAATCAATCATTGAAGGGTTTGGAGGTTGTTGAGCTGCCTTTTCAGCAGCGGCCTTATCAGCATTAGCTTTAGCTTTAGCGGCTTTAGCAGCTTTTTTGGCTTCGGCTCTAGCTTTCTTTTCTTCTTCACTTGGTTCTTTGTTATTTTTTTCTTTAGCTGGAGCTTCTGATTTGGTTTCCTTCTTAGCTGGAGCAGCTTCTTTAGTTGATTTACCTTCTTGTTTGGCATCCTTTTTCTTTTCTTTAACTTCCCTTGGTAATTCAACTGAAGGAATAGTGAATTTATCATCATCATTAGTTAAATTTTGGATTAAATCTCCCCATCTGATGGTGTGTCTGTTGTCACCAATGACTTTAACATCATTAGAATCTACCCATTTCTTGATTTCTGGTTTGACGGTTTTGAATACTTCCAAATCTACATCATCTAACTCGTTCCCTAAGATATAAGTTTTAGATCTCAAGTTATTGTTAAGAATAACGAAATTCTCAGCTTCAGATCTTTTGAATAAGGTTGTGAATTGTGATTTTAAAGCGGCTTGTTCATTAGATAATTTTATACTATTAACTAACATTTTAGCTATGGAAAACTTTTTCATTTGAGAAATCAAAATCCTTGTCACCTGATCTTCGCACTGATTGTGATGAGACCAAGTTGAGAAAACTGTAAGAGAGAAGTAAAGGCCTGGTATTGACTGTACTACGTCATTGGGAATTGGCCAGAGATCTATGATTCTAGTGTTCGGAGGGATTCAGGAATATTTTCCGTTGTTTCGTATCCGTTACATAATCGTGTGGGTATTAGTGATAAATTGTATGCACACTAACTTGTGAAATATACCCATCCGCCCGTCAGGGAGTTAAAGGATTTACCATTCTACAAATACTTCTCCTTCTGATAAGTTTTAAGTTAGTTTTTTGTGAACAAATATACAAGGGTATTGATCCCAATCTAAACGCATATGTTCCGACCCAAGCAGGGTACCTGATGTAGTGATAATCGATGTAATGGCTCTACGGATAGCAATTATCACCCGAGAGAATTTACGTAAACACGAAGGTGGCATTAATAAAAAAACGGAGCATCGGCCAGTCTCATTTTACCGTGTTCCATCGTTTAAATCCTTAGAATAGCCTCCATGTCGTCTAAATGTCGTGATGCGGACCTCTGCGGAAAGTAATTTGCTTACCGTACCCGTCCGGAAACTTTTTTACCTCCCGAAACACCATAGATTTTTCCGAAAATTCATGTTCTCAACCTTCCGGAACTTTTTTTTGTTGATAACAAGCCTTTCTGGTTATGATACTTGACAGAAATGTCGTAACCAGGATGTTTTCCTTTCACCAGTTCCGTATAATATTACTAATAATACACATATAATAACATCTGAACATCCGGAATTTTCACAATTTTATAGTTTGTTGGGAATAATGGACGTTGAAAAAATTCCAAAAGCTGATAATCCAGATATCGATGATACTGTTGATGGTTCAGATGAATCAATTGAACAGTACGATGGATTTACCAAAGCTACCAATGACCAAATTCAAAACTTGGCCAGAACTTTAAGTCACCAATCATTTCATTCTTCCCAAATTGAAGATTCCAATGAATTGATTAAATACTTATCTCATATGTCTCAAGTTCCAGGTATTGAAACTTTCCACGATGGCATCGATGACAGATTAAATCCAGATTCCGATAGTTTTGATGCTAAATTTTGGGTGAAAAATTTAAGAAAATTAAGAGATTCTGATGAAGATTATTATAAACATAACAAATTAGGTATTGGTTATAAGAATTTAGTTGCTTCTGGTATTGCTACTGATTCAGATTATTTATCAACTGTTTCCAATGGTGTATGGAAATTCATGAAAGATAATTATAATAACTTTTTCAATGATAAACCTGAAAGATATTTCGATATTTTGAAAAGTATGGATGGTTTAATGTTACCTGGAGAAGTCACTGTGGTTTTAGGTAGACCAGGTAGTGGTTGTTCTACATTATTGAAAACTATTGCCTCTCAAACTTATGGTTTTAAAGTTAGTCCTGAAAGTCAAATTTCTTATGATGGTTTATCTCCTTCAGATATTAAAAATAACCATAGAGGTGATGTTATTTATTCAGCAGAAACTGATATTCACTTCCCAAATTTAATGGTTGGTGATACTTTAGAATTTGCTGCTAGAATGAGAACCCCTCAAAATAGAGGTAATGTTGATAGAGAAACTTATGCTAAACATTTAGCTGCTGTTTATATGGCCATGTATGGTTTATCTCATACCAGATACACTAAGGTTGGTAATGATTTCATCAGAGGTGTTTCTGGGGGTGAAAGAAAGAGAGTTTCAATTGCTGAAGCTTCATTATCTGGAGCCAATTTACAATGTTGGGATAATGCTACTAGAGGTTTAGATGCCGCTACTGCTTTGGAATTCATTAGAGCCTTAAAGACTTCCGCTGCTGTTATGGATACTACTCCTTTAATTGCTATTTATCAATGTTCTCAAGATGCTTATGATTTATTTGATAATGTGGTTTTATTATATGAAGGTTATCAAATTTTCTTTGGTAAAGCTAAAGAAGCTAAACAATTCTTCTTAGATATGGGTTATGATTGTCCTGCTAGACAAACTACTGCTGATTTCTTAACTTCTATTACCAATCCAGCTGAAAGAATTGTCAGACCAGGATTTGAAAATAGAGTTCCAAGAACTTCAAAAGAATTCGAAACTTATTGGAAAAATTCTCCTGAATATCAAACTTTACTTACAAAGATTGATGATTATTTCTCCCATTGTCATGATAACGATACTAAAGCTAAATATTTAGAAAGTCATGTTGCTAAACAATCTAACCACGTTAGACCTTCATCTCCTTACACTGTTTCATTCTGGATGCAAATCAGATATGTATCTCATAGAAATTTCTTAAGAATGAAGAGTGATCCTTCAATTACATTGTTTTCTGTGTTATCCCAAGTTATTATGGCCCTTATTGTTTCATCCTTCTTCTACAATATGCAACCAACTACTGACACTTTCTATAAAAGAGGTGTTTCCATGTTCACTGCTTGTTTCTTTAATGCTTTTGCTTCATTATTGGAAATTATGACTCTTTTCGAAGCTAGACCTATTGTTGAAAAGCATAAACAATATGCTTTGTATAGACCTAGTGCCGATGGGTTGGCATCAATTGCAACAGAATTTCCTGTTAAAATTGCTATGTCTTTGGGTTTCAACTTGATTTTTTACTTCATGGTCCATTATAGACGTGAGCCTGGTAGATTCTTCTTTTACTTGTTAACTATGTTCAGTTGTACTATTTCAATGTCCCATATTTTCAGAACTATTGGTGCTACTACTAAAACTATGGCTTCAGCTATGACTTTTGCTACTGCCATTTTAATTGGTTTAGTTGTTTTCACCGGGTTCTCCATTCCAACTCCTTCTATGTTAGGTTGGTCAAGATGGATGAATTATATTGATCCTATGGGTTTCGCTTTCGAAAGTTTGTTGGTCAATGAATTCCATGGTGTTAATTATCTTTGTTCCCAATTCATTCCATCTGGTGGCGCCTACGATTCTTTACCTTTAGCTTCCAAAATTTGTTCTGTTGTTGGAGCTGTACAAGGTGAAGAATATGTTAGTGGTGATGAATATCTTAGATTAAGTTACCGTTATTCTAACGACCATAAGTGGAGAAATTGGGGTATCATGATTGGTTTCGTTGTTTTCTTCCTTATTGTTTACTTGGTAATTATTGAATTCAACAAAGGTGCAATGCAAAAGGGGGAAATCGTCTTATTCTTGAAATCAGCTTTGAAAAACCAAAAGAAACAAGCTGTTGATACTAATGATGAAGAAAACCAACTTACCAATGAAAAGATCAATATGGATGATCAATATGAATCATCCAGTGGTTCAGTTAAGAAAATGGAAAATAGTAACATCTTCCATTGGAAAGATTTAACTTATCAAGTTAAAGTCAAGAGTGAAGATAGAATTTTATTGAATCATGTTGATGGTTGGGTTAAACCAGGTCAATTAACAGCTTTGATGGGCTCATCAGGTGCTGGTAAAACTACCTTATTGAACACATTGTCTGAAAGATTAACTGTTGGGGTTATTTCCGAAGGTAACAGAATGGTTAATGGACATCCATTAGATTCATCTTTCCAAAGAACTATTGGTTACGCTCAACAACAAGATGTTCATTTACCAACATCTACTGTCAGAGAAGCTTTGAGATTCTCAGCTTACTTAAGACAACCTGCTAATGTTTCTATCAAAGAAAAGGAAGAATATGTCGAATATGTTATTGATTTATTGGAAATGTCTGCTTATGCTGATGCTGTTGTTGGTGTTGCTGGTGAAGGTCTTAATGTTGAACAACGTAAACGTTTAACCATTGGGGTTGAATTAGCTGCTAAACCAAAATTATTGTTATTCTTAGATGAACCTACTTCAGGTTTAGATTCCCAAACTGCTTGGTCTATTTGTAAATTGATGAGAAAATTGGCTGATCATGGTCAAGCTATTTTATGTACTATCCATCAACCTTCAGCTATTTTATTACAAGAATTCGATAGATTATTATTCTTACAAAAAGGTGGTCAAACTGTTTATTTTGGTGATTTAGGTGAAAATTGTTCTACTTTAATCAAATATTTTGAACGTAATGGTTCAGATCCTTGTCCTCCAGAAGCTAATCCAGCTGAATGGATGTTACATGTTGTTGGTGCTGCTCCAGGTTCTCATGCTAAACAAGACTATTTCGAAGTTTGGAGAAATTCTCCTGAATATGAAGCTGTCCAAAAAGAATTAGACTATTTCGAAACTGAATTAGTCAAATTACCAAGAGATATCGCTCCTGATGCCCATAAAACTTATGCTACTCCAATTTATAAACAATATCTCCCAGTTACTTGGAGAATCATTGTTAGTTTCTGGAGAACTCCAAGTTATATCTATTCCAAGATTTTCTTAACTGTTTCCTCAAGTTTGTATATTGGATTTGTTTTCTTCAATGCCCATAACAATATCCAAGGTTTACAAAATCAAATGTTTGCTGTTTTCATGACTTTCGTTTCCTTATTCACTTTACTTCAACAAATTTTACCTTACTTCATTTTCCACAGAAGTATTTATGAAATCAGAGAAGCTCCTTCAAGAACTTTCTCATGGATTACTTTCATTTTGGGTATAATGTCAGCAGAAATTTTCTACCAATTTTTCATGGGTACAATTTTCTTCTTCTGTTGGTTCTATCCAGTTGGTTTCTATAAGAATATGTCATACGAAGGTAACACTAATGAAAGAGCTGCCTTGATTTGGTTGTTCGTTACTTTCAACCATGTTTTCATTTCTACTTTGAGTCATCTTGCTATGTCTTTCAATGAAGTTATGGAAAATGCTGGTAACTTAGCCATGTTCGTTTTAACTATTTGTTTCAACAATAATGGGGTTTTAGTTCAATATAACGATATTCCAGGATTTTGGAAATTCGTTTATAGAGTTAATCCTTTCACCTATATTGTTCAAGGGGTTTTAAGTGCAGGTTTAGCTAATGCTCCAGCTTACTGTGAAGAATATGAATTATTAAAATTCACCGCTCCTGATGGAGAAACTTGTGGTTCATTCATGAATGATTTCATTGGTGTTGCTGGTGGTCAATTGATGAATAATCAAACTTCCAATTGTGAATATTGTTCATACACTTCAACCAATCAATTCTTAGACAGAATTAGTGCTAGTTATTCAGAAAGATGGAGAAATTTCGGAATCTTATGTTGTTTCATTGTATTCAACTTTTTCCTTACCATCCTCTTCTATTGGTTAGCTAGAGTTCCAAAAGGAACTAGACAAAAAAAGTGAGTCTTTAAATCTTTGAGTTAATATATGTTTATTTTAGAATTTGCTGATGTCATCTCTTGTCAGAAGTCTGTAATCTCTCATTTACACTCTCTCGGCTATTATGAAAACTTGGAATCTCTGCAACAGAGAAATTGAAGACAGACAACCAAAAACTATCAAACTTTTAACTTCCTCTCTGGTCCGATCTGAGGTCAAATGATTTCTGGGGATTTTTATCAGTGCGGATTGGTTACAATCAAAAGTCCGAATGAGTGAAGATAAACCTAAACGGAAGAAGACGTCTCGTGCTTGTAGTCATTGTCAGAAAAGTCATATGACATGTGATTCTAATCGTCCATGTAAACGTTGTGTATCTAGAGGATTGTCCAGTAGTTGTGAGGATGCACCTAGGAAAAGAAGGAAATATTTAGCTGACGTCCCAATTGATGCCTTGAGTAGACCTTTATATCGATCTAGAAGTAATGAAGTCCCTGAGAGTATTAAAAGTGAAGTTGTAGAAAGAAGCAACACCACATCTTACCTAAACAGCATGAGTAATAACAATTTAGGTAACGGTGTAAACAATGATAATATGGTTAGCAGTATCAATCATAATGGTGATGATTTAATGAAAAGGAGATCGAAGTTCTTGTCTTCGGCGGCAGATTTGGAATATTCAACGTTATCTAATATAATATCGGAGAATTTCCTTAATCAATCCACCCTGAATGAACATACACCCAATTCATTGACATTGTCACCAGCTTTATCACCTCATATTGCACAACAAACATCACCTAATACTGCTATCAATGATGCCTTTTTGATGACACAAGCCCAAAATCGTCCTGACTTCCATACTTATGATACTTCGGTTAGTTTATACGATAGGAAACCCAAATACGATGAAATTATCAATCAGTATTATTTGGGTCCTGATAATGATAGAATGATATTATATCCTGACATTATGGAACAGATAGAAACCCTACAGAAAGAGAATCCTACCAAATTCTATCAACGTCAAAAACAGTCGGAGATTAGTTTTACTATGGGAATCTTACCTGAAGATTCTTACATAACCAGAATCTCTGAGTTCAAAAATGATTTGAAACACTATTTCAAAGAACCAGAAGATATCTATGAAAAGGTGAAAACCCCTTATAGTTATACACCAGGATATCATTCATTGATTGCATATTTAAGAAAAAGATTCAATAAGGAAATGTTAGTAAAGATGGCAGAAACTATGGCCTCTTACCGTCCGTCTTTCATTGCCTGTACGAATTCTTTGAAAGAGCATGATCTTATATTTATGGAACAATGTTTCCAAAGAACCTTATTAACTTATGACAACATCATCAAGATTAGTGGTACCCCTACAATAGTTTGGAGAAGAACAGGAGAAATAGCTTATGTGGGAAATGAATTCTGTATACTCACAGGCTGGACCAAAGAGGAATTATTACTGCATCGAAAGACTTTCATAGTTGAACTACTTGATGATAAATCAGTGCTTGAATACTTTCAGTTATTCCTGAAGATAGCTTTTGGTGATTTTTTCGGTGCTACTATGAGTGAATGTACTTTAATAACGAGGAAACTGATGAAAATCAAAACAAGATGTTCTTGGACTTTGAAAAGAGATGTTTTCGGTATTCCCATGATGATTATAGGTAATTTCTTACCTATTGTGTAGTATGTAAATAGTAATAGACTTAGATGGTAAAACTCCGCACCTAACGATCCGCACAATTTAACCATGCCCTTAACAGCTACTTTAGTCACGGCTGTGTCCATCATATGTCTTGGTCCCCTTCAATTCGGGTACCACATGTCAGAACTCAATTCTCCAGAACAAGTATTATCTTGTAGATTGCTGAAACCTGGTGAAATCCCTTATGAGGACTCATTTTTCGGATCAAAAGGTTTACCCCAATGTATTCCTTTGACCACCGAACAGATAGGTTTTGTGACATCTGTGTTCAGTATTGGAGGTTTAATTGGATCATTTTACATTGGAAGAGTTGGTGATGTGTTTGGAAGGAAAAAAGCGTCCATGCTTTATTGTTTGGTCTATTTTATTGGGTCTATTTTGAATGGGTTATCAGTGAATTTCGTCACCATGGTAATTGGAAGATTCATTGCTGGGTTGGGAGCTGGTTCAGCTTTAGTTATAACTCCAATCTTCATCAATGAAATTGCTCCTCCTGATGTTATGGGTTTCTTGGGTTCAATGAATCAAGTTTCTGTCAATGTTGGAATTCTCTATACTCAATTATTGGGATTAGTATGGAGTAATAACAACGATTGGCGTTGGTTATTATTGATGGGTGGTTTTATTGCTCTAGTGGATTTAGTTCTTTTGTACTTCTATACTGATGAAAGTCCTAGATGGCTTTATAGTAATGGTCAAAGTTCCAGAGCATTCACTACTCTCCATCACTTGAGGGGTGGAGATTATTCCATTGCAAGGTCAGAAGTGAACAATTGGGGTAGTACGGGTAATAACGAAGAAGAGGGTGAAAGCTTGTTAGGTAATAATCAAAGACAAGCATCAGTAAACTTAGAAACTTATCTCAGATCACCAGAATTCAACAATAGTAAAATAGTTGCTACAGGGATTTTGATTTTACAACAATTCTGTGGGATCAATTCCATTATCTTCTATGGAGTTTCAGTTTTAGTGTCTATCTTCCCAGACTTGGCCATAATGATTAATTGCATGATATCTTTAGTCAATGTTGTCGTAACATATATTGCAGCTAATTTAGTAGATAAATTGGGAAGAAAACCATTATTATTGACCTCGGTTTCAATCATGGGTGTATCTACAGTCTTAATGGCTTTTGGAATTATCTTCCTGAATTCCATTTCAATCATTGTAGGTACATTCACATACATTACATTTTTTGCTATCGGATTGGGACCAATTCCTTTCTTCATTGTGTCAGAGGTTACCCAACCAGCTGCTAAAGCATCAGCTCAAAGTTGGGGGATTGCTATGAACTGGACTGCCACTTTTATTGTTGGTTTCTTATTCCCAATTTTGAAGAATTCATGGATTGGTGGTGGAGTATATTTCATCTTCACCATTATGTGTGTGTTTACCTTTGGCTTTATCAAAGCAAAAATCCCCGAAACCAAAGGTGCCACAAGTTATGAACAGGTTTGGAATATTTGAACTACTCGTGTATACAGGTATACATGAGACAATCAGAATATGGGGAGGATCTTTATGTAGGTCAATATATTTAGAGATAGAAAACTAGGGCTTTCTCACGTGCTCACATTTAGGGCTTTTCATTTTGACTGTTCTTGTCCTCAAAATTCATGGGTTTCGCACTACTGAAAATTGAGACTGAAAAAACCTTTACCTAAAACTCTCACTGAAAATATTTTCATAGACAAGAATGCCTACTAGATTAACTAAAACTAGAAAACACAGAGGACACGTTTCAGGTATGTTATAATCACCACCATCAGACTAATCATATTGTTATTATTGAACAAATACAAAGAGCCAGGATTCACAAGATTCAATAAATATCGAAATCCATCAATTTGAAGTAAGAGATGACATATCACCATTTTGAAGAAAGAAGTAATGAAAAGAGAGCACAATCAATGAAGAATTCATCGATTCAATGGAATGCATGTTTTGCCATTCTGTTAGTTAGAATATTTCCCAGTTTATAGTAACTATTCGTGATTAGAAAGATTTTTCAAAACTCATTATACTAACAAATTATAGCCGGTTACGGTAGAATTGGTAAACATAGAAAACATTCTGGTGGTAGAGGTATGGCCGGTGGTCAACATCACCACAGAACCAACTTAGATAAATACCATCCAGGTTATTTCGGTAAAGTTGGTATGAGATACTTCCACAAACAACAAAACCACTTCTGGAGACCAGAAATCAACTTAGACAAATTATGGACTTTAGTTGATTCTGATAAAAAAGATGAATACTTAAAAAACGCTTCAGCTTCAGCTGCTCCAGTTATCGATACTTTAGCTCACGGTTACGGTAAAGTTTTAGGTAAAGGTAGATTACCTCAAGTTCCAGTTATTGTCAAAGCTAGATTTGTTTCCAAATTAGCTGAAGAAAAAATTAGAGCTGCTGGTGGTGTTGTTGAATTAGTCGCTTAAGTTTAATTACGATAAATGTATCTATAATCGTCATAACCTTTTCTCTTCTCTATTCATCTCTCATAAAAAATTTCCAACATTGCAAAATGACTCCTGGCGGTAGAGATGGCCCTAAAATATGGCACCATTTGGGGGCCATTTGGTTCCAAGAAAATTGAGTTTGCCACGCTCATCTCATATTACCTGATTAGTCTTGATGTTTACATAATGTTGGGATTGATAGTAAAAAGAAGATTATTCAACACCACTACAACCAAGATGACTAAATTATGGATGCCACAGGATAATGTACCTGAAAGAGTACAGAAGTTATTGACTCCAAACCAACCAACTAAGGTTAACTATATCTTATCTTTTATTCAAATTGTTAGATTATTAAAGACACAGAAACGTACGGGATGGGTTGATTGTAAAATACCTCCCCATCAAGTAGAAAGTATTTCTGATCACATGTACCGTATGTCTATAATTGCAATGTGTATTCCCAACAGTGACAAGAAAATAAATATCGATAAATGTGTTAAAATAGCTGTGATCCACGATATAGCAGAAAGTTTGGTTGGTGATATTACCCCTTTTGAAGGGGTTCCTAAATCAGAAAAACACCGTAGAGAATTAGAAACTATGAAATATTTATCAAGTATCATTGAACCTTATAATAAAGAATTTAGCGAAGAAATCATGGAATTATGGCTCGATTATGAAGAAATCAGATGTTTGGAAGCCAGATATGTCAAAGATATTGATAAGTTAGAAATGATTCAACAAGCTTGGGATTATGAACAAGATTTTGGTATTAAGTATGATCTTAATCAATTTTATGAATCAAGAAGTGCTATCAAAACCAAAGAAATACAAGAAATTTGTGATGAATTGATCAACCAAAGAAATGCATTCATCGAACAAAAGAAAGAAGAAAGTTCTTAGTTGTAGTTACGAAACCCTTAATAGATTATTTATACAAAATTCTTCGTAAACCGTTCCATGGCTCGAAATCTCTGGTAAATGTCATAAAGGATTGACTTCCTTATTAGGACTTCCTCAATCACCTAAACTGGTAGTGGAAACTTAAACTTATCTAATTATTGTACATTATAAATAACACTATTTACTATCAATTTTGATTAAAATCATAGTCTAAATTTTTGCCCATTGAAGCATCAATAAGATCAGAAATGTTATCAAAATTGAAACTTTCTCTTCTATTTTCATCTTGACCCATCATGTATGGAGGTAGCATTTTACCAAAAACTTCTGCGTCCAATTTATCCATTACCCCAGGTAAATATTGTTGATTTTGATCATCTGAACTATTTGACACTTCTGAAATGGATCTGATATTTGGACTCTCAAGCTTGAAATTGGTTGCGTTGGCCAATTGACTGGTTTGTGGGATGGTTGGTTGATTAGTTGTATTAGCTTGATTTGGGGGCATAGTGAATGAAGTCAAAGGATCCACATTAAAGTTCCCACCATAATTATCCGATTGAGTTGATCTTAATGGATAAGCATTGTACAGATCAAGTGCTGGATTAGTATTTTCGGTTTGATTCAAATGGTTTTGACTTTGACTCAAATTCAATTGTTTAATCTCATTCGAGAAATCTTGGGAAAACAATGAATTTGACTCTTGTAATGAAATGTCATTACTGCTGTTGTTACTATTGAATTGATCATTGAATTTGTTAATGATCTCAAAATTTGACACTGTTGATTTGATTTGTGAAGTGTTGAGATTACTTCTAGGAGTATTTTCCAACAAGTCAGAAATTCCTTTAGATGTAATAGCAGTTCTTCTGTTCAATTGTTCGAACAAGTTGTTTAAAATGTTGTAAATTCTCATAGATGAATGAGAATCTCCTTTCAAATTATCCAAAACTTTTTGACCAATCTCAATATCATGTTTAATCATGTCAATATTCAAATCATCATCAAATAATACTCCAGCATAGTTAGATCCACTGGTCATTTCAGCAGAATTGTTCACAAAATGATAATAATAAATCAAACAGGCTATCAGGAAGAAAATAGTATACATGGAAAACCAATAAGTTCCTGCCAATAAATTTTGATCTATCATTTTATTGGCCAACTTGACTACCAATCTAGCAACTTTGATACAATTTCTACCTCTGATCAAAGATCTTGGATCCGGTGCTCTTTCTTCATTACCATGACTAATGAAATGAATAAACGGTCTGTATAACATAATTTGACAATTTAAGAAAGCTAAATGTAAATAGTAATTAGCCAATATGAATTTCTCTGAAGAACTCTTGGCTATTTGATTGAAATTATTTGGGTCAGAAGGTTTTAATTCTTTTGGTAATTGATCTAACCAATTCTTCAATTCCAATTCAAGAGCACTAACTTTTTTATGCATATGATCCGGAGTTTGTCTTGTGTCGGGATTTTTCAGTTTTATGGGGTACAAATCTCTGACAATATGTGACATTACAAACATCAACTTAGTATGATGATTAGCACATCCTGCAGATGATAGTTTACCCTTTTGTGCTTCATGGTTATAACTTGTTCTAGTAATATTCTCATCATCCAAATCTTCAGGTAAAGTTTGATCAAATTCATCTTCACTTAAAGATTTTGGTAATCCCAAAAGTGAGTTGATGTAAACATCCATCTTATAAATAGTATAGAACAATCTTTTTCTTGTGTCAATTTCAATCGGATTTAATTTCCTCTTAGTATCTTGGAATACTGATAAATTACGATGTAAACCTTCTTTTAAAGCACTTCTCAATCCAATACCAATATAACTATAACATGTTGATAATCTTGCTGAACACTGCAAGTAAAGGATCATCATTACAATCGTCTGAATAGAGATAATATCCCCCACATCGGTAATATCGATCAATTTCCTTGCTTCTAAAAAATATTTGTATCCATCATCTTTTAAGATCTCATTGTCAGTGGCATTATCTAAACTTCTAGAAAATAATGAACCTACTGCAAGGACGGAATAAAAAAATGGTAAAAATTTCTGTTGTCTATCAGTGTAATGTAAGGGATCCAAACTATAAAGTAAATCAACTTCATCCAACAATGAAGGACGATGATAAAATCTGAACAAAACACATGCTTTATCCCAACAAGAATGTATTAGTTGTAAAGCAATATCTTTGGTTGGTAAATCAACTTTGATCTCTCTGCCAATCATATTTTCATCACTAGTGGTAGAATCAATACCTTTTGGAGAAATTGGACTATTTTGGAAATTCGAACCATCTAAATAATTATCCATTAACTCACCAATGTTAATATTATTACTGGAGTATTTGTTCTGTAAATAACTTATCTTCTTCTGGAATTTTTCGAAATCGAAATTCATTGGCTGATCATCTAATACATTGACTTTCAATTTCGGAAACAACATATCCATGATATTTTGAAACATAATCAAGTTGTTGGCATTCTTGTTAGTATCTGTTGACGTTATTTGGGAATTTTTGGCAATAATAACTCTTGGATATGACGGTTGGGGTATACCGCTATTTTTCTTATTTCTAATATTAGGTTGATCATATGTACAACTATAAGAATAAACCGTACAATGTATACAAGGTTGTTTCCCATCACATTTGACTTTCTTTTGCCGACAGGTGTCGCAAGCTCTAGTGACTCTCCTCCGTTTAGGCTCTAACTTATCTTTATTCATTTTGTTGAGTCACTTTATAATGAAATCTTGCTCCGGAAAAGACTGTGAAGTAAAAAATTTATCTCAAAATTGACTTTATTAACTCAAAACTCTAATTGTATTCAAAGAGAATTACAAACGTTCTAGAAGAATTGATTTTTCTATATCAATGGTTAATCCTTTGTACTGAATTTTAGATAAAGCCCTTTGATTTCTTTTGGAAGATGCGCGAGTAGTAGGGGTAAGCCGGTTATATATGTCCCCAGATTAGTAACTAGTCTGATGATGATTTTTTATTTTTATTTCACCTGTCATGAATTATCATATACGATGACAGGTATAAGAGGTTAATAATAGATAGATTTCCAGCCGTCGTAAAATACGACACAATGCTTAATAAAATCATACGATTGTTAAATGCTATAGAGTGGGACTCAAGTTCCGGTCGTTATATTATTTATACAAGAGTATTATTTCGTAGTTATTCGGTTTAAATCTTTAAAGGCTTCTCCAACAAATGACCCATTCTTTCAATTTTGGTTCTCAAATATCCTTCAACTTCTTTGGATTGAATACCTTCTTTTGATCTCCAAGCTAAAGGTACCATTGGAATACGTTCAATTACTTTTATTACTTGATGTTTACCTTCCACGGCTATAATTTTATCGGGGTTATTAGTTAATAATTGGATTTCCAATAAATTTAAATCATCTAAAATAGCTGTTGCTAATGAAAATGATCTACCATCAGCTGGATGTCTTAATAACAAGTTTGCTTGAACAGTGTCAGCACCCAAATCTTGTAAATTATAAGCTTTCAACTTTTCTCCTAATCCGATACCTCTACCTTCTTGTCTTAAGTATACCATACATCCATGACCATTTTCTCCCATTAATCTTCCAGCTTCATCAAATTGTTCTCCACAATCACATCTGGCACTCCATGCTGTTTCTCCAGTATAACATTCACTATGAATTCTTACTAATGTTGGTTCGGTGTGGCTTGTATCTCTTTCATAGATTAATTCTCCATTGGAATTGAATTTTAATCTCAAGTTGAGTTGAGAATCATAATCAGCTTCTGTTCTTCCAGGAAATAATTTCCCAATATATGCACCTCTGGTCATTCTATCTTGTTGAGTTTCTCCTTCTCTCTTCTTATATAAAGTTTTAGATCTTATGTCTTCACCAAATACTATGGCCAAATGTTCTTTATTATCGATATTATTCTCATATAAATGCAAGAAAATTTCCGGTCCATTGGTGGTAGGAATTCTTGCTCTAGCAATACAATTCACTATAGGTAATTTATCTGGTAAAGGTAAATTTTGTCTTTCTTTCTCCGAAATATTGGGGATCATAGGTTCTTCATTAAGAATCGATGGGGTTAATGATGGTGATAAAACTGTCATGTTGTCGAAATTTATAATTCTATCCTTAATGACTTTCTTGTCTACAGTCGCTATGTTATTTTCGTTTATGGTATGGTTATTTCCTACCTTTGAAATATCTTCGGCTTGTGAATTCATGGCCGTTTTATAAGTGTGAGAAAATTAGTCAGATTATAAATTCTCACTGTGTGATTTATAATGCTTATTCATAGACTTTCAAAAGTTTCATAAACAGGGGGAAATGTTGACAGATCTGTATTTCTGGAGATTCAAACGTGCAATGGTTGAAAACTATATAGTTTAAAATCAAAACTCTATTGGCTGCAAGTTAAAATCGTTCGAATCGGTGATTATGGTAGAGATCAAGTTCGGATTTATCGAAATTTGACCTGTTTGGAGCATCACTTCGGTTATTAATAATCTCCCTCTAATGATCTATTCCGGTCAGTTTATAGTTTGGATATTGTAGATTCAAATTCCCCCGAAACTTATGACATTTCTTCTGTTTCTAAAAATCTTCACGTGATTGTATACTTAGATAATCTGTCCAAAATATTGCGATGAGATTATGAATATCGATAGAAGAAGAATCATAGCTCCTGAAGGGATAACTCCCATCTACCCTAAAACTAGTTCCCAACAGTCAAAAGATGATAATGATATAAAGAAGATGTTCATCAAAACAGGGCTCATCAATAATGCCAATGGTTCATCATATATGGAAATAGACAATAATATTATCGAAGTTTCAGTATTCGGACCTCGACCTATCAGAGGTTCATTCATTGATCAAGCCCTGGTTTCGGTTGAATGCAAGTTCTTACCTCATATTTCACAACCAAATGAAGGTATCTTTAATGAAAATGATGGAAAAAAACATGGATTGACAAATATCGAACAAAAAATATCTTCTTATGTTGAAACCGCCATCTTACCATCGATTCTTTTGAAGAAATATCCCAAATCAACCATCGACTTACATATCACTATCATTGAAAATAATACGTCGTTGTTAAACTTAATTGGATGGATCATTAATTGTAGTTCAATAGCTTTAGTTGATGCTGGCATAGAAATAAAAGATATAATCACAAGTGGACAAGTCAACTTGAAAACTGTCGATGGCAATGAAAGTGTTATCGTTGATCCAAATGATAATGACAATAGTCTTGAGGTATTAGTCAGTTACATGAACTTGAAAAATGATGAAATTGTTGGATTATGGATCGAAGGGTCAAATGATTTGGATAATGAAGTTTTAAATGGGTTAATCACCAAATGTAATGAAATGTCAAGAAAGATTAGAAGTAATATCAATGCTTATTTGCTTAGTCAACAATAATGAACTTAGAGTTATGTATAATATATATATATATATATAGAATTTTTTGATTTGAATTATAAACCGTCGTTTGATAATTCATCTAAAACTTTTTTCATATGAACTAATTTTGAACCTAATTTCAAGATAGTTAAATCATCATTATATAAGAAGATTTTTTCACTGATTTGAATATTGGTTGCTGATGAAATTATTTTGGATAATCTCTTGTAACTGTCTAAGAAGTTGTCAGATGTTTCGAATTTTTCGTTAATCACATCATTTACAGAATCGAAAGGTAAGAATTTATCAAAGATTTGACCTTTCAAGATCTTGGAAAATTCTAAAATGTCTTCAGTATCATTTGAAACATTGATTTTTGGAATTTTGATTTCAAATGGTTCTGATACATAAGCTACATCATGCTTTCCATCAATATGATATCTGAATTCATAAATACCTTCTTCCCAGAACAATTTCTCTTTTTGGAATGTCAAAACTCCACTGGAGTCATCTTTCACCCAAAGCCATCTGTTGTTGGAACTAATCAAAGTTTTGTAACGGCTGTATGAAGTCTGAACAACCTTGTACAACCCGATCCAATCTTTAGGGCTATGAGTTTCTGGACAATTGAATTCAACCTGGATTGGTTCTCCAATGGTGATGAACTTCAATAATTTATCATCAGAATCATCATAACTCAAATTTTTGATATTCAATTTGTAATCACTATTTTCAAAGTACAAATTTTGTGATAATTCGTAGATGTTTTGTTGAGTCAATTTGGTATTTGACTTTTTCAACTCTTTGATAAGTTGATCGATGGTATCGGTTGCAGTAGCTACGATGGATGATTTTCTTCTATGTTGTTTCAACAAATCATTTCTGCTATCATCGTGGTTGTTACTTAATCTTCTTTGGATAACATCGGGGATCAAATGCTTTTTGAAGGTTTTGGTGACACCGGAATCTTTTAAAACTTCATTTTCTCCATATAATTTAATCATGTGTAATTTTTCAATTCCGTTGATTCTAATGAAGTTGTTAGCAACCCATAATCCACATAAAACTAAGTTGTAATTGGTAGGAATCATGAAGCAAACCCCCATTATTCCACAAACTCCAAATATTTGTTCTGGGTTGTTTAAGTATCTGTAGACACCAGCTTTAGTCAAATGAGCTTTGTGAGGTAATGAAGATTTTGGAATAAAGAAATCTCCATAGAACCAACCAAAATATCCAATTGAGTCTATAATAGAACAATTAATCCATGTATGTGTGACAATGAGTAAAATACCAATGAACATTCTCAAATAGAACCAATCATTGAATAATAATTCAGGTTTTCCTTCACCTGTTAAAACATACAAAACATTTAAACCAAAGAATGAAGAATATGTTAAACTGATTAATGAGTTATAAATAATAGCAAAATTATTTAACGATTTTTCAACTGGTATATCGTTAGACAAATAATATTTGGTGAAAGACTTGAAGTTGCTTTGTAAGAATAACAAGGTATTGATGGAAAAACTCTCGAATAATTTTATGGACACAGTTAAGTAGAATAAAACAGTAAGAGAATTGATTTTGACATTGATTTGATAGCTTTTCAGTAAGAAGTTGACCAATTTGTTTTCAGTGTTGTTAAAGTTACTAATGTATAACAAAAATGGAACAAAAATCGAATAAGTGAAAATCAAAACTAGATTCATCAAATCTGAACCTCTCAAGATATTGAAATTCCATACACCAATAAGTGGTTTTGCATTATTAAAATTCTTCAAATCTTTCAATTTGATTAATTTCAAACTATCAATTTCATTAGCTGAAGGACCATAAATCTTATCAATATGAGGGTTCTCAATGAAGTGTAAGAAAATCATTTGAAGGAAGTGTCCGAAACAGGCGAAAATTAATACAGTGTAAGATTTAGCAATTAAAGCAAAACCATAGTAACCAATGTAACCCACAGAGTACATTGGATGTGGGACCATTTCAAAAACCCCATCAAAAATCAAATCTTCATTATTAATTTGACGAAAGAAGAAATCTCCCCAGTACCATGCATAATCTTTGATTGTGTTATGAGCATTGACTTTGACCCAGTAATTGAAGATAATCAAAGTGACACCAGTCACTACTCTTAAATATACCAACCAGTTGTTTTGTTGGTCAAGATTGATCGATTCATAATCATTGTCAATGAAACAAACCATGAACAAACCCACAAAATTAACAAAGTCACTCATCAAAATCAAATCAACAAATCTTCTGAAAATTAACCAAGTATTGAATTCAATAGGATATTCATCGATATCGTAAGTCTTACCCATTTGACTACCAATCTCGTACTTCAATAATCTTGAAAAGAATGATTTATTGTTCTTTTCGAAAATTTTGTTATCTCTACACCACTTAACCCATTTGTTATGTAATGATTGTTGTCTTAAGACGTAACCTATCCCAAAATCATAACTAAGTCTCCAAAAAACATAGAGCCCAATGAAGCATTTAATTCTAATCGAATTGTCGGGAATTAAAAATACCGCCCCCATATTTATGGTCAAGATACCCACAATTAACATCTCAAATAAAGACTTTTTAATGGTCGGATCAAATAATGTTTTGACCATATCATGGGTTTGAGGCACTATGAAGGTTTCCCCTGAAAAAGTGATCCCTTTAGCTCCAGTAATGGTATTGGACATATTGTGGAGTCAATTTAAATATTTACAGCAAGCAATTAAAAAAATCTATAAAAAATAGTTTCAGCTACGATAGTGTTAGGATATGAATTGTAAGAACTGTCAAAGTACCTAATTAAGTCACTTTCAACGATTAAAGTTCAACAAGTTCAAATTGACGGAATCTCTCCAGGTTTTCTAATTTATAACCCGCAAAAGAACTCAATGATAAAGCAATTATACACTTATCTAATCAATTTACTCACAGAAACCTTTCTTTTAGTTTTTGTAACTATTAATGGCTCTTCTATATCTATATTTCGCCACAAAGAATTCTGAAAAATTTTTAATAGGAGATATTTTAGATTAAAATTGATCTGAATAATGCGATTTGTTGAGTACTGCATGTAGTGAGATTTTTATCAAATGTGCTGAAAAATCGGTGCCCTCAATCGGACAATTAGCGGAGCATGACTATGCTAGGGAGTCAATCTGGAAGATAAAGAGTTCTCGAGTAACAAGATGTAACAAATAGGAACTGTCCAAAACCGATTTGAACGATGAATCTACTCAACAATAAATATATTAATCTATAAAATCAAACTAGAGAATGGTCGCGTGATAGTAAATTTGCATGTGAAAATTTAAAATCTACGGTTACCTAATGGAGCATTATTTGAACCGGTAAAACCTCTGTTACCACCACCGTAACCTCTACCACCACGGCCACCACGGCCACCACGACCACCTCTACCACCACCGTATCTTGGATGGAAACCACCTGAACGTTTATCATAAACTTGTAATTCAGGAGGAATGTTTTGTTTAGCTTCTCTCATAATTTTACATAAATCACCACCTAAAGATTTGTTACCTTCAGTGAAGAATGAAACAGCAGTACCAGTGGTACCAGCTCTACCAGTTCTACCGATTCTGTGGACATAATCTTCAATGTTACCAGGCATATCGAAATTGATAACGTATGAAATACCTTTGACATCTATAATTTGTTAGTATTGAGTTACATGATTGTTTACAATTGGTTAGGGCAATAGATATTTCCATGAGAATTATAAAGAGAGTAAAGTCCGTATATTGGAAGCATTATATCCTATGATAACTAACTTAAACTGAATATTAGTGAATACTAATTGAGCTAATATTTCAGTCCTGGCTTCAAGGTAAAAAAGTTTCTACTCAGTCTAATGTATCATAGACTGGAGAAAACTCATCTTGAATTTCAACATTATCATAATATATTCTCAATGCTTACAATATCTTCATCTCTTTAAAATCAAAAAAATTCTGGAAAAAAAAAAAGAAAAACAAAAAAAAATCAAAAATCACGCCAAATATCCTTAAATTAGGTAAAAGTTATACCATCGACTCTCCAAAAGTATTGGATTTCATTTAAGGCTTCCCATCAGAGTCAATCTGAAGTAAGTTCAATAAGAACAACTTTTCATTTTTCTAAAATCTTTATCTTTTGTCTAAAGTCCCAAGTTAGTAAAAAGGATCAAATATCTTACCAGAAGACATTTGATCGGAATTAAAATATATACATACCAATACCTCTAGCGGCAACATCAGTGGCAACCATAATTGGAGAGTCACCAGTTCTGAATTGATTTAAAACATAATCTCTTTCTTGTTGTTGTTTGTCACCATGAATGGCTAAAGCAGGCCATCCATCTGATCTTAAATATGAAGTGATATCATCACAAGTTCTTTTGGTGGAAGCGAAAATCAAACACTTAGCAGCTGGATCTTTGGTACCAATTTCTAAATGTTTGATTAATCTATCTCTCTTTTCGTATTCACTGACAACTTCAACTAATTGAGTAATAGTGTGGGAAGCAGCTAATTCCAATGAACCAATAGTAACTTGGATAGGGTCATTTAAGTAATCTCTGGTTAAGTTTTGAACTTCTTTTGGCCAAGTAGCGGACCACATCAAAGTTTGTCTATCAGGTCTAATTTGATCAACAATCTTTCTGATTTGTGGTTCAAAACCCATATCCAACATTCTATCAGCTTCATCTAATACTAAATAAGTAACTCTCTTTAAATTAGTTTTGCCAGTTTCCAACATATCGATTAATCTACCTGGAGTAGCAATACAAATTTCGGAACCTCTAGCTAAATCTCTGATTTGTTGACCTTTTGGAGCACCACCATAAATACAGGTGTTTCTAATTCTGGAGGATCTACCGAATTTGGAACATTCAGTTTGAATTTGAACAGCTAATTCTCTGGTTGGAGCTAAAACTAAAACAATTGGACCATCACCTGGTTTCAATAATGGTTGAGCATTGATGTGAACAATTCCTGGTAAACAATAAGATAAAGTTTTACCTGAACCAGTAGCAGCAATACCGATCATATCTCTACCACTTAAAGCCATTGGCCAACCTTGACATTGAATGGCAGTTGGGTTTGGGAAACCTTGATTCTTAACTTCTTCTAAGACATAACTTGGGAAACCTGATTCATCAAAAGTAGTAACTGGTTTTGGAATATCAGTACCAACACATTTCATGTCATGTTCTTTTCTGAATTTAGCAACATCAGCATCTGATCTAGCAGCAACAGATGGATGTTCTTGATAGAAATTTTTTTCAAATTTTGGTAAGCTTTCTAAATCCCATTCTGGAGCAGTCAATTCAACTCTTTCTCTTTCGAAACCACCTCTTCCTCTTCCGCCACCGTAACCTCTGTTACCGCCAAAACCTCTATCACCACCTCTGTTACCTCCGTAACCTCTATCGTTTCTTTCGAAACCACCTCTGTTACCGTAGTTACCTCCATTGTTGAAGTAGCCACCGCTGTTATTATCGTTATGATATCCTGACATTTTTTCTATTAATTTATTTTATTGGGATGTGTTATCTGAGAAAATTTTTAGAAATGAGATGAACTTTTTATTGTGAGATGAGTTGGTCACGTGCTCAAAAAGAAACTTTTCAGGGTAATTTCAATTTGGGAATTAGTTTAGAGTTGAAGATGTAGAGTTATAGGAAAGACGTGTTTGAAAATAAGTTCTATATTACATAAGTATTTTGATCGTTAAATAATGTGATCTATGAGTTTACATCGTCGTGTAGATTATTAGACAATGCACAGTTTTTTGTTCAGTAAGTAGTTTGTATATACCTTAGAAAGGTCCCTATAAGTGACCCCTCTTTGAGCTAATAGTCATTTCAGCTAAGGAATTTAATCAAGTCCTTAATTCATTGCTTCATTGAATTTCTCTTCAATGACATTACATAATTCAGATAAGTTATCTAATCCTAAATGCAAAGCTTCAGTGGCAGTTATATTCCCATAAGTTTGAATTCTGATATTCAACTTGTTTTCTGAAGGATGAGGAATAGAATAACCACAGAATTCAACTTCAGGGTTTTTCATTATGATATATCTTAAAGCATTTCCCAAAGTATGGTCTTCATCAACTATTTGAAATGAAGCTGAAGTACCATCCTCAGATGATCCTGGCAATAATTTTATTTTATCTAAGTCATAGACTTGTTCAGCATCTTCCATTTGAACGTCACTCATTGTTCTCTGTGGCTATTCGAAATAAAGTGTATACTAGTAGATGAGATTTGAGAAATTTTTCAGGATGAGTATGTATTCGCGGTTGTTTACAGAAATCTTTGAGGATTGAGATCACAATAAATCAATAATTGATATTTCTCCTGTTCATTAGTAGAATTGTGTCGTGAAAGACCTTGGCAGCCGGAGATTGTTTAATTGGTAATATCTGGTTTTGTTTTCCAACAATCATTTATCATAACTCCGCATTTTTAGCATTTTCAGTTCACAGATTTTCAATTCTTAACTTTCAAATAAAGACATTTTACATTCTAACATTTTATTTTATTAGTTTTTGAAAGTTCTTCTAATACATAATGACTACTGAAGACTTAACTGAACCGATTTCAGAATCTTTCCTCCATTTGTCCCAGGATACAGAAGATGTTAGTGATTCATCCCTCAAACTGAATTCGTTTGATACGAGTCATTTAATGGATTTAGTCAAGAAATTCGATAATCAAGCCATTGCAAGTGATAGTGAGGAAGATCTTGTTAGTGCAATGGGTAGTCCCCGTGCCAAGAAGATCAGAAATCCTAAAGAAAAAACTGATGATGATAAACACGAATATGATTTTGAGATAAACGATGATACAGAAATCGACTTGATAGATGAAAAACCATTCACTTCACATTCAACCCCAATATCAAAAACTTTCAAGCCCAAAATAAGAGTTGATGATTTAGCCAGTTTAATCCAACCACTTTTGAAAGAAGAATTCAAAGATTTCAAAGAAAGTATAAGAAAAGTAATACAAGATGCAAACGAAATTCAACACATAAACGAAGAAAATCAACATAAAACACACAGTCTGAACAATCAGAATCAAAATCAAGATTACAAACATCCCCAAGATGTTCAAAATACACCATATGAAACCCACAAAAGTGATGATAGTCTTATCAATAACGATTACCAATCATTCCAAAACAACTATACATCCAATTATAAAACTGAAACCTCGAGTTCAACACCCCCAATACCATCTCAAGCCAATAACATGAAACCAATATACACTAATAATCCCAGGGTCCATGTTTCAATCCCAACTCCAGTATCTTCATTAAACTCGAGATCAGGTAGTTCCAATGATGAGGAGATAAGATTCTTGAAAGAGGAAATAAAAAATTTGAATGAAACCAACTCTAAGTTAAGATTGGAAGTGCTCAATTTCAGAAACAATGAAGTCACTGAATTGAGAACTTTGAACAATCAATTGACTCACAAATTAAATGAATCTAAAAAGTACAATCAGGAGCTTAAGAATGAAATGGATTACTTGAGCAAGAATTCTGGAAACCCGACTCAAGAAGTCAATGAGGGTTTCGAAGAGTTAAAAAAGAAATACGCCAAAGAAATTGGAGACGCAACGAAAATGATAAATCTTGATTCGTTGAATGGAAACTTCAAAAAGTTCTACAGTAAGTTGAACTTGTCAGAAATTGATGAGTTGTCAAAGGTAGAAATGTCTAACTTGATAAAAAACATATTATTAACGCTTCTACTTGATTTCAGGAAACTCCCAGATAATTTACAAGCACTCACCAGATTTTTAAAGATTTCCAATCAATTCGTTGATAATGTGCATGACATTCTTTATGATAATGATTTCAAACCTTCTTTTCATATTAATAATGATGATAATAATGATGTAGTAAACTACCATAAATGCTTAAATGACATGGTAGGGTTGATTAAACCAAATAGATAAATTATTTTTTCATATTTCTACTTTTATATTGGTAATTTTTACCTCTTTAAGCCATTTCTGAATCTGAATCAATTCAAGGTTTTTTTTTAAATTTTATTTTTTTCATTTCACATATGTATTTTGATATGTTGTGTGAAGTTGTAAAATCCACAAAAAATTCATAAAAAAAAAACGGAAAAAAAATCAAACCCCAAGTTCTTGGTTCATAAAAGCAGATTTTGTTGGGGCATTCTTTCTATGGTAATTTGAAGACCACAGATCTGCCAACAAGCGTAAAATTTACAATTGAATTTTGAGACACCGGTCACGTGACACGGGGTTAACTGATAATTGCCCAAGAGGTCAAAATCGGTACTAACAACATTTGGATATATGTAATTATGGAAGACATTTCACTAGAATTATACGCTAGATCCACTGTTCATAATTAAGAGTCAGAGCGATCAATAGTTTGAAGTTTTTTTATCAGATCTATTGAGACCCTGCGTCATACAAAAATCGGCAACTTTGGATAGTCACCCATTTTTAACCTTAGTCTTCCGTATAGAAGTAAAGAACTATTTCAAATTACTTCTGAGTTATAAGGGCGTATTTTAGGAAGGTTGATATCAAAGAAAGTCTTCAGTAAATTCTCATTCTTATCTTATCAGTCTTAATTGCTTTTTAATCATCTATTTTTGGTTCACGAAATACTCAGGTCAATTAACGCTTGTAAATTCGTTCAAATTCTCAAGAAATAAAGGTTTGTAAGTTTCAGAAGTGTCGAAACAATCACTTAAGAAGTAAAAGAGAGTTTAATCCGAATATCGAAATTCCCCCACGCTGTTGATAGAAATTTCATTCAATCATCAAAAGTGAGAAACAACAATCAAACTTTATTAGTGCTAATAGTAATTGATAGAGTTAACAACATTTAAGACAATTTTCAAATCAGTGGATTCTAATTAATCAATTATATCATTAACTATATACAAATCTTCATCCATTTGACGATCAAGTAGTGTTTTTTTACAGTTTTTTTAAAGGTTTTAAAAAGATGGTAAAGTCAGCTATTTCAAGACTGAATTATACCAATTCAAATAATTCAAAATCGAATAATTATCAGGACAAACAGAATTCTCCCAATCTATTCAACAATCAAAATGCTCCCAATCTATCGAATTTGTCCAATTTGAATGGCCCCACAACATCTACTTCAAATTTACAGAATAATGGGGTTCCAAGACAAGATTCATTGGGTACAATGTTGAACAATTATACCACTAACTTCAATAATACCAACTTCACTAACCAATCAATAAGTGGAATATCGGGAAATGGTGGTATGGGAAGTATAAGTGGGTTGCCCATGAATTATATTATACCCTCACAATCAACTAATTCTAACAACTCCAATATGACTATGAATATGAATCCTAATAATCCCAGCATGAACATGAACAATCAAAGTGGAAGCTCAAGTGGCAAGAAGACTGGAAATTCAATTTCGTTACCACCATTGAAAGATGAACCAGCCGGTACTGGTTCAAATAACGCAAATTCAAGGTCAAATTCTATTTTCAATTACATGCAATTCCCTCAATCCAACCACAATTCTATTTCAGGAGCTCCTGAATTTAACAACAGATTTTCAAGGCAAATGTCAAATTTGGATCCCCTTTTGGTACAAGATTTAGAAAACTTCTTGAGCAATCCAAATAACTTACCACCTATTGTCTCAAGACAGAGTCTGTTGGATAGGAAGAATTCTAAATCATCAAAGAGCAGTTCTATTGATTTTTCCAGCTGGGATAGTTTCAATAATTTGACTAATCCAACAGGTAATAATAACAATAGTGGGAATGTAATGAACAGTAATTCTAATTCCTTCAGTGGCAGTTTCTCAAACTTATTACAAGGTATCAATAACGTGGTAGACTTATCAAACATGTCAGCTCAACAAAGGAGGGACTCAGTTATGAAATTTGTAAGTGATCCTCAGAGCATGCAATATTTACAACAATTTTATCAAACTCAACAAAACCAGTCCCTTGACTCTAAAAGAGCTAGTTTGAGGCAAGACATGTTTAAGGATGACGACAAAAAGGATAACAGTTTGAAACCTCCAAATAATGCGTTGTCTCCAACAAGTTCTTTGGGTTCAAAATCTGATATCAAACATGAAGTACCTCAATCACCAAAGACCTCACCTAATTACCCGAATAACAATGTTCCCCAGATGAACTTGAATTATGAGTCCAATCAAAACATGTCGAATCAAGCGATGAACCAAGGTATGAATCAGAATATGAATCAGAATATGAATCAGAATATGAATAATATGAACCCCCACATGCAAACAAATTATCCAAATAATCAGTATTATTATCAACAATACCCAAACAATCAAAAGTATAAGCAGAATCAAATGAACAATTCAGTCCAACAAATACCCACTCAATACATTCCACCATCATTCACAAATTTCCAAAACAATTACATTGATAACAAATCAGAGGATAAGAAAGTGAAAAGAAAATTATCGATCAAAGACAAGATCTTGAGTGAAGATGGCGGAGAATTGCCACCACCAATTCAGGGTAAAGAAGGGGAGAGACCTGTTCTCGGAGCCACTAAAATCGATCAGTTGATGCTTGTGATTCAAGCCAGAGACAAGAACAACGGCAATGACGTTAAGTACACAACAGCTAAAGATGGGACTATCATCGGAGATATAGAACCTCAGCATCTTGTAGGGGGTGTTGAAAAGCAAAGATTGGAAGAATTTTCCGATGAAGAACTTGACAGTGATGGAAGAAGGAAGAAGAAAAAGAAAATTCCCCAGTGTCCTTACTGTAACAAGTATTTTGCTCAAACAACTCAGTTAGAAGTCCATGTGAGATCACACATTGGTTATAAACCTTTTGAGTGTAGTTATTGTCAGAAGAGGTTCACTCAAGGAGGTAATTTGACAACTCATTTGAGATTGCATACGGGTGAAAAACCTTTCACTTGTGAAATATGTAATAGGTCATTCAGTAGGAAAGGAAATTTGGCAGCTCATAAGTTGACTCATGATAATTTGAAACCTTTCGACTGTAAATTAGATGATTGTGATAAATCGTTCACACAATTAGGTAATTTAAAATCACATCAAAATAAATTTCATTTAGAAACTTTGAACAGATTAACAACCAAATTAACTGAATTATCTATTTCGGAGATAAGTCAATTACCAAGAAAAGAACAAGACCTATTAAACTATTTTAAGAATTTGTACAAAAATTCCAATAAAGGGATCAAAGGAAGAGGTAAAGCTAAAAAGCTGAAGGATATGGAAATGGGAAATAATTTACTTGACTCAAACAATTCAATGAACCCAATGTCTAACCAGTCGAATCATAGACTAGATAGCTATGGGCAGGTATTCATGAATAACAGTTATGATAATTTGTATCAAAATTAATGTACGAGTATAGTGTTACAGTATTGATCTCTTCGTGTTAACTTTGAAATTTCTGAGTCGCGATTCTTTTGATCCACATGAACTTTCTATCCAAGACATTAAGTACTTTAACAGGTACTTCTATCCCTTACACATTCAAGGAAAAGATAGAAAACCAATCAGTATGGACATTGTATGATGGTGTCAATCCCAAGGACAATTCCAGTGTAACAATTTTCGAAATTAATTTGAGAGATCAAAATATTTTACAGTCGAATTACGATCAGTTAGCCAAAAACACTTTCAAGAAGCTGAAATTGATCAAATTCCCAGAGTTGATCAATACTATCGACTTCATAGAAAACGATAATAATCTTTATATAATCACAGAACCTGTTGTACCATTATCAGTATACTTGAATTCACATAATATTAATAATGACAGTAAAATTTTGGGATTGTATAATATCGCCAACTCATTGGAATTTTTGAACTTGAAATGTAATTATGTCCATGGAAATGTTAATGTTAATTCCATTTATGTTAACAAAGAAGGTGATTGGAAATTATTTGGCTTTGAATTCCTTACCAACTTACAATCAGACCCTGATCAACCTATTTATAGATTTTCTAGATACCTAGCAATTTTCAATAATTCCTTACCTGATGATGTACTTAACCAAGGAATTGACGTTATAAGACCATTTCCAATAAAGTTTGATTCATATTGTTTCGGAAAGTTGATTGAGGTTTTGTTTGATAACAGGATTAATGATAAATCTTTAAGCTCGCTCGTCAGAAGGTTGACCAATCCTAAAATCAATTTAAGAATAACTATTGATAAGTTTTTAGCTGACGGTGCTAGTATTTTCAAGAACAACTTGTTGATTGAGATCACCAATGACCTAAAGGATTTGAAATTCAAGAATAATGATGAGAAATTGAACTACTTCAAATACAATTTAGCCAACTATTTTGACAGTGATAGTCATGTAGAATTTCCACCAGGGTTTTTGGAGAATAGATTGTTACCAGAGTTGATTTTACAATACAGCATCATTGAAAAGTTCAAACCTAGTGTGAATTCCACCAATGATGATATTATCAAAAATCAAGAGAGTTTAGCCATACTATTGAACTACATCTTGAAGTTTGGAAATTCTTTAGGAGCTGATGAGTTCAACAAATCTATCAAGCCTATCATATTCAAAACATTTGCTTCAACAGATAGATCAATAAGATTGATACTATTAAATCATTTGAACAATTTTGAGAGGAATTTGAGTGAATCAGACGTTCAGTCCAGGATTTTTTACAACTTAATTAGTGGATTCCAGGACACAAACTTCATGATTAGGGAAACTACTCTCACTTCCATCAATTTGGTGATTGATAAAATATCTGTCAAACAGATTAATCAAGACTTGTTAAAAATCTTAGCCAAGTCACAAATGGATCCCAAACCTTCTATCAGGGTCAATACACTTATTTTGATCATTAAAATACAATCAAAGATCTACAATAATTCCAAGAACAATGTCTTAATCACAGCTTTATCTAAGTCGTTGAAAGATACATTCACCCCTTGTAAAATGACTGCTCTTCAAGGATTTGAAAAGTTGATTACCGAATTTTCCTTGGAAGAAATATGTACTAAGATTTTGGGCCAATTAGCAATATCTTTAATGGATAAACAATCCGTGAAGGTGAGAAACCAAGCCAGGAAAGTATTCCAATTATATTTGGACGCTGTGGAAACTAATGCAAAGAATTTGCCAGTGGTGGAGGAAGATGAGGAGTTAGAAGAAAAGGAATTCTTCAAAAAGTTTGCTCCCAACGTCGAATCCGAAGAGTCCAACGATATAATTAAAGAAACCAACTCTAATTCAGGGTTTTCATTTGGCTGGAATGTTGTGAACAAATTGGTGTCTACTTCAGTGCTTGAAGGTCAATTGAACAACGATTTCAATAATTCAAATGTCGATTTAACAACATCGGTCGATCAATTATCTTTGGGCAAACCTAACCAATCTTCGATGGACAATTCAAGCAATGCCAAATTGTCCAATGTCAATACTAAAGAAACTAATGGTTGGGACGATAATTTCGACGATGTGGATGATGGTTGGGGAATGGATGAGGTCAAAGATGAAGTTGAGACCGACAAAATAATCAAGAAGCCAGTCACTCGGAAGGTTCAAGATAGAGCAAAAAAACCAGGGGGCCTCAAACTTGGCAAGGATAAGGATAAGAAGCCAATATCGAACTTAAGACTTAATTTGTCAGTTGATGACGATTCATGGGGTGGCTCTGATGATTGGTGATTGGAATTTCCTAATTGGAACAAAACCCTCAGATTAAGGTTTAATATATTATGTAATCTATCTATTATCTAATTTCAAAATCTGGATAACATTCAATCCTGTGGCTCCAAAATCTGACATACGATGTTTGGTAGCAAGTACTTACGAGGTGAATCCATAGATCACCCCATCTGGATCGATAACAATAATAAATTTTTACGGTAATTTCGTTAGGTTATCGGTCTGCCTTTCGTCAGTGAGGGTCATAAGCGCTCTTAATTTTTCTTTATCGCTCGATAAAAACCTCTTAACCCAGGATGAACATGCAACACGCACAAAATGGTAAACCTTAGTTTCCTATATCAAGGTGAAGGTGTGATAAAAGTTTACGATGATCGATTATAATCTAAAGATGATTCAGTGTGGACAACGAAAGTCCACAGTACAAAAAGTTTCGTCTTTTCCTACAATCTAACAATTTTTTTGGTGACGGGTGACATTTTTTGAAAATTCCTGTCAAGGTGAATACCAAGACTTTAGTTTTCTTGACACCAAATTAGAACTTCAGTCCCGACGTTTTTGTCCATTTTGTCGATTTGTAGATTCGTTTATCTGATCATTTTTCTTCGACAATCTTGTCATACGATTTGCTTGAACCACAGTACTAAACCTCTCCCACCACACTTTCGAAATATACTATTGTTTCATCTGGTTACGGGTATGTGAAATTAGTATTGCGGTATTCTCTTTTTCTTTCCCCTGATTAGCTGTGCCGCACTGTAATGGGGCCAAAGATATTTTTTTGAGAATGGTATTTTGCGGGCCCCGGTAATAATTTGCAACCTCTGATGCCCTTTTCTTTTTCTTGGACCAAGAAAAAATGTCGCGAAATTATGTGATTTGACTGAGACATAGTTAAAGAGACTTGGGATATTTTCTTGGTAGCATTATCTTTACCTGACTGTGTGGGTTTTGTCTTATCTTTCATTCACCTTTGGTAGAAATGGCGGAAGAAAATTCTTGGTAATCTGTCAAACGTTCCATCTATAAATAATGGCGTAAAGTTCCTCTTCTTAAATTCGATATCTGATTTATACAGACTGATCTAATTTTTTGCAGCCGAGTTGCATAATTTATTATCATGGAAGAAAAGGTAAATCACATAGCTATTACTAACGTTAGAAGTGGTGATGACGCAAATGAAGTTGACCTTCAGGCTGTCGCTTCAAATCCAGTTTCCATAGGTGCCATTGGTAATAGTTTGACATCAAGTGAAAAGTATTTCATTTTAAAAAGATTAAACTATGACGGTTTAGTGACTTTAGAGGATTTACCCATTGGTGCAGCTTTCATGATTGAAAAGATTGAACAAATGACTGAATCAGAGGGTCTAAAAATCTTGAAGCAAGTGGCTGTGGATCATAAAGATGATGTCAATTTCCCTAGTGAAAGTTTGGACTTAATCGAAAAGCTTATTGAAATGACTCCATCTAATGTAAGTTCTGAAACTAAAACCCAATTAGAATCTAGTTTTGGTAATGAAAAGAAAAACGATTCACAATCAGATGACGTTCAAGAATTGAATGACAGTAGCTCATTGGAAGCTAACAATGACGATTACTTCAATGTTGTCGATTGGGGCTTACAAGTTAGAATCGAATCTTGTTTGATTGAATATCACTCACCTTACCCTGAGGTTAGAGCCGTTACTGATTGTTTCGATGATCCAAGCTTGTATGTCGAAACCCCAAGAGTTTATATCTTAGGTTTGATTTGGACCTGTGTAGGTGCTTTCATCAATCAATTTTTTGCTGAGAGACAACCTTCTATTTCCTTACCAGCTTCTGTTGTTCAATTGTTATTATATCCATCTGGTATGTTAATGGCTGCCATTATGCCAAAATGGAAATTTAAAGTTTGGAAATATACTTTCGATTTAAACCCGGGCCCATGGAACCATAAGGAACAGATGTTAACTACTATCTTCTACTCAGTTTCTGCTGGTACTCCTTATGTTTCTTATAATATCCATGTTCAATTATTAGAAAGATTTTACAATAATCAATGGGCTGACTTTGGTTATCAAACCTTATTGATTTTAGCCACCAACTTTATGGGGTTCGGTTTTGCTGGTATCATGAGAAAGTTCACTATCTATCCAATTAAGTCTATTTGGCCATCAACTTTACCAACTTTAGCTTTAAATGCCGCTTTAATGAAACCTGAAAGAAAGGAAAACATTAACGGATGGAAATTATCAAGATATGCGTTCTTTTTCGTATTCTTCGTTTTTTCATTCTTATATAATTGGATTCCTTACTACTTATTCCAAGCCTTATCTGTATTCAATTGGATGACATGGATCAAACCAGATAACTTCAATTTAGCTGCCATCACTGGTAGTAATTATGGTTTGGGTCTTAACCCTATTCCTACATTTGATTGGAATGTCCTTAATTTCAATGGTGCTTTGACAATTCCTTTTTACTCCCAGCTTAATCAATATATTGGTACTTTCATTGGATTTTTCATTGTTGTTGGTATTTACTGGACTAACAACAACTGGTCTGCTTATTTACCAATCAATTCTTCATCATTGTTCACTCAAAACGGTGTTAGATATGATGTTAAAGCTATTGTAGACGAAAACTCATTATTTGATGCTGCCAAATATAATGAAGTTGGTCCTCCATATTATGCAGCTGCAAATTTATTGGTTTATGGTGCTTTCTTTGCCATTTATCCTTTTGCCATTGTCTACGAATGTTTCATGAATTGGAAACCTATGTGGGAAGCTTTGAAACATTTAGGAAAATCTGTCAAGAATTTTAGAAGATCAACTTTCGAAGGATTCAATGATCCTCATACTAGAATGATGAGAAAATATAAAGAAGTCCCAGATTGGTGTTTCTTAGCCGTATTGGTCATTTCAATTGTTTTAGCAATTATCTGTGTTAAAGTATATCCAGCTCAAACTCCTGTCTGGGGTATTTTCTTCACCGTTGCTATTAATTTCTGTTTCTTGATTCCATTGACTGCTGTTTACTCCACCACAGGTTTCCAATTCGGTCTTAACGTTTTAGTTGAATTAATCGTTGGTTATGCCATGCCAGGTAATGGTTTAGCTTTAAATTTCTTGAAAGCTTTGGGTTATAATATTAATGGTCAAGCTCAAAACTATATTTCTGATCAAAAAATGGGTCATTATGCTAAATTACCACCAAGAGCTATGTTCAGATGTCAAATGTTATCTGTGTTCGTTGCCTCATTTGTTGCCTTGGGTGTGATGAATTTCCAAATCAACAATATCGATGGTTACTGTGAACCATTCCAAAGACAAAAATTCACTTGTCCAAGTTCAACTGTGTTCTATAATGCTTCCATTTTCTGGGGGGTCATCGGTCCAAAGAAAGGTTTTGGTGTCTATCCAATCTTGGAATACTGTTTCTTGATTGGAGCTTTATTACCAATTCCATGTATCTTATTCAGAAAGTATGGACCTCAAAAAATTGCCAAATATTTCCAACCAACTTTAATCATTGGGGGTATGTTAACATATGCTCCTTATAATTTATCCTACGTAACAGGAGGTCTTTATTTATCAGCCTTATTCATGCATTACTTCAGAAAGAAATACATGACTTGGTGGGAAAAATATAATTATGTTTTAACTGGTGCTATGGATGCAGGTGTAGCCTTCAGTGCCATCATTATCTTCTTTGCTGTTATTTATAACGATAAAACAGTTTCCTGGTGGGGTAATGATGTGCCATGGACTGGTATTGAAGGAGGATTAGGTAGACAATCTAGACTTAATGCTTCAGATGCTCCAGACGGTTACTTTGGTGTAAGAGCTGGTAACTATCCTTAATTTTTAGTTCTTCGAGTAATATATAATTTTACTATTTCATCTATGGCCCCCCTTTATGGAATTTACCTCTCCTGAGCAATAATATACGCAAGGGAATCTTTGATTTCATTACTGGAGCAGTTTTATTTAACAATAAAGAAACTCTACTTATCAGGATTTTGCCAAGGTAATTTTTTTGACACAAAATGTGTCAAAAATCAAACATGCATGTTGATGATCCTCCTGGTTATGAACCCTCAATTTGCAACCATTTTGCAGCCAACAAAATCATTTCCCCTCCTTCCAATTGGATATATGAATACAAACAAACGACATTTGTGAACATTGGTGGTTCATTCGTAAAAGGTCATGAGGATTTTGAATTTGTTGAGTAATGATAAGAGCTATAGAAAATATCTTAAAAAGGAAGTATAAATTAAATTTATATTAAATTAATTAGTAAGAATTGAAACGCTTATGGATAGTCAGTAGGATCTAAACCGAAGTAACCTTTTTCTAAGGTACTTACGTTCAATCTGGCTTGTTGACCATAACCACCTTCGACACCAAGATAACTGACATTGTTACCCCACCAGGAGATGGATTTATCATGGTAGAAAACAGCGAAGAAAATGATGACTGAACTGAAAGCAACACCAGCATCCATGGCACCTGATAAAACATAATTATATTTGGACCACCAAGTTAAGTAGTTCTTTCTAAGGTATTGCATGAAGAAAGCTGAGAAGTAAAGACCCATGGTGTAGTAAGACAAGTTATAAGGAGCATAAATCAAGAAACCACCAATAATTAAAGTTGGTTGGAAGTACTTGGTCATTCTCTTTGGACCGTATTTTTTGAATAAGATACATGGAATTGGTAATAAAGCTCCGATTAAGAAACAGTATTGTAATAATGGATAGATACCTTTGAAAACTTTCTTTGGACCAATAACCCCCCATAAGATAGAAGCATTGTAGAAAGTCTTTGAACCTGGACAAGTGAATTTTTGGGTAGCAGCTTGAGCTGGAGTACAATATCCATCAATGTTATTGATTAAGAAGTTAATAACACCTAATGAGATGAATGAAGCAACAAATACAGATAACATTTGACATCTGAACATAGCTCTTGGTGGTAATTTAGCATAATGACCCATTTTTTGATCAGAAATATAGTTTTGAGCTTGACCATTAATATTATAACCCAAAGCTTTCAAGAAATTTAAAGCTAAACCATTACCTGGCATGGCATAACCAACGATTAATTCAACTAAAACGTTAAGACCGAATTGGAAACCTGTGGTGGAGTAAACAGCAGTCAATGGAATCAAGAAACAGAAATTGATACCAACAGCGAAGAAAAGACCCCAAACTGGAGTTTGAGCTGGATAAACTTTAACACAAATGATACCTAAGACCAAAGCAATAACTAAAACAACTAAGAAACACCAATCTGGAACTTCTTTATATTTTCTCATCATTCTAGTATGAGGATCATTGAAACCATCAAAAGTAGACTTTCTAAAGTTTTTGAGGGATTTACCTAAATGTTTTAAAGCTTCCCACATTGGTTTCCAGTTCATGAAACATTCGTAGATAATGGCAAAAGGATAAATGGCAAAGAAAGCACCGTAAAGAACCAAGTTAGCAGCTGAATAATATGGAGGACCGACTTCCATGAATTTTTCTCTGTCAAATAATGAATCTGAGTTAACAATAGATTTAACATCATAAAGTTCACCTTGATTAGTCCATAAGGATTGGGAATTGATTGGTAAGTATCCTGACCAATATTTGTTAGTCCAATAAACACCAATGATACAGAAGAAACCGATAGCAGAACCAATATATTGGTTAAGTTGGGAGTAGAATGGAACAGTTAAGGCACCATTGAAATTAATGATATTCCAATCAAAAGAAGTAATTGGGTTAAGACCTAAACCATAGTTAGTACCAGTGATAGTAGCTAAGTTATAGTTATCTGGTTTAATCCAAGTCATCCAATTGAAAGTAGAAACGGCGTAGAAAAGATAATCTGGAATCCAAAAGTAAAGGAATGAAAAGCAGAATACACCAAAGAAGAAGGTATATCTGGAAACTTTCCAACCGTTGATATTTTCTTTCTTTTCTGGTTTCATTAAAGCAGCATTTAAAGCTAAGGTTGGTAAAGTTGATGGCCAAAGAGCTCTAACTGGGTAAATGGTGAATTTTCTCATGATACCAGCAAAACCAAAACCTAAGAAATTATTTGATAAGATTAATAAAGTTTGGTAACCAAAATCAGCCCATTCGTTATCATAGAATAATTTCATCTTTTGAGCATGAATATTATAAGAAACATAAGGAGTACCAGCCGAAACTGAATAGAAGATAGTGGTTAACATTTGTTCCTTATGATTCCATGGACCAGGGTTCAAGTCTACAGTATATTTCCAAACTTTGAATTTCCATTTTGGCATAATGGCAGCCATTAACATACCAGAAGGATATAATAATAATTGAACAACGGATGAAGGTAAAGAAATAGAAGGTTGTCTTTCGGCGAAGAATTGATTGATGAAAGCACCAATAGCAGTCCAAATTAAACCTAAGATATAAACTCTTGGGGTTTCAACGTATAAGTTTGGATCATCATAACAATCAGTAACAGCTCTAACTTCTGGGTAAGGTGAATGATATTCAATCAAACAAGCTTCAATTTTGGTTTGTAAAGACCAATTCATGACACTGAAATAATCACCATCATCAGCTTCTAAAGAAGAAGTATCAGCAGCAATAGTTTCACCGAAATTATCCAGATCTTCTTTCTTTTCCATGGTAGATTCTAATTTTTCTGAAACTTGAGTTACATTTGAATGTTCTGGAGCAGCAGCAACCAATCTTTCGATCAAATCGTAAACATCAGATGGGAAATTAACATCACCATCATGATCAACAAGGGCTTGTTTTAAAATATCGATAGCTTGGTCATGAGAAATATCTTGAATTTTTTGAATCATAAAAGCTAAACCGATTGGTAAATCATCTAAAGTCAATAAATCAGCATGTCCAAGTCTTTTTAAAACGTAGAATTTTTGTTCAGAATTTAATTCCGAACCAACTTGATTAATTGATACTGGGTTTGAGGTAATAGCAGTTAAATCGACACCTGTGCCAATATCACCAACATCTAAGTGTTGGTCTTGACTGGTAATACCAGTGAGTTTATGACTTCTAGCATCCATCTTCGTTTTAATATATATTCTTTATTTCTAGATCAATATATTACTTTTCCATATAATGAAAAAGACGAAAGCTTGAGTTTTGATGAAATCAATAAAGGGATTTCACAGGTGATTTATACTTCGGGAGGATAAATTCTTTATCAATGAAGCTACACATTATCAATTCAACCTCTTCCACTTTACGGCTCCATTGTTCAAACCTCTATTATCAGGATAACAATAAAATTTGGGCAAACGCAAACCAATAATCAAAGTTCTGTAATCAATGAGAATTTCTGGCTATGAAAGTGGAAGTGAAGTTTACAATCTAGGCTTATTCTGACAAGAACTATATAAGTTCAAAGTTAAGTTGAATTATATGATGATGAAGATTGTTTAGTATGATAAACCCATTTCCACGTAAATTTGAAAATACCGAAGACATGCATGAGATTAGCGGTACAGTTCCTCAGGATGGTGAGGCAAAAAGGTGAGAAAAAATGACAGATACCTGTCAAACGGAAATCAATCAAAACCAACTTATCTTGGCATTACGCGACCACCATTAAGTGAAGAACAAGTGTGGTTGATATAATCATGTTCAATTTGGAAGCAAGAGATTTATATGATTCAATATTCGAAAAAATTGATTTGATCGTCAATTGTTCTCTATCAGATAGGAAATTCTTATCAATAGTCAATGTTAGTAGGGGGAAGATAAAAAGAAATTCAAGATAATAAAGGTTTTATGCATTTGACGCAAAATTTCAACTTCCGACAACTGAAATGCTTATCAAATACTGGCCAAAAGTAAAGGTTCGGGTATTTCGATAAGGAAACTTCTATTTGGGGTAATAGTCGTCGCAGATTTTTAATGTTCAAACATCGTAAACCACAGTTCGGGGAGATTTTCCCTTTGTGAAAGTCTTTGCCCGTGGTAAAAGAAAAAACTATCCAAGAGCCCGAGTCAAGATAGTCAAGAAGTGTTTGGACCGATAAACAAGTGTTTGGTCAGATAAAAAAACAAATCAGGCAATCAGAGTCACAGGCGGGAGGACTTGTCATGAGGTTATGATAGTAAAAGTCAGGATTTTATAACCTTTATATTAAAATTATTTACCAATAGCAGATTTAATGGAAGTAACAGCTTCTAAGTTTCTATCATCTTCAATAGCACCATGAGCAATCAAAGTTTCTTGTAATTTCCTATCAGCAGCTTCTCTTGCAATTCTTTCAGTTTCCATTTCAACATGTAAATTCCTAAAATGGAAGAAGAAAGCCACAGCAAAGATAATTCCTACAACAGCCATAGCTACGAAAGCCCAAATAATATTTGGATCAACTAAAGCTGGTGTAACAGCTTGTGAAAGAGCAGCTGAAATAGCACTCATAAATAAACAAATAGCCATAACTAAAGATTTTAAATGTGGAGGAGATCTTGTATAAGCTAATTCATAAGAAGTAACATTAGCAAAAATTTCTGAAGCAGCTTGAGTACAGTACAAAGTGATTTCAACCCAAGCAGAGATTGGAGCAACTTCATCACAAGTTGAAGCTTGATTACCACATGGAGATTTTTGATAAATGAAATGTTGGATAATAGCTCCTGCAGCTTGAGAAGCAGCAGCCATAACGAAACCTAAGGTAATTCTGTAAACTGGTTTGAAATCGATTTTATGTTTTCTTAAGAATGGATAAACGATATAATCAAGGATTGGAATCAAGATAATGATAGTTAAAGGATTGAAATTGTTAAATAAATCATTTGGAACACCATTTAAAGACATTGAACCAGCTTGAGATGTTTGAATAGTACCAATACCACCATCATTCATTAAATAGATTGGGAAATAAACAAAAATCTTACAAGCATTAACAGTTTGTTTAATATCTAAAACCCATTGATCATTCCATGAAATTGGTTTAGATTTCTTATAAAAATCTCTACCTCTTTCAGCCATTTTAGTTGGTTTAGCAAATTCCCAGAATTCACCATCTTTATATCTTTGAACCCAACCTTTTTCGAAGGAAACTCTTAAAATTTTAGAGAATTGAGTTAAAACAGATCCTTGAAGTTCAGTTTTAACTAATCTTGGACCAACAAAGAATAACACAACAGGTAAGAATAAATAAACAACAGTTGGAATAAAGAAAGCTAACCAGAAACCAACATCTCTAGCACAATAAGAAGTAGCTAATTGGAAGAAAGCCCCAATATTAATAGCCCAATAGAAAACTAATGACATTCTTTCCAAGGATTTTTGTCTATCAATGATAACTTTTTCACCTGATGGTAACACTTTAACAACATCAGTTTTGAATTGATATTGATCCATAATTAATGGTAACAAATTTGGTTTGATAAAACCAGTACCAAGGGCTAAAGTAATAATAGCTAAAATAGTTGGCACGATAGCATGACCACCAGCAATGACTGAAGGAATACCTGCAATAATGAAAAGAACATGGGATACAAAACCAGCAATAACCCCAACCCAAATAGCTTTCAATTTACCTAATTTAGTATCAGCGATGTATCCACCATATAATGGAACAACATAAGCTAAAAATGTTAAAAGTAAAGTTAAAGCAGTAGCGGTTTGTAAACCATAATCTAAAGCACCAGCACTTTCATTTTCATGTTCTTTACCTCTCAATGGAGCACCAGTAGTTGAACCTTCAGGTAATGGTCTTTGAATAAAATTAGATAATAATCCCGTGACAGAATAATATGAAGCTCTTTCAGCTAATTCAACCAAACAAATTAAGTAAACAACTATAGGAGCTCTTCCCAAGATTCTTCTTAAATTTTCACTTTCGTCCTTAGTTGGGTACCTTAAACCTCTTGGATTAAGATCATCTACATAAGCAGTAGTATAATTTCTTTCATCGTCGAAATCATAATTTTCAGAGGTTGTGTTTGACCAACTTTCTTCTAAAGCGGCATTTTGCTTTTCCTCTACCTTTTGTTCTTTTATAGACATATTCTATAGAATCCAAGATTTAAAAATTAGATAGAGATTAATGGGAGATAGGGTAATTTTATACAATTTACTTTAAAACAATCGTTGGGGTTATCTTGAAAAAAACTAACATGCCGTACACTTTGCCATTGATTAAATCTTAGGCTTTTTTAATTATCTTATCAAATAGGGAAAAAGCAAATGCCTAATCAGATATTTAAAGGTTTCATTTTTTGATTCTGCGGCGATGTGAAATTTCTTATGTATTGTAATAATAGTCAATTATTTACAGGCGAAAGGCTCACAGATTGGACATTGTGTCGTCCAATGAGATTTAAGGGTTGTAAGGACCCATGTTAGAGCCTTTCGTTGATTTCCAGCCACTCAGTGACTTTTAAGGTACAGTTAAAGAAATGAGGCTCATGTTATCAAAGGTGTGTTTCATTTTAAATACTAAAGAGTTGGGACTGGTCCACGTAACTGGTTATTAGATGAATAGGACCATAATCTATAAACAATCTCTATTATAATGGAAAATCTTGTTTCAGTAAAATCTTTTACGGCTCCAAAATGCCCGTCAGAGGTCCTTTCAAAATTTCTTAGCATTTGCTGGGCAAGATAAAAAAATGGGTGCAAAAATTTCACCATTAATGATTTTCCGTTTCAAGCGATCCAACCCGGATAAAGTATCACATGGGCTATATACTTGAATGATTACTGCCTTTACCCAAAGAGTATGTTCCAAGATTAAGGTCATATTGAATTAAAATCCTTATCAGGTATTCCTGTGTATGCCAAGGCACTATTGTGAGGTCAAAATATGCAACCAAAAGTTTCGACATCTTGACACCAAAAGTTTTTTCTTGACAATGGACTCTTGGTCAACTTGCCTGATTAGGATTTCATTCCGATTTTCCACAGTTTGTAAAATCGTGGTATTCCTTTCAAAACTTGCGCTCTTGATTTCCTGTTCTACACAGTATATGATAACAAAATCTCTTATCTCGAAGTTCCTTCTTATCTTGAGGACTCACGGGTGAAGATTTTAATGGCACGTTGCATCCACAGGGTTTAAAAAGGGATGGTGAAAGGTCAAATTTGCAAACTTTGCTCTTTAAGGAAGACTGGAAGGTCAACTTTGCTTAGCCTTTGCCATTTTATGCAAATATATGTCAATCTATGTAATTAATTTATTCCGACAGTTGTCACTTTTTGCCTGAATAGTTCAATTATCACACTATTTGGGCATTGTAACCATCTAAACTATAGAAAAACAACCTAGAACCACTCTATTAATAAACCATTTGGCACTGAGCTCAATCATTTGTGATAATTAGGTAAAACTATAAAAGCTTCGATAATTGTTACTTAAACATCACTAAACATGAAATCTACAATCGTTTTATTACTTTTACTTCCAATGTTCTCCAGTGAAACTATCACAGAGATAGATTTACTGACTACTTTGGCAACCATTACATCTTGTGAAGGTGGCTGCGAACGTACCAGTACACCACCTTCAAATGTCACTTCTTTTGAAGGTGCAGCCGACAACTACAAACCTATTGGTGTTGCTGCTGGTGTTGCTTTGATCGGGTTGATCATGTGATTATAGGAGTTGAATATATTGTTTTATCTATAGGTCTCTATATCGATGCGCATATCTCATCACAAAAGTTTTCAATGACAAAACATCAACCGTTTGTGAAAGAGAAGATTAATAAACCTATAGACATCATTCGTCGTAATATAGAACTTGGGAAACCAACTCTTGTTGCTGGACCTATGGTTCGTTATTCCAAATTACCTTTCAGAGCTACAGTAAGAAGATTTGGTGCTGATATAGTCTACAGTCCAATGATCTTGGCTAGAGAATTCGTACGTAACGAAACCGCCAGAGTAGCTGATTTCTCAACCAACGATGAAGATACCTGTTTAATAGTCCAAGTAGGAGTGAATAATACCACAGATATGGTAAGGATGGTTGAAATGATCAATCCTTATTGTGATGGAATAGGTATTAATTGTGGATGTCCTATCAAAGATCAAGTCAGAGAAGGTATAGGGGCAGCCTTAATGTCAGAACCTCATCTTGTTCATGATTTGGTGAAAGCCAGTAAGGAGAGATTCCCAGATTTTTGTATTGAAGTGAAAATAAGAATTCACGATGATATAAAGCAAACAGAAGAGTTCATCAAGATAGTAGAGAAATCAGGGGTTGATTTCATAACTATTCATGGAAGGACAAAGGATACAAGATCATCTATTCCAGCCAATTTCGAAGCCATAAAGTATTTAAAAACCATCACCACAGTACCTGTTATAGCTAATGGAGACTGTTTCAAACCTGATGATGTAGATAAGATTGTGAAATATACTGGAGTGGATGGAGTTATGGCAGTAAGAGGAGTTTTGACCAATCCTGCACTTTTCGCTGGTTATGAGGTAACACCTTGGAAAGCAGTGGAATGGTTCTGGTATTATGCTGTGAATTATGGATTACATTTCAGATTGTTACAACATCATTTGAGCGAAATGTTAGACAAGTCCATCAGTAACAAAGTGCTTAGAGAGATGAATTTTAAGAAGAATTTGGTGGATGTGATCGAATGGTTTGATGAAATGTTCGATTTAAAGAGATTTGGTGAAGAAGGATTTGGTGAAAGAGTTGAAATACCCATTAAACCAGGTTCAGGATTGATTTTCTCCAACGGGATAATTCTCTGGGAAGATTCTGAAAAGCATAAGTCATAAGACATTATGATATAAGACCTTAGTAAATAGCCGAACTAATATCAGAGACAATTTGATAACGATTAATGATTAATATACATATTTTACACGACTACAAGAATTCCTTATTCTTTAAAGAAATACTTCTTGTTCTATGACTAACTTTATAAATACCCACCAATTGTTTGGCTAACTCAAACATATTATTTCTCAAACTAATGACGATGAATTGACCATTTTTAGTTCTTTCCTTAATATAATTGGCAACAATACTAACATTTCTGAAATCTAAAGCAGCATCGATTTCATCCATAACATAAAGTGGAGTTGGTTTGAATTTATGTAAGGCAAATACTAAGGCTAAAGAACTTAAAGTCTTTTCACCTCCTGATAAATTGGAAATATTCTTCCATGATTTCTTTGGTGGCATAACACTGAATAAAATCCCTTCAGAGAATGGATCTAAACTATCGACTAATTCTAATTCAGCATTTCCTCCCATAGTAATCATTTGATACATTTCTTTCAATGATAATGAGATAGTATTAAAACCTTCCATAAATTCATCTAACCTTTTACGTTTCAATTCTTCACAATGGTTTTTGATTTCATCTCTTGAACTAATAGATTGATTCAATTCTGTTTGTCTGACACCAAATTCTTGTAATTTATTACCGTATTCTTTCAAGATCTCGATATCAACTTTGACATTCTTCATATATTCTTCAATAGTATGGATTTCTTCATTTATATCATCAAAATTGATATTCTCAATATCTTCGTCAGTTAATTTTTCAATATTAGTTGAATTATATTTAACTTGTTCTTCCTCGGGAAGCCAATGGATATATTCGGAACATTCTCTTACGATTAAAGAATCAAGATTGATTTCATTATTGGTGATTTTTGATTTCAAAGAATTCTCTTGATTAGTCAATTGCTCCAACTTATTATTGAATTCAATTTCCAATGATTTGAACTGGTTAACTTCCTTTTGTTTTATTTCATGTTCGGCTTTGATTTCCGTCAATTTATTCTCCACTTCAATTTTTTCATCTTCTAATTTAGCAATGGTAGTATTGATTTCATCTAATTCTTGTTGTTTAGAGTTATCAGTATTGGAAATCTCGGATAATTCTTGTTCTACATTGGTAATTTCGATGGAATTCTCCTCAACTATTTTAGTATGTTTTTTGATCTCATTCTCTAATTTACGTTTAGATATCTTATCATTACTGGACTTATCATTAATGATTTCAATTTTTTGTTTGATAGAATCAATCTTAGAATTTTGAAGTCTTAATTCAACACCTCCAGCTTCCATGATCTTTTCTTCTAATTCACTGATCTTTGTTTCTAAATCTTTCATTTGTTCTTTGAGTTCATTACGTGCATTAACATGGCCCTGTTTAACTGATTCTTGTTGTTGGATTCTATCTTCAAGTTCTTTAGTGTTCTCACTATTAGTACTTTCATCAATCAATCTTTTAATTAACGTTGACACTTCACGTTTTTCACTTCCTAAAGATTCAATATCCAATTTCAATTTATCTAAACTTAATTGAACATCGGGCAAGGTATTCTTCAAGTTATTCAATTGATCCAACTTAATCTGATAATCTTTAGCTAACTTATCATAGCTAATTTCCATATCACTCAATTTAGCTTTTTCATTGTTTAATTCGTCTTCATCAATCATTTCAACATCGACAGATTTTTGTGATGCTAATAACATTCCACCTTTTTGGAATGAATTACCACCTCCAGACATGGTACCGGAAGTATCTACCAATTTCCCATCCAAGGTAACAACTCTATATCTTTTAGCTCCATAAGCTACTTGTCTTGCTTCTTGTAAGTTTGATGCTACCAAAGTATCGAATATTTTACTATAAAATGCTGGTAAGAACTTATCATCCTTAGCAGTAATCAAATCGAATAATCTCTTAACAGTTTGAGGATTACCAGGGGTTTTTATTGGTGATAAATTGAATTTCCTTAATTTTTCCAAACAAATGAAATTAGCATATCCCAAATTATTCTTACGTAAATATTGAATACATATTTGTGCAGTTTCAACAGTATCAACAACCATGGAATCCAATGCTGGACATGCAGTTGATATAGCAATATCATATCTATCATCAATAACACCCAAATCTCCTAATCTTCCATGGAAACCTTGAATTCTTCCTGATTTAGATAATTTACTTAATCCATTCAAAACACGATTCTTGTTCTGATTATGGTTAGCCACATTAACCAATTCATTAATTTTCATTCTAAAATTATCCAATTTGGTTTTGGTGGCTGTTAATGATTTCCTTTCATTGGTAACAGTTTCTTCACCAAGTTTGATTTGTTCTTCATAATGATCTAACTTGTTTTGTATTTCAACATATTCTTGTTCTTTCTGTTTACCTTCATTCTTAATAGAGATTAATCTTTCTCTAGCATTATCAAGTTTCTTCTGGAAAGATTCTTTTTCTTTAACTAAAATATCAATAGAACTATCAATTAATTGGATTTGATTATCTTCTTGTTTTAATTTATCATTCCAAGGTTCTAATTGGTTGGTTAATTTTTCGATTTCTTCGGTATAAGCAGAAGTTTTTGACTTCAATTTCAATCTGATTTCATCTAATTTGATTCTTTCAACACTCATTTCATTAGTTAAGTTTTCAAGTTCTAATTTATATTCTTCTGATACTTTCAATTCTTGTTCTAATTTCAGTCTAGCCATTGATAATGAATGTTCGGAAGATTCTTTATTCTTAGATAATTTTTTCACCTTTGATGTCAAATTCTTTATCTTTTCATCAACAGAAACAATATGTTTATTCAAAACTTTCAGTTTTTCTTGCAAATGATTGATTTCTTTAGTAAATTTACCAATTTCTTTAGTTAAAGATCTTTGATTATTTTGATTTTCTTGTAAAATTTCCATCAATAATTGATTTTTGGTCATTTCTTCATGATGTCCAGCTTTCAATTCTTCTAAACTTTGTAAAACTTTAGTTAATTTACTATTATTTTTATTTAAACTGATTTGGAATTGAATGGACTTAGCATTGATCAATTTCTTCTCCATTTCTAAGAATTTAAGGGCTTCATTTTTCTTATCTTCCAATTGATCTTTATCTTTCTCTACTAATTCGAATCTGTTGGATTTTTCTATACAAATATCATTTAATTCATCAATTTTCGTCAAACTTTCTTCAATCATACCTTTATAATGAGAAGTACCAATAATATCTTCAAGATACTCCAATAACCCATCATCATTTTCCTTTTCTGCTTTAGGTTTCATTTGTGCAATAGATTCAACTTCACCTTGTAAAATCAAAAATCTTTTATGATCTAAATCGATCCCTTTATCTTTCAATAAAGTGGTAACTTCCGTATAATTACTAGTTCTACCGTTGATATAATATTGGGATGAATTATTCTTGAAAGCTTTCCTACTAACAATTAATTGAGAATTATCTACAATCTTTGCATTTTCATTTTCATTATCATCAATCACATGATTGAAATGGATATCAACTTGACAGAATTCCATTCTTTCACCTTCTGAATTATGGATCAATTCACTTAATTTTCCTTGTCTCATTTTAGAAGCTCTAAAACCAAAGACGAATAACATGGAATCAATAACATTGGATTTACCACTACCATTAGGACCAACAACGGCTGAAAAGGATGCATTGAATGGACCAATGACTTGTCTTCCAGCATAAGATTTGAAATTTGTTAAAACCAACTGTTCAATGACCAATCTTGGTTCATTTTTAGGTGTTTTGGTGGGTATAGGTCCATCAATTTCACCATTTTGATTTGTTTCTACGTGGTTTTCAACTGGTTGTTCTACTGGGTGTTCTTCAGCATTCACCTGATTTTCATCAACCTTTATCTCCGTAGACTCGTGATCGGGATCAATATGAGTCTTGGATTCATCAGATGCTTGATGTTCAATCATTTCTCTTGTTATATCATCACTTGTATCCAGGGTTTCGTTATGTTTGGAGATGTCTGGGGTATCTTTATCAGAAACATCACTTCCTTCAGAAACTTCTGGGTTCTGTGGAGCATCCTGAAACTCTTCTTTATCATCCAGATCATTACTTTCTTTGTCTTCATGTGGTTCATTATCATCATTATTGGATTCATTGTCTGAGTATGAATTTGAATCAGCAGTGGATCCATTCACAGTCAAAGCACTCGTAGGTTGCAAATCACTGTTGTTTATGAATGTATCTTCCACATCTTCGTCATCACTCAGCGCTATTCTCCTTTTACCTCTAACCATATCAACGACCTGAAACCTTTGAAACACGCTCCAGGTTTTTTGTAAACAAATGCGATTTCCACGCGCACGACTTTTTGCAGCTTTTTACAGCCATTGACTTATAGACCCTTCTTCAGTCTAAGAGACAGTTAATGTGTAGCCAAAGATACTAGAGATAGAGGAACAAATGACCTTAAGATGATCTATGACTATATACTAATATACAAATGATTTTAAATGACGAATTAATCTTTATTTTCCTTCTTTTCTTTTTTCTTTTTATCCTTCTTATCCTTTTTCTCTTTCTTTTCCTTCTTTTCCTTCTTCTCTTTCTTTTCTTTCTTCTCTTCTTTAGATCCACTCATAATTACTGAGTCTAAAGTTATTTCTGGTAAAGTTTCGTTAATTTCTTCAACTTCTATAATCTCATCATCATCGAATTTGATCTTCTTATTTGGTTTTTCTTCTTCATCATCTTCAAATTTGATCTTCTTGTTTGCTGTTTCATTTGGTGTGGAGAAACTTTGTATATCTTCTAAAGATGGAGGTAAACCTCTTAAATTTCTTTGTAATCTTTTTAATTGAGATAAGATTGCAGCATTACCAGTATTATTACTTAAACCTGTACCAACACTTAACAATTCATTAGAACTTTTATCTTCAGGTAAGGTTGTGGCAATTAATTCACTATTTTCAACAAAATCAGTTAAGATTCTTTCTGTCTCATCTTGATCAATATGATGAGATTCTATTATGTGAACAGTAGTTGGAGTATTTACCACCGAAGGTACCGATCTTTTTGGACGAAATGACATTTTGAGTTAAGTTTTATCTACCAAAGTTTTCTTTAAACTTGAGTATAAACCTTCAATATTATCAAAAGGTCTTAGGTCTTAACTATGAGATGAGATGAAAAATTTGACTTTCCCGCGACAATCAGACAAAAACTTTGGTGAGTGAAAAATTTCAACACATTATGTTAAGACTAATAAGTAACGTTTCCAACCCCATGGTCCATAGATATCAAGGAGTACGTGGGTTCTCCTTGATGACAAACAACTTAATATCCAATAACATGAAACCTAGAACCGTTCAACAACCAATAAATGTATTGAGTCAATTAAACAATGAGGTATCAATAAATTCAATCTTTGGTTGGATAACAAGAAGATTTAAAACAAGAGGTAATACTTATCAACCATCTACACTTAAAAGAAAGAGAACTTTTGGATTCTTGGCCAGATTAAGAAGTAAAAATGGACGTAAAGTTTTACAAAGAAGAAAAGCTAAGGGGAGATGGTATTTAACTCATTAAATAACTCATTGAATGTAAATAGATTATAATGTATATATATGTACACGATTAGGCTCTACCTAATAATTTAGAATATTCACTTTCAACTTCGTGAATGATTTTTTGGAGGTTAACAATTCCTAATTCATGAGTAACATTAGGGAACTTATTTCTATGTAATCCAAACCATTCTAATGGAGGTGTAGCATTACCTAATTCTTTCAAACGAGGGGCTTCAATAATTGGTGGAGCTAAAGGTAAATAATCATATTTGGATTCTTTAGATACTTTATCGATCTTTTCATTGATTACTTGATCAATTTCTTCACTTGGGTCTTTTGTTATTGGATCAATATCACTATCAGAATCATGTTCATGATGGGTGAAGATATCTTGCTTGAATTTAATACCTTCAAAATCATCTCTATTTTGAATAGTCTTTTTAAATTCAGTTCTGGATTCAAGAGATTTCAAATGAATTGAATACATCTCTCTGATGAAATTAACTGAACCCAAATTCCATCTAATATCAACTGTTCTACCAAAAGTACTGTTATATAAGTATTCGATCAAATTGGAATTATATTTCTGGAAAGTTTTCATGGAAATAGCAAATGATGGGAATACAAAAATGTTACCTCCTCTAGCTTTATGAGCATATTTGACAAATTCTTCAACCGTACAATTAGTAATGAAATCTTCCAGAATATTACTATTGATAGATAAAGAAACCACTAAATCATTGAATTGAATTTCAAGTTGATTAGCAATCCCTTCATTATATTCATTCTGTGAAAAGAACGCTGTTGAACGATCTAATTTCAATACCAACACTTTAGAATCATCAAAAGATGAAGGATAAACATAAACCATTAAAGTTCCCATCACCACTTCGAATTCAGTTTCTAATTTCTTAACTGTTTCAAGAATAGCATTATTTTGAATCTTTTCTGAAAGGTTATTCAATGATTGCATTGAAGGTTTCTTATTTCTTTGAGTCTTTGCATCATGTAAGGTTTCCTTATAAGAAATCTTATTCTCTTGAGTCATTCTTAAGATGGCATTATAAATATCATAGACATTGGAAGCTGTGAATGATGACATATAAATTTCAAAGATCTTGAATTTAGTAGTAACAAATAAATGATCTTTGCTTATCATACTTTCTGATTTTTGATTGAAAACATCCAAGGAGAATTCTTCTAAATTACTAACCAAGAATAAATGATAATCGAAAGTACTCTTAATCTGTAACTTTTCAATACCTGTTGACATTAAAACTAATGGAACATCCAAGGTTTCATTATTAATCTTCCATGAAATAGCTGAATTAAGATAAAGTTCATTACCTATGATTTTACCCCCTAATCTTCCTTCAGAAGTCAATACAAATGATGATATTCCAAACTTCAACTGTTGAGTCCAATCAGTGGATTTTTTTGACATCATCCAGAACCTATCAATTCTGAATATCATTTCTCCCAAAGATGGACCAAAATTCACTTTGATGGTCAAATTAAGTAAAATATATGTTAATAACCAAGGAAGAGCATTGGTGGTTGAAACTTCTTTAAACCTTAAGGCAATGTTCTTATTAGCAGCTAAAGAATCAGCGATTTTTTCTTCTTGTTCAGGTTCTTTGGCTTCATAAAGCTGTTTAGGGAACCAAATATCTCTGAATAATTCCAAATCTTGATATTGTTTAACATTGATATATCCATCAACATCTCCTATAGATCCACTGGATTTAACTTCTACTTGTTTATCGAAACTTATCTTGGAAACACTTAAAATGGAATTGATCTTGAAATATCCACTCACTTCTCTTGAATAAATATGTTGCAAGGATATCGATACGGAATTTAGATTACCTGTAATATTGATGGAGGAATTTTCCCCTGACATCAATTGGAAGGTCAAACCTTCAATTCCAACCACACTTTCAACTTTAGCTGTAGGTTCACAACTAAATGATAAGATCTGTTTATCAATGTGTAAACCCAAATAGAAATCAGTTTCATCCAAGAAGGAAGCAAAATTAAATGCTTGGTCTTTCTTGTCCTTCACCACATCAGTATCAACATTGTCTATAAGAGGTGGAGAATCAGATTGACTTTTCATGATCCCTTTGATGGTATTGATTAAATCCACTATTACAGGAACACACGATGAATACAATTTGTTCTCTGATGAAGCTGTTGAAATTTCTGCTTTGAAGTTATGTTTCTTAGGCCCAATTTTATCATGGGCATAATTAATAAATGTTTGAACAGCTGGGAAATGAAGATATAACGAAGCAGGTTTATTATGTTCTGTCAATCTATGGATTAACACCGTTGAACCAGCAAAAGTTACTTTACATTCAATCGATTGGAACGTCGACCTTAATGATTCAATGTATTGTTGTTCTTCGTGTTTTTCACTACTATCTTTCCACTTATCCATTGGACGTACTCTCTTGTCGAAATGAGCTTGCATACTTGATACCGAATTCATGGTCGATTCGAAGATTTGGAAGGAATCAGATAAAAACTTAACATCAAGCTCATCACCAGTAATGGATATTTTCATTTCTTTACCATTGGTTTCGTTTTCATGAATTATATAAATGGTTTGCATAAATGGTAAGAATGCTCTATTTGGACCATCTCTTTCACCAGTTGAACTATAGAAAGAATTGGCTGTTGTACCATGAGCAACCGATAAATAAGCTTCAATCAAAGATAATTTCCCAATTCCTTCATCGGTGACGGCATAAAATCTTTCAGCTCCCATAATAAGCCCAGGGTAATCTTTCCTTGGATTATCGAAGATCCACCCAATACAGAAATTATACGATAAGAAGTGAATAGCTGAGATTTGATCCACGAACAGGGAGGTATCGGACAAATCCCCTGATTCACCACCAGTATTAATAGACGGGAAATCCATCTTCAACCTATTCGAAATCCTAGTAATCTCATCAGCAAAATGAACCAATCTTTGGATTACACCTGAACTGAGACAAATTCGGAAATATTCTGATGATACCTCCAACAATTTACCTTTAGTCTCATTCAACAATTTCATTGATAAGTTCATATCAACAAAATTGCTCAACTTAGCAGGAATGATACGATCACTGATGGATAATCGAGCTGTAGGAATTGAAATCTCACCAAAATAATCTACCAACTTCATGACTTCGTCATAATTAGAGATACTGAACTTGAAATCTTCACTCTCAATGGAGTATTTGGACCTATCGTTTATCCAAGAAACACCGAAATAATGATTGAGGATTGTTATATCAATCGGCATTTTGGTGATATCAATGCTTGTTTGGTGGGGCTTATTCTCTTGTTTAGGAAACTTATCAATGATATTTTGCACTTCGATCTTCAATTCTTGATAATCGTCAAGAACTTGGTTTATTGATTTCACCAATTTGGAAGAGAAGAATTTCGTGTATCCTAATTGGGAATCAACAGATACTGTAGGTAAGCCTTGACCAGTCAGGATTATCTTAGCGTTGTTGAACAATTGAGAATTCTTGATTTCCAAAACCAACAGTTTTTGATGATTAATGATGAAATCTACTTGTTGGATCAAACTTCCAATATCCATCTCTTTGTTAGCTATAGCCACTGAAAAATTATTATCGTAAACTTTTCCTTCAAAATTGTAGTGTTTCAAGATATTGACTTTCCAGTTCAAATGATTGATTTGAAGAGTCAAACTAACATTCAATGCCAACAACTTGTGCAACATATCTAAAGGATCAGTCTTAGTAGATGGTGTAGGTTCTTTTTTGGTTAAAAAGTCAAACATCGGTAAGTCTTCAGTCATGATTTTATCAATGGTAGTGGAGAATTTATGGTCGACGAGTTCGAAGAAACAATTATCTAAGAACAAATCATAAAAATAGGAAGAAGAGCCATGACCTAACACCAGTTTAAAGTTTTGGATTCCAAAACTCAAGGTGTCTTGAAGATTAAAGCCCAACATTTCAATATCAGTGGTAACTGAACAAAGGTCCTGACCTTCAATGGATTGAACTAATCCTGAAGATCTTAAACTGGTAGCCAGGATTTCTATATTGGAATAATTGAGCCTTAATTTCTGATTGAAATCATTCAAATTAACCATATAGAAGAAAGCAGAATTTTTTGGTTTGATCGCTTGAACAACAGGGTCTCCTGGACGAGATTCAAAATACGATACTATACTTGGGATTAATTTGATAGACACAGGAGATACAGAACCAGAATAGTTCCCGAGGTTTATACTGACTTCGAAACTTGACACATTGGCATCAAGATCATCAAGATCATGGTCAGTACGGGAGAAATTGGCTTCATATTTCCTTTCATTCAAAGATAAAGTGATATTTTCGTAAAAAAAGAAATCATCCTTGGACCAATTGATCAGAACGTTCTTCAAAATCGTTTGTCCAATCATCTTTTTCTCTTGAAGAATATCAATATTGAACATGGTCTGGAAGAAAGTTTCCCTATCTTCATAATTAGCTTCCCAACTTCTCCAGTTGGAGAAAGTCTCCCAAACCTGATCATAAGCGTCTTCAGGAATATCCCACAAGTTATCCCTAAACCTTTGTCGTTGAGACAATTTCCAGTCCGAGTCCATGGTTTCGAAAATATGCCTCAATCTCATCATCACCACCCAAGTATCAAAGAACCTGATATGTTGTTTTAAAGATCTGATCATGTAAGCAGGTTTAGTCAAAACACATGGGTCGTGATTAACCAGAGAGCTGACGGAACTTAATCCATAAACCAAGGCCATTGTCAATTTCCTTTTAATGGCAGAAGTCTTTTGGAATAAGTCGATAGCTGGTTTTAAGACTTTCAAAAGTTCATCAAAATAGTTGATTAACTGAAGGATTTTCGTTTCATCCAAGTTCAAGATAATATCTTCAACGGAAGCGGAGAATATCTGGAATTTATCTTCAGTCATCCAGAATTCGATGTCTTGGATGGAGAAATCACAACTATTCTGGAAACTTACATGGATGTTCTTTATACTAAAAGCATAGGATTTAGCCGATTCAATGGAATAGTCATTAGCATTATGAGAATCACAATCAGGATCCAAGGTTCTTTTCACTTCGTCAGCGAAAGCTATTGAAGGTTCATTGATCTGAAGGTTGATAAACGAATTATCGGAGAAATATTTCAAATCATAAGTTGGACTATAACATTCACCAAAAGATAAATTGATACTTGGAGCTACCACCCTAAAAGTATCGTTCATACAAGTTTGAAGCATCAATTTCTTCAATGCTTTTACCACTGATTGTTCTAAGGAATCAATGACCACATGCAAATCTGTCTCGAGACCTTCATATTGAAACAAAGCCATAGTATGTACTGCTTCAGGACTCAAGAACCCATTAACTTCGGAAAACGTGAATATCATATTATCATGTTTGAAGACTCCATCAGCCTGAGAATCGGGTTGAAAGTCTTCTTCCACGTAATGTAAAGTGGGAGAAATGAACAAATCACCATCTTCCGCAGGTGTATCGTCTGAGAATGAAGATGCTGTAGATGATGATAAACTGGAAGAATAAGGATCTTCCAATTGGGTCCGATCATTCAAAGGGTAGTTGACATCAATCAAAGAAATGGGTATTATGAAACTACCAAATCCCTCATTATAAGCGAGATTTCTATTGGTTTCCAGTAATAAAAAGGGAGCTCTATGGAACGGAGCATCATTGAATCGAATATGTTCTTGTTGACTCTTTCTGTGTTCCTTGAAATTAGGTTTTCTGGTAGGATTATCCAAAGTCAAAGAGGTTTTAATCAAACCCAAGATATTCCCAGTTGTTTTGTCAACAAATTCATGTTGTATGTCTTGAATATTGATAGAAAGCTTATTTGAGTATCTCAGATTGGCAATGTCATTATATGTCAATAATAATTGATGTAACTTAGTGTGTTGATATCTTGATTGAGTGTTTAATTTGATGTTTAAGTCAGGACAGTCAAAAGTAAATACCAAAGCATCATAAATGACAGGGGCTGTGGGATGTAAAGCATTGGCCAAATCCAGAAAACTGTTCAAAAAGTTCCCAATACAATCACCGAAAACATCGGTAAATTGAAGAGGTGCATCAACATTGATCTCATTGGTTGCAGCTCTCCAATTACAGAAATATGTGATTTCTTCTGGCGGGATCCCAAACATTCTGTGCCCATGAACAGTGAATTCATCCATGGTAATATGTGGGTCGTCTTCCATTAACTTATAGTAATCCTTAAGCTCAAGAATAATATCTTCATTATCGAGTCTTAGATACTTCCCCTTGACAGGACTAAAATCCGCTTGCATGTCCATATAATAGTTTGTAAAACGAAGGTCAGTGTCAAAGTAATCAAACACCAAACCAATATGAGCCTTACATCCATAGATATCTTGAGGTAATACTAAAAGCCCCTTCCTTACTTGGAATGTAAATATAACATCTACACTATTATCAGTTTTGATGATCTTCCAATAATCTAGATCATCTTGTAAGGTTGCTTCACTTGAATTGTTATCCATTTCATTGTTATACTCTTCGAATGTCTTAAAATGGAAATTATCACCCAAATAATTCTCTCTTAATACGAAAACGTATTTGACCAAAAATCCATAGAACTTCAATGATACCTCATCACACTTACAGTTGATAACAATATTGTTAAAACCGTAAGCTTCAATTTTATTAAAATACGTGTAACTACCATCCATTTCGAAGTTATGAGCCCTCCCCAAAATATATGAAGGAGATAAAAATGCATTACATGTATGCCATGGGGGAGTGTCAAGTACTAAATCAAAGTATGGTGCAAATATATAATAGTCAACAGTGTTCTTATTGGTAAATTGCCCTAATAAAGGAATGAGTAGTTTGATTTTGAGTTCAGGTCCTTGGAATGAAATATACTTATTACTATTGAAATCCAACGGATTGTTGATGATATTTGAATCATTGATATTGAGGTATATCTTGTAATCGCTGAACTCCCAGTTGAAATGATATTTGAACGGACGAAAGTTTTCATATAATGCAGGAGGTCCTGAAGCAAAATCTTCAAAAACATCCGATAATAAGATTGAGTGTTCTCTCAAGAAGAAAAGCTTACTATTAGAACTGAAATTATCAAATATCCAATCACAGGCACCATTCCATGTCAATGGGAATCCTACTTGGGCATTTATGGTATGAACATCAGCAGAATATAAGATATCATGATTAACTGAAGATCTCATCTCCAATTGAAGAAATACTGCAGATATGGTGTTTTCCCATCCTTTATCTCGCAGACAAACAAATGAATTATACAGGGTTATGCTTGAATTTGGTCCTGATTTCAATTCTAACCATCCAAAAGGTCGTTTATTCTGTGGCTGAGTATGATGTTTTAAAGCGTCTTTATCTTTTGATGTTTCACGAGTGGGTATTCTCAAGATTATTTCGTCGTTAGTGAACACGTTTAATTTGAACCCTTTATATTGACGTTTGGTCAAATCAGTAGGTTCAGAATCTCGAGCAATTGCCGGGAAAAAGACTGATTGTATAGGAACTCTTTGTTTATCAGCCCAAGGACCATAATGGATAGTTGCCATGGAAAATTCAACATCTGCTCCATAATCAGGAAAGGTACCATCAACAATTTTCCCTGGTATATCGAAATAATAATTAATCTTTGTCCATACAGTATCAAGGATCAAACTTGATTTAGCATACTCTTCAGCATTGGGTAAATTATCTAACACATCGTCATTGGATTCCAAATATCTTCTTAAACCTTGCCATTTGGCTTGATCTATCACAGGTTCTTGTGATCTTGAGAATAATTTCTTGATGGATTTGAACCTCGTTCTGGAGTCCGGACTGTATAAAATGTTAGGTTTCATAGATACTTGGAACTCCTGGAACTCAAAGAAGTTCAATTGTTTATAAATATCAGCTTTATGAGCAGGTTTGGTTATATCCAAGATCCCATTTGCTGATTTACACGATGAAACAAGCAATGAAGGAGTATCCTTATTTCCCAATACCATCACACCTTTTTTGATCAATACACTTAAAGGTAACATTTTCATAAGTCTCTTTAGGGTTTTGTAAAGTTTATCAACAGATAAATCATCTTCACTCGAAGAAGGAGATATTTGTTCTTTGTCATTATCGTTATCATTATCATTATCATTAGTCGTGTCTCGAGATCTATATCGTAAATGGGATGATGAGGAAGTATCTGGTGACTTCTCTTTGTTGAGTTTTTCCTTGGTCAATGTCTCTACAATATTATCATAAGCCATGGTTCTATTATACATGAATATCTCTAATCCTTCCATAGCCAACAAAAATCTTGAAGGTAATTTCTCATTGTCTGATTTGGTAAAACTTGATTCGTTACCATCATTTTCATCTGGTAGCACGAATTCAGGGATTCTTGTTTTCCCCCATAACCAATATCTCCATGTAAAATTCAACTGTAGTACTGATATAGTCCAATCTTCATTCATTATGGTCAAATTCTTGATTAAAACTCTCCCTCCTAGCACAGAGAATCTTATAGACTCAATGTTTATCCCCACATTAGACGATCTCCATAGCCATTTTCCTATAAATGATATGGTGAATCCTATTAATCTATCAAAATAGAATACAAATGCAAACCCCACAATTAACACTAAAATCCAATCTGCCAAATAGATCCAAGTAGATGCCAGATCAGTTGAACTGTTGGCAACGTCGATAAACTGATTCTGTACAGCCATCAACCACTATTTGAGGATCTTGGGTATCTTCGTTTATATGTGAAGTTTAATAAAGGTTTGAAAACCGCGCACTCCCACAAATTTGAGATCACAAACATTGTAAACAATCATGAATACTATAAGATTTTCTGATCAAGAGAATAAGATAACAGTTGATGATGGTTCCAACGGTAAAAATGTGAATAAGGGTAAACCTTTGGCCAACAAAAAGAGGGTTAGAGTACCTTTAGGAGGTAAAGATAGCAATAAGTTATTTCCTACATTAAATAGATCAAAATCAACTATTGATAATAAAGTTATACCCAGACCTATTTCAAGATCTAGTTCTACGTTAGGATTCACTCATAAACAACCTAGTCAATTGTTACAACGTCAACATCTGGTATTACAACAAAGTACTCCGAAAATATCTTTATCAATACCCTCGCAACCTAAAAAGAGTACATTAGAATATAACGAAAACACTATTTTTAATCCTCAACAAGCCAACAGACCAAGTGAATTATATCAAGATGATACCGATTCTTTAAGAAAACAAATAATTCCAGGTAAACCACCAAGTGATGATTTAATATTCAATGATAATACCAATTTACCTGCTAAAGTGTCCAGACAAATTCATAATGTGGACCCTATCAAACGATCAAAGGTTAGTAATAAATTGGATTCATATATTCAAAGTAGAAACGAATTATTCCAACAATTAGTTGATGATGAAAATAGTGTTGAAGTTGGACCTCCATCTTTTAACCATCGAGAATCACCAGATTTCTTTGAAATCCCAGAATCTAATCATGAAGTAAGTATAGATTTGGGAGATTTCCAGATCAATGATACTTTGGATATGAATGAAGTATCAAGAGATTCAGATGAGGAATTAGGGTTAAATGAAAGTGATTTAAGGGATCTATTAGATTAAAGGTTTTATCAAAATATATACATGGGAAGTGATCGCCTCTCTATTGTTGTCTACATTCAGGTTGTGGATTAGCATATTCATACTCATAATCATCATCGTATCCGGGATGAGCATGTCCGTTAGCATGAGCATGTCCATTTGGAATTTCTTGTTCTTTATATTCAGGGAGATTGTTCTTATTGACCAAAGTAAAATCTGTGATCAATTCGATATTTTCTTCCAAAACGTCGCTATCATTTAATTTCCTATCTCCTGGTAAGACGTTTCTTAATTTGAGGAGATCATTCTTTTCCAAGTACCAATTATCTTTAGGAAATTCGATCTCAATCTCGATATATAAATCACCTTTAGTTTTAGAACTAAACCATGAAGATTTCTTCATAGGCATACCTTCATTCTTAATCTTTAAGAAATCACCTGGTTTAATGACTTTACCTTGAGGAGTTGAAACTTTGATATCTCTCCCATCAAGATGTTTAGTGACTATCTTAGAAAACCCACATAATGAATCAACCAAAGGTATCTTGAATTTGGTATATAGGTCATCACCTTGACGTTTAAAAGTGGAATGGTCTTTACAGGTGAATTTCAAAATCACGTCCCCGGTTTCTTTGCCGGGATATTCATCAGATTCTCCTTTCAATATGACAGAATCATTACTCTTACATCCTTTTTCGATGATAAATTCCAAAATCTTGGTTTCTTCCACAACTCTTTTACCTTGACATCTTTTACAATAGTCCTTTGTTCGATAAACTTTCCCACTACCTTCACATTTATTACAGGCGACTTTTTGTTGACTTACTAATCCTGGACCTACACGACTGATCTTGGTGACATATCCGTGACCTTCACAATTTCCACATGTCTTTGGAGTGGCAGCCTTTTTGGCTCCTCTACCTTCACATCTTTTACATATGACATTTCTGGTGGATGTTGATCTGATTGTTTTCCCCTTATATAAATCTTCTAGAGTAACATCGACATTTAACACGGCATCTTCAGTTTTCTTAGATTTCTTAGGTGAGTTGTTATTCATACCACTGAAAAAATTAGAAAAGTCATTGGCGGTGAATTCGGGTCCGTTCGAAGTAAAAAAATTATCAAATGGATTATCACTACCATTATATGTACCACCATTGAAACCTGCGGCATCATCTGTACCATACATATCATAATTGTTTCTTTTGGTCTCATCACTCAATACTTCATAAGCATGAGATATCTCTTTGAATTTGATCTCAGCTTCAATCCTTTCATCCTCACTCACTTTATCAGGATGGTATCGTAAAGCCAATCTTCTGTAAGCCTTCTTGATATCAGAATCACTGGCTGATGAATCAATGCCTAATATTTCATATAAATCTGACATTGAGACTGATTTTCATCACGATCTCAGTTTATCGCGATGGAGTTTTGAGTGGGGGAGCATGGTGTTGGGCAGGTCAATTCACGATATTAGAAGTCATCTAGAGTTTTATGAATATACTGATCAAGACTGTTTGGTAAAAATTGGGTTATTTCGAAAAAAAAAATAACTAACTTGGTAATTCAAAAATAAAAGATGCCGATGTAGGCAGGATTCGAACCTGCGCGGGCAAAGCCCAGAAGACCCTGATTCTTCCGCCTTAAAACCACTCGGCCACTACACCTTAATTTACATCCCTGTGGTAGTACCACGATCGCGAAACTGTGGTACCAAGGTCGACAGACCATGGTGCTTCCCACTGCGACAAATGGCGGTATACTATCGACCAAAGTCAAGGTATTGACTGATACATTTCAAAATTTACGCATTTTTTTTCAATACGTGTTTTTGACACCTAAAATGGGATTTAACATTTTGGGAATGTATCGGAGGCTCAGATGACGCGATATCTTTAATGGTTAAAGTTGACTATTGAAAAAACGTTAATGTTTATATGAAATAGGGGCCATGACAGTTCTCGTGAATAACCGAAAATTTAAATGAGATTGTCAAAACAACTGCAAACCAGTATTATTTAAGTCATAGATAATATCTGACTATTTTCTGGAAAACGCCTGGTTTACAGTCGATAAATATACGAAGATTCGTCAATGTTATGAATGAAGGATTTTAGATCGAATAAGTCGGGGTGCATGAAAACAATAAATTTTCATCTAAAATACTACGCCTAGTGTTTGAGGATTTTGATATTTCGGCTCACATGGATGTATTGCATGAAAGTACCCAAACATATTTCCAAATAAGCCTGAAGGTGTTCACTAAATATAGTGGCTTGGATAAAATTTAACCTTAGCATCGATACGTCGTGTTCGAGTTTTTGGAGTCTTGGGCGATCATTAGACCAAATCACAACCCCAAAGGGTTAAAAAATGAACTGATTCCGGTAACAAAATAATTTTTTTGACAGTGCTTATGTCCCATAACGGTAATCGCCTTTCATTTAGTCCTTTATGCAGCGATCGAATTTCTCTGTTCCGATTCCGTTGAATTGTCCTTTACCTCCTTTGAAATCAATTGACACCCTCAAGAGGCTATCTACATACTACACCGATCACCAGGGATCTCATTGGGCCATATTTACCTCCTCAAAATACACGCTTATGGTGTTTTCTCTTGGGAAAAATAATCGTCTCAATGCGAAAAAATAAATAATTTTTTTCGCAGCCAAAATCATGTAAACAGATAACAATGCATATGCACCATGTCTAAGGTTAATATGTATAAAACCTTGTGGGAACCCCAAGATACTATCAGTAATGATTGCAATCAATTATTTGGTATTGTTGTTATCAACATTTTCTTTCGTTTTTTCAAATGAATGTTTCGACCAATCATTGCAAGAAATCTTAGGTGATACTCCTTCAGCTCCTGTTGAATCAGGAATTGAAGTTGTTTTTGTTTACGCCGAGAAATTGGTTAAGATTGTAGAAGGTGTAGATGAAAGCTATGCTAGTTCAATTGCTGGTGCTGCTAGTTCAATTGCTGGTGCCGCTAGTTCAGCTGGTGCTGCCAATGGGTTATCTGCTTCAACTACTTTAGCTGTTAAACCTTCAAGTTGTCAAACAACTGAAACCCCTGATGTTACTAAATTGTGTACCAGATGTTCAGTTGCTACTATTGTAAGAACTGATAAGACCGTGAAAACCGTCCTTTATTCAGCTTCGTCAACTCAGCCTTGTTCTCAATCTGATCAAACCTTACTGTCTTTAACAAGTAAAAGAAATCCTGTTACTAGTCAAAGTGCTGTCAGTTCTAGTGCTACCTATTCTGCCACTACCTTGACCGATGTCAGTTCAAATTCTGGAGTTATCGCTTCAATTTCAAGTTATTTACTTGGTAGTTCAACAAAAGTTTCAACCAGTGTCAGTGGTTCCAGTTCAGCCTCAAGATCTAGCTCAGCTTCCAGTGGGCCAGCTTCAAGTGACCCAGCTTCAAGTGACCCAAGTTTGATTACAAGCTCAGCCTCAAGCTCAGTTGGTGTTTCAAGTTCTGCTGAAAGTAGTTCAGATCCAAGTAGTTCAGAAATCATCAGTTCCAGTTTTGGTTACTTCAACAGTTCAAGTTCAATTGAAGAATCCTCAAGTGTTGAATCTTCATCAGTATCCAGTGTTGAAATTAGTGAATCTAGCAGTGAATCAAGTTCTGAATCAAGCTCTGAATCAAGTTCTGAATCAAGCTCTGAATCAAGTTCAAGCTCATTAGAATCCAGTGAATCAGATTCAAGCTCATTAGAATCTTCAAGTGAACTCCCTTCAAGTTCAAGTGAATCAAGTGACGTTGCCTCCAGTTCCACTGAAACTGTCTTCATCACTGCCAGATCTTTAGGTGTTGACCCAAACAATTACATCAATGAAATTTTTGTCCCAGTCTCCGACGACGAACCTCCAGCACAATTTTCTCGTGTTGCCAGTTCTTTCAGTTTGAAATCAGGTATTGCACCCCAACAGGTTTATGAAACTAACAAGTTCTACACAAATTTCCTTACTGGTACTCAAACAGATATGGTTTGGACTTACCCTTACGGAATTGCTTTCGATAAAACTTATTACGGTTTATCAATCCAACACACCGATCCTTCAACTAGAGTCTTTGGTACTCAAAATACTAATAACCCAGATACCTCATCCTATGTATACAATCAAATCCATACTAATGAAATTATCTTTTCAGCTACCAGTTTTGATTCTAATATTCAATTATCAGTAGACAACATGTTGGATATGTCAGCCAACCTTATACTCAGTGTTCCAGAAATCATTCCAATCAAAAGAGATTTATCATACATGGAAGTTCCTATTGTTCAAGGTATGGGATTTGTCACTGCTATCTATCATGGTGGTTTGACCCCACAATTCAAATCAGCTCATCAAATTACCGGTGTGGTTTCTGAAACCGTCAATTCAATTTATAGACTCAGAGTTACTTTGAATACTGGTTTTGAATATCTTATCTTCCTTACTGCTCCTGACTCCCTGGATTTATCTGATTTATCATGGGAAATCAATGGTGATAATAATGTAATTACACTCGATAGAAGTATTGATGGATTGGTTGTTCAAGCAAGTTTAGCTCCTTCAGATTCTTCAATGGATGTTTATCTTGAACAAGCATCAGGTTGTTATCCTATTGGAGCTGTCATGAGTGCTTCAGCTATTCAAAGTGGTAGACTCGTCAAATATGGTTGGGATTATGAAAATCAAGGAAGTTCAATCTCCATGGCTCCTCTTATTTACTTATTACCTCACCATGTTCAAAACTTAGTTTCTGGAAGTGCCCTTCCTTTCACTATGCCTTCAACCGTCAAAGGAGAAATGGTCCCATTTATTACCAATTCAGTTAGAATGTATCAATACTTAGATACTAACATCAATTTCTTACCATTCGGTTTCAAGTATACCTTGAAACAATATAACCAAATTATTTCAGTATTCAATGATGAAATCAACGTAGACATTGCTGCCACTGTTGCTAGTTATTCATCCAATTATTTTGCTGGTAAAGCTTTAGATAAATATGCTTACTTATTATTGGTTGCCAGTGAAGTCATTCAAGATGATGAAGTTGCCAGTAATGTTTTAGAATCAATGAAAGAAGCCATTGCTCCATATGTTCTGAATACTCAAGCTATTCCATTCATTTATGATACTAAATTAGGAGGAATCACTTCTAGTGTTGAAGAAGATGGTCAATCCCAAAATGAATACGGTAGTGCTTGGTACAATGATCACCATTACCATTATGGATACTTTGTCCACGCTGCTGCTGTTATTGGGTATGTTGATCAACGTTTAGGAGGAACTTGGGCTCAAGATAATAAAGCTTGGGTTGAATCATTAATTAGAGATGTTTCGAATCCTTCAAGTCTTGATACCAAATTCCCAGTTTCCCGTATGTTCGATTGGTACCATGGTCATTCATGGGCTTCAGGATTATATGCCAGTGGTGATGGTAAGAATGAAGAAAGTACTAGTGAAGATTATAATTATGCTTATGCCATCAAATTATGGGGTAAAGTCATTGGTAAACCAGCTTTAGAATCCTTAGGTGGATTAATGATTGGTGTTAGTAGTCAATCCATGAATAATTACTTCTTATACACAGAAGGTAATGCTAATGTTCCAGGAAATATGGCTAACAACAAGGTGAGTGGTATTTTATTTGATAATAAAATCGATTATACTACTTATTTCGGTGCTCCAGATACTCATCCTGAATATGTTCACGGTATTCATATGTTACCAATCACCCCAGCTTCAAGTTTGGTAAGACGTTCAAATTTCGTTTCACAAGAATGGCAAGATCAAGTATCAACTTTCATCGATAATGTTGATGATGGATGGAAAGGGATCTTGAGATTAAATCAAGCTCTTTTCGACCCTCAATCTTCATTTGATTTCTTTAGTTCATCAAATTTCAACTATAACCATTTAGACAGTGGACAAAGTAGATCATGGGCTTTAGCTTATTCTGGAGGTATGTTGAATAACTTTGTGCAGTATTTTAAATAGATTTTCGTTACAATAGATACCCTTTAGTTTACTCTTTAGTTTACTCTTTAGTTTACTCTAGTTTACTCTAGTTTACTCTTTAGTTCACCCTTTAGTTTACTTAGAAGTAAGTTGCTCTCCACTCTGGTTCAGGTGAAAGCTATCCAGCTCAGAAGCCCTACAGCCCAGAAGCCCAGAAACCCAGAAACCCTCTAGCTCAGAAAATCTCTAGCTCAGAAGCTCTCCTATCCCCCAGTCTCAATCTCACCTGTTCCAGTCTCAAAACCCTGAAATCTCTGCGGGTAACCTCGCGCAAAGGGTCAGGAGTGTCGAAAAACAAATATTGTCCAGTTCAACAAAATGGTACGTTGTAAATAATGGTTGTCAATTACTTCAATTACACCACCATTTCACCAATGTTCAATATACTAACAAAAACAGTCTAGATCAGGGTATGTTCCAATTATTTCCAATGGTTTAACGCGATTATACTAACATATATTTAGAGTATCCGTTGCTGACGATTCATTATCAGCTTTCAATGATTTAAAATTAGGAAAGAAATACAAATACATTATTTTCGGATTAAACGATTCCAAAACTCAAATCATTGTCGATAAAACTTCCACCGACAGTGATTATGAAAGTTTCATTGGAGATTTACCAGAAAACAGTTGTAAATATGCTATCTATGATTTTGAATATGAAATTGGTGGAGGTGAAGGTAAAAGATCAAAGATTGTTTTCTTTACTTGGTCTCCAGATACTGCCTCAATTAGAGATAAAATGATTTATGCTTCATCAAAAGATTCTTTAAGAAGAGCATTAAATGGAGTTTCATCTGATATTCAAGGTACTGATTTCTCTGAAGTTTCATACGAAGCTGTTTTAGAAAAAGTCAGTAGAGGTGCCGGTTCTCATTAGTGAATGTATATTTTTCATTAATTCCTATTTTTAAGATTATTTTACTTATTTACCACTCTGATTCCCCTGTAGCTTTTTGGAAAACATAATCCTTGCCATTGATATTAGCCACTCCTTCTTTTAAATTACATTTCCATTTATTTTTGATTCTTTGAACTTTATCATAAAGACATAACATTATATGACCATCTTGATCATTTTCTTCATCATCACTTTTACCACTTTCTAAATCATCATCTAATTCGGAATTTATATCATCTGAATCATTAAATAAATCATTATCATCATCAGAAACCCCATCAACTCCTTTAAGTTTCTTAAGGTTATTTATGAATTCTTTAGCATTATCATTATCTAAAGTTATTTCAAAATTTGATCCATCAGTTTGAGTTACTGTTGGTAACATTAATCCATTATCATCATCATCATATTCTTGTTTAAAACTCGTCATATTAGGAATTTGAATATCCAAATCATTATTATCTCCTATAACATTATTTACTGATCCAGTATTATAACTTAATAAATCTGGATGTTCTAACTTAATATCATTATCAAACGGTTGATGTGAAATATTTTGTTGAAATGTTGGTTGATTATCCCATGAAAATTTAGCTACTTGACTTTGTGTTAATTTTTCACACCATATTCTTTTTAATTCTTGTAAAGTACTTTCTTCAATCCCACTATTTTCGAAATCTTGTCTGGAGTCATTAATAACTTCATCAATAATGGTCTCATATAATCTTGATGATTCGGTATTAGACATGGTTTTTCTGGGTGATATAACTTATAAAAATGCAAATGTGATGAGTATTTCTTCTATAGATTGATGTTTTTAAACGATTGTTATTCAATTATCAATACTTAAACAATAATGATAGGGGATAACTAATGTCAGTTTTTCGACAGTTCGCAGATTTTTCACTCCCTCCCGCGAGCGCGCAATCACGTGACGCTTAGGTAATCATTAACAAATTTTATTTATATATAAACACTAAAACTACATAACAAACCTTACCTTCTTGAATTCATAGGTGAATTTTTAGGTGAATTAAGTCGAGATTTCAAATCTTCAAGTTCAATTTCAAGGTGCCTCTTTTCAATTTGAATTTTATCCACGGCTGATTTGTACTTATGTTTTAAAATCTCTACTTTATTGGAATGCTTCTTACTATATTCTTTGAACAAATGGTTGGAGATACCCTCTATTCTTCTATCACGGTCTGCCTTCAAGAATTCGATTTTCTCTTTCAATTCAATGACTTTACTTTCATTTTGTCTTTTGAGAGTTTCAACTTCTTTATTCTTTGAATCCAATTCAATGGTTAACTTCCTCACTTCTTCTTCAACTTCTTTGTTGATTTCATCGTGTGTGACTTTAGATTGAAGCTCTTGTTCCAATCCCTTTATTCTTTCTTCATAAAGATTTTTCTGTTGTTCAAATTTATTGATAGTATCTTCTTGACTATCGATGATTTTTTGGAATTCACTTTCATTAGAAGTTTCTTGATCTTTTTGCTTTTCGAGTTGTTCTTTCTCTTCTTGGAGAGTTTGTTGTTGGTACTGTAAAACTTCTTTATCTTGGGCTAATTTCTGTTTAAGTTCATTTACTTCATTCTCATTGATTTTGAATTCTTGTTGTTGTTGAAGTAATTGTTGTTGATCAGTCTCAAATTGTTGTTTCTGTTTGATGAACTGATCTTTTTCTTTGAAATACTGCTCTTGTTCGTCAGCGAAGGTTTCTTGTTGTTTAGTGAATTCATCTTTTTTCAAATCCAAATCTTTGAAATCTTCTTCTGCTTGTTTCTCCATTTTCTGAAGATCTTGCAACAATTCGGTTCTTTCCATGACAAGTTTCTTATTCTCTTCTTCAAATATCTTCTTATTCTCTTCAAATTGTTGAAATTGTTCTTCCAATACTCGTTTCTTTTCTTCAACGACTTCATTCTCTTTTACCATCATATCTTCAAATTTCTTTTTCTCTGCTTCAAATTCTTCTTTACTTTCCCTTAACTGCTCCTTTTCTTTATGAAGATTCATTCTATCTTCTTCAATTTTTTGATCCTTATCATTAACATCCTTTTCGAAATCATTTAATTTGATTCTAATCTCATCCAATTTCTGTTTCTCTTGTTCAATACTTTCCTTCTCATCATTAATGACTTGATATTCATCTTGTTGATGTAATCTTGTCTTTTCCAATTCATCAATAGTTGAATGTTTGAATTTATTGAATTCACTTTGTTCTAAAATGTCTCCATTTAAATCTTCGATTTTTTGTTGTAACTCTTTGATTTCCACTTGAGCCAACTCTAAGTTTTTATCTTTGACAGCAAGTTTCTTGGAAAGTTTAGCATTATCATTACAATTAACATTTAATCTTGTTTCCAATGAATCTTTAACACTTTTCAATCTGTTGATTTGGAACTCTAAATCTTCAACATTGGACTTCAACCTTGATATTTCAGAGTCTTTAGCATTCATTTGTGTTTTCAAATCTTCAAAATCCTGGTTTTTGTGTTTCAATTCAATTCTAAGATCATCAATTTGTTTATCTAAACCACTTTTGATTTCCTCCATTTTAGCATGGGTGTAAACAGGTATTTGATCGGTATCTACTCTGAAATTGACTGTTGGTTCATCAATGATGTTGTCATTATCTGGTTGTTCATCATCACTATAAACTCTATCAATACTTGAATTCATATCTGTGACATTGATAAGAGGAGATCTCTTGGTAAGCTTGGGTTCCAATGGGGGTAAATGAACCACAGAACTTTCATTGGCATTTGTCTTAACATATTTGACAGGAGTTGGTTTCTCTTCATCCAAACTTCTTTTTTTGTTGAAAGGTGATGTATCGAATTGAGGTGAACTGATAAAGTATTTGTTAATACTATCGAAGGTATTTTCCTTATCTAAGGAGCTCCTCTTATTGAAATCTTCATTATTAACATCATTTAACTTTCCTTTAGGTGAAGCCATTGGATTCATATTCAATCTGGTGGAAGGAGTAGAATTTAATGTTTGTGGAGATTCATCATCTTTTCTACTTTGTTTTTTGGCGGAAAGTCCATGAGGATGTTTCCCTAACAATGACCCAGGACTAAGCTGTGGTAATTGCATGTGTGTGTGATGAATAATGGCATCTTCTAACTTAATGGGTGAGAAGGTTTCCCCATCCATTGGATCAATAGTGTTTTCCATGTTTACTTTAAGTCGCGTTTTTTTTTGGTGATGATTAGAAGGAGGTGAGAGTTTGATGGGTAGATATTTGTAAGGTGTTGAACGTGATATTGGGATATTTGGGATGGGGGACATCTTGATTGACTTGGTGGATGCAAAAAATGGTGTTTTATTGATTTGGTTGATGCAGAAATGGGGTATTTATCAGGTAGATCGTGATATTTCAATGAATCATGGTGGAGTTTTATTTGCAGCCATTCATAAATAAGTCCTTATTGGTCAGAGATGTAGCCAGACAGGACTTATACATCCTCAAGATGTCTTTTAGTGACCTGATGATCTTTTAATTCCAGATCTCTCATTGCAATGGTCTTATACACATTACTCCCACACCTTTGATCCCCCAAAAACCCGCCATTTATCATCAAACCACTCCATCATACCTATTCCCTCTCTAATTGATCTCTGAATAAAATCCTCGACTTTCATGCCACCACATATTACATTTCAGTTTTTCACTTTCTTTTTCTACCTTAACAAACCAACTTGTAACTTTCCATAAAATCTGGTGATCTGTAAATTTTGCAATTCGCGAGATTCTTCAATGAGGTTCACCAGACTTTACTCAACATTACCGAGACCAAACCTCGATGTAAAGTCTATTCTAGCTAACTATAGTCGATACCACGATTCTATCATCAAAAGAGAACTATCACCTACCATTTTACACAATCTTGAATCTTTGAAAGAGAATAGAACTGAAGAATTGAAGGTAAATAGTGAGTTGAACAAATTGAAACATGAAAGAAACACTCTTTCAAAGACCATGAACAAAGACAACAAAGAGTCTATTATACAACTTCTTACAGAATTTAAAGTGAAGATCAAAGGGTTGGAAGATAAGTTATCAGTATTATCAGAAGAGAATTTTCAAAAAGCTGAATCACTACCAAATTTAATTGATGAATCAGTCAAACCTACTGAAGATGTGGTTGAATATTTGAACTATAATGGGGAAGATACTTTGGAAACCACAGAGTACGATCACAAGGTCATAGGAGAAAAGAAAGGAATAATGGATTTCAATTCGGGAGCTAAAGTATCGGGAAATTCATGGTATTACCTTATTGGAGACGGTGCTATGCTAGAGCAAGCTTTGATCAATTATACATTACAAATGACAAGGGAGAAAGGATACAAGATGGTCATACCTCCAACTATCGTAAGGAACGAAATTATCAATGGTTGTGGGTTCAAACCAAATGATCAAAATAATGAACAACAAATTTATGAAATTTCCAATAGTGATTTATCATTGATTGGAACCAGTGAAATTCCATTGGCAGGATTACATGTAAATAGCAACATCAATTATAAATCCTTGCCTGTGAAATATGTTGGGTTATCAAGAGCTTTCCGAGCTGAAGCGGGTGCTAGAGGTAAGGACACCAAAGGATTATATAGAGTTCATGAATTCACTAAGGTAGAATTATTCCATTTCACCAAACCAGAAAATTCAGCTGAAGAATTAGAAGAAATTGCTGAGTTACAAAAGAAGATCATCAATAATCTTGGATTGAAAGCTAAAGTTATCAATATCCCTTATAATGATTTAGGATCTCCAGCTTTCAAGAAATATGATATCGAAGCTTGGATGCCGGGAAGACAAGCATGGGGAGAACTTACTAGTACATCCAACTGTACAGATTATCAATCAAGAAGGTTGACTATCAAGTATACCGATGAAATGAAGAAACATCATTATTTACATACATTGAATGGGACAGCCATGGCAATTCCCAGGGTCATTGTAGCTATAATTGAACAATTTTATGATCCAATCACTGACAAAATTTCCATCCCCAAGGTTTTACAACCTTTCATGGGAAAAGAGTTTATTTAAAATTTCATTATATATTTGTACTTACGATCCTTTTCTTTTCAACTGTTTTCTTCCCCGACCTCAATTTAAGATCATGCAATTGCTGGATATTATCTAATTTCTTATAATCAGGCTGAACATTCTCTTTACAATCGTTCAATAACTCATCATATTGAGATCTTAAATCTTTCAAGTTTTCATACTTACTATCATACATTTTACACAATTGTTGATATTTCTCCTCTAGCTTGGTATATTTCGATTGCAAAGTGTCATAGTTTCTCTCTAAATCATTGGTCTTCGTTATAATATGCTGTTTATCTCTGATTTCGATAAGTAAAGCTCTCAAATCTTCCTTATTATTCTCACTATTCAATCTAGTTAAGATATCCGATAAAAGACTTTGTGATTTATGGTCGAGATGTAATTCTTTCAATTCATCAATTATAGGATCAATGATATCTCTGGCATTTATGTTGGAATTGACTAAACTTTCCAAGAGTTTCTTAAGGTTCTCATTGTTATTCTTCAGTCTATCAACTAATTGTGATAAATCCACTTGACTTTGTTTCGAGGCTACCTCAATATTATATAGCTGATCAAACACTTGCTTGAAGTTTTCATCCATTGTATCATTCTTCAAGGAAAAGTGTCTCCCGGACGACTTATTAGGTGAAATTGGCTTGAGGATATTCTCCATAGTGGAATGTAAACAGTCGCGATTTCATCATGGTTTGAGGAAGGATGTATGAAATTTCATTTGTGTGCAATGTAACCGTTTGATCGTAAGTCCATAGAGCAATGATACTACATGTGAAGAGATTTCAGTGCCAGTTTGTGTTTCAGAAATCTGGTTTTGACATGAAGATCGTCATCTAGAAGATCGTCACTCGTACTTATACCATGCATTAGAATTACTAATTACAGTAACATAAAGCAGAAAACTCATAACCAGAGAGACCTCATCAATCCGTATATTAGAAACCAAATTTACTTTTGAAAGCCGAAGAATACATGGCTTTCTTCTGACCGTCGAGAGTATCATTCATGGATTCACTCATATCATTGGCATATCCATTGAATGTTTCTTCAACAGTGTCTATTCCATCTCTTAAAGATCTCATAAATCCTGAAGTACCGAAATTGGCTTTTCCTTGAGCTCCTTTTCTCACTGGTTCTTTATAACCTTTAGTTTCACCGAGCGAAGAGCTGGAATTGTTGCCGTTGCCATAATTATAGCCATAAGTATTTTGAGGATTGGCCTCAGGACTAATGTTATGAGCTAACTGACTTTCTTGAGTTTTTGGTGGTTTTCTATTAGGTCCAGCTATAAGTAAATTCAAATCTTCAGTGGTAATAGCGCTATTACCCTTAGCCCATTGTAATGCACTCATAACCGGACGTGGAGGAATCACAGCATTCTCATTGAATAATAAGTCTACTGAATCCTTTTGCTTGACCTTGGAATCATAAAGTGTTGATAAGTTAATGAACTCTGTACCAAATTTAATATAAATCTCACCAGTAGGTAAGATTTTAGCTTGAGAAATATTAGCAAAATCATAACTTTTGATCAAATCTTTGGATAATCTATAATCTACGATATCGGATAATGAAGGTAAAGAACTGAATTTAACAAACCCATTTCTCAAAACACTACTCAATAAAACACCTTTATCACCGGTGTTAATGATCCCAAAATCGCAAATAAATTCATCTACAACTTTATGACTAAGTTTTTGTTTTGGAGGTTTCAAGATTCTTAAATCTTTATCTGAGCAAGTTAAAACATACCCTGGGATAACAATTCCCCTGCTTAATTTATTGAAGATTTCCATAGAAGGTGTGGTCAATTGACCGGTCTTGGAGTTAATAGGAATGATTTGCTTGATACAAGTATCTTCAGTGGACTTGTAATTCAATTTGATGGTCTTATCAACAAACACCACATCAAAACCACCATTCAGTTGAGGTAAGATTTTGAAATATAAAAGATTACCACCTTCATTAGTACCGACAATCATCAAAATGGATGAATAACCTTCATTTCCATATTCCATGATAGAGAATTCGATTGAGGTAGCATGACATTTGCTTGCAGTAGGAACTAGGGATACGATATTTTCAATGTTGTAAATAACAGCTGGACCTCTACCGATATCGCAAACCACCAACTTACCTGATTTATACCCAGCTGCTACAAAACCAATATTACAAGTTTTCAAACTAGTTATCTTATCTGGAGTTTGTAAAGTCATCAAGAATGAGGGTAAGAAAGTTGAACTTGAAGCAAAACTTCCTCTGATTCTATCTCTTATATTGAGAATCTTCACATCATTATTAGCATGTTGAGTAGGACAAGCTAAATAATCTGGAGGATTTGGTTGTCTTGGAGCATTGACTTTGCCGAATTTACAGAACACTAAATTACCATTACCTAATCCGATGACCACATCTCTTGCTTCGAAACCACAAGAAACACTTACGATGTTCAAATCATCGGGAGTATTAGATACCAAAGTCTCCTTCAAACTGATTTGGATCAATCCTTCTTGTTCATTAACCTCACCACGAGTGATATCTAGTAATCTAACAATCCCTTTTTGGTGACCAGTGATTAAAATCTTCTTGAAAGTATCATTATTCCCCATGGGTTTGACAAAACTTTCATTGACAGCAGCACCTCCTTTTAGTAACAATTCTGTCTTGGCTTGGACTCCAGAGGAAATTCTAGAACTCTGTACACTATACCAATCGATTCTTTTAATACTTTCAATGTTAGAATAGGTGACAGGAGGATGAATGAAGGCAATTGATGGAGGTAAAAGTACTTTCCCTAAATCACCTTCCAAAGGTATCAAATAAATATTCTGTAAATTTGATTTCACAATGAAATAACTCGGATTAAAACCACCATTGAAGTAAGGTTGATCAGTTATGGTCAAAATATCTACCAAAAATTCATGGTAATTGGAACGATTTTCATAAAATTCAATGGGTATGTTTTTAAACCCATTCTGAGGTTTGCTATAAAACTCACTTTGTTTATCATAAGACGTCAAAGAATATTTCAAAGTGAACCCGAAATCAAAAATATAAATCATATTAGCTTCATTACCTCCAATGATAATTAATTTCGTTAATTCAGGATCAGATCCACAAATCCATTTCACTCTATTGATGGGTATGAACAGTTCTAATGAATAATTCACAGGTTGACCAGGTTTATGTAAATCCAAATCAAAAAGAGTTCTGGCTTGTAATAATTCTCCTGTAGCATCCCAAAACACCAAAGAATTATCTCTATGAACGGTCACAATATGTAAACCATTAGGATGGAAATGACTTTCCAGAATTTCCGAAATAACCTCCTTTTGACTTCCAAACATCTTCTTCTTCCCATTATTGGCAAAATTTAAACTCCAATCAAATCCTTTACATCCCTTAGTGAGATGATACACAAAAGAAGCTTTGATTTCACCTGTAGTTAAAGAATACAAAATGGCACAATGGCTGTAAGTTACAAGAATAGTTCCGATATCTCTTGGATGCCATTCAATGTTTAATACTGGAGATAATTTTTCTTTAGGTAATACTTTCTTCTGTAAGTTATCAACTCTTAAAGGAGCTAAATGTAATCTATCAACATCTAAGAAGGATAAACTACCATTATTAAGACCTATAATCAACCAATCTAATGAAGGATCCAGTTCAATGCAAGCAACTGTTCCTGGAGGCAGTAAACTAGCTAAAATCTTTTTTGAATGAAGGGATAAAATGGTGATATTGGAATTAGAAGATATAGCAACAAGATAGATCCCCTTAACGAACTTCAACCATGTGATTGGCGTAGGTGAATTCAATTCAAAAACTACTTCAACAGTACTTTGACCGATTACTCTGATCTCGTTCTTAGTGGAGATTGCGAGTAAAGATTGAGTAGCATCGTAATCCATAGCTAAAATGGAATTTTGAGGCAAACCATATTGACTTATCATTTCAATGGATAAATTCTTATGGTTTAAAGGCGGAGTTAAATCATCTTTAGATCCTTTAATGACATTGGAAACTGAATTCAATGACACTGGTTTCTTGATCTTGTTAAACATAGTGCGCATTTTTTCAACACGTAAATAAGAATGGTATGTGGAGCAGGTCCAAGTTAAAAGCCTCAAACATGGATACCAAGGGGATAACTATGGACGACAGGGAGGTTTTCGAAACCTTTAAATTCTTCTTTGTATTTTCAAAACATAAATACTAACAAATAGCTCGATCAATTAGTTGGTTTATCAATGCTTGGTGTAGCTACAGTTGTTTTCACTTATTATTCAACATGGGTATTCATTTTACCTTTTGTTAATGATTCTAATATCATCAACCAATTCTTCTTACCAAGACAATACGCTATAATTATTCCATTATTGTTATTATTGATCGGAGGTGTAGGAGTTGCCTCATTCATTGCAAATGTTATGATCAAAGAAGCTCAAAAGAAGAAATTAAAAAGTAAGAAAGATTAGTACGTATATTGGTACGGATTAAGAAATGATATTAACCTTTAGAACGGGATAATTGATGATATTTATGATCTCACCACATAATCTCCTGTTTTAGTAATATATTTCACTCCTTTAAATGGTTTAACAGTCTCTGGCATTCCTTTACTACTTAATAACTTAAGATTTTCTACTTTCAATCCACTTGGAACACATCCTTTGTTACTATAAATCAATTTAATATAATTAGGTTTTAATATTTCGCTCGTCTCTTGTTCTTGTTCTTCATCATCTTCATCTTTATCTTCACCAATGATTGAACCATATAAGATAGGGTTGATTCCCATAGATATGGTTCTTAAATTCCATTCAGCTTTATTATTACCTTTGAATTGGAAATCTCCATGAGTTAAACGAGATGATTTTATTATCCCATTGAAATTAAGATGAATTTCTACTGATAAATTCTCTATTTTACTTACTCCTGATTTGATAGGTAAATATAATTTGATTTCAAATTCATTTTTATTCTTACCTAAGCCATAATTATATTCAACGTTGACTTGACCTAATGATGATAATTGTTGATTCTTTGGTAATTCATTCAAATCAATACAATAATTACATAATTCAAAAGATCCATCAGGAGGAATGAATTTCAATACACTTGAGTTTGTATTTTCAACACATTGGTGATAACTTCCATCGATTTTATGATTCAAAGATAATTGTAAATGAGGTAATCCTGTTAAATGACTTAAGAAATTGATCTTTCCTTGAATATTCCCTGTAATAGGTACCAACTTACCATTGAAAGTATTGGTTGAATAAAATGCCGAGTCAAGATTTGTTCTTACTTTCTTCTTATCATTTTTCAATATGACATTCACAGTCTCTATAATATCTACATACATTTCATTATTAGTGTACTTAACATCAGATCTTCTCCAAGGTAAAACTTCCAAAGGAGGTTGTTTTGTAATAGTGGCATTGGTTATTTCATTGGTTTTGGATAAAATCTTAGATAAGAAGCTTTTAAATGGGACAATATCTCGAAGTTTATTGAAATCAGTTATGTTGGGTATTCCATCATCTAACATTTGATCAATAAGTAAAGTTAAAGTATCGTTATTAGATTCAATTTTGTGAATGGCTATTGGTTTACCGAAGTAGTCATGGATTACTTCCATCAATTTGAATATAAATACATAAGGTAATACTGGATTGACTTTATTATCCACCAAAGTGTAGATAACTATGGAATTTATAGGGTACAAATACACTGATTGATTAGCATTAATGTCAACAATTCCTTGACGGTCATTGATAATATTGATCAAGGAGTTGAAGTTGGCCGATGCTAAGTTGGTTAGGTATTCATATACCAAGTTATTGTTAGTATCTGATATGTATACAGCTTCAATCATGATCGTAAAAAGTGCGATTCGAGATTGAGCTAGATCACACCAATGAACTCGAATGAACTAGATCACACGAATGAAGAACACATCATAAAAGAATCAGGGGAACGCCAAAAAAGAGCCAGAAAAGGTACAGAGACAAAGTCACAAATAAGGGGGGATATATTGAGTCGAGCCATGGGGACCAATCTATTTAACATATCATCAATATAATACCGTATTTCAAGCACACACATTATTTTAACCATCAGTATTATATTGATTATAGATTGAAGTTTAAGTTTAAGTTTAAATTAGTTTTTCACGGTTGAGATGAAAATTAATATCTGTTTTCGATTAATGAAGATCTTGATTCACTGACTTCATCTTCAGCATCAGAAATATCAACATGTAAATCTTCAGCAACATGTTCTTCGATGTTTTTGATATCAGCAAGACCATAAATGGTAATGGCGATTAAACCAAGAACAGCAGCAATACAAGAGAATACTAAAGCAACAATACCTCTAGCAGTGAAACCAGAAGGTAAAGGTTTATGTTGAGTATTTTCACCACTTAAATCTAAGAAATCTTTGGTGTTAGCGGCAGCATTACCTTCATAAGGAACACCAGCAGCTTTACAAACATCAATATGATTTTGAGTGATTTGTTGTTCTGGATCAGCAATAAGAACATCTGGAGCTTCGATTAATTGAAGAGCTAACCCTTGAATTAAATGCCAATCAATATGACAATGGAAGAACCAAACACCTGGATGATCAGCTTTAAATCTTAAAACAATATAAGATTGAGGATTAACATAAACAACATCTCTTTGCATTGGGATTTCTGGGAATTCAGTATGGTTATCATAATCAAAGGCAACTGGTGGATCAGCATCATCAACAGGTTCACCTCTAGCAATAACTTGGAAAACGTGACCATGTAAATGGAAAGGATGTTTACCAGTATCTAAATTGTTAACAACAATATCAATAACATCATTATGTTGTAAAACATGAGAATTAGTATTTGAACCATAGATTGAGACATCTGAAGCATCATCACCTCCGGATAATACTGACATTAAAGTTGGAACTTTTGGATAAGTATAAGTAATATTGTTAAAGAAAGCATAATTAATACCATTACCTAAATTATCCATAGCAACATCAACAGTAATTTTATAATCTGGATCATCGAATAAAGTTTCATTATTGGTTGGTTGTAAAGTAAAATCATCAAAGAAGTTATCTAAAGAATCAACATAATATTGACCTGGTAAATCTTTATCACTATCATAAACGATATAAGAAGTTAAGTTCAATTCTAAATCACTTGGAATAACATCCAACATATCAATATCGAATCTAGTCATCATAGCATAATTATTATCAGTATTATCTTTAGTCTTAATTAAAACAGTATAACGTTGAGCAACAGTGATATATAACATTTCAGTAGTTTGAGGTTCAACGTAAACACCATCAATTTCAATAATTTCAAATTCATGACCTTCCATATAAATATATTGAGAAACGAAACCACCAATGTTAACAAATCTTGCAAGATAAGTCTTATTTGGTTCAACATTCCAAGTATTATTTCTAGTATCATTCAATAAGATGTTTTGAGGAATTGGTTCAGCACCTGTTGGATTATATAAGTTTAAGAAATCTGGAATCAATTCAGTAATATTCTTATGGTACCAATCAGCAACAGTAATAACAACTTCTTCATCATAATCATAAGGTAAATCATCATCTTCAATAATGAAAACACCTCTCATACCATCACCAGTTTGACCTGGAGAATGGGAATGATACCAGTAAGTACCAACTTGATCACCAACAGTAAAGTTATATAAGAAAGTTTCACCAGGTGGAATTGGACATTGAGTAATCATTTCTGGACCATCCATTTGAGCACTACCAGGTTGGAATAAACCATGGAAATGTAAAGTAGTATTAGCATCTTCTAAACCATTAGTTAAATAGAATTCAACTCTATCATTTTTCTTAACTCTTAAAACTGGTAATGGCCATTCACCATTAAATCCAATTACTTTTCTATCAAGATTACCATCAGGGTTGGCATCAACCCATTCAGCAGTATAGTTCCAAACATGAGTTTCACCTAATGCTAAACTAATTAAACTTAACAATAACAATATTTTAAACATTTTCCCCCAAATATTGTTCTTTATAAATATACAAAAGAAATTGTATAAATTATTTAATAAAGATTTGACTGAAAAAAGAAGTGAAAAGTGCTCATCAGAGGTATTTATACTCCCTTTGAGGGACAAATGTCCAATGAAAATTTTTTTAGATTTATCTGATAATTTAATGTCGCAGATGGTTTAGATAAACCTCAAATTGATTTGAAACGTCAGTTTGACAGGTGGGGAGTTGGGAGATGTTGGTCAAGGGATTGATTTATTGATTGAATCAGTAGGTTGGTTCAAATAAATGAAATATTTGGGGTTTTACTCATCTATTTGGTATAGATGGGATTTTCTGATGGAAAAGATAAACTATTTCGTGCATATAAACTCGGGGATCCTTATGATTGGTCATATTTGACAGATGTCAAAAATATCAAAAAAATAAGGGGAAACTTGGAATTGGGGGTGAGCATTCCATATAGCTCCGGCATCACAACATAGTTAACTAGAAGTTTATATCTTCAATCCGAGACTCCTAAAGCCTAGGGTAATACCTTTATGCCAGGGAATAAGGTTCGTACTTCGGTGAGACCACGACATTGCGACACCGGGCAAATTTTTAATACTGTCTACATGCATGGCAGGTGATTGGCTTGAATGGCTCAACGGTATTCATATACACGAAATTTTTCAATTTAAAACCTTATTAAAGAATTCTACTTTTGGCCCTGTAGTGAAAATCCTTCCATGAGGTGATTTCCAATAATGTGTGGTGTAGCCTTAATGATTATCAATGCTAGTAGGTTTTTTTCACAGGAATTTTCTGACTTTCATCCAAGAAATTTCTCAGGAATCAAATACCCGAGTATTTAGTTCAATTCCGTAATGCATAAGGAGTTATTCAACATTTATTTCCAGTAAGAAAAATGTTTGGGATGGTTTGAAAATTATGCGGCTTTCGGTCCAAAAAACACCGTTCTAACATGGTGCGAAATTTACCACCGCCAATGTGGTGAAGAACGGTACCCCATGATTTCGCGATGCAGACTTGTTGATGAAAAGTTTGAAATCATTTAGACATATTCATGTAAACCACTACAAGAGGTCAACTCCTCCCATCTCAGTACCGTTGAATAAACTATTCTCCGGAAACTTCCCCCTTCCTTTGAAACAATCATTTTTGGATTACAAAAACAGGAAAAATTTGAAGTCATTCCAAGACAATCTCTTACGATTAATACCATTTTATCCAACATCTAAGAATGGCGTGTCTTCACAAGTCATATCTACAGATATAGGTAATGACAACTATATAAACGAGTTTGTGATATTTCCTAATGAAAGTACTCGTAAAAACTATTCAAAAGCTAATCACCTTATAATGATCCATGGATATGGTTCAGGATTAGGTTTATTCATAAAAAACTTCCCTGCATTGATTAAGGACAATTGGGTTATCCATGCTATTGATTTATTAGGCTATGGATGTTCTTCCAGACCTCCTTTCACTCCTAAAAACTTCGATGAAGTAGAATCTTGGTTCCATGATTCTTATAAAACATGGAGTGAGAAACGAGGCATACCTTCTAATAACTTGGTGCTAGCTCATTCTATGGGTGGTTATTTGATGGCATCTTATGGAATGAAATACCCTGAATTTTGTAAGAAGATGATCATGGCATCTCCAGGAGGTATAATTCATCATAGGAATCCCATCAACATTCCATCATATTTCACCAAACTATGGGAAAGAAATATCTCACCATTTTCCTTGGTTAGAAATGCTCATATTTATGGATCTAAACTCGTAAGTGCATGGTCATACAGAAGGTTTTCAAAGCTTTCGTTTAAAGAGATTCAAGCCCTTCATCATTACGTTTATGGGATTTTTCAAGCTCCAGGTTCTGGTGAGTATATGTTGAATTATCTTCTTAAGCCTGGTGCTGAACCTCGATTCCCCATGACAGAAAGACCCCTTGAAAAAGTGAAATTTGACATCGATTGGTGGTATGGATCAGATGATTGGATGAACATTGAAGGTGCCAATATCTTATCTCGACGCTTACGTAATGAGGGATTGAATTCAACTGTGCTAACTATTTCCGGATCAGGACATCATGTGTACCTTGATAACTACCACACATTTAATAGGCTTTTATTACAGGAAATGGATAAATTGTCATAAAATATACATTAATTGAAAACTATTCTAACTCTCAAGCTGATGGGAAGTTTAGGATCGGTTACGATAACTTCTTCATCACCTACTAGGTCACTTAATTTCATTTGAAGATTCTTTTCAGTAGCTAGCCGTAAGGATTCAGGAGATGAGAAATAAAGTTTTTGGAATTTTGTTGACAATGAAGGATTTGTCATTTGAATATCTTTCTGGTGTTTGATTTCTTCAATAAATTCTTTTAAATTCCACCATTTCTCTGCCTTCACTACTTTTAAATCATTCCCACAAACTGGACAATCGGATTTCTTGATATTCTTGTAAGTATAGGTGAAGATTGATTCATCACCGCTGTACATCATATAATCATCCAACATTGGATTACAATTAGTGATCAATTTAAAAGCTTCATTACAACAAGAAGCAGCAATTATAGCATTGGTCGAAGCAATGGCTGGAATAATGTTTTTCACCACTCCTAAAGTTAACAGTTTTGTAACTCCAGTAATGTTGAAAGATTCAGCTCTAGCCAAACTAGTTTGATACATCCATTCTACATGATCAGGATTATCCGCATCGAATTTAGTACTATGAATTCTGGGCCATTCAATCTCATTGGCCCATTCTATACAATGTTCTGGTAATCTAGGGGTGGTAGCTATAGTACAAACAGGATAAGTGATCTTAGGAGTCACTAAATCCAAAGTACATTCATAACATGAATTTATAGATGGGAATATCACTCTACTTTGTCCTTTAAATCCTTCCGTACCTCCATCGATCAAAGGTATTATGATATCCTCACCTGCTAGCGTTACTAATGTAGCATTAATCCACCTTCTTGCCTCCACACTATCCAATCCACATATAATACAAACAAATTGCTTATAGTAATCTAAGGGTTTATCTTGAATTTTACAGAATTGGGGTACAATTTCCACTCCCTGAGTTCGACTTTCAACAAATTTAGCCGCTACTTCAGCTTTCAGCTTACCAACATCCTTCAAACGGAATAAAAATTGTCGATTTAGATTGGAAATGTCAATGGTATCCATATCAATGACATGAATTTTTTTAAACCCCGTTAATGAAAGATTCTTCAAGATTTCACATCCCAACCCTCCAGCTCCAATGACAAGTACTTTCAGTTCACTCAATGCTTCCACAGAAGCTGCTGCATCATATTCATCGGCCACTTCATTGTAAGGACCTATTTTACCTAGAAGTTCCATAGAGTGCGAATATATATATTCAGGGTAAATTCTCTTTAATCCTTTTCAATGGAGCCCTATAAGTAGAAGGAGCTCCTATACGTTTACCTTTACTGGGAGTATCTGAGGGTTCAGGGATTGGAATTGAAGTCGAGGGTACACTGGTGAGATCAGTTCTTTTAACAGGTACACTTTTGGTTGGATCAAGAGTACGTCTCATATTGGGGGAGATGAATTTTGGATCGAATTCAGGAACATCTGAGCCAGGAGTTTTCAATAAATCAGCACCTCGAGCACTTATGAACCCTACAGTTGGGTTGGCATCAGGTTGAGGTGCAGTATTTGTTTGATTTACAGGAGCAGTATTAGTTTGAGGTGGGTTGGTGTTATGTGATTGATTTGATTGATTTGCATTGGTTTGATTGGTCTGATTGCTTTGTGCAGCTTCGGGTGTTCCTTTGTTCATTATCATTTCCATCTCATAATCATCCATTTTGTTAACATCAATATCATCACTGAATAAAAAAGAATCGTCAAAATCGTCATCACTAGGTTTGGTACGCGTACTTATTAAAGGTGCTGTAGTAGTTTTAGGTGGATCTGTTTTCTGAGCCCCTGAAGGTTGAAGCTGTTTGTGTTCTTGTTGTGGGGATTGTGGAGCCGATTTCTGATAACTCTTCAAATTCTCTTCAAATTGTTCAGTAGAAACTGACGATACTTGAACTTTCTCCTGTCTTTGTCTGGCAATTTTCAGTAATTCATCATTCTTATAAATATCGGCATCAGTTAAAGCACTATTCTCTTTATTGGCATGTCTTAATTTGGCTAACAAGTTCTTATCATAGAGACAATTACCCAAAACATTCCCGAAACATCTCAAACATCTTTTAATACCATCAGTAAAAGCTTCTTTCTTACACTTTTCAAAAGCGGCAGCTTTACCTTTAGCATTATCAATGAATCCGTAACCTATATCTTCACGGAAAGTACCATCTTTGATAGTAACTCTTACAATTATTGAGATCCCAATAGATACTCTACCTTGTTCATTAGTATCACAATAATCTACTGTAGTGGAGATGATTTCTGAAGACCAGCCATTGAAACCAAACACTTCGTTGGCAAGATTAAGAGCTTTCCAACCTTCTAAATATGAAACTCTCAGACCTCCACCTCCAGGTCTTGATGATATGTATTCTGGTCCTAACACTTTACTTAACGTGATTTGAATCCTATCCAATTCTTCTTGGGTATATTCACCTCTAGCCAAACTACTGGTCGATACTCTTTGTAAACTACTCATAGTTGTGGCTATTTTGACTTCTGATGTAGGGATAGTATTAAATCAGTACGTGTATCAGATAGACGTGATTTATTTATTTTGTGCGAAGATGATATGAGTGTATCAAACTATCAAGGGATTCGACAGTCACATCAGCGTGAGAATGACGGTACAGGAGGCTCAGGAATAATAGCGGAAAAAAGGGAAGAGGAGAAACTACGACAAGAGCAGGCGATCAATAGTGAAACACACATTGATGAAACACATATTGGTGAAACACACATAACTGAAACACAAATACATGCAGAACCTCAAGGTAAAAACACACAACCTCATGGTACTGACACAGAATTACCAGATCTCGACTTGAAACAACTCAAGAAGAAACCTTCTGTGAAACAAAAGAACTCTAATGAAAGACAACGACAAATTCACGAATATAAATCGCAACTAACTAAGGAAACTAGAGAAGAAAGGTATAGAAGAAGAAGTGGAGAACACCTAGAAAGTCCTAAAAAGAAGAAAAGGGTTAGTTTTGAATTATAATACATTATTTTATATACTTCTCTGAAGTCTCTGAAGTATTTGACGTCTCTAAAGTCTCTGATGAAGGTGTGGTATTCCAGACTATGCTTATTATAAGACTTGAATATACGGACCTTTCGCCCACAGGGCCTATACCTAATTTTCTGCTAGCTGATCATTCACATTCAGCACTAACGTGATATTATCCCCTTTCAATAATATATTCCCCAAAGGTTCTTTAGACCCATCGATTGTGGAAATTTCTACTGCTTCTTCAACAACTAAATTCATGAACTCATCGAATCCTTTGATCTTCCCCTGAATCCTCGTACTAGTTTGTTCATATAACCAGATAGTTACGGTGGCATTTTGCCCCATACAACTATATAACATGTTGATAGGTCTCTTTACTTTGATATCACTCATGTTTGATAATCTATCAGATTCATCGCGCTTTATTTACCTATGGAGTTGGACTTAAAATCCAAGTTTCTTGAGTTCCTCTTGGAATTGGAGGATAAGATCAACAGGAGGAACCAGAACGAAAGAAGTCAAGGTAAGATGTATAATAATCCTTACAAGGTAGCACGAATGTGTCTTGAAACCCATGAAGATCCCATCTGTGATCCCAAATCATTAAAGAAAGTACCCAAGATAGGTGATAAAATCGTGAAATTATTGACAGATAAACTTATTGATTATTGTAATAGCCAGCTTATTGATGTACCCGAACCTTTCCAACCTTTGAAGAGGAAAAACGGAGGTAATGATGGAGAACAAGTTCCTACAAAGAAACGAAAGAAAGCTTATGTACCACGTAGAAGATCTGGTGGATACGCTATAGTATTGGCATTATACCTTAAGGATAAGGAAAGGAATGGGTTGAAGAAGTCAGAAATCTGTAAATTTGCTGAACCATATAGTGATGCATCATTTGAGAGTAATCCTTCCAACGGACAATTCTATTCAGCTTGGAATTCAATTAAAGTATTGGAGAAGAATGAAATAGTATCTATGAGTAACAGATTATACTTCCTAACTGATGAAGGGGTCGAATTGGCACAAAAGTTGAAGTTGGCTGAAGATATTCATTCATCTCCCGTAAATAATAGGATCAATAGTTCATTTGATAATGGGGTTTATGCTACACCTGAAAAGAATAACGTGTTTAGTGATGATATTGTACTCATAGATGATCCTCGGGACTTACTATCATCACCTTTAGCCGAGAAGCAAGTCAACAGACTCGATAACAAAGGTATTCCTCCCGTTAAGACCAATTCTCCCGTGACCAATTCTCCCATTAAGACTATGTCGCCCATGCACAGCACACCTACAAAAGCTCACGATAAACAAGCCAAAACACTCAATGGAGTTAAATATTCTATATGGCCCATTGAAGATGTAGAAATCATCCTCGTAATTGATACCAGAGAAGTACGATCGAAACAACAAATTGATTTCTTCTATAATCGACTCACCAACCTTAAAGTCAATTGTGAAATACGACAATTATCGGTAGGAGATATGTGTTGGATAGCCAAGAACAAAAAGTCAGGCAATGAAATCATTTTGAATAGTATTTGTGAGAGAAAAAGAATTGATGATTTATTAAGTTCCATTTATGATGGCAGATTCTTTGAACAGAAAGCGAGATTGAATAAATTGTTCATGAAGAAAGTTTACTATCTTATTGAACAGAACGGGAACGACATTTTCGACTCCAGGGCTATCAAAGTTATGGCAACAGCCAAATGTCAAATGATGACTAACGGTAAAAACATCGTCAAACAATTCGACAGGATCGAGGACACAGTGAAGTTTTTGAGTGATATAACGAAAATCATTGAAACTACTTTCCAAGAAACTAACACTAAATTCATTGCCATTAAAGCTCGTACCATCACCAATCAAAAGCATTATGGAGAAATCATGGAATCATTCCGTAATGAATTTGACTATAAAAGACCTCACTACGAAAGTTGTCATTTATACACATCATTTGATGAAACCATGAGTAAATCACAGATGTACACTGTTAAAGAGATGTTCTTATTGATGTTAATGAATATTAAAGGTGTATCACTTGAAAAAGCCATCACCATACAGAAAATCTTCCCCACGCCAAATAAATTACTTGACCATTTCAAAGATCCTAACAATGGCAAAACTTCATTAATGGAACTCACCAAGAACTTAAATAGACAGAAAAAAATCACTAAACTGTTACTGGAGAAGATTTATGATATTTGGGGAGGTGCGACATAATGCGACACAGATGTTAACGACAAATTTGATCGCGAGAAAATTTTCACTTAGTTCAAATAGGTTAAACATGCCACCAGGAAAGAGAACTATCAAGTTTGGAGGTAAATCAGGGATCTTACCAAGACTTCGTCCAATTTTCAAAACTCCTATTAGACCTAAAAATGATCATGAATTAGCAGAAGATGCTAATATCGAACAAGGATATGCTGAGAATGTTCCATTACCAAAGAAAAGAGGATTCAAATTTCAAAGAACTTTAACTCCAAAACCCGTAATATCAGTTGAAGAAAGAATAAGGAAAACCATTGATGAAACCACTCCTAAGGTCGATGTATCCAAATTAAGTGAGGAAGAAAAATGGAAACATCAAGTTGGGGAAATCCGTAGACAACATTTAAGAGAAGCTTATTTAAAAGAACATGAAAGATTGAAAAAGATCGATGAATTGGAAAATATCAAGCATGAAAAGGAAAAGGAAAAACAACAATTAAATAAACAACATTTAGAAGAAAGTGAAGCTTCAAAATTAACCATTCCTACCATGGAAGATTATTTAAAAGGTCCTATTGTCAGACAAAGAACTTTTGAAGAACAAACCATTATTGATGCTAAAAGAGTGTTGAACAGAAAAATGACGGAATTAGAATTGAAAGAAGAAAAAGCCAACGAGTTATTGGAATTATATCATGCATCATCCAAATTCATTATCAATGAAGAGCAATTACAAAAAGCTATCATTGAAGCATTCCAAAGTGATATCAATAAGTTTGAAAATGCCCAATTATCAGTTAAAGATAAGATGAGAGGATTAAAAGATCCAAGCAAAGAACTTGAAAGGTCAGAAAACATGTTCTTAGATTCAATTGTAGGAGAATTAAATGGTAAACCAGGTTTAGATATAGTTAAAGATACTATTGATGGACAAATTGAAAAATTGAGACGTGAAGCCGAATTGGCTATAAATAAAGATTAGCTTGTAAATATAAATATCTAGATTCTTTAGTGGTGTTCTTAGTAGGTGTTGATAGTGGGGGTAAGTCTATCTTCCTAGTTTTAGAAAGTCCTCTCGGTCTAAGTCTTCTCAGTTTTCTCAGCTCCAAAATCTGCTCGAAAGTCTCAATAAATAATCTCATTTAGGTCCAACTCTCCCTATTTCGCACCAGACAACATCCCCAGTTAAGTCGATGTACGCGCATCAAAATTTTCAACATGAATAAACAACGTATTTCATCCTACCAACAGTTATTCTCCAAAGTCTTCAACAAAAGGTTGAAATATGTTAACAACATTGCCATTATTTTGTCCCTAGGTATATCTATAGGGTTAAATTTCCCTTATGGAAGATTTTGGATGAATATACTCTTGACATTTATAAGATCACCATTAATCTTTATAGCATTATTTATCATCAAACTAATGAGAAATCAAACCGTAACTGTTGAATATTCCCCCCATAAGACATTAGGATTACAAATTTATCATTCAATTATAAGTAAGAAATTTATCATCACTTTTGGAGGTTACTTCATCTCATCGATCATCTTTGGTTCAATTTTCTTGAGTCAATTATCGTTATTGAATGAATTTTCCACCATTCTGAAAGAATATCAACAAAAACCTAAGATAAATGATCAATGGGTGTTCTTTTGGTTTTATGTGGTTTTCACTTCATTGATTTATAGTTTCCAACAATTAATCTTCCAAAGAAATAGACTTCAATTCACTTATGGAGTATCTAAAATTGATCCAAAACAAGGATTATTAGCCAAACTTCCTCAATTGTTAGGGAATTCCATCATGCTTAACATCTTAACAACAGTTTCTTCACCTATAGTTTATTACTTTGTTAGAAATATCATCTATAAGATGAATTGGTTAGTACTTTTAATCATTGGTTTAGATACTAAAGCACCTAGTTTCAATGTTGGGTTTAAGAATTGGATAAATTTGGGTTATTATTCTTTCAACATCTACTTAAATTGGGAAATAATCAATCATATTTATAATGTTTATGCTACCATTGGATGTTTAGATGGAACTAAACCTATCAGTACATATAGTTCAGATCCTATTAACACTTTATTATCAGGATTAAGAAATAATGAACCGGATCAACAATTAAGTAAGTTAACAGCATTCCAAGAATTGGCTTATATGGCAATGTTGAAAGGTCCTGAAGGGAATAAAATAAGAATGTCTATTTATAATGCTCATTCCAAAGGAGGATTCATTTGGTCTTCAATCTTAGATGAATGTTCAATTGTTATTAAAGAAGTCAATCAAAGAATCAATTATAGACCTAGTTATGAAACAGTTAAAGTTGAACCTACGGTAGATAAGGATATTTTTGGTAATTCATTCATATCAACACCAAAAGTTGATGAATCAGCCATAAAGTCTTATGATGAATTAACCAACAAAACTACTACCAAACCTATTGCCAATAAGACTTTACAAAAATATTATGAAATGGCTCAAAATTCTATCATTAAACCAATAAATTCTTATTTGAAAGATTTAAACGATCCAAGAATAAATTCCTCAAAAGTTAAAGTTTATATCAATAACACCATAAGCTTATATAACACATACAAAAATCATTTCCTTTCCACAAGTATTGGGATATTTTTCCGTACGTCCTTAAAAAGAGATACTGAGTCTCGTGTTTTGAACCCTGTGAATTATGGAAATGCAGTAATTTCTTTAACAAACTTATTAATTCATGCTATAGAAGAAGATAAGAACCTCACAGTATCCAATAGTCATATATCTGATTGTTTAAACCTTCTTGAAAGACCTATTAGAAGTTGTGAAAATTATGTCGAATCATTACCACCATCAGTGTTCTTAACCTTAGACCAAAAGAAGGCCAATATTGTCAATTCAAATCATGTGATCAAACTTTTACATGATTTGACTTTGGTAGAATTCAAAAAAATCTGTATAAGTTATAATTATAAGTTGAATGATTTGTTATTATCATCAAGATCATTTAAATTAGCTAAAAGAGTTATTGATGAAGAAATAGCTACTCGTTCTCAATAGGAGTATTAAAATATATAAAGAATAATATTCATTAATTACTATTATCGTTATCCTTTTTAGGAATAGTATCTAATAAAACAGGTTTTAACACTTCTTCATCGAATCTTGTAAACCATTTAGCATGTTCTTCAGCACTTAAGAAAGCTCCTAAAACCCCATTTTCAGTAGATGACGTTTGGAAATTAGAAATTAAATCATCTCCATCACTAATCATATCATCATCTTCATCAGGGATATTATCATTCATATTAGGTGTTTTGTTGGATGAAAGACTAGCACTAGATTCATTTCTTGAACGGATTTCATCTTGATAAACTCCAGGTCTGGAATTATTGAATCTTCGGTTACCCATTAAATTATTATTAGAATTGAAAGGTGTTGGTTGAATAGATATAGGTAATCTTGGAGCTTCAATATCGAATTCATCATCAGAATCCATATGTTGTTCAACTCCAGTCTTAATACCTAAGATTTCCAACATTGAAGCAGTTGAACCTCCAAATAAGATAACTGTTAATACTACTACCACCAATACTGTGGCTAATAATGCCCATTTGGCTTCTCCTTGTAATCCCATAGCTAAAGCTACACCAACTGCACCTCTTAAACCAGCCCAAAAGATCATCATTTGATAACTATGACTAATTTCATCAGGTACGGCTTGGGATGAGATACCTCCATTCATAAAGTTTCTATTGGTAAATTCCTTAAATTTGGCTTTATAAAGGAAATTCAAAAATCTTGATAATGGGAAAACTGCCGACCATCTAGCAACACAGATGGAAATAAACGTAATGATAATCAATAAAGGTTTAAACACCAATTCAACTTCAGTGAAAAGGGAAAGTCCCAAATAAATGAAAATGAAATTTTCCGATAATTGAGCTAATAATTGGAAAATGTATTTGGTAGCAATTTGAGTTCTACGGGACATATTATAATAAGCATAATGTTTTAATGTGATACCACAGAATAATAATGAAACAATCCCCGACATATGTGCACCATTAGAAAAGAAATATGATTCATAACTGAATAATAACACAAGACAAGTTTCAATTTGTGGATAACGTCTAATATGACTATGTTTCAAAATTAAAGCCACTAAGATTCCAATAGCAATACCGATGATGGTGGAGATAGTGAAAGTAACCAAGAAAATCCCAATACCTTCAAATAATGAAGAAAATCTTACTTGTTGACCATGAAATTTCTGACAAGTTTCAAACATGACAATTGAAATAGCATCATTAAGTAAACTTTCACCAAAAATAATCGTATACAACTTAGGGTCAACTTTATAAGCATTGAAAATCGATAAAATGGTCACGGGGTCAGTAGCTGATAAAGTAGCCCCAACGGCCAATGCATCAACAAATTCCATTTTCACTCCGTCAAATCCTATAGCCGTCCAAATATATAAAATGATCCCTAAAACCAAAGCACTGATGAAAGTTCCTGGAATGGCAAATGTTAAGATACTTCCTATATTACTAAAAAAGTTCGCCTGATGTAATTCATAACCTGAATTAAGAATAATTGGTGGTAATAATATATTGAAAAAGTATCCTGAGTTAAATTTCACAGCATCTTGGATATAATGACCTGGACTAACTCTAATGATCAAACCAACAGTCATTCCATAAAAAATAGATAATACGGTTTCATGAATGGCTTTAATTCTTCGTTGTTGAAGGAAATATGATGACCATAATGCTGCACATAATAATGATAATAGAATGAATAAAGCCCAAGAAGAAAAGATTTCCTCCGTCACAGGGTCTTCTTCTCCTTCACCATCATCAGGAGTAGTAATGTCTGGACTATCATCAAGATCGTCATCTCCACCAATGGCTCGTTTAACCAATTGTTGAGCTATATATAAAGTTATACTTGTCATTAGGATTCAGATCTTTGAAGTCGCGGTCTGAAAGAATAAAATAGAGATGCGACATTTGTGGGATCAAGCGACATTATATCCGACACCGAACTCATTGGCCAAAAAACGACATAGGGGTAAGATGTCGCATTTTATTTATGGAAACGACACGCGCGCACGTGCGACATTTGTTTTGATATTCTCCCAAAGAAAAAAAAAAAAGAAACCTATTCTTAAAGTCCATCGACTTATATTTTCATTTATTAAGATTCTTTTGAATCCTTTACTTTCGCTTCCATCAACTCATCCATAACAGTTCAAGTGTTATTGCATTAGGGCCCTTTCTTGCTCCAACCGTCCATAATTTCGTCAGTTATTTATAACTTTTGTATTTATCCGTGAAAAAAAAAAAACATGTACTCATCTAATCCAAGTTTTGAAAGTTTAAGGAGTTCTAGAAGTGAGTTTTATAAGTCTTCCCAGATAAATCCCAACTCATCAGTAACAAACTTAATCAGTTTGAATCATAAATTCGAACATCCATCACCAAAGAGATTTTTTCAAACTCCTATAACTCCACCCATATCAAATGCTGCATCTCCAATTAAAGAGAATTTAAAATTCATCGAACAAAGATTTGAAAGCTATAAAGTGGTAGTGCTTTGTGTCAACTGGTATTTATCATCAATAATATCCAATTATTCCACTAAACTTATTCTTCAAGATTTCACATATCCCATCACTTTAACCCAATTTCAATTTATACTTAATTCAGTATTTTCCATAGCATTATTATCAGTGTTGATGAACAATAGAAATCTTATTAGTAGGTTTCCTCAACATACTTTACCAAATTTTGATGGGTTGACTATAAGGAAATTTATTACTCCTGATAGATTTATTCTTAATACCACCATTCCTATGGGAATTTTCCAATTTGTAGGACATGTGACTTCACATAATGCTACTTCTATTATACCCGTATCATTAAATCATACCATCAAGGCGTTAAGTCCTATAACCACAGTGTTAATCTACAGATTCTTATTTCAAATCAAATATCATTATATCACTTATATCACCCTTATACCATTGATTTGTGGTATCATGTTATCTTGTTATAAAACCAGTAGTAACAAAGTCATTGAAAATTATAATAAAGGACTCATGTTCTCCTTCATTTCCATGTTAATCTTCGTATCACAGAATATCTTTGCTAAGAATCGATTAACCATCAATAATTTATTACCTAACTCTCAGAAGGAAGAGAGAAAATTGGATAAATTAACCATTTTATATTATTGTTCCATCATAGGGTTCTTATTTACCTTACCAGTATACATTATACTGGAGTTCAAAGCTCCACATTTATCATTAGGTGATTTAAACACTTATAATATGATACTTATCTTGATAAATGGAGTAAGTCATTTCATTCAAAGTCTTTTGGCTTTCCAAATTTTGGGTTTAATATCGCCAATCAATTACTCCATTGCCAATATCTTGAAAAGAATCATCATTATCTTAGTGGCTTTCATAATAGAAGGTAAATCATTAACTTTAAACCAAATTTTTGGTATAAGTCTAACATTCATAGGATTATTTGCTTATGATAGATGGGGAATGAAGAAATCTCTGAAGAAGTAAATATCTTTATAGAGAGAAAATTAATATATTAATGACCTGCAGATTTAACGTTTAATAAACTTTTGAAAATATCACCAAATGCTACCATGAAAACAGTTTGCCAAACACTTAAACCAACTCTTGGGGCAACACCTCTATATAAACCTTTGATACCATTTTGTCCGTAGATATATTTGAAGGCTCCAACAACGGATAAGTTCTTTGGTCTATTTGGATCGTTGGTTTTTGATTGCATTTCAACTCTAATAACTTCAATTGGTTGATTCCAAGCACTTAAACCCCCACCAATAGCGGAACCTAAAACTTTTTCAAATGGATTTAATGATTGTCCTTCAGTTTTACCTGAAACATTTCTAATAACATCTTCAGCTAATCTTGAAAAACCAAATCTTGAACCCCAATTGGTCATTTGTCTAATAGCGACAGCATTAACCCCTTTGTTAATACCTCTGATACCTTCTTTTTGATAAATCAGTTTGAAAACTTGGAATGAAGTTTGTTGAGGAACTCCAGTGTTGGCTTGTTTGGATCTGGTAATTTCCACAGTTTTTAAACATGTAGTGAAACCCATAGTAGCATAACTTTGAACTAAACCCCCAGAAATACCACCTCCCATTCCGGCTAAGAATGAACTAGCACCTAAAACTCTGAATCTATATTCAGCTTCTGCTGAAACGAATAATAAGACTGCCCCTTTAGTAGAAGCTTCAATCCAAGCCCATGGAATCAATCCTTGATAGAAAGCTGCGACACCTCCTCTTGACCAAACATGTTTGGTAGCTTGTAAAAGAGTTAAACTTCTGTTAGCAGCCATAGTAGTTTTAACAACTTCTAATGGTTGACCTAAGGTAGTAACCTCAGCAAGGTTTAAACCTGCTCCTAATAAGATATTGGAGAAATTAACTGGTTTCTTTTCGATCTTTTCACTCATATTACTTGTGAAAAATTATCAGATCGCGACCTGTGAGTCAATGGCGGATGCGATAGTATTAATACTGTTGATAGAGATGGTATCCCGGTGATTTCCTCAAAAGACGTTAGAAGGTTTGCAGTTGATACATTTGATGATTTCATTGGTTGAATGGGATAGGAAATGCCCCTCAATTTTCATTTCCACTTCCCCCACCTTTGGAGAATCCCGGGATGGACGTTTTCGGACTTATTTGAGAAGGCTGCAGTTTAATCGATCAAACTGTTGAATGTTTATAATTGTTAGTGATGTTATTTGACTGAATGATTGCATTGACTGCATTGACTTGATACTGGGCACCATATCGAATTAGGAAATTTCTAATCAAAAAGTAGTGTCTCTACCATATACTTTAAGCCTATTCTATTTGAGCCTATTATGTATAAAGTTCGGTATCGAAACTTTCCTTTGATCAAACTTCGAATTAACTGATTCCAAAAATCATACTGTTAAATCTTCTGATTTTCTTTTACTCCATCTGAATTCCTTTATCTAATCCCTTTATCCGTTCAAAAGCAATGTCGAGACTCACGTGAAATATAGGAGACCATTCCACCTCTTACCTTATATACCTTTACCAAACCTACCCAACACAACCTAATGTCATTATCGTACCATTTCTCTAACAGTCAACCCCAGAATCCCCTGATTATATTCGTTGTAATACTCTCTATACCAAGGGAATTGTTGGGTAGAATCAGGCGAATGTCGTTGATCCCGACACGACAAAACGTTAGAGATTTCATCCATCGCAGATTAAAATTATCTGATCTTATATCTTTTCATTCTTTATGAGTCAAATTAGTACAGGTAATAATTACTCCAGTGGTAATTCAGCATCCATTAAAAAATCTGGTAACGTTGCTGGATTCTCCGACAAGTTAACTGCCATCGATACTTATGGTAACACTTTCGAAGTACCTGATTATTCAATTAAAGATATCTTAACTGCTATCCCTAAAGAATGTTATGAAAGATCTTTAGTTACTTCATTCTACTACGTTTTCAGGGATATTGCTATGATGGTTGGTGCTGGTTACTTAGCCAATACTTACATTCCTTTAGTCAATTCCCAATTATTAAGATTTGCTTTATGGAGTGGTTATGCTTATTTCCAAGGTTTAGTTGGTACTGGTATTTGGGTTTTAGCTCATGAATGTGGTCATGGTGCTTTCTCCGATTATGGTTTTGTCAATGATACTGTTGGTTGGATCTTACACTCATACTTATTAGTTCCTTTCTTTTCTTGGAAATACACTCACTCAATGCATCATAAATCAACTGGTAACTTATCAAGAGATATGGTTTTCGTTCCAAAGTCAAAACAAGAATTCTTAGATAGACATGAAAAATCAAGTGTTGAAGATATTTTAGAAGAATCTCCAATTTATACCTTATATTCATTAATTGTTCAACAATTATTCGGTTGGATCGCTCATATTATCACTAATGTTACTGGTCAAAGATTAACTGATATTCCATTCTACAAGAAAAATCATTTCAATCCTAATTCTGTACTTTTCGACAGAAAAGCTTACTGGTACATTGTTTTAAGTGATATTGGTGTTTTAGTTCAATCTTTTATCTTATATAAATGGTATCAAAACTTTGGTGGTTTCAACGTTTTCATTAATTGGGTTGTTCCATATTTCTTAGTTAACCATTGGTTAGTTTTCATTACTTTCTTACAACATTCCGATCCAAAATTACCTCATTATGAAGCTGAACAATGGAATTTCGCCAGAGGTGCTGCTACTACTATTGACAGACAATTCGGTTTTGTTGGTCCATTTTTCTTCCATGATATCATTGAAACTCATGTTTTACATCATTACGTTTCAAGAATTCCTTTCTATAACGCTAGAGTTGGTAGTGAAGCTATCAAAAAAGTCATGGGTAAACATTATCAATTTACTGATGAAAACATGTGGGTTTCTTTATGGAAATCCGGTAGATGGTGTCAATATGTTGATGGTGATAATGGTGTCATGATGTACAGAAATGTTAATGGTAACGGTGTTGGTACAGGTAAGAAATAAGCCACTATATATGTTTCTATTTATTTGATTTACTTATCTTTATTAGTTTCTTCTTCTTTCTCGTCTTCTTCATCTTCCTCTATTTCTTCAGGGTAAATGAAAGGTATACCGATAGATACCTTCTTTCTGTAATCTCCATAATCACTGAAGAACTTCATAAGTAATCCTTCTTCAAATTTAATCCTTTGGTTAAAAAAATTCCAAATCTGGTAACCTCCGAAACCAAGAGTGATCCAAGAACCTAAAAAGATCCGTAAACCAATAAACCACCAAAAGAATCCAAAATAACTAGGATGACGAGACACCAGGTAAATTCCATCAGTCACCAAGACATGGGTTTCATTCTTAGAACGTTGGATGTAATGATTGAATGATTCACCTGCTGTGATCATCGCCATACTTCTACATACTTGACCTACTATTACCAAGACTGATCCAGCGAAAAGTTGTCTCCAATTCAGTTCAAAGCCAAAATATTTATAAACAACGTATTCCAAAGCACTGACAACATTTACAAGTAGCAATTGATAGTCATGAAGGATGAACGAGTCATCTTCCAACTGGGAACTGTTACATATAGCAGTGATCAAGAATTCAAGGAGGTGGAATATAACTAGTGATATTCCATATAATGACAATTTAATATCATAACCGAGAAGTAAACAATTACTACAAATAGCCAATACTATCCCAAGACCAAAAGATCTTACTACAACCTTCCAAATGACAACTTTTTCAGTATCGTACATGGAGAGATGGAGCGAGATTTGTGAGATTTATAGTGTTTCAGATAAAAAATAAAATTACCCTTTTGGTCGCAATTTTTACCACCTAAAACACCACTTTACATTGGTTAAAAGGTGCATAATCCGTGTATACACAGGTTTGGAGATGGCACAACCTGAACATAATAATATAGGTTACATTTGCATAACATCATTAGTGCTTGGATTCATCGTGGGCACTAGTTTGGTGTATAGATCCAGGTTATCCTTTTATTTCATTATAGTGTGTATTTTCCATTTGAATGAGTTCTTATCCAATTGTGTATATTCACAATCAACACACCATCTGTTCTTGATCTGGTACAATAGGGGGAGTAGGGAGTATTGGATGGTTCAAATGATGACCATGGTAGAATATATGTATTTTCGCAGGTATACTATAGGAGGAGGGATAGTCGTACTGATGATAGGGATTTTCTTGAGGCACCTATCTATTAAGACCTTGGGGAAGTCCTTTTCCCATTACATAAAGACTGACAAGTATCCTTTGGTGACTACGGGGATTTTCCAATATATACGACACCCTAGTTATTTAGGATTCTACGTATATGTCATTGGGATCGAGATCTACTTGAGGAATTATATCAGTTTCATAGTATGTGTGGGTATTTTGACCTACTTCTTTCGAAAGAGAATTCAGTTTGAAGAATACTGGTTGGAGAAGAACCACAGAGAATATAATGCCTATAAACAGAAAGTTAGAATTTACATCCCGTTCGTTTGAATGCAGATATCCGAAGACAAGGCTGGGGCCAAGATCTTGGTGATAAGGCTGAAGGTCATAGCCATAGTTTATGAGCCAGGCCAAGCAAGGGTCGGGAAGCAAATGCACCCGACGACACGAGAGACATTAATGGCACAGTAACAAGGCTTAATGTGATGGCACAGTGGATCGGGTCCAGGATCTGTAGGATCGGCAGGATGAGTACGACTAAACACCCGTGATCAGGAAATGGAAACATGTGACCAGAGAAGGTTTTATAGAACTCATAGAAATTTAGACTAATATACTTTGACCCTAAGACTTAAACTCACACATTGCTCTACATCAGACATACATTCCTATAAACTTTTATTCATAAATCTTCTTCTTGTGAATGATAACCAATACTTACTTGGGAGATCATCAGTATAAATTCTCTTCAATAATCTGGAACTCAATTCTTGTCTAAATTGTGATAAGTAAGATCTTAATAAATCAGCTTCATTTTTATTGGATGGTGGTAAGTAAAGCGAACTTAAAGGAAATCCAATCTCCCCTGGTAATGAAAAGTTATCCAAAGATAAATTATTCAATATTCTGGTAGCTTCTTTAAAGTTAGTTGATTTGGTTAATTTACTTAAACATTCAGAAATGAATAAAATTCCATAAATCAACAATCTATCAGCAGGACCTTTAATTTCAAAGTTCTTAAAGAATGAATTAGCTCTAAATAAATCAAGTACTTCCTCTACAATATCATAATCATTAGTTGAAGGATATGTTGGACCACGGAATTGGGAATTGAATGGTAATAACAGAACATTCCCTACTAATCTATCTTCTTCACCCAAGAATGTTGAATGATATGCTGGCATTGTTTTCACTGTAAACTATATCAATTGGATTGCTAAAAGTAAAGGATTCCACAAGGAGTTGACAGTGTAGGTTTTGAGAATGCGAAACGTCGATACGACAAAAGCTCAAAAATTTTCAACCTGATCTAGTTGGAAACCATGTCGGGGAATCATCCATATAGGAAACAAGCGGTAAATATTCCTGAACATTTGTTACCACAATTATATATGAATCAGTATAATCCACCACCATCATCCAATCCTCCATCAACGGGTTCCAATGGTCATGTAAATCCAACTAACCAAATTTCATCTAACCAAAGTGGAGGTAATATGACCAATGTTGGTAATACTAGCCATCAAAATCATCAAAGTTATCAAGGTAATGGTAGTAAGGGGTATCCGAACGATCCTACCGATAATGGCCCGAGATTCACTGGTAAAGAAAGGATTCCGCCTTTACAATCACCTATATTAGCACAATATCAAGATCTTCCTTATCCTGCCCAAAGTGAAATTGATTTACCTTCACCTAATTTACCATCCCCTAACTTACCTTCACCGAAGGTAACATCCCCGGTATCACCGAATATACCCTCAGGCAACCAATTTTATCGAGGACATTCTCAATCAGGGCAGCATCAAGGTTATTCACAAGTACAACCTCAACAAGTACCACCTCAACAAGTACCTCATCAACAGGTACAATCACAAATACCATACCAACAAGGACAGTATCAACAAGGCCAACAATCAAATCAATCAGGTCAAAAACCTCCTTATCCAAGAGAATACCCTTATAGTAATTCTCGTAACACTTCCAATTCATCTATCAATAGATCACAAGAATCTTTCAGAAGACAACCATCTCAAGGATTCTCCAATCCTCCTAACCAACAACAAAATCAACAGTTCCAACAATATCAACCACAAAGTTATCAAACCCCCACGCAACCCCCCACTCAATCCAATCCTTATCAAACCCCTCAAAACGGTTATAATCTATCACAAATGAATACCATGCAACCCAATCGCCGAAAACCACCGCCAATCCAAACAGATCGAAGAATTGTATCGCAACCTTCACAATCTCCTGTTACTCCCAAATATGAACATAGGACCAAATCATTAAGTTCAATGAAAATGGCTTCGATTCAACAAGGTCAATCTATGGAAGGTAATGGTGAACCTAATAATAGTAGAAGTGTTAGTACTACATCTTCAACTTCTAATATTCATCATACCTTCTCGTTGAGTTCGAAATCCCGTTCATTTACTTCATTATCAAAATTATCATCATTATCAACAAAAAAATTTAATTCCTCAGCTTCACTTCAAAGTAAAAACACTGAAAGAACGGCTTCAACCTCAAGAATCGCATCGCAAAGAACATTAATCCAGATCTCTAAAAAACCCAAAGTTTATCCGGCAATGTTATCCAGGGTTGCTAATGTTTTCCGAGATTCCATGTTCTTAACTATCAACACTAAAGATGGATTGGAATATCACGATACCTTCACTGGTAAGATGGCAGTTGATATAATTTGTCGTATCATTAGAACCAATGATCGTAACTTAGCATTACTTTTAGGAAGAGCTTTAGACTCTCAGAAATTATTCCATGATGTTACCTATAACCATAGATTAAGAGATTCCGTTCACGAAGTTTATGAATTTAACCATATTTATAGGGATGTAGAGTTATATGATGAAAATGGGGAACGGTCTAATTCATCAGGTGACTTGTTACAACAACAATTAGCTAATGCTAACTTGAATAGTGTGACTGAAGAAACTGATGGATTAAATGGAGTTAACGGGGTTTTCACCATATTGACTGATTGTTATTCTCCTACTTGTAGTACCAAAAGTTTATGTTATAGTATTGCATGTCCTAGAAGATTGGAACAACAAGCAAGATTGAACTTGAAGCCTCAAGGTGGTTTAAAAAGAGCTGTTTCAAGATTATCCTTACATGAAGATGAAAACATCTCTCTTTGGCATGAAACTGTTCCTAAATCTATCTTGGATAAGTTGGATAAACATGAAAAGATGAGACAAGAATTGATATATGAATTCATCTATACTGAAAGAGATTATGTTAAAGATTTAGAATTCATGACCGATTTCTATATTCTTCCATTGAGAAACCCAAGTAATAATATCATCCCCGAGAGAGAAAGAGAAGCATTCATCCGAACAGTGTTTGGAGGAGTTAATGAATTATTAAGGTTAGCTAAACTGTTGAGTGAACAATTGACTAAAAGACAACAACAACAGAAGCCTGTAATTGAATCTATTGCCGACGTTTTCCTTCAATTCATTGATAGATTTGACCCTTTTATTAAGTATAGTGGGAATAAGGTGTTTGCCAGTTTCGAACACGAAAGACAACAACAAGTTAATATGAGATATGCTAGCTTCTTAGATGCTATTGAGAAAAGACCTGAATCTCGTAAACAAGATTTGTCGTCATTTTTGATCAAAGGTGTTCAAAGACCAGCAAGATATCAATTACTTTTGAATGGGATCTTAAAGAATACCAAACCTGAATCTCCAGATTATAAGAATTTACTTAAAGCCAAAGAAGAAATTGAAAAGATTTTGGTTAAGATTAATATTCAAACCGGGGAATCTACCGATCGTCATAAAATCATGGTTTTACATCGTTTGTTAGGTAAGCAAACGTTAGAAGAAAAGTTCAACTTCAAATTAAGCTATAATAACCGTATTATCTATCAGGTGACTTTGAATAGAAAAAGAGATAACGAAAAGATTGATTTGTACCTTTTCGAACATGCATTATTATTGGTCAAACATAAGATCCAGAATAAGAGAGAACAATATAAGGTGTTTGAAAAACCAATCTACTTACCGTTATTATATGTTAATGGAGGATACGACATTCCGACATTCAGAACTATCTTGAATTCTAGATTCAATGGATCAATTGTAAGTGATTCTAAAGCTAAAGCTGATTTGAATAACAAATTACAAATCAATTTCCTTGGTTTGGGATCGCAACAAGTCCATACCACATTGAATGCTGATGATATTACCAATCAATCACAAATCTTATCACAAATCTCCGCTCAACAAAAGAAAATGGTGGAAAAATACGATATCTTCTCCTTAACCAAATACGAAACCAGAAGATTTAGTGGTAATAATAAAATCAATTGTGCAGTTCCTTGTTATGGTGGTAAGAAATTATTATATGGTACCGATTCTGGGGTTTGGGTATCAACAGTGAGAACTATCAGTATCACCAATAATGAAAAAATCACTTCCGATCCAACAATGGTTATCAGTAAACTTTATGTCACCCAGATAGAAGTGTTAGTAGAATATTCAAAATTATTAATCTTATCCGATAAATCACTTTACGAATTTGATTTATCATGTACTGATTCTTTAGATCATATCAAAAATACCAGATCAGGGAAATTGATTTTAACCCATGTTTCTTCATTTAAGACGGGTATTTGTGATGGGAAATTATTAGTATGTGCTATTAAGAGTGGTAATGTTCATCAAATTGATATTTTTGAACCCAATAATCCTTTCGATAAAGCTAAGAAGAATAAGAAGTATGATATCAGAGAGATTTCTTTCAACTCCGAACCAGTATCCATATCTTTCTTAAGAACCAGATTATGTATCGGATGTAATAAAGGGTTTGAAATCTTATCATTAGAGGAAGGTAAAAAAGAACCTATCTTAGATGAAGCTGATCCATCTTTAGATTTTGCCATACAAAAGGAAAGTGTTTCACCATTAGCTATTCATAGATTAGGTAAGGATTTCTTATTGAGTTATAGTGAATTCTCGTTCTTAATCAATCGTAATGGTTGGAGAACTAAACATGATTGGGGGATCTTCTGGGAAGGGAACCCTAATAACATAGCGTTATTCTATCCATATTTATTATCATTTGAACCAAGTTTCATTGAAATCAGGGATTTAGAAAGTACCAATCTTATCAGATCCCTTGTAGGTGAGAATATTCGTTTCTTGCATAGTAATGAACATGAGGCAATGTATGCTTGTGAAGAGAATGGTTATGATGTTATTGTTCTGATTGATTTCTTGAATTTGAAACCCAAATCTCCAAGTGCGTGAATTGGGCTATCACCGTCATCGATTCATCGTTGACTTCAATTCATGGCTGACTTCAATTCATCGATTTTCCATAAAAGTTTCATAGCTTTTAAGTTAACTGACACATTTCCATATCCTTCACCTCCATCACATGTCCTCCAACTGTAATCCTAAATACACGACCCTTTGAAATCTCCAACAAAAAAACGCGACTGAAAAAAAAAAAACTTTTCAACATGATTGAAATCAATTATCCTTCTATTGAACATCCATTTGGTGTTCACTTATGGCCTTTGTTCGATTGTGTGTTCAGTAAAATTGTAGGTGTTTCTGCTGAAGATTTCCAATTCACTTATAATGAAACTTTCTTAGCCAATGGATACCAAGCAATCTCAGTTATTGTTGTATACTATATAATTATCTTTGGTGGTAAGAAGCTCATGAGTTCATTTAACATTCCTGCTATGAAATTAAACTTCTTATTTCAAGTTCATAATGTTTTCTTAACTTTAGCTTCCTTGATTTTATTATTATTATGTATTGAACAATTAGTTCCAATCTTATATTATAGAGGTATCTTTGATGCTGTTTGTCATAAAGACTCTTTCACTCCAAAATTGGTTACTTTATATTATTTGAATTATTTAACTAAATATGTGGAATTGATTGATACTGTTTTCTTAGTATTGAAAAGAAAGAAATTATTGTTCTTACATGTTTATCATCATGGAGCCACTGCATTATTATGTTACACTCAATTAATGGGTAATACTTCAGTTGAATGGGTACCTATTACTTTGAATTTAGCTGTTCATGTTGTGATGTATTGGTACTATTTCTTAAGTGCCAGAGGTATTAGAGTCTGGTGGAAAGAATGGGTCACTAGATTCCAAATTATTCAATTCTTGATTGATTTAGTATTTGTATACTTTGCTACTTATACTCATTATGCTTTCAAATATTTCCCTTGGTTACCTCATTTAGGTGATTGTTATGGTAGTGAATTAGCTGCTTTCTATGGATACTTGATTTTAACTAGTTATTTGATCTTATTCATTAGTTTCTATTTCTCAGTTTATAAGAAACCTGCAGCCAAAAAAGTCAAAGAAGAACCATCAACTGCTACTTCAACCGGAGTTAAATCCAAAGAAGGTCTCACCAAAAGAAAAGCTTAAATAAGGCCATAAAAGCTCATACCTAAAGGTAAAGCTCATACCTGATGACGATAGTTAAAGCTCATATCTAAAGGAGCTCATATCTAAAGGTAAAGCTCATACTTAAAGCCCCCACTCTCCGGAGATAACTGGACATTTTTAGTAATCATATTTGTCATTTGTCACCCTCAGAATACGGCTTTATTTTTAATAAATATTATTCATATTTCACGTGACAAGGCGGAACTACGGCCAAATCCTCTTACTCCATCAACTCCGCTGATTTATTGGAGCCGTCCCAGGATTGCTTTTCTGCCGCGTCCAAAACGGCAATAGCTATCCTTCCGTATCCCGCTCGCTTTTACATCAAATTATTCATCGATATTTCTAAACCAACCTACGATTTTCTCTCCAATAGTCAAGAGTTGGTATAGCCGGTCTAATAACTTACTCCAATACCGTAAGAAATAGTTTAAATGACTTTAGCCCTCAGCCATTGGCTATCGGGTGGTAAAAAAAATTCCACTGCATCCTTACGACATAATGAGGCAATAGCCTTTCCCCTATATTTTTAACCGAACCCATAAAAATTCGTTGACCTCCACCAACAATTTGGGGGTCAAAAAAGGGTTTTTAAGCTCTAGAAACACTCGGAATACGTTGTAAATGACCTTGTTTGGTCATATATCCAATTTAAACCGATTTTCCTCGACATTTTCTAAATCGTCGGTAATATATTTTATCCCATCACGCCCGCAAATTTACCGATATCTTCAATATCTTCAATAAAACATCCAAAAAACTTCCTATAACCTTCGGATAATTGTAAAATCATTATTAGCATCACTAATAACTACCCTAAAGGGTTGAAATCCCCGAAACAAAAAAATTTCTATTGTTTAGTGGTAAATATTTTAAATCCGATCCTTTGGTATATATAATCGCAGCCATGTCCACAAATCCCAGAAAATATACCAACCACCCCAAAGCAAGAAATAATGTATTTGATGGATAATAAGTTACCTTCGATACATATGAGTCAAAATAGGATAAGTTTACCTTCGATAAACAATCTTAACTTACCATTAAACTTACCTTTACCAAATCAATATACTATTAATCATCCACCTTCAAGTATAAATATTACTAATAACAAAGAAGTCGAAGAACAACGATACAGTCTATCACCTATAAGTCCAATAAGTCCAAGGTTTAATGACAATAAATCACCAAGTTCACAATCATCACAATCATCACAATCATCAAGATCTTCAGTTTCAGAAATCGAAGATATTAAAGACAAAGATGAACCTGATAGAAAGAAGAGAAAGAAAAGACAATGTCCTGAATGTAAGCTGTACTTTTCAAATCTTGCCACTCATAAGTCCACCCATTTAAATCCAAATTCAAGACCTCATATCTGTAAATATTGTTCAAGAGGCTTTGCTAGACCGAACGATTTATTCAGACACATAAAATGTCATTGGAAAGAGATTGGTATTGATAAAGGACAATTCAAATGTCCTTATAAGAATCATTCTTCAGGAGATCATTGTGGACATAATTCAGGAATATTTAGTAGATGTGATACTTTTAAAAATCATTTAAAAGCTATTCACTTTCAATATCCTAATGGTACTAAAAAAGACCAAAGGTCAAATTCTTCTGGTGTGTGTAGGATGTGCCAGAAAGAGTTCAAAAACGTGGATGATTGGTTGGTTAATCACTTAGAGAAGAACCAATGTACTTTTGCAAATGAATATGGGAAATAAACGATTTATGACTATCTCTTAAAATTTTTGGTGGGAAACTGGTGATATTTGCAAGAATGGAGTGTTCCCCAAGTTTGTCCGTTCCAGCCGCTTCATTGCGGACAACTTTAATTAAGGTTCCGAAGGCATCCGCATCCGAGATTCTTTTTTGCGAGATCCCGTGATGTGCACATGATGCATCACGTGATGTTTTCTTAAATCATCATCAATTTAATTATGTTATATGAACCCTATCAACCAACTTAACCCTTTAACCAGTTTAATCTCCTTCAAACCCCACCTTACCATTGTAACCAATAATCTCCCTTACGCTAAAAAATATTCACCCACTTATCCGTCCGCCTTCGCGAAACATCTCTCTTAAGATCACTATGGAATACACACCATTCCCTTGGTGGAGATTGGTAATCTATGATTTGTTATTATGGATCTTGAACATTACCTTTGATTGTTTTTTCCGAGAGATTCGAAGTAGAAATGCTTTCAAAATTCCAACAACTGGACCAGTGATATTTGTGGGAGCTCCTCATGCTAACCAATTTGTTGATCCAGTTATCTTGATGAATCAAGTTAAGAAAGAAAGTGGTAGAAGAATATCATTCCTTATTGCTGCTAAATCTTATAGATTGAAAGTAATTGGGTGGATGTCGAAATGTCAACTTTCAATTCCTGTTGAAAGAGCTCAAGATAACTTGAAACCTGCTAAAGGTAAGATCTTTATTGATTTCAATGAACCAAACTTAGTTAAAGGTGAAGGTACTGAATTCACAAGCTTCTTAAAACCAAAATGTTTATTGGCTTTACCCAATTCCTTAGGAGCTTCAGAAATTGATTCTGTTATTGATGATACCACTTTACTCATCCGTAAACCGTTCAATAAGAGTGAAAAGATCGTAGACTTGTTATCTAAAGGTACTGGTTTCAAATATGCTGAGAAAATTGATCAAAATGAAGTTTACCATCAAGTTTTCAATCATTTATCTCATGGTAATTGTTTAGGTATATTCCCTGAAGGTGGGTCACATGATAGAACTGATTTATTACCTATAAAGGCCGGGGTGGCCATTATGGCTTTAGGAGCTATGGCTAATAATCCTCAATGTAATGTAAAGATTGTTCCTTGTGGAATGAACTATTTCAATGCCCATAAATTCCGTTCAAGAGCTGTTATTGAGTACGGTACACCCATAGAAATTCCTCGAGAAATGATTGAACGTTATCAACAACCTGAAAACACAAAAGAAGTGGTCAAGGACTTACTTGACTTAATTACCAGTGGATTAAAAGCTGTCACTGTCACTTGTGACTCCTATGAGACATTAATGGTGGTACAAGCCGCACGTAGATTGTACGCTCAAAATTTCGCTTCCAGATTACCTTTACCTTTGGTAGTGGAAATGAATAGAAGATTGGTTTTAGGTTATGAAACGTTCAAGAATGAAGTTCAAGTTCAACAATTAAAAGCCAAGATTTTAACCTATAATGAACAACTTCAACAATTATATTTACCTGATCATCATGTGGAAACATTTGATGAAAATGCAAAATTCCGTAATCTTGGGGTTCTTCTTTATAGAATTATCAAATTATTTGTTTTCGTGATTTTAGCGTTACCCGGAGCAATCTTATTTTCTCCGGTGTTCATTATAGCCAAAAGAATATCAAGTCAAAAGAAGAAAGCTGCATTAGCTAATTCTGTGGTTAAAATTCAAGCTAATGATGTAGTTGCTACATGGAAAATATTGGTTAGTCTTGTGATAGCTCCAATTTTCTATAGTTTCTATGCTTCTATAGCAGTTTATTACTTCAAACAATACTATACATACCGTTTGAATGGATTACTTTTATGGTTATCCTTATACTGTTTCAACGTATTAATTACTTATAGTGCCTTGATCACTGGAGAACAAGGAATGGACCTTTTTAAAAGTATCAGACCTTTATATTTATCATTAACTGATGGTAGTAGTATTAAAGAATTGAAATCTTTAAGAAAACAATTGATTGAAGATATTACTGAAGCAGTGAATGAGTTCGGGTATAAATTATTCCCTAAAGATTTCAATTTATTAGAATTAAATGATGAAGAAGAAGAAACTATCACCATGAACCTTAAAAGAAGAAGACAAAGGAAACAAGATTCAGTTTCAAGTTCAAATTCATCTTCATCACTTAATTCTCAATTCTCTTCATCAAGTTCCATGTCTGATGGAGTTTCATTCATTAATTCTCATAAATCCTTCAGTAACATTCCTGTGTTCTCAGATTATCAATTGTTTGAGAATAAGAACTCCGATACTCCTAACTTATCGAGATCAGGTTCATCATTGGAATTAAATTTCAAATCAGGGAAATTATCCGATTTAATTAAGAATAAAATAAGAGAGAAGAGAGATAAAGTTGAGTAGGACAATTAATATTTATTATGTGATCTCTTGATGGGAAGTTAACTTACATTGGCTTGTCTTGAATAAAACTCTTTAACTTGTTCCGATGTGGTAGCATCTTCAGTACCCTTATCATCTCTGATTCTCAAGAATCGAGGAAATCTAAGAGATATACCTTTCCCATATTCTTGATGACCGGCTTTATAGATTGGACTTAAAGATAAATCAGCTGTTAATACTTCAAACAACGTTGTAGGTTCAAACCATACATCTGGCACTGCACTGGAATCAAAATTGTAGAAAGCTTTGGGTTGTGATATTTCTGTTGGGTGTAATTTTCCATATAAGGAAGTAAGATCTTCATCGCTAAATCCAGTACCTATCTTACAAGTAGTTTCGTATTCTCCAGTATCATCATTATAACTAGCCAATAAAAATCCTCCATAAGTACCTGTTCTTTTACCTCTACCATTATAAGCACCAATGACCACCAAATCAAGAGAATCTCCAACACCTGCCAAATAATCTTTTTTAAGTTTAAGCCAATTCCTTGATCTTTTCGATGGTTCATAAAACGATTCTTTAGTATGTAACATCTTGACCATTAATCCCTCACAACTATCTTTAACTGATTGATCTAAAAATACTTGTAATTCATCTAAGTTGGATGAATTCTTGAAAGTAGCAAAATTGAATTTACCTTCAATCGGTTTGAATCTTGAAAATAGTATATCTCTTCTATCAGCTAATGTCTTATTAACTAAAGAATCTCCATTCAAATATAACAAATCAAAAGCGAATAAACAAATATGAACTTTAATGTCTTTTTCATCAACGTCTTTACGTTTTCTAGTGGATAAAATTTGGAAAGGTAAGATTTTATTTTGGGTTCTATCCCAAGCAACTGCTTCACAGTCCAAAATCATTGATGACAATTTCATATCATCATCTTGATGGGTCATGAATTCTTTCACTACGGTGATTAAATCAGGATATCTTTGAGACATATCTTCAGAATTACGAGAATAAATCTTCACTTGTCCATCATCTAACAAATGCACTTGAGCCCTTTCTCCATCGTATTTATACTCGCATGTAAATTCTTCTCCTTGGAATCTATCTAAAACTTCACTGATGGATTTGGTTGGTTTAGCTAACATGGGCTTTAACGGTAATCCGGGAGTAATTTGACAATTATCTAATAAATTGAAAATTCCATGTTCATAAGCGGTCTTAATTATAATTTCATAATTTGGTACTAAACTAAAAGCTTCTCTAATGATCTCTTCAGCTTTCTCTAAAGATTCAGATCCTTTAGCTCCTTCATAGTTAACAAAAGCTTGTGCTAAACCTATGATAACGGTTTTTTCCGCTAAACCAATCCTTAATTTCCCTTCTAATGACCTTATCAAGAATTTTGCTTCAGGGGTTTTGGCATCACATGATGTTAATAATTTATTGATGATTTGCACTTTCTTGTTTTGGGAATCTTTCCCTGTCAGTTTGGCTATCTTGGTTAAATTCTCAAACACTAAATCAATATCTAAAGGTGTTGGTTTGAACATTGTTGGTTGACCTGATCTAGATTTTTGAGCTACTAAACCTAAATCTCCCATTGATTTATAATCGGCTTTGATTTTGGTGGTGGCTCTTCCATAACATTCAGATATGGCTTTAATCAATAATGTTTCCCCTAGACCCAATTCCAAATCGGGTTCATAGTCAGGACCTAATCTGTTGATGGAAAGATAAACTATCTTAACTAATTTTTCAACACTGGATTGTTGTAAAATTTCGAAATAAAATTCCGAAACGATGGATATGATCTTAAGTCTTGAGGATTCGTGTTCGATTTCTTCGAAAACCCCAGCTAATTTGGCATAAGGGATCTTTTTATCATCAACTATTTTATCATTCTTATGTAATTGATGCTGTTTTTCAGTAGCTTTTATCAACGCCTCGTTATCGATTTTGTCTTCAAGTTTGGGCTTCTTAACTGGGGACTTGGGAGGAGTTGAAGATCTCTTCACGGCCTCACGAGCAGCCGAACCTCCAAAGAATCTAGCAATTGATTGTTGTTGAGCCATTCTTTTTAAAGGTCTAAGCATGCGCGTTTGACGCGGTTTAGAGAAATATATGGGAATTGCCAGTGGGGTCAGGAAGAGAGTTACCAACCTCGTACAACAGAGATTGGACTTCCTAAGAGAAGCTTGGATAATGTAGAGTACTTGAGCGTATCTCAGAACTATGTCAAACGGCTACAACACCCTCAGGCCACAACACCCTCAAGCCCCTATAACCCAAGCACTCAAGAGCTAAAAATACAATCTAAATTTACATTTCAGAATATCTGATATCTACATCAACCTCACCTAAAGAGTACAACTCCAAATAACTTCAGGTCCGTTTTCTTCATAATTATCCCCATCAACAAATAATTCTCCATTGGCATTAGAATTACCTCCGAAAATTTGTTTAGCATAAATTTGACCTCCTAAGAAATAAACATCTTCCCATGAACCACCCTTAGGTTTCTTCCATTCAGGGAAATAGTCAGGATATTTAACCAATTTAATGGAGTTAGGGACTTGAGATAAAATGAATTCTCCATCGGTAGTTTCTACAACATCATCTGATTGTTGATAAGCAGCAATGGCTGAATTTATTCCCATTTCCTTTTGTTGTTGTTGTTGCTGAGGAGTACGAATAAGGTAATTATAAGATAAAGTGGTTAATAAATTATGTTTGAAACCTGGAATCTTGAAAGTTGAACCAACAAGAATAAGGTTATCAAAACATTCTTGTCTTTTTTCCAAATCAGGAATGTGAAGTAATACTTTATAAATCTCTGAAGCTATTAAATCAATTAATGGTCCAGTACCTTGGAATCTTTCCTTACCAACAGTAATCTTATCACCATTAAATTCAAATGAATTTCTCTCTAATTCATGATTAAGCTTTTCATCTTCTTCTTCTGGTTTGACTTCATCAGTGACTAATTTAGCAATATCGTATTTAGAATCTTCATCCATACCTTCATCGACTTTATTTAAATCAGCAATTGAATAAAATGAATTCTCTTCACTATTCATGACTTCAAAGATTTTGGATGTTTTCAAAGCTTCAATCTGGTCATCAGTATATTGAGGTAATAACTTCTTTAACTCTTCATTTATTAAATTTGAACCTTTTGGAATATATTTTGAAGCAAATTTGATGTTTGAGTATCCAATAACTGGTGATATTTGCATACTTTCTTTACCTAAATTGACCACCAATGATGAAACTCCGTTCCCAACACCGAAACCACAAGCAATGGATAAATCCAAGATGTTGAAACCTGAAAATTCTAAATCTTCAATGACATATTTGGTGATTTGTTCGATTTGAAATTTCGACCAACATTTACTAGGGGAAATTATAAGTAAAGGGATTTGATTAATGGTGACAATAGGATTTTGGGCAATAACACTTTGTAAAATCAACTTCAAAAGGTATTTAAACCCTTCTAAGTCTATGATTTTACCACCTTTTATACATTTGATAGTTTCACAACCATCTTCAAATTTGGATTGGAATTCCCCATCTTTTTTGTAAATGGTGGAAGGAATTTTATACTCAGGAGGTGATAAAGATTCTTGTAAACCAAAGGAGAACAAGGTATTTTCACTTCCTGGATGGATTACCAAAAAGTTTTCTTCTCTATACAAAGGCATGTTGTTGATAATTTTCGCGACTTTGGACTTTTGGCAGAGGGAGAGAGAGAGTTGGTGAGACAGATTTGAGAGTCTCTGGTGCGAGGGTTTTTGAATCCCTGGTGCGAGGGTTTTTGAATCCCTGGTGCGAGGGTTTTTGAATCCCTGGTGCGATGGTTGATAAGCTTGTGAGTCCTTGGTACGACAGTTTATCAGTTTAAGGACTGTAAAGAAGTTACTTCGAGAGCTTAGCAGTAGATATCGTCTATTCATAATCTTGAACTCCATCAATGAATCTATTGTAATTGGCTCTGGTTCCCAATACACTCTTTTTACTCATTGTGGTATTAGATCTTTTAACCCCAAATCCTGGTAATTCAGTGAATTCATCGTCTTCTTCTCCATTAACTAACTTAACTTCATTGATGAAAGGTAAATCATTGGGGATCTCAGGTAAAGGTTGATCTAAAGGAGGAGTCAATCTACCATCAGTGTGGGTGTAATGATTGAACTGATGGGTGGGAACTTGAGGATTTCTCAAGTTATTGGAATCGAATGAATCAAAACTGTTGGTGGGTTTATGTTTTCTGGATCTTTCTACAAATTTGGAATAATTGGATTTTGGTTCAGTTGTATGATGTTTATTCAATTTAGGTTTATCATCAAAACCAAGACTTTGACTCCTTGGTTGAGGTTTGTATGGTAATACTTGAGTACTACGATTTCTTTGAGGTGATACTGGTTTAGTGATAGATTTGGATCTAGGTTTATCTGTATGTCTACGAGGTAAAGGTTGACGTTGTTGGTATTCTACCGATGGAGATCTTTCCATTGGTTCATCATAAGCTTGAGCCATTAAAGGAATGTCAGGTTCCTGTGGAGGTATAGGAGGAATCTCAAGGGGTTTAGCTTTAAAACGACTCATTATATCTTTAAAGGAGAATTTCTCTACTTTAATTAACCCTCCATACCAACCAATGGTACCAAGGATGATCCCCCAAATAACACCAATCTTCGCATAATTGAAGAATATTTGTCCATAATATAACAATTGGGGAGATAACCTACTAATGACCAATGCTAAAATCACCCCTATTAAGAAACTAGGTATGTGGAACATATTCAAGTTAGTATTAATTTGAGTCATTAATGGCATAGTGAACGGGGTAGTAACTGTAGCAACAGGAGATTCAGGTTCTGGAGTTAAAATATTCAATCCTGGACTGAACCCTTTGGAGAATTTGGGTGTATTTACATTAAGATGATCGGTGGGACTGATGTTTGGGGATTCATGCATTTCATTGATGATGTCGGTTTGAACTGTCAAATCTGGAAATTTGGTTGGTGGTGAAGCTACCTCTTTCTGTTCTTTATTTTTTGCTCCAGGATCGACTACTTCATAAGCACAACTAATCAAATCATTCAAGTAATCATCAACTGTCCGTTTATCGGACTTAGTACTCAACTTATCACTGTCATTCAATCTCTTTAACCGGAAAACTCCATCAGGATCTTGTTTGTAAACTAACTTCTTCTTACCACTCATAGTTGGAATTAGGATTTAAGTATATTTTATATGCTTATCGTTTAAGCGAAGAATTCTGTTGTATATACGACTGATCTTGCGATAAGTAGAATTGACCCTGTGGTAAATCTAGAATTTGGTAATATAGGACTGGTGAAAGACCTTTTGAATCTTGCTATGTCTTTAACTTATCTGAGACTCCTTAATCAATCTCAGACTCCTTAACTTATCAATGATCTGACTAATATATGAAATTCTTTTCGTCCAAGCTTATATAGCTGTTTAAGACTGTTTAAACCCAATCAATAGATGAATTCAAATCGATGGTGAATCAACTGAAGTGTATGTTGAAGAATTTTCACTGTACTGTCACAAGTTCTCCAGAATACAATAGAGGTTTTGAGAAAAGTCATTTTTATTTTATTTACATTTATTCCTAAACGGGTTAAATTACTTGCAGTGAGATTGACGAGGTACCTGGCAGAAAATGAAGTCGGAGAGCATGGCTATTTCACACCGTAGAACAGTTGTATATAAAGTTAAAACATTATAAAAACATCATATATTACCTCTTATTCTTCTTGCTAATTGAATATCCTTTTGCATTATAGTAACTCTTTTAGCATGAATTGCACATAAATTCGTATCTTCTAAAAGATGGATTAAATAAGCTTCACATGCTTCTTGTAAAGCTAAAACTGCATTACTTTGCCATCTAATTCCATAATCCATACCAACATAGTTTTCAGCAACTTCTTTAACTAATCTAGCAAAAGGTAATTTTCTTAATAACAAGTCAGTATTCTTTTGAAATTTTCTAATTTCTTGTAAAGCCTTTGTACCTGGTCTATATCGTCTTTTGACCACTGGTCTACTTGGTGGATCTCCTGGTAAGTTTCTATATAAACCAGTTTCTCTATTACGGTCTCTTCGAATGGAATTGGTAGTATAGTTACTACGAGAACTGGATGAAATTCTAGCCATTCTTTAGTGATTTGGACGAGTTTTTAATTGATTTGCTGGTGGGAGATTGAAATTATAATCTTAACTGTGTTGATTTTGTAATGTAGACTTGTAAGTATCTGTAATGAAGGCGTATAAGTATGGTGAATGATTGTGATATATTCTGATGGTGTCTCCTTTTTCTGCGATTTTCACCAGTTCTCTGTTTTGAGATTTTAGCTGGGAATAGGTTGAGGATATTTAAGGGTCTTACTTTAAAGGATTTTACTTTAAATGGTCTTACTTACAAGGGTAAGAAACTAGATATACATAACATACAACAACTACAGTATAAAAAAATTAAAAGCCTCCAAGAAACTAAAAGCCTCAATCATCTAAGAAAATCATCTAAGAAAATCATCTTATATTCTTTAACTATATACATCGAGTCCTAATCCAAATCTATTTTTCCTTGTAACAAATTATTTAATCCTTGTTGGATTTCCAAACTCTCTTGGTCCACAATAATTTCCTTAACATTATTACCACCCATCAAACTTTTCATTTTCCATCCAAATTCTTTAAATGATGAAATATCTAAAATCCAACAAGTTCCTGTGATCAACATACCACTTACAGAACCAGCAAGTAAAGTACCAGTCCCCACAGCTACAGCAGCATCAGCAGTGAAATTATAACTTGTTGGAGGTGAATGATTACCTTGAAAAAATCTTGGAATAAATTGTCTGGATACAGTTGATCTATAAGCCGACCTTGAAGTTAATATGGTAGTACTTGCACATATTAAGAACAACAACATCTGCTGTTGTCTTCTGGATCTATAGCTATCAGACGCTTCATTGATCTTGGAATTGGGGATGGACAAGTACATTGAAGAGATTTCGCGCAGTGTCAAAAGTCAGACAGAACAGTATCTATTAATACACATAGAACATTTTCAATAATACAACAAATCAAACAACAATGAATTAAATCTAGATTTCTTCTTTGAATAAACCACCTTTATTATCTTGAATACTTAAATCATCAAAATCTTCATCATCCTTTTTGGCTTTTTCACTTTTTTCAATGACTTGTTTACCAGCATCTAAACCAGTTTTAACCCCTTTTTTAGTTGATTCAACAACTCCTTCAGATGATTTGGCAGCTTTATCAGCAGTTGATTTAGCAACAGAAACTGCAGTAGAACCTGCAACTGCACCAGTAGCCACTGAATTTGGAATAGATTTCCTTTTGAATAAACTTGATAATCTTTTCATAGGATTTTTCTTTTCCTTCTTTTCAACTTTAACTTCTTTCTTCTTTTCTATTGGTTTTTCAACAGGTTTTGCTTGAACTGGTTCATCGGAAAATATAGACGAAGTATCTAATAATTTCTTGGTATCAACATCTTTTCTTAAATGTTCAGGTAATTCACTATTAATAGCTTCTTCTTCTTTAATTCTTTCATCTAAATGATCTTTAATTTCCTTTTTCTTAGCAGCTTTATCAGAAATATGTTGTTCTTTAGTTTCGGATAATTGTTTGATTTCATTATCCAAATTTTCATTTTCTTTAGAAATTTCTGCTAATTTGGTATTAGAAGATGAAGTTAATTCTTCAATTTCTTTATTACTTTCATCATGTTTGATTTCTAAATCTTTGAATTCTGATTGTTTTAATTCAATTTCTTCTTCAGTTTCCTTTAATTTTTCTTCTAATTCTTTCAATTTAGTTAAATATTCATTATTAGTCTTTTCTAAAGTTTCAACTTCTCCAGCTAATTCAGTTTTAGCATCAGTTAATTCTGATAATTTTTCATTCTCAACTTTTAATTCCTCTAAAATCGGATTGATTTCAACATCTCTTTCAGATTGCATTTCTTCTAATTCTGTCTTTCTTGAAGAGATTAATTCTTGTTCTTCTTCATCAATTTTATCTTGATTTTCCTGTTTTTGAGCTAATAATTTCTCCTTTTCTTCAGCATATTTCTCTTGTTGTTCTTTTAATTCTCCTTCTTTAACAGTAACTTTATCATTTTCTTCACCTTGATAAGTAACAAATTCTTCATCTTTAAGTTTCTTTTGTTCTTCATTTTCATCGAATCTAGTCTTTTTCTCTTTTTCTAAATCTTCCTTTTCTTTCAATTTTTCCATTACTTGAGCTTTTTTAGCATCTAAATGTTTCTTATTAGCTTCTTTCTTCTTTAAATTAGCTTCTTTATCTTGATCTCTTTGTTGTTTAGCTTTAGAGTCAATGTCGCTCAAAACTGGCGCGACAATTAAACTTGCCATTTTATCTAATTCTTGTTGAGTAACAGTTAAACCTCCACCTAAATCAATGACTCCAACTTTATGATTCTTGACTCTGTCATCACTTCTCTTTTGAGCAATAGCTAAAGCATTGGCATATAATTGAGCTTGAGCTTTAAAATCTTGGGGAGTACCATTGTTTAAACTATTAAGTCTATCATTAGCTTTTTCACTGGCTGCTGATAATAAATATTTACCAGAAATATCACTTGCTTTGAAAGATTTAGTTGAATTTGAAGTTAATCCTGATCTACCAACATTTAAATTGGGGTTAATTCTAGAATCCATGGTTTTAGTTGAATTACTATTGGCTAAACTTGAAATCTTGGAGATATCTAAATTAATACCTGAAGTTTGTGGTTTTAATCCATGTTTGGAATTCTTTTCAGGATTAATTCTTGATGTCATAGTTGATGTTGACTGTTCATTAGCTTTCTTATAAATAGATGAACCATTTAAACTTGGTATACCAACAGATGATGTCATAGTTGTACTTTTTGAGATAGGTTCTTCAGTCTTATATAAGGAAGAATTAGCAGCATTTTCAGCATTTGGATCAACAGTTCTGGACCATTGATAGATTTTTTCCAATTTGGCAGCTAATGCAGCATCTTGAGCTTCTTGAGCAACAGTTCTTTCATAACTTGGTTTAACTGTTAAATCACTTGAAGCTGCTAATAAGGCTGCAGTATCGGAAGCACTTGAATTAACTCCAACATTGCCAATATTTGGACTGGTATAAATTCCTTGTTTTAATTTTTGTTGGTATATAGCTTGAGCTGATAATGGTTTACCATTAGTTTGATAAATTGACCTCGACATTAGTTTCCCCTTTTATTACTTACAATTCAGGGTTAAAGGGTTCTATTTGGTTAAATTCCGATGTTTCTTCAATTGTTTGATAATTCCCTCGAGTTCTTTAATCCAATTGCTTTGGTTTTAACTTCTAACCTCTTCAATTACAAATTATATGAAAATTATCAATAAATTCACTCGAACAATTCACTCGAACTTCCAGTGAAATTTCCCAGTTTTTTTCGTGAAATAATGGAACGTCGTGTGCGCACCGGGTATTTACCAGCAATCTATGATGAAATGTAAGTTTACAACTGAATGACTATGCGTGTGGGTTAGCAAAGGTTGATGTCACTACCATAGAACAGTTACAGAATGGGGGAAACTAATCGATATGGTAGATTAACGCATAAGGGATTTAAGATAAGATAATAGGAGATTAGAGAAATAGGAGCATTTGGACGGGTCTCAATTTCACCTTTATCGGACATATTTTAACATAACTTACAGCATGGTGAATAAGGCAAGTAGGTGGTTTCAGTAGAAAATTATGGGGATGTCAATAAACACTGATAACTGTGCCTCCAACTTTAAGCCTCCCAACATTAAAATGGCCAGAGGGAATACACTATGAGGAATTAAACTATATTCTCTCGGTCGTGGGACCAATTTCTTATACAGGAGTGAGAGATAACGAAACTCATATATATATTTATCCATTGCCTTTACCCTAATCTAGTTCAACTAGATATTATTAACCTGTAATAATTTTCAATTTGTGATTTCTGTTTTCCAATTTACATCTTCAAAATCTTGATCTCTACTCTTTTTCCTTTTATGATAAATTAATGGATTACCATAAATAATAGAAGTAGTGCCATTAGCATTAATTCTATAATGAGTTTTTAAATGTTGTGCAAGATTATCTGATCTACTAAATTGTTTTTCACAATATTTACAGTGGAAAGGTCTAACATTTGAATGTACTGACCGAATATGTCTTTTTAAATGTTCAGATCTTTTGAATTGTTTAGGACAATCAGGACATGTGAAAGGTTTACCTTCTTCTTGAGGTGGAATAACAATTGGTTGATTCTTTAAAACTCGTCCATTATGAAATGGTACACTATCAACCACTTCAATTTTTTGAACTTCTTTGACTTCTTGAGGTTTTTCAACTTCTTCATTTTCAATAATTTCCTCTACTTCTTCAGGTTTGATAGAATGACTTTTACGTCTTCTACGTTTATCAATACCTCCATATAATAATGGAACTACTTTAGGAATTTGAGCTGGTGATGAATTTCTACGAAATATCCCTGTTGGATTAGATTCATTAGAATCATTAATCCATGAATTGATAGCATTAACACATTCATTATTCATATCCAAATTAACTTTAGATAATGTACTTGACATTGATCTTTTCTTTTTGAATGGTTTATTATGTGTTATTGGTTCAAATAAATCTTGTCCCATAGAATTAATCAATTCTGGTCCGGAATATGGTGGTAATGAAGGTACTGGAGGTACAGTTTGATCAAAAATTGAACTTTTAATATTTAAACTTGTTAAATTTGGTGAGGAAATTGATGATGGTAATACATAATCATCTTTACTCATCAAATCTTGAGGATTAATTGTCATATTTTCATCCAACTTTTTATAATTTAAGAATTCTGGACTTGGAGATTTGGTAGATGGTGATGAATAATTGTTCAAATTCAATGATAATAAATTTAATTTGTCAGGTAAACTAAAAGATGATGAATGGGCCTTTTCTTGATAAACATAATTAGTTTCGATATCATCGAATTCGATGGCAAAATCATTGGAATCAATGAAATCTGAAACGTTCATGATTGTTATTGCTTGTTATTTATAACTTTTCCTACGTCGATTAACTATTTTGTGACTGATTACCGATTAACCGTAACCTATAACAACTGACTAATGTTTATGTCAGTTGATTTCAAAATTTGGTGTAACTTACTTTACTCACTACTTTCAATAATATAGCAAAAAACTTGGGGTTTCCTATTGTGATTACCACTTATCTTTATCTATTATTTTATGGAAGTTAAGATAAGTGTGATCTTATCAATGAGTAATTGAGAATGCGAAATTATTGGATCACCTTATCAGTTTCTTTTTAAAACCGATATTTTACGCCCGACCTCTAAAGCTTGGGAATTTCGAATTTTTTTCAAATGTAGGAATGCTAGTAGTGAAGTGATGAATAACCGAATTGATTTACTTGGGAAGAACTTTGTGGGGGCGGATTTTGGTGGTTGAATTAGAGTTGAAGATAAGACCTAGACTAAAGATAACCGGAGTCGCATTGAGCGACATCTTGTGATATTTTTAATGAAATTTAATCGTCTAAATTGGCAATGGGTAGGTTATTGAAGAGGTCAGTAGATAGTTTAGGAGATGAAGGGGGATGAGGTGAAATTTCCAACTTACTGGAGGAGGTAGGGGACAATATTGGTGAAGTTTCGTTAAATTTGACGATGGTGGGGTGGTCGTGGAAAGGTAAATAATAACTTGGTAACTGCCACATTGAGGTAACCACACTTCCCAGACCACAGACCACACTGTAGAGAGACCCACACAGTAGAGGATTTACACAGTAAAACAGTAGTCCACAGTGTTTGAAACAGAGTCAACAAGGAGTCATCCACGAAGATAATCATAGATAACCACATGAATAACCTCACCGTCAGAGTAATCACACGACAATAGAGTTCTAGAGGTACATTAACCACCATTATGCTTATGCTACTTAATTCTTCTCCGTTTCTCTTTACTTATCTTAATGAGTTGATTTTTCACCTCATTACAATAATTATGTAATTCGTATAATTTCGTAAGTTGACTTACTTCATTTGTTCTTTTTGTCAATTTTAAATATTGATATAATGCTTTGTATTCTTTGTAATTGATATCAAACTTCTTTTGAAGATTCAAGATCAAGTCTTCATCAATAAAGAAATCTTCAATTGACGAAGGAGATGTGTTATCAGAATCTGATCTTTTTCTCTTGTTGGGAGTGTCAATTTTTTTCTCTAGTTTTTTGGGTAATGCAGGCTTCTTTTTTGGTTTGATCGATGTGATGGATGCTGTTGAAGTGGGAGCTGTTGAAGTGGGAGCTGTTGAAGTGGGAGCTGTTGAAGAGGGAGCTATTGTTGATGATGTTGAAGTTGATGATGTTGTGGCTGATGTGCTGGTCGGTGCTGTGACCGATGCTGTGACCGATGGGGTTGCTATGGCCAACCCAGGCATAGAACCCTTTTCGAAAATTCGCTTCCTTAACGGATGACTACCGGAGTATCCCAATCTTGTCAAACAATTATTTATGTTCTCAAACATCAATTCTTTCTCTTTACCAACCCATCCCCAATTATTTGGCCTTAAATCTTTCATAATCTTATCTTTCAATAAAAGATTGTTCTCAGCCAGATACTTCATCCCATTGGCAAAGTAATCATTATGCAAGTTATTGGGAGATTGGTCAAAATTAGAACAATATTTCCCAATATAATCACTAAAATCATAATTCAACGATGCTAGTTTCTTTATATTGGTTGGTCCTAAAGCCATGAATGAAAGAAATTTCTGTAATATCACATCTTCATCTTTAGTATTGATTATATATGGACCAATAGGAATGTCTTCATGTTGGTCATGCTGTTGTTTATGCTCCTGTTTATTGTTATGTTTAACTTCCACCTCCTTCACCTCATTAAACTCTCCGATACTCACCTTTTCATTCCCCACGGTTAACTTCGTCAGTACATTGCCTTGGAAGTTGTAATTTTTTTCATCAACTTTTTCATAAATATTCAAATTCAAGAATTCCTTAGATTCTTGAAGATTATAAATAAAATCTTTTATCTTGATAAACTTCTTCCCGTTCTTGACAATTAATTTGGGCTTATCTGTTAGTAATAATTTCACCAAGTCATTGTTTAATTTGATGGTCGATATGGTTGAAGTATCATGATAATTCAACTTTATGAGTTGTGGTATTTCCATGCCAAAAATTCAATGGTTGACAATGAGGAGGTGATTTGTGAAATATTCGTTTTTAAAATATTTTTAGGATAAATTTAACGATTCGGGCGGTCGTGGAAGGTCTAAGGAATTTGATCTGTTGAGAGGTGGAAGTGATGGGATGGGTAGCGATGGTACGATACAATTGCTAGGGGGTATAACAGATGAGAATATGAATGGTTGAATTCATAGAACTAAGGTCAATAGATAGTACTTCTACTGAAGTAGAAAGTTACTTGACGATAGTATTTCAATGGAATTCGGGACATAATTAAGGTCTCAAACATAATAGGCGAAAAGCGGAATTCTCAAATTTACACCTAAAAGCAATAAATCGAAAATATGTTTTTCCTACCATAATATCTCACTGTAATCCACCACCGACAACTTCTTAAACCCTTAACAAACCCTACAAATCACCTGGCTACTCACGCGAACAATCATAACGTCATCACCTGGTCGCCACGACATTATCGCGCGCGACATAAAACTATCAACTGAGCAAAATTCATCACACAAAAGTTTTACCTAACAAATAAATCATTCAATGTTTAAGTGGGTACAATCAGGACTTTCTGCCGTGGCTGGACTTGCCGAACCTGAATATGGTGCCGATGCCATTCGTCCAGTTACTGACATTCCCGAAGGTGAACCAGTTTATAGAGAAACAGATGCTAAGGATTTCCTTTGGCAGGGGCTTAATTACACCAATGTTGAAACTCAAACTTTCTATTTTACTTGTTTAAAAACTGGATTTACTGGATTTGCTCAAATCATTCATTCCAATGTCATGGGTGTTCACACAACTGCTCAATTCACTTTCAGATTATGTAATTTCAAAGATGGTAAAAACATCAATCTTTGGACTTCAACTAAATTAGAGGATTTTGAGATCAAAGGTAATAATTTCTATGCTAAGAACTTATCCTTTGAATTGGTTGGTGAAAACAAATATATCTTGAAATCTTCAGTTACTGAAGAATCAATTGTTGAATTTGAAGTAGAAAAATTAGTCCCTGGAGTTATCTTTGGTAAAAACGGTGAAACTCTTTATGGTGAAGATCTTGAAAATCCTTGGGGTTCAATGAGACATGTTTTCTGGCCTCGTTGTTCTGTAAAAGGAACTATCAAAACCAAAGAAGGAGATTATGAAATTGATGGATTAACTATGTTTGTTATGGCTTTACAAGGAATGAAACCTCATCATGCTGCTAAATCATGGAATTTCTTAAATTTTCAGTCAGAAAACTATTCTGCTGTACAAATGGAATTCACTACTCCAAAATCTTATGCTAACACTAAAGTCAATATTGGTATTGTTTGCTCTAAAGATAAAATCTTATGTGCATCCATCAATAATAACGTTGTACATAAAGATAGTGTAGTTGATGAAGTTGGTTGGCCTGTTCCTAAAGCTATTAGTTTCCATCATGATGATGATAAATTCCATGGTGAAGTTTCAGGTAATTTAGATCGTTTGGTTGAAAGGGTTGATGTTATGGCAGAAATTCCTCAATTCGTTAAGAATATTGTTAGTGGAGTTGCCGGAGCAAAACCTTACATTTACCAATATTTAGAAGATTTTGAAATCAAATTCGATGATGTTTCTGAAAAGGGAGTTGCTTATACTGAAGTCACTTTCATCACTGAATTTGATTGAATGGTTAATGATTAGTTTAATATATTAATAGTTTTTCTTTGTACTCTTATAAAGATCACAAACCTTCTTTTTAGAAAATCAATCCTTCTTGTACAATCAACCTTCTTGTACAATCGCAACATTATGAAATTTAAAAGAATTAGTTTAACATCATCAAATATTCTGTTATTGCTATCATTCATAGAGCTAGTAGAGTCCAGGACTCTTAAAATCAAGCCTTTGGACCAAAATATTGTTATCTCAATAGGTCCTCGGGATAGGGAATTTGCAAGCTATAAGATACAACTCGGGGAGGTGTTTAAATTGGTAAGGATGGGGGGATCTTTTAATCCACGGACCGAATATGCCGTAATTAAGAGCGAAAACGGCGAAACAATGAAGCTAGTGAAGAAAAATCATAATTATTATAAGCTCATTTTCAACGATGGCAGCTACTTCGAGAACAGATCAGGCAAATGTAAGTTTTTCATGATACACCAGCCACCAGAGAAGTCTAGACTTCCAGATGAGTTTGGAGATGAAGAGGAAAGATTGTTTGTTCTGGATTCTGAAGGACCTAAAACTCCAGGGTTGTTCTCACCTTTAATTCAACCTTTGCTTGATTTAAATCTTAATTCCGGAAAAGATATGTTTGACGTTGATATGTTAGGCTCAGGGTTCTATTCTGAAAGATTACCAAACTCCGGAGTTGATTATGACTCAAGTCATTTGTTAACTTCTGCACCAGAATTGAGTTTCGTCCCACCACCTAGACCTCAATCTAGTGGCCCCGCTAAACAGAGCCCCAAAATCTAGTTAAGTTTTTCAGATACCTGCTGTACCTAATTACAAGACTATTAGAGTTACATTGCTAATATACATTTTTTATTACCTCTATATCAAGGAGATTAATATCACCGCCATAGATCCTAAAACTGGTCCTAATAATCTATTTGCTGCGTCTTCTGAAGACATGGTATCACTGACTGTAGATTGGAAGGAAATACTTCCAGTTACAACCGTTTGTTGGGCAGCAACGGTGGTTTGGGTGGTATCATTGGATGAACCTCTGGTTGTTCTAGAATTTATATAAGCAACCAAATTTGATGGGTAGAAAGTTTCTGAACCAGTTAAATATTGCAAAAGATCATTGGATTCTGTGGTAGTTGCTTTAGTTGATCTAGATCTAGAACTTGAACTTGAAGACTCTATACTTGATTCAACACTAGATGCCACACTGGATATTTCTGATGCGACACTGGAAATATCAGATGCGACACTTGACGCGACACTGGAAGCATCTCTAGTCAAATATGCAAGTAATTGTGATGGGTATTCTGAAGTTGATGATGATGATGAACGAGTGGAACGAGTTGATGAACGGGATGATTGTGATGAACGTGTTAAATAAACAAGTAAATTCGAAGGATATTCACTCAATGTTGAAGGAACACTTGAACTGGAACTGGAAGTTGAAGCAGGTGCAAATAATCCATCGAAAAACCCTCTAGCTGTGGTAGATGATGAGGTTGTGGTAGGTGTAGTGAATGTAGGGAACTCATCATTAGCACTGGTTGCACGTGTAACTCTGGTAGTTGGAGTAGTGAATATTAAACCTTCACTAGTAGTTTGAGTAGCATAAGTACCAGTTGTAATATCATTGATCCAAGGACCTAAAACATCAGAAACGATATCTCTTTCTTCAACCAATTCTGCTGATAAAGCACCAGCTATAAACAACAATGATAATTTCATGATTACTTCAAAATCATCAGGAGTTTTACGTTTATATATCAATGCAATGAGGAAAACAATTACTATTCCTAATTAGGAAATTGAGGATAATTTGCGCCCAAAAAGGAAATTTTGAGATTTTGAAAACACTCCGCAAAAAAAATGTATTTTACTATAAATGGTCTATTTTGGGTTATAGAGGGGATAATTTGACACATGGAAAAGCTTATCAATAGCATTAGAATGTGAGGAAACATAAACATAGAAAAGTTTATCTCTCAATGGCATAAAAATGATTTTATCTCCTTTCAATGGCATAAAAGTGTAAGAAAACATAACCTAAGACAAGGAATACTGCAAGCCAAACTATCAACAGAATTACATCATCCCAGAATGCTGATACGGTAAAACCAAAAGAACTAAGAATTACAGCTCCTGGCACTTCAATACTCAAACCAAACTTTTTCTCTTTTAATATAAGATCCTTAACTTCATTAATGGATAAACTTTCATAAGCATAATGGAATAAAGAAATCCATTCCAACCATTTGATTTGACCTTTCAATTCTTCACTATTGATGAACAATCCTGCGAAAAGGATGGAGAATAAAAGTATCAACACACTCACCATGGTAGAAGTACCAGGATCACGGATCAAGATCCCTATGATCAATACTTCGATTGATATGGCGACATTGAAAAGAACTAAGATACCTATGGTCTTAAGGAATGCATTATGTTCCATAGTTAAACCTACTAATGGATATGCTATAGCAATAAGGATTATTGGAGGTAAAACTCTTAATGGTAAGATATCACAAATGATCTTGGTAACATAATAACTGAAAGGATTATAATAATTGTTAGCTCTTTCTCTAATGAAGATGATTCTTTCACTTGAGAAAGTATGTAATCCGGTTAAAGCCGAGAACCCAAATAATGAAAGTAAGAAGAAGAACAAACCTAATCTATTTTGGAACCCACTAATATCATTCTTAACATCATAATAGATATATCCACAGAATCCTCCCATTACCAAACTCAATACATAATGAGTCAATAATAATTTGGGGTTTCTGTATAAGTTCTTGAACGTACGGGAAGATAACACAGCTATTTGAGTAAGGAAAGTAGCTTTCTTATACTGTTCACTGATTTCATACTTAACGGGGTTTTCTTTAAGTTGTTTGATTTCTTCAATCAATTCTTGTGCTATGACACTTTCTTTGAAGATTGTAGGTAATTTGTTTTCTACTTGGATGATAGTTTCTTCGACATTACTATCAACTTTGTTATAGTTATTGTACTCATCACGATGGACAGCTAAATGGGCCCATTCACTTGTAACATCAATATCACTTTGTGATGTTTGAGTTCTTAAGAATCTATTATGTAAATCAGTATCTTCACTATCACCACTTTCTAAATCAGCACCACTGGTCTTTACTTTAATCAATTTCTTATGGTCAACAGTGATGTCAATAAGGTAATCAGCAATGTTATATCCTAAAGGAATAGTATAACCGTTTTTACTGAAGAAATCATTACATTTGATCATATCACCTGAATAGATCAAATCTCCTTCACTTAATAAAAGTAACTTATCGAAAAGGGACACGATATTACTTCTTGGTTGATGAATGGTGAAAATGATAGTTCTGTTGAAGTCACGTGACAACTTGACAAGACAATCGATAACATTTCTGGCATTATAAGCATCCAAACCTGAAGTTGGCTCATCTAAGAATAAAATGGAAGGTGATGTGACCATTTCACATGCAATAGAAACTCTTCTCTTTTCACCTCCACTGATACCTCTTTGGAAATCAGATCCAATGACTCTATCTTTAATATTCAAGATTCTTAATTCGTTCAAAACTTCAATAACTCTGGTTTCTTTGGCTCTTAAACTCATAGTACGTGGTAATCTTAACAATGCACTGTTTAAAACAGTTTCATAAACAGTCAATGTTGGGATCAAATGATCTTCTTGATCAACGAACCCAACAATTTTCTTGAAATCTTTATCAGCCAAGATGTTCCCATTAACATAGATATTACCAGAAATAACCCCATCTTTGTTTTTACCGGCTAAGATGTCTAATAAGGTTGTTTTACCAGCACCTGAACCTCCCATGATAGCTAAACATTCTTGAGGTTTAACTAATCCATTGACACCTGAAAGAACTTGATGGTCTTTGATCTTATACTGGATGTTTTCAAAAGATAACGTTGTAGGAGTGAAGTTTTCGTTCAAGGCATTCATTTCTCCATCCAATGGTTGGAAATCTCCACTGGGTTTGAATAATGCGCTTCTACTGATATTATACAAAGAAGCTCCCACGATCATAAAACAGATGAACGCCACCAAGATTATCAAAAGGAGATTACTCCAAGTTAAACGATTACTGTCTGGTAAATCATAGCCAGGAATCTCACTTTTATGAATACATTCACCACTCTTACAATTTAAAGTGATATAAGGATCACCAAATACTGACGAGATCAAATCGTTCATACTGGGTTCGGAAAATTGACAGTTTTTATCTTTAAGATCACAAGAGAACTGACCTGGGCCTCTGATAGTTTCAGTTAAAAATTCGGAAATATCAATCAGTCCTGCTTCACCACAAAGCATCCTTTCAGGTAAACATTTACACATAACTTCTTCACATTGATAATTAGTGGAGTTCTTCTTTAAGTCATAATCAAAGCTACATTTGTTCAAGTCACAATAAAACGATTCTTTTTGATCAATCCAGAATTGGAAATCACAAGCTCCAGCTGTTTTATTACAACTGAAGGTAACTTGAGGTTTCTTCCCATTTAAGATGGATATGATCTTTTTGTTTGTGACATCACACATTTGATGGAATTTATTGACTACAATTCCACTTTTATAACAAGTTCCCTTCAAACCTTCAGGCATGAAACTATCGCAAACATCATCATCAACACACATATTACAATTGATACCGTCCCACCCCGATTTACACCCACAGGTTGGTTCCAGCTTCTTTCTAATGGGTCTATTTTTATTCCCGTCACTTAATGATCCACATAAAGGTTCCAGACAATCATTGCCTCCATAACCGTCTCTACATTCACAGAATCCAGTGAACGCATTACAGGTACTGAATTGGGTACATTCGAAGTTGGGTAAGTTACAGTTGAAACAAGGAGGACAATCTTCAGGTGGTGGTTTAGAAGGGCCCACTCCAGGTTTGATCATGAATATATCATTTAGTAAAGACCCTTTGCTAACTCTTTCAAAAGTATTGTTAAATTGCTCGACATTTTTGACATCTAACACTTGCTCCTTGGCGAATATCAAAGATATCGCATTAACAATCACCAAAATGCCACTAAACTTCATTTTTGGTAGTTCAATGGGCAGATTTGTGGAGAGTTAGTTAAGACTGCTATCGTCAAGTTTGAGTGATGTCTCCCACGCACGGATTAGATGTCGCGCGGTCGTGGGTGAACCATGATATAGAGACTGATATAGGGACTGGTATAGAGACTGACATAGACACTGGGACAGAGACTCGTGGGTAAACTACTATTGGTGCTAAGTACTACTGATACTACATAAGGACACTAGGAGGACCCCGAACATTTGATTATCCTCTTCAATGGCTCTACATAATCATGTTCAATATCTTCCTTGACATAAGCAATGTAATATGGTGTGGCAGTATTTCCTTGTTCGAACTTGAAAATTTCTGATGCTGGAACCTCTGTCACATTGTCGTCGTTATATTTCCTGTAAACGACTTTGTGATGAGGATCTTTGATGTAAATCCAATAATGGCCGAAACTTGCCTCACCTCTGTGAATGAAAATAGCAAAGATGGAATATCCCACTTTTTTGTAGTTATCGAATTGATGAGTAATATTATTGTTAATGGTTTCAATGGATTCATCGATATCTTTAACTTTCTGCCTCAACCCTTCAATTTGTTCACCAATGTAATCAACGGTTTCTTTAGCTACTTCAAAACTCTCATCAAGAGATTCTAAATATTGCTTGGTGGTTATCAAGGAGTCAATGATGGTTAACTTGCTCACGTCATCTACCTTTAAGATATTCTCTTTCTGTGATTGTAACTCTTTGATTTCGGTTTTCCATTTAAATACTTCCTCTCGTTTAGTTAAAATCTCAGCATCTTGAGTATCCAAGAATTGGTCTACGTAAATCTTATCGAAGAAAGGAATTGGTTCAATGGATTTATAAGGAACCAATCTTTCCCTATCGAAAAGCACTCTTTGCACCTGGAACTGTAAGATATCTGGTAATTTATGTAAAGTCAAAGATTTCTTCACCAACCCTGATTCCAAGGAGATGATATCGGCATTAAAATAGTTATCCAAAGCGTCGTAAATATCTTTAGGATGATCACTGATGTTAACGATCAAACTAGAGAATCTTTCAATGGAAGATCGAGTTTCTCCTTCACCTTCCAAGGGTTCAATGGTTTGCTTGATTTTTCCATAGAATAATTGTTTGATAAGATCATATTGTTCACCATCATCTTCGATGTTCAAAGGTTCTAAAGCTGTTTCGATTTGGAAATTGACATTTTCAATACATTCGGTAACATCTTGTTGACCACCCATGTTGATGGTAGTTTCCATATCTTTAGTGTTGATGGGTAAGATTTTAGTTTCAGGAGGTGAATCTGGAGTAGTTACACTTGAATCTGTTTCTTCTTGATGTTCGTCGGTGGTGTTGGTGGTGTGGTGGACATTGTTTTGTTCAGAGTCTATTACTTCTTTGTGCTCGACTTCTTTAATCTCTTGATTGACTTCTTTGATTTGTTCGACTCCCCTTTGTTCCACATCTTCTCCCACCTGTTCAGGTTCGACTTGTTCAGATTCAACTTGTTCCCCCATATCCTCATCCATGGCATCATCTCCAGCCTTCTCATCAAACGGATTTATCTCTTCAATTGATTCACTCATTGAACTAACATCAGAATCGATCATTATTGGATTCTCCTTATTTCCATCATCTCGAATGAAACTCACCGGTTGTGATGATGGTAAAAACGATAAGAAAGCTAAATCTTTCGATGGTGACACATACCGTTGATCGGTTTCTATCATTTCTTGGAATAACTTCTGAAGATGATAAATGAACTGATTAGATCTTTGAATTTCATTATCATCGATCTTTCTTCCCCCAATCTTCCTATCTCCTTTGATGTCACTCTCTTCAAAATTAAGCACCATATCTCTCAATGGCTTGATGGAGAAATAATACTGTAACAATGAATTAAGATAACAAGTATTACCGATGTTAGCTAAACCTGCTGGCCATTCATCTACTGGTAAGAGTGAAGAATCGATTTTCCCTGTCCTTAAGAAATAATTCAAGATCTTGGATCTCTTAATGGAATTAATGGATCTTAAAGCTTGTCTTAAGAGTCTGATATCTTTCAGAAGGAACATTTCCTGGTAATGAGTAATCATCTCGAAGTCATTGGATTTCTCGTTCAACTTTAAGATCTCGAAACTCTCTCGAAGAGTCAACACATTGGTATAACCAAATAACAAATCAGGAAATTTGGTTTCAAGGTAGTTCATTAAAATACTACTCTTCCTATTGTAAGCTAATGATAATAAACTTTTATTTAAAGTCTTGATTTCATCATTATTGTTTGGTTGTAAGGCAAGATCGTTCAATTTATACTCAAAAGCAGTGATAACCACATCATCTTCAGTGATTTCTTCAATTCCAACTTCTTGTTGAGCTAAAAACACAGGGATGATTTCTGATTTCAAGAATTCAATGATCTTAGATGATTGTTTGACCGTACCAATGACTTCTAAGGCATTATTGAAGTATCCATAGTTTTTGAAATCACTTTCAACACTCACTTCATACACAGAAATCACATACTCATCATCAATGATCAATAATTCTTCGGGTTTTTGATTGGTGTGTTCGATTTTCAACTTATTCAATGCTTGGACATAATCACTATATCCATACATTTGACCAGATCGATAAAGATTATCGAAATAACTCTTTAACTTCCCACTAGTTTTGTGTTTCATGATGGTTTTCAAATCATCTACATAAAAGATCTTATTGTCCACATCTGATCTGACGGTGTTCTCAAAACACTTGATGATCAATTCATCTTGAAAGAAATCACTACAACTGAGGTCAACGTATGATGGTACGGTTGTAGAATCATTATATTGACCAAAAGTTTGACCAAGATGTTTATCGAACTCATTGAATGTCCGGAAAATCAATGATAAATTATCATTGAATGAATAAATGGCATTGAAATCATTATCATGAACTTTGAACATCTTAGCTCTATAAATAAGTTCTAGAACTTTCCTTATATAACTTTCTTTGAGTTCAAAGTTCTCATATAAAGCCGGTGGTTGTAATTTGTTATCAGCCAAGCGGAAATATAACTTATCAGTGAGATAGTTGACATCTACAAATGATTCTAAAGAAGTCTCATTCAAATCTATGGTTCTTATAGGAGCATCATGTTCTAACAAAATGGGTCCTTTTAACACCGATATGAGTTTCTTCATACAGTTCAATCCGGTGACATTGGCATCGACGTCGATATTACCCTTTTTGGTGGCATATTCCTTATATCTGGTGGTGATAATGGACGAATCAGTCAATAATCTCAAATCATCATCGGAAAATTCACTACCAAAGATCACTATTCGTAAAAGATGATTGGTATCTTCATTATTAGTGGCAAAGAATCCTTCATCTAGCATTAAATTATCGGATCCAAATTGTTTCAAATCATCACCAGATATTTTGTCTTTAGGTATAACATGATATTCATATTTGGTCACTGTGGATTTCCGTTCAAAGAATGGCGATACGTTCTCTAACATCTGAATACGGAAATGATGAACTGTCTTTCTGTTGATAATGATTAATCCCCTTATAATAGTCATGGTTTGATTCTCATTATGGTCATTTAATTGCACTATACTGATGTTTTTACAATGAGGAACATCATTATTCAATAAAAGAATCTCACTCTTAACTGCTTGGGATGATACTAATCCAGCTAAGCTTTTACTGTAGTCAATTGGCTTACCATTCAATAAACTCTTATCATTGCAATAATTCTTATAGGGAATGGACCATTTGATATCATCGAGTATTCGATTCAATGTTTTGAAAGGATACTCAACTATATCATCTATTTGAGTATATTCATGGTTCATATCCATCAGATAGTCTTGATTGATAAAGGGATTACTGGTATTGGCTTCTTTAAACTCATTAGTCTCCATTTGCCTGGTAGATTTTGTGATCTCAAAGAAGTCGCGAAACTTTTCCACCATGTCTCAACCTACCATAGATATAGAGAAGATCAAGAATAGTAGTGATGGGTCGATTCTGGGGATGGCATCACTGGCATTCAATGAAGTGATACTAAATAATCCTTATTTTGCTGCTGGGGGAGGTTTAATGTTATTGGGAACTGGTTTGGCGGTGGCTAGACAAGGTATAATGAAATCTTCAGGTTTCATCTATAGACAATTATTAGTAGATTTAGAGATTCCTTCTAAGGATAAGTCATATTTATGGTTTTTAGAATGGATGTCTCAATATAAGAACCGATCATCTCGTCATTTATCGGTAGAAACTAACTATATTCAACATTCTAATGGTTCAGCTACCACCAAATTTTCATTAGTTCCAGGTCCAGGAAAGCATTTGATTAGATATAAAGGAGCTTTCATGTTGGTCAATAGAGAAAGATCAGGGAAGTTATTGGATATGACCAGTGGTACACCTTTTGAAACTGTCACATTAACTACGTTGTACCGAGATCGGAAATTGTTCTATGAAGTATTGGAAGAAGCCAAAAGAATGGCTTTGAAAGTAAGGGAGGGTAAAACTGTCATTTATACTTCATGGGGTCCAGAATGGAGACCTTTTGGTCAACCTAGACAGAAGAGATTAATGGGTTCAGTCATCCTTGATGAAGGAGTTGATCAAATGATTTTAAATGATGTGAAAGATTTCTTAAAAAGTGGTGGTTGGTACCATAACCGTGGTATTCCTTATAGAAGAGGTTATTTGTTATATGGACCTCCAGGAAGTGGGAAAACTTCTTTCATCCAAGCCATTGCTGGGGAATTAGATTATAATATTTGTCTTTTGAACTTGAGTGAAAAGAATATGACCGATGATAGATTAAACCATTTGATGAACCATATCCCTGACAGATCTATTTTGTTACTTGAAGATATTGATGCCGCTTTCAATAAGCGTGAACAGTCAGATGATCAAGGGTATGCTTCAGGAGTGACATTTTCAGGATTGTTGAATGCTTTAGATGGTGTAGCTAGTGCTGAAGAATGTATTACATTCATGACCACTAATCATCCAGAAAAGTTGGATAATGCATTATTGAGACCCGGAAGAGTGGATTTCAAAGTTCTTATCAATAATGCTTCTGATTATCAAGTAGAGAAGATGTTCTTGAAGTTCTATGATAATGATATGGAGAACTGTAAGAAGTTCTTGAATAAATATAAAGAGTTGGGATTGAAAGATGTCAGTACGGCTCAATTACAAGGATTGTTTGTATATAATAAGAGAAATCCTCAAGGAGCTATTGATATGGTGGAGAATTTGAAACATCCTAACAATAAGTTTTAGTGTATATATTGTAACTGTCTTATTATCTAGCCTCTTGACGTATTAATTGCAGTTCTCTAGTGACGGGCTTACTACGAGGTCAAGTGATGGGCTCACTACAAGGTTCTAGTGATAGTTCCACTGCAAGATAGTGGTAATGCTCCCACTACAATGCTCCCCATTACAACGCTCCCCACTAAAATAATCTAGCAGCAGTCCTAATACAATACCCGACTGGCACGAACATTCACAACTCCCGTATATTAGTAAGAATATCTAAAATTCAAATTCTGTTTATCGGTCAAATCCAAGAACTCGACATTTTCCACCTCTAACTTATCACCTCTCTTATCTCTTTTCTTATTCTCCCAAGCATAAGATGCCCATAAAGCCACCAAAAGAACAAGGGAAAGTGCTGCACAAGCAGCAATTGAATTAAGAGCAGTTCTATAAACTGGGGCTTCAGTAGCTAAGAAAGTTTGGGATCCGGCCAAATTTCCAATACAGTAACCTACCAATAACATGATGAAAACCGTTGATTGTTTGGTTGAACCTAAGATGTTGGTTTGAACGGTTGATAACATGACAATGAACGATAATGGAGAAACTGAGATTAAACAATTACCAGCAAATCTAACGGTTTTATCTTCGGCAAAACACAATAAGAACATACCGGTGACAGCAATACATTGACCCACAAAAGCCCATAAGAATCTGGATTTGATATAAACACTGAAAGAAGCGATGAAAATAAGACCAACAAATTCCACTGCACCTCCAATAGTTTGTAATAACAATGACTGTTGAACCGAGTAACCAAAAGTTTCATTCATTAAGATAGATCCAAAGTTAGTAAGACCTCCGTTAGGGATGGAACCTACGAAAGTTGAAGCGAAAATAATCCAACTTCTATAATCAGTTAAAGCTTCAATTACTTGTTCTTTCTTAATATGGTGATTACCAAACCCTTGATGATTACCTTTGATTCTTTGAACAATCAACTTCTTTTCAAGATCAGTCAAAAACCAAGCTTGAGCTGGGGAGTCAGGTAAATGGAAGAACATCACTATACCAAAGGCAATAGTTAAAACCCCAGAAATGATGAAAACTAATTTCCAAGGTTCAATAGACATGGAATCTCTATGAATATCAATCCCATAAGCCATAAGAGAACCTAAAATAATCCCTACCCCATTACCACTGAACCAAATAGATGTTCTGAAAAATGTCTCTTCTTTACGATACCATTGTCTGGTGATCATACTAAACCCTGGGGTGATAGAACTTTCAAACATCCCCAAGAGTACTCTTAAGGCTAAGAATCCATTAGTATTGGCAACAGAATGTAAAGCTAAAATCACTCCCCAAACAATAACTAACCCACTTAAGGTCTTAGCTAATGGTAATTTTTGTAAAGCATAACTCATGAAGAACTCAGCAAAAAGATATCCAAGATAGAAAGCGGACCCTGTCCAAGAATAAATTTGTCCATTCATGTTCAATTCAGCTCTTAATCCCAAGATGGAACTGAAAGAGTTACTCAATTTATCCATGAATTGAAGACAGTATAATGTCAACATGATAGGTAAAAGGTACATATCAGATTTACGTCTTAACCGTTTTTCGACTTCTGGAGTTAATTCAATTTCGTCATCATCAGCAAGACCAAGTTTCATAATTTGATCTCCACCATCTAATTTAATAACTTTCCCATTGATTTGGATTTTATCATCAGTCAAAGCCTCAATAGACTTGACATGGGTGATAACTTCAACTGCTTTGTCTTTCTCACTATGAATGGAGTTAGAAGATGATTTAACCACTTCGGCACTCATTGTATACTTTGAAGATTTGGGAAAATGTATGGATATTTAAGAGATTCTTCTGAAAACGGGGATTCTAACCCATTTCTCCTTATCTGATGAATTCAGGTTATTTTTCAACTTATCTCGTTAAGTCTTATCATTCCAAAGATAAGAAAGGGAATTAACCTGATTTGGAATTGTGCATTTCCTTCCGGGAATACTCCACTGTGTTTCCCAAAGCCTGCGGCTGACACACGGTGAGTCGGAGTTTTAGTCTAATGAACAAATTCGGTGTCTCGAAGGTACTGGTATAAGAGGCTTATACTGTGCAGACTTAATAGTAGAAATAAAGAAGGGAAGGGGAATAGATAGGTGTTGTTTCAGTGTTAAAATGTCGTATCTATCTAGAATCCGCTTATCGCCAGATATAGAACTTCATGCAGATGTCAGGATCGGCGTACCTATTTTGGGTGTTTATAGCCGAAACTGACCGAGACATTGCACATGAACGACACGGAGATATTTCATTAGTTCTAGTTAGTTACCGGTTAGATTTTGGGCCGGTAGGCAGATAGTAGGTTTACAGGCAGAATATGCGCCCCCATGGTAATGTAATATGGCATACAAGGAGAAACTAAATTCTCAGGCGATCTATAAGAAGACGCATGATCTGCACTGCACGCTGGTTAGTACAACTCAAGAGAAAAAGAAGGTAGAACACTAACAAACAGAAAACTAACAACTGAGACGCAATATTAAGCTTAGTCATGCCTCAAAACTGGATTCTACAGTAATGGACTCACTCCATCCTATTATTCATTCCTTCCTCATTTTCTACATATGATCACATGACTTAAAAGTTGCTCATGTTTCGTGTATTTACCATTTTCCTTCCGCTTTCCACCTTGGCATCATCTTCCTTCAACAAATCCATCAACACCAACCAACACCCTTCACCCCTATCCATTTGTCTAGCTCTTATTCCAACCTGCTCGTCGGTCCGATCCACTTCCCTCGTAATCGCAACTGTCGTCACAAGGACCGGCTGAATGGCTGCGAAACCATCATCTCAAAGTTGCGAATTTCAGTCAGAGATAAATATTCTTAGCATGATCATTGACTTAGAAAAGAGATATTACTATTATAACAATAACCATCGTAGTAGATACTGGTTAATATGGTTGGCGGCAATTCCAATCATCCTTATCATTGTGTTCCTTATCTTCTCCAGAAGAAGAAAGAGAAGAGTTGTTACAGGTAATCAACAATATTATGGAGGTAACAAGCCAAGTTTCTTCTCCTTTGGTAACAATAATAACTTACCACCTCAACAAACACCTCAACAGTTCCAAACTCAACAGAATTATGACCAAGGGTATAACTATAACCAGGGTCAAGGTTATAGTCAAGGAAGTCAGGGGTATAATCAAGGTCAAGGGTATAATAATGATTCTTACGGAGCTCCACCTCCAGAATATCCTGACCAGGGTAACTATGGACCTTCAGGATCTAATGCTTATAGTCCACCATCAGGGCCACCACCAGCTCATGTTAAATGATAAAGTGTAGTTAATAAATGTTTGATTTTACTTGGTATTGTAGTTGATGAATTTGGTATAGTGACAGTATTCCTGGATTGGGTTCACTCCTACGTCGCTACTGTGTCTCTAATGCATGCCAATTCCCTCTTCAATCTGCTCTGAACCACGCTGATGCGTCTCCAATGCGTCTCTTCCTTAAAATTCTCTGCTCACCATAGATCCTTCTCAAGGAAACTCTAACAATCTCTATAAAACAGGTCCCCTCCCCTACTCCACCTACTCAACATGCATTTTCAAACACGAGATGAATACAATAGTGGTTGGAAGACTCAAACAGCCATAGTCACCATATGTTTGGTGTTTTTCCTCATTGGTCTTTTCATAAGTATCATCTATAGGTGTAGTTACTCGGCCAAAGCTGCTCGAAATCAAGAATACTACAACCTGGCAGTTTCCCAGTCCACCACAAGAATCGAAGATATCCTAGAAAATAGGGTAGAGACGTTCTATGTGTCTCGACCTGGAAGAGCAGCTAGGAGTTCCCGTTCACGAACCAATAATATCGACAATATTCCTGATCCCGTGCCTGCTTATACATTACCCGACTATCCACCGTCTTACCTGTCACTGTGACGTTCATTTTGTAGCCCTAAGACCATTTGACTGAATCTTAGGAGGTAAATTGGCCCAGGTGTAGGGCTGACAATAAGCTGGTGGCTGAATAGGGGCTTAAAACCCTAATTTCAGATAACACCAAAACCCCCCGTTATCACTCAATTCATCCATTAAATAACTCCTTAACATACCCACGCCCCACTTAGACACCAAGTCACCTACAACACCATTTCCAACATCATTTTCAATACCCGGAGAACCACGCCAAAACCGCCTTTAAAATATAGGGCGCCGCATCTATCATTTTTCGTAAATGGCCTGCGAAAACTTTTCCACCTAAACATGACTGATGCCATTGATAAGAGATGGTATATTTACACCACCAATAACAATTACTACTACTTGGCTCTCATTGCAGTGGTAGTGGTGGTTTTCATAATTGCTTTCCTTGTCCACCTCAAAAGAAGGAAAAGAAAATTGGCAGCAGCTCAATTTAATCAACAATATTATAATAATGATGCTGAGATGCAAAATTATCCTAATGGACCAGGGAATTGGAACAACTATCCCCAAGGAGGAATTGGTCAACAGCCAGGTTACGGACCTAGTCAAGGTTTCAATAACGATGAATATGGTGCTCCACCACCTCAATATCCTGCTAATCCTTCAGGAGATAAGTTTACTGCTCCAGAAGGTCCACCACCAGGCCGTAACGTTTTTCAGGATACTGATGGCCAAAGTCAATTTTCTGCTCCTGACGGGCCTCCACCATCATCCACTAGAACTGATGAACATGCACCTCCTGAAGGTCCACCACCTTCCAGTACCAGGTAGATTGTAAAGGTTTAGGAGAGTAGTTGGTGAAACTTGACACCTTTAATGGTTAAATATTTAGGCATACGACTTTAATAAATAATACATGGAGCCTTCAATGACTTTTTTTGATCTCTGGATTCTGGAATTGAACTAAATGTCACTCAAAATCACCGCTAGATAAACTCTCCACAGTGGTGTTGTAACAAAGTCTCTACATAGATGATGATCGCTAGGTATTCACTTGACAGAGATCACTATCACTGATTTCAGTATCTCCCAAGACGAGATTTATGGGTAGACAAGGACGCGTCCTTTCATTGAGATATAGCTACGGCTGAAGACAGAAGAGATTGTGAACGAAATAAGATGTCAGGGCGGCGACCAAAAGACATGAAGAATGAATAGAAGACTGCCAGACAAAAATGAATCAATGACCGACGCCAATATCAACAGAGATAAACGTTGAACCTGGATCTATAAGTCAGAATTACAAATTCAAGGTCAGAAGAGCTTTCTAGCTGAGCTCACCATAAGAGAAGAGTGTTGTTGAGTGATCTTACACGTGTAATAACACTATACAATATAATTCTGTACTGCCAAAGCACTGATCTGCGGTTATTTTTAAATCCTTAGGATGCATAAGATGTCAAGATTTCTGCAGACATGCGTTAGATCTAGAACAATCACATCTATTACTTTGTAAAATCAATGATAACCTTGTTGACCTTATGGTGGTCGAAAAGTTCATACCCTTTCTCTACCTCTTCAATGGGGATCAAACAATCAATGAAAGAGCTAAACTTGTCCTTCAAAGTCTCGAATAATTCCAAGGATTCGGGGAATAATGATTGAGCATGACATCTACCAAAGGATAAGTTTATATTCTTCAAATAGCATTGTAAACCATCGAATGGTAAAGGTTCATGACTCATACCGAGAACAACTAAAAGTCCTTCACGTTTAATGGCATGGAATCCTGTTTCCAAAGCTTTGGAATTACCTACAGCTTCCAACACAAAATCAAATGAGTCTTTTGGAATATCATCAGTTTGGAAATTCAAGGTATGGGCTCCTAATTTTGAAGCGGTGTCTAATCTTGAAGGAACATTATCTACAGCAGTAACGTCAAACCCATAATGTTTGAGAATAGTCAAAGCACAGATTCCAACTGGCCCTAACCCCAATTGCAACACTTTCAACCCATGAACCTCTCTTGGTTTAAGATCTTTCTTCACATTATGACCCAAATGGTTTAATATCTTCTTAACACCGAAATATCCTGTGATGAAGATGTCTGCCATCATCACATAAATAGGATCGTCTTCACATTTGATCAATCCATTGTTAGCATAGGGGACTTTGACATACTCAGCTTGTCCTCCAGGTAATCCAACTTTACCAAAAGTATTGGTAACATCACATTGACTACTGAACCCAACTTTACAATATTCACATTCACCACATTGAATAGTGAAAGTACTAACTACATTATCTCCTATTTCGAAATTCACGTTATCTCCCTTTTCGACTATTGTTCCCACGAATTCATGGCCAATGACTTGATCTTTAGGTAAGTTCAAATGTCCTCTATAAGAATGTAAATCTGTACCACAAATTCCTGAGTATTTCACCTTGAGGATAGCTTCATCAGCATTCTCAACAATAGGTTTGGGGACATCTTTGACCTTATAATCAAAAGGTGCTTGATAGGTAACGGCTTTCATTGGACTGCGGATATGGTTTCCCCAGATTTCGCATCAGTTTAATATTGGTGTACCGCACTGTCAGAGTCACTAAGAGGTTCTCAGTTATGCATGTCATATATTCGTAAATTTAAATAAGTTGCTTGAATGACCCCCAAACAAGCACCAAAAGCTTCTTGGAGTATTGACCATACTTCTTCAACAGACCTAGCATAGAGACTGAATATAAATAAAGAATATTCAAACAGATCAAGTTCCCTATCAAGGCATAAAGTAAGTAAACTGTGATTGTGATAGTATCCCCATGGCCAATGACTTCATGAAACTTATATATCAAAGAATGATCATCGGCCGAACACTTGGTTTTCCCCGGAACAGAAATACAAATATAATTTAAGTTCATCACTAGTAAATTTAAAATGGTAGAAACAAAGTTCGTGAGAGTCGAATCACTCTCTGTGGATACAACATCCCCTTTGACCTTAACGTTTTCCAATCTTTCGAACAATGCACGGTTATCTCGGAGGATGAAGGTTATTACTTCCTTGAAGAAGTTTCTGGAGAAAGTTAATTCATTACCAAACATGAAGAACCTCTCCAACACTCGATGGAGATAGAAGGAAGCTCCCATGATGAACACCATAACTCTGAAAGCTCGTTGTAAAGCAGTTAGAACCAATGCTGTAAATGTCACGAGGTATTCTCTCAACAGATAATCATGCCAGAATTGTCTTATTTTGATGAGCGGCAAGGGTATGAAAAGGATCCATTGAAGGCCCAAGTATGTTCTTAATGGTTGAGGTTGACGAGAAGCTCTTTCTAAAACTCTGTATAGCTGGGCAAGCGTTATATCTCCGTGAGGTTGATCCATGAGAATTTGAGAAACATGATGTCGCGGATTTTTGTAAGGGATATGATGTCGCAGTAAGAGATGTCGTAGTAAAAGATATCGCAGAGATAGAATGTCGTAGTGGACTTAAAGCACTCCTTCAGCTACAAATGGTAATGATGAATGGAACTTGGTATAGTTGCTCACCCAAAGGTCAATGAGTGATTTACTAAAGTCATACTGTTCGTTCAAGATCTTATGGGAAAACTTACAAGTACTTTTCAACTTGACACTGATATGACTTTGGTCAAGGCTGAAGTTCTCTGATTTATAACAAAGAAAGGTTTCATCGTAAAAATGATCCATAAGATAAATCTTATCATTACATGTAAAAGCTGTGGGGATAAGGAACATCTCTTTGTTGTTAAGGTCCCAAATATCTTCCTTTTCTACATCAGTCAATTGGAATGATAACTCGTACATCTCATTCAATATTCTCTGTAAGTTTTTATAGACATGAGGACGTTTGAGTAGGTGATAGTTGTGTTGAGGATGAATAAAGATTGGTTTGAACTCGTTTTCAATGAGGAAATAGTTCCTTAAGTTCTGGAAGAACCAGAGAGTTTGAAGATGAATCCCTCCATATAACAACAAACCCCATATGACTCTATCGATGATTTCGATTATAAGGGGATCATCAGATGGGGTGAAAGTTGAAGCGAGGACATATTTCCTTAACATCTCACCTATAAGACACTTGTCCCACCTTTTAACGGTAATGTCGTCGAGGTCAAGAACTTTGGCTTTGGAGTTACTGAGTCGTTCAAGAACGTAACCGCAGGATATGAAAAAACTACTTAATCTGTTATTGGAAAACTCAACGCTAGTGATTATGTCATCGTTGACCAACTTAGAAGCTAGAAGATTGAAGATATCTTCTTCAAATAAGATATCACCGTGCTCTATACATCTGGTGAGGAATATGCAACAAGTCCGTTTATTCTGAATGGTGAGATATTCAGTTTTGTCGATGTAGGAAGGAAATTTCCTTTGAACGGTGGAGATGAAGGTAATGAGCCATATGAAATAAGTTGATGAATCCTGGTAATCTTCGGTTAAGAAGGCTAAGAATCCAAGGGCGAGCTTCATTTTGATAACGGTGTTAACGATAGAAGCAAAGGTATTGGGGGTTTTACATACCCCTTTCAAACATTTGATCAAACCTTTGATGGTCATAGTCAAGTCGATTTCAGGGTATTTGGATATTTCCCAGTCAATATAAGATTTAACCAATTTGTGGTCAAGTTGATAGATCTCTAAAGGACAGAATGCAGTGATACATTGGATGAGGATCTTTAAAGGGTCAATAGGAGATTTGTTACTTTTCCATGACATTAAACATTCATTGAATCTTTGAACTTGTTTGTGGTTTTGTAACGTGATCCTGCCCAAAGATTCTTCAGGTAATATCCCCCCAGCTTCCAAAAATCGTGAAGTTTGTTGTTCTACCGATAAGATTTCTACCACCCTTGGTTCGTCTGTGAGCTTTTCGTAGTGATGTTCTATACTATGCAAAATAGGTCTAAGTTCCCTAACTTCTCTGATCTCTCTCCTGATAATGTCCCCATTCAACTTCAAACAATTGAAACACCTAAGTAGATAATTCAATAATCTCTCTCTTTCAAACAAATCAGGTTGAATTTCAATGGCTATGCACAATTGCCTTAACCCACCATGAACTCTACCTAAATGGAATAACATTAATGCCAATATCAACCTGGTGTTTGGTGATGCTAACACTAATTTGTTCATTGAAGGTAAAACCGTCAACATTTCATAATACTTTCTCTCGTTTAAAAGCTTCACTAACACTGGACCGACATCAAAGTCTTCAGATACCGAAGTCAGGTCGACGTTAAGGAATTGGTCGAGTATTTCATCAAAATCACAATCCAAGAGAGTCATTGTGGTTGCAAAAAAATTGTGAAATTCACAGAAAAAGTCGCGAAAAGGGTTTCCCTAATATTGCATGTATTTTCTATAAGGGTCCGAACGATCTGAACGATCTGAACGGTCTGTCCGATGGGACGGTGGTTTAGAACTGGTCTGATTAGGTTTATAGTGAGACAGTTCTCTGTCAGGTCTTAGGTCTCTATCAGGTCTTATATTTCTTGACTCTGGTTTCAGGGGTCTATAATGAGACAGTTCTCTTGAATGAGGTCTATCACTATCTGATTTTTCGCCCTTGGGTCTCTCACTTCTGGGCCTTATCTCTATGGATTCGTCAACCACACTCAACATCTCCTCATCCGTTACTTTTCTTATTCTTTTGGTAGCAGGTTTATTTGAAATACACTTCACGTCTCTATTACTGTAATCTATCAATGCTAAAAGGTAACGATAGCATTTCAAACAAAGGTTAATATCAACATTAAGCTGGTCTCTTATGTAATCCTTAGGTAACTTAATGTTCATATTGAAACGTTCATTGGCTTCTAGAACCACTATTATCAAGATTGTCCCATAAACTATGTTCATCTCATACGACATCAATATGGGTAAGGATGATACTAGTTCTATCACAGACACGGTATTCTTCATGATATCCAACTTTTTATCTTCAAAAACATCATTATCTGATTTGAACTCCATAAGATCATTCCTTAAATCATAAGGGAAGTCGATATTCAAATCAAAATTTAAAGTCTTCAACATCAACTCCTCTCTAAACAACAACTGATCCCTCCATTGCCAGAAGATCTCGGAATTATCATTAATAACTTTGGTGGGGTTCTTTAATCTACAGGCAATCAATGCTATGTTATCAGGTAATCGATAGGTGTCATGTAATTTACAGGAAATGGCCATGGCAGCACATGCCACAAAATATTTCGACGTGGTGATAGGGATTCTCATATAATATCGATTTACAAGTATCGTGGCACCAAAGATGGTCTTAGCATCGATCTTAAGATTGGACCCAAGCTTGATGATAAAGTCATAAATAGACTCTCGATTCCTAAGTTCTTGTTCCATGGTCATAGATTTCCGACTAGGGGACTTATAAATGACATCTTTCTCATGGAAAAGCCAACTATTCATATTGTTTGGTGTTAGTATAGATTTTGAAAACTTCGCGATTTAGTACCAAATTGGCGGTAAGTTTGCGGTAGTAACCAGTGAGTAACTATCGCTAAAAATGCTCATTTTCCTCCCACCTAAAAGTCGCAGGCAGAAGAAAATTTTTCAAAGAAACCATGGAATTCATGCATTTGATTAAACCTGGAGTTGCTGCTCCAGCAGCCTCTTCCACCTCAGGTGCTTGTAATGTTAAAATCCACACTGCTGCATTATTCCAAATCTTAGAAATCGTCGCCAAACAAATCATTTCCCCAGAAAAAAGAATCTTAGGTACTTTATTGGGTTACAGATCAGAAGATGGTTTGGAATTCGAAGTAAGAGATGCTTTTATGGTCCCTTGTGATGAAACTGGTGATTCCATTGCCATCGAAGACCATCAACATAAGATCTTATATCAATTATATAAGAAATCTCATCCAAAAGAATCAGTTTTAGGATGGTTTGGTACTTCCAATGAAATCGATAACACCACTGGTTTGATACATGATTTCTATTCTAAAGGTTCTGATAGAGCCTATCCATTCCCTGCCATATACTTAAACATCAAGTTCAGAGATAATGAAGGAAATATAATTTCTCCTGAAATTAAATCATATTTAGGAGGTTCCATTGGTAAAAAACAAGAATTAAATAAAGTTGGTTGGAAAACTGTTGTTCCTAACAATTCTTATGTATTCCAACCAATCCCTAATGAAGTTATAACCGGTACTGTCACGGAAAAATTGAGTTTAAACAACTTATTGAACAATAAATTATCAGGTAAATTCGATAATAATAACGAATTCAAACATGACTTATCATATTTGAGTCAACAAATAAACATGATCATCGAATTGATCAATAAGTTGTTGAAAAAGTTAGAAACTTTTGAAGTTAATGACGAAAACCTTGAATTATTAAGAAATTTATCAAATAACTTGAACAATCCAAGCAGTTTAAGTGATGTTGAAGTATTAAAGAAACATTTCCAAGATCATAACCAAGATGTTATTATGATTGAATATTTGACCAAGGTAGTTAAAGAACAGATTGAATTGAGTGCTAGATTGACTGTTAGTTCTGATAAAAGCAGAGATTAATGTATGATAGAATCGTGACTTACATCTGGGCTCTGATTATAGATATCAAGACTCTGTTGGAAGATGTCTTGGACGTTAAGAGCTTCGAAATCTCTCTCAATAGGGGCACTACAGACACCCAAACTCTCTCGTTAAACTATATATGGTGCCACACCTTGGTGTACCGTACTTCAAAGTCGTGTCCAAACCATCTCATCTCATCTATATTATGTCTTACATCCCATTCCACCATCCCCCCCAACCCTCCCAATCTGCTAATACTACTACCCAACATCCTCATTCAAATCGTCTCTTCCCACCTACCACCATCCATCCTCACAACCCCCCTATTGTTCCCGTTGTAAACTTATCTCACTGCGATTTCCTCACAAGGAAAAAATTTATTGTGTGTAAACTTCACATATTATGAACTATAGCCATTCGACCAAATTAAATCATTATCAACCCCAAGTTACACAAAGTTATTAACATTAGCGATTTAAAACCAATAAGTTCAAGCAGAAAATCAGTTTACCAGTAAAAAAAAAACCTACCGTATGGCTAAAACTCCTAGGAAAGTAACCAAAAGTGGGAAATCCACTGGAGGAAAGAATTTAAGTTCATATATGAACAGTGGGTTTGATTTACAATCAAGAAGAAGATTCAGCATAGCACAATCATCGTCGTCTGACGATGACGAACCTCGGAAAGTTCATTATGTGAGTGATTCCCAATCAGATAGCTCATTGACAGCTGTACTGGATAATGGACCATCAGAGCAGAGTTCCATGTTATTTGATGATACCCAAGGTGGTAAGGGGAAAGGCAAGGGGAAGAAGTTTGCCGGGAAGAACGTCAGTAAGGGGAAGTCGTTGAAAAGTTATGGGAAGATGTTCAATAATAGCGACAGCGAAGTGAGCGTGATATCTGATGAGGAAGAATCATCATCTGATGATAGTGACGTTGATTTTGTTAAGTTACAAGCACAAAAGAAGATAAGATCCATGCCGGAAAGACGTAGGGGATCGGTGACCAAGCCTAAGTATGGTAGAAGACGGTCGGAGACAGCTCTTCCTGAGGATATAAAATTTGAGTTTGAATTCAAAGGAGATGAGAATGCTCTTGAATCTGATTCTGGTGAAGAAGAAGAAGCAGACGAAGAAGACGATGATGATAATGATGATGAAAATGATGACAATGAAGAAGATGATATTGGTGAAGATGTGGGTGAAGATATCGGTGAAGAAGTAAAAGATCTGATTCTTCTTGAGGAAGAAGATTTAGGTGAAGCTATTGATGGACCTATTCCTGATGATAATAAGCTCAAGCTTGATCTTGATTTCAATATCCCCGTACCCAACTTCAATGAAGAAGACCTCAACTCTGACGAAGATTATGAAATTGACGATAATGAATTACTTGCTACCTTACAAGCCGATAACGATTTGGAAGATTTTGATGAGAAAGTCCCTAAAAGGAACTCTATAGTGTCAATTGATGAAGATGAGGAAGAGTTTTTGAAGCAAGAAGAGAAATTTTTGGTCAATGAGTTCGAAAACAATGGATTCGATGAAGAAGGGAAACAATATTCCGACGAAGAAGATGAATTTGAAGACGATTTCGATGATATGGTGGATTTTACCATGGACCTCGATCAAGAAGAATTCAATAGTGGCAAGAAAGTGTCGAAAATCAAAAGAAAAGGTTATGATAGTGATGATGATGACGATTCATACCTCTGGAACTACTTCTTTAGCTCAGACAATGATTCAGAAAGTGGAGATTTGAATTCTCCTAAGAAAAATAAAGATTCAGAATATTTATCCATTGCTTTGGATAACCACGATGATGAAAATTATGATAGTGGAGAATCTACCGACGTAGATTCCAATATTCCTACGTCCAATAACTCTGCTGGTTCTCAGAAAGCTAAAGAAGTGTTATCTTCTAAGACCGCGGATTATAGACCTCCAGTATTGGGGACTTGGATTGCTGTGGAAAGTAAACCTTTCAGTATCATTGATGGATTATCCACCAGATCCTTGAATAGTAACTATCGTCATTCCATCGCTAAACCTTACTCCAAAAGACGTAAGAGTTTTGTTGGAACTCCTCATGCGGATGATTCCGCTTTAGGTTTAGACGAATTATTGAATGTTAGTGAAATGGATTATGACGATACCAACGATGTGAAGATATGGAGGGATTTCAATAATCAGAAGAAAAGAGTTCCTTTGGGTGCTTTCAGAAATAAATCTTACTTACAAAATTCTCCTCAAGATGTTATGGCTTCAAATGTTCAATATAATCATACCACAAAGACAAATAATGATTTCAACCAAAGAAGATACTCATTGTCTAATCATAAGAAGAAGAATTTAACCCCTGTCCCACCCAAACTGAAAAGAAGAAGAGCTTCTAAAGTAGAAGCATTTAATGAAGGTTATAGACCTACTAAATCTGGTTTATTTAGTGAACAAGCTTTATTAGATGTGGAAGAGGTTTTGGGTGATGATAACGATATAATGGCTTTAATTAAAGGTTTATAGGGATGTACATTATGTAGATGGGTTTTTTTCTACAAGTCTCTTGGTAGGTGTCCCTTGTCTCTTGGTAGGTGTCCCTTGTCTCTTGGTAGGTGTCCCTTGTCTCTTGGTAGGTGTCCCTTGTCTCTTGGTGGGTGTTCCTTGAAGGTGTCCCTTAGAAGATGTCCCTTGTAAGAGTACCTCTCGGTGGGATTTTCTTCTGAAAAATCTTCTATTCGTAAACTTTTCTATTTGTAAACTTCATATTTGTACCTTTTGTCTTTGCGCACTTTTCTGTCTTGTGAGGAAAATTTCTCAAACTATGATTAGAAGAAGTTCAAGGGCAAATAAAGGTAGACACTCCCAGAGAGATGCCGAATTGGAACAAGCCTTCAAAGATGAAATCGAGAATTATATTTCTGATGATGATCGTCCTTCAAAAATGCTCAAACTTGATAATGATGGAGAATATGGTGGAGATGAGGTTTCAGACTTAGAAATAGATTTTAATGGTTCAGATGTGGAAGAAGAAGAATTGGATGTTAATGAAGATTCGGGATCAGTCAAATGTATTTGTGGAGCTAACGATTCCAATTATGAAGATTTTAATGAAAAGTATGGTGAAGAAATGATTTGTTGTGATAAGTGTAATACCTGGCAACATAATAGTTGTATGAAGATTGGCCGTGTGCCTAAGAGTTACATGTGTAATGACTGTGCCAACAGTGCCAGAACTAGTACTAAGATAGCCACAAAACCTACCAAAATCACCAAGAGTACCGTCACCAAAAGTATGGCCATAAGACCAACTGCCACAAAACCAACTGCCACAAAAACAACCAACACTGATTTCCCTGAATTCAAAGACTCATCAAAAATAAGTATTGCCAGAATCTTCCAAACTACCGTCACCACTAAACTTCCTAAAGACTCTGACCCAGAAATTGCCCATAATTGGGCTGTTAGGTTAACTAACGCAGTTTATACGGACTCAAACCCCCAACAGAAAGCAAGAGCAGTGTTACCATTGTTGAAAAATAACGATGTATTAAATAAAATGATTAGTAACTCTATAACTCCTGAACAGTTGATATCCTTAAGACCTCAAGATGTGGTCAAAGGTTTGAATGAAATAGCCGAAAAGGTTAGGTTAGAATCGTTGAAAAGATCAGTGTTGAAAGTTGATGAGGCTCCTAGAGTTCGGAGAACTCACAAAGGTGAAGAAGTGGTGGAAGATGTTAGTGATCAACATAAAGCTGAAATGGAAGTAAATATTGTTTCCAGATCTGTTGATCATAGAGTATTTGAAGATAAGAAGAAAGTCCACAAACAGGAAGTCCACAAACAGGAAGTAACCAAGGAAAAAGAAAATACTTATAATTTCAATACTGCGATGTTAGATGATGATTCAGAGGATGAAAAGGATAGTTTTACTAAGGACAGTAGTACTGGCTTAGATGATGATGATGATTTAGATAAGATTCTTGGTCATAAAACCCCACCAGCTACTGCTCCATCAACTCCAGGTCCAAAATCTATTTTAAAAAGTCCATCTACAAAACCAAATGCCACAAAATCAATTTTAAAAACCTCAACAAATACTTCATCATCCACAAATATAGAGTCATGTGATATTTGGAAAGGAAGGTTAACATTCCCTGATTTCACTTCCTTCACAGCATCTGCTAAGTTTATTACGGCTACGGGATACCAAAATCCCACTTCAGAGTCCGCCATCAAGTTCCATAATCATTGTATCAATACCAGTAAACAAATCTTCACCAGATCATTCTATGATATCCAAGGAAAATTGGACAGATCACGTGCTGATCCTTATTTGACCACTGTCAAGTCATCCAAGGACTTCTTTGTGTTCGAGGTCACTAATGAGGACAATCAAGATGATTACAATAAGCTATTTGGTTACTTATTGACCAAAAATAGGGTAGGTGTTTTGAGTGGTAAGCCAGCATTTGCTAAAGATGCTTATTTGTTCGCTTTGAAAGACAGTGTTCCATCTTACTTCCGTGATCTAGTCAATTTGAATGGTAGACAGGGATTGTATGCCGTGTATGTGTTGAAGAAGAACGATAGACCAAGTGTGAGTGCTCCCGTCAGAGCTTCAGTAGAGGTTGCTAATCCTTTGAGTAGTATTTTGAGTGCTTTGTCAACTCCTGCAGTACCTTCTGCGGTGGTACAGCCACCAGCTGAAGATAAGTTGGCTCATATGAACCTTCCAGCTGATTTAACACCTCAACAAAGAACGGCCATAGTCAACTTGCTTGAGGCCAATCCCCATTTGGAGGGCAACCCTGAACAGATTCTTGATATTGTGAGACAGGGGTGAGCTCATGTATTTTAATGTATAGTAATGTTTTGGGAGTGTTTCCTGATACTCTCTCACTAAATCTTCGTACCTCTGGGGTAAATTTTCGCACCACACTCACTAGATCTTCGCACCACACTCACTAGATCTTCGCACCACACTCACTAGATCTTCGCACCACACTCACTAAATATACGCACCTTCGCACCTTCGCACCTTACGAAACCTCCATGAATGTCAACTCCTGAACTAAACTCCAACAGGTACAACCCTGATCACAATATCGATGAATGTGAGATCAGTTTGACCTTTGGCAATGATAAGGAGTCCCCTGGACATGAAAACCCCTCGCCTAACACGATATTTAACACGTCAAACGACGTGTTAGACGTTAACAGTTCACCTATAAAGAGGTTCGTTGTACCTAAATCAAAAGGTTTCCAAGATACTCAAAGAATAAACTTTGACACTCAATCAGATGATACACAAAGAATAGATGTTACTCAAAACCTTGAAGCTACACAAAGAATCCCCCGAGTTTCAGACACACAAAAGATCAAATTCGATCAAACCCAGAAGATCGAGCTATCACAGGAATCAATGGACACTACGGTGGCCGACCAGACGTTAGGCAATTTCAGCTACAACGACAACCACAAAATCGACACCCAGGCCGACAGTCAGCCCGTAGAGACGCAGTATGTGGTGACAGACACTCAAGTGGACAAAGGTGAGAAGATTGAATTTGCTGATTTCGATACTCAGCCATTGAAGGATGGCCCCGGCTTCAAAGACGACCTGGACACAACCGGTGATACCAGAGATTTGAACCTTGTGGAAGAGACACAAAGAATCACCTTGGACGAGTCATCGATGATTGAAACTCAGCCTGTAGTACGAGGAGTTGGACAGATTCTCCAACTGAGCTCGCCCAAGCCAATGCCGGACATTACCACTGATCCTTTACAAATAGACACCGACCCTGAGGGGAAATCGGAGCCTGATCGGTTGGGGTCTGACAGACTTGAACCAAGGTCAGAATCCAACGATATCCAAATTCCCGGCACAGTGGACAGAGACAGGATACGAGATTACTCCAGAATGCAAGTGATTAACACCCAGGAGTCCATGATTAACGAAAATGGCGAGGAAGAAGAGGTGGATACCGAAGATGAGACCACTTTGCCAATTGATGATAGTTTACTCACACATAAACTCAAACGGGAGAGAGATGAAGGTGTGGAGAGCTCACCGATGGATAAGTTGGTGGGGAGTGGGATGAATGATGAACTGGTAGATGTGGGAGATGATCCAATGGACCCAGTAGATGACCCGGTAGATGACCTAATGGACGACCCAGTGGACAACCCAGTGGATGAGGAAAGTGTCCAAAGAGACAGTCCTAGAGTCAAACGAAGAAAACCTAATATCATAGAATCTTCTCCTGATCTACTGACAGATCTACTGGTCAGTACCCCTGCCAACCCCCTGACCAATCTCACCGCCAGTCTTACCAACGCTCCTCATTCCACGGTAGAAATCTTAAGATACGAAGAAAATCTCGCTATAACTTCCTCCCAAGTTACTTGCAAACACTCAGTATGGGCCGAACACAACTTTAAAATGCACACCGGCCAAGTTCAAACCACTGGTAAGACCACTCTGGTAGTGATGTTTATCGATGGACCATTGAAAGTTCCCAATGCTGACTTGAGTCCCCTCGATATCCGAATAGGTGATAAAGTCACTCTTAAGGAAGACAGGATCAAGTACATTGTCAGTGGACTCAGCAGCAGCTCCACCGATGACTCCAAGGATGAATTTAAGTGCATCAGAGGCTTCAATCAAGTATACCTCAAACGAGCAGGACGTAGAAAGTATGAAGAAAAGGTGGTTAGTCTTGCTGAAGTTCGTATGGATTTGGACGATTGGTTTACTCACCAACAGAAATATTCCGTAGACCTTTCTACGGATGATTCCTTGACTTCCATAATCAAGACCAATATGAGAACGCCTACGCGAACCAGACAAACCCAGGAAACAAAGAGTCCTGTGAAGAAGACCGGAGGAATCCTTGAAGATTGTATTTTCTGTATCACTGCCATTAAGGATAAAGAAAAGCTTCTGAAATTGATCATTTTGAACGGAGGTGAGGTGTTGGACGATGGATTTATGCATTTATTTGAATACCAACAGACACCCCGGTTCGAACTTGTGGCCAATTATGAAGGGTTGAAGACAAGTAAATTTGCAGCTTTGATATCCAACCATTATTCTCGTAGTTCTAAATACCTTCAGACAGTGGCTTTAGGGTGGCCCATTGTATCACAACGATTCATCATGGACTTGATTGAAGAAAAATGTGATTTTGAAGCATGGCCATCGTACTTATTGGCTGCTGGGTTATCATCTATCTTGAAGACCACAAAAAGCTTGGAGATTTTCAAGTTCAGGAATCGGTACAACTCAAATTACCTGTTGGATAAACAGATAGGTTTGAACAATGGTCTTCTTAAAGATCGGGTGATTTTGAGCTTGGACAAGGGAGACAAACAAGAAATGCTTGAAACCAGTGAATTCATTTTCTATGCTTTTGGAGTGAAACATTTCTCCCATTTCTCCAATGTAAGTGATGTGAAGAAGTTCATAAAGAATCGAAAATTCGGCGTAGAAGAGACATTGATATATTGTAATGATAAAACTATGAGAGATGGGATGAAAGGGTTCAAGGTTGTAGATTGGGAATGGGTGGTTCAATGTTGTATAAGTAGTTATATTTGGAGAGAGTTTTGTGAGTAGGAAGGGTGATGAAAGAAATAATTGAAAAAAGCGATAAAATCCACAAAAGCAATAAAATCCACAAAAACAATAAAATCCACAAAAGCGATAAAATCCACAAAGACAACAAAGAGACAACTAATAGAACGTTATTCATTATCTAAAAAATTCTCTTCCACACTGTGGTCAAGACATCTTTAATTAAATTTAAACCTGTATCATTCTTAACCGCATCACCATTTTCTTCTAATCTTCTTAATAAATAAGCTTTGGTCTCAACTGGTGGACCCCAAGGAACATATTTAATGACATTTTTAACATTTTTATCTTTAATCAAGTCATAAGTAATATTATCAGCCATACCAAATAATTGACCTAAAACAATATTATTCTTATTAGTGGATTGTTGATTATTGATTAAATCAGTAGCTAAATTCAAAGATTCAGAATTATGAGAAGCTATAACCAAATGTCCAACAGTTGATTCTGATTTTTCTTGTTTCAAGATATTATCAATACAATAAGTAATACCTTGATTATAATTAACATCAGTATCTTGTTTGGTTTTGTGGATAACTGATCTATCGGCTTCAGAATGAATATATGCACCTCTAACTAACTTTAAACCTAATCTATAATTACCTTCTTTGGCTAAGTTTTCTTCTAAAGTCAATAATTTACCTGATTCAGCTAAATACATTTGTAAAGTACCAACCACAGAAACTGGTTGATCTACTTTATTGAATTGCTTATATAATCGTCTTTGTAATTCATAAACTCCATTTTGTAAATCATGTTTTTCAGCATCAATAACTCCAACAACAATTGGGGCAATACGTTGAGGATATTGTTTTTGTAAACTTATGTTTGCGTCATTAATAGTTTTGATAATTTTTGAGATCCTATCCACTAAAACATCAAATTCTTTATCAGTTTGATAATCCCTTAAGATTTTGGCCGCGTTATGGGAGAATCCTGTTGGTTTTAATGCCACATAACTAGGAGGGATGGAATTGATATCTTGAGAATTTTTTATCTTTTCAATAGTATTAGGAATTAAGAATTCATTAATGGATTTATTAGTTTCTTCAATGATATATTCTGGATCAACTACTTCATTACCTTCAGCAGCTTCAATGGTTAAACTTAACATCATATTGTTAATACCTCTTGATTGTAATCTATCACTAACTTTAAATAAATCTTTCATGGTTTCACCACCACAATAAACCTTATAAACTAAAGCTTTAATGATTGGCATGGGTACAAATGGGAAGATTTTGATACATAAATTCAATATTGGTTTATTTAACGTTACTAAACCAATACAGAAATAGGAGAATAACTCCGATAACTTATAATCTTTTAAATAATCATTTTTGGGTTTGGTGATATCAACTTTGGGTACAATTGGCTGGGAATAATCTTTAGTTAAAGTGGATTTATTGTTAGGTGAAGTATTGAAACATCTAAAAGATCTTAAAGATGTAAAAGATCTGATAGAAGAAGATGGAAGGATCAAAGATCTTGATGATATTCTAGGAGGAATCGATCTTAACATTAATGGTAAAAATTCCTGGGGGTTGTTGATTTGTATTTATATGATTGAAGTCATCACTTTCTCCGTAAGGTTAAGTCAAGCGAGAAAGCCGCACGAAGAATGTGAGTTAATCTTAGCGAGGGAAAATCGATTTTGGGGAAACTTTCCCCATCTCTATAAGTTTCCGTTTTGGAAGTCGGGTAAATATTAGAGCGAGAGCGTTTGGTAGCATCACATGCTCAGTCATGTGTAATATCACGTGCATTATCACATGACAAATCACATTTCTCTGACCTCAAAAAAATCTCAGAGATGATTTGAAAAATTATGCTAAGGTCGTTTTCCACATCAGTTAAACGTCTTAACAGACAACCTGGAGTGTCTCAACTAATCCTTGATTCACTCCGAGATCCGTCCAAGATCCCAAAGAAACAGGAGGTGATTGTTTTGAATCCTTTCAAATACCATTCCAAAAAGAAAACCAAAGTATCTAAACCTACAGTTAACTTCACACCCGATAGTTTTGGACTTTTCGAACAAACTAATGATGAAGAATCATTCCTTAAACTCATAAATAACATGAAGATCTCAGAAACGTTGTTGACGGAAAGAAAAGTTAAACTCATCAAGCAAAAACTTGCAAGTTCATTCTCCAAGAATCAGTTAAATGAGTATGTCAACAGTTATTACAATGACCCTGGGTTCAAAGGTAGAAGAAGAGGATTGAAATCCAAATCCAAAGCCCAATTATCACACATTATCTTGAAAGATCTCTGGAATGTCAGACAATCAGGGGTTAAGTCCAGTGCTGAAGATTTACTAGTTACCCATGATATCTCGTTATCCAAGAAAGATATGTTCCTTTTATTATCCAAAGATGGAATGTTATTGAACTATCTTAGTCGTGTAGGGTGTAAGATCAAGTTAAAGAAAGAGAAAATCCAATTGACAGGGACAGAAGATCAAATTACTACTACCAGAATCATCTTAAACACCATACTAAACAACAAATTCCAAGAAGTATTGAATTTGAAGATCATAAAGCAATTATATGTCGCCAAATATGGTGAGTTCAACCTTAATAGACTCAGCCAATTGACACAAATTCATTTTGAAGAATTAGATAACGATAATTTCAGATTGACATCATTAAATGAACATTTAATCAAAAGAGCCAAAAGATCTATTTTGTGGTTCTTAGATTTTAATCCAAATATTAAGAATTTCCATATGATTCCTTCGGCCTACACCGATTATGACTATTTACCCATTAAAATCGATGAATCGGTTTCTTTCAAAGAAAGAGCCAATGATTTGTTCCGATTATCCACATCTTTCCAACCATCCAACGATTACATCAAACAACTGTTCAAGGATATTGACGACACGGCGGAGCCTGAAGTGGATGATTTGTTCAAGATGGAAAATAATTTTCTCACTAAGAATTCCATCACTCAATCCATTGATCACCCCACGGAAGCTATCTTAAACGACCTGGAGGTCGATGAACTCTTCAATACCTTGAAAGACTTCGAACAAAACAGTTCAATTGAACAGGAGAAGTTATTAGATCCACAAATAACCATATCCTTCGGGAATGTTTTACTCGAAACCCCTAAAAATCCACAATCCACAAACTTAATCCCCGTTTATGATTCCCATACCAATCCTACAGTGAAGTTTAACTCCTCAATCCCCTTAATTAACGATAAAATCATGAACTTACCGTTATTTGATTACGATACTTTGAGTTTTAATGATATTCTCGATTTCAAGAACAACGACCCTTACAGATCAGTGGTACAATTGGTGTTCCAACCATCATTGTACAATACCGATAACGAAGATTTGGTTAGTTATCCGCCTATCGAAATGTGGGCAGACATCAATAACTTCGGTAAGATCGAAATGGATAGTTTCCAATTATTGACCGCTGAGGATGAAAACAATTTCCATATCTCCTTACCCAACAAACCGTCGGACTTAAAGGTATCATCTCAATTGATAGGTAACTTACTTAAGAGTGAAGACGCCTTGGAAGTGGAAGATGTCAAAGAACAATCCATCGAAGATATTTTGAAATCCACCACGGTAAAATACTCCAACTTCAAACAACAGCCCTATTTAGAAGATTTCTTAATCAACAGTACCATCAACTTCAAAGGGAGTGAGAAGACTTCCATCCAACCAACAATCAAAATCAAGTTTGGTGATCAATTGGTAGAATATCAGTATATTTCCACTCATTTCCGTAGAGTCATTGAGTTCAACTATAAGGGGAAATTGTTACAATACACTATCATTGAGGGAGGTCCATTAGGAGGAAGAAGATCTGAGATCAGTTTATCAGGAAGGGATTTTACTAAAGAGACATTGAAAGAGTTGGTAGACGATTCGGTGATGTTGATTAATCAATTATAGACATGTACATAGAATAGGATTTGGCTCTGAATTTACTTCTATTGAATGGCTCTTGTACACATGGACTTGTGCATTGACTTGTGCATTGACTTGTGCATTGACTGAACTCATTGACTGAACCCATTGACTTTTTAACAACTCGTCTTCTGCATTGACTGAACGCATTCCCTAGTCCTCAAGAACTCCTACTTCTTCCCCTCTAAACTCTTGACATGTTTCTCCAAATTGTTGATTGAATTTTGTAACGCAACAACATCAGCAATAACAACATTGTTGGCTACCTTATATTGGTCCATCAAGTAGTAGTATGAAGCGGCCCCGGTGGTGGTAACACCTAATAAAAATCCTAAGAATCCTCCTTTGATTGAAAATGACATTGTTGAAACTTTTCTCGCGCATTCATTGGGGTTTTGGTCTGATGATCTGTGGTCCATGAACCGATAGTTTTCTTAATGTTTTGATCATTTCAGAGGTATGAAGTGATCAGTAAAGACTGAAGATGGTGTCCTTATCGTCACTGATGGTTCTAATTGACCTTCGGAAAAATCCGGCTTGTCCTTACTCTTATCTTGCTATTTTGCAGTTATTCGCGAACTTTAGTCATGAATAGATCATTCCCATCATTCAGGGTGGTTAGATCATCATGGAAATCCTATTCCACTGCGGCAAAACCACCGCCAACAACTCCAATTACCCCCAAACAACCACCAACCGCTAAAACCCCCGGGTTCAAGGGTAAAAAACTCCTTATTTTAGGGTTGGGTTTGGGAGCGGTGTATGAGATAGATAACATTTTCTATTCTTCCACCCTTACTAGGTCCATCAGAGCTGTTACTGTACTTACTTATGTCGCCTTACGCTATAAGTACACTAGCAGTGAAAACCAGAGCAAATTACATGAACCCGCCAGTGAAATGTTGTTCAACATGTTCACCGCCAACAAGGGGCTTTACATCAAATTCGGTCAAGCCATTGCTAATCAAGGATCCGTTTTCCCCGTGGCGTACCAGAAGAAACTCGTACGTTTATATGACGAAGCTCCTTGTGATGATTGGAACACGGTAGATGGTCTTTTAAAGAAAGAATTGGGAAGAGACTATGAAACGGAATTGTTCCAAACTCTTGATCATAAACCAATTGCTAGTGCTTCTATAGCTCAAGTCCACAAAGGGGTGTTGAAAAATGGTGATGTGGTGGCGGTAAAAGTCCAACATCATTACATTCAAACCCAAGTGGCGGCTGATTTATTTGTATATAGAATGATGGTCAAAGTGTATGAGAAAGCGTTTGATTTACCCATGGCTTTCTACTCCAAATACATTTCTGATCAAACCATGACGGAGACCCGGTTCACAAATGAATTGGCCAATACGGAATATCTCCGTCAGTGTATAGAAAATGATTCTTCTGTTAGAAAATTGGGTATTTACATCCCCAAAACTTACAACCAATGGAATACCGATAAAGTATTGATCATGGAATGGGTGGACGGGGTTTCCTTAGTGGATAAAACTCGTCTTATAGGTGAAAATTACGATTTAACCACCATAATGCATCAATTTGTAACGATATTTGCCAAACAAGTGTTCAAATATGGGTTTGTTCATAGTGATCCTCATCCTGGGAACTTACTTGTACGGAAAATTGGAGGAAAACAACAATTGGTCATTCTTGATCATGGATTGTATGTAAAATTCACCGAAGAATTCCGTAAAGAATACTGTCAATTATGGGAATATATGTTCTCATTCAATACCAAAGGTTTGAATGATTTGGGACAAAAATGGGGGATTAAGTATATGAATATGTTTGGCAGTATGAGTCAATTGAAACCTGTAGATTTATCTGAAGAAGAAAAACAATTATTCCAGAAGAATATGATGGTTGAATTGTTTTCTGATTTGACAAAATTTCCTCTAGACATTGTGTTTTTATCACGAGCCATGAGAATTGTTCAGAACACCAATAAGCAATTGGGAAGTCCTGTGAATAGAATTAACTATTTAACCAATGAGGCCTTGAATCTGTTAGTTCATGATTCATCTTTCACCCATTGGTTTACTTTGATAACGTTGAAAACATCATTATTGGTGAGTTCAATGGTTTTCTGGTTTTATAGGTTATCTCAGATTTGGAAGGGGGATAAATATGGCTACAAAAGCATGGGATATGAGGATAACCTCGATGAGTTTATGAAAGATAGAGCTAAGGATATGGGGATGGAGATTGTTGATGATCCTATAGAGATCAAGTAGAGTTCTCCTGCCCTCTCAGGCAGCTTTGACTCAGTGCAGTCTCCTACCATCCCAGGCAGCTTTGACTCAGTACACTCCCCAAGAGTCGACTTTTCCGGAGTCCTAAAAGAGTCAAAACCCTTTTATGGGATTTAGAGTTAAGCCTTCGGACTTCGAATTCCATTTGTATATAGTTAATAGACACTTATGTTAGGTATTATAAAAGTAACATCATCATCATCAATCCCACTGGTTGGACCATCGATCCACTGCCTTGAACCACCACAGGGGCGATGGTAGAACTTCCTGTCGAAAAACCTGTCGATACTGACGCTATGGTTGTCACCACGGCTCCAGTCTCGGTTGGAGTTGACGTTTTTGGAGTTTGAGACTCACATTCACCACCTTGACAAACAACAGGTGTTACAGATGTTTGTTGGATTATTACTGTAGGAGGGGTTACAGTGGCTAAAGTTGACCCAATGGCTTCACCACATCCATTGTTACAAGTTACGGTGGTTTGTGGCTCAATAGGACAGTAGGTGACGTAAGTTGTAGTGGCATCTTTAACCGTGAGCACACCCGTGGTAACTGGAACTTCGGTACACTTATTGTCAGAACAGGATGTTATGGTGATGATGGTAGTGGAAGGGACAGTGGAGAAAACCACTGAAGATTCCGTAGTTTGATTCCAGTACAAATAACTTGATGATACACTTGACGAGGCTGACGAGGCAGGGGAGACTAACGAAGCAGGGGAGGTTATTGAGGCTCCCGAGGCTATTGAGGCATCTGACGTGGCATTAGTTGTTGAATCTGTAGCGGTGGTAGAACTAAAATCGGTTGAACTTGCTTGAGTTGAGGACGAGGACTCTGAGGATTCTGAAGTTGATGATTGGGAGCTGGCAGTTGGTGCACTGGACTCTGGAGAGCTTGAACTGTCTGATGAACTGGCAACTTCACTTGAAGATTCGCTGGTACTTTCAATGGAACTGGAGATGGTTGAGGCAGATTGGCTTGAGCTTTCACTGCTTTCACTGCCACTGGAACTCTCACTAGAACTTTCACTAGAACTTTCAGATGAACTTTCACTAGAACTTTCAGATGAACTTTCAGATGAACTTTCAGATGAACTTTCAGATGAACTTTCAGATGAACTCTCAGATGAACTCTCAGATGAACTCTCAGATGAACTCTCACTAGAACTTTCACTACTCTCACTAGAACTTCCATCAACATCCAACCCAAACACTGAAGGATATGGCTTACACTCCCCACACCCAGCAGCTTTACCATTAGGAGGTGCTCCACTATAAGTGACACCATTATCACGCATGAACCCTGAAAATGGCTCACCAAAGTACGTGGTAGTGATCAGAAACAACAGTCTATCATACCCTGACCCAATATTCAACGTAGCTATAGTACCAGCTCCATTGGCCATAGTTAAGATTGGACTGACGTAATCAAAACTCCATAAACTTGACCCTGAACCTATGACGTTACCACCTCCGAATCCTGACACCTTCATTTCCCTGTCCCCACCTAAACCATTGATCTTAAGTGTGGATGATGGTGTACTCAAATGGAAAGCCATCTGGGTATCCACAAGTAACTCTTGTGGGAACAATTGAACATTGGAGGCCTCTCCGATATCGAAACATCCATCACCAGTAATGACATTGGACTGGGTGTATTTCTCGTGGATCAAACAAACGGTTCCATGGTTTTCTATTGAATTGTCCCTGGTCCCCAAAGTAACCCCCGACCCGTCTCTGGAATCAGCCAGGAACATTATCAGTCCCATATTCAACCAATAGGGTCCTTCGAGGAGTTTCTGGGAGATGGTTTGGGTGGTGGTACTGTTGAACCACATATCACCATAGTTCTGGAATGCTGCATAGTTAATAGTGAACGATGGTGATTGGGGAGAATTGTAACTAAACAGCCCGGTGTTGACGAAATTCCCGTTGTCATCGTCACTGGTCATAGTTAACACCGTACTATCGGTGCTGTGGTCTTGACCGACGTGGAAGATCCCACCGTAATTGTAGAAACTGTCAGTGAAAGTGGTTTCGGGATTATCGAAGATCGACCAATGGATGTCTTGGTGAAGGTATCCAATGCCACTGGTATCGGTGGCACCGTGGGTGACGGTATCTTGGGTGACATCTTTGGCCAAAGTGGTGGCTATTATGGCCAAGGTGAACAACAGCAACATTATGGGATTTACATGGGAGATCAATGGTTATATAACAGGCGATAGAGGCGATAGGATTATTTTGTGGATAGTGGATATTTTCTTCGTTATTTTTACCGAATATTTTTATGGTTAGGAGATAAGGCGATAGAGGGATGACGAGGAGTGTGGGACGAAGAATGTGGCACGACGAATGTGGGACGAAGATAGTGTTACCAGGAAGGTTGAAAATTTGGGTTGGTAGGTGGAAAGGAAAGTTCGTGAGATGATAGGGGGACAGGGAAGGTAGGAGGACGAAGAAGTTTCTTGACATTCACATACATCAGCCGTAAATAAACATCTTCGCTTAGAGATGTGGAGAAGTCCGTGAATCATATGTTTTGCACCAATCTCACCGTTGCCTTGGTGTCAGTTAGGATGTCACTTAGTTACAGGAATGGTCTATTGGTGTGTTGTGGGGATGGTACGGGACGATGGTGGGGACAAGATGGTAGAAAGACATTAACAGTTTTCCGTTATATTTTGTTTTTCCCTTCGCCCTGAATTATGTCCAATGGTGCTAGGTGGTGACAAATCCTTCGCACCATTTCCCACCATCTCCCTCCGCACCAACTCTACTAAACACCCATCGCGATGAGCAAAAAATTATCAATGGACTATAAAACAGAATACATCAGTACAGATATCGATCCGTTCTACATCGGTAGTAATGCCAGTTGTATGAGTCACGATGGTAGTATTCTTGTCACAGCTAATGAGGAAGACGTTGTGGTAACCAATCTCCATACCCAGGAAATCCTTCACACTATTGAAGGTGATGGTGAGACCATCACTAATTTGAACATAACTCCAGATGGGTCGAAAATATCCATAATTTCCCAATCCCAACAACTCCGAATCTTCGATATATCCCAAGGGGTGATAGTGAAGAACTTCAAGTTATCGTCACCGGTGTATGTATCGAGTAATGAACAAACATCTACATTATTTGCATTTGGAGGTACTGACGGGATTATCACCGTTTGGGACATCGAAGGAGGTTATGTCACCCATTCATTGAAAGGTCATGGTAGTACCATCAGTTCTATATCGTTCAATGGAGACTTGGGAGACAAAAACTGGAAATTGGCTTCAGGTGATACTTCAGGAACTGTCAAAGTTTGGGACTTGGTTAAACGTAAATGTGTCCATACCTTCAACGAACATACATCAGCTGTCAGAGGAACCAGCTTCCATGGAGATCATTTCATCAGTGGTGGTAGAGATGAGATTGTGGTGATTTATAGAAATTTCAAACCTATAAAGACTATCCTCGTTAACCAATCCATTGAAGTATGTAAGCTCTTGGAATTACCCGATTCCGATGACTTGGGGTTCTATACTGCTGGGTCTAATAACCTCTTCCAGTTATTCGACATAACGGGAGAGCTCATCACCAAAACTGAAAATTATCAAACTGAAGAAGAATTGATTATCATCGATGTGTTTGAAACTCAGTACTTAAACCTTGTTTTAAGTGACCAGTCCATAGTTACCATTGATATCAATGATTTGGCAACCGGCCAACCGGCGGTCATCGATAGAATTGCTGGGAACCATGGGATTATTGCCGATGTCAAATATGTTGGACCTCAATTCAATTTATTGGCCTTAGCCACCAATTCCCCATCGTTAAGAATCATCGATCCTTCCAATCCTTTGAAATTGACTATTTGTGAAGGCCACAGAGATATTTTGAACACCGTCGACGTATCAGTAGACGGGAAATGGATTGTTACTGGAAGTAAAGATAGTGAGGTCAGATTATGGAATTATGCTGATGGAACTTTCAAGACCTACGCCATCCTTAAAGGTCATGTTGGTTCAGTAACCGCTGTAGCATTACCCCGTACGCCTATGGACTACCCACAATTCGTTGTTAGTGCTGGATCGGATTTAACTATCAAAAAATGGAAAATTCCAAATCCAGCCAAATCTGATTGGCCAATGACCATCAAGACCAGTGAATATACCAGAAGAGCTCATGAAAAGGATATAAACTCCATAGATATCTCCCCCAATGATGAATTCTTAGCTACTGCTTCTTATGATAAGTTAGGGAAAATATGGGATTTACACACTGGTGAAACTATTGGAGTTTTGAAAGGCCATAAAAGAGGTTTATGGGATATTAAATTCAATAAGTACGATAAGACGGTGATTACTTGTGGAGGTGACAAAACCATCAAACTGTGGTCATTATTGAACTATCAAATGACGGAAAATTTCGAAAGTCATACCAATTCGGTACAAAAAGTCCAATACATCACCCGAGGTCAACAGATTATCAGTGCTGGAGCTGATGGATTAATCAAGATATGGAACAACAAGGCGGAATGTTTAAAAACCATCGATAACCATAGCAATAGAATTTGGTCCATTGATATTTTGAACGATGGTGATAAGTTTGTTAGTTGTGATGCTAATGGACAAATCAGTCTTTGGCACGATAACTCTGAATCGTTGCTTAAGGCTAAGGAACAACAAGAAATCGATAGAATTGAAAATGATCAGAAATTATCCAATTATATCAATGAAAAGAACTACTATAATGCATTTTTGTTAGCTTTGGAGTTGAACTATTCAATGAAGTTGTTCCATGTGATCAATGAAATCTTCAATAACGATCAAAGTGATCAATTGGTAGAGATTTTAGGTAAATTGAATGATGAGCAGAAATTGAAGTTATTTGAAAAATTACAAAATTGGAATATTAACTTCAAGTTCTTTGAAGTAGTACAAAGAGTGGTCAACTTGATCTTGAATAATGTGGGTATTGAGTATTTAATGACACCTAAATTGATCAAGATCATTGAAAATATGTTACCATATAATGAGAGACATTTGAGTAGGTTAGAGGGATTGATTGAGAGTAGTTATATAGTTGATTATAGTGTTGAACAAATGGGTTTGACTACTGATGAGTAGATGTTATACGATGATTAGTACATAGTAATACATAGAAGATTAGGAGTGTGAAGGTGCGAATGTTCTGTTTGGACACAGGGGCCGTAGGTCACTGGCAAGTCCATTGGGAAGCCAGGGTAAATCATGGCTAATTCTTGGCCAGACTCAGCTGAAGGAGTATGGCCAACCCGTAGGACCTTATTTTATCTCTTTGTGGACTCTCATAAGTTGCGGCTTTACCCTTTTCGGCTAGGAGAGAAGAGTGAAGCCAAAGTTCATAAAAAAAATGTCAAAAATACCAAAATCTGAAAAGCTTTCATACTTTCGAATTAGAACGGTGTTGGAGAATCTGCCTGCCGGCGTGGGTTCTTCTTATTTTATCAGTATTTTGCGATGGAATAGATTTGGGAGATTTCCAAGCCAAATTTTTCTTTCAGAATACAAAAGTGTGTGGGAAGCATCTTGTGACACACGCGATGCTCTAGGTGTGCTCTTTCTAACTCGATAAGCAAGGTGAAATCCCCTGGATTCTCCTCACCTCTTTCCAACTTCGGTATTCCAGAAGGTTCGATTGCAAGAAATTGACCTTATCACGTGACATTTTACTTTTGATTGCAAAAAAAGAGAAAGTTCATCAAAGGTTGGTGAAAAAAGTGTTGAAAATGCCAAAACACAGATTTGCTTCATACTTCTGGAAAAGCATCTTTGTGATGAAAATGGCTGCCGATGTGGGTTAATTTTGTTTTATCAGTATTTTGCGATGGAGTAGATTCAAGAAATTTCCAAGCCAGATATCTCATTCGGAATACAGTTGTTTGTCTGAAGCATCGAGCTATGCATACGAGGCACCAGGTGTAATCTTTACATTTTGATCAGCAAGGTGAAATCCCCTGGATTCTCCTCACCTCTTCCCTCCTACGGGATTCCAGAAGTTTCGATTGGACTTTCTAAGTTCGCACACGTGACTTTCCCTTTTTGATTGCAAAAAAGAGAAAGTTCATGAACTCAATGAAAAAAAAGGTCAAAAATGCCAAAAAATAGATTTTCTTCATACTTTCTGAATTTAACAATGTTGAAGGATCTGGTTGCCGGTGTAGGCCGTTTTTGTTTTATCAGTATCTTGCGATGGAATAGATTCGGGAAATTTCCCAGCCAAATTACTCTTTCAGAATAGAATAGGCTGACGTAAGCGTTTTGTGATGAATAATATACTCTAGGTATGTTTTTTCGAGTCTGATCAGCCAGGTGAAATTCCATGGATTTATACTTCTTCACTATTGAAATTGAGACTGCGCACGTGATTTTCTATGACGGTTGCAAAAAAAGAGAAAGTTCACGACAAAACGTCAAAAATACCAAAACCTGAAAAGCTTTCATACTTTTGGAATAGAACGGTGTTGAAGGTGTTACGACAGATGTTGAAGATTCTGGATGCCGGTGTGGTTCTTCTTGCTTTATCAGTATTTTGTGATTGAATACATTTGAGAAATTTCCAAGCCAGATATCTCATTCGGAATACAGTAGTTTGTCTGAATCATCGAGCTATATATACGAGGCTCTGGGTGGGGTTCTTGAATCCGATTCACACAGTGAAACTCCATAGGTTCACCTCACCTCTGTCCAACTATGGAACTCCAGAAGGTTCCATCGAGGTTTCTGTGTTCGCGCACGTGACTTTTCACTTTTGATTGCAAAGAGAAACTTCATCTCATCAAAGGTAAATGTAAAAGTGTTGAAAATGCCAAAGAATAAAAAGTGTCAATCTCGGAATACAACGGTGTTGAAGTATTTCTCCCAATGTGGGTTTTTTTTGCTCTATCAGTATTTTGAGATTGATTATATTCTGCTCAGAAGGTGAAGATTTTAAATCTAAACCTCTCATTCATAATACAGTAGTTTGCAGGAAGTATAGTATGTTATATGTGATGCTCTTCATATCTTGCCCTCATTATATCAACTTGGTGGAAGCCTATCCAGATCCATACTTCTTCACTATTACAATTGAGACAGCGCACGTGATTTTTTGAGCAAGGGTTGCAAAAACAGAGAAAGTCGATTGAAGGTTGGTGAAAAAAGTGTTGAAAATGCCAAAAAATGGATTTTCATCAAAATCAAGGAATAGAATGGTGGTGATTCATACGGCTGCCAATATTTGTCCCTTCTGTTTTGTCAGTATTTAGGGATTGTTTATATTCGGATAATTTCCAAGCCCAATCTCTTATTGAGAATACCGTAGTTTGTAGGAAGTATAGTGTGATACATGCGATGCTCTAGGTGTGTTCCTTGAAGTTGGTTAGCACGGTGGAAGTCCAAGGTTTGACCTCTGTTTAACTATGGGGTTCTAGAAGGTTCGACTGAAGTTTCTGAACTCGCGCACGTGACCTTTCACTTTCGATTGCAAACATAGAGAAACCTCATCAAAGGTTGATGTACATGTCTAAAGTACCAAAGAGTAAAAGACTTCATAACCCTGGCACAAAGATGTGTTGAAGGATCCAGCTCCCAATGTGGAATCTTTTTGTTTTGTTTTATCAGCATTTTGAGATTGGTTCTGCTTGTAGGATGAGAATTCCAAGCTAAAATTCTCTTTCAGAATACATTAGCTAGTCTAAAGCATTGTTTGATAAGTGCGATGCTATAAGTGTTTTTTTTTGAGTTGATTAAAACAGTGAAAGTCCTTGAATTTTCCTCTCTTTAACTATAGAAGGATCTATTGTCACGTGACGTTTGTCAGTTCGCTCACGTGACTTTTCCCTATTGGTTGCAAAAAAAGAGAAAGTTAAACGAAGGTGGATGAAAAAAGTGTCGAAAATGCCAAAAGATGAAAAGTCTTCATAATCGTGGAATATAAAGGGGGTGAGGTTTGTGGCTTATGATATATTTTCTTTTTGTTTTATCGGTGTTTTGAGATTGAATATATTCGGGAGGATTCTGAAGCTAAAGTCCATTGCCGTTGTCATAACACGTCATGATTTAGAACTTATAGTCAAAGGGGTCCTGGAAGTTGGTTGGAATGTTCTATTGTCTTCTCTCACTGTGTAAAACGTTTGTGTCTGTTAATAGTTGGTTTACTGAATTTTGCGAAAAGTACTATTCTCAGGAATCTTTTGAGGTAAAAGAAAATGGTAGCCAAAAACTTGAGACATTGCTGTCGTTGGTATGAGGATAGAATTGTCATGGTGTTGAAGCTCTTTTAAATTCTTCCCAATCATGGAAAAAGCTAGTACTTACTAAGAAATTCAGAGGTCTTGAAAACACCTGGGAAGTGAAAGTAAAGTTTTACGTGTCAAGTTGATCAGTTTGCGAGTTAGATGGAGTTTAAGGTGACGTATCAGGTGGTGTAAAAAGACCAAAACCACGGGTTAAAGGGTCAAAACGGAGTCAAAGGGTGGAAGGGCCAAAGAGCCAAAGAAGAAATCTGAGGTCTCAAAATTTCGCAACCACAATGTCAATGGTAAGTTTTACAAACACAACCTCTTACGGTTTATCCTAACAAATCAGAGTCCTCAAGAGTTCACAAGCAGAAGAATCAGTAAAAGAACCACTGAGTTCAATATGTTGGTCATTGGAGAGAACGGAACGGGAAAAAAACTGTTCATCAACACTTTATGTGAACAAACAGTTTTTGAACTGTCAATTTCAGAACCCTCCGACAGTTATATTGGCTTCAGTAATCGGGAAGTTATGATGGTTAAGCATTCACCTATCAGATTGAACGTGTATTTGACCAAAAACTTCCGTTATAATTTGAATAACGATACCAACAATGAAGAAATCATGAAATTTCTTGTTTCTCGGTTCGAAACCAAATTGGTTGAAGAGTCTAAGACCACCAGAACCAAGCAAGATAATCTCATTCATCTCGTTGTGTTTCTCATGGAGCCCAGAGGGAAAAAGTTGAAAAACTCCGATATCTCACTAATTAGAAGTATCCAGAAATACGCTAATGTCATGGTAATCATCACCAAGGGTGACTTGATGACTGAGGATGATAAGAAGGTACAAAAGCAATTGATCAATCTGTCGATTGAGGAGAATGGCTTGAAAACCTATGATTTCTCGTTGTATGAGGAAGATCCAGATACCTTGAAGTATTTGACCTACTTGCAACACAAACAACCATTCACTGTGATCAATTCCAACAATTGCAGTCTTCATACTGCCAGTTCCAGCCATAACACTACCAGTTCCAGTCATAACACTGCCAGTTCCAGTCATAACACTGCCAGTTCCAGCTATCAAATGCGTACCACCAATTTCAACATCGATATCGCCAAACACAGCGATTTCAGTCTCTTAAGAGATATCATCTTCGAGATGAACTTGTCAGAGTTTAAAGATGTTACAAATAACTATATTTATGAAAGGTTTAGAACTGAAAAATTAACAAATTGATAATCAATATCATTTAAAATACATAGTGGTACAAAATTAATCGTCTCTTTTCTTTAAATTTTCGTAACCAAGACAAACTTTTCTACTTCTTTCACAATTAAAGCAATGAGGTTTCCGTTCATCACACTTAATCCTTCTTTTTCTACAGGTCAAACAACCTGTTCTGGTTCTTCTTTTGATGATTCTTCTTTTGTTGATGAGGGCTTGATTTTCTTCTAAATAGGGGTTCCATACGGGGATCATGATATTGGGTTGAAGTCCGGGTTGGAGACCAGGCTGAAGACCTGGTTGGAGGGATTGGATGGTTTGAAGACCGGGTTGAAGGGATTGCATAGCTGATAATGGTTGATTGGGGAGAGACATTTGTGTCAATTGGGGAATTCCATGGATTGGTTGGTTCATCATTTGATGCATGGGAGGGAAATGGATGACTTGGGGTTGGACTTGATTCATGAGTACTGGTTGAACAATTTGGTTAGGGGAGATTTGGGGGTGGGGGTGAGGATGAGGAGTTTGATGAGGAGTTTGGTGGGGGGTTTGATTGGGGTGACTTTGTTTGTGGCTTTGATTTGGGTGAGGTTGGTTTGGATGTTGGTGGTTTGGATTCTGGTGGTTTGGATTCTGGTGGTTTGGATTCTGGTGGTTCTGATGGTTCTGGTGGTTTGGATTCTGGTGGTTCTGGTGGTTTGGATTCTGGTGGTTTGGATTCTGGTGATTAGCATGTTGGTGACTTGGATGTTGGTGACTTGGATGCCCCTGCACCAGATATCCCAGTGGATTGGACGTAACATCAAAGTAATCGTACATCAAATAATCCGAACCAGGACCAGCTGTTCCGGGAGTTATTGATGGCGTATTCACCGTATTCAAAGTATGGATGGAATTGGATGAACTTTGGTTCAGTAATGGTGGTAATATGGAATTTATAGGCAAAGAATTGATTCTTCTTTTATCCAACATTTCCAAAGTCATGGTTTGATTAGATGACGGTTGTCTTGAACCTATGGAGCTAGCATTAGAACCACGATGTTCAAGGGAGTAATTTATGTCCAAGGGGGGTAAGATGATTGAATTGGGGGAAGAATTTAAATGGTTTGTGGGTAAATTGGGGGTCTTATGTTCCACACCATAGGGAGATTTATCCTTATCAGATATTAATTTTGACACCGAGGGTAGTTGAGTCATGGTGAGTGGATATATGATGGACACGATGGAATTAGTAGGATCTACAGGGTCTAAGATGACGTGAAAGCTTCAATAATGACGGTTTACGGACGGTCTAAGGACTTTAAGTACCAATAAGGACTAATAAGAACGTTTCAAGGACCGGCACCAATAATAACGCCACAAATATAAAACACAAAAAATCTAAAACCTCCTGTTCTTAATCGACCTTTCTACTATCCACACAATGGCCAATGTTCTTTGTTAACACAACTATAGGTGAATTTCAATAATAAACGAAATATGCTGATGTTTTGGTCCAACACAAATTTTTTTTTGGTATCTTAGTGGTTGATTGAGTGGATGTTGGTGTTTGGTTTAACAGTATTCTTCTCAATAGTTAACTCACTATGGATGAACCCGATGATGATGAAGAAGGTTCTGTGGATGGTAATGAAGTTGAATAAAAAAAAATTGAGGGTTCTTACACGTATTTAAAGGGTCTCAAATCTCAACAAATTTCAACAATAAAAATCTCACTGAGTGGATTGGGGAGTAAGGAGATGCAATGGGCAAGTTGACGTGGATGTGTTGGAGTGGATATGTTGAAGTGAACAAGTTGAAGTGAACAAGTTGAGTCGGTAGGATAAAGGTGATTAAATAGGTGGATAGGACCAAATGAAAAATCAACCTTTAATAACGGGTAGATAATCTTTTTTAACAGGGACACTTCAGCACGGCCGGTACTATTTAAACCTTGGGAAATTATTTTATATGGGAATTTTATCCACAAAGGAATTTTATAAAGGAATTAATGGTTAGATTTAAACCGAGTAACCGATAGGATCTTTACACAATCTAAAAATATGCAAGGTGAGATTATTTTTTCACTTACTGATTTCTTTTTTCAAGGGATTTAAATCCATCAACCTAACAATTTATAATGTTATACTATCCAATACTAACCTTAGGATAATCCCAGGTTTCTATTGGGTATGTTTAAATAGGCTAAAGTAGTCTAAAGCAACTTTTCATTAAATCTAAAAAATATAAGCGCAATCTTACTGATAATCCCTTAATTTTCGGCAACTTCTACCGCTTATAAACTTTACACGAGGATATATACAGTCCATGCATTAAAGTAACTTTTCTCAATCTTTGGTAGTATGCAGGGCGGTTAAGTAAAATGTTCGCATTTCTCAATTAAACGGAAAATCGTTACCTCATTGGGCCAGAGGCTTATTACCCAATTGGGTATGATTGGAAGAAACATTCTTTGCAAAAACTTAGGGTCTATTGTTAAAAGTTAAAAGCTTGTATTATATTATTCAAATATATTGATGATTATAATACTTGTTGTTCAAATGGTGAGTGTCCGGATCATACATTTGAACAGAGAGAAATCTGTGGTTGCAAATTACTATGCAAACAATTACTGTATTCAATATTAGAGTTTTCGGGTTTATTTACTTTGTAAAATAATAGAATGATGGGTTTTGATGAATTAAAATTTCTTATTTCTTTCACTTATCAGGTTTAAGCGAATTATAATTAGTTTACAGAGTAAATGTAACGTAACCTAATTTAAAATTTCACTTACTGACACGAATTCCTACGAGGTGAATTTATGGGTTTTCAAACCTTTATAAACCCGGTTTCAAATGAAATTAAAAAATTGGTTGAAAAAAAATTTTAAATCCACAAACACAAAAAATCCACAAAAAAAAAAAAATCCACAAACACAAAAAAGACCACAAACACAAATACAGCGAAAAATTTAAAAAAAAAATAATATCCACAAAAAGAAAATAAAAATCAATTGTACACAAACTGGAAAATTTAATGTGTTGGCCAGAGATGAGCTGCGTACACGAATCCTTACATATACGTTCAAACAAATTAATCCTATTTAGGTAATTTATTGTGTTAGTATTTAAAATAATGCATGAGAATCAAATGTTTATTCTAGATTGTGGTTATTCATTTACAATTGATACCACAATAAGTAAAAATAATCGGCAAAAATAGATTGATTATTTAAGAAGCATTGCATTAACCCAACCTTTTCACAATTATGTAATTGTTTGTGCACCGAGAAATCACCTGAGTTTTGGCCAACCCCTTTACTGAAAACGGGAAACCAATGTATCAATACGAGATCGATTTCGGAATTTTGGGGGAACAGTTTTGATTCTTTCCAAGAATTTACCCAACATCTGTGTGGGAAGTAAAGTTTTTAGTGATGGATGGAATTCAGTCGAAGAGCAATAATAGCCGTGGGGGTCAGGCGAAGGTCATGTGATGGCATAGGGAGGCATAGGGAGGTAAAGGGTTGTTTAGGGATGATGGAGAGGTGGAGGGGGGGGAAGGGTGGAGTTAAGGGAGATGGTTAGATGATTAAGAGAAGGTTTGTACGATGAGTTGGCATATTGGTGAAGACACGATTAACGGAGTGATGCGCGGGACTTGGGAAAGGTGGTGCTAGGATTAGCGACAACTTCGAAGCGGAAATAAGCATCTAGTTTTCCGGGTCCAAAAGTAGGCACCGAGTTCGCACCGAATGTGTGATCATGGTGCACGATCTGTAGGTCCATGGTCGCACCATTTTCTTCTCGTTGCTAGCACCATTTTCTCTCAATGCTCGCACCATTCTTTTTCCTATTCTCCTCCTGCTCCCTCCTTTTCTACCCCCATATTTCTCACTAAATTAGCGACACATTTAGCGACACATTTAGCGAGAAACCCAACCATTGGCGAGAGATGACTTCTGCTCATTCGCGCAACAAAGTAAACAAATGGACAGATCCTATCTCCAACCACACTTCGATGCTAAGTCATTGAAAGTCTCCCAACTACGCAACATCTTGAACCAGCACGACGTAGCGTATCTGTCCAATGCTAAGAAAAGTCAATTGTTGAAGTTGTTCCATGCCGAGGTCTACTCCCATCGGGACACCATCTTGGAGCAACTAGACAATGATCTTAAGGTGGAACATGACGGTATCATTGACATGACCAAGAGTAAGAGAAGAACCACAAAAGCAGATAAGTCCGATAGGTCGATGGAAGTGGACACGGTGAAGCTGGAACCAGAAACGGTGCTGGAAGTGGATCCCAGTGATGTGGAAGATACTAAAGACAAGGAATCCACTCCGTTCTCCGACAAGAACATCTTCCAGTCCCCGGCCAGTAGAAGTGGTAAGAAACGTAGGGGTGAAGAACAGGTGAAGGAGGTGAAGAAGAAGGGGAAGGTTTCTGAGCCTGAAATGAAGACAGTAGAAGCGAAGATGGAGCCAGAGGTCGTAGAAACTAAGGCCAAATCGTCAGTTAAGTCCCCTACTGTGTCCCCTACTGTGTCCCCTGCTGCTAAGAAGGTGAAAAGTCCTAAGACTGAAGTAAAAAGTCCAAAGAGCCCAAAAGCTGTGCAAAGTCCAAAATCGTCACATGACCAATCACATGACACATCACATGACGAAATCAAATCACCAAAATCAAGCAAGACAACTCCAATTAAAGGAACTCCAAAGACCAGCTCAACCAGGGCTACCCCTAAGAGCCCTAGGGCCACCCCTAAGAGCCCCAAGTCCAAAGAGTCCCCAGCTTTGGCCAAAGTTCACAAATCTCCTCCTAAGAGCACTCCCAAGAAGGGCCGAGTCACCAAAATCAGTTCCAAGGTATTGAAACTTCCTGAGTCACCGGTGTTACAGAAGATAATCGACGAGGAGTTAGACAGAGCTGAGGAGGACCCACAGGACGATGCGGTGGAATTGGTGGTGGAGACGGCACTGGAATCTATCGCCAAGTCGCCAAAAGCACCGGGACCGGTCGCCAAATCACCAAAAGCATCGGCCCAATCACCAAAGTCGCCCAAGATAAGGTCACCAAAGGCTAGGGCAACAAAGTCACCTAAAGCCCAAACTTTAGACGAGGAAACCGCCGCTTTTGATGAGTTTGTTAAGTCCAAGAACGTTCCAGGGGACCAAGTGGACCCAGTGGACCCACCCATCGACCCAGCTTCGTTGGGTATTAAATTTGGCACCTTAACCGACGACTTCGAGCCCAGGTTCAAGCCCGTTCTGCCGGGAACTCTGTCGTTGGGTGAAGCTCCATCATTGGGTGCTGCTATGGAAGAAAAGGAAGACGAAGAAGACAGCGATACCGAGGAATCCCAGGACGACGGTCAGGACGATGACCAGGACGATGACCAGGTCGAACACCAGAAATCCCCCAAAAGCAAACGTTCAATCCTCCCTATACTCACCTACGTCGTCACCTGGCTCGTGGTATCGTCCTTGGGCCTCTTCGCCTATTGGTACAGAGAACAGACCTTCCTTGTAGGTTACTGTGGCCAGGAAATCCAATGGTCGTTCCATTCTCCGTCCTTTTCTCCCCAAGTTAATGCCATCGTCAATAGTTACTTGGATACCGCGAAACCAGCGTGCGTGCCATGTCCTCCCCACGCCAGATGTTTCCCATACCTTGAAATCGGATGTTTCGAAGATTTCATTGAGTCCAAACCATGGTACTACGACGTGGCACCATTCATCAGTCCTAGGGCCAAGAGCTGTGTCCCCGATACTAAAAAGGCCGAGAAGCTTGAGATCATGATCGATGTAACGTTGGACATCTTACGGTCTAAGAATGCTGCAGTGAACTGTGGGAATGGGCTTATTGGCGAGGCTGGGATGTCTAAGACCGACCTTTATGATATTCTCGTCAGTCTCAAGGCTCCTTACATCACCATGGAAGAGTTTGACGAATTGTGGGAGAGAGCCATCGTTGAAGTAGAGAAGGAACCAGAAATTGTAAGGCAAGTGTATTTGAACTGAGGGTGGAACGGTGCTAGGGAGTCGTGGTACCGCGGCTGCAGTACTGCGAATGTACTGCGACTGCGAATGTGCCGCGGCAGCTGTACTGCGACCGTTACCGCGAGTGTCCCTGTACCGTAAGTGTACTGCGACAGTTGGCGCGACAGTTGGCGCGACAGTCACTGCGACAGTCACCGCGAATGTACTCCAACCTGGGACCACTGTCGTGGCCCCAGCGTCCCTTTGCACCACCTCCACCCATCAGTAACAGTCTGTAGGTTCACCCTACAGTACCATCCATTAAACCCATACTAACATCTCTTAGGTCACAACAAATCATCACCTTCCGTCCCACCAGGGCCATCACCACCAGGAACTTGAAGAAGACCTCCACCAGATTCTTCGATCAACGTCCTTATCGAACCTTGATTTGAAGTGTCAGTTACAGAACACCATCTTCTCCACCCTCTATGAGTACAAAAGCTACTTCTTTATCACCGTAGGCGTGGTGGTGGTAATGATGTATTTACGGTTCAAATTACACCAGTTTAAGCAAGAACGGGCCAAAGTTAATGAAATCTACAACGAAGTTATCGACAAGCTCAGGACCCAAACCCAGTTCCCCATCAAGTACGTTGGTTCCAACCAATTGCGAGATTTGTTGATTCTTGAAGATAACTTGGCCTACAAGTTAAGGTTGTGGAACAAAGTTAGCCACAAGATCGAGAACAACGCTAACATCAGCTACCGATTGATTGAATACCACGGAGAAATCATCAAAGTATGGGAATGGCTTACAGTGTAGATCATCCATTAAGTCCTGTGAATGCAGTTTATAGTTTATGTTGTATGCACTTTTTAATGATGTTTAACAAGTAAAATACCTCATCATCATGTACAATTAAATAATATAGTTAAAGTTTCTTTAAAATTAAGCGTGAGGTGCAGTTACAGAACTATAAAAATAGCGCATTTTACAGTTTTACAGGTTGGTTCGAATTTGTAAGTTTGATTTACAGGTTCGGTCTTATAAAGTGTAAAGTTTTATTTACAAGTTATAATTACAGGTTAACTGAAACTACAAGTTACAATTACAAGTTACAATTACAGGTTACAATTATAAGTTACAATCACAACTTAGAGTATCTCCTTTACAGGTTACAATTACACAGACTGTTCCCTTTACAGGTTAAATATCATACCTATATAAGAGCAATCTTCTCCAAATCTTATATTTACACTTATGCACTCAACTTCAAACTCTCTATATCGATATCTTCTTCATTAGCCAACCCTTTCTCAAATATCTCTCTCCCTGATAACTTCCCTTGATGTTGATTCTTATAGAACAACTCCAACTTCTCATCAATATGCATCTCCTTACGGAAATTCTCTCTCCAACTCTCAAATGATTCTTTAGTTACCTTAGTACCTATGAACTTCTTAGAAAGCTCAGCTTCTTGTTTATTCAATTCATCTTGACGTTTATTTTCCAAGGTTTCAAGTTTCTTTGTAAACAAAGTTTCGGCTTCGTCCTTCAACAACGTAGCAAGGGCAAACACTGAAGGGATCCCTAATTGCATAGTAGCTTCTTCATTCAACTTACTTTCAAGAAGCCTTAAGTCATCATTAGTAAACTCTACAAGTTCAGGTAAGTTGATAATCCTCTTATTCTGTTTAGCTTCTTCATCATCGTCACTATCATCATCTTCATCGTCTTCATCAGAACTTATAGTCTCTAATTCTAGTATAGGTATCTCATCAGGATATTGTGATGGATAAGTAACCTTTAACTTAATGGAATGATTTCTATTTGAAGCAGTATCTAACGATATTAACAAGTCAAACTTGGATTCTGAATGTTTCACCAACTCATCAGGATAAATAGATTCAAGAACTTCAAGTTCTTGAGCTTGTTCTTCTAATGGATCCATTAAAATTTTCGCACTCGTCCATACCAGAAGTTTATCCACAAAGAAAGAAAAAGTAGAAAGAAAAAAAAAACCCACCTATCCACAAAAAGGAAATTTTTTTTCAATAGAATCCACAAAAAGACGAAAATTAGCCGCCATATAAAAATTTTAACCATAAATCATATTTAAACCATTTAAACCTATAACAAACAATCAGGGAAAACATGGAAGATTTGAGATTCCCTGAAAACACCAGCATTAAAGACTTTGCCTATTCTAAAAATAACCCTTTGAGGTATGGGAATTTTGAAGATGAAGAAGAAGACTATGAATATGAATATGAGTATGAATATAACCAGGAGAACGTAGAGATTAATCAACAAGCCATTGCATTATTTGACTTCAAGCCAGAGAACGATAATGAAGTAGAATTGGTAGAAGGTCAAACCATATGGATAAGTTATCGACATGGACAAGGATGGTTAGTGGCTGAAGATCCTAATACTGGGGAAAATGGATTGGTACCAGAAGAATACGTTGAAATCCTTGATGTAGCCAAACCTTACATAACAGTTTTGGATCAAATCAACGACAGCCAGGACCTTGATAATGAAGATAACGATAATGATAATGAAGAGATTAATGACATTCTGGACACCATCAGCAGTATTAAAATGTAATAGTATGTAATATAGATAGCATTAAGCACGCGATCTCTGAAAGGGGCATACGGCAGGAGCCAACGCCGTTTGTGTTGGTACCGACAGAATACCGACCATGTAAGGCTGGTTCAACTTATTGCTCAATAGTACCATTGGGCTGGGGTATGGAGTTGTTGTAGGGATGACTGGAGGTATAGTTCGAGTTTACAGGGCGTATTACATTGTTGTTGAGTAGAGTTCATCCCAACATCACTTGAAATTGGCTTTTATTCTCACGTGACCTGTCACGTGAGATGTCACGGAATGGTAGAAGTGTGGAATATTTCATCTATGTGTAACTGAATGGGAGATGATGGATCATATTTTAGCTATATATCGCAGTAAGAAGAACCTTGCATATGCCTTAGGGTTCTCAACTCCCAGTAAAGTGATTCTACCTTATCTATACCTCGTCACCTTTCTTCTCTCTTTTACTTAATTCAATACCCAAACCCCGTTCAGGGTAAGTCAGCAGCCGTAAGCTCTTAAATCTCAATCTGAAATCACATTTTCTACCCTTCAGTTCGACTTATCAAATCAATCCACCAATCTCATCACATACCTCAAGTGATCTGGTCTTCGCACTTTACAGCTCACAGAGCTATTCCACCTTCCCATGTTCAACTCCCGTTCCTTTAGAGGTAACAGGAACTATATCTCCCTATACAACTCCCATCTACTGGAAGTATTCAACTATCCCCAGGATACCTTCAAAGAAAGCAAAGTCAGTAATGACGTGCTATACCAGCATCAAATAGGATACCCTCGATTCCCAGGTAGTAGATGGACCAGTGAAGAGAAAAGCATGTTCTTCCATTATCTAGCACGATATTCCATCCATAGATTAGACCTCATCCTGGAGAATATCCCCACCAAGTCCAGTCTAGAGATCCTACAATACTATCATGTCCTCAACAGAGCACTTAACAAATATAAGAAGGTGAAGAAGACCCATGTTAGAGGGAAGAAATTCTACTACAAGCATGTCAGTACCAAGCTCCTACCGTACCACGACCTCCCCATTGCCTATGAGATGTCAGAAGAATGGATCAAGGCCGAAGAAGTCCAGAGTTGGATGGCTACAAAGAAAGAGAAAATAGTAGTACGCGATGAAACGGCGAAATTCCCCGCTGTAGAATCAGACCTAATTGATATGGAAATGTTCGAAAAATGGAACGCTTTGACCAAGCAATATGGCGGAGAGAGTGCTAAAGTTGATTATAAGAGTGTTAAGTTTTACGAGAAACTTATCCATTTGATAACAAGGGAGATGATGATTTATTTCCTCATCAGAGGAACCCAGAAATTCAATAAACTTGACTTCACTAGGGCCATCAACACTGTTAAAGGTTTGACAGAGCGATATGAACCGTTGGTGTTTGCCCCCAAGAAGACGGTGACCTCTATTGATGATTTACCGAAATTGAGTAAAGTTGTTGAGGATGAACACATTGAAGAGCAACTCTTCGAAAGGGAGACCCAGGAGATTGACGAAAAGGATATGTGGGAGTCAAGGGGCCATGAACATATTCTTTTGACGTTCATGACCACGGCGAATTATGAAGCAGTGAAGCATCTGATGTATACGGATGTGGAATTAGTGGAGCAGGGAGTATTACCAGTGAGTGTGTTGCCAGGGGGTGTGTTGCCTGAGGAGCAAGTGTCCGAGCAGGGAGTGTCGCCTGGGGGAGTGTTGCCTGGGCAGGTGGCGAACCTGGTTCCGTTAGACTCTGAGACAACCAATGAAGCAGAGTTGATTTCCTATGAAGCATTGCTGGCAGCAGAAAGACAGAAAGATGCAGCTGGTGAATTTATGCAAGAGACTGCGGACGTTCAAGGCCGGGAAGAAGGTCCAGAATCGCAGACGGAAGCTCAGGTTCCAGAGACCCAAGCTCCAGAGACCCAAGCTCCAAAAGCCCAAGCTACAGGGGCCCAGACTCTAGAATCACACACTCCACAATCACAAGCTCCACAATCACTGACAGAAACTCAAACACCAACTCCAGAACCAGACGTTACGGAAACCCGGGAGTTTGATCATCCATCAAACATGGACATCGACCTAAACATCGACCTGAATAACCCCGACGACCAAACTCACCTGGACCTGGACCTGGATTTCCAAGAATTCGATCACGGAATGTTGAAACTCCTCAACAACTTCCACTACACTTACGCCCATTACTAATGCCTCTATTACTATACAATGCTAATATACATGCTATCTAAAATTGCTATCTAAAGTTAAGTATGATGAAAACATACATCATGTCGAATATCATCATCAACGTACAAGCCAAAATCAAATAGTTGTTATGGTTCAAATTCAACTTCTCTTCTTGAGCATACTCAAAGATATTCAACACCTCTACCCAAATATACTGGAACAAACAGTAGAATTTGAGTGATATCAAGAGAATTTGATAAGCCAACAATAAATATTCACTTCCATCTTGATGGAGGTTAAAGTTAAGGAGTTTGAAATCCAAATTTATCAAACAAAACGAGTTAGTTAACAATATGGGTAAACAGTTATTGTTCAAGTTAGCCAATAACTCCTTAAAACCAATGATTTTACTCAAAAAATCCTGGAAATTGATGATATTGATCAATGCTGGACAAACTATCTGAAGGATGAAAAGACTCGATTCGTAGTTGAAGCCGAATTTGAAGTTATAGAACAAATATCCCACAATGATTGATTGGATCATTAAAAAGGGGATTTCTATCACCATAGACCTTCTGAGCCCACCAGTAAACCTTACGAGGAAGATGATGTTGATGATGTTGGACAAGATGTCCTTGAGATAGGCGTTGATGTCGAGGTAGGTAATCTGAAGGTTTGATCTTAAAAGTTCAGATATTTGCGTGGATTGGAGGTAGGTGGTAAGACATACCAAGGAAAAGGAAACCACTAAAGGGTTATAAATGATATTCAAAACTTTAATGACCATTTTTGTGTTTTTTGTGTTTGTGTTTTTTGTATTTGTGTTTTTTGTATTTGTGTTTTTTTGTATTTGTGTTTTTTTGTATTTGTGGTTATGACTGATAATGACTGTGTGTGTGTATGACTATGTTTTTATTGCACTTCTATGTATCAAACTGAGTGCCCTATGAGTGCCAAACTAATGTGCTGTTCTTATCAGGTATCTATCTATTCCTATATTTCTTACTTAGGATCAGACTTATAGCACTGTCTCTAACTATCTCTAACTATCTTCAACTATAGTGAAATCTCTAATTCCCACTTTATCTAGTGTAAAACCTAAATCTGGAGATTTCGAGACATATTTATATTAATCTCAACGTGGTTAATTTGCGCACATTATTATCACACGAGGTGGAAAATAAACCCATCGGGGCACTTTTCCTAATCAAATTATTATGGATATAAATAGATGACAATCCATTTACATTCCACTCCCACTTCCACTGCACTCTAAGCCTACATGACATGAAAGGCCGCCATATAAACCGAAAAAAATATTGACTTTGCGACTTTCTGTCACACGAACAGTTACTTGATTTAGACTTATTTTTAGCTTGCATATATGGTCCATCAACGTGTCTGAAAATCTTTAGAGTTAAGTGAAAGGTGGAAGAGGTAGATTATTCATCAGTTAGTTAAGAGACGGGTGTTTGTGTAACCATGTTGTACCATTCTAGCCCTTCTAATCCACCCCCTTTGAACTATGTGTTTTCCCAAAAAGTTTATCATGTCTAAATTTAAACCCAAAAGCCGTGTCCCCCAATTCCCGAATTGGTGAAGTGGGTTAGGATCGACGACCGGCAATCACGTATTCATGCATATGTTTGCAAAATCACTACATTTTGATTGGTTGACGGGGAGAACTTATTTAGAGCCCCCACGACATATCGCATGATTGTCTAGTAAATATGCACCTTTAAAATAATAGCTCCTAACTAGTCATCTCTAAAAGTTGAAGGTTTACAGTTATCACCATCAAATTGCTACCTAAAGGATTTTTTAAGTTCTACTTACTATGGGATAATTATAGGTTTGCGGAACTTATAAAGGGGTTAAAAATAGACGTGGCTCAAAAAAGGGCTTATTAGCTTTTAAAAATAGCTGGAAAAATCCCTCATCAGCGGAAATAAGGTTTCCCTATGACGATCGCCACAATCGATCATAACATGAACACCAAATTCTCTTGACACCGAAGGTTTATTCATTTACCGACATCTGATACGTCAGTCGGTAATCTAAGCTAGACTGGACAATCTCAAGTTGTTCATAATTTTGACCTGGATGAAAAATTTTATTATTTTGTATGTTTATTATGATTCAACAATAGGGGCCCTATTTGGGACATAGGCTTCCGGATAAATCAGTGGCGCTGTTCTTTTACGTAGCAATAAAGTGGAGTTCCTAGGATTGTTGAGGATTGTTGAGATGATGAGGTGGACCTTAAGCTTAGACTAATGCTCTAGACAAGACTTGTCCAAAATCAAATCACTTTTATAGGATCATGCTGAACTTCGGTAGGGTCATTCTGGACCTGTGTAGAGTGTTTTATTGTGTATAGTCGTGCTAGACCCGTCCGTTGGTGCATTTCCTGACATTTCTGTCGATCTTCACTTTTCCCTTTTAGTAATGTACATTCTTGGTGTTTTTAGCTGGTTTTTTAGATGGTCTTTGTGGTGGCTTTGTGGTGGGCTTTGTTGTAGGTTTTGTGATAGTCTTTGTGGTTACTAGGGCAGCTCATAGCTAATATTCATAGCTAATTCTACCAATACCTTCACAAAAGCTACATATCACACCCTTACAACTACCCGCATACCAACAATTTACAATCTCCCCCTATGACCAGGTCTCCTCACCTAACTCTTAGGCCTAGAACTCCCATTGTTGATAGGTCAATCCTTTCCTTGGATATGCTTGCTTCAGGCGTGGGCCAAGGTGGACTAAATAATGCCGATGATCGACGATAACATTAGACACACCTCTTCCGGAGAAAGTTACGAGATATCCCAAAAGAGACATTCAAACAATCAGCCTCCATTGTCTGCACTTCGTAAGCAGTTGCCCGATTTAAGAGCTCTGGTGTTGGGGTTTCAACCAAATCCACCGAAAAGTACTCTAATGCAAGTTCTGACATGGAAAAGTAAGATTTCTTCAAGAAGTATGATTTCTTCCCACACCCAGAGAGCTTGGGCTGCACCACTAGGGGCACTGCCCTGATAGACTGGTGGCCAGTGTACTGAAGAGTCTAGTACTGGGCTAATAAAGAGTGGAGTGGATTATTATTGATAAGTGGATCGAACCTTTAGTGAATAGGAGGAATAACTAATGGACCTATTAGTGAAAAAACCTCCCAAAATAACCATCTAACCATTACCTATAATCTTTTGAACACTTTAAGGACTTATTAGAGTCAATAGCTCTCGTGTTGGGAGTTTCCGACCCCTTCCACCATCAAGTACTCTATTGTAAGGCTTTAACCTGGGATACAATTCTGTTCGAACCTAGAATTATTTTCGTGGTTTCATGATAATGTCTACAGAGCCAGAGAATTTAGACTGACCGCTAGTGAACAGGGAAGTAAACTAATGGTGAGTAGACGGAACACCTAGTAAACAGTCGACCTGACTAAAAACCAGCAAAAACCTCACCCAGTGAACAACCAACATCAACAGGTGAACAACCAGTTTCACCAGGTGGACAAAACTTCCAACAATACCTCCAGCCTTTAACTTACACTGTTCAACTTAGACCGTTGATATCTCCTGTTGACGGTCAAGTCAAGAGCTCTTGTGGAGTTTCCGGTCGAACCTACCAGTAAGTTTTTCAAAATGGTGTCATAGTAATTTCCGTAGAGCCAGAGACCTCATAATGAACTACCAGTGAACTAGGGGACAAAGTAGTAGGAAAAAAATTTTAGTTACTAGTCCAGTGAACTACCAATGAGTGGAACAAATCGCTGTTGACAAATCTACCAAAATGATACTCCACCCATGGCTGACGGTCGACCGAACGAATGAAGTTTCTCCTAACACATCAACCCTTAACTACCACCTTCCAAGGACCATAAATGTACTGTCAGATGAGAAGCACTCGTGTTAGGAGTTTCCCATCAAACACCAGCAAACACTCGTACAACAACTTAAACGGTGTTGTTATTACATCCACAGAGGGAAGAGATACCACCGCAATCACTGATCAGTCTACGTGACTACTGACTAGCTTATCTGAGCACCAACCGGTCTATCTGATCACTGACTAGTCTATCTTACCACCGACGAATATGGGTAGTCACTGAGCCCAATGGGCTGAAACTTTGCCCGATGGGCATTTTGTGAACAGTTTTACCAACCTTGGTGAAAAAAGTGCCAACTAGCGAAACTTCGACCTTACCATTAGGAACCTTTGCTCCACTAAGGCTGAGCCTACGTACCAATGAATGGATAGTTTCAACCGTACATCCACCATTAACTACCGTTTGTACATGTCAGTTCTCAGCCGGGTCAAGAGCTATCCATTGGTAGTTTTGGCACAACCTCCATTAGCAAAGACTTAAATGCAGTCTCCAAGTGAAACTATACCCCCAGGAGTCAAATGAGTATCATGTGAACGATTCTTCACTCGTTAACTTTGTTCACAACGCTCGGTAACTACCGGCCCCTCACTTGTGAGTTATTGTTACATCGAAAACAACGATAAATATACTCCCAGAAATGGTTCCAACCATTTATTAGGACCGTATGAGAACTATCGGTACTTTGTTGGTTGAATAAGTCTTAAAGTGGCCGATTTTGCTCAAATCTACTTTCAAGGTTTCCGTAGCCGCTCCCTAAGAATGATATTTTGTCCACTAATCCACAAATCGAAAGATCCACAGATCCTGGGAATACACTGAACATAGTACTTCCTAGAAATCAAACAAACCACTATGGGTGACCAATCTACCGATACCTCAGTGAACTATCTACCAAAGAACCGCTGAACATTCCACTCATTTTTGATAAATCCGCCAACCCTATGATAAATCCGCCAAACCATAGATAAACCCTTCAGCAAGTCACCGCCGTCAAATAGAAAGCTTCCAACTCAGTCAGTCTCTGGTCAAGTCAACGGTCAATCAAGTCAATAACTCCCCTGGTGGAAGATTCCGTCAGATCCACCTCCAAATACTTCATTTTCAAGTCTCACCTCCAAATTAGTACCTCCACAGAGCAAACCTCACCACTAATGGCCTTTCCATCCACCTACCAATGAAAAATCACCAATCAAACCCCACCTAATCAATCATCTATCACAAATTTCGACTTTATCGCATGCCAAGTGACTAATTGATAACACTAATTGCTAGTAACTCTACATATCTTATCACCATGGTCCACATATCATATCTTAGTAAACCGTAACGTACAGCCCAATCGGGGCACCAAGAGCGGCATGAATGATAACGTTATCTTATCGGTTTACCACCGCACCCATCCGCCTTTTACCCTTAGTGCATATGTTCACCGCAGTACACCATCGGTTAGCCCACGCGATCAAATACCACGATGCATAAATTCGGCATATATAAGCTGCCCAATATCTTGTGACAAATTCAAGTCAAAATGGACGCAAAGCTTTCAGATGAGAAGAATTTAGGGGTCGATGTTGAATCCCTCACCTTTACCAATGTCTCTAGTCACAGAGATATGACAGAATTAGAGGGCGGAGATATGGCTTTAACTAAGAAGATGAATCTCATCAATGATACTTTAGATGAGATCGGTTTCACTTGGTACCATTTCAAATACATGATAATTGCAGGTTATGGTTATGCCGCTGAGTCTTTATTGGGATTGACTCATTCCACCGTCAGTTTAGCTATCAATATTCAATTCAAGCAAAGATTCTCTGTTACTACCGAGATGATTTATGTGGGTTTATTACTTGGAGGTTTGTTCTTTGGGATGACCGCCGATATCATTGGTAGGAAATTAGCCTTTAATACCACTTTGTTCATGACATCGATCTTTGCTTTCCTTGTGGGATCATCTTCGTCTTACGTTATGTATTTGATCTTTTTATGTTTGACTGGGTTCTTCATGGGTGGGAACTTAGGTATTGATGCTTCAGTGTTTTTAGAATGTTTACCTTCAAGACATACTTGGTTGGTTACATTCTTTGCTTGTTTTTGGTCTTTAGGTCAATTGATTGCTTACGTAATTGCTTACGTATTCATGGTACCTGAAAAATGGAATGGATGTACTGATATTGATGAATTTTGTGACTCAGCTATCAACAGAGGTTGGAGATATACTTGGTATGTTGATGCTGGGATAGTTCTTGCATTATCTATTGTCAGATTGGCATTAAAATTGGATGAAACTCCCAAATTCCTCGCTGTTAACAATAGAGATGAAGAAGCTTTTGAAATGTTAAAGGCAATTGCTGAAAAATACAACAGACCATTCTCCTTGAAATTAGAAGATTTGATTGCTTGTGGAACCGTTAACAAGAACAAATTCAATAAAGACCATAGAGGAGTAATGGATTTCTTAAAAGCAGCATTCTCAAACGTTAAGGCGTTATTTGGAACTAAAAAGATGATTTGGAATTTCGGGTTATTATTGACTTCTTGGTCCCTTTTAGGTATTGCTTATCCATTGTATGGGGTGTTTTTACCTCAATATTTAGCTGCTCAGGGAGCTAAAACTGGTGCCACTTCTAATGCTGGGATCTATGGCGATGCCATGTTAAGTAATGGGTTATCTTTCTTTGGTCCAGTGATTGCGGCTGGATTAATGTTTATTCCTAAAGTTGGTAGAAGAGGTACTCTTTGCATTGGTGGGGTATTATCTATGGTGTTCTTAATGTGTTATACTACTGTTAGAACCCATCAACAGAATCTTGCTTTCACTGTAGTTAGTTATATCACTATCTATATCTATTATGGTGTGTTGTATGCTTATACACCTGAAGTATTACCATCATATTGTAGAACCACTGGTTCTGGACTTTGTTACGTCATTAATAGATTTGCATCTTGTTTTGTACCATTAATTGCTTATTATGCCAATACTGATACTCCAGCTCCTATCTATGTTTGTGCAGCATGTATTGGAGTTATTGGTTTGATAGGGTTAGCATTTCCTTTTGAACCTTCTAAGCAAAGAAGTGTGTAGTGATTTATTTAATAGAGATATTAGCGAACTTTAGCGAACTCTCTAGTAAGGACTGATGATTGGTAATAAACCTTTCTTTTCAAAGGTCTTGTGACTTTTCATTCTTTTAACCTTTACGAGCGTCTGGCCTTAAAAACTCTTCTCGCGTCTGATCAACTTTCTATCTCCGGTTCTCTTGTCACATCGTTCTTTTACCAATGCTCTTATCACATTCAATCCTACTATCTCCGATCCTCCGATCAGTTCTCGTTCTCTTACCTTTTTCGACTTCCTCACCCTTCTCAGTCTTTCCACCTAATTCCACCTCTGATCCTCTTATCATCTGCTACCCACTTATCACTTCTCGTTCTCTTACCCTTTTGGTCAACCTTACCCTTTCCACTTCCGATCATCTTATTGCCTCCAACCCTCTTATCACTGCCCATGTTCTTATCACTCATCCTCCTCCCACTGTTGATCTACTTATCACTTCTCGTTCTCTTCCCTTTTTCGTAGCCCAAACCCTTTCCACTAGTTCCGCCCATTACCTTGTATTTCCATCTTTTTCGTTCCACCGTTCCTTGCCCCACCAATCTCTTTCTAAGACAAGGAAAAAACCTTGGAATGTCTCAAGATGTGACGACACTACAATTTTGGAATATCATTCCTCATAAGGTGAAATGGTCCTGACGCCCGATTCAAGGCAACATTTCATGGAGTTAATATTGTTTTTCAAGTCAAGATGCATCTGGAGTCGGTTTCAAGGTACCTAACCGCTCATCACCAACTCTAATGTCCACCCCTTTTTCAAATTCCTGAAAAATGTCGCAAAAGCTATTATCTAAATCGACCGGAATTCGTATATCAATTCCTCCATGGTCTGTTTTAGGAAATTTAATCCCGTTGATAAGCAATGGGTTAGATGGAAGAGATAACCGAATTCTGTGTTTACAATTGAATCAGGAACTATTTAAATGTTCAACTGCCTCTTGACTTTACCGTAAAATGCAAGCCTATATCCCCGAATCTACTTATAACGATATTTTGAAAGAGACTTACGATGCCAGCTATAAGCCTGAATACAATGGTGTTAAGTTTGATCCTGATGTTCATTTACAATACTATGCTGATGAAATAGCTAAACATAAATTCGAAAATACTAGAAGATTAACCATGGAAGAATTAGGTATTAGCTCCAAAAATTCTATCAGTAGAATCGGAGTTAGTGATCCTTTCCCATTATTTACCCCTGAAGCCGTTGCTATAATGAAACAAGAAGCCTTAGAGAAAGAAACTTTTTTGAAATATGCAAGATTTAATCAATTCTCCAAATCTGGTAAAGATTGTCTCTTAAGAGGATTTGTTAAAGTCGGAAAGGAAATTATCTGTCCTTTCACTTATGAGGCTTGGACTCATGTCAAGACCCAAGAATTAATCAACGCCATTGCTGGGGTTGATTTAGATGTTATTATGGATTATGAAATTGCTCACACTAATATAAGTATGAAAAGTAAAGAAGATGCGGCAAAGGAGTTAAAAGAATATGATGCTTCCAAAGGAGACATTGTCCAAGATGATTTCGTTGTTGGATGGCATAGAGACTCTTATCCAATGGTTTGTGTTTTGATGTTAAGTGACACTACCAAAATGATTGGTGGATCTACAAGTTTGAAGACAGGTAATGGAGTTATCTCAGTTCCTGGTCCTACTTTAGGTTCAGCATGTATCTTACAAGGAGGTTTAATTGAACATATTGCTCCTAATCCTAAAGGAGTAAGTGAAAGAATCACAATGGTCACAAGTTATAAGAAAAAGGGTAATCAATTCGATACCTCTCTGTTAAGTACCGTTAAACCAGAATCAAGTCCAGGTTCTGTGGTTGATGAGTTCTATGCTGACTGGTGTGGCTATAGAAATCAAATGATCATTAATAACTTACAAGGCATTGCTGATGATATCAGAGAAAATCTGTTCAATAGCGATGCCATCAAAGCTAAGTATATGGAAATCCAACAATATTTGGTCGATACCTATGCCAAGATGGGATTTAATGAAGAAGATATTGAAAAAATGAGGGAACAGTATACTAAGAAATACTAAAATAGTAAAATACACTGTTAAATAAAGGAGAATAATGTCCTAGTTTGCTGTTGCTCTCTTCGGACGTATAATTATATATGCTCAATCAGCCTCCTCTCTCACTCTTAACTAATATATCTAACCAGTCTGTAACTCACCACCTCCAACCATCCCGCTGCCTCTTTCCCCCATTCTACTGCCTGTCAAACCCCCACCTTCTTCCCCTGACTTCCTAGAAGGTGAAAGAATTTTTGCAACCGGTCGTGTCCCCTCCGGTCGTGTCCCATCTCAAAGAAATCTTGTGGGCAAAAAATGTGTGAGAGAATTTTCCAATAATTTTATTCAACAAAATCCAAAATGTCAAAAGTCTTCTTCGATATCTCAGCCAATGGTGCTAAATTAGGTAGAATTACCTTCAAATTATACAATGACATTGTTCCAAAAACCACTGAAAACTTCAGAGCTTTATGTACTGGTGAAAAAGGTTTCGGTTACGCTGGTTCATCATTCCACAGAGTTATTCCTCAATTCATGTTACAAGGTGGTGATTTCACCAGAGGTAACGGTACCGGTGGTAAATCAATCTACGGTGATAAATTTGCTGATGAAAACTTTGCTAAAAAGCACGAAAAACCAGGTTTATTATCAATGGCTAATGCTGGTCCAAACACCAATGGATCTCAATTTTTCATCACCACTGTCCCATGTCCATGGTTAGATGGTAAACACGTTGTTTTCGGTGAAGTCGTTGAAGGTTTCGAAATTGTTAAACAAATCGAATCTTACGGTTCAAACTCCGGTGCTACCAAAGCTAAAATCACCATTACCGAATCTGGTGAATGTTAAGTAGTGCAATGTATCCGATGGTAGTTGTGGTGTGAATCATGATAGCCATTGGTTTGCCAATTTTGACTCTTTTGACTCTTGTCTGTCCCTGCTCTGCTACATTCTCTGTCCCTGCTCTGCCCCAGTCAAGCTAAGACTGGGGATCAATTCTCACATGTGATGAGGTCAGGGCCAATTTCCCCAAGTCTTAGAGTTGAAGAGTTCGGTCAATGGACCTCATAGATCAAACAATCAATCTCCTATGTATATTCCTATAATCTAGTGGTCAATGCTCCTATATCTAGCGGTACTCCTAATCTGGGACCCTACAACTTAGCTGTCAATATCCCTTTACTACCACTTCCCTCCAACCCCGTGGGATCCCTCTTCAAATACTTAATCTCATGATCCTTTACTACCATAGCAAACCTGTCACTTCTAAAACCAATTCCAAACGTAGATTTATCAACCCCTAACCCATTAGCTTGGGTAAACTTAGAATTTGGATCTGAAGCAAACAATATAGGTAAAGAATCATCAACATTATACTTGTTCAAAAGCAATTTTCCCCAAGCATTCATGACAAAGGCATCATTGACAGCATAAATCACAACATTCTTAATACCCAAGGCTTTCAATTTGCCAACATTGTTCAAAATATCAGGTAAATGAGTTTCAGTACATGTTGGAGAAAACGCTCCAGGGATACTTAAGATCAATAAAGCTCCTTGATCGATCAATTTATCGAAAGATAATTTGATAGGTCTAGAACAACTCAAAGGATCTTCTTGTTTATTTACAGGAATGTATAAAAACTCTGTATTATGGGGGAACTTATCTCCTTGTTGCATCTGGTGATGGTATAGATTTTTGAGAACTTGGGGTAAACGGAAATGTCCGATATTTTATAATTCCGATAATTTATAATCCCGATATGAGATCCCGATATTTTATAACTTCGGATTGTTATCACCAATCTTTTGGGTTTATCCCTTAAACGATGATCTTCCACACATCAAACCTCCACACTACCTTACCTCTTTACACCAACACCTCAATCTCAAAATCTCAAATCTCACTATGGATGAAAACCCCTGGGAAGATGAATACATCAAACCACTAAGATTATCTAAACGTAGAGATAGTCGATCTAGTCAACCTGATAATGAGTTTAAAATGAGACCCATTCGATTGACCAGTAAGACTGAAGATACACCAGATTTAGCCCATGAAAGGAAATCAGAAGAATTACCCAGTCCCCAAACTCCTCGTAGAAGATCAATTCAAATCAAAAACTTACCCATCATAGAGAAATCTCCTCCAAAATTACGTATAGAAAGTAACTCCAGTGATTTTATATTTGCTATTTGTTTAGTTGATTTCCATCATATTAGAGGTCCAGAGATTCAATGGTGGAAATCAAATTACCTTGAAACTATCGATAGCAATCTTTTCAAGAACTTACCCTTTCAATCATTACCCGATGGATCTCATTTATTTGAAGAAACCTTCTCCAATTTCAATTTGGTGTATGATTTCTCTACTAACAAATCTTATGATAATTTAAACGATCTCATCAACTTCAACGATGATCCCAGGAACTTGAAGACATTGTTTGGATGTTCATGTATCAGACAAATCAATATCAACGAACTAAGTGAAGAAGAATTGAAAAGAAACAAAGATATCAAGAGATCTATCATTCAGAAAGCTTTAGTTATCATCAATAAAGATAAACCTATATTCACCAAAATCAAAGATAAGCTTTCGATAATCACAAGGTCTTATTTCCTTCAAGATAATTTGAGTAACTTCGATGTGTTGGAGAATTTGTTTGAAAACTTGAACAATGAAATCAATTTCAATGATAATGAAGAGTTCTTTATCAACTTAAACTTGAAACAATCCTTACTTCAGCTAGGGAACAAGATGTTGATCATCTTCAAGGCATTATTGTTGGAAAAGAAGATTCTAATCTATTCCAATAATAAATTGGAATTACTTACTAAGTTCCAGAATAACCTTATAAGTCTTATACCCAATCTAATCAACAATTTGATCTATTCAGGGTGTCAATTGAGTGATTATCAAGAGATTTATAATGGGAAATTGGTGAAACCAACATCTTTAAATACTGAAAATAGAGACTCCATGTTGAAATTCTTTGGTTTACCTTTGAAAATCTTCAATACTAAAGGTTCTTTCTGGAATCCTTACTTGCCCTTACAGCAAATAAACCAATTGAACTTCCCCGAAACCAAAAGTTTCATGATTGGTTGTTCTAATCTTTTATTCGTCAACCAACTGAAAGATTTGGGGGTGGATTTGTTGATAAATCTCGATACTTATGAAATGTCTTCTCCTAATGGTTTGAACAGTGAATTATCTTTGACTTCCAATGATAAAGCTTTCATGAGTAATTTGATCTCCAAATGTTCAGCCGATGTGGTAGATGATGAGAACGAAAACTTCATAGGTAATGATGATTACATAAGATACCAATTTGAAGATTACTTGTTATCATTATTATCCACCGTAAGGTTCAACCAATATGTTCAAAAGTTCGGACAATATCCTCCGGGGTTCTCCAATGCTTCTAATAGCATCAATGAAGATAATAACGTTTATAATGGAGACTTATCGATATTTAATAGCAGTTTCATAAATAGTTGGAAAACCACAGAGAATTTCGACATTTGGGATCTTACATGCGATGAGTTTATCTTTAACTTCATCAACCCCCGTCATGTTCAAGTAGATTTCAATAATGAATCAGCTATCAGTAGTTTCTTTAATAATCTCAACTTCAAGTTTAAGAATTTAAATGTAGATGATGAAGAAACCAAACCCAATAAATTTATCAATAAGAAGTTTAGTGATGAAGATTTTAAACAACTGAAAGATAAGAAGAAATGGTTCTTTAATAAATAAAACATCTCTGCTAATGAATAAACTTTGAATGTCATTTTCTTACATAATCATTGCTTATATAAGCATCTCTTACATAATCAATGTTTATGTAAGCCATTACGTAATCGGTTACTGTGTAAATTGATTTTTTTGAGAAAGATCAAAACCTCATCTCATGAAACATCCATACCAAAACATCGTTTCAACGTCTACTCACTTGTTCGTGAGTGTTCAGAATCATTTACAAGCTTTTGATGTTGAAGGGAATTTAGTGGGGTCGTGGAAAGATACAATTGGCCATGAAGATTTGTTAAAGAAACAACAACTTGAAAAAATTGAAAAATTAAACCAAGAACCTGAAATCAAAAGAGCTGAAAACAATAAGAAAGTAAAGATCCCCAAAATCCCCACCCCAGGTCCTGGTGCTCCTACCATCTATAATTACATCAGAGATTTGGAATTAACTCACGATAACAAATATCTTATAGGGATAACTGATAGTGATAAATCCATCATCATCTTTGAAATCAACTTGAATGAAGATAATTGTTTGAAACTCATCAAAAGACAAACCTTCCCAAAAAGACCATGTTCCATTTCCATTGCTGATGATAATTCCACGGTAATAATAGGAGATAAGTTTGGTGATGTTTATAAGATTCCTATAATTGGCGAAAATGTACCAGAGAAGGACTTGAAACCCATTTTAGGTCATGTGTCGTTATTGACCGATGTTTTGATCACAGAACATAACGGTAAACAATATATTTTGTCCAGTGATAGAGACGAACACATTAAAGTGTCGAATTACCCTATAACATATGTTGTTAAACATTGGTTATTTGGACATGATGAATTTATATCATCCATGGTGCAATTTGACTTTGATAGAGAACTTTTAGTCACTGGAGGTGGTGATGATTACATATATTTATGGAATTGGTATGGCAACAAGTTATTGAGTAAATATCCTTTAAGAGATTTAATCGAACCTTTATTAGATGAACTGCACTTACCTCCAGAAAGATTCTTACATGAAGATTCACCTAAAGAGATTTCTGTAGTTAAGATGATCACCATGGATAAGTTCGTAGTGGTATTATTCCAAAAAGTCAACGGATTATTAGTTTTAGAGATCAAAGATGAAACGTTACATTTAGTTGAATTATTCCCTCTTGATTATCCTTTGATAGATATCTCCGCCGGTGGAGATAAGATCTTTGGATTATCAGAAGATAAAATCATCACCCAATTCACATTCAATGGGAAATTAACCATCGATGATAAAGAATTCAAAGGAATGATTGAAAATAATCCATGTGAAGTTCAATCTAAAGAAGAATTTTATCCATTATATACCATGAATACTTTAAGAAAGAGAAGTGAACATTAGTAATACAAACTTTTTATAAATAATCTACTCAACAAAACCTCCTTGCTTACATAAAGAATAAAATAAGGAATCTTTATTCTTCAAAAGTACTTCTGGAGAATCGAACTCTGCCACTTCACCTTTTTCTAAAACAATGATTTTATCTGAATCCAAGATAGTGTTGATTCTATGAGCTATAGTTAAGATAGTTCTATCGGTGAACTCTTTACGGATAGTTTCTTGTAAGACTTTATCAGTTTCAACATCAACAGCCGCAGTAGCTTCATCTAACACCAAAATATGAGAAGGAATCAATAAAGCTCTAGCTAAACACATTAATTGTCTTTGACCAACAGATAAATTAGAACCACCTTCAGTCATTTTAACATCTAAAGCATTAAAAATTTCCGTAACAGTTGATCTATCTTCAGCTTGTTCGAATTCTGTCTTAGCTTCTTGGAACATTTTCAACACATGATCCTTCAAATGAGATAACTCTAAAGCTTTCCAAAGCTGATCATCAGTATAGTTATCAAAAGGATCTAAGTTAGATCTAATCGAACCTTCGAAAACCTGAGAATCTTGAGGAATAATGGATAATTTTTGTCTCAAATCTCTTAAACCAATTTGACTGGTATTAACATCATCAATATCAATATGACCATCAACAGCTTCAATAATTCTGAATAAAGCTAAAGTTAATGAAGATTTCCCTGCACCGGTTCTACCAACAATACCAACTTTTTCCTTAGATTTAATAGATAAAGTGATATTCTTCAATACTAAATCCAATTCTGGTCTATATCTTGTTGAATAATCCACAAAGTTGATTTCTCCTGATTGAGGCCAATTATTAGCAGGTTTAGTTTCTAAGATTTCTTCGGGTTTTTCCGGTTCCAAAGATGAATATTCCTTAATTCTTTCCACTGAAACAATATTTGTTTCAACATCAACTGTCATTCTAACAATCCAATTCAATGATTGGGTAATTTGTAAAGAATATGAAACTGATAACCCAACCAAACCTGCAGATAAAGTGCCGCTTTTAATACCCAAAATGGCAAATCCAGCCGCACCTAAAATAATGATAGATCCTAAAAATTCTAATCTAACAGCTAACCATCTATTAGCATTGATTGAAGGATGATAAGCTCTCATATTCTTATCGACTCTTAATTCATTTAAGAATCTAAATCTTTGTGCTTGACCATAAGCTCTAATAGTAGTAACCCCATTTAATGATTCTTGGAAATTAGCATAAATAGGTGATCTAGAAACTGAATCTAATCTTCTTAATTCTCTTGAAGTTCTCATATAATATTGTTGATAATACATGTATAACACCAATAATGGGAAAATCAAGAAAATCACTTGCCAGGTTGAAAAACAGATAACTAAGATGGAAAATGTCACTTTAGTAGCATTACTGAAGAACATTCCAAATACTCTACATAAGATTTCATCGACTTTATAAAGATCATTAGAGAATCTATTCAAGATTCTACCAATAGGAGTGGTTTCAAAGAAAGACATTGGAGCTCTTAAAACACTAACAGCCATATCATTATGTAATTTTCTTGACCCATCAATTGAACAATAAATCCAAACAATACAACTTTGAGCCAATAATACCACCGCAGTAGCAAACCCAATCAACATATAAATCCCAAGATAATAACCAACATCAGGATTCCCACCAACTGAGGAATTAACTTCAGACCAACGTTTTAACCAAACACCCGAACTAACATTCAATGATTGAGCACAGAAAATCATAAACAACCAAATCATAACTTTAGGAGGATTACAAGCTTTAGCATATTCAAGATAAACATCCCATTTAACTTTCCCTTGTTCCAGACGTTCTCTTCTTTTTTCAAGTTCTTCATCTTCATCTTTTTGGTCTAACAATTCAACCAAGTTATCATCTAAAGAGATTAATGAAGCTCTTCTTAAAGATTTAACATCCATTTCATCTTCGGAAACTAATTCATCATAATCTAATTCTGGAGTTTCTGTACCATCAACATTCTTATCCTTTTGTTCCTTCTTTTGTTGTTGTTGTTGTTCTTCTTCTTTCTTCTCTTTACCGAATTCTTTGATCAAAGCAAATAATCTACTTTCAGGTTGTTGCATAATATCTTCATAAGATCCTTGTTCGACAATTTTCCCATCAGAAATCATATTCAAATTATTGGCGATACTTAAAACCCCAATATTGTTGGTGGCCAAGATCTTACATTTGGATTTCAACAATCCATGAGGTCCTAAAACATGGTCAATCAAATGTTTACCAACATGTTCATCAACTGCTGACAACGCATCATCAATAAGGTAAATATCCGCTCTAGCATAAACAGCTCTTGCCAAAGATAATCTAGCCTTTTGACCTCCCGATAATGAAATCCCTTTTTCACCAACTTGAGTTTGATCTCCCTTTGGTAAGATTTTTAAATCCACAGTTAATGCACAAGCCTTGATCACGTGCTGGTAGAATTCAGGATCATATTTATGACCAAATAAGATATTTTCTCTGATAGAACCATTCATAATCCAAGGAACTTGTGCAACATAAGCGATATTTCCATGGACTTGGATTTTACCGGCCAATTTATATAAATCACCTAAAATAGCTTGAACCAAAGATGATTTCCCACATCCAACTTTACCAACAATACAATCCAATTCCCCCTTTCTGGCTCTTAAGTTGATATTAGATAAGGAGAATTTCCCTGCAGATTCAGATTTGGGTTTTTCCCATAAGAAAGTACCATCATTAATACTAACAGAAACATCACCGATATTTTTCACTGGTGGGAACTTCTCAATGGCATCTTCTTGTAATTCACTTCCATGTAAGAATTTATGTAATCTTTCCAAAGAAACTTGAGCTTCAATAACATTGGAAATGACTTGAGGAATAACAGCCAATGGGAATGATAATAAATTGAATAAAGCTAAAGCTGGGAAAACAAGATCAGTACTTAAAGTTTTACCCTTTTCAATCAATATGAACACTCCGAAAGTTGAACAACTGACCAAAGTTGGAGAGAAATTCCAAAGCATAACTGTTAAAGCACTGAAAACACCGATTTTTTGAAGATTCTTTAACTCTTTATCATTTCTAACATGATTTAACTTCTTTAAGTAAGGTATTTCCCATCCATATAATTTCAAAGATTTGATATTATTCAAAATTTCCGAAGTTAATCTTGATCTTTCATCCTTATACTTCATTTGCGTCTTTTGTAACTTCTTTTGGTATCTTGCTAATAAGGAATTCAAAGGAATCATGACTATCATGATCAAAACCCCAATCCACATGGAATTACCTAATAATCCATGTAAAGAGTAAAGACATAAGAAGATTTGGAAAGGTCCAGACCAAGCAATTTGAACATATTGCACCAAATCTTGGATTCTTTGAATATCTACCGACATTAAATTGACGATATCTCCGGTATTGGATTGTTGTTTGGCATCATTACTTAAAACCATAGATTTGTTATAGATAACTGAAGTCAAAGATGATTTAATCTTCATACCTAAATCAAAAGCAATTTGGAAATATTGATGAAGAAATCCTGTTTGACACACTGATACCACAAACATAGCTCCAGCAATCATAAATCCTTTGGTTAAAGGTAAAGGATCACCTTGTTTGACAGATTCAGCATAATCATTAACGAATTGAATCAATAATCTTAATAATTGGGGTTGAACAAAAGCTAAACAATCTTGTAAACCTTTGAATAATCCACCTAAAAGAAATCTAAGACCAAAAGCTTGGATTAAAGCCCACATAATTGAAGGTTTGGTAGTCTTTTGTCCATGCCAGTAATGATAAAATGTATCGGTGGTGGAAGTAGCTTTCAATTCTTGAGGTAATTGAGGTAAATCTTCTTCAGTTAAGAACTTTTCGTACCCTTTCTTCATTAATCCTGACATCCATACAAAGATGATTCTAGAAAACAAGTTGGCTTGATCATAAGGACTAACTTTGGAAGAAAAAGCATTTGGATTGAAAGGTACAGTTAATTCTAATACCAATAAGAATAATGAATTAACCACTTGTAACACAGTGAAGGTGAAACTTTTGGAATGAGAGTCTCTAACAGTGAAGTTAACAACTTTCAAAAGATTGAAAAGTAATGAAAATAACCAATAAAACAATAATACTCCATTGGGGATGGAAGCTTTGAAATTTTCAATATAATGTAATGATAAAACAATCACCAACCCTACCAAATTGACAGATAAAACCGTACTGATGATATCCACAGTAGGATAATTGACCATCAACAAGACCTGAAACACAATTTGTAACCCTACCAATAACAATTTCATATAGAAAAGTGGTGATACTCTATTGTTAGATACTTTGGCAGTGTATAATTTCCTTACTTGATGGGATCCAAATACAATGGCAAAGAATCCCATGAATCCTAATAAGATCCCTTGAACGAAACAAGGAGAAATATCATTATAATATGGGGATAAAAGGGAGAATCCTCCATTATCTGAACATTGATAAAATGACTTAGTGCCATTGGTGGCAACAGATAAACTATTTATATCATCAGCTAAGTCAGATTTATAAACTGAATACAAAAAGGGTAAATTATGATACTCTAGTCTATGTAAAAACTCCATCACTGATTCGATAGTTAGCAATGGATATCTTTATAGTTAGATAGCTGGTGAAATTTTTCGCAGTTTGGACAGCTTACTAAGACGGAATTTCCTGATAAGTGTTGAACCGAGAGACCACTACGAAAGACACGACGATGCGAAGGCAAAAGGAGTCGGAAGGTTAATGGGGGATGAGAAAAATATAGAAAAACTCGGATATGATAGAAAACGGGTATTTTGACACGGGCAAGGGAGATTAAAGGAGATTGCGCATTATCGTATAGTTTAAATACTAAGGGAAGCGAATGTCAAGAGGGTGTACCACTTAACAAACACTTAACAAACACTTAACAAACACCACTCTACAAACACCACTTAACCGAAACAAACGTCATAGGTTTTATAATAAGCTTTCCAGAAGATTCCTGATTTTCTAGGTCTGGCAGCATATTCAGCATTAGCAATAGCTTCTTCATCATCGATATGTTGTTTACCTGTAAGAAGGTCAGCCTCTAAATCAGTTCTAAATTTAGTTTTCTTGAAGAATTTCCAGAAAGTGAATAAACATACAGCGAATATTGGAGCAAAATATGAAGTGAATAAATCAGCAACAGTGAAATTACCTGGGAAGAATACCCAGAATCCATTGAAAATCAAAATAATGATAATTAAGAAGAATGAAAGGTATGTCATGTATGGATGAACAAAGAAACTTGGTTTATAATAAGAATCAGTTTCATAATCAAATCCTTGAGCTTTAAAAGCTTTCTTGTATTTAAAGTAACACCACCAAATACATGTATAAGTAAGTAAAATTCCTGTAGTACTTAAATTAACTAACCAATTAAACACAAGACCTGTTGAATTACTAACCCCTAAATATGAAATACAAGCAATAAGAATTGAAAATATAACGGTATAAATTGGACAACCATTACTTAAACATTTTGAGAAAAATCTTGGTAAATAACCAGCTAATGAAGCAGCATAAGCAGTTCTAGTAGCTCCATACATAAAAGCATTACCACAAGACCATGCTGATAATGCAACCACTACATTAACTAAAGAATCTAATCCATGAACTCCAACATTACTCATACCAATAACCCAAGGAGATGCAGCCGCACCAACAGCTCCATTAGTATTTGCAGCCGTTAATTTTGGATCATTTGAAGCACAAATTGAATTCATAAAGAATAATCCACCTAAGTAGAAGATATAAATTCTAATATAAGCTCTTCTACCAGCCATTGGAATAACAGTTCTTGGTCTTGAAACTTCTCCAGCAATCATACCTAATAAATCTGGTCCTCCACAACTCAAAGCCGCGTAAATTAAAACTTTCCAGAATCCTAAGAATCTACCAGTAGTTCCAGGAACTAAATATTCTTTAACTAAACCACCTTTTGACCAATTTTCAAATCCATAAGCATCACCTTTTGGATTACCTCCACACATAGAAATTAATGAGAACATCATTAATCCTACAACTAATAATACTTTAGTGATTGAAGTAACAAATTCAATTTCTCCATACCAATTGACTCCAAATACATTGAAACAGAAAGTAGAAACTAAGGCAACAGTAATGAAAACTCCAGGATTAATATCAGTCCAAAAACCAACCACACCAGCAAACCCAGTAGCTTCTAAAGCAATATACATAAGAGATGTATATAAATAAAGCATAGTACAAGTAAATCCTAAAGCAGGATCAACCCATCTAGCACTATAATGTAAGAAACTTCCTTTGATAGGTAAAAATGAACACATTTCCGCCACAGCTTGCATTAAAGGCCAAATGACGAAAACGGCATAAAATACGAACCCAATAAATAATGATAAAGATCCTGAAGTAACCATAGGTGTGGATAACCCAATAAATAACCCTGATCCAATAGCTTGACCAATAATCATCAAACCCACATGTCTTGATGATAATTTTCTTTGGGTTTCACCATACTTATCAACATCAAATTTATCATTGAAATCTTTAAATTTAGTAGTTAACCCATTACCAGAAGAAGTGGATGAAGCATCTTCATCTCCAGCTAATCTTTCAATGTCCACTTGGACATTTTCTTTCTTAGATTCCATTTATCTGATGAATAATCGAAAATTGTTCAATTATATACATTTCACCTAATCACCATGTCGTGTTGGGACTAAAGATAAAGAATATTTTGGGCAATAAAATGTTCGGGGCTTGCCCTATTGGGCGTTCAATTCCTTCTTATCTGAGGCTTAAACCACTTTATCTATGAGATATTTCGGAAATCATTCAGGGGGTTTCCATCCATGAAACTAAAGGTGGATAGTATTAAAGCCTTTTAAGTCCTAAGGTATCAGTAACAGTGTATATCCACCTTGAAGTCTCCCCTATTACAAATACCTTTCTCAGAACAAATTTTCACTTCATCATTTGACATATGTCAACTATCTCATGTCAACTACCCTCATGTCAAGCCCATACCTCGTCGGTAAATTATTTCCTAATTGGGACAAGATCCTTGGCAAGATTCCATTGACAGAAGGATACACGATATCGCGACATAAGAGATATTATAGATAAGTAAACTACGGGATTATGAAGGAATTTAGCGTGAATAGGAATTTAAAAATGTTGGCTTATCTAAATAATGCTTATCTAAATAATTTCTTCAATTTAGAAGTTTTCTTTTCCTTTTTTTCTTCAGGTTGGATCTGACTGGATCTTTTTTGATAATGACTAGGTAAATTGGTATTAGGTTGAGAATTGATATTAAATTTATTGAAATCAATATTCATTTGATTCATTTGACTTTGATTCATTTGATTTTGATTCAGTTGAATTGTCGGGGTCGCCGATCCATTGGACGAGGCGGATGGAACTCGAGATTGTAAATGATTTTTGTTTTCACTTTCAAATAGATAAACTGGAGGTTCACGATTATCGGTCAATTCCTTATATAAATTTAAATTCAAATCAGGTAATTGTTTCATTTTATCCATCAGTTGTAAACCTATTAAGAAATCTCTTGGTTTTAAAATGGTTTCTGAACCAATATAGAAATCTTTATTTAAACTTTTGGATAATTCATAGATTGAACGAGTCTCAGAATATGTCATACCTCCAGCGACATAACAGAAAATTCTTTGCTTATTTTTAATGGTATTAATTTTGGTTGATGATTGAGCCCATGAAGCTTTGATACGAGAATTCCTTAATGAGTTACTAGGATTCACATGATTATTATTGATATCAATATTAGCTGGAATATCATCTTCTAAAGGTTTATCTCTGAAATATGGGAACCATTCTTCGTCTAATTGATATTTGATCAAATATTGTAAAATAGATTTAATCCCCGGTCCAAATCTTGAGGTGTTATAAGTTCCATCATTATTAATAGTATGGAATAATTTCTTTTGTACTTTGGGATCAGTAACTTTCAGTTTAACTATTGGTAAACCTAATTTATGAAGATTATAGAAACATCTGGAAATAAGGGAGATAATTTGAGTATCTTTAACTCCGATGAATTTCACTAATTTCATAAAATCTTGTTCAATCAATCCTCCTCTATATAAACCATAAATTAATACCAATCTCATTTTATCATTGACAGTTAAATCATCTCTAGCAAGTAAAACAATCAAATCATCATGTAAAGTCTTATTTCTATTACCTTCAAAACTGAATCCTTCAGCACAACAAGTTTGTTCAAAATCTGCAGCAAATTCCGCTAATTTCCTTTCGTCATTCCTATCGAGACATTCATCAATTAAGGTTTTATGTAACATCAATTGTTTCCTTTCCTTATCAAAACCTTTTAAATTGGCAACTATATGCATTAAATCTGAAGATGTGGTGGCTTTGGATCTATCTACCATTAAAGGATTATTCTTAATTAAATCATTAATCTTATTAATAATCAATTCACTACTTTCAATAATATGTAAATGTCTTAAATTTATCCAATCTTCATCATTTTCATTAGTTAAACTATTGGTAATTTCCGATATTTCTCCCTTTTCATTTTCACTCTTATATTTATAGATACCTTCTCGTTCTAAACTTGGTACTATATCCATTGACATTGCTTGATAAGTAAATTCATGTAATAAAGGAGCATATAAATCAATAGTTCTATCAGTAATCAATAAAATAGATCTTGGTTTCTCTTGATTTTCAATAGGAGGGAAATCATGATTATTTCTAGCATATTCATCAATTTGATTTTGAAATTCATCAGCTATTAATTCACTTAATCGAGTTGCTTTATAAAAATGTTGATTTTGTGGAGAATAAAATCGAATTAAAGGATATTCTCCGGTAATAACCATCAAATTAACTAAACTTTTGGCAACTTTCCTTATTTGAGCTAATACTAAATCACTACAATTCTCATTATAATAAATAGCCATTGAATTATCGGTTTTATTGTCGGTTAAAAACACTCGTTGTTCAATAGGGAAGAAATTTGATTGAATAAAAGTGATATTTTCCCCAAAATCAAAGTAATTTTGAACTTTAGGGTTATTCAAGAATTTGGAACTTTGATAAAATTGATAGATTTGATTATCATTAGGTAAAATAGGTAAAAATAACCCCCATCCTTTCCTATATTTATGAGTGATAACATCTCCTATGACACAATTCAATGTATAGATCGTTGGTTCAATGAAATATATGGCTTCTAAGAAAGTTTGTTGTTTCCTCTTATCATCTAACTTCTCAATCGAGGTAACGATTCTAAGTAATTGTTCCTTTTTAATCACCTGATATAAGATCGATTCGGTTTTATCATCAAGAATCAAAGTATACAAATTCCCCGGTAACTGTATACCTTTGATTTGATCAATGATATATTGTTTTTGTAACTCCAATAAGTTGAACTCCGACATTTTAGGTACAAATGAAATTTATCGAGATCGCGAACTTTTTCTTTGGATCGCATTCATAAAAGGTATCACCAAAAGCATAAAAACTCAGTGGTGTTCAATCATTTAAACAGAAGGGGATATGGCTAAAAGTAGGATTCAAGATTCTTCAATCATTGAAGATGATGAATTGGTCCATTCATTCCAAGAAGTTCCATTGAAACCTCCTCACAATCATTATAAGACCGGAGTTTATATACTAGGATGGTATTTCTTCTCCATGTCAATATCAATCTATAATAAATGGATGTTTGGTGATGGTCTTAATTTCAAATTTCCTATAATAATAACATCGTTTCATCAGTTATGTCTTTTCATTTTAAGTTCTTTAGTACTATATTTCAATCCATCAATGAGGCCAAGTCATTCACATTTAGAAAGATCAACTGAATCACCCAATGATGGAGGTTTTAATGGTTATAAGAAGATGTTTCATATCAATTGGTTGGTTTATATCAAACAATTCATTCCTTGCTCCATCGCTTCAGCTGGTGATATTGGATTATCTAATGTTTCAATAATCTATATTTCTTTAAGTTTATACACCATGTTAAAGACTTCTTCATTAATGTTTGTCCTTATCTTTGGACTTATCTTCAAATTAGAGAAATTCAATTGGAGATTGATCATAATTGTTATGGTAATGACATTTTCAGTATTAATGATGGTTTCTCCTAATAATTCTGAAGATCATAAAGATAATAATTCCTTCGGAGTGTTTTTAGTTCTTCTTGCTTCAGTTATGTCAGGTTTAAGATGGTCTTTCACTCAATTATTACTCAAAAACAATCCTCATACTCCTAATACCATCACCACCATCTTTTATTTATCCCCATCTATGAGTATAGGACTTTTTTTCATTGGTTTGATGGTTGAAGGAGGAAATAATTTCAGAAATTCTAATATATGGCAAGTTAAAGGGATTTTTCAAACTATCATTTTAATGATCATCCCAGGAATCTTAGCTTTCATGATGACTTTAAGTGAATTTAAACTTTTGAAAGTTTCCCAAGTCATCACATTATCCATAGCAGGGATTTTCAAAGAATTACTTACCATTGTCATATCATCATTCATCTTCGGCGATAGATTAAGCTGGATAAATATTATTGGATTGGTTATAACTTTCATAGATATTTTGTGGTATAATTGGTTCAGGTTCACTGAAGCCAAATACAAGCCAGTCAACATAGAGATGAGAAATTTACAATAGATAGAGGTCGCCACTGAGGTCACCATTACAGAGGTCTCTACTCAGTCATAAAGAGTCACTTCAATAGAAAACTTATTCAATACAAAACTTATATTCTAATGTACATCCTATAAAACAAATAACGACAATGGGAGAAGAAAACCTACCCAAAACCATGATTTTGGCCCTTCTCCATTACCACCACTTCTTTCACTTGTAGTTGAAGCAAGTGAAACACCTGAAGTGGAATTCTGTGTAGCAAAGATTTCATTAGACGTTATCAAATTCCCTGAAAATCTTCCTGGAATAGTTAATGAATCAGAAGCTGAATTGAATGGTAAGTAAGTCAAAGTATGGTGAGTAGTATAGTTCACATGAGTAGCAAATGGTATAACACCTGATGAAATACTACCAATAGTAGTAACATCAGAACTATTACTATTATCAAAACCTTTGAAATCACCTTGTTTCTGTTGAGGTAAATAATCTTCCTCTTTGATAACCAATTGATCGTTGGTTTTTGCTATACCTATGGTACTACCAACATTATCAACAACAAGATATACGGCTTCTAAGAATGATAATCCCAATGTCAAGTAGGTGTTTGAAGTAGGTAAAAACTTCAAGTAACATGCAGCTTCACCATTATTGAACAATAAAGGATCTCCATCGGATGTGGCATTGATAAGGAAGTTATTTAAAGGAATTCTGATCTCCAAATCTCCAAACTTGAAATCTATCAAGGCATTAACGTTACGAATGGTTTCACATTCAACTATCCATCTTTCAGCTTGTTCATTATAATAAGCATTGGTTTGAATAGCAATGTTTATGATAACATCCAAAGGTAACAGATTAAAGATTGTTCTGGTATCAAAGATCACCCCGTATCCATCAGTTCTATCACCTTTCAAAGTTAAAGTTTCTCCGCTATCACCATTCTCCATAAGAATATCATCAATTTGAATCGATGGGATAATCATATAATCCATAAGACTGTTTTCAAATTCAAGCCCTTGTCCTGAAGTATACCTTGAACCCGTATGGTCCAAAAGATCAAACAGGTATAAATCATCAATGAAATATTTCTTATCCACCACTCCTGGTAACACTTGAGCAAACGACATATTTGATTCGGTAAATTTATTGAAATATAACGAATACCCATTAACATTGGAGTCATAAGTACTCATTAAACCATTGGTAAATCCTGAATCACTTAATAAATTCCCAGCTAATCCGAAACCTCCTACACTAACAGAAGATGAGTTGGCATTTATGAATGTGAAATTTTTCAACATCACTGATTGGTTATTGGTGCTTAACACGGAAAAATCTGACGTCAATACTTCTCCAGTAACATTAATAGCATCAATATAAGGCACTCTTATTTGTTGGAAATTCTCCAAATTACTAACTCTCAGATCACTCATATTACGATCGAAATCATCTGATGTAGTAAAACTTCCATCTCCAGCACATGCTGTGGCTACATATTCCGGTGCCGTAGTCACTGATGCTGGTAACAGAGCAGTATCGTTATCCAACACCGTTCCCCAAATTTGTTCTTGAGAAGACCACCAAGAATTAATTTCTTCACAGCTCAAGAAATAATCGTCGTTCATCACCCAGATATTGTTCTGAAGCAAGTCCAACCTCAAACCCATCTCTTGTCCTCCCATAGTCACGGGTATATCGTAATAATAGTCTGTAGCTGACTTGGTGAACAATAATTTGAAGATGGATTTATCGTTATCATCTTCAGTGGTTAGTGATGACGGTAATGCTGAAGTGGTGATTTTCGACGTTGATGATGATGATGATGATGCACTGGTCGAAGTGGTTCTGGCGGTATTAATAGTAAGTGAACCTAATCTAGTATTGGTGATTATATCTGTTATGGAAGTAGAAGGTTCATCTTCACCGAGAACCGATGCTAAAAGAAATAGTATGAACATCATATTGGATACTATGTGACTTAAGTGGATGAATGTTCGACTATAATGTTGAAATCCACGGAATGTGTTCTATTATAACGAGGTTTTTAAGGGAGTTGTTTAATGTAATGGTAAAATTTTTTAGTGCGATTAAGCGGCTTGGGATGATTTTTTGGGCTATGGACCCAGAGTACTAAGGAAGAGTGGAGGGATGGTAAGAATATAAACCAAGGTCAATAGTTGCTTAAACAACCTATACTTCGATTTTGAAGTCAAAGGAATTGGTCCGAAAAATAAAATCTAAATCAGATTCTAGAGATCTTGTAGATTTCACAGATTTTGGACATAATTCATATCTCTATTGAAAATGAATCTTATTGTACCATAATGAATACAAGCATTGTTAGTACCAATATCAAATGTTTGAATGGCCCAATTTCATGATTTCTACCATTTCGACATAAATTTCCCCCACAAACTTCTAGTCCCCTAATCTATACATAATCTATAAATAGAGTAAAGGTGAATTTCAGGTAAAACCGCCATCTCATCAGTGCCATTAACAAACACATTTACGAACGAGATCTAGAATGCTCGACTCATAAATCTCCAATTCCACTTGCCAACTAAAAACTCGGCTATTGCCCCATAGATTCATTCTCACCTCGAACAATAGATATTTGTTTACATCGAACAATAGAATCCCTTTTTATCGCATTCTTGATTCCCTGACCCTCAACATCAATCATAAACATTATCCCAATGATCCCAACTCCATCAGTATCTTGTACATATAAGTTTACAGCTTAAAGTCCCTCATTGGACATAATTACGTCATACAGGAAAAAGAAATCCTCAAGCGTTTTACTTCAAACACCTAAAACCCTAATTCAATGATGTTAAACACTTTAAATCCAGGCATTTCATTTACTGACCCTTCTATAGTACCAGGTAATTAGAAAATCTCTCTAATTCTCTCGCCAATTACCACCACTCCCGACCCTTTTCCCATCGTTTCTATTTTTACGATGAGTGAGATTTTTCATAACAGTGAGAATTTTTGTCTATTCATCTTTCATTCAACTAAAAAAGATAACTTACTGGTAAACCGACTTAAGGTTGTTCCCATTAATTGTTGATATCAACCGTTTAATACATCGACTAATATAACTCCATAACAAGGAGAAGATTCTCATCAGTTAGAAGTTTTTACTTGAACTAAAGTTTTTACTCGAACTTAAGTGTTCATTTTTTCGTTATTCGTACATCTTTCCATAGATAGTTTTTCATTATTATTTTCCATTTTGCATTTCCAAAACTTTTTAATATCATTTACACCCTTTTAATACCCCAAGTTACACAAAACTAATGACATGAGAAGATTAAAAATTGGTATCAGAACACAATTAATTGTGCTAGTAATGTTTGCTAGTTTATTTTCATTATTGATCTTAGCTATTGTTTGTGGATTATATTTCTCCCATAATTTGAGTAATTTAAGAGCTGAAAGGTTAGAAGTGATTTCCCAATTGAAAAGTAGTCAAGTTACTCAAGCTATTGATTATCTTTTTTATCAAGTTTATTATTTAACTACTAGAGATGCTATAACCGATTCTTTAACTAATTATAGAGCTGGGAATAATTCCATGGCAGTGTTTGAAACTGCTCAAGCTTCATTGGATCAATTTTTAACTAGTTCGGAATCTTTTGCTTCAGCTAGATTATATAATCTTGATTTAAGAGTAGTAGCTGAAAGTTCAAATAATAACACTTTAGTATCATCACCAGCAGCAGATTATTTATATCCTTTACAACAAAATTTATCGATTCCCGAACCTATAAATCGATTAAACAATTCCCTTGAATCATTTTATTTCACCGGTCCGGTAAGTAATTCAAGTGATCCTTATTCAACTTATTTCATTGGTATAACGTATCCTATCTTTGCCAACACATCAATTATCTTATCAGCACCTTCAATAGCAGGCTATTTGACGGTATTGACTAGTGCTGATAATATCCAAGTTGCGGTGAATACATCTCAAACATTCCCTGATCAGGATAGTCAAGATTATAAAGTAGTAGCTTATTCTCCCGTATATAATAGTAGTTATACCGAAGATAGTACCAGTGATTCGCTTGCGGTGAATGAATTGGTAGGGTTCCAGGCAGTTTTCCCGGTGTTAGGATCCAAATACTTACAAAGTAATAATGTTTATAATATCAATGAATCCACAGCTGCCAAAGAAGCTTTGACTCATTATTATGGTTCATCTACCAATAAGAAAAGTATTGATGGTGAAACGGTGGCTATAGGGTATAGTCGAGTATCATCAGTTCATTGGAGTATTGTGGTTGAACAGAAGAAGTCTACTTTCAATGGACCTTCAGATCGATTGAAAAACATCATTATTGGAGTTTCTATCGGTATAGGAGTATTCATGTGTCTTATAACATTCCCCTTAGCTGTGATGTTTATACGACCAATCACCAAATTGAAAGATGCCACTGAAGCCATCACTAGATCCAAAAGAGAGAAAGATCGTGGTATACCATCACCAGCATATTCTCCTCCTCCATCATATTATTCTACTTTAATAAGGAGAATGTATCCTTATGAAAAGAAACCTTATGAGAAGAAGAAAGATGATGATGTTAATGATAGACTTATAGAACTCGATGATGTACCAAAGAAAGAAATGAGATTAAGATCAAGAGATAAACGATCATCAGTACTTTCATCAGCTACTGGAGGATCTAACTCAGTGTATTCAACAGGGATCAGATTACCTTCTAAGATCACCAATCAAAAGAGTTTATTCAAAGATGAATTGGCGGAATTGACCGATGCTTTCAATATCATGAGAGAAGAATTAGAGAAACAATATGTTCATTTAGAAGATAGAGTTAAATCTCGTACCAAAGAATTAGAAGCTTCTAAGATCGAAGCCGAAGCTGCTAATGAAGCTAAAACTGTTTTCATTGCTAATATCTCTCATGAATTAAGAACTCCATTGAATGGGATCTTAGGTATGACATCTATTGCTATGGAAGAAAATGAAGTTGGTACTATTAAAGATAGTTTGAAATTGATTAATCGTTCAGGTGAATTGTTATTACATATTTTAACTGAACTTTTAACTTATTCCAAGAATACTTTGAACCGTTCCAAATTAGAGAAATCATCATTCCAAATCTTAGAAATTGTTTATCAAGTTCAATCAATTTTCAATAAGTTAGCTGTTGATCAAAGAGTTTACTTTAAGATCCTTATAAGACCAAACAGTTTCAGGAAATTGATCCTTTATGGAGATTCTAACCGTATTATTCAAGTGGTGATGAATTTAGTATCCAATGCACTTAAATTTACTCCAGTTGAAGGTAGAGTTGACGTGACTTTCAAGTTATTGGGAGAATATGATCATGAAAGATCTCAACAAGATAATTATGAATCAGTTAAAGTCAAACATCTTGAAAATGAAACTTTCCATGATACTTCAAGTCATCCTTATGATAGAAGACCAGCTAAAAAACCTTTGGATAATGATACTGATGCCAGTATCAATGCTTTGAATAGTAAACAGGAAAATAATCTTGATAATTTGAATACTACCGATGATGATATTGATAGTGCTAGTGATACTACTTCCTTATACACATTATCAACTCAGGAATATGATAAAGTTATATTCCAAAGTCAATTCACCGGATCTAAACCTTTACCAAGAGTACCTGAATCACCTGAATCTGACGATAAATCTTTACCTAAAACCCCTAGAACTTCCCTAGTTAAAAGTAATGTTGATAAGAATAATCTTGATATCAGTGATACTGAATCTAAATTTGAAGATGAAGAACGTGATAAGGTTCAAGAATTACAACCTCAATTATTACCTCCACCAAATATGAGAGGTACTAATACTGCCACCACCGCTTCATCTACCAAGAGACCAAGTATCACTTCCATGGACTCATTAAATTCAAATGAATTGGTCAAAAATGGTAAAGTTTATAAGATCAAGAATTTATATAAACCAAAAACTTGGGCTATTCAAATTCAAGTTTCCGATACCGGGCCAGGGATCGAACCTGCTTTACAAGAAAAAGTGTTTGAACCTTTCATTCAAGGAGATCAAACTTTAAGTAGAAGTTATGGAGGTACTGGGTTAGGTTTAGCTATTTGTAGGCAATTAGCTAAGATGATGAAAGGTACTATGACACTTAAATCCAATTTAGGTGTGGGTTCAACTTTCATTTTCACCGTTCCTTTACCTCAAGTTGGAGAAATCCTTGTTTCTGATGATGATATGAATGATTTTGCTGAAGATGAATTCAATCCTAAATCTAAAGCCAATAGGAAAGTTGCCTTTGCCTTTGATACTGATAGTTCTGATGATTCCAATACTCACACCGAATCACCAGAATTAAAAGTCAATGGAGTTAAGAATAAATCCAGTGATGAATCACTCAATCCAACAACTTCACCTTTCCAGAAGATTCTGAATAAGAAATCCGATGAAGAAATCAGAAACCGTCCAGCATTCATTGAAAAACCTCATCTTGTCACCAGAACTTCAACCGGTACAGCCAATTCTTCTAGTGGTTCAGATAGAGAAAAAGTAGATAGATTAGAATTACCAACCAATGATTTACTTGGATCATTATCCCATCTTAAAATCTTGGTTGCTGAAGATAATATGGTGAATCAAGAAGTCATTAAAAGAATGTTATCTCTTGAAGGTTTCGATAACATTACCATGGCATCTAATGGAGCTGAAGCAGTTGATTTCGTTAAAACATCCATTGAAATGGATGAACTCTTTGATTTGATCTTTATGGATGTTCAAATGCCAAAGATTGATGGATTATTAGCCACTAAAATGATTAGAGGTAATTTGAATTATGAAAGACCAATCATTGCATTAACAGCATTTGCTGATGAATCTAATGTCAAGGAATGTCTCAATAGTGGAATGTCGGGATTCTTATCTAAACCAATTCGTAGAACAAACTTAAGAAAGATTATAACTGAATATGCTCCCAAATTACTTACTGATGTAACATCTCCTGGAAGTAAGAATGGCGAGAAACGATTAGGTTATTAATTGTATAATAATGTATTATAGATATTTTACAAAGGTGGGTGTAAAGTTTTCAGTGTCTCTGTGTAAAACCTTCAGTACCTATTGGCCTGCTCCATGTAAAACCTTCAGTCTCTCGGTTTAAAACCTTCAGTGTCTCGGTGTAAAACCTTGAGTGTCTCGGTTTAAAACCTTTAATGTCTCGGTGTAAAACCTTCAGTGTCTCGGTTTAAAACCTTTAATGTCTCGGTGTAAAACCTTCAGTGTCTCCGTGTAAAACCTTCAGTGCCTTATGCCCATGTTCAAAAGGCTTCTCACGGCCCCACTCAAAACATCCGCACTCTTTGTACTTTCCTCATTAGGACGTCATTCGCAACATATCCAGCATTAATGAAACACAACAGAACTACTAGTCCCATGGGTAGGCACTCAGCTCCAGGGTACCATAGTTTCCGTAATGTCATAGTTATTGGTGGGATCTTTGGGATTTTAATTTGGGGGTCAGGGTTCCTTATACAAGCCATAACTTCTTTAAAGTTAACTCATGAATTGGTTTATCAACCTTCACCCCAATTACTTTCAAATATTGCCAAACCTTCAACTAATCGATTGGTTGGCGATAAAATCCCCTTAAATTTCTCCAGTGCTAGAGAAGGAATCTTTACACCCGAATATACTGAACTTCAATGGATTAAAGAACCAAATTCAATCTCCAACGATAAGGGTACTTATGTGGTTAAAGAACATCTTCTTGTTGATGGTACTGAAGATATTTATGATACTTTGTATTCTATCAAGTCAATTGTTGACTCAGATTATGAATATTTGTTATTCAATGGATCTTCTTTCTATTATAATGGCATTGAATATGATATTGAACAATTGACAGCTTCACCTGATTTGACTAAAGCTTTCATCAAAACCAATTCTACTCATAATTACAGACATTCGACTTATTCTTTGTATTGGTTATTGGACGTTAACCAACATACTATTTCCCCAATCAAATCTGTTGATGATAAATTTGGAGCTATATTATGGTCACCTACTTCTAACCATCTTGCTTTTGTGTTGGATAATAACTTATATATCAAAGATGTGAACAGTGGTGATATCAAACAAGTAACTACTGATGGGTCGGATCAGATTTTCTATGGTAGACCCGATTGGGTTTATGAAGAAGAAGTTTTCGCTAGTGATAAAACTATGTGGTGGTCACCTACCGGAGATAAATTATCTTTCACTAGAATGGATGATACCGAAGTTCCTAAATTCACCATTCCTTATTATGTTCAAGAAGGATATGAAGATTATCCTAAATTATTAGAATTGAAATATCCAAAAGCTGGTTATCCTAATGCTCCTGTTGATGTTGGAGTTTATGACTTAACTACTGAAGAGTTCAAAATGATGGATTTGAAATCGGATTCCATTTCTGATAAGTTAGTTACTCAAGTGTTTTGGGCTTCAACTTCTGATTTAATGGTTAGAATTAGTACCAGAGCTAGTGATTTATTGGAATATTACCTTTTAGATACTAAAACTCATGATTATAAGTTGATTAGAACCGAAACCATGGAAAATGGATGGTTTGAAGTTGCCTTTGATACTTTTTTCATCCCGAAGAACGAAAAAGTCGGTCTTAAACATGATGGATACATTGATACCGTGGTAGTAGATGGATATAATCATTTGGCCTATTTCTCACCACCTTCAAATCCTGAAGGGGTATTATTAACTAAAGGACAATGGGAAATCGAAGACGGACAAGTTTCTTTTGATTATACCGATAACGAAGTTTATTTCATCTCCACCATGAAATCACCCGTTGAAAGACATGTCCATTCAGTCAATCTTTTAGATGCTTTAAATGGAGAATTACCTCAAATCAAGAATATCACCGATACTTCCAAAGAAGGTTATTATAGAGGGTCGTTTTCAAGTGGTTCAAGATATTTATTATTGACTTATAGAGGTCCTTCCATTCCTTATCAACAGTTGATTGATTTGAGAACCAGTAAGACAGTTAAAACCCTTGAAACCAATAGTAAATTGACTAAAACCATCAGTAAGTACGATATTCCTAAAGTAGAACATAAAGTGATTTCGATTGGTAAAGACGATAATGGTGATGATATCATTGTTAACGCTGTTGAAACATTCCCCTTGAATTTCAACCCCAAGATGAAATATCCAGTGTTATTTTACGTCTATGGAGGTCCAGGGTCACAAACCGTGACTAAAACTTTCAAAGTGGATTTCAGCGCTATTGTAGCTGCTGAACTAAACGCTATAGTTGTTACTGTAGATGGTAGAGGTACTGGGTTCAACACTCATAACAAACAAGGAGCTCATTTTAAATATACTGTGAGGAATCAATTGGGACATTATGAACCAATTGATCAAATATCGGCTGCTAAGATATGGGCTCAGAAATCATATGTTGATGCTGAAAGAATAGCTATTTGGGGATGGTCTTATGGAGGATTCATGACATTGAAAACTTTGGAAACTGATGATGACCATATTTTCAAATATGGTATGTCAGTAGCTCCAGTGACTAAATGGAAATTTTATGATTCTATTTATACTGAAAGATACATGAGAACTCCAGCTGAGAATCCCGAAGGTTATGAAATAGCTTCAATCTCCAATATGACCAATTTCCATAACGTTACCAGGTTTTTAATGATGCACGGATCTGGTGATGATAACGTTCATTTCCAAAATAGTCTTAAATTGATTGATGATTTCAATTTAGATTCCATCGAAAACTTCGATTTTATGGTTTATCCCGACTCCGATCATTCTATAGTGTACCATAACGGGAACCATGTTATTTATCATAGATTATTAAAGTGGTTGCGAAAAGCCTTTAATAATGAATATTTGTAGACATAGACATATTCTTTTGGTTTGTGGTTTTCTACTGTTTGTGGTCTTTCTACTCTCCCCCACTCCTTACTTTTCTTAAAACCCTTCTACTTTTCTTACTTTATTCGCTGTCCCTCGTCCTAGCTAACCCTTCCCTCCTCCTTCCTTATCTCAACACCCGTACACCAGAGATGAGATCCACGCACTTCCTCATTGGAATGAAAAATTTTTTTTTTCCAACAACTCAATACAATGATTATTTACACAGACGTTTTATCAGGTGACGAATTATTATCCGATGCTTATGACTTAAAAGAAGTCGATGGAGTTATCTATGAAGCCGACTGTGCTATGGTCAAAGTCGGTGGTGATGATATCGATTTTGGTGGAAACCCTTCAGCTGAAGATGGTGGTGATGAAGATGTTGATGATACTACTGAAACCGTTAACAACATTGTTCACTCATTCAGATTACAACCAACTGCTTTCGATAAGAAATCTTTCTTAACTTACATCAAAGGTTACATGAAATCTGTTAAAAAACATTTAGATGAATCTGACCCAGATGCTGTTGAAGTTTTCGAAAAAGGTGCTACTGCTTACGTTAAAAAAGTTGTTGGTTCTTTCAAAGACTGGGACTTCTTCACCGGTGAATCAATGGATCCAGATGGAATGATTGTTTTATTAAACTACCGTGAAGATGGTACTACTCCTTATGTTGCCATTTGGAAACATGGTGTTAAAGCTGAAAAAATCTAGATATTTTAATTGAATACTTTCAGTTCTTTATATTTTATTTCTCTCTATTTACTGGGTGTTATGGAAAGACAGACATTTTCTAATGTCACATCTGGTTTCACATACCAAAAGATATTTACATTATGTTGGGGTAATAATTGTTTCATAGCATATACTCTACTTTCATCTATAATTCTTCTAGCTATAAGACCAATTGAAATCTTTTCTTTACCATTTAATCCTGTTAGTTCATCAGTTTCTGATTCAGCTAGTCTTGATCCTGAAACTGCCCATGAACACATTCGTTTAAGGTGTTTGAATGAATGTTTATCGAATCCCTTGGTGGTTAAATATTGTTGAGACATTGGTAATAATTGGTCATAATCACATACATGTCTACAGCACATAGCTATCAATAACCCTCCAAAGTTATCGAGCCTAGCATTAAGAATCAGCTTTAAGGTCAAATCAGTAGCCACTCCGCATAAATGTTTGGAGATCCCAATGACTTGGGTTGGTTTACAATCTTTGAGGAAGGTCTTTAAGTCAAGATCCTTGATATCAATCCTTGTTCTTTTAACGGTGGGTTTATTAGAACGACCGTATTCACTATTGAACTCCTGAGCTTCTTTAATGATCTTGGGATCGTTCTTCATTCTATTGATACCTCTATCTATGAGCCCAAACCCATAGTTCTCACTATCAAAACTGTTATTGTCTAACATATCTGATTGAACACAAGAATTAAGGAACCGAGACAATTCAGCTTTCCCACATCCAAACTCTACATAGAAAGAGTTGGCATTAAGTAAACCTTGGGACTTTAAATTTCCCATTAAACTGGCTTGTTGGATTGGGTGTTTAGCTTGTTCTTTCTCATCTAATCGTTTCTTTAATCCTTGATGGTTGGCGATTTTATACTCGAGATCTGGAAAAACAGTTTGTTTGACTAATTGCACGAAGGATTTGAAAGTTTCTTCCGGGCTATCACCGTTTTTGTCCTTTTTGTTCCCGTTGTCTTTATCTTCATCATCTTGATCTTTGTTTGTCTCTTTATTCTCCTCTACATCTCCCTCTACCAACCTCAGGTTCAAATTCTCCTTGTACCATTCATCTCTTTCATCCATAGTCTTGGGTTTGGCATTACACTTCTTTAAATGTCGTTGTAAATCGTTTTCCCATACTGAGTGATTTGGATCTAATGGACATGGTACTCGATTCCCTTCATTAGGTAAATGTTGCACACAAAATTCTTCTCCCTTCTTCCTCTGAGTACCACAGTAACGACCTTTCTTGGCCATAAAGAACGAACATTGGTCAGGTCGCCTTTCAATTTTTATCTTCTTCCTTGGGTTGGCTTCCATTGAGAAGGTTGAGAAATCGCATCTCATCTCATCATGTGGAGATTGGATTTGTTAGAAGTGAAGTTTTTCAACACCAGTCCTCGCTTCAACAAAACAAAGACGTTGTTAAACTCGAAGAAAAATGATAAGTTGTTAAAGAAATTACCTTCATCGAAGGAAGAAGCAGAAAAGGAGATTCTTCTATTGAAATCTGAAGCTTTCCAAAACAAGTATCATGGAAGTTTCAAGAATTTACATAAAGAAGTTAAAAAAATCATAAAGAGTGATATACACAAACATTCTAAGGATAATAAACAATCATTGGTAGAGTTTCTTAAGAATGATGACATTATAGACGATTTAATCACCTCCAAATTGGTAAAGATCATTCAACAAATTATACTAGTTAACGCAGATTTAAAGAAATCACCCCCATTATACATATCTGAAGATCTTAGGGCTATACTTACCGACAAGTCTCATAAAAGTCATCCCCTGAAGTTTTTCATTGACCATTGTCAGAATAATAAGGTGATAAATAGTTATGTCTCAAGTTTATGGAACCAAAAGGCTATCAAAAGTTCATTGGCTCAGGCTGAATGGTCTTTGAAATTAGTGAGAGGTGTGAGTAAATTAGAAAAGGATGAAAGAAGGAAACAATTAGGGAAGAAAGTCGATGATGCGGATGATGAGGATGATGAAGATGACGATAAAGATGACGACAAAGATGAGGATTCAGAAGAACTCATGGTTTATGAAGATCTGGATGAAGAAGTTGAAACTGCAAAACTTGATCCTAACGTCAATTATAATGAAATCACCGATGAAGAACCTTCTGATGATGAATCAACTTATCCTGAACCAACCAAACAACCCAAATCTAAATCTAAGAAAGACGACTTTTTCGATAGCGACGATGATATGGAATCGAAATATAATCTTCCTCAATTGACCACAGGTTATTATTCCGGAGGTTCAGATGACGAAGAGTTCGATGCTGATAATGATAAAGTTGTTAAACAAGTAACAACCCAACGTAAAAATAGAAGAGGTCAAAGAGCAAGACAAAAGATCTGGGAAAAGAAGTTCGGAAAGAAAGCTAAACATAAAGAAAAGGAAATAGCTGCTATTCAAGATGATAGAAAGAGAAGACAATTAGAATTCGAAGAAAGAGAAAGAAAGAGACAAGCTAAAGCTCAACCTACTGGTGCTAATAATCAACCTTTAGGTGAAAGAAAACCACCATCTGTGGGGACACCTGTGGGTTCAACTACTGGTTCCACTGGTTCCACTACTGGTTCATCAACAGTTCAATCTTTTGCTCCAAAGGAACCTTTGGGTGAAGAACATCCTTCATGGAAAGCTAAAAAGATGGCAGAAGAAAAATTAAAGAATGTTAAATTCCAAGGTAAGAAAATTACATTTGACTAAATAAACTCATATCAACTTTGAATTTCTTCCTGATTTGTTCCTCTGTTAACTCCTGGCATCCTAGAGGAGTTGCTAAATCAATGTGATATTCACATTTCTCTGGTTCACTTACTTGTAAGATTTTTGATTCTGAACCACAAATCAATTTTACTCTAGCTGACCTTTTTGGTCCATTCCAACATCTATGTCCTTCAGTATAAACCAAGGAATTGGTGGATGAATCAAAATCTTTATATACCCCTAAATGGTTATTATCTTGATACACAGAATCCAATAATCCTACTCTATATTCGTATTCACCATTTCTAGAATTGATCCATGACCCAGCAACGGCTCTAAGAATATCATTGGGACCATAATTTCTAGTAAGATCTTCTTTATAATCTTTGATATCTGATTCTAATTTTGTGAGTTTCCTTTTAGCTGATTGGATCTCTGCTTCCAAGGTTTCAGAAGATGATGAAGGAATAACATCATCCTCACTGAAAAATCGGAATAATCCTTCAATATAATGATGGATCATATTGGAGATTGTAGGAGTGGTTCCTGTTATTTTCAAAGTCTTAGAATGTTCGTTCAACTTCTCGATCTCTTCAACGATATCATGGTGGAAGGAATCTTCTTGTTTGTTGGATAAATAGTTTTGATAATTATTGACAGCCGATTTCACTGCTGCATCATTAAAGTTGGGATTATAATTGGTGATCAAATCAGATAAGATATTTTCCAAAGCCTGAATCTTTTGGGTATTTTCATTATTGAAATTAATCAATTGAGTGATTTTGGCTGAGATACTGGTGGTGAATGAAGAGATTTTACTGAACACCAGATCATCAGTAGAGGCTCTTAATGATGCCTTTAATTGCTTCTCCAACAATGGGATCCTCTCGATTGTTTTCTGCTTCTCTAAAACAAACCCATCTAACTTGTTTCTTATAACCTTCTTAACATCTTTAGCTCGATCAATCAATTCGTTTTGTACTTTGCTTGCATTTTGAATATCTTCAGTAATAACCTTCTTGAATTCCAAATATTGTTCATGAACTTCCTTACACTTATCGGGGCATTTTCCTGATACATATTCATCTGATCCATCACAACATACATCATAATCACATACTCCGTCACCTACCATGAATCTTGGGATATCTTGAGCAAAATGGCCCTTATTGGAACAATGAAATGTTAAACCTTCCATGGGACAAGCATGAGTTCCTGGCTCATCAGAACCGTCAGGACAATCACAAATATCATCATTGATTTGATCGAAATCAATATAAGTATTTGACCCCAAACATTTCCATTTCTTTACACCATCCACTTCTATTGGTTCATAGAGCAGTTGGTTCTCATCACTAACCCCGGCTATACGTCCAATTGACCCACATACTAACAGTAAGCACACCAACCATTGATATTTCATCCTAAGTTATGTCAATATGGCTGCAATGAAAATTCGCGATATGAATGAAGTATGGGAAACTAAGCGATGTAAAAGAGTTGTACGACCGCTTCTTTCCAAAATCCATTCATTGACTCAGTTGGTGATCAAGAGTCCTTCAACGTTAGATATCACCATACAACCCAAATTTACTACCTCGTCCAATATTCATTGTAAACCATCCAATTCCCACCACAGACTCAAATGCTTAAAGCCTCACATAACTTTGGAACTATATGGCTATTATGAAGAATTGTTCTATATTTTCCAACAAATAATGACATCATTGAATGTAAAAGGTGATTTCACAACCTTAGCAAGTCATTGTAGTTATAACATAGGAAAAGCCATGGTTTTAAGTTCCAGAAATAGCTATTTCAGGTTGAATAACAGCTCATTGTTTGATCCCAATACGTTGCCGGGTACTATCAAACAGTACCACGATACCCTTTCACCGGATATTGATGGGTGGCTCGATATGGAGTCGCTTTCCACCATAACTTGTAAAATGGACCTTTTATTAGGCTATGTTATCCATTTACTCGTATTTAATCAAAAGATTTTATACCTAATCATCCCTACATTGGTACATTGGCTTTACGAGCAACTGTTACCGAGGAATTTGAAGCTTAAGTACATGGCCACTTACTTGTTCCATGAATATTGGAAGTTTAATGATAAATATTATGATAATATAGATCCGTTGATAATAACTCAACTAACGGGTCTAGATAACCAAGTTACTTGTTTCTGGGACCTCGAAAAGATCAAATATTGGGATCATTTGGTTTCTTCCTTGGACATCAAATCAACTTTTCCTGATCAACATTATAATAATTTGTTATTGAATGTGATATCATCCAAACTTGATTATGATTTGGATTATATTTATACCAAACTTCAAGACCATCCTCAAACTAACAATATATTGGCATCTGTCTTGACCAAACTCATCAATCGCCGGAATAAAAATTCCATTGAAGATTTGACTAAACTTGTGGGTGTATGGTTAGGGTTCAGAGATTCTATGATTTTTAATTCCTTATTGCCTGGGAATGAAGACTTATTCTACGGTATCATGAGGTTCCACAAATACCTAACTAATACGGAATCTCAAGCATTGATTTTGCTCAAATCATTTTACTTGGATCAACCCCAAACATTATCTGATGACCCCAAAATAATTGATCAACTCATGACCTTTCAATCTATTGGTTTTTTAGAAAGACTACCTTTGAGTCATCACAGAGATGTGAATGATTTCATCTTCTGGCTTGTGGAAAACAATATGAGAAACTGTGGGAAGAGGATGTTCCTTTTAATTTATGGAGATTACGAATATTATGATGAAGTTGATTATTTATACGATACTGTTTTTAATTATTGACTTAATATATGACAAATTTAAGATTTTCTAGTGTTCGAGAGTGATTTTTGCTCTTTTTCTAGTGAACTTTGTGGTATATAGACGTTTTGTACATCCTGAAGGGAATGAAAATGAAGGAATTTGCCGAATTTACTACTTTTACCATATGTGATTTCTATCTTCTGATTATTTTGTAAATTACGACTTCGTGGCCAAGCTGGTTAAGGCGTGTGACTGTTAATCACAAGATCGAGAGTTCAATCCTCTCCGAGGTCGCATTATTTTTTCTTACTCCAGTAAGATAATCAGTGATTGCACCATATTCCTAGGGTTTTGAAGGGTTCTTCGAATCCCTGATCTTTTTTACCACTTTAAAGTTGTGTCAAAATCTTTATCAGAGTTTCTATGATCCCTTTTTATCAGAGTTTCTATCGTTTCTATAATCCTTATCAAACTTCCTTAGAGTCTCACGAACTTCTCAATTCTTTTATATTTAACTCTCCTACATCCTTCTAATCTCCCTCCTGCTTCGAACACCTTTCCCACCGTCAAAACATCTATTCAGATTGAAACAAACTCGATAAAGCCATCAAACCAAAAATCCCAAATCTGAAATATTGGTTCTCAGTCAATAAAATAGTGATGTATCCAACTTTTGGCACATATCCATAAACAGTTCCAATTATATCATCTTGAGTTAAATAATTCTTCTTTCTTCCATATAAACTCAAATCATCCACCAAATTATTATCCCCTTTAGTTAATACATATTGTTTATTAGGATTATGATGTTCTCTTAAAACTCTATGAACAATTGGTATATCTTTAGTGGAAGTTTCATAAACAACTACATCTCCAACATTATTTATTTTATGACGATTCCATAAAAATAACACATCACCTCTTTGGAAAGCAGGTTCCATTGATCCTGTTAATACTACAACTATAGGTGAATGAGTATTAGCAATGATTCCTAAAGCTCTCCATGTCATATAAGCTCCAGTGAAAATATATGCAAATGCTAAAAATTGAGTTATTTGTTTCCTCAAATTCATAATTATCTTTCCCCTTTAAACGTTGAATTTAATTCCCTTGACTGTCAATCTAACGACACTGTTGAGTTGACTTTTACACGTACCGCGAAAAAATTGGGAGATCGAATGTGAGACATAAAAATTTTCTTGATCACACAAGGGATTTTGACATTAATTTAAAGGGATTTAGCGGTTAATCTACCAATCAAGGTATTTAAAGTAACAGATTTAACGATAAAATAATCATTTTTGATTAATTCTTTGTAGTACAAAGTTATATATTAGGAAAAAAAATCAATTACCCATACCTTTACCCAATGTCCAGTAAATCAGATAAATCAGATAAACCCATACTAGAACATCCTCAACCTAAACCTTCAAATGGTACACCACCATCGATCATGCAATTACCTCCAGGATCAGTAGCTAGTGGGCCTTCTAGTTCCAACTTGAAACAATCACCTTCAGTATCGTTTAGTAACAATGAACAAGAGAAATTAAGACGTTTCACCATTTCCGCCCAACCTTCAAGTGCTAATCTTAATAATCAAGAGTTTAGAAAGAATTCTTTACAAGTACATGGGTCTACTAATACTATTCCAACTACCCATGGACTTTCCAGGTTAAGCTCGGGTATCAATACGGGAACTTCGTCTTCTTCAGTTCAAGTTAATCCTCAAGTAGTTCAAGGTCAAACTAACTCCCAGAATTCTTCTCGAAATAATAGTGTTATTGGAGGGGATTTCTTTTCATTCTTAACCAAATCAAATCATCCAATACCTAATTCAATCAATGTAAACCAATTACCTGGAAGTAATCATTCTTCAAGAGTCACTACCCCAACTATGGATCAAGGGTATGTTTTCAGATATCGAGATTCCAAGATAAGTCCATCACCACCACCAGAAAATGCCCCTATGAATATCAGTTCGGGGTTAAGTTCTCCTTCTAATCCAATTAATGTTAGTAGAAAAGGTAGTCTCATGAAAAAATCCAATAAAACCATTGTAGAATCACCTGTTGGTCCTCCAGTACCATTCCAACAATATTTATCCAAAGAAGATGATAATAAAATTCATATTTTAATTGGTTGTACTGGATCAGTAGCTACGATTAAAGTACCGTTAATTATTGATAAATTATTTCAAATTTATGGTGCTAACAAAGTTTCTATTCAATTAATTGCCACCAAATCAGCAGGTCATTTCTTAAAAGGTTTAAAAATCAATAATAATGTTAAAATCTGGAGAGATGAAGATGAATGGGCTAATTTCAGTGAAAAAATCGATTATTTCCATAATGTTTCTCAACCTACAAGTGCTACCAGTAGTAGTGGTAGTGCCAAACCAAAGAAAAATCCATTTGATAAATTAATTTTACATAATGAATTAAGAAAATGGGCAGATATAATGTTAATTGCCCCATTATCGGCCAATACTTTAGCTAAAATAGCTAATGGTATATCTGATAATTTATTAACATCAACTGTAAGATCTTGGAATTATACTGTTCCTCAAACTGCCCCTACTGCCATTGGTTCAGCTCCTCCTCCAATTGTTAAAAAACCCATCTTAGTGGCTCCCGCAATGAATACTTTCATGTATACTCATCCTTTGACTGCTAAACAGTTAAATTTATTAGCTTCTACAGAATATGGATTTGGAATGGAAATTTTGAAACCGGTTGAAAAAGTATTGATTTGTGGAGATATTGGAATGGGAGGTATGAGAGAATGGAATGATATTGTAGATATTTTAAGAAGAAGAGTGGCAGCTATTAAGAATTTGGAGGGTCCTATTGATGAAGATGCCGAAGGCGAGGACGATGATGAAGATGATGAAGATGACGATGATGAAGATGATGATGATGAAGATGATGATGATGAAGATGAAGATGAAGATGAAGAAGATGAAGATGAAGATGAAAACGATGAAGATGAAAACGAAGTACAAAATGTAAAGGGAAAGGTAAAAGGAAAAGGTAACGACGAAATGATATTCGACATAAAAGCATAATACATTAAATTATTTACATCTTAGGCAACTCTATAAATTTGTGGCCCAAGGGTTCAGCACTCTCGGTCAACTTGATGTCCTCTATCTTTCGAAGATAATACACCGAATTGTTATTGAGAATATGTACAAGTTCATTAACATCCAAATTGTTCTTCAAGTAATGATCCAAGTATCGGTTATTCTGATGATATTGGATGAATGTTAAGGCATAGAGAACACTATCAAATAAATCATCCAATTTTCTGATTCTCTGATCTGCTTGTTGATTATACTGCTTCATGAAAGATCTCTTGTCTTGATTCTTACAATCCATACCTTCAATTGTTAACATATCATTATCTAGAAGATTGAACACATACTTATTACGTAAGATCTTGGAATTACTGGAATTAATCTCTGATTTGATCAAAAACCGGTTAATCAAATAGTTGGTAAGTCTACTTGAATTCATAGGAAGTAAAGAACATTTCAAATCTTCATAGTTCTTTAGAAGTTCGAAATTCGTATAAAACAAATTCTCAAATACATAGTTAAGAAGGATCCCAGGTAAAGTCACTTGATTATTGTTGGATTTGACTCTCTGGTTCTCTATTAAGATGATGTCTGGTTGATTATGAAGTATAAGATCTTTGAATACCAGAAAATTTAAAAATCCCAATCTTTGTCGGGCAGAAATCGTATCATTGATGGGACTTTGGTAATTACTAGGATATTTCACGTTCAAATCCATGGTCTTCCAGGTATTGAAGTTCAAATGTAACTTTGAATCCATACTTTCAATGTTAGATAACTTACAGTAACTAAAGTTCTTGATACCTATATCTATCGAAATTAAGGAGATTTTTCGAGGTAACTTCAAATGGTACTCGAGGTTATGCATCAATTGAATAGCATTGTCCCGTTTGGTGGATTTTATAGTGGATCCACATACTACAGATAGATTGGTTAAAGTTTTGGACTTTAGTTGAAGAAGTTGATCCATTCGCGAATACTTACGGCTGGAGTTCACTAACCAAGGGCGGGTCAATAGAGAGGCTTTTGGGTGGAAATATGGTCAGATGAGTTTTCGACTAGTCTAATGAAACCCTGGGTTTAACTTTGTGCCCCCACTATGATCAGTAGCACACCACAATCAGTGGCATCAAAGGTCAGTAGCACCATGGACAATATCAAAGGGTCAGTAGCTCACATCACCGTCTAAAGGTGTAATTAATACCACACGACACAAACTCTATTAAGCCTCAACTCGGAAACAAACTAAAGGCAACAAAGCCCAAACATGGAGTTCCCTTAGCCTAAGCCGAAAACTATAAACTTGAACAACGACACACTTGAACCCTCACGCGATACGCGATGAAACTCATCACCCTAAAAGGTTAAATCAAAGGGTTATACACGTAAGTTTAAAGAAAATAAAACCCACATGGTAAGTTAAGGTACCAAAGACCGAACAATACATCGCACCATAAAATATCAAAACACCAAAGTGAAAGGATCCACCTTAAAAGAAAAAAACTGTCTGGAAATAGGAAAATTCTGAACTCAAACTTACGTGATTAAGATTTAACGTTGCATTTACAACTAAACTGTATTATTACGTACATTCAGTTGTAAATGACATAGTAAATGACATAATCCGGCAATGTAACGATCTTATCAAGAGGTATGTCCATGAGGCATGTGTAACCATAGGCATTTGTAACAATAGCAAACTTTCATGATAGCAATGAGACGAAATGAAATAGTCGATAAAGCAAAATATCGTTCCGGTTAAAAAGTCGCTCAAGCCATCCACATGGTACCAACTATCGCGTACCAACTATGCGGTGGTGGGGGCTTCACTCTACCGCCGCCCCGCAACGGTATTATCTCCTATTAACATATAATAAGGAAAGAAGAAAAAACTTTCGTGTACAAGGAGATGTCGTGTGATGTCGGGGACAAGAAAGGGGAAAATCGTCGCCTTAGTTCAAAGTCGAGGAAATTAAATGTCCCGAAAAAGAAAAAATCTTTCCTAATTTTGTCCGCGGCAGTGCTGTTAACTGTGAAGTTACTAAATTTAGAAAAGAATTATTCCCGACACGACAGCAATTTTTCACTTTATGGCATCGCGTTAATCTTTTGGAAAACTATATATTCTCCCTTCCTCCCCCTAGAAAAAAATTCTCATTATCAAATAATAAATTCAAAAATGCAATTCAAATCTGTCTTAGTCGCTTTAACTGCTATCACCGCTGTCTCAGCTGCCAATGCCTCAAACGGTACCAACGGTTCAAATGGTTCCGGTGATGATGACTCTGGTGCTGCTTTAGTCTCAACCGGTTTATTAGGTGCTGGTATTGCTGGTGCTGTTGCTTTATTATTATAAGTTTATTAAACATTGCTTATTGCTGGTTAATAGATTTATTTAATATTCAATTCAAATTCAACAATACAAAAATTAATAGATATGTATTTTAATGGAAGCCTAATAATTAACTTTTCTTCTCTGCCAAGTCCAAGTCCTGACTCTCATAACTTTAAGGAATCCATCAGGTGAGTCCAATTGCACTTGAACTTAACTAATCTTGAGCTCTAAACTAAAATCGAATGCTTTTAGTCTCCTTGAATCTGTTGACAATCTAATCTCCTTAGCTTCTTCTATTGTTTGCGGTGTATCCCGAAATTTCATTATTCAGTTGCTGCTAACTGATAAGGTTGACTAGTCGATCCTTAAGATAAGATTGCTGAAATTTTCAACGACATAGATTTTATTGTTAAGTTACAAGCCGATTAAGAATAGTGTTCAGGGGTCAATGCAACTCTAATCTCAAAACGGCTCATGAAAGAGTGTTGATTAGGTGGGAAGATAGCGGAACTTTATCGGTGGATGAAGGTTCAACTTTCAGAAGGTATTTAAACAATATCAACCAACTGACTATTTAGACTGTTCAAGTTAATTAAAATCGTTCAAATTGGACTGACAGCTGTGTTTCAAACCAAGGAGTGTGTTTGACTCCCAGGAAAGAGTGGATGAGTATTCCCGAGATGGCTTGGTTGTTAGAGGTATTTCCAGAGGCTTCGTTCTATCCTGGCTCACACCACTTTAATCTGACTTATTACTTAAGGGGCTTGAGTGTTAGGAGTAGATGAGTATTAGAGATTGAGGGCTTCTTTCTAATCTTCTGGTTATCTGATCTTAAGGTCTTGGGGTCTTCAAATATTAGTGATCCCAGCTATCCAACTTTCCCGGATTTCTGGTTCTCAGCCTTTCCCAACCTTCACCTGTTAACCAATTCCTAGACCTACCATATGTAATAACTTCACTTCTATCCCCTTATCACATTCCCACCTTTTACCCGTTTCCCTCCTACTCCTCCCAATGCCCCCCCCACTAATCTAAGATCCACTCTAATTACTGTCCTGGACGATCGTTGGTTTGACGTCACCATGGTTGCTAAAAGTGTGAGCTCGCATTCAAATTTTCCAAATCATGTTCAAGTCATTGAGGTTTATACGTTTTAACAGTACATCGACTTTAGTTTCTAAGTCAATTAAACTGTCTGTTACTACCCCAGCATCCAATAATGTTAATGGTATCGAAAAAAGTAAAGGAACAGGAGTTGTTTTCATGAATATGGGAGGTCCCTCCACAGTATCAGAAACTTATGATTTTCTTTTAAGACTCTTTTCTGATGGAGATCTTATCCCCTTTGGACCATTCCAAAGCATTTTAGGTAAATTTATTGCCAGAAGACGTACTCCAGAGATTGAAAAACATTATGAAGAAATTGGTGGAGGTTCACCTATTAGATATTGGTCAGAATATCAATGTGATAAAGTATGTAAAATACTTGATCAAACATCTCCTGAAACTGGTCCTCATAAACCTTATGTTGCTTTCCGTTATGCTAATCCATTGACTGATGAAACTTTGAAGAAAATGAAAAATGATGGTATTACTAGAGCTGTTGCTTTTAGTCAATATCCTCAATTCTCTTATTCAACTACGGGTTCTTCAATGAATGAATTATATAGAGAAACTCAAAAGATTGATCCTGAAAACTCCATCACCTGGTCTTTCATTGATAGATGGCCTAAAAACAAAGGTTTCATTGATGCTTTTACTGATCATATTGAATCCAAAATTCAAGAATTTAAGAATGAAGGTAAGAACACCGATAACGTGGTTATTCTCTTCTCGGCCCATTCTTTACCTATGCAAATTGTTAATCGTGGAGATTCATATCCTGCTGAAGTTGCTGCTACAGTTTATGCTATTATGGAGAATTTGAAATTCAAGTATCCTTATAGATTGGTTTGGCAACTGAAAGTTGGTCCAAGTCCATGGTTAGGTGCTCAAACTGCTAAGATTGTAGGTAAATTAGAAAAAGATGATAGTGTTGAAGGGATCTTATTAGTACCAGTTGCTTTCACTTCTGATCATATTGAAACCTTACATGAATTAGATATCGAATTGGTTGAAGATTTGGTTTATCCTGAAAAGGTTAAGAGAGCTGAATCAATGAATGGTAATGAAAAATTCATTCAAGGATTGGCTGATTTAGTTAAAGATCATTTAGAAAGTGGTAAATGTCATAGTAATCAATTGGCATTAGATCATGTATTAAGTAGACAATATTCCAAAGATACTTTCCATCATCCTGATGAAATTTTTGGAAAATAGTTTGTAAATAGTTAAAAAGTTAGTCTGAATCGATTTCAGGATCGAAAAGATCTAAATCTAAAGCTGTCTCTTCTTTCTTTTCAGGTTTATGATGTCTTTCTTTACGTTCTGGTTTATTTTCAGTTATTACTTTAGGTTCGATTTCAGTGACTTTGGTTTCTGGTATTGGCTCTGATACTGATTCAGGTATTGGTTCAGGTATTGATTTGACTGCTTCTTCTCCTAACTCTCGAGCTATTATTTCTTCTCCTCTTAATGAACTGATAGCCAAGGTCCCTCTTCTCAAAGAATCTTCAGCTGGCCAAATGAAATTATTGGGATGAGCACCAATATTTCCTGGAGGAATTTTTGTAAATTTTGATAATTTAGATCCATATTTCAATACTTCTTCAATATCAATGGTAGCCATTTGATCAATAGGTCCTTTTGTTGGTACTGAAGGTAATTGTTTCAATTGTGCTCTATATGATATTAATTTTTTCAATATATCCTTAGACGTAGTATCTAATTGTTCTTGATCTTTTTCAACTTTTTCTATTGATGTTTTCAAGTTTTGATGTTTCTTTAATTGTTCAAGCTCTTCTTCAAAAGTTTCATTTATGTTGATCAAATCTCTAACAACTTCATCTAAACCTGCAGTGTTAAAACTGGTGACTTTTTGACTTAAAAGACTGATTTTATTCTCAAACTCATTGACAGTTTGAACTATTTTCAATGAATCGAATTTTTCATCCTCGGCATCTTTTATAATACTTGGAGTGGTGGAGCTTGGTGGCTGGGGTGTTGATGGGAATGGTGATAGTCTTATTGACGAAGGAACTCGAGATATTGGTAATGTATCAGTTTTCCTCATGTTGAGTAAACTTTCGCGAAGTTCTCAATTAGTGAGAAGTTTCTGATGGTTCATAAACACTTTGTTTCCAATCATTGATTGATTCCGCTATCAACTTGTCGAACCTTGTGAAAGAATTGAATCCGTAAACTACAGGGATTTCAGGATTCTTTGATAATTGAGGATTGGTATTCAAAGGAACATTATCTATTTGGCCCCAATTTACCTGTAACTCACATCCATTAATGATAGAATGATTGAGTAAAAGTATAGCTCGTTCAGCATCTTCTCTAAATCTATAACAAATAATAGCTGAGGTGAAATCAGAAGATAATTTTATGAATATCATATCACCAAAGTTGAAATGATCTTCAATCTCTTGTTCAGTGAATCTCCCACCTAACCCTCGAACCTCTACTGTGGAATTATTGGGGTCAGTATACTTATTGAGTGGTGGTTGATGATGAGGAAGTTGAATGGATTTTAACAGATCATTTTCTTTGGTCGAACCTTGTGTAGTAGAAAGTTTCAATTTTATCCCATCAATAACTATGTTACTCATTTCCTTGTACGCTATCTGTTGTGTAGCACTAGAATTAAATTTGATTAACCCATTACCGTTAGATATCTTCACCTGACGTACTGATGTCGGATATTTACTATTAAACACATCAAACACCGCAGTCTCACTTAATTCCCCTTCAAAATATAAGGTGAATTCGCTTTTCGTATCCTTCACTGATGTAGCTACACTACCTGTAGCATGATTCAATCGTAATTTCTTAGTGGTACCTTGTATGGGCATTCCATTCTTGGATAGAGCCAGATTCATGGCTGCTGCATTTACAAATGATACAAAACAGTACATAGGTTTTGAATATTCTTTATCTCTTATGATCTTTACTGATATGGGAGCTTCGCCTATACTATTCCAGATCTTAATGATAGACTGTTCAGTCCATTGTGGCTCCAAATCACCCATCCATATCTGATGGGAAGGTTTCTTGATTGGCTTCTTCTTTCTATTCATCGCGATTTTTCAATTTGCATAATCTGAGGTATCCATATGACTAAGATGGTGATGGGAAAGGGTCTTCAGGTCTCGAAAAGAGACTTTTCACAACCTCAGCCTGGCAACTATGAGACTGCTAACTATTATTCTTCACTGTCCTATCCATACCGCTTTTACGAAAAACGGTAGCCTCGATTATATTCTAATGTGTGTGTTAACTGTTGAAACATTTCCCTTCAAAATCTGGGACATGATAACCTTATCTGGAAACCACGTGGTACAATAAATCTTCTTATATTCATCTTTCTCTCTTCATCCGTCTCACCACTTCAATCAACCTCTACTAATGACCATTAATGACCATTGTAAGTACTAGATCTTTTTAGCAGCCACCAATAAATGTCGCATGTCGCGTGTCTTTGAAAAAAAATCTGTCCAAACAAATTCTCAAATCTTTATTCTCATTAAATCAAAGATGTTAAGATTGAATAGAATAAACTTCAAGAGATTTAATTCTCATGGAGCCCATGGTGCTCATGGTGCTAAACCAACTCCATCAACTTTCACTAATAAATACAATTTCAATATCGATCCACCTCAAGTTCACGAATATTGGAACATACGTAACACTTCAGTTGTGATTGCATTCATCCCAGTCTTTTTTGGTGTAACTTATTTAACTAAAGTTGCTTCTGATGGTAACGATGGATTTGGAGGTCTTTTAGCTTTTGCCAATGGTGAACAATCACCAATGAAAGATATCAAATTCAGTGAACCTCAAAAATAGAGAAGAGGTAAAGATTGACAGGTTGAAGATGAAGGAAACGATGATGATATTAACAAGATAGAGAATATGAAGATGAAGATAAAAAGATGAAGATGACAAGATCAGGAACTTGGGGTCAAGAACATGTTCAAAGACTCCAGGATTTCCTTGAACTGATGCATGGTTGTATTTATTAGGCTCAATTGCATAATTGAATAAACATTATTATTTGACTTTCCACTTATGAACAGGTTAATCACAGTATAAGGAGCTCTTGCCCCCTCCCACCACTTCTCCTTCCCTACCAACCCTCTCCTCCATAGTATCCCACTTTATGTCTTTAACAACCATCAAAAGTCGTGCGCGTCTCAAACATTGTTAACTCGCACAATTTTATTGGACCAAAAAACTCATCAAACGCTATGTTTAAATCAGTAATTAGATCAAGTGTTACCAATAGTTTAAGGTTTAATCGTGGTATAACCACCAAAACCACTATTAGTGACGCTGCCACAGGTAGAGTTATTAAGTTAACCGATCCAAACCGTCCAGAAATGGGAGATTACCCTAATCCTGAAGCTTTATTAGCTCAAAGCAAAAGTCCTTATGTTAAATATGATGATCAACAAAATAGAAGAAATATTGGTGACCCAGTGAATTTTGATGATGATTTATACGATATGTGGTCTCCAGATTATTTCCAATTCGTTTCTGATAAAACTGCTTTAAAACATAATGCTATCTTCTTTGGTTTAATCTTTGGATTTGGTGGATTATTAACCTATTTTGAATTAAATCCTGAAAAACCAGGTATGCCAAGATCTTATCCTTATAATGGTTTAGCTAAAAGTTTAGGTTCTGGTAATCCTGAACATGATTATTTATATCAATCAAGACCTGATTTAGAAGCTGAAGCTGAATTGGGGATTTTACCTCCACAAGATGATGTTATTGAAAATACTAAACTTTATCAATCAGCCAACGCCGATTTTATTAAACAATAGATCATTATTTATAGCATATGTAATATACATTCTCATGTATTCACACGTAGAGGTTTAGGAGAGATTTTGGGTTTTGATAGCTCATTGACTCATTGCTCTGGGGTACACTTGGAAGTTCTGGGGTACTCTTGGAAGTTCTGAAGTACCCTTGGAAGGCTTCAGAGCATTATAGTATGGAGTTTCGAAGGCTAACTATGAAAAACCGGAACTAGAATTTGGAAATCTCCAGGATATCTTCCAAATTTAACCCTTTTCCACCTCTTTTTTCCACCACTCCCCACCTATTCCTCTGGTATTCTCTCAACTCCCATCAATTACTCACAAACAGTACCCCTTCACCTTCAACAACACCCTTTTCATCGCCAGTCAAAGGTTTTTCACCGCGAAAATCAACGCTCGCTTTTTATTCAAAATACCTATTTGTCTCAGTAATGTCAAGTAAACGTAGACTGTCATCGAGGTTGGCATCGGCGTCCAATGGGCCCCAGGTCAAACAGGAGGTTGTCAATACGCCTAAGAGGCGAAAAGTCGAAGTCAAACCTTTGCCTGTGAAGAAAAAGTCTCATAATGATAAAATCGTAGATTTCTTAGTAGATTATAACTTGAGTATCAACGAATTATTTCAACTAAAAGAATATGGATCAGTTGTTGACTGGAATCCATCCGACTTTCTGGGTACCAAACCTAACAAACCAGAATTGTTTGAACATTTCCTTAAAGAATCGAAATATGGGTTAAAATGGATTAACGAAGAGAATATAAATCTTGATGATTTGCCCTTGAGGTTACAAAAGAAAGCTTTAGCTGAAAGAGAAGTGAAATTATTGGAAAAATACCCTTTTAAAGACGAAGTGGTGGAGAAAAGTAAGATCAATGAGGATAATATTATACGACAATTAGATGGTGAAGATATCATTGATATTCCAGTTAAGAAACTGTCAGTTAAAACACTGCCAGTTAAAACACTGCCAGTAAAGAGTGTTCCTAAGATGAAGATAAAACAAGAGCCTTCAAAAGTTAAGAAACAACAATCCATCAACCCTGAAATTGTTGGCTATGATGAAGAAGGCGAACCAGTGATACGGAAACAAGATTCAGATATCGATGATGATGATGCAATTTTGACTGATCTTGAGTATCCTTTAAACCCTGAATCCCACCATAAATTGAAAGATATAAAGTTTAAGATCAAAGAACCCAAGATCACTCATCCATCACATATTCCTGGTTGGAAACCTCCTGAAGGTGATAATATGAATGATGAAGAAAATCAAAAGATCATTGATTTCAATCCTTTGCCTGTTGAAATCATCACTGACAAGAAAGGTGAACATATAGCTGATAAAGTGGGTGAAAGACTTTCGAAATTCCTTGAAAATGAACTCAAATATGCCATTACTGAAGATGGAACTGAGTATAATAATACCATGACTGAATATAAAGAAGTGCTTCATCAACAAATGGATTTATTCAAGAAATTATATGAAAAGACAAGATTTGAAAAGAGTTTGGAATTGAATGGGGATAAAATTGAAAAGAGAAAGTTAGCATTACCTCAATCTAATGCTAGACAAGTAGCTGATCCATTTAGGGCCACCTCTTCAGTGGTACCTAAATCACATGGAATTAGTTCTTCTACTCATATTGATAACTTGTTAGCTCAAGGATCTAATTTTGCTAGAATCCATCAACAAGTTAGAAAACAACGTCAAGCCAGGATTAAAAAAATCGCTAATATGGTAGATGCCCATTTTAAATGGAAGAAAGGTGAAAAGGAGAGAGAAGCAAAAGAAAGAGAACAGAATCTTCGAAAGATCAGTAGATTGGCCGTTCAAGCTGTTAAGAAAAGATGGACTCAAGCTTATAAAGTATATAAATATTTACAAGATCAGAAAGAAGAAGAATTGAAGAAGATCAAAGGAAGAGAACATTTAAGTCATATGTTGGAACATTCAACTCAATTACTTGAAGCACAATTAAAACCTTCAGAAAATGAAAGTGAAGATTCTGACAATATGAGTGATTCTGAAGTCAGTGTAGATGATACTATGGATGATCAATTATCTGTAGAGAAACTTCGGGAAAAGTATGGTAATTTGAAGGAATTAAACGATACCAATGCTTCTTCTGTATCGGATGATTCTGATGATGATTCTGACAATGACAATGATAGTGACAATGATAGTGACGATGATAGTGACAGTGAACCTAAAGGATTATCAGCACTCTATGGAGATGTCGAAATATCTGAAGCTGATATGTCAGGGGTTGAAACTTCAGCTACTCCTGATATTCTTGAATACACTGATGAACAAAAAGCATTGATTGAGGATCTCAATGGTGATGATAATGAAGAATTGGCGGAAGATTCAGATTCTTCTATACCTGATGATACTACTGATAGTGAATCAGAAAGTAGTAGCTCTGATGAAGCTGCTCCTCAATCATCACTTGCTTCTTTATTCAATCCTGCCAAAGAATCCGATGATGAAAGTGTCGATGATGAAAGTATGGCAGTTGATTCTGATGATGAACAAATGTCTTCAACCGATGAAGAAGATGAACCTAAAACACCTAAATCGGATTCTTTAATTGAAAAACATTCAGAATTACCCGAACAGGAAGTTAATGGATCTAAAGTTAGAGATGTTCCTATTCCTTCATTATTACGTGGTAATCTTCGTCCTTATCAAAAACAAGGTCTTAATTGGTTAGCTAGTTTATACAGTAATGATACTAATGGTATTTTGGCCGATGAAATGGGTTTAGGTAAAACCATTCAAACCATTTCTTTATTAGCCCATTTAGCTACCGAATATCATATCTGGGGACCTCATTTAATCATTGTTCCAACATCAGTTATGCTTAATTGGGAAATGGAATTCAAAAAATTCGCTCCTGGGTTTAAAGTTTTAACATATTATGGATCTCCTCAACAAAGAGCTCAAAAGAGAAAAGGTTGGAATAAACCCGATGCTTTCCATGTTTGTATTACATCATATCAATTAGTTGTTCATGATCATCTGTCATTTAAAAGAAGAAGATGGAAATATATGATCTTAGATGAAGCCCATAACATTAAGAATTTCCGATCAACTCGTTGGAAAGCTTTATTGAATTTTAATACTGAAAATAGATTACTTTTAACCGGTACACCATTACAAAACAATTTAATGGAATTATGGTCATTATTATATTTCTTAATGCCATCATCAAAAGTTAATCAAGCTATGCCTGATGGTTTTGCTAATCTTGAAGATTTCCAACAATGGTTCGGTAGACCGGTTGATAATATTCTTGAACAAGCTAGTAGTAAAGGAGGAGATATTATTGATGAAAATGAAAGTACTGTTAAAGGTATGGATGAAGAAACTAGAAATACTGTAGCTAGATTACATCAAGTTTTACGTCCATATATTTTACGTCGTTTAAAGAAAGATGTTGAAAAGCAAATGCCAGGGAAATATGAACATATTGTTTATTGTAGATTATCTCAAAGACAAAGATATTTATATGATGATTTCATGTCTAGAGCTAAAACCAAAGAAACTTTAGCTTCAGGTAGTTTCCTTTCAATTATCAATTGTTTGATGCAATTACGTAAGGTTTGTAATCATCCGGATTTATTCGAAGTTAGACCTATTGTCACATCATTTGCGGTTCCCACTTCAGTCCCTGGTCATTATAAACCATTGGAATCATTAATTCAAAAACTTTTAATCTCCGATGATAAGTTCCAGAAAGTATCTTTTGATACTTTGAATCTTGATCTCACATCTAAAGATGGGATGAATAAATTTGTTGCTCAATCCACCAATAGTTTGAAATCTACTCATTCTATCAGAGAACAAGTTGAAGAATTAGATAAGTTAATAGCTATGGAAGCTGAATCTACAGGAGACAATAGTTGTTTGGATTATTATATCAATTTGAAGAAGAGTCAACAGATCAGTTTGAAAGAACACTTGGAGCAAAGTATTTATTTGAATGATTTAAGATGTGAAAGAGAACCTATTTATGGAGATTCTTTCTTAAACTTCCTTAGATCAGCAACTATACCTAAAAGACCTATCAAAAATTTGGTTATTGATGAACTTATCACACCTTTAGATAAAAGATTGGATATGATGAATAGTACTATTGAGAATTATTCCGTTATCACTCCTAAAGTGGTAACTCTTGATATGAAAGAGAACATGTTCCCCGTAGATGTTAGAGATAAAGTTATCAGTGAAAATCTTGATAATCCATTCCATAAATCTCAAGTTAAATTATCAATCGCCTTCCCTGATAAGTCTTTATTACAATATGATTGTGGGAAACTTCAAATGTTAGATAAATTGTTACAACAATTAACTAGTGAAGGACATCGTGCACTTATTTTCACTCAAATGACCAAAGTCTTAGATATTCTCGAACAATTCTTGAATATTCATGGTTATAGGTACCTGAGACTTGATGGATCCACCAAAATTGAAGATAGACAATTATTAACGGAAAAGTTCAATAGAGACCCTAAAATTCCAGTATTCATCTTATCTTCGAGATCTGGAGGTCTTGGTATCAATTTAACAGGTGCTGATACGGTTATCTTTTATGATTCAGATTGGAATCCTGCTATGGATAAACAATGTCAAGATCGTTGTCATAGAATTGGTCAACTGAGAGATGTTCATATTTATAGATTCGTTTCTGAACATACAATTGAATCCAATATCTTAAGAAAAGCCAATCAAAAGAGACAATTGGATAATGTGGTTATTCAAGAAGGTGATTTCACTACTGATTATTTCGGTAAATTCTCCGTTAGAGATATTGTCGATGACAGTAAGTTGGCAACTGAAATCCCCGATAAACCTTTAGCTACAGGGAATATTGAAAATGCCTTGATGCAAGCTGAAGATGAAGATGATAGGGCTGCTGCTAGTGCGGCCATGAAAGAAACTGCTGTTGATGATAACGATTTCAATGAAGATCCAAATGCTGGTAATAAAGGCGATAATGATGACATGGATTATGATGAAGGAGTGGGTCATGTGGACGAATACATGTTGAGGTATATTGCCAATGGTTATTATGAGTAGTCATGTATAATAAAAATGTATATAATGAAGAGTGTGGAACTCTACTTTTTGGCAAGTCTGACGATGAAGGCTTTCACTGATGGAGACTCTTAGTGATGGAGGCTCTTTGTGACGTGTCCAATCATCTCTACTGTGGCGGTAAGTGGCAGAACCATGTTTATTCGTGCTGTGGCGAGTCTGTTCAAGATAAGCTTCACGTCAAAAATCTTATCGCGAAAATGATGTACAACTATCACCCAACCACCTACGAAAAACACATTGACATTGGCTCGTTCAAAGGTTTACACTATGAGGAATTAAACACAAAACAAGTTTTAGGTGTTCCGTTTGCTACTGTTCCTGGAAGGTTCAGAAAATCTCAATTGAACGACAATTGGGCTCATCAATTGGATGGTACCAAATTAGGTCCACTGATCCCCCAAGTGAAAAGACCAACCTACCCCATTCCTGTCTATGATAGACCTTGGTTGAATGTTCCTGGGTCTGATGAATTTGGACTCAATCTTAATATAAGTATTCCTGAAGTACCCAAATCAGGACCTGAAGTACCCAAACCAGGACCTGAATCAGAAAAGTTGCCGGTAATGGTATTTATTCATGGTGGGGCAAACACTTATGGAGCAGGTAATTCATGTATCTTCGATGGGTTGCAATTGGCCCATTTGTCTTATAAGTTAGGTAAACCAACTATTGTAGTGACATTCAATTACAGATTAGGTTCATTTGGATTTTTAGCTTCGAAAGATTTAAAGGAATACAATTCCAAGTTTGGAGAAAACGGTGTAGGAAACTACGGAATTTCTGATCAAAGAAATGCTTTACTTTGGGTGAATAAGTATATTGAATATTTTGGAGGCGATAAGCTGAAAATTACTTTATTCGGACAATCAGCAGGTTCACAAGCATCTCATTTAATGGTGCTTAAGGATGAGGGTCTTTTCAATAGAGTTATCCTTCAAAGTGGTTTAACACCTTTATGTGGAGTGTTCACCGTTGAACAATATGACGTTATATATTTCAAGTTGCTTAAGAAATTGGGTATTGATACCACGCTCTCTCCAGAAGAAAGAGTAAAAGCTTTGGTAGAAACCAATTGGGAAGATTTGATGAATGCAAATGAAGAAATATTCCCCATTCCCTGTGTAACTATGGCTTATACTGAAGATAATGAGGTTTTACCTTCATTTCCTTCTTGGAAAGATTTAGGGAAAAAGGTTGATCACAAAATTTTGATTGGTGATTGTGCTAACGAATGTATAATCTGGAGTTTTACTTATAAAGATATGACGGCCAATGATTTCATTGAGGTATTGTATGACAAATGTTCATCTAAAGAAGTAGCCAATACATTCATTGATCTTTATGGAATCAAATCTGATTTGAGTAAAGATGAAATCTTCCACAAAATCGAAGACTTAACTTCCGATGCTATGTTCCGTTTACCAAACTATCTTTTCTACAATGCCAATCCTTCATCTTTGGTATACCATTTCAAACAAACTTCAACTTATAATCATGATTGGAATGGTTATGCCCATCATTCTCTCGATAATGTTTACGTTTGGAACCTATTAAAAGAATCTTTGCATGAAAGGGATAGACCACTTTCAGATCAAATGTCCAAACTGTGGGTGCTCTTTGCCAATGGTGTTGAATCTTGGGAACCTTATGGTGAACATAACAACATTATGGTCTTTGGAGAAGAAGGGAAATCGGGTTTGGCCGGAGAAAATAGACACAAAGTTTCAATTTGGAAGAAGATCATTGATTTAGGACTCGTAGAAGAGTTTGGTAGAGTTTGTGAAGATATTTGTTTAGCAAGAACCAATGATCATGGGTATGTTTAGATACTGTTTAGTTGTGTCAGATTCGATCACGAGACCACCATTATTTAACAGTCTCTCGTGCTTAACATATCTCAATTAACCCGTCCCTACAAGCTACTGAAAGCCAAAATCCCTTTTATAGATATAGACACTCTTCCTATCACTCTCACTATCGTTCTCACTATCTTCTGATAACGCGTGCCCTCACCAACATTTCGGTTAGTTCCTCAAAGTGCGATAATTATCAACGACGAACCTAAAGATGTCATCAGGAATTCAAGCATTATTAAAGACCGAAAAGGATGCTGCTGAAATAGTCAATGAAGCAAGAAAGTACAGAACCAACAGATTGAAATCTGCCAAAGCTGATGCTCAAGCTGAAATCGATGCTTATAAACAACAAAAGGAATCTGAATTATCAGCCTACGAAAAGGAACATGAAGGTTTAAATGACAAGATTAACAAAGATGCTGATGTTCAAGTTGAAGATGAATTAAAGAAAATCAAAGCCAAATATGATGAAAAGAAAGATTCTGTTATCAAATTATTGGTTGATGCCACCATCAGTCCAAAACCTGAATTACATGTTAATGCTAAGAATTAGAGTATATAAAATAATGGTATAAATACTTGAATCACTGGGCGATAGTGAGATGAATGGTGTGATCCCAATGGTGTGATTTGATCCTTTTGTCTCCAGTTGTGTCTGAGTCCTTGTCTCTCCAGCTGTCTCCTTCCCTCTTGTCTCCTTACCTAGAAAAATTGTCTTGTTTATTCTTTTAACTATATAAATCTATCCTCCCTTAGCCAATTTCTTAATTGACTTGAGTACTTTCCAAAATCTATTGTCATAACCAGCGGAATTCAATGCACTCACAAAACCCCAAGCTTTCTTATCATTCTTAATAGGATAATCTAATGGTGGAGGTATGGCTGTGGCAATTCCTAACATTCTTAATAAAGGTTTATCCATAACAATGGATTTGGCAACACATAATCCTGTTAATCCTTCTTCACCTCCGAATTTTCCATATCCGGATTTTTTAATTCCTCCAAATGGTAATTGAGCTACATAAAAGGTAGCAAAATCATTAATAGCAACGTTCCCACTATCTAATCTGTTGGCTATTTCATTACATTCATTGAAATTTCTTCCAAATACTGAATTACCTAATCCATACTCGGTTGCATTACTTAATTCAATAGCATGTTCTACATCCTCAGCCTTAATCATGGTCAAAACTGGACCAAACACCTCTTCATTGAAGATGTCCATCGTTTCATCAACATCAACAATTAATGTTGGTTCAAAATAATGTCCTTGAGGATAATTAGGATGTTGATAAGGTTTACCTCCATGTATCAATTTTGCTCCTTTTGATACAGCATCTTCTATCAATTGTTGTAACTTATCAAATCTATTATTTGAAACCATGGCTCCCATATCTATTTCATCCAATTGATCAATATCTGAACCTATTCTTAATTTCCCAACTCTTTCAGTGAAAATCTCCACTAACTTTCCGTACAGTTGGGGTAAACAAATAACTCTTTCAATACCGATACAATTTTGTCCAGCACTTTGAAATGTTCCTCTCATTATGACTGATGATAAAGCATTTAAATCTTTAACATCATCAAGAACAATCACCGAATCTTTACCACCTAATTCTACAACACATGGTGTTAATTGTTTGGAAGCACTGGCAACAACATGATGAGCTACTTGTTTAGAACCTATAAAAGTAATATGATCAATTCCTGGGTGAGATGTGAAATAATCGGCATCTTCAGGGAAACAATAACATAATTGTACAAGATCTTCAGGGATTGATAATTGTTTTAATACTGTTCTAACAAAATGAACAAACCATTGAGATGACCATACAACTTGCTCTGAACATTTAACAATAATGGCATTACCTGTGAAAAGAGCAGCAATTATAGGACCCATTAAATTATGGAAAGGATAATTCCATGAAACTATAGCTGATACTACACCTAAAGGTTCATATCTAACTTCACCATTTTTCATCATTCCAATCAATAAATTTGAAGGACCAGGTCTTTGTGAAGGTCTTAAAGCTTTTTCTCCATTAGCAACTATCCAATTCAATTTTTCAAGAGTTACCATGATTTCTCCCATCAGAGCATCTAATCTTGTCTTACCACTATCTCTACAAGCTATACGAGCAATTTCATCTTGATGATCAATGATATACCGATTTAAACTATGCAATAATTTTCTACGTAAAGAAAATGATGATTGTTTCCATTCCTTTTGGGCAATAGATGCTTTTTCAATCTGTTCATCCATTTCATCTCTAGTAGTGGCTGGAAATGCTCCTAAAGATTGTCCAGTAGCAGGACAATAACATTGTATAACATTAGGTTCATCAACAACTCTTACAGATAAATTGGGAGCATATAATCTTTTACCTTTCCAATGGGCTTTAGCTTCATCAGGAATTGGTAAATTCAATTTCACTGGTGCTTCTAGTTTATTATACCGATTCGCAGATGTTGATACATATCTTTTATAACAATAGAATAATGTTGGTACTATCACCCCTATGAAAAATGTAGCTGATATTTGATACTGCCATTCAGCTTCATTGAACATAAGATCAATAGCTATCATTGGTAAAGTGATGGATTAGGGTTGGGTAAATAGGTCGTATAGGTTTCGCGTTTCAGAGATGGGTGGTTTTGGTGATGTCTATTGATGCGACATTTTGCAACTTTTTTACTCTTGTTGCTGAATTTGTCTTACGATATCATCAAACTCGTCAGTTTGGGTTCTATTCTGTATAAGGGTAGCAAGGATATCTTGATTGACATAATCTAATGCATAATCAACAACTTTATTGTTTTCAATACCTGTTCTTGCATCATATCCTAAGGTAGTAACTTTAGGTGGTAAAGGATCAAATTCATAGATATCATCTCTACTCCAAATGTTTTGTGGCACTTTAGCCATAAGACTGTTTTCTCCTGATAAAATCACAAATCTTAATAAGTTGAAAGGAATCTCTTTATTATCTTTAGGTTTAGTATCCCCTTTGAAGAATTTTGACACCATGGATGAGAAGGATGAAGGCGTGGTGGCACTAACACCATCTTCAATGAAGTATTTCATTAACTCGTCTGTTAAGAATTTAATCTTTTCAGAATCATTCCATAATAATTTGGCTCTTACCATATAAGTTTCAGCAGATAAAATGATCTCTTCGTTGACTTTTACATCTGATTCCTTGATAGGCATTTGTGGTGATATACAAATGGTTTCTAATAATCTATATGAAGTATAAGGATGACTTAAATGAGCTCTTTTCAATGCTTTCTTAGCATTTTCCATGTCATTCAAATGTATATAAGCAAGAGCTGTGGAAAAGGCAATTCCTGGTGTGAACCATTTGGTGTAACTTGTAACTAATGGAGAATCAGCCAATTGGGTTAAGTACTTATATTCTCCACTCATTATAGCATAAAAATCAATGAAATATCTAACACCTAAAGGATCTTCTGTGGGGTTTATTGAAAGTAAAAGTTTACAATAATTGAAACTGGTGAAAAAAGTTGCTCTTTCAGCTAATCCAATGATATATCTGAAAATACAAAGTTGAAATTGTCTGTTCATGAAACTTTCATAAGGTAATCTTAATAGACCATTCTTGGCTTCAGCTAAAGTGTCATGGAAAAACATATGGAAGCATCTATCAAATACAAAAAGACATTTTTCAATCAATGCATTACTGGTAGATTTTTGATCTCCTTGTCTCAATAATACCATACTCACTTGAAGTAAAGTTTCAACATGATAAGGATGATTATTCAACAATGCAAATAATGCATCATGGTCAGGAGCAAGAACAACAGATGCATAGAATTGAGAATCGGCAACTCTATCTCTGACAGAATGAACTTTGTTGAATTTGAAATATTTCACCCCGAGTTTCTTTTCCTTTCTTATCTTTAATTGTAACTCTTCAACTTCAGCAATATCTTCCTTGTAATCAAAGATATCCAAAACACTATCATCGTCTAATTCTTCCATTTGTAAAGGTTTAATGGTGGTGGGTAAATAATCATCTTTAATTCTCGTCAATAATAATTTCCTATTACTTCCAGGGACACTACGTCTATCTTTACCACCCCAACCTTTTGTTAAACGGGCCAATCTCTTGAATTGTTTCAAAACATCCGGCGTTATTGATAAAGCTGTGGTGGTATTAGCATCTTCAATGGTTTCAAGGGATAACTCTCCAAATAAATTCTTAAGTTCTTCATCAGGATCAAGATTCTTGACATTGTCTATGGATAACAAAGCTAAACATTTGCTTAATCTTTCAGTGGTGAAATTCTTAAAGTTTGAATCATAGGAGATCATAGGTTGAGTGATTTCATTATATTCTTCTTCAAAATCCGCCACTCCTTCAAGATCATCTTCAATAGGTTCAACTGATCCCAATTTTTCTTGATCTTTGGCTTTAGCTTCTGCTAGTATTTTATCCAATTCATCTTCACTATCTTCTTCATCTTTCTTTGGTTGCTTTGCCTTCTTTTTTTTCTTCTTGGAAGATGGCTTTTTAGGTGTCTTAACTTCTTCTACAACTTCCTCCTCCTTATCCTCTTGCTCTTCTTCTTCTTCATTCCCATCTCCCAAAAAACTAAAGGCATTGAACCCTTTGTTCTGGTTTAGTACTACGGGTTCTTCAATATCGGGCTCTTCATTGTTTGAAGCTTCCAACTTGGCTCTCTCTAACTTCTTCAACTGTCTGGAACTCATGATGACAGAATGCGCACTATCAGAATTTGTGGTTGCAAAATTTACAATCATGTCCGCCATAGTAACTGAAACTTCAGAGCCTGGAGAGGATCTAAGAAGACTCTTGAAGTCTGATTCTGATAGTTGGCTAGTCACTGGATCAGTATGGAGCTCGAATGAACTGTTGAGATCCAGATTCAGAAGCATTGAAAATAGAAGAGAGAGGAAACTCGCTTTCCCTAATATATCATTACCAATACCACAAGTCCCTGAAAACAGTTTTGGAGGAAAATCTCCATTGATCCTTTCTCCTAATGATATTATATCGGCTTCTGAGACTATTTCACCTCACCTCAAAGAGTCTTATTCGCCTTCTACTCCCACCATAAACCAAAAAGGGTTCAAGAATTACAAGTTGGTAGAAGAGCTATACTCGAGTGAAAAGTCTTATATAAATCTGCTTCATTTGCTACAAAAGTATTACCTAAGTCCATTGTTGGATAGTACTAGGTCAGCTTGTGGAGTGCCATTATACATCATGAGTGAAAATGTCGATAGTATCATTATAGATCACGAACGGTTCTGTGGAATGCTTGGAAAACAGCTTGACACTTACGATAGTGGAGATGTTGATTACATGAATCGAAAGATTGGTGAGTTAGTGCAAATTCTAGTTGAGAACCATTATCGATATATAGAGTATTGTGATGTATACGAAGATGTGCTATCGTTGTCCAAACTCCATGAGGATGATACTGGTGTAAACAACACATGGACTAATGGATGGAATCATTACTTAGAGGCCACTCAACCTCCAGCTAGAAAATTAGATCTTTCATTCATGTCGTTAGTTCAAAAGCCCACAGCAAGGTACGGCAAGTATAGGCTATTTCTAGAAGCACTTCTTCAATCCACCTTCAAAGACTTCAATTGTGTGGATGAGAATCTAACAACGGCCCTAATCAAAGTCAAAAGTAAGCTAGAGCTCATAGATTTTGATGCTTCAGTTTTAAAGAAAATTGATGAAGCTGACCTTTTGGTAGATTTGATAGATTTCAATGGTTGTGGATTTGCCCGACAATTCTTCGGCAAATCAATCTTAATAGGTTCCCTTGTGGTAGCTTGGATAGAAATTGATCGTCTTAAAGCAATCACAGTAGCCGTGATCCTATTCAAAAGCCATTTGGTTCTATGTGATGTGACAAGAGGTAATAAGAAGTATCCTATTATATTCATTATTCCTTTATCTAAAAGCATGCTTGTAGAAGACAATAAGGATTCCGATGGTGGTATCTTTTCCAGTTATCCATATGGTTTGAAAATCTTGTTCGAAATTGGCAAAGCTCAATATGAGATACTTTTGGCAGCTATTTCCAAACAAGAGTTCCAAATTTGGAAAGATACCCTTAAAACCCTAATAAATGTTGTTAATGGGCCCTACAAGCTAGATTTCTCCATGAACGAAATGGGAATGAATCTCATACACCGAAAACCTCTTAGAATAAGCCCATTCAATGTATCGTTGGTGGGAATGAAGAAATCAAGCAATGATTGTTATTTTCAAAGGCCAATATCTATAAAGATCTATAATTCCATTTACAACGCTACCAACCAAAATCTTATAGCCGAATATTGGAACATTAATCAACCTCAAGATTTTGATGAATCCTTAGAATTGACTCGGTATGATAGGATCAAAGCAGAGAAGAAGGTTTCCTTGATCTGGAGTCAAGAGATTCCAAGAATAATGTATGAGAAGAATCCCAGAATAAGTAGACACATAAGTTTACTTCATTTCCATTCATTCAGAAGCCAAACTCTTCCCAAGGTTGAGTTGGCTCCAGTTCAAACACCAATTATTCCACAACTGCATTTCTCTTTCAGTAAAACAGCAATACCACCAGATGAAGAAATGTTTACGGCCCGAACTCACCATACTTTGCACAAAACTGAAACTTCCCATAGAACTGAAACTCCCCATAGCACTGAAACTTTGCACAGAACTAAAACCTTGAACCCCAATAATTTGACTGATACGTTGGAGAGAAGTAAGATATCTAGAGTTACCAGTTTCAAATCAGAGATCTTCAATCTTTTCAGGACCAAATCATTACAGCCATCACCTGTAAAACCTTCTGATTCAATCAAGTCCATACATTCGACTAAATCATTTCGATCATTGTTTAGAAAACATATCAATGGATAATCTTATATTTTTATATCTACTAATTAGTAATTGCGGCTGGACCCATGGAGTCATTATGACTATTATAACCACCGTGGATTCCACCAACTGATTTATCTTGACCTTCTTTAAGGATGATCTTTATAGCTTCGTCGACATTATTAGTACCGAATTCATTTTGTAATTCGGCTTTGGAAGCTTCATCTAAAACTCCTTCACTACCACCTTGTCTATTAGTGAAAACTTTATAAATTGACACTAAATCAATTAATGGAATAGTTGTATCATTGTTCTTGTATTTATCTAATAATTCTTTGTCTTCAATAAAGATAATGAAATCTTCTTCTTTTCCTTTGTAAAATAACTTATGAGGTTGAACCATTTTTAACTAGCGATTTAAAACTGAAGCGAATACCCCATATTTATAGTTCACCTCCTCAATTTAGCAATTTGCAGCAATTGCTGAGGGTGCGACTTTAGCCATAATGTCTACGTGACTGAAAACCCAATTACGTAATATGAGGTAAAGATGTTGAGCAAATCTAGCAAACCGTCACAGTTTACCGACGTGGTAGTGGGCGTGGTAATGAATTATGGTAGTGGGCGTGGTAATGAATTATGGTGGTGGACATGGTAGAGAATGTTGTTGATGATTTTTGGATGTAGGTGAGACTAAATTTTTGAGTGTGAGAGATCACACCATTATTGCTATGAGATTTATTTATACAGAAGAAGGGGTTGATGTGGATATAAATGTATGATGTTGATTTTCCACGGTAAACAAAAGAATTGGGTGATGCTAAGTCAAGGATATGGTACTGTATAATGCCCTGGTTCTATTGAATCTTGATTCCACACAGATAGATCTCGATCCAATGGGTCAAAAGTTAATTCCATTCCTTATTTCTTTGTCTCTCTTACTGTTCACTTGAAACAGTACCATAAATTTTTTTTTGAAGAGATGTTTCAAATTTTTTTCGATTCTTGCAAAATTTGCAGCCAAAAATTATTTAAACTAAATAATATGATTGAATAATCTAAAATCCGACTATTTGTCAGGTAGTTATCGAAAACACCATTTTATGGTATAATATTACCTAGTATACCTCCCCTAGTCGATTACACCCTTTGAAGCTTCAACTTTCACTGAATTTCCTTTCAGAATCTCCACTTGACTATCTATCTCCAAACTAAACAGCTCTTCAATGACATACCAACCACTCGGGCATAGATCGAAGTCTTACCATGGTGAATACCGTCAATCCCACATTTAAAGGTACTGCATACAGATTGTGCAGAGACAGTGCAGAAACACTGCTTTTTTGCAAAAACTCTCAAAAATTGACTAAAATAAGTGAAAAATTCTTCAAAATGGACTTATTTTTTATTTAGCAAGTAAAATTCCCCAAATTAATTGGGTTACATAACCCCTATCCGACCTTTTAATCTACTGGCAAATTTCTGGCTGAAAATACCCAAAACTCCATGACTTATAAGCAATTTTCTTTTTTCTTTTTTTCAATTTTGACTTAAAAACTTTTCAAATAAGGTGAAGTAAGTAGGAGGGATGGCCGAGTGGTCTAAGGCGGCAGACTTAAGATCTGTTGGAGGGTTCTCCGCGCGAGTTCGAACCTCGCTTCCTTCACTAATTTTTTTTGCATTCACACTAAACAAAAATGAAAAAGAATATAATACATTAATGTAAATCTACACGTCCTAAAACTATCCAGTCATTAACATCACCTTCAGTTAAAACTAATTTTAATACACCTCCATCCCAAGATAATCCGTTATCGACCAAATCTTCAGCATCACAATCATCAATATTTAAATAATCTTGAATTCTGGTCTTGATTGTTCTCCATAAAGCATTATCGATGGGGTAGATATCACTATAGGCTAAAGATAAATGGGGGTCAAATTCATTAATCCATTGGGCCGCTTCTTCCGCAGCTTCTCTATTCAATCTTTCCATATCTAAAGGTTTTGTCTCAATCAGTTCAGAATGTTTTCCTTTCTTCAGAGGTCTTCTTTTGATGCTATTACCGTGATTATCCTTAGTGTATAAGTGAGGATTGACCTTCTGATTCTCAATGTCTATTTTAGAAGGTAGTATCACAAAAAGCTCTCTCATAATCCTTGTGAACGAAAGTAAGTTTGGATCTTTTGATGCTTGAAAATACAATTTTTTGAAAAATTTACGTTGACTATTAACTCTTCCCAAGGTAATTAAAGGCGAATGATTCTGGGGTAATGAATTGAGGGCAGTTGCGCTTGCTGAAAGTATTTTGTCCACATCATCATGAGGATTGTTCAAATCTATCTTTATATTACTTGTGATGGTTATATGAGGGTCAAACTTTGGTGCTTGACCAGGGAATAACGTCGCAAGACTTCCCATTAAAGTTGATAGCTTATCATAAAGCGGTGTGTTCTCTTTTGGACAAAGCCATAAACTGACGCCTAAATCTTCCTAGTTAGTATATATTCCGTAATGTTGGCTCATTACTTACATACCCATTTACTCCTAAATTCAACTTTCGCACCAGTTTCCTTGTCAACTCTTGCATCATATGGGTACATAAGTTTAGGACTGTACGTCGAGATAACGCTCATAGATCATACGTAAGCTTAAAAAGGAAGATAACAGAATGATTTCTCAAGAGTCATTTGCAAGGAATCATTTACAAAGAGTCAATGGCCCTCAAAAGTCGATTTATATTGAAATATCTAATACTTAGAAGCAATAACGTCTACACCATTGACGGCTGCGTTATTAACAAACCAACAGGTTTCTACCTCTAACTCATTGACTAACTTAGAAGGTAATTTACTGGTTGGGTCGTTAAAAATCTCTTTCAAGATTGGAGCTTTACCAGCACCTTCAGCAACGAAAGCGATTGATTTTCCTTTTTTCAATAATGGGAAGGTGAAAGTGATTCTTCTTGGTGGTGGTTTTGGAGAATCTTTGATAAAAGCAATTAATTTTGAATTTTCTTCTAACAATTCATGTTCAGGGAATAATGAACATGTATGACCATCAGGACCACAACCTAATAATATAAGATCAATCTGTTTATCTTCGGGTAATTTGGATTCATAATCTTTGGTAATGGCCAAGTCTTTTTCTAAATCACTTCCTTCCACTTGTCCGTCTTTACCAGTAAGTAAAGATTCATCGATGGATATGATTTTAGGTTTAGTGACATCTGAAGGTAAATGATCAATAACTGATGAAATAAATAATCCACAATTTGAATCTTCATGATCTATTGGAACCAATCTCTCATCACTGAAATAAACTTCCCATTTATCCCATTTAACTTGAGAAAATGATTCTTTATCATCAATCAATGCTTTCTTCAATACTTTTCCAAGGGATCCACCTGAAACCGCAATTTTAAATTTACCCGATTGATCAATTGACTGATCTTGAATCTTCAACACATGTTTGGCTAAAGCTTTGGCGACATCAACAGAGTCTTCATAGGCATAGACAGTAGAACTCATAATCTTTTTCAGTTTTTCGAGTTTTCTATAATCACAGATTTTCTAGATTTCGGAAATTTTGGGTGCGACATTTTTATACATTCTATTATACATAGGGAAAAGTTACAACGTAGACTACTCTAAGAAATGAGCATATTCTGGAGCATCTTTAATTTTGTTATTGAGGAATTTCTCCAATTTGGTAGCATTCTTATAATAAGTGGTGGTTTCAGCGTTATATGATCTACAATTATTAAAGATCAATCTAGCATCATAAACGAATTGATCAAAGGATTCATATTTATCATTCTCTAATTTAGATTCCATAGTACCTAAATCCATTGGTTCCTTAATGACATCATAGTAATCACCGACTTCATCTTTATTAACAGCCACAGCAAACGGCCAAGCTGAGGGATGATTGGTTAATTCCGATAATAAAGTTACCATGAAATTATAATGAGGTCCTCTTTTAGGTTTTTGAGCTAATTTATCCATTTCTTCTGACCACCCAGCTTCTAATAATCCAGGTATTTCCTCTGGTTTTAATGTTGTGTCTTTATTATTTTTGAAAATTTGTAATCCTGGTCTAACAACATGAGATTTGGATCGAAGTTTAATCTTCTTTTCAATTGCTGCTCTTTGTAATAATAATATCTTTCCCAGATCAAGATATCTTAATATTGAAGGTAACATTTCACACTGCATCAATGTCCCTCCTTCATAATCTTTAATATATCCCATCCATACTGATTTACTTAATGAAATCTCTTTAGTGAATCCTTGTTTTTTGAAATATCCAATAGCATAATTATCAGCATATGTTAAAAAATATCTTATTGGAGATGTGGCACGTACATAATCTTTTAAATGATTCATTAAATGGGCACCATAACCTCTAACTTGTTCAGTTGATGAGATAGCACAGAAAACAATTTCGGCAAATCCTCTGTTATTGAAAGGTCTATAAGTAATCCCTCCAACAACTGTTAAAGGTTTACGTACAACTGCCATGGAAATATGTGATCTATCATAAACTAACCTTGCAATATATTCTCGAGGCATCTTAGGTAATTGTTTCTGGAAAATGTTTTTTAAACCTGTTAAAACCATTAAATTTTCTCTAGTATCATCATTATTGACTACTCTGAATTCAATTTTCCCTTCTCTTTCCTCCAAGACTGATGGTCTTTCTTTGAAAGTGTATGATATACCATCGAAATTGAATGTCGTTATTCTTTTACGTTCTTCAGCTGCTTCATCTTCTTCGTCGTCTTCATCTTCTTCACTCTTCTTTTCTTCATCTTTATCGTCATCCTCCTCATCGTCATCATCTTCATCGTCGTCATCTTTTTCTTCTTTGGGGTCTATTTCATCCTTTTCCTCTTCCTCTTTATCTTCATCGTCTTCTTTATCATCTTTAACACTAAAATCGTCTTCTTCCTCTTCTTCCTCTTCTTCTTCCTCTTCTTCATCTTTGATATCTACAGGTGAATCCTCTACTACTTCTTCCTTCTTCATCTTTTTATGATGTCCATTGGATTCACTTCTGGGTCCATGTCTCTTTCTGTCCACCATTTTAGATTGATTCCTTTATTGACAGTATACTACTCTGGATTCTCAACTTCAACCTCGCGCTGTCTCAAAAGAATTTGGTAGTGCGAAGGTTTAATCGAGGCCCCAAAGAGTTTGATTAGGTGCTTTGTTTTCTCGACTATCCTTTGGTTGCAAATTCATGTTTTCCTTGGGAGTCACCAGTATGTCATAGCTGCTCTCCTCAGCCAGACTGAAAACTGATTAGTGAAATTTTCCATGGTGTGACCAACCTAAGTACATGATTGAACGCTACGGCAGGGCTTTTGATCCCACAAACTATGACCAGACAGTAAGACAACCTTGATTTCCATCTTAAACAGTACGAAATTCCTATAAGAGACTATCATAAATACCCGGTATTTAGGGCAGGCGAAGAGAAAAGAACAAAGACCAAGTCTTAGGATAAGAGAATTCAAGTAAATCAGAATGATTATAAATGCAAAACAAAATGAGTTAAATCAACAGGCACTACCTACACTACAACCGAAATTGAAGCTTGTAATGTCATTTTTAAGAGGAGCATTCGTTCTTTGGTACTTCAGCCAAGGTTGGCATTCCACATAACCACCCTCACAATTCGAATATCTAGTACATGTTTGGACTTGAGTATCACTCCAAGTTAATCTACTTTGCTCCCACATACAAACGGGTTCCGTTCCTTGACAATTACAACTAAGTTGGATATCTGTTGAAATTTTCTTCACGATGGAAACACCAGCACCTGACAATAACTGAGCTACTTTGCTGAATGAAATTCCAGCGTCGGTTGCAAAATCGTATCCAATAGTCCAATCCACTTTATTGGAGAAAGGGCTCAGCTGTGCACATTTTCTATAAGCAAATCTTTCCCAAGAAGACCACCAAGTCCCATGTTGCACCAATTGGTATTGTTTGTAATTAATTGCAATGCTTGGGCAGTTGATTCTCCTGGAAAGTAATTTCCCAGAATTATCTTGATTCTGATCATTAACCTCAATGACCTCAATCAATGTGTTATTGTCTAGAAAGTGGAACATATCATCTTTTTGAACGCTTGACCATTCAATATTATCATCACTAGATTGGATTTGATTAATATTTGCACCACAAACAAGCTGTAAAAGAAGGAAAAAATTCACCAACAAATGAAATTTCAAACCATTGACACCACTATTGTTACTAGTGGATGTAGACATGAGCCAGGGATATTTATGGATTGACTAAAAGTGTAAATTATGTCGAAACCTTAGACTGTTACGACTAGAGAAAATATTGGGAACCGATTCCTTTTTATAAACCAACATCAACCAAAGATGCAACGGGGATTTGAATACATCTTTGCGTAATGTGAACAAACAAAACCGTTTCTATTTAGAGTTTCAGTTGTCAACTTTAAACGAGACTTCATGCACACCGTATACATTTACATTGCCGTACCACGGACGGAGAAAAAACTTCGACTGATCCATACTATCTCTCATATTAATGGTATAATCGATGTAGTTCATTCACAATTCAACTTGTTGTATTCAATTCCATTAGAAACTGATGTGAAGATGGCAAGTTGAATGGATGCTTTGAATCTCCTCAAACTTGTGAACTTACTTGTCAAGTCAGCTGAGAAGAGTGTTCGTATACAGGTTTTCGTAGAATTAAAAGCCGAGATCATCCATGTTTCGAACATCATAAATTCTTGCTTGGATAATAAGGGCGCTATCATTTCCTATCACAGTTGCAGGCAATGTCCTTGCAGAATTAGGGGTATTTGACCGTCTGACTTTTCATATAATGTCATCAATAACGAGCCAGTTGAATGGGATAGATTTTGCGCTCGTGTGACTCTTAATTTTCACTTGGTTTTTGGCCAACAATTTTTAGTTAAGTCCATCCTGTATACATGTTCTTTTGATTCATTTTTGAACCGGCCTGAAGAATTTGCGTACCGCCTATGAATAACTATTGGTCGTGACCAGCTTTCACGATTAAAGATAGAAATACATGATGTATAGCATATAAAGATGAAATACCTTTAATGACAAAGATTGTGTGCCCTTGTTAGTAATGAATGATAATCTGCTCTTCGCCTTTGATCCACCATTTGTCGTGTGACTTTTGCGTTAGCCTTCCCAAACCAGGTTCAAAGTTATCCGTCAAACAGGTTTTGCTTGTTTAGGGCCAGAAGAATTCTCGAATGACCGCTTACATTTCTTACTTAAGAGGCTCCTTCCTAAGCCACAAAGATCTTCTAATTTTTATTCCAATAGTTCTGTGCCTTGTTTCATTTGGCATTTGGATTTCGAGTGTTTGGTGACCTACTAAAGGCTGTTGGTTGTGATAGTGACTGGGATGTGGCGAAGGGTCGAGCACTCAACTGGAGTATACTGAGGTCGTTCAAAAAACTCATGAGGATTTTGACACCCGATCAGAATTTAAAAACCATAGTCCTCCACTTAATACTTCATGAAGTAATACCATCCCATGGGACCTTGTTCGTATTGTTCAAAAGTCTTCAGTTGACGAGTTACATGACATATCCCTCGAACTACACACCTGAAAATACGATTTCGTTGAAATCTAGTTTAAGTCTACTCTTATTCCCATACCATGATTTCACTACCCAACACATATGGCAGTGAGCGTCCCATATGTCTTGCTGATTGAATGACCTGAAGAATTCATCCTAACTTGCAAGATATCTAATACTTACGCTCTCAGAATTTTTTTGCCACCAAGACCCGTACACCAACTTACCTCATCTTAGATCTTCTCATTTTTGAGATTTTTTTTCAAAGTCATCTTAGTAATAAAAGATGTCTAATTATACCCAACTTGATCAAAGTGCAAATGGAGGTGTAGCCACAGTGTTATGTTGTAACTGTGGTACACCCATGGATGGATCCACAGGGATGATTATGTGTTATGATTGTATCAAATTAACAGTAGATATTACCCAAGGTATCCCAAGAGAAGCTAATATTTCATTCTGTAGAAATTGTGAAAGATTCTTACAACCTCCAGGACAATGGATGAGAGCTGAATTAGAAAGTAGAGAATTGTTAGCCTTATGTTTAAGAAGATTAAAAGGGTTGAACAAAGTTAGATTAGTTGATGCTTCTTTCATTTGGACTGAACCCCATTCTCGTCGTATTAGAATTAAAATCACTGTTCAAGGTGAAGCTATGACTAATACTATCGTTGAACAAACTTTTGAAGTGGAATATGTTGTTATTGCTATGCAATGTCCAGATTGTGCTAAATCTTATACCCCAAATACTTGGAGAGCTACTGTTCAAATTAGACAAAAAGTTCCTCATAAGAGAACTTTCTTATATTTAGAACAATTGATCTTAAGACACAATGCTCATCAAGATACTGTTTCTATTCAAGAAAGTTCTGATGGGTTGGATTTCTTTTATTCTCAAAGAAACCATGCTACTAAAATGATTGATTTCTTAACAGCTGTTGTTCCTGTTAAATCTAAAAGATCTGAAGAGTTGGTCAGTCAAGATATTCATTCTGGTTCTTCGACTTATAAATTTGCATTCTCCGTTGAAATTGTACCTATTTGTCGTGATGATTTAGTTGTTTTACCAAAAAAATTAGCTAATTCATTAGGTAATATTTCAAGATTAGTCATTTGTTCTAAAATTAGTAATATGATACAATTTTTAGATCCTTTCACTTTACAAAAAGCTGATTTACAAGCTCCTATATATTGGAGAGAGCCATTCCCATCATTATGTGATATCCCACAATTAATCGAATTTATAGTATTGGATGTTGAACCTACTGGTGATGTTCAAGGTAAATATGTATTGGCTGATATAACAGTATCAAGAGAAGCTGATATGGGAATTAATGATAATTCATATTATATAAGATCACACCTTGGAGGTATTTTACACCCAGGAGATTCATGTCTTGGATACTTTTTAGAAAATTCCAATTTTAATTCTGATTTATTTGATAGTTTAAATGATTCGAACATACCTGAAGTTGTATTAGTTAAGAAACATTATCCAAGAAAATCAAAGAAATCAAAGAACAGAAACTGGAAATTGAAGAGAATGGCTAGAGAACATAAAGAAATTGGTGGTAATGATGATTCAAGACAAGCTAAACAAGATCAAGAAAGAGCCGAAAGGGATTATGAATTATTCTTACAAGAATTAGAAGAAGATGATGAAATGAGACAAGCTATCAATTTATATAAAGCTAGTGCTCCTGCAAGACAAGCTGATGAAGAAAGTGAAATGTTTGATGATGAAGATGCTCCTGAAATTGCTATTGATGAATTATTAGATGAATTAGATGATATGAATTTAGAGGATAATTAGCATAATGTACATTATATCTACCCATAAGTATTTACCACATATATCTATTTACAAGGTCTCTCCCAATCTCTGAAGAGTTTTTACAAGGCAGTGGCGGATGTTATTAGAGAACGTTACATTAAATCTATTTGCAATTACCATTTTGTAGGACCGAAAGTTTCACCATCAGCTAATACTTTTCTGACAGCAGTACCGTTACTATCAGGAGTATCAATAACAGTTGTACCCCACCAGTTAGGGAAGTTGGTGTTAGTCAAATTCAAAGTTAAGAAAATGATTAAAGTTGACCAAGCTAAACCAATATCTAAACCAGCTGATAATGAATAATTATATTTGGCCCACCAGTGGAAGAAACGTTTTTTGATCAAACCACCGAAGATCAAACCAACGAAGGAGTAGGAAGCATAATTATAAGGAGTGGCTGGAGGAATGTAACCAGTACCGGAGAAGAAGACTGGCCAGTTCAACCATTTGATTGGGGAGTTTGGCCATTTTTTCAAGACTAACCAATTGATAACTGGGGTAATAGCACCGACAATGAAGAAGAATAATAAACCATAGTAAATTTGACCATGAGAGAATTGTCTTCCTGGTCCAATAACCCCCCAAATAATTGAAGCATTAAAGAAAACCTTACCACCTGGACAAGTATAACCATTTGAAATAAGGGCAGGTTCACACAAATGATCGATAGCACCATAAGACCATCTCAAAACAGCAATTTGAACAATACAACCCCAAAGACAACCAGCAAATTGAACAGAGAAAACTAATCTTGGGGCTAATTTCATATAATGACCCAATTTCATATCTTGAGCAAAAGTAACAGCTTGGTTATTGGTAATATAACCGAAAGTTTTGAACAACATCATAGCGACTGGTTTACCTGGTAACATGTAACCGATAATGAACTCAGTAACAACATTCAAACCAACAGCAATGTTAGTCAAAGCATAAATAACACCGACAGGTAATAAGAAAACGATAGCGATTAATAAAGCAATGACTAAACACCAGACTGGCATTTCAGTATCCCAAACTTCAATAGTCACAATGGATAAAGCAAAGAAGATAACGAAGACTACAATATACCACCAATCTGGGATTTCTCTATATTGCTTCATTAATCTCATATGGACATCTGGCTTTTCTTGTAATTTAAGTTGTCTCATAATATCTTTACCGTGGAATAATGCAGTATGAACTAAAGTGGCTAAAATTGAAGCAAATGATAAACCATAAGAAATGGCAAAAGTGGTTGATAAGAATAATGGAGAATATTCTTTATAGGCTTCAGGAATGAAAGTTAAAGTCTTTTTATCAATGATTTTTGAAACATTATAAGCTAAACCAGTGTTGTCGTAGGAACCAGATGAAGAAATTGGTAAGTATTGAGCATACCAAATGTTTGAGTAATGGATAGCTGGAACAATAATCCAGAAAATAACCACAATTGAAGCAAAAATGGTCATAATAGTACCAACTGGGGGAATCAATGGAGAACCAATATAACCGGCAATTTGATTCCAATCGAAAGTGATTGGAATTAAACCTAAACCAGTTGAAGCTCCGAAAACTTGATTGACAATAACGTTATCTGGTTTAATCCAAGTTGGGAAAGCAAAATATGATAAAGCTGGGAAGATATAACCAGGGAAGAAATACCAAAAGAATGAAGCAGCGAAAACGATACCGAAGAAAGCTAATCTACTGATTCTCCAACCATTAGCGGTGTGGTTTTCATTAATGTGCATATTGGTTAAAAAGGTAGCTGAAACTAAATTCAGGGGCCAAATCATTGAAGGTGGATGAACCAAGACTCTTCTGGCGATACCACCTAAAGCGAAACCAATACATTGAGTTGAGAAAATCAAAAGAAGATCAAAACCCCAACCAAAATCTTTACCATAGAATCTGGTTAATGATAATAAGATATCAGTAGCATAAGCAGCACCTCCTCCGAAAGAAACATTAGCAGCAATAACAATTAAAGTGTGTTCTTTAACATTGAAAGGACCAGGATTTAAAGGAGCACCAAAAACATTGACATTTGGCATCCATTTACCCCAAGCTACACCGATTGGCCAAGCTAAAATAGAAGTAACAAAAGTAGTAACTGTGAATGAAGGGGAATGTAATGAGAATAATAAATTCATACCAGCACCAATAGTTGATAAAATGAAAGCTAAGACCCACATTCTGATGGTGTTTTGAGGTAAAGAAGGATCATCAGTACTTGGAACAGCAGCTCTAACTTCTGGGTATGGAGAATCATCTTCGACAGTGATAGCAGCATATTCATCATGTAAAGCAGCTTCTTGTAATTGAGAAGTAACAGGATCGAATTCAAGGGATTTGATAGCTTCAACTTTTTGAGCTAATTCATCAATATCATTAGAACCACTTTCGAAATCTTCGTTAACACTAGCAGCTTTTTCCTTTTCCAGTTGATTAGAACTGAAGAATTGTTTAGCTTTTTCCATTTTGAATTTTTTTGAAAACTTCGGTTTGAAAAAAGATTATGGGGTAACAAAGCTAATTATAATATTTAGGAATCAGTCATAATTAAATACTGCATTTCCAAAAGTATGGCTGTTTCACCGGACGGCCTCAAGAAAGATAACAAGCCGCGACATTTCTATTCTATTTTACCGAAATCCCAGTTATCTGTGCGGACCCATTCTTGAGAAGAGGAGGCAGTCAAAATGGCTTAAGTGGAATGTTCTTTCTGAAATAGAAATTATTTGTACAACAGTCAAGTCTGGCATCTTTCTTATCGTTAGGGTGAAGTTCTTATGGAAAAATCTTGGAGTTCAGCTACCCAACCGTTATCGGGTGGTCCGCTTTTCCTTAAGCCCTAGATTATGCAATCTAAATCTATACATGCCATGAGGCACTGGTATTATTTGTGTCGCCTCACTAATTTCTTAACTTTATAAAACTGATCAGCAAATGTCCAATCAGATAATTTCTTTTGTCGCATTCTTTGACATATTTTTGATGGCTTTGACAGGTCCAGACGCAAGGACTTTGAACCATGGAGTAAGAATAAACATCGACTTTGTAAGAATAACTCTGACCTTCCTATCTTTTGAGCGAAAATTCCTGACGAAAAAATCCTCATGAGATGGCATTGTGTAGGTATTCAGGGCAACGATTAAGTATATGTACCAATGACTATTCTGTCAACATTTGAGGTTATATCAAAAATGTCGCGTTTTTTGGCCTTTACCGCACATGCGCTTTGGGAATAAAGTTCTGCAATTCGACATGATAAACACCGAAAACAGAAACTGTAAGAGAATTGGGGGAAGAAAAATCGTTTACTCAAAGGGCAAATAAATGGGCCATGTATGACAAACATCAAAAGTGACTGTAATCATGAATTTACGAACTATCATCTGATAATCCACAATCCACCCACTCATAAAATATTCGTATTCCGCTGGAATTTACATTTGATCCGTTGTCATCAAAAATTATATCAGTAACACCACTTTTCATTTATTTTTCGTAATAAAACTTCAACCTATTGTAGACGAATTAATCAGCTTATATGGAAAAAGAAAATTCAAAATTTCTATCTTTGTTATCTTGATTGTAACATTGTGACATTGTTATCATTAAGTCTCTTGACGATAATGTCTCTTTATCACTCGGCCATTAATCTAGATGAACCCTCCAAATTTTCTAGCCGATATCTCATTATTGACTCTACATCGGTACACCAAATCCTAGAATTTAGATAACTTTGAGGAATTCGCGATGAGATAGATTTCTTAACCAAAAGAGATGAGACAAAAGAGAGCAAAATCATATAAGAAACAGATGAATGTTTATTTACATGCATTCAAATTCAGGGAACCTTTCCAAACGATAATTGATGATGAGATCATCTTACATTGTGAAAAATCCTCATTTGATTTGATTAAGGGATTGAAAAGAACAATTCAATCTGAGATCAAACCTATGATTACCCAATGTTGTATGCAATCATTATATAAAACCAACAATCAAACTGCCATTGATATAGGGAAAAGTTTCGAAAGAAGACGTTGTAATCACCCACCATCAGATCCTTTGGCCCCTAAGGATTGTATCAAATCAATCATTGCTCCTGATAATAAGCATAGATATGTTTTAGCATCACAAATTTTCGAATTAAGAAAAGAATTAATGAACGTACCTGGGGTTCCCATGGTATTTATGAACAGATCAGTCATGGTGATGGAACCAATATCAAAAATGACTTTAAGATACGCTAACGATTATGAAAACAAAAAGTTAACCGGAGGTTTAAATAGTACTGGGCAAGAACCTGTCAAACAAGAACCAGCTAAGAAGAGAAAGGGTCCTAAACAACCAAACCCTTTAAGTATCAAGAAGAAGAAAGTAGAAAAGACCGATGAGAATAAAGAAAATCGTGATAACGATGATACTGGTGAAGTTAAAGAAAAGAAGATCAGAAGGAAGAGAAAACATACTAGAAAGACCGACCACCCAGACGGAGAAACTACTGCCGAAAAAGAGCAGGATGTTGAACAAAATGCGGACGAAGAATCATAGATATGTAAATAATCATAATGCATAATGACTTATATAGTTTGATCTTGTAAGATATCAAACAGATTGTCTAAATTATCTAATTTTTCCTTTTTAGGAGGTTCTCTTATAACTTTAGAATCTATCTTTAAAATGTCTTCACCTTGTAAAAGTGATAACTTACAGCCAAACGCAATGGAATTTTCCCTAAAGTTATTCTGAAGGTACTTCATTAATAAATAAAGATTGTTCTCTACCTCGACTGTCAATTGTTCACCTGTGAATACCAATATGAATCTTCCTTGAATGTGTTTTAATTCCATTTGATTTTCCAAATGATAATTTCCGAGGTTTGGTTCGATTATGGATAATAATCTTTCTTCAGTGATACTGAAATAGACATCTTCGATTATGATGGAATTAAATAATTCCTCATTCAACTTCTCCTGTTCAAGTTTTCTAGCTAGTTCTTCTAATTCTTTCTTTTTGTCATCTTCTTCAATGAATTGTTTAATTGTGATTTCAGGTAAGACTGTGTACTGAGTAACATAAACGTAAACTGTTCTCTTCGGCTCAGGGTCTAAACTTTCAGAGTAAAGTTTGAAACTTTGAGCTAGTTCATGGATGAACTTTCTTTGTGGATGATTCATGGGTTGAAAATGATGAAACTTTTTCAGCTTGTTGATTATTAGATCCCTCAAGAACCCTTCCATCATTGAGCACCAATTGGTTTGTCTTCTATAAGTATCGACAACATACTGTGAGTAAATGGTTTCGGAATCAGAAACCACAGTTTCACCCGTAAATGCCACTTTCAATTCGTTATCACGTTGAATTCTTTCACACTCTTCATCACAATGTAATTTTGAGTCAATCACAGATTCAGTGGTCTTGTTGGCTCCACAAGGGACCTTCTTATTGATCCTTCCACAGCTACAACTTAAATCGATCAATTCTTTACAAGAAACATCATCACAGTCTTTCTTTCCGAAATGACACTTTTCTTGACACCTATGAGGACAACTTTTCCTAATCTTTTTACACGATGAATTACAGTAGCTCAAATGAACCCCATTGTTACATGCCTTTGAACAAGCCCTTGAACATTCGTGACCACATGATTTCAATTCCCTACATATATAACTACATTTTGGATCTGGAGCTGAACATAAGATATTTGGCATATCGTTCCTTCCACATTCACATTTTCGGGTCGTTCTTTCAGTACACGGAGGGCAAACACCAGTTTCATGACAATGATGGATCTCCGACTTGTGGCCACAACTTTTGGGTCTTACACATTGTTCCATACAATTTATCTTGGTACCACATCTCACTGGTGCAGGGATAACCGTCTTACCACAATTACAGATCAAATCTTCATTGGTAGATTCAAGACATGTTTGACATGGGCCGGCATGGCACAAAGCGTCACAAGTATGCTTTTGACAACTTTTGAGTCTGTTACAATTTCTAGTACAAATATGAATCGATTCAATTGACATGATGTCTTGATTAACATTAGAAACCAACTTGTTTCTGATCTGTTTCTTTCTCACTCTCTCTCTGTCTAAAGCAACCTTTTCGTATTCACAACATTGAGCTTTATGGTAATGTCTTCTACAACTGAGAAGGGCATCACATTTATGTTCACACTGTGGTGAAAATCCTTGTTGTAAAGCTTTACAAGGAACCAAAAATTCATAATTTTGACATGAACATTTGGTTTTTATGATTTTGAAACATTCACAAGGACCTTCATGACATTTCATAGCACATTCACACCCACAATCTAATAATTTACCGCATACTAACTCACATTCAGGAATAGGATCGGTACATTTGGATCTTCCAGCAGCAGGAGATTTACCACAATGACAAGTATTCAGAACTTCTGGTGAAAACTTACATTGTTCCGAAGATCTTGGAGGTTGGCAGTCGAGAATTTCAAAATGAACATTACAGTCAAAGAAATATTTAGTTGTTTCTTCACAATAACCAATCCCCACCCTATCGTTACAAGCTTTCAAAAACTTATCTTGACATTTAATCTCAAGTTCGTTCTTCCCACAATAGCAAGAGCCTTTGACTGTTTGGTGACAAATCCCACAGAATCCAGAATGACAGTTCTTGCGACATTTATGGCCCATATCACAAAGTGAAATGTCGCACTTATCTGGACAAGTCCAACCTGTTTTATAAGGAGTTATAATACAAGGGACTTGCTTCTGATGATTACCACATTGACATTTCATCACTGGACCCAAAGCACCACATACTGGATGTTGAGCTGGGTGACAGGGTGAAGAACATGAATGGATACAATCTTCATATTTGGCATTACAAATATTACCACAACTAAAAGGAACTAACGAACTAGATGATGGATTTTCTACTTTACCACACCAACAAGTGAACTTTGATGGGATCTTACCAATTTCATCATTACAAGAAGGACATCTCCATTTTTTATTCTTGGTAGATGAACCTCTAACAGCCCAATCTCTTATACATTCTAAGTCGTATACTCTATAACAACTTTCACATGACCATATTTCACAATTAGAATCGATTTCCAATGTACAAACAAGACATGTATAGGTCCCGTTCTGGATTTCTTCGATTATGATATCAGATAATGATCTAGGATTGAAATTTGAATCTGAGTCTGAGTCTGAGTCTGAATCTGAGTCTGAGTCTGATTCTGGTTCTGAGTCTGAGTCTGAGTTCAAATCAGAAGCAGTCCTTACTACTTGATCGTCGTTCCCAGTATCGTCCTCAACATCTGCATCTTCTGATGGTTCAGATTCTGTCTCTCTCTCTTCACTACTTTTATCTTCAGACTCCAGAACACTAGATGAATTCTCTTCTTTCAGGATTTCCGCTTCCTTGGTATTTTTATCTACAAAGGTTTCACGAATTACTTCGTTTCCATGTTCCAATCTGTCATTTATTGTCCCAGTTGGACCAGGATCATCAACTTCAATATCATCAACCATAAAGATCGAGTGCGAAGAGCAGGCAAAATAGTTTCAGAAATGAGTAATAATCATAGATTTGGTACATTAACTATTATACAAAGAATGATTCATAATTCTTCATTATTTAATTGACACGAATACTTCTACGTTTAAAGAAGTCCATCACTTTCTTAGCAGCACTGATTTCCTTATTAGTTTTATCAGTTTTACCTACCACTTTATTCTCTTTATTATAATCTTTAGGTATTTTATGAGATTCTTTGGGCTTAGACTCTTTTGGTTTCGTTTCTTTTGGTTTAGTTTCCTTCTTTCCTTCTTTGGTATCTTTTGGTTCTTTAGGTGATATGTTCAATGAGGTTGATGATGAATTATCTGAATAATTGGAATAAATCGAAAGTAAACTAAACCTATTCCTCTTTTTATCAGCTTTCTTCTTGGTTGATTTTTCCCTTTTAACTTTAACAGGTTCTTGTAAATCTTGAGAAATTGTGTCTTCTTTTGGATCTTTCTTTAATGATAAGTTTTCTAAACTTTCACTTAATTCATAAGTTCCAATCTTATCTTCTAAATATAACAACACTGAGTTACGTTTATTATCTCCATTGAAAACGCCATTAACATTAATTGGAGTAACGCTACTATTTCTTCTTGATTGTAAACTAATAGAATCCATTTCAGTTTTGATGGGTGAATAATTACCACCATTCCCTGATCCATTGGTATTAATCTTACTGATACTTGCATTTGAATTGGTAAAGTTCTTTGGTGGTGATGCTGATGTGGTGGCAGATGATTTGGTTGATAAATTCAATTTTGGTGGTGAATTATTATAAGAATTTGATCTTGAATTAATTGAAATTGGGTTATTTAAATTAAGGGTAGTATTTGAAGTGTTTGGTAAAAATTGAGCTATTGGAATATTAATAGGTGAAGGAACTTTATAATCTAAAGAAGAATAACTGGAGTTTGTTGGATGATAAGATGTTGGTCTTGGTTTTTTTGGTTGATGAGGTAACTTTTGTGCTGTTGGTGGAGGTAAAGGGTTATCTTTGATCTCAGTGAGTGGGTTCCTTTTTGGCAGTTCAATGATTGTTGATATAATTGTAGAATCCATGTATGAGTTTTTATTTGTGGTAACATCAATAGTTGGTTGAATTGATGAAGTTGATGAAGCAACGATTGTTGGTTGAGATTCAGGAATTGAAGTTTGGGAAATTGATGGTTCAACAGGGGTTGCTTGAGTATAAGAATAAGATCTACCATGAGTTTTCTTGAAAGTTGAAACATTAAATTGATTTAATGAATTGGTCGATTCCATCATTGAATATCTCTTATTAGTAACAGGTTGAGGAACATTACCACTATTTCTTTCTTTATAAATTTTATCCCATTCAGGTTGTCTGATAGATAATAAATTAGCATGAGATGATAACCAAGGATGATTTCTAATAGCATTGATGTCAATTCTTTTTTTAGGATCAGGTATGATGATTTTTCTTAATAAATCTCTTGCTAAAGGACTAACATATTCTGGGAAAGTTAAAGGAGTTTTACAAATATAATGATACAATTTTATTATATCTGAACCATCTTCATTAGTTGGGTCATCATCAAATGGTAAATAACCTGATAACATTGCATATAAAATAATACCCAAAGACCAAATATCAACTTTCTTACCTTCATAAGGACTTTGAGTTAAAACCAATTCTGGTGCTGCATAACATGGTGAACCACAACTTGTTTTCATTAAATCATTTCTATTTTGATTATATGAATTAACAAATCCAAAATCTGTTATTATAATATTCTTATTCTTATCTAATAATAAATTCTCCAATTTCAAATCTCTGTGAATTAATCCTTTAGAATGTAAATAATCAACTCCACTAACTAATTGAGCAAAGAATTTTTTGGCTACATTTTCTTTCAAGTATTTATGGTGTAAGATGTAATCAAATAATTCACCTCCACTAGCATATTCTAAAACAATTCCGATATATTTCCCACTTTTCATAACTTCAACTAAGTTAACAATATTTGGATGATTTAAAATTTTAAGACTATTGATTTCTCTATGGATTTTAATTTCCGATTCACTATCTTTTATAATACTATCTCTTTTGATTAATTTTATGGCTACTTGGTTAGGTAATTTCCCATCTTTCCTCCAACCTAATTTGACTTTCCCAAATTCTCCTTCACCTAAAGTTGATCCTAATATATAATTACCGAATCTAACTTCTCGATGTATCTTCTTAACGATACTGGAAGGGATTTTCTCTTCAGTTATTGTACTCATGGTGAAATGACCGATGAGTGTTTTGTTTTAATGTTGTCAGCTTTATTAAAGCTTTAATTTGAAATGTTTGGACTTTGTTACTTATTTGTCTTATTTGAATAACTTTATGATGTTATTTATAATTAAATCCGTTTTGATCTTTATGAATATTACTTCAACAACCTAACACTTCAATTGTATGGAAATTATTCTTTGAAATATCTATATTGAAGATGACGATGTATCAGAAGAAAATTATAAACAAATAATCGTTAGATTTTTTAATGATTTAATGAATCCTTCCTTTTACTTGGAATATCGTTGAATGTTTAACTTTTTGACCTTTGATCACTAATTATAAGGAAGGGGGAAAGAAATTATTTTAACCCTTTTGTCTGTAACAATTTACAATAAGAAAACACAGGACCAAAAAAAATGAGTAGGTTAGTTTGTTTATATTTTGAGTCATCCACGCCCCGCTTGATTTGGTTGCAAAAAAAAGTGAAATTATAAACACTTCAGAGTTTTTTAAAGTTAGAGGTATTAACGACTACTTTGTTTAATGTATTGTAAGATGATGATGTGTTCTTTGATAAATATCGGGTTTGTTTTATCATTATTTCTTTCTATGACCTCATTTTAACTGAATTGAGAAAAACGTCTAAACTAGCCATAAAATTATCGACAAACGCTTTTTGACGAATAAAAATTTCTCCTTAATTGGTTATAATATGATTATCTATTATAATCTATGACATGGTTGATGCCACTTAAGAGATACAATGGTCATTTATAAGGAGAAAAGTTCTTTTAACGTTGAAATTTCAAGGGTCTTCTTGAATTGGTTGATAATTGATATTTCACTTATTTTCGCACAATAAGGGTAAATAATTACAACCCCTATTGTATAAAAAAATAGCCTTTCTGATAATCCCTATTATGTGCATTTATTGTTAAAACTCAATAAAGGAAAATTTCATTTTGATCCAATTGTTCTTACGGATATTTGTTGGTTAATAGATATTTCCTCGTCAGTAATATATCTGAAAGGTAATCAATAAAGGGTATTTCCGTAGATAAGTTACTTAATTAACTCCAGGGTGATTTAAATCCCTGATGATTTATCTCCATGTAAATCCCAGATCTCCAAAACATTCTTTTAACATACGTGTCTTATGGGTCTTGACAACTCACTAAAATTCCTTCTCTTGCTTACAACCCTTAAATCAAAAACGTTACATCATTTACCCCATAATATTTTCTTGATCCTTATCCCCTCGCATTTTGGTGCTCTTATCTCGAACTTAACTCCTGATAATCGTGTGTACTGGTTATTATATGTGGAGATATCCCTCACTTTAATTAACAACCAAAAGAAACTTTCTCACATCTGAAACCTCTTATTGGTGTACCGATGTTAGATCTGGTAATGTTTACCTTTTCCTGATGGTGCGCGGTTTAACTACGCGCTTAGTCATTTGATCTATATAACTTATTTGAAATGACACAAGAATATGACGATGATGATGCTATGGGAGGTCCTCTCTTGATCGAACAGTTAGAAGGTAATGGTATTACCAACAATGATATCAAAAAATTAAAAGCTGCAGGGTTTAATACTGTTGAAAGTATCGCCTATACCCTGAAAAAGAATTTATTGTTAGTTAAAGGTATTAGTGAAATTAAAGCTGAAAAGATTGCTGGTGAGGCTACTAAGTTGGTCCCTATTGGTTTCACTACCGCTTCCAAATTTCATGAAAGAAGATCAGAATTAATCTGTCTTACAACTGGTTCTAAACAATTAGATACTTTATTAGGTGGAGGTATCGAAACTGGTTCAATTACTGAAGTTTTTGGTGAATTTAGAACTGGTAAATCTCAGTTGTGTCATACTTTAGCTGTAACTTGTCAATTACCTATCGATATGGGTGGTGGTGAAGGTAAATGTCTTTACATTGATACTGAAGGTACTTTTAGACCTAGTAGATTGGTCTCTATAGCTCAACGTTATGGTTTAGAACCTAATGATTGTTTAGATAATGTAGCTTATGCTAGAGCTTATAATGCAGAACATCAACTTCAATTATTGAATGTTGCCAGTCAAATGATGGTTGAATCAAGATTTTCCTTATTAATTGTCGATTCTATTATGAGTTTATATAGAACTGATTATAGTGGAAGAGGAGAATTATCTGCAAGACAAATGCATGTGGCTCAATATATGAGAACTTTACAAAGATTAGCTGATGAATTTGGAATTGCTGTTGTAATAACAAATCAAGTTGTTGCTCAAGTCGATGGATCAGCTTCAATGTATAATCCAGATCCTAAAAAACCTATTGGTGGTAATATCGTTGCTCATTCTTCAACTACGAGATTGAGTTTCAAAAAGGCAAGAGGTGAACAAAGAATTTGTAAAATTTATGATAGTCCGTGCTTACCAGAAAGTGAATGTGTGTTTGCAATTTATGAGGATGGTATCGGAGATCCAAAAGTCGAAGATGATGATGATTAATCTTGATTCTTTCCCAAGGTATATAAGGGTAGAAAAGTATTTATGTGTTTCTGTATGTTAATTTTGTTTTCTTCCTTTTCATTCTGAAATTCTCTCCATAATTCGAACAAAATCATTCATATCGGATCGTAAATCAATTTTTAAGCCGTTAAATTCAAGAATTTCTTCAATTATTTCATGTTACAATTGGCACATGCGAAGATCTGAGTCATTTCAAGATTCCGTAAGGAATTTTCATGCGGCAATTCCTTTTTCAGGCGAAAATTTTTTTATCTTTTTCATCAGTGAGTGAAAATTTTTATCTTTTTCATCAGTGACTGCGGACGTGTTTTGCCGAATTACTCAAAAAAACAAAATTCTTAAATTTTAAAGTTGATTTTACAACAAAAGATTGTAGTTGGAAAGCTACTAGAAGTTAATATAATAGTTTCATAATGGACAAATCAAAAGTTAAATCGATATTACCAAAACCTTCACCCAGTATTCTGCCTTCCCTCACTCCACAACCTCCAACTTTAAAAAGGAAATTCAGTGAACCAAAAAGATCTAGTCTTGGAGGAAGTCCTGGGAAATCTCCTACTTCAATAACAACTTCAAATAAAATATCTAAGAAGTATGAGAAACCAAAACCCACTGGCCATAGACCTGTTACATCTTGTACCTTTTGTAGACAACATAAAATCAAATGTAATGCATCAGAGAATTTCCCCAATCCATGTACTAGATGTGATAGAATGAGTTTAAAATGTGAAATTGATCCTCAGTTCAGACCAAAGAAAGGTTCCCAAATCCAATCACTCAAGAATGATGTCGATGAATTAAAGGCTAAAATCGAAATGTTGACAAAGAATGAAAATTTATTAACCCAAGCTTTGACTCAACAAAATTTATCAACTATGAATTTGAACATTTTAAGTCAAGATCAAAAAACCTCGGATTATGATATGGATAGTATTTCATATGATGTTGATTTCACACCTACTGATGACCTTGGAACTCCAACTTATTCACCAAAAGTTGATTTTAGAATCGCCAATACCTTAAATAAAGATGATAACTCCGATAATTCTCCGTTGAGAAGTTCCGACTTACCTGCAATTGAAGAATTTATTCTTGGTGATGTTCATTTACCTTTATCTAAAGCTAATGAATTACATAGTAGGTTTGTTACTCAATACCTTCCATATTTACCTATTTTAAAATCCAATAATGCTACTGAATTATATTATAAATCTCAATTGTTATTTTGGTCAATAATGTTAACTGCTTCATTGAGTGAACCTGAACCTTCATTATACATGAGTTTAAGTTCGTTGATCAAACAATTAGCTATTGAAACGTGCTGGATTAGGACTCCAAGGTCCACTCATGTTATTCAATCATTAATTATCTTGAGTATATGGCCTTTGCCAAATGAAAAAGTTCTTGATGATACTTCATATAGATTCATCGGGTTAGCCAAAAATTTATCTTTACAATTGGGTTTACATAGAGGTGGTGAATTCATTAAAGAATTCAGTAGAACTCAAGTAAATTTAGGTCCTGATTCGGAGAAATGGAGAACTAGAAGTTGGTTATCAGTATTTTTCTGTGAACAGTTTTGGTCATCTACTTTGGGTTTACCTCCTTCGATCAACACCACTGATTATCTTCTAGAAAATGCCAGAATAGATAATAATTTACCAAAAAATTTCAGAAACTTAATCAGTTTATCAATTTTCCAATGTAAATTAGTGAATGTTATGGGTATTTCTGTTACTAGACCTGATGGTTTATTGGAGCCTTCCAATAGAGCAGGTTCTTTGAATATTTTGGATAGAGAATTGGAAAGATTGAAATTCAAATTGAAAATAGAAGATAATTCCCCTATAGAAGTTTATTTCCTTTACATCAAATTGATGATCTGTGGATTTGCTTTCTTACCTGGTACCCCAATCGAGGATCAAGTCAAATATGTTAGTTCAGCTTATTTAGCATCGACAAGAATCATTACTATAGTATCTCAAATGATCAATAGTAATAAAGCTACGTTGATAGAATTACCTATTTACATAAGACAATCTTTAACTTACAGTGTATTCTTATTATTCAAATTACATTTATCAAGATATTTAATCGATAGATATATTGACAGTGCTAGACAATCAATTGTTACTGTTCATAGATTGTTGAGAAACACTTTATCTTCATGGAAAGATTTACAAAATGATATTTCCAGAACTGCCAAAGTTTTAGAAAACTTAAATATTGTGTTATATACCTATCCAGAGGTCTTTGTTACAGATGAAGATAGTTCAATTATTTCAAAAATTAGAAGTCATTTGACTGCATCATTATTCTATGATTTAGTCTGGTGTGTTCATGAAGCAAGAAGAAGAACTGTTTTAGATAAACAAGAAGGTAAAGAAGTCAGTACTAAAAAGAAAGAGGATGTAAGTAAATTAGCACCTTTACCATTCTATAATCAAATTACTAAAGATGATTTCAAAACAATAATCACCACAACTCCAAATGGTACTACAATAACAACTTTGGTACCAACAGATCAAGCTATGCTGAATGCAAAAATGAAAAGTAATAACAAACCTCTAGAAATCAATGGTATACCTTTACTGATGTTAGAAGCTACAGGATCTTATAAAGATGGTAAAACTAGCCCTAAATTAATCAAGAGTCAATTATCCCCCAGACCTGCTTTTACTTCCACCAATGCTATCATGCCAGAAATTGTTCAAGGATCACCAAATTATTTGAATCAAGAATATGAATTACCCAGTGATCAAATGTTTAATTCTAATATGATAATGGAAAATCAATTATCACCAGTGATAAATGATCAAATGGATAATTTCTTCCAACAACAGTCCAACGGGTGGATCGATAATCAAGATGACGATTTCTTGGGATGGTTTGATACCAATCCAATGCAATAATGAATTTTTTTTCTAAATGTTTAAATAGTTAAGTGCTTTCAATGTATATATTTCTAAACAAAAACCTTTTACATTAAATGTCTCTTTGTAGAGATTAAAACCATATAAATTATCATACCATTACATAATTACGCAACATTTACTCTTTGCTTTATCATTTTCTTCCCCTGATGAAGATTGTTTTGTTCTAACTTTTTTAACTTCTTTTTCTGATGGAGGTATTTCTGATTTTTGGTCTTGTTGCTTTTGTAATTCTTTTTGTTGTTTCTTTTCAGCTGACATGGCAGCTTCTTTTCTCATGATTTGTCTTACAACATCAATAAATGCTTCATCAACATTAGTTTTATACATAGCACTAGTTTCATAGAATGGTACTAATCCCCATTCTTGACTAACTTTAACCCCATCTTCAATTGATAAAACTCTATCATTTTCTAAATCAGATTTATTACCAATCAAAACCATTGGTACATTATCACTATCTTTAATTCTCAACACTTGTTCTCTTAAAGCCAATAATTCTTTTAAAGAGTTTTCATCAGTAACTGAATAAACTAATATGAATCCTTTACCGGATTTGATATATAATTCTCTCATGGCGGTGAATTGTGCAACCCCAGCGGTATCTAAGATCTCTAAATCACAAGCTCTGCCATCAATTTCAATTTGTTTTCTGTAAGAATCTTCAATAGTTGGATCATAACTTTCAACATAAACACCTTGAACGAATTGAACAGTAACTGAGGATTTACCAACACCCCCTGCTCCTAAAACAACGATCTTATAATCTATATCAGTTAGTAATCCACCATATCTTGCAATTTACCAATTGTTCCATAATAAACATACCTCTCATAGTAAAGAAAACAAAATCGATCTTAGGTTTTTTTTACGTGTTCTCGCTCGTCAGACATTTCTCGTCTACGTGCTTATATAAGCTTACGATAAATCATTAGAACAATGTGTATTAAAACATAAACGAACTATAGAGATTGTTCGGATCATAGGCCCGGTTAAACATACTCATTACAATGGGAGAATGTTTGGAATTGGACCTAATGGAACAATACCATAAGGGTTAATTGAATGATGAGATGTGGTATAATGTTTCTTGATGTGATCAAAGTCAGTGGTTGATTTGAAAGCTTCATTTTGCCAATATAACTTCTTCATCCAAGTATTAATAAAAGGATAATCATGTCTAATCATTTTAATATTACATTTGAAATGTTGATGATAAACTGGATCAAATCTGATGATAGTGGTGAATAATCTAATATCAGCTTCAGTCAAATGGTTCCCAATCAAATAATAGAACTTATCATCTTTACCTTCATACTTGTCTTTCAAGATATTTTCTGCTTTGTCTAAATATTTGAAAACATTTACCACATTCGATTCATAAGCAGTTTGACTAGTAGCGAAACCTGATTTATAGACACCATTATTGATGTTGTCATAAACCCAGGCATTTAATTCATCGATCTCACTTTTCAATTCTTCAGGATACAAATCAACTTTGTGACCAGTTAAAACTTCGAATTCTCCCAACATCCTGATAATTTCTGCACTTTCATTACTAACGATAGTTTCCTTTTTCTTATCCCATAAGACTGGAACAGTCCATCTTCCTTCATAATCAGGGTTTGCCTTTGAATAAAGTTTGCTTAATCTATCAAGATGATAAACATGATCAATGGTACCTTCGCTGTCATCATCTTTAGCTTCAGTAATAAATCTCCATCCATTATCATCTAAATGAAAATGAACTACTGAAACATCAATGTAATCATGTAATTTTTGTAAATTTCTTGTGATCAAAGCTCTGTGAGCCCAAGGACAAGCATAAGAAACGTATAAATGATATCTACCTTTTTCAGGTTGAAATTCTCCATCTTTGGTAATCCAATTTCTAAATTGTGATGCCTTTCTACGAAATTCTCCGTCCTTATCAGTCAATGCTGTTCCTGCTAATGATGCTCCTGCCATATTGTAACTATTTATACTAAACCTTTTAATTCCAATTGATTTGATTCTACAACTGAGATTGATATACTTTATATAGTGAGTGCTGTGGTAAAGTGAGGTCATTTACCACGGCCAGTTAAAACCGGTCCTCGCGTGTTGAAACAGGATCTTAGTCACATGACTAATCGTGAAAAGAGTTATTTAAATTTAAACCACCTAAATTGTGATACAAATATAAAAGGTTTTAGGGTTATGGGAGTCGACTTCAATCCCCATCCTGAAGGTTTGTTTGAACTGAAAGTATGGTCAATTGTGTCAGGATTAAGTGAACGTTTACCACTATAATTCAATATCACTGTATAAAAGTCTCCACACTTTACGACAGGGGGAATTATTAATGTATTTTACTAATTGACCTTCGCCGTTTCATGAAAATTTGTAATTCTTTATTTTTGCCATCTTTGCTACTTTGTTCGTTCACATGACCTAATTGGCGTATTAATGTCAGAAATTCCTTTATTTGAGTTCATCTTACAAATTTTTAGTGAAATTGTGAAGATTTTAGCCATTTTGCAGGAATCGAGACAGCGGAAATGTGCGTGTGGCTAGAGGGCAGAGTTTATTATCAAGACTTTGGATATGTTAGACTATCAGTACAATTACTTCATAATTCATACTTCATACCCAGGATTTGATCTGGCATTCAATATTTTTTTTGTATCTTTTTCTTGTATTTTTTGCAGTTTTTATTACTCTCTCTATATGAGCTATATTCGAATTTTGATCCAATAAAAGATAAGTAAAAAAAAAAAAGGATGGAGAAACTAGTCAATTAAATTACATCCAGGTATATCTTACGAGTCTGTAGTGAATCAACATTAACTCCGAAGTTCCCAGCTCGAAAGTAAGAACAAACAAATTTTTGAAAGCCAATTTCAGTGAACTAACAAGCCATGGGACTAAAGAGAACGGGGGGTTGTTCGTGGAAGGCAGAATGATATGGGAAAGTTTGGTAGTCTCGGGTGAAAAATTTTTGTCACCAAAAAACTCCTTCTGGGTTCCTTATACATCAAGAATATGCTTCAGTTCGCCTCTAAACTATCAAAAGTCATGTCTATAATGAAGCAGAGATATTTCACTTAACTTTACAGTATAAATACTGGCTAATAATAGCCTCAAGCCTAGATCATGTGGTTTGTTTCCATGGCTTCCAGTGGAAAATTTTTGAGCCGCTAAATATGAACACTAGTCCCTTTTATAGCCAATTATGTTCATACCAAATAGAAAGTAACTCGATCGATGAGTATAATTCTATCATCTAACACCTGCCTCAGTCATATATAACCAATAGGCCTGAAACGGCTCCAAAATCATCTTATCATAAGCGATGCGCACACGACCTCTACCGCCGCAGCGAATTGGAGACCTCATCACAAAAATAATCAACTTATCCATCATGGAGAATCAACAAGAGAATTTTGAAATCAAAAAGATCCCATCGTTGGCTAATGCTTTCGACAGGAATGGTCAACGTTTACCATCTTCCAATCAGATTCTTTCAAATTTACCACAACCAACTTTTCAACCATCTTTATTGCCAATTCAAAATGGCGGAATAGGAATAACCAATCCGATCATGGCCAATCCCTTAATGAATCAATACAATCCATTGATAAACAACAATAACGTTGGATCCCCCGCAAATAATTACCCCTTATATCAACAACCGAAGTTACCTAATTTAAATGCTCAATTCAATCAACAGTATGATCAACTACTTGCTCAATCAATAAGTAAGAAAAAGGTTCCAGATCAACCTCATAATGCTTATAACATGACGAACGCCCCAAATGGTAATTATAGAGTAACACAGAGTCAACTGCCTCCTTTAATCAAAAGTGAAATGACTCAATCCCCACCAGATTTAGGGGAGATGCCTCAACTTAAACATAATAAAAGAGGACCTAAAGGTCCAAGGAGAAAAAGAGAAGAAGGAGAAGAAGATTCACCAGGGAGTGTTACTGAAAAGACTGATACTCAACAAAATGAAAGTTCCACGTATTCAAATTTCAAAGCTAACCCTCAAAAGAAAGTTCACGTTCATAATCAATATAGTAGTTTTGATGAGGTAAAAGAACATGATTTGGCCAAAGATCAAGATAGACCATACAAATGTACTCACCCTAAATGTGCATGGGCTTTTGTCCGAGAAAGTGACTATAGAAGACATATTAAATGTCATGAAGCACCAAGTTATCAATGTCCATATTGGAAAATTGATCCCAGTTGTCATAGGAAAGGCGGAGCTTTCACCAGATTAGATGTTTTGAAACGTCATTTAAAGATAATTCATTACGTAAGAGCCACTAAAGATGATAAGAAATTGAATGGTAAAGAAGACCCTGGATGGTGCATTGCTTGTCAAACTACTTTCAACAACTCGAAGCAGTTTTTACTCCATACCAATGAATGTTCAGAGAAGTTAGCCATGAAAAAAAATGAAGAAGCTTCCAATAACCTACTGATTTTATCATCAGCTATTGATGAACATGAGAAGGATAATCAACAAAATCAAAATAAAGAGAATCAAGAAATAGACAATACGTCTTCAAAGATCGGAGAGAATGATAGGAAGAGAAGAAAAAGAACTTAATGAGATATGAATAATCAAGTGGATGCTTAAAACACAATGTATATTACAAAAACCTTAAACCTATTTAAATATATCACAAAAAGGGATGAAAGTACTCTACTCTCAATTAATCCGTTTCCTCAGTTTCTTCAGTTGGAGCTTGATCGAAGAAATCTAAAATTTGACAATTTGGATGCAAAACATAAACCATATTTGATCTATCAATTTCGATATTCGAATCTTGAGGTAACTCATCACTTTGTAAGATATTCATTAAAATTTTATCCTTAACTAATCTCTTCAATACCTTGTAACATAAAGATCTTTCTTCATAATAATCTTGTTCACTTAAAATATCTTCTTCCTTTTGGGTTAAGTACCAATTAACTAATTCTTCTCCAGTTAATCCATTACCTTCTTTGTTGTCATCTTCCATAACCTTCTTGACAATAAGATTCATAATGGAGATATACTTATCATAAGTAATGGTGACAGCTTTTGGTTCTCTTTCTTCAGGTTGTTGAGGTTGTTGATGTTCGTCACCTTGGTCGTCATCTTGATTATCTTGATCATTATCTTCATCATCGTCTTGATCATCATCAATTTGGATATCATCCATTTCAACTCTAATAATACTTTGTCTTAATAAATCATAAGCTTCAGAAACAAAACTTGGAGTAATTTCTTCAGTACAATTGGCTCTAGCAATAGCTTCACTTAATCTTATCATACTTTCTAATTGTCTAACAGTAATTCTATAACTAGATCTACCTAAACCTTGAGCATCATTGCTTCTTAACTCTTTATATTTTTCGACCAAGAAATTTCTAGCATCTTTGGTCATTCTAGGTTTGAAAGTTTTAGCATATTTAATATATCTGGATAATTCTTCAGCTGTATAAGGTGGATCAATAGCATCATCTCTTAACATATGTAAATCAACGATATGACTAGCCAATTGAGTATCGATTCTTTCATTACAATCATCCAAGATAACAAAGAATAAATCGAATCTAGACATAATTGGAGCTGTCATATTTAAATTGGCTCTTAAACCTAATTTTCTATTATATCTACCACCAATTGGATTAGCAGCAGCTAAAATAGAAGTTCTGGCATTCAAAGTGGCATGAATTCCGGCTTTGGCGATGGAAATTGTTTGTTGTTCCATAGCTTCATGAATGGCAACTTGATCACTTAAATCCATTTTATCGAATTCGTCAATAGCACAAATTCCATTATCAGCTAACATTAAAGCCCCAGCTTCAATAGTATGTTCATTACTTTCCTCATCTTTGACAACAGCAGCTGTTAAACCTGCAGCTGATGAAGCTTTACCTGAAGTATAAACACTTCTAGGACTAAAACTACAAACATATTTCAAGAATTGAGATTTTGAAGTTGAAGGATCTCCAACAATACAGACATTGATGTCACCTCTTAAATTAATACCATCAACAGTTTGTTTGTGGACACCTCCTAATAACTGTAACAAGATTCCCTTTTTAATAACTTCGTGACCAAAGACTGCTGGAGCTACTGATTGAACCAATTTATCGTAAATATAATTATCTTTGACCATTGATTTCAATTGATTAACTTCAGAATCGGTTAAGGAAGTCAAAAACATTTCTTGTTCATCTACTGAACTTTCTTCTTCATTAATTTCTTCATCATTTTTCTTAGAGACTGATGAAACATGACAAGCAAAGAAAGCTAATTTGTAAGTCAAATCTCTAACCCCTAAAGCCTTTAAACCTGTTACACCTGTACTCAATTCTGATGATTGATTTCTATTATCTCTGATACTTTGAGGTTTTAAACCGGGTAATCCCAATTGTGAAATATCAGGTAAAACAATTTCAGTACCAGTAAATTTACATTTATCACCAGGTTTTGCCTTTTCAACAGTTTCTCCTCTTAAGATTACATCTAAAGTTCTAGGCATTGAACCAGTTGGAATTTCCGTGGAGTTTTCTTGGATTCTAACTCTTTGCCAATCAATAAATTGAGATTTGTTGATATTCAATGTCCAATATGATTGATTTTCACAAGAAGGGCATGATGTTGGTTCAGTATACTTGAAAATTTGTTCAATACCTTCTACAATTGCTGAACATAAATCACAAGTAAAACTTGCCCTATATAATTCAGGTCTAACTTCCGAAGTTCTAGTGACAGTACCTGAAATTGACATTAACTTACCAATTCTTTCACTCTTTATATCCCTGATTTTATTTATTGAAGGTAAATTGAAGAAGGAGATCTGGAAAACTCTTTCATTGGACTGATTCGAAGCTGAAGAAGTAGTTTCACTTCCAATATCGTTATCATCGTTATTAACCATGGAAATATACAATAAAGTAGGAACATATTTCTTAATGATATTTTTCAAACCTTTAACTAAGAAAGGATAGAATCTATAATATTGGTCGATAATAGCTTGAGCTAAAACCCCATTTTCTTTCTCTAACAAATGTTGGAAATCAATGTATAAAGTACTAATTTCAAAAGTTTTCATATTGTTAATTTGAGTTAAATAAATCTTTTCATCAGAATCGGAATTATCAAGGGCAAAATCTAGTAAGAAGAATTCGAAACTCTCTCTTACCTTTTCAGCCGTAACATCAACAACTTTTGGAACTTGAATATTTCTTCTTCTACCAGCAATTGCAGTTGATGAAGGTAATGAAGGTTGAGAAGGTATTTGAGATGGATTATTATCACTAAACAAATTCGATGATCTTATAGCACCCGATTGTCCAATGGACGAAGGGGGTTGTGATGACACAAACAAATTCTCTGCTTCTGAAGGTAATCTATTAGGTGAAGATACAAAACTTGTCATGATTACTTTGAAAACTTTTTTGAGATATCAGATTTAAATTAAATTGAACGCGTCTTCCGAAAACGGTTAAATTACTTGCAGATTACATAATAGCTTAGGTAAACTAATTTTTTTAGTTAAATATTTGAATATATATTGTTAGGAAAGATCTATTTTAATTTCAAAGTTCTTAAGTAATCGAAATGCTTGGTGAAGTCACCAAATTTTTCTTTAGCAGCTTCATCGGAAACAGTTGGTGGAATAATAACATCTTTACCAGTAGTCCAATCAATTGGAGTAACAACACCATTGTTATCAGCAACTTGTAAAGCTTCAACAATTCTTAAAACTTCAGCTGAGTTTCTACCTAAAGATGGTGGATAAGTGATCATAGCTCTAATCTTTTTCAATGGATCAATAACGAAAACTGATCTAACAGTTGGGACCAAACCAGAATTGATGTTTTGGAATTGTTCTTCTGATAACATATCATATTTGAAAGCAACTTCTTTATTTTCATCAGCAATGATTGGGAAATTAACATTAGTACTGTTATATTGTTCAATATCTTTGATCCATTCATTATGGGATTCAACACCTTCAGTTGATAAACCAATCAATTTAGCACCTAATTTTTTGAATTCTGGTTCTAATTGAGCAAAAGCACCCAATTCAGTGGTACAAACTGGAGTAAAATCAGCTGGATGACTGAAGAAAACTACCCAGTCGTTTCCGATAAATTCATGGAAATCAATTTTACCTTTGGTAGTATCAATTTGGAAATTTGGAGCTTCAGATCCAATTCTGATTCTTGGTTGAGATGAAGGATCAAATGAATAGAATCTGTTAGCTAAAGTTGGAATTCTTAAGTTTCTTGGTTTAATTAATTGTCTGAACATCTTGAAAAGGTGGAATTAATGAATAAATTTTGAATATTTCTGCTTTATCAGCGAATTGCTACACAGCACGTGACCCTATTATTTAGTTACCAAAAGATTAAATTTTTTCATAAGTTGTTGTGGGATTGTAAAGTAGGGATTTTCACAGACTGAAGCAGGACATTTATTGATGTAGACACGGAGAATAAGTAAGGGTGATCCCTTCTTTGACTGAAAGGCTTTTGTTGGTGAAAAACTTTGATTCATTTGAGAAGTAGTCATCACATTGAGAATAGAATACTTATAATCTTCTAAATGACACTAAAATAATCATTTTAGAGATGACTAGGCTCCACTATTTGTTAGAATAATGAATGGAGTCTGCCAAAGTCGAAAATTATTCAAGAAATTGTAGTTTTTCATGGTAAATTTTGATATAAACTGAAAAATCAAACATTTTCGACTACATGGACCTTGATTAATGCAATGGTGGTAGGAATTGGGTACTCTGGCCGAGCGGTCTAAGGCGCCAGGGTAAGGTCCTGGTCTCATTGAGGCGCGAGTTCGAATCTCGCGAGTATCAATAAATACAGCAATTCCTACCTACCCATTTTTTTTGGAACTTAAATAATCATGAATTGAATGGGGTATTATATGAGGCATTCCCCTATTGAGAATACAAGAGGTTTCGTATCAAAGTCCATAAGGGCCACACACGGGAATGATGAGTGAGACGGACAAAAAAGGTAATTCTCGTCACCGTGTGGATCCGTGTTAATTTCGGTCCAGCATATCGCATCTCATTTTCAGGAACCGTACGGATGGTATAACATATAACTTTACTACTCTTAGTGAACTCTAGACCAAATGACCTCCATTACAAACTAGATAAGTCATTCTATTTTAAAAACCGAATTTGGACTGACAATTACGCAGAAAGGTGTCAAAAAAACGGTGGTAAATATCTTAAATTTACGGAAAATTAGGACCAAATTATTCACCCCACGAGGTAGGAAAATTTTTCCTGATTTAACGTCACAAGATCATAAATCCATAAATATTGATCCAAATCTAAAGGTTTGAAGTTCACTGTATAAATTCAAAGTTCACATATAGTTAACATGCTTCAGAAACAATTCATGGCAAGTTGGGTCACTATATTTTTAAACCAGTTAGAGACTCAATTATCCTTACAAGCAGAACCTTTTATAACATTTCAATTTAGTTCAATCGGATTAGATGGATTCCCATCATCAAGAACAGTTGTTTACCGAGGATTTTTGTTCAATGACGAGAGTAATAACATCATAACGTTCACCACTGATAAAAGAATGGATAAATATCAACAATTATTACAAAATGATAAATTTGAAGCAGTATTCTATTTCAACCATGTAAAGACACAATTCAGATTCAAAGGTCATGCTAAAGTCATCGATAGTGAACATAAACCACTCATAAATTTGAATAATATTCAACCAAGAAGTGTAGGAGAAAGTTATGATGACGAAGAAGATCATGAAGAAGATCAATTACAACTTAATTTGAATAAAATGGATATTTCTGCTTCACAAAAACCCAAGACATGTCAAAAGTCATCAATAGATTACAATTTAATTTCACCAACATTGGTAAATACTAATGACAATGGATCATCTTTAAATTTAGCAGAATTAAATATTCATCCCCCAACTAACGAAGAATATGACATAGAACTTCAAAGACAATGGGATAATTTATCCAAGAACTTGAAGAAATCATTCAGAAAACCACCACCAAAGTCATTAATGACTCCTGAGTTATCCAAAAAGATAGATTCCATAAATAGAGGTGTTGATGGTAAAAAAGATATCGATGGTTTCAAGAATTTCTCCCTTGTGGGTTTATTTATAGATCATGTTGATTATTATGATGGTGAACATGAAAAGAGATACATAAGTGAAAGGGATGAATATGATTTATGGAAAGAAACTGAAGTTTGTCCATAAAACTGATCTCGATGATACCATTCCTTACCATTTTCCCAAGATTTTTACTCCCACCCCATTGTAATTCTTATCCTTATACTTGTATTATATTAACATCATCATTTGGGCAATGTAAAGTAAGTCAATAAACAATCCCTTATCTCGTAAATTTGCATCACTCGGGTAGTTCCAAGGAAGAGAACAGATTTTCGCGACCTTATAAAATGTAAACAATCTCCCAATTTTTGATAAATTTTGAAAGTTTTTTTCTATCAATGCCTCCAAAATCTAAACCAGCAGCTGTTGCTGCTAAGCAAAGCTACAAAGGTATGTTATATCCATGAAAAGGTCTAATTCCATTTAGTTCAGAGTTATCTTACAGTTGATTAGAATCAAAATCTGGGGATAAATCTGATATAAATGATATTTATGATTTTCGATACCTAAAATGTTGCAAACCCAATTCAATACTAACAATCAGATATGATCAAATCTGCCATCACAACCTTAAAAGAAAGGAGCGGTTCTTCGTATGTATATCAAATAATTATTCAAAGGTAATTGTACTAACAAACTAGACGTCAAGCTATTAAGAAGTATATTCAAAGCAATTTTGATGTAGAAACTCCAAATTTTGATTCTTTATTCAATAGTGCTTTGAGAAAGGGTGTTGAAAGTGGTGATTTTACTCAACCAAAAGGTACTTCAGGTCCTGTTAAAGTTGGTAAACCTGAAAAGGTTATCAAATCTTCTTCACCACTGAAAGTTACCAAACCTGCCACCAAACCAAAGAAAGTTAGTCCTAGTGCTAAACTGTCAGTTAAGACTACCAAAAAGACTGTCAGTAAAAAGGCTGCAAAAACTACCAAATCTCCAGCAGCTAAGAAAGCACCAGTTAAGAAAGAATCAGCCAAGAAAACTCCAGCCAAAAAACCAACTGCTAAAACAACAACTAAGTCAACAACCAAAGCTACTAAAACAACCAAACCTTCAACCAAAGCTGCTACCAAAAAGGTCGTCAAAAAAGAAGTTAAGCCAACCAAAACAGCCGCAAAAGTAGTCAAAAAACCAGTTGCCAAAAAAGCTACCAAAAGCACCCCAAAGAAAGTCACAAAACCAACAACCAAGAAAACTGTCAAACCGGCAACTAAAGCCGCTGTAAAAAAGTCAATCAAGAAATCTAAAAAGTAATTTGTGTATTATTATGTATTGTATATTAAATGTATTTGGTGATAAATTCCCATGATGTTTTTCAAAGGAAACCTTTGTAAGGACCCAGTGTTTCTCTAATGTAGGAGAACATGAAGGAGTGAAGGGGGTTCGTTGAACACGTACACTTTGTGACTACTTAGATGAATCTGCACGCGCGTTATTTTGTTATCATGAAGTTCATTATGGTAGTTGCAGCTAAGATGCCAGAAATGGGTATCGGTTTCCAGGGTAAGTTACCTTGGAGATTATCACAAGAAATTTTAACTTTCAAAAAAATCACCACCACAGGTAATAATGCTGTGATTATGGGGAGAAAAACTTGGGAATCTATACCAAAGAAGTTTAGACCATTACCTGATAGATTAAACATTGTTGTCAGTAGATCACCACCTAAAGAACCTATTGAAGGAGTTAAATACTGTAATGATTTAGATAATCTTCCATCACTTATACCAGAAAATATCGACAGAGTGTTCATGATTGGAGGATCTGAACTCTTTAATTATTATTTCAAATCTCCCTTATGTAAAGATATAATCTTAACTGAATTACATAATGATGAACCCGTTGAACTAGATACATTCCTTGATTGGGACTTAACAACCTGGGAACTTAAAAGTCATGAAGAACTAGAAGAATTTGTTGGATTCGAAATTCCAAGAGAATTTAATGAAAAGGGTTATAAATATAAATATAGTCTTTATAGAAGATAGTCTTTGAGATAGTCTTTGAGATAGTCTTTGAGATAGACTTCATAGAAGATAGCCTTTGAGACAGCCTTCACAGGAGACAATCTATAGAAAATAGCCTTTACAAATGTGTATATACAATTAACCTATATAATTTCTATTCAATTTATAAATTTCATCACATAAGCTATACCAAGTATGTAATCTTCTGTCACTTAAGTGATCATCATATAAATATAAATCATAAAAGATTCTTAAGTTAGGTTGGATTATAATATTAAACCTGTTAATTCTTACAATCATATAACTTTCTATCAAGGATAATTTCTGATATTTCATCAAACATGCTATTACTAAAGAAGCTGACCTTGACACTCCAATTCTACAATGGAATAAAGTTTTAGTTAAATCATTAGGATTTATAAGATATTTCGATTGGATATGTTTTGGAACTGTCATAAGTAATTCATAAATTCCATCTTTACCATCATCTTTCAAATTGTTGATGAAGATAACCAGTTTCAAATGAGGTAATTCAGGGTCTTTGATTTTAAGTTCAAATATTTCAATGACTTCATCTTGTTCATTAAGATAAGAAAATAATAGATTTTTCTTTTCATAGTTAACCCATTTAGGTTTTTCCCCGATGGAAATGATTCTATTAAATTTCATGGTCTTTAAAATGATCTCAGAATTAGCATGATTCAACGATCCTAAATATAAATTCTTGAATATCTTACAAGGGAAGTTATTATCTTTGTTATAATTGAACCAATCAACCTTGTTATTGATTTTAGTTATGGGTAAATGATTATAATTGATAAAGTTCAATTTTTCACCAATTTTGAAGTTATTCTTACCATAAAAGATGAATTTTTCAAATTTTTTCAAGAATACCAAATCATTTTTGAAATAATACAATTTAATGTAATCATTTCTTTCATAAAGTTGTAAAATCAAATCTTCCAAATGACCCTCACCCAAAATTAAACTTATTGATAAGGTTAACAAAGTCAAACCAGTAAATCCATCGAAGGAAAAGATGAAAATGTTCTTATTTTCATGGACTAATTTTTCAATCAACTTCAAGAAATTCAAATAATTGATCAAATCATTCAAATTACAATGATTAAAATCTAAGTAACCTGAACTGGGGAATTCAATATAATTACTATCTAAAACTTTAGGTATTGAACAAAATTCATTACAATTGATGATCAAATCAAAATCATTCTTTGGGAGATTATTTATATAATTGAAATCAATCAAATTACCTAAGCAAATATTCTTATTTAACCATTTCATGGAATTAAACTTCCATAAAAGGTTTTGTTCCCATTTCAATAATTTACAATTGAAAACTTTATTATTCACTGAATTGATGGGTAAATTTGATATTTTTTCGAAATTATATTCATTCAAATATTCCATGGGGAAATTCTTCCACATCTTAAAGTTAAAATCCATTATGTAAACTTTTTGGCTAGGATATTGAAGTGATATTTCAAGTGCGGCTTTTAAATTTATATCAAATTGACAATGATTATTGTAGATAACGAATTGGGATATTCTACCATAAAGATTCAATTGTTCTTTGAAATTACGATTATTTAAATCTCCATCAGATTGTATAGTGGTATCAATAGTTGAAAGAACTTTCTTATAGTCAATGGAATTAGTTAATCTGAAATCTTCATCTTGACTATTCAATATCATTAAATGGAATTGTTTCAATTTCAATTCTTCTTCAAAATCATATTTCTTATATTGATTTAAATCAAAACTATCATTGTTCAAATTCTTAAACTGTTTGTTGAAGAAAATCCTTTGTCTTGAATTAGTTAATCCATGTAAATAAGGAAACATCGAAGTTGTAGAATCTAATTCATTATTTGAACTATAATAATAATTTATTAATTCAATTGATTGTTCAAGATTTAGTATTATAACATTATCATTATAATGTCTACATTTACTATTAAATTTCTTTATGAAATCTTTATCAATGCCAGCATTGAAAATGGGTTCTGATTTTTTTTCAAAGGGTAAATTATCCTTACTATCGTTAACAGTTATATCACTTATAGCACTATCCCTTCTTTCAACAGAATCAATAGAATCAATACTATCAACGGATAAATTCATTTTGCTATACTTCTCTAATATTGAAAAATTATTATCAGTTTTTATTAAGTTTGGTTGGATGGTATCATTATTTAAACTATTGGTAGATTTTGATTTTAATTGAAACATATAGAAAGAGACTTTTTTGAAAAAAAAAAATAAAAATAACTTTAAATTCCTAATTACAGAAGGTTTATATCAATATATATACAAATTAATTTTTTTCCACATTATAATACTTAAGATTACATTGTAAAACAATCGAGTGAAAAAACAAGGGACCCTTTTTGACGAGATTATTGTGGAATTTTTTAGTGTAATCCACAAAAATTATTTTTACTACAATAAGAATATTAATCGGAGATATGAGATTTGGATTATTAATTACACACGTTAACTGTGTTACGGTATTCATTACAACCACTATATTTATTGATACGAACAATAGAGTTGAAGGTTCAAATTATTTGGCCTCGAGTGGTAATAAAGTTTCGACTAATATTACAACTTCTAATGAAAAAATAATTACACAAATACCAAATTCAATGATAAGACATTTTACCCCTTCAATTAAGTCTAGTTCAGCAAAAAGTTTAAATTTAAATGAAGGACATTTCGTTTTAGGTAATGAATTTCCTAATTTAGATATTCACAATGGAGTTGATATTTCTGATGATTATGATGAGACAATAGAAAAAAATATCAATAATAAGAATGATGATTCTTATAATAATACATTCTCGTCGAACAATAAATTTAAAGATATAAATGTTTTGTCAAGTTTAACCAATTTAACTTTTTTGGGTAAAACCAGTCAAATAAGGCTGGCATTACGTAAGCCCTTAGATAATCAAACGTATCTGTCATTAGATAATATATTAGGTAAGCAGAGATTCATATTTGCTAATACTACAGTTAATGATAACAAAACTGAAGTGACCAGCTTAATAGGGAATTGGATAACTACCGATGAAATTTTGCAGAATAATACTGAAATTACTGAACATTTTGTAACGACAACGGATCTAATTGTAATTACGATGAGTGAGAATAATGTAAGGACAACAGACCATGATTTTAAAGTTGTCAATAGTGACGTTATAACAATGCTCCCATCGGTTATATCTGAAAATGAAAAAAATTTTGAGTTTGAATACGATTTCGACAAGACAATGGGTATTGATAACACTAGTTGGGATTTAGACAATTTCCAGAAACCTGAATCTTTGGACTATATTTCCGGTGTTGACATAGATTCAAGTTTTTCTTCTACAGGAATACTAAATCTGGGGGAAGTTGCTATTACCGAATTTCCTTCTTCTTCGAATTTTTATGTCCCTAGCTCGTCAAACAGTAAGGAGTTGGAATATGGATTAAGTTTTGGGTTTAATGACGAGGTATGGCATTCCAAGTCTTCAAGCACTGTAATTGAAATAGGAGCCAGGACTAGTAGTGTATTGGATAGCGCTAAAACCTTATCTAAGAGCTTGGCAGGTATATCTGAGAGTTTTAGAAAGAGTATTTTAGGGATATCTGATAAAATTTCTGACAACCCAAACTCTCATCATTATTCAACCATTCAAACTACTAAGAGCTCCTTACCTATACTCCATACCTCCAAGAAATCCAAAACTACCACTTACAAGAGCACTACCAGAGAAAGTGAAAAGGACAGCACCAAAAAATCCCATCCCAAATCTTCTTTAACCCCTAACATTCACCCCATATTAGACCTCCACAAACCTAAACCTACCATTATACCTCACAACCATAGTTATCTGTCTAACGGTATATTATTATCGACATCACCAATGGTATTATTCCTAGTGCTAGTCTTGATGTAAAATGGAAGTTCGCGTTGAAAATCTCAACATTAATAATGGCAGAAGTATGTAAAAATACAACCAACTTTTCTTTACCACTAATCATCAAACTAACATAATCTAGCAAGTGAAAAGAATTATTAGAGTTACGACTGAACAACATGTATTAACTGATGAACCACCAGTTGAAAATTTCCCTATGAGAACTTGGTCAGTATCAGTAAGTTTATTAAACCAAGAAGGTAATGAAATCCCTGCTAATATATTAGACAAAGTCACTTACACTTTACATCCAACATTTTTGAATCCTATCAGAACATTGAAAACTCCTCCTTTCAGAGTTGAAGAAAAAGGTTGGGGTGAATTCGATATACCAATCTCTGTTCATTTAGTTGGATTAAATGGTAAATTAGGTGAAAGAAAAATTCATCATGATTTGAATTTTTTAAAAGAAAAATATACTATTGACCATACCATTAGTATTCCTACCAACAAATCATCAATCTTGAATAAATTATTACAAGAAAGTGGGCCAATACCTAGTGCTGAAGATTTATCAAAAAGAAAAACTAACGAAGATTTAAATAAAAATACCAAAAAATTAAAATCCAATGGAAATGCTGTTAAGGGATCAATTGATTTGGAAAAATTAGCTAATGGTTTAACTAAATTAAATGAAGATGATTTAATTGTTATTGTTCAAATGGTTACTGATAATAAAACTAATGAAATGAATATTAAAAATGATGTAGATAATGGTGAATTTACTATGGATTTATACACTTTGCCAGAGTCTTTATTGAAATCTTTATGGGATTATGTTAAAAAACAAACTGGTGATGTTTAATTTGTTGCTTAGTGTCTATTGAAATTATATATAATATATATGATTATGTATTTTTAAAGAGAATGATTAACTCTCAAACTTATGGTGCCCAAACCTTGATGGTTGAATCCCAACTTGCAGTACAAACTCCAATTCCATCAGGTGCTACACTAACTTGATTTACTTTATTCAAATGTCCTCCTATTGCTCCAATAATTTCCCCTTTTAAACTGTCCCAAATTAAACATCCAAAGTCTGAATAGCAACTATAGATCAATCTCCCACTTCGACTGAAATCCACCGATAGTATGTTTATGGAATCCATGGATGATACTGAATTTAATGAATTCCTACTACTCAAATTATCTTGCTTCCAACCAAAACTTGGTTCACTACTGAAGTTTTTGAATTCTGATGTAATAGAATATTGGGAAAGTTCACAGTCACTTCTAAGATCAAAAAATCTTATTATCCCATCATCTGATCCACTGACAAATGACTTTCCTTGAGGAAATACCTTGAGAGTATTAATATCATAATTTGATATGAATAAATTTTGTACACTTGATTTTTGTCGGACGTCCCACATTTTAACATATCCATCACAACTGCCACTCATGAATATATTATTTTCATTGTTGAATGTCGACAAACATAAAATATCTCCCGTATGATCAATAAATTCTCGGACCTTATCACCTTTATGTAAGTCCCACATCATATTCTTCATATCTCCTGAGGATGTGATTATTTGATGACTATTCAAAAACTTGCTATCAGAAATGTAAGCTCTATGGCCCTTGAAGATGTACTGAACTGAAGAATTGAAATAATTAACATTAGGTCTATTAGTAGTTTGGTCACCAATTTTATAAATTGTAAGATTATTATCTAATCCTCCAGAGGCTATCATTTCCCCTGATGGTGATAATGAGCATGTCAATAACCATTGATTATCTAATTCTATGATGTTCTTCTTATATCCTGTTATAGCATCCCATATAATCATATATCCATCCTGACTCCCGCTCAAAATCTTATCACTTTCTTTATTCCATTGAATTTGACTGATTTTACTTTGATGTCCTTCCAAAGTATTGTATAACTTTGGGTTTATTGAATGGTTGGGAATTGACTTTATTTTATAACTATTTTCCTTCAAACCCCCGTCTCGAACTTTAGTTTTAACACTCTCGATCTCAGTATATAAAGATCTAGCTTCATTCTTTGCTGTAGATATCTGATTGTTGATTGTTTCGATTTTGTCTGTGATTGCCTTATTATCCATATCCTGTCTTGTGCTTATAATCCTTTACACGTTTTATTTTACGGTAAAATTAATATTGTTTCAAGATTGGGTAATAAGTTTGAGCCGCATCGTTTTTACCACCATTTTTAATTGATAGACAACGGATATTGAAAAGGAGCGTGGCGAAGTAGCTTGCTCCCAGGAAGCATATTGATACTATCAGAGATATTCTAAGGTATCGAGGGGTCATTGAATGAAATCAAATCAATAATATGCCATTGATGAACAATTGGCCAGAAATTGGTCCAGAAGTAGAAATTTTCTCCATAATTCTTCGCAGATAAAAAAAGGTGACACTTATTTAACTTGATTTATATCAAGTGAGTTCATTATACTTACTCTAGAGTGCTTGAGTAAGGCAGAGCCCCAAGACTTACCTTTTATTACTATATGAATTTGACACCACCTTTCCAGGTAAGATACGCCGGTCTAGTATAGTGGTTAGTACACTTCGTTGTGGCCGAAGAAACCCAAGTTCGATTCCTGGGACCGGCAGGATATATTCCGTCTTTTTTTAACTTTTTAAGTTACCATTTTTGTGGGCTGTACCTTACATTGACTTGAGGTACATTACAGGTTAAACAGGAGTTAAAGAGATATTTTTTTCGATTAATAGAAGAGACGATTAAGAAAGGAGGCGAAATAAAATAGCATGAGATTATCATTTCCATTATACCATGAAACATTATGAACGCCATAAGAGAATTCCAAGAACTTTAACGATATAAATTTGACCTAAAACTAAAACCAGCTAAACTTTTTGAGGGACTTTATCATTAGCCATCAAGTTTGATTGCCTATTAGTATTAGCATTTTCTTTTAATGCAATCAATTGTTTAGATCTAAAGTTTTCATAATGAATTAAACTAGTAGATTCAATTAAATCTTGTAAATGAGTTCTAGTTAAGAAATCTCTTAAAAAGATGAATTCACATTGAGAGATATCTTCAATATTAATGACCCCCCATTTGGTTTTTCTACCTTTAACTAATTCACCATTGACTTGAATTTCATTATTTGAACCAACAATTGCAAAAGGAATTAATGATTTGATATCTTCATTCAATTGTCTTTCATCATCAAATAATTCTTCATTATCATAAGGGTATAAATTGAAATTGTGTTTCAAGAATTCACTTTGTAAAGATTTTTTCAAATTTGATCTTTCATCCATGGTTAATGAATCACTTTTAGCAATGATTGGTATAACATTAGCAATTTCTGATAACTTTTTGATAGCTTGAATATCTAAATTTTTCAATTTCTTGTAATTTGGTGGTATGAAATATAAAATACAATGAACTCTTGAATCATTAATATATTTTTCTCTAGTGGCAGTTAATTCTTTTCTTAAGTATTGACTATGTTGCTCTTTGATATATTTGACCAAAGGTTCCCAACATTTTTCATTATTGATCTGATCTCCAAATCCTGGAGTATCAATAATATTAATATTCAATTTAACATTATTTTCTTGTAAAACATGATTACTTACTTTGATTTCGGTAGTTTTTTCGACAATTTCCTCAGGTTTAGATCTACCATTAGAAGTGGTCAATGGGGAAGAAAATAATGAATTCACTAAAGTTGACTTACCTAATCCACTTCTACCTACCATCATAATATTAAATTGAAATCCTCTTTTCAATAATCTATTCTCGATTTGAGTAGTGATAGTATCAAAACCCACATACTTCTTTGGTTGAACAATTTCTGACATCTTTCTAATTATGTAAATTCGCTATTCTTGATGATTTCGAATGATTCTTTCAATGATCAATAATAAACTTCAAAACAGTTTTATGGAAATAAATGTTTGTGTTGACGTTGTTTTTTTTGATTGTAATCTCGCGCGTTTTCCACATCCTCAGACACTCTGAAAAATTTTCAAGTATAATGTTGAGATCGTTAAATTGGTCTAGGCTGGTATTCAGACCATTAAATGCTTCACCATCAATATGGAGTTCATGGAATAATACTGTTTATAAAGGTTCCATAACTATCTTTTTACCAAACTTAAGAGAAATATTAGAAGAAATGATATTAAAAGCAGCACCAAAGAAAAAACCTTCATATCGTAAAACAAGACAAAAGTTATATGCTCCAGGAGATAAGAAAATCCAACCATTAGAAAATATTGTACGTTGTCCAGCATGTGGAGCTGTCAAAAGATCCCATTTTATGTGTATGAATTGTTTTGGTGAAATTAAAGCTTTCTTAAAATCCTTAAAACCTTCTTCAAAACCTGCAGAATTTGATATTGATAAAGTTGATAAAGATATTATTTATCCTTCCAAGAGATTAAATGAACATGAAAAGAGATTACAAAAGAAAGATTGGATACCTATCAGAGAGAAACCATTAATGTTTGATCATAAACAAATTAAACCAAGAAAATAGATAATGATGTATATAGTATAAACGACCTAATATTCTTGTACCTCTTTCTGTCATATGACTGATACTTTTTCTCTATCTCTCCACACCACACCAGGTCTTTGGGAACTCATTACATTTATGATCTGATAAAAAATGCGATGAGATTATGGCTGACAGAGTAAAGAGAAGAAAAGATCCAAGATCGATTAACTTGAAATCTATAAGTATTCCACATCCTTTAGGGGTTAAACCCGAAGGAAATTCACTTCTTAATCCTGATATCGAAGTTAGAAGTCAATCATTGGGATATTTATCTAAATTAGATGATGAGACTATCATGACATTACTATCATATCTCGATATAGAAGGATTGAAGAATTTCATGTATGTTTCCAAAGTTACTTATGCATTTACCAGTGAAGAGGAAATATGGAGAAGAATTTATACTGAAAATTTCCATGGTCAAGAGGATTTCAATTGGAAAGGTAGTTGGAAGAAATCTATATTGGGACATAATAATATAGATATAAAGGTTGATATCAATAGCGATGTTATTTATAGACCCTTCCAAGTTAGAAGTATTGACTATACTAAGTTATTTGGAAATTTGGTCGAAGATGAATTGAACAATAAACATTCCAACAATAATCCTCCCAATAGAATACCCAGATTCAAATCTCATGAAGTATCAACGTTACCTAAAACCCCATTTATATTGACCGATGGAGAATGGCCACAATGGAAACTTGAAGATTTGGTTGAGAAGTATGGGTCAGTAACTTTCACACAAGAAAGTGTTAAATGGGATTTAAAGACATTCTCAAACTATTTGAAGAACAATATTGATGAATCACCACTTTATCTATTCGACTGTAGGAGTGAAGCAATGAAATCAATCCGTAATGATTATGAAGTTCCAGAATTATTCAAGAAAGATTACTTCAAGTTGCTTGGAGATAGTAGACCTGATCATTCATGGATTATCATAGGTTCTAAAAGAAGTGGATCTACATTTCATAAAGATCCAAATAATACAAGTGCATGGAACATCGCCTTACAAGGAAGAAAATTCTGGGTGATGATCCCCCCTAATATAACACCACCAGGAGTTATGGTGGATGACGAAGAGAGTGAAGTTACTAGTCCTTTGAGTGTAGGAGAATGGATTTTAAGTGGATTCTACAATGATGCGCTCAAAATACCTGAAGTATTGATGGGTATAACGTTCCCAGGAGAATGCATGTACGTTCCATCCAATTGGTGGCATTTGGTGATTAATCTTGATGATTCGATAGCTATCACAGAGAATTTCGTACCTGATTGTAGATTGCATAATGTATTGAGTTTTTTCAAAGATAAGCCGAATCAAATCAGTGGATTCAAATTAAGCGACATCAATGATTTAATCGATAAATTGTCATACAAGTGTCCTCAAGTATCAGATTTCCAACAAAAATTGAAGGAGAGTAAACTAGATTTATTCGCAGATTGTGGAGAATTAGAATCTTTGCCTGATATACCAATTTTCGATATCTTTAAACAATTATTGATCGATAACGGATATGAAAAGGAGTTGAATAGTAGTATGGACGAAATAAATAAGACATGGAATAACTTAACAAGTGATTCCACCACATTCAAATTCAATTTTGAATGATGTATATAGAAATTCACGGAATTATGCGGAAATGTTCCATTTCTATCTTCTTTGACACAAAATCGGTACACCAGATTGGAATCACCAGATTCTAAAAAGATCACTGCGAAATTTTAAGTGAGTCAAACTATGAATTTAGATAAGAAGTTGATATATGCCCCCGAGACATATCAATATACTGACCATGCATTGAATGAAGAAGAAATTGAAAAGGATCCTTTCGTCCAGTTCAATAAATGGTTCAAAGAAGCTGACGATGAGATTCCTGAATCAACTACATTCTCAACTGTGAGATTACCTGAAGGTAGAGTTTCTAGTAGAATTGTATTATTAAAAGAATTAGATACCGAAGGATTTGTCATTTATTCTAATTGGGGAACATCTAAGAAATCCAAAGATTTTGAAACTTGTAAATATGCCAGTTTGACATTTTTCTGGAAGAAGTTACAACGTCAAGTTAGAGTTGAAGGAATTATGAGAAAGGTCGATTATAAACAAAGTGAAGAATATTTCCAAACTAGACCAAGAGGTTCAAGAATTGGAGCATGGTCAAGTCCACAAAGCCAAGTCATTGAAAGTAGACAAGTTTTAGAAGATTTAGTTAAAAGTAATACCGAGAAGTTCGGTGATAACGGGGATATTCAATGCCCTGAGTTCTGGGGTGGAATTAAAATCATTCCATTAGAAATTGAATTCTGGCAAGGAAGAGATAGCAGATTACATGACAGATTAACATTTGTTAGAGATGATGAAAGTCAACCATGGAAATTAAATAGGTTAGCCCCATAAGAAAGGGAAAAATATAAACGATACCGAAAAATAAAAAAAAACTTCTATATTTCTATTTACTTAAAATTTTTGGACAGCGGTGTAGAAAGATTTACCGTGAACGTTTAAGATTTTCTTTTCTAAATCATTAGTAGCTCTTGAACCATCTGGAGCAGAGAATGAACCAGAACCCCATGGAGAAGCACCGTGAACTTCGTCTAAGTTGGTTAATAATGGGAAAGCTTCACCGTAACCTAATGGAACGTAAATCATACCATGGTGGATGAATGAAGATAAGGAATTGATGATAGTGGTTTCTTGACCACCACCTGGGGAACTGGTGACAACTGAAACACCAAATGGTTTACCATGTAAACCACCGGTAGCCCATAAACCACCAGTTTGGTCCCAGAAGGTTTTCCATTGAGCTGGGAAGTTACCGAATCTAGTTGGGATAACGAATAAGAAAGCATCATATTCAGTTAATTTATCAACAGTAATTTCAGGAACTGAAGCATCTTTTGGTGGAGCATACATTTTACCTAAAACTTCTTCAGATAAAGTTTCAGGAACTTGATAAATATCAGCATCACCACCAGCTTCTTGAACACCTTTTAAAAGTTCTTTGGCGTTACCAGCAGCGTGACCCCAAGTTGAGTAGTAGATAATAGCGATTTTAACCATTTTATTTGTTGTTAATCAATTGAGTTATAAAAGTCAATAAAATTAATAATGGAAAAAAGTCGAGGGAATGGGTTCTTTATATATACTGCGACCACCCAGAATGATGAAAATTGTGGTTATTGTTTACTTATTTTTTACGTGAAGAATCCTAAAGAATTCGTTTATCGATTAGTAAATGTTACGTTCCCTAACCCTTAATGGTTAGGGTATTTCTAATCTCCATTGGTCAAATAACTAAGATTTACCAAAATCATGTCTCAAACATTATAAATCTCAAAATGGATTACAAATTTTATTAGTAAATCCCGTATGCAGGACGATATTATAGGGAGATTTTTTATATTTTCCAGGAGGGATGGGAATAGGAGATTTGAATCAAACGATAGAGTATCCGATAAGGAATAAAATCAACCAGCTAGTGGCATTGGTGAATTTAAGCTAATATAACGAAATAGGATGATAATTCATCATAAATTCCGTGATATTTGACAGACGGGGGATCGGCCAAAGAATGGTAATAAGATACGAGGTATAGAAATACTTATATATTATAAAAACTTTATTTCAGTAACTTTTCAACGGTCTTAAAGAATTCTTCCCCTTGAATTCTATGTAATTCTAATTCTAATTCAGTTGGTTGTCTTGAACCATCAGCTCCTGCGAAAGTTCCAGCACCCCAAGGAGAACCACCATGAACTTCGTTCAAGTTAGTTAAAAGGGGGAAGGTATTCTTATAACCCAAAGGAACATAAATCATACCATGATGAACAAATGATGATAATGACAGAATAGCGGTAGTTTCTTGACCTCCCCCTGGGGTACCAGTGGAAACAAATAAACCAAAAGGTTTACCATGTAAGCCACCATTGGCCCATAATCCACCGGTTTGATCCCAAAAGCTCTTCCATTGAGATGGCAAATTACCATATCTGGTTGGAATACCAAACATGAACCCATCGTATTCAGTTAAATGACCTGGAGTAATTTCAGGGATTTCTTCAATTGATGGTTTTTCAATACCTCCAATTTGACTAACTAATGATTGGGGTAAAGTTTCCTTAATTTGGAATAAATCCGCTTTTCCTCCAGCATTGGCAATTCCTTTAGCAATTTCTTTAGATGAACGTAAGATATGTCCATACATGGAATAATAGATAACAGCGATTTTTGTCATATTGAAATGTTTTAATAAACAAATGTAAAGGATTCACTGGCCGTTTTATAGATAATAAAATTAAGTGCGGCGCGCGGTATTAATAACTTTACTAAAGAATATTAATAAGGAGATTAAGGTTTGTAAGAACTTATATTGTTTTAAGCCAATTTACTGGCAACTTTATAGAATGACTTACCTTGAATATGGTGAATTTTCTTTTCTAATTCAGTGGTTGATCTAGACCCATCAGCTCCGGCAAAAGTACCTGATCCCCAAGGTGAACTACCATGAACTTCATCTAAGTTAGTTAATAAGGGGAAAGCTTCTCCATAACCTAAAGGAACAAAAATCATACCATGATGAACAAATGATGATAAAGCATTCATGGCTGTAGCTTCTTGACCACCCCCTGGAGTACCAGTACTGAAAAAGATTCCAAAAGGTTTACCATGTAAAGCACCACTTGCCCATAAACCTCCAGTTTGGTCCCAGAAAGTTTTCCATTGAGCTGGGAAATTACCATATCTGGTTGGAATTCCAAATAAGAATGCATCATAATCAGGTAATTGGGAAGCTTTAATTTCAGGAATTGATGAATCTTTTGGAGCTGCGTGCATTTTGGTCAACACTTCTCCTGGTAAGGTTTCTGAAATTTGGAATACATCGGCATCCCCACCAGCTTCTTTAATACCAGCTAAGATTTCTTGTGCATTCTTAGCGATATGTCCATACATGGAATAATAGATAATTGCAATTTTAACCATTTCAATTGATTGATTTAATTTTTCAGATTGTGTGGTTTATTTATACTTGCTTCCCCGTTGAATTATTACATCCCTATTTTTCCCCCATACTTTAATTTTCCGTGGACCGGTAATTTAGTCATGTGACTAGCGCGTGATCAATTTTTTTTCTCAATTCACAATCTCTTCATCGCTGTTAAACTTCTAATGAACAAGTTGTTACTATTAATCGCGCAGCCTTCATATAAGGTCACAGTTCTTGGAACATCCTCAAATTCTTGATAATTATAATTTCTGGGATATTTCTTATCAAGGCTATGGACTCAATTTAAACAAACATGCAGAATTTTTCTTCTTCGTCAGAGGCTATCGCTCGGGTAGATAATTACTACTGATTCAAAAATATTCTATGTTTTGGATTCCTCAAGGCTTATTTCAGTTTAAGGTTTGTAACCACCGGATTCCGTTTAATGATGAGTCTAGTCTTTTTTTTTCATCGCTCGGCCACTTTTTCCACCAGGAATATCTTTCTTTCAAATCTTAAACCATTCCTAAACTATTAATAAGCTATGAAGTCAACAATTAATCAATAATAAACAATACTTTAAATCTATACCCTAAATCCGTTTTCGTTCATAATACAATTCTTATTTTATTTTACTGAGACATTTTCTTGACAGATGGTTAGAATCCCAGAGATCAATTTCATATTCGCTTTTAAGGATAGGAATTTTCCAAAAAAAATTTTCATATCGATCTATCACAAGTGATACATAAAATCTTATCACCTCCTCCCAAATCAAAACCATTTTTCTCCTTGGAAATCCAAATATCATCACGAAAAAAAATCTTCCTTTAATTTAAAGAAGAGTTTCCATCAAATCTACAAAGGTTACAATTTCAAGTTTATAAAGTTGGCATAGATAATTTCATCATCACACTGAATAAACAAACACTTCAACGTTAATAACGGAAGTCCCCATATCATCATTAGGAAGCATTTATAGAGCATTTACAGTCATCAAACTATCAGGTTATTAACAAATCATGAAGTGGTTATTTATAGTATTTTCATTAATTACTGTCATTCAAGCAGCTACAACCACATTAACCACCTCAACATTGGTATGGGCAACCGGTACTAATGCTGATGGTGTTTTAACTACCACACAATCAGCATATGTTCAAACATTTACATCATTTCATGACGGAGTGGCATCTCCATCCAGTGGTGCTATTGGTTTAGGTTCATTAACTGGATCTGTAGGGGGTATCAGAACTTATGAGAGACTTACCGTTTCAGCAGCTTCAAGTGCTGATAGCATTAAATATAACAGTTTTACCAAACTGACTCCTTTGGTATGGATCATCAGTATGTCAAGTGTATTAGCTGTCACTTTGGTCATTTTTGCATAGTTAGTCATTTATTTAAAAGTAATATAACACGGTCACATAATCCTCTATGGTGGTTTGATTCTTCGGCTCTTTTTATTATAGAAGCCTTGTGATTATTAAAGATAGCTCATCAGCAATCGGAAAAGAATTTTACTCGGATTGTTGCAGAGCCGCGCCAACAACCAATACGTCATAGTTCGGCCAAGTTACACAAGAAGCGAGAACTCTATGAAAAAGCTTGAATCTGTCTTAACCTGAGCTTCCTATGACACCAGTATTTTCAGATCATCAACAAACTAAATAGCAATCCTATTTAAAGTTTCTGTAAAAGCTTGAATTTGTTTATTATGGTCGAACAAACAATCTCATAGGAGGGGCGATTTGCGATGCACGAACTGCTGCAAGAAATGCACGCGCTAAAAACTCTAAATCCATAAAAGCCCTCCATTATATTTTGATAACCTCGTCAACACAACCAAGGCTTGAGATCAATATCTAATTATGATATACATCATCATTCCTTATTCAACAATCAGATATCATAATAACAGCTGTCTAGCTTCCAAAAATAGGAGATCAGAGGCTGTTGTTAAGAACTGATAACTAATTTTGGAAAAGAGAGACTTTTCGCTATTTACCAACACAGGCTATTTACTAACACAGGATTAATTTAAATTTAGAACACTTAAAAGCAATCCTCCACCAATGGCACTTTCGGTTTTTTAATGATATTTCCACTGATCACCTCATGACATGGCAATTGTTATTTGTTTACGACGAAACATAAACAGTTTTTACGACATTCATTATTACGGACTTTTCACCATGACATTTCATTTTGTCATAATTATTCGCTAAATTGCATAACATTCAAAATACGTTTCAAGGGTAATGACGAAAGTGTCAAACCATGTTATAAGTGTATCTGTTATAATGTGATAGAATTTTATGCGATTGAAGACTGTGTAAATTTTAAAACAGTGGCTCATTACTTCTAATCTCGTGAACGCGAAGTAATTCACATTCAACACTTTGCCATCATCCTTTACAGTCCAACAATTATGTCCAGTGAAGAGACTGAAGAACTACCAGACTTTGATTCATGGTCAATATTCCAAGGATCTTTATCCCTAGAGAATAAAGGTTCTGTAGCTCGTGATCATATGGCAAGCGAAAGAACCTTTTTGGCTTGGTTAAGAACTTCATTATCATTTATCACTATCGGTATTGGTATTACCCAATTATTCAAATTACTGAATAAAACTAAAGTTAAGATAAACGATTCTATTCTCCAATTGAGTGGTAATTCATTGATTAGAGGTGAAGTGGATGATCACGAAATAATAGGTAAAGCTTTAGGTGCTATTTTCATTCTAATTGGTATAATAACATTATTATTTGGTTTCGTAAGATTCTTTAAAGTGCAGCATCTCCTAACTGTAGGTTATTATCCCGCCACAAGAAGTTCTTTGGTGGGTCTAATAGGTTTAATATTGATTATATTGGTTGCTACCTTCATTGTAGTTGTCAAAACATACTAGAATTTAATAGGTTATGATTCACGAATTATTTGGAATTTCTTCAACTCTCTTATCACCTTTTTTTTCTAACAGTTTAACCTAATACAACCTTTTGCATTATCTAAAAGATCAATCCTGGTAAAATAATATATCGAGGGCTCCAGCCCTCGCTTGAAATAATTTCCGCGACAGTCACGATGTTTGAAAAAAAGAAGTGTCATCACCAAACTCCTCCCTCAATATTAGTGAGATTGAGAATTTTTGAAAGATAAAAATTTTAATTAGTTAAAATGGTATGTTCAACATGAACTTAATAGAATTTAATGATATAATATAACATTGGAATCAAAACGAAGTGAATCATTGGCTTGCATCATATCATCAGTCTCATTTGTTTGAAGAATCAATCATAATTTTTGAAAGAAGAAATATTATACACCATCAAGTCACGAAGGCAATGAAAAATCCATCCACTTAAGTTTTGTCAAGTAAAAGTAGTCACCTTAGATGTGATTTGCAAGTCCTTGTCGTTATATTATTAAATCCCATCATTCTTGAATATTTAATACTAACAATTTTAGGGTAAAGTTCACGGTTCTTTAGCTCGTGCTGGTAAAGTTAAATCACAAACTCCAAAAGTTGACAAACAAGAAAAACCAAAAAAACCAAAAGGTAGAGCTTACAAAAGATTATTGTACACCAGAAGATTCGTCAATGTTACTTTAACCAACGGTAAAAGAAAAATGAACAGTAATTCTGCTTAATCATGATTCATTATATATTATATTAAATAAACATTTAATGTGAATTTTCCTACTTATAACTCTTTTGACAATGATTTATGTATATTACGCTATATGTATTAATTGGGGGTCATTAAATAACAATAAACTCTTGATCTAATTTCTGCTGTCTCATCATCCTCTTCGAACATTGGAGACCAATTAACTTGTTCAACTAATTGACTAGTAAAACCAAATTCTTCACAAGTTTCGAAAAACTCTAAATCTTTATGTAACAAATGTGCTCTATGTGGAGAGAAAACAACAAGAACTTTCCCATCGGATTTGATCAATTCTTGACAATCTGTGAGTAATTTCCTATGTTCTGTGTGATTGAAAATTAAATCTGACAATATAATCAAATCAAATTTATCCTTTTCTTGGATATCTGAAGCGTTGATTTCTTCCATATCATAAATAGGACCTTTGTTATTACCCCAAATGAATCCTTTAACTTCCACATTGGTTAATTTCTTACCGATTGAGTTATCGACATTGTATTGAATGTTTCCAAGTAAATCTGGGTCAGGATAATCTGTTGATATCACTACTGAAGCATTTTTCATACCACAAACAACTGATGGTAAAGCTGCTGCGGCTCCCAATTCTAATACTCTCTTATTCTCAACTAATTCACTATGATTATATAAATAATCAGCAGTATATTTCCCAGCATTCCACAATAAATGTCCCCATAATGGTGATTTACCCACCAATTTCAACTTAACGGTTTCTTTGTTTGGAGTTTCATATTCAGCAAAATGGTCTGGAGGTGGCGGAGGTCTGAAGTCCTCTGGTTCTTCGAACATACCAGTTCCTAAATCTAATTCATCATCAGACATGGTTTAAATTTTCTCATCGCATATCTCACTCTATAAGCACCTCTATCAACTCTCCATACTGTCAAAGAGATTCCATATTATCTCTATCGTCTATAACCATGAACTTCCAATTCACTTGCCTGGACTATTCACAAGGCGTCTAAGCAAAAAAATCTATATCAAAGATCCTTCGTCCTATAAGTGAAAAATGCGAGATGTCTCAATTGACTAGAGCAAGACTACCCAAGAAAATCAATGATTTACTAACGATATATACGAAGATAACTACTCCTAGGGATGATTTCAAAGAATATAAATCTGAAAATGTTCCACAAGGTAATTACAAGATATTCAAAGAAGGGATAAATCACTTTCCCAAGATACAACATCCCTTGTTAAAGTCATTATTCGAACCAATCGATAGTGTAGAAATGCTTGAAACCGATGAAATATTCAAACCAGAGTACAGAAATAGAATATCTAAAGACGTGGTGAGGAGGGAAGACGATGAAGATGAAGAATTTGAGGATTTAAGATTCAGTAGAATTATACCAACTAAAAAAACAATCTATACCAGTCAATTTACATCAGATATTATGAAATTATTGGCATCATACTATAGTCCAAGGAGTCATGTTCCCAATAACAAGCGGTATGAAAATATGTTCAAGTGGTTCTTGAGAAAATTGCATTATTCTCCATTGATCATATTCTTGAAACAACCTGCTAGATTATTCTCTGAACCTTCACTCCAGCAAATTAATTTCCCTTATGTCAACCTTCAACGAGAAATCAATGATATGAAAGAAGAAAATAACTATCATATCACCGAATTGACTGAATTAGATATCTTGAATCTAGCTATTTCTTCTCAAATGAATTATACTAAAGATCAATTAAAATCAAATAAATTGGACTTGGATATTAAATGGGATGAGCTTGAATCTGACCCTTTAAGTGAAGAACTCCAAAAACAGATCGATGTGAAAATAACTAATAAAAAAGATATAATAGATTTAAAAGACTTGACTTTCGAAACAGATGATGTTTTGAACAAATTAAAATTCAGGAAATTACCTGAAATTATGACTTACGATATAAATTTCAATCAACTTTACATCATTACCATTGATAATGAAAGTTTACATAATGATCACCAACAACTCATAAATTCAATTCAGCATAGTGGGTTGGAAATTGCAGCCATCCGATTAGATACTAATTCTCCTTTGATCGTTAATTCTTTTGAGAATATGAACAACGATCCCCATACGAATATGGATCATCTCCTCAAAAGTTTCGGGGAATTGGGTTTAACCAAAGTCAAAACTGGTGTGTTCAATAACTGTATATATTTGCTTAATAAATAATTTGCAACTTCGCGATAACTAAACGATTATAATGGCTCTCTATTTATTTGATAAAAGAGTCCGTATAGAACGATTGATCACAGCTTTGGGGTTGATTGTCGTGATCGGGTACTTGTTATTGAAGAGTCCTGACACATCACAGAAATCAATTGTAGCTAAAGAGGTTGATTCCTCAGAATTGATTGGAGGTAGAATTGATGATTTGGAGAGAGAAAGGAACTTCTTACAGAAAATGAATTACAGGACAGGTAAATGCCCAGATTATGTTGAATATTCACAAATCAGACATCCTCCTTTAAGTAATGGACAATATCAATATCCGTTCATGAGACCAGCTCCTAAATGTAGAACATTTGTATCTGAATCAGTGGAATACGTCATCAGAGATTTGAAATCCAAGGTTTTGAATGATGATTTAGCTAGACTTATAGAAAACTGCTTACCAAACACTTTAGATACTACCATTCTTTGGCATGTTCCCAGTGAACATACCAAATCCAAATTGAATATCTTACCTCAAACATTTGTTGTGACTGGTGATATTCATGCTGAATGGTTGAGAGATTCTGCTAGACAGTTATCAGTTTATCAACCTTTCACAAAATATGATAGTAAATTGAGAGAAATGATAAAAGGGGCCATAAATACTCAAATCACTTATATTTTGAATTCTCCTTATTGTAATGCATTCCATCCTCCACCAGGATCAAATATCAAAAAAGGGAATACCGCTATGGATAATGTTTTTCCAAGACCTGACTGGAATCAGGTTTTCGAATGTAAATACGAATTGGATTCATTGGCTTCGTTCTTAACATTATCTAATGAATATTATGCTAATTCTGGCGATTTATCCTTTGTCACCCCTCAATGGTTAAAAGCTTTCGATAGAGTATTGACCATTATGAAACGTGAAAGTCAACCTTCATTTGATCCCAGATCTGGTAGAGCTCTGAATTTTTACTATTCATTCCAAAGACAAACGAATATTGGTTCCGAGACATTACCCTTGGGCGGTGTAGGTAATCCCGTTAATAGTGGAACTGGTTTAGTTCGATCCGCTTTCAGACCTAGTGATGATGCTTGTATTTTACAATTTTTCATTCCTGCTAATGTTCATATGTTAACAGAATTGAAAAATTTACGTAAAAATTTCCTTAACGATAAGACCACTTTCAAAACTCAATTACCCGATTTGGCATTGTATATCAAAGTAACTGATAATTTCATCGATTCAATCACAAAAGGAATTGAAAAATACGGAATTGTTGATCATCCTGAATTTGGTAAAGTTTATGCCTATGAAGTTGATGGTTATGGGTCTAATCTTTTCATGGACGATGCTAACATTCCCTCATTATTATCCATGCCAGATATGGGTTTCTTACCTGTCAATGATGATATTTATCAAAATACTAGAAAAATGGTATTATCCAGAAAAGGTAATCCTTATTTCTTAGAGGGAAAGGTTTTCCAAGGAATTGGAGGTCCACATATTGGAATTGAAAATGCCTGGCCAATGTCATTATTGATGGCTATAAGAACAACCGATGATGATTCAGAGATCAAGAAAAATCTTAAAATGATTATGGAAACCACTGCTGGTCTAGGTTTAATGCATGAAAGTGTTCATGTTAATGCTAAGCTGGGAATGAGTTTCACAAGATCTTGGTTCGCATGGTGTAATTCAGAATTTGGTAAAACTATACTTCATTTAGCCAAACACAAACCACATTTAATTTTCAAAGAACAATATCAACAACCTTATAATCTTGAAGCGGTCTTACAAAATTTCCAATTAAAAGATAAGTCAAAAAATTAATGTACATTAACGTCTAATATAATTAGCTATATTTTCTGCTGTTTGAGAAGAAGCAGTTTTAGCTGTTGATTCAAATGCTTCTTGATAACGAGATTGTAAATCTGAATCATTCATACTATTGATTTCTGAATTCCTATCTTCAGGGAAAGTGTATTCTCTTGTAGGTTCATCTTCATCTCTATCTAATTCACCTTGATATTCTTCGTCTTCATTTTCCTCTTCATAATCTGATAAAACTTCGGAATCAGTTTTATTGATTTTCAAATCTTTCATTAAATTGTTTAAGGATTTGTTTTGTCTTTTCTTTTCGTCTTGTTCTTTTTGTTTCAAAATTCTTTCTCTTTCGGATTTATAATAATCATTATATTCATCAATTTTGTTATCGACAGCATCTAAAAATTCATCGAATCCAGCCCCTGTGTATGAGGATACACCCACCACATCTAAAGTTGAATAAAATTCTTCCAACATTAAAGACATTGAATTAACTAATGATGACATATAACTGGAACCATCATCATTATTCAAATCTTGATCATTATTCAAAGCTATTTGGAAATTTTCAAAATCTTTCATCCATTCTTTGGCAAATTCGGCATCTTGAACATCAGTTTTATTGAATACTATAATCATAGGTAATTTGGTCTTATATAAAATCGAACAAGCATATAACATATTAGACATGAAAGTGGTAGGTGAAGTGTTTCTTGGAGTATCTACAATGTAAGCTACAACCGTAGGGAAGGTGGAAGCAAAGGCTTCTGTGATGATTGATCCAGAAGCTGACCAAATGAAACATTCGATTTGTCCTGGCGTATCGACTATGACATTCTTTACTGATGATGATCTTTTTTCAACTAATTTGATCACTTGATCAATCTTCGTGGAGAAAAGATTTAATGAAGTAACAATTGCTCCGTTGGGTCCTAAGTTATATTCTTCCATAACTTTCTTGTACTTGATAGAATCTCTAATATCGATATTGGCACCAAAAGGAATCTTTAAAACAGCTGGATCTAAATTGATAACATATGGAGGGGTTTTCTTGGAATGTAAATGAGCATTCAACCTTTGCATGAAAGTGGTCTTACCACTTCCCGCCATACCAATACAGAGAATAGTTGCAGGTCCTTGACTTTGATTATCTTCTGACATAGCGATGCGATGAATTACAAATGCAGATTTGAGATTTAGTTAGGTGCGACTTCCTTCGAATGAACTAGATATATGCGATGAGATAAGACTGAGTTTTGGTTCGTATTCCAGGTTTTGACGGTGTTCTAATTTCTTTAGCCCCGTGAGTGACTTTATAGGAACTTTCTGGGAAATATATTCTTAAGGGGAAAGAGTTTTGTGGGGGGAAAACAAGACACCAACAAAGTGGTAATCATCCCATAAATCTATAGTCTTTTGCTTTCTAGAGTGGTTTCAGACTTAGAGTTTTGTAGTCTCATTTGAAATTTCTCCACAGCATGTATCCCCGGGCCCAGTCCATCTACGTATATGATCGATCCCTTTCAATTTCGTCCCTTTATCTACCCTCACTCCAGCGGCCTCCTTGTTCATATATGAATGTCTTTGATTCTTGGACTTCTGGTTGCGACCATATCTAGCAGAAAGCACCGTTTCCCGTCCGATCAACTGTAGTTAAGCTGCTAAGAGCGAGACCGAGTAGTGTAGTGGGAGACCATACGCGAAACTCTCGTGCTGCAATCTTTTTTTGCCATTTTTGGATCTTACTTATGTTAATCAATTTCAATTGTATTGGAAGTCTATCCTTGAACATGAAAATAGAGCTTTCCCTGACTCACAAAAATCATATCGGTATAGGTCGAATGATCTGACCATTGATTTTCGAGAGAGTACTTTTCATAAGGATGTATATATATTTTTTCATAAACAGGATTATGCAGATGACTTGGTAGTAGATTCTGATTCGACAATTCTATCAACAATGCCATCGAAAATGGAATCATGATTTAAAATTTGAATATTCTCCGACTCAGCAAAAAACACTTTATCTACTTTAGGTCCACCGGGAGCTCCTAAATTGGGCATTTGCTGTTGAGATTGGGCTTGTAATAATTCATTAACAGCAGTTGAATCGTTCATGATTAATGAATATACTGGCTTCAAACCTAAGAAATTGATAAAATACCAGGAAATTGATGAAACATATCTAGTATTTAAGTTAGGTGTTACAACCCCAGCTTGTAACATAGTCTTGAAACTATCAGTGATTGGGAATGGTAATTTCATTATAACAAAGCCTGCAAAAAAATAATTGACCCATGCCATAATTACTGTTTGGGGTATATAATTCATTATATTACCTTTAGCCATATTCATTAAAGCTTCATTAGCTGTTGGATCAGTTAAGGGATTGGCTGCTTCTTCATTGGCGATATTCTTATTGGCAAAATACTCTGTGGTCTTTAATGTGTTAACATAATACTCTTGTCTTGATTGAAATTCTTCAGTAGTTAAAACAGAATTTCCAATTTTGAACGAAGTGGCTCTTTTCAAGAAATGTTTTTCTCTGGATAATTTATAATTATCAAGTTTTGGATCAGGTGCTAATAATCCAGTTATATTTGACCTTACAAGACCCACTATCACCATCACTATGGAAATAGGTAACAATACCCAATACTTCAATTGAGGATCTAAGAACAAATCATCAATCATAGTTCGTTGATTAACACCGCGAAATTTTCAAATCAATATGGGATGGTTTGGTGGTTCAGGACCAGCAAAATTATCACCAGTAACTGAATTAAAACAAGAAAATGATAATAAGCAAAAGTTTTTAGAAGACTTACCACCAAAGTTTGATGATAGTAATCAACAGAAACAACCTTCACCTCAAGAAATTACTTATTGGTCAGTATTAAAACAAATTAAATTATCTGATTTTACTGTTGAAAGGTTTGCTAAAATGCCATGTTTCAAAGAAGCTATGATGACAGGATTTCAAGCTATGGCAGTTTTAGGAGGTGCCACTTTAGTTATTCAAAGAAATGTCAACAGATCTGTTCATTGGAGTGTTTGTGGGTTTTTATTGGGTAATATTTTAGGATGGAATCAATGTAGATCTATAAGGAAGAAGCAGTTAGAAACTATGGATAAGGCTAGAAGAGTTAATAGGGAAAAAGTCGCTAAGAAATGGGAAAACGAAGACGATAAAGATGAAAGATTAGAACAATTTAAGAAAGTTCAAGAATATTACAATAATAAGAAAAATAATTAAGGTCCCTTGGCTGTAGTAATAAACTTATGATAAGTCTTATTTTTTTTGCTTAATTTCCAGAAGAAAAAAAAAGATAGATCACATGACCCCTCCATATGTATATAGAAAAATCACATCTTCACAGTCACCTCGGAGCGAAATTTTGAAATCTGGAGAAATCTACCGCACTCTTTAATATGGATGGTCATAAAGCTACGATTGTTTGTATTCCTTTGAGGACAAACTTGGTCAACTTACCATCAAGATTGGGGAACTTATTAGCTAATGCTAATATCAAAGTTCAAGATGTTATAATTGAAATCGTTCATAAGAATGGTAAAAATTATGTTGGTTGGTCAGGTTGGAATAGTTCATCAATAAATTCAATGGAAATTGATTCAACTTTATCCCAAAGTTTTAATCTTTCTGATAATGATAATGTGATTATTAACTTAAAAGTTAATAATTTTGAAACTAGGCAAGTTAATTTAGAACCTTTAACATCATCTGATTGGGAATTAGTTGAATTACATGCTCAAACTTTAGAAGATAAATTATTATCCCAAACTAGATGTGTATCATTGAATCAAACTTTGATAGTTTATCCTTCCAATACTACATCAGCAAAGTTGGTGGTTACTGATATTGGTACTACTTCAACTACATTTGCTAAATTATCACCAGAATGTGAAGTTGCCATTGCACCAAAACCAAAAATAAGAAAACCAAGTGGATCAGTCAAATCAACTAAATCTTCCAAATCTTCTAAAATGGATGATTATTCTAATTTACCATCAATTTTGAAAAGATCAATCCCGTTACCTCATAAGTTGTATGATTTACCACCACATGCTGATGCTAATGGATATGAAATTTATATCAACTTCAATGAAATTGGTAATCAATTGAGTAGAGCTGAGTTTGTAGCTGTTTCTGTTATTTCAGGACCTAATTCCAAGACTAATACTGTCAAAGATAAAGAAAAACCTGTTGATAAGTCCGATAAGTCTGAAAAGGATAAAGATATAGTACCTTTGGAAGAGAGTAAGCGTGTGATAGCTAGATTGGTGAATGTTTCCACTTCTCCTACCAACACTGTAGGTTTATCTCGAAAATTGGCCGTGGCTTTATCAGTCGAAGCTATAATAGGAAGTGTAGTTGTTTTAAAACCTGCAGTTAAACAAACTCCAAAATTACCTGCAACTTTCATCATTCACCCATACATTATACAAACGAAAAAAAATTCAACTGTCAATATCAATTCTACTGAAAAGAAGGATAAAAATCAAAAACTCATAACCACCTTCGAAAAGTTATTTTATGAAGAAGATCCAATTAACAAATCCCCCATAACAAATTATACAAAATTACCTATAATCCCTCATATCTTACCTTATGGTGGTTTGTTGAAATTCAAGAGGAACTCAGAAACTAATGCTTGGATTAAACCTTTTGAAGATAAGAAATTGCCCAAATTGGAAATCGGTGAAGATTTATTAAGAAACGAATCTTTCATTGAAGAAATTGAAACGGAAACTGAACTTGATGATATCATTGGATGTGATGATATCATTGAAGATACTATTGATTCTATTGTTTTGGATAAAAATTCTGGGGTATTGATACATGGGAACTCTGGTAGTGGTAAGACCCTTGTGTTAAATACCATTGCCAAAAAGTTATCTTCCGATCATGGTTTTCATATCAAATATGTATCCTGTGAAACCATCATGAATGAGAATTTCAGTCAATTGTCCACTCATTTCACTAAATGGTTACAAGAATGTTCATGGTATAAGCCTTCCGTGTTGATATTGGATAATTTGGATAAGTTTTTATCGGCAGAAGCTGAACATGTTGATTCCACACAATCAAAAAATTTGACTGAATTCTTCATTTCTCAAGTAAACAAAATTCATCTTCAATTGAATAGTAATTTTTCAATCCTTGCATCATCTGCCAGTAAAGAATCATTAAATGGATATTTGTTTCAATCACATATTTTTGAGACCACTTACCATTTACAAACTCCTGATAAATTTACCAGATCAAAATTGTTAACCCATTATTTCGAGAATAATTTGGGTTGTAAGATTGATTTCGACATCATGGACATGGTAGCTGAAACTGAAGGTTACCTTCCAAATGATTTGAAAACTTTGAGTGATAGAGTTTACCACGAGACATTGTTCAATCAAAGTAATGAAATCTTGAATAACGAAGTATCTGCTACCAAACAAGATTTCGAAAAAGCTTTAGAAGGATTCACCCCTTCGAATTTAAGAGGGGTCAAGTTGGAGAAATCGTCTATCAATTGGTCTGACATTGGTGGATTAAAAGAAGCAAAGAATATCTTATTAGAAACCTTGGAATGGCCCACCAAATATGCTCCAATCTTCAAAAATTGTCCTTTGAGACTTAGATCAGGTATCTTACTTTATGGTTATCCAGGTTGTGGTAAAACCTTGTTAGCATCAGCAGTTGCTGGACAGTGTGGTTTGAATTTCATTTCCATCAAGGGTCCCGAAATTTTGAATAAATATATTGGAGCTTCAGAACAATCGGTTAGAGAATTATTTGAAAGGGCTCAAGCTGCTAAACCCTGTATTTTATTCTTTGATGAGTTTGATTCTATTGCTCCAAAAAGAGGTCACGATTCAACCGGAGTTACTGACAGAGTGGTCAATCAAATGTTAACACAAATGGATGGTGCTGAAGGTTTGGATGGGGTTTATGTTTTAGCAGCTACTTCAAGACCTGATTTGATTGATTCGGCGTTATTGAGACCTGGTAGATTAGACAAGAGTGTTATTTGTAACATGCCTGATTTCGATGATAGATTAGATATATTGAAGAGTATTACTGATAAGATGGATTTGGAATCTGACGTAGATTTGATTCAAATTGCCAAATCTACTGAAGGCTTCAGTGGTGCTGATATGCAAGGTTTAGGTTATAATGCATACTTGAAAGCTGTTCATGTTAAATTATTAAAAGATCAAGATGTTCAAGATACTTCCTCCAATGATAAGGTTAATATTGAATTTTTCAAGATCCAATCGGCCATAGAATCAAGTAAGAATAAAATGAGATCTGCTGATAGAGTGAAGATTCTTAAACAGATTGAAAAATTCTTTGAAACTAAGCAGTCAGGTACAAAGTCACAAGAAAAATCCTCCAAACCAAATGTTTATATTTCTCATGAAAATTTCCTTGAATCTTTAAAAGAAACCAAACCTTCCATTTCATTAAAAGAAAAGACGAAACTTCAAAAAATCTATAGTCAATTCGTTAGTGATAGAGATGGAAATATGCATGATGGTTCTGGAAGTAACGAAGTTGGTGGAAGAACCACCCTTATGTAGAATAATAAAGATATATTTCAACATTTTTCTGTAAAGCCAAGTTCTGCCTCGATAGTGGCATTGAGTGAAGATGTGATCAGTTCACAAAAAAAAAATAAGCTCGCACTCAGATTTGAACTAAGGACCAACAGATTTGCAATCTGCTGCGCTACCGCTGCGCCATACGAGCTTCGTTCCTGTCCTGAGAGGAGATAAAATATTAGTAGCAAAATTCTGAACGTAAAAATGTTTTGACCAATATCTCCCTACCAAGAAGCCGTATCAAGATTTTACAAAGAAGGTTATGAATTTTGTGAATTCTTTTTCCCATTAGTATATTTAACTCATTGAAACAACTGTGCTTTATATGGATAGTATAGATTTACCATAATGCCAATATATATTAGTTAAAGGGGAAAAAAGGCATTATTTGAAGTCTAGGACAAGATAAATGCTACAATAGTGAGTTAGCCCAAGCTAGAATAGTACAAAACCCCAAACCTTGAAAAGCCGGTGCTTTTGTGGAAAACAATATCGTTGTAAGTTGAATTTCTTCTCTTCTTCTCATTCGCGTCTCACATCTTATCTGGAGTATGTTTGGAGAATCAGCTAACAAGTTGATTCTTGATTCAAGAAGGACTAATAATTTGCCAGAAGTCTCATTATATCAAACAGAGCTAATAGGGGATATACTTCGAGAGATCAATGACTTGGATAAAGATATGGAATATTTACAACAGGAAACTGAAGCTTTGATGTCTCAAGGTGAAGATAATGAAGCCAATAGGAAAATAATAGAATGCCAACAGTTTGCCGCTAGGTTGACCATGATAAGGAATAAAAGATGTTTGTTAGCTTACGAAAGAGCCAGAGCTAATAAGATAGATGAATTTTGTTGGTTAAATGTTGATCCAACTAATGATTTGACCTCGAAAACAAGTATCAGTTTACTGAAAAATAGTTCTCTTGGAACAAATTTTACCACATCATTATCCCTAGATAATTTAAGTCATCCTGAACAAGAATATTATCGACAATATCAAGAATTATTGGTAGATTATAAATCTAAGTTCTCAGATATTGACCTTTCGGGAGATTTAGAACCACCTACGAATATTTTCATTGATGTAAGAGTACTTAAGGATGGAGGAGAAGTACAAACCGAATATGGAGTTTTCAATTTAATCAAAGATTCCCAATTTTATGTAAGAAAATCCGATGTTGAACGATTAATTCAACAAGGATATTTAGAAGAATTGTAATTTATTGTAATATACACTAATTCAACACCACAAAGTCATCGTCCTCAAACGTTTCATCAATTTGTACAGGTTCATCCTTTACGTCATTTTTCATGTCACCCTTTGTATCATCCTTTTTATTATCTTGAAACTTATCATCTTTAATCTCAACTTTCACAGATGATTCTTCTTTGATGGGACGCTTCGTTTCTTCGACTTTCTTATCCTTTGCGTTGATCAAATGCAACATCTTTTGCTCTTCTGTAGGTTCTTCCGGTAGAAGAGTTTTTAATTGTTCTAATTCTTCTTGTAAACGTCTTTTACCTAATTTTGTATTCTTTTGATCAACAGCAATGGGTAATATCATCACTGAATCTTCATTTTGGTCATATCTTCCAATGTTTTCATCCATAATTTTCACTTCCTTTCTTAAATTTATGGCAATATCACTTATATTTTGATATATCATTTTGGTTTGATCAGTTATTTGTTTCTTTGCATCATCGTAATTACTATTGGCATTGGCGTATTTATCGAAAACCTTGGACATGTTATCCAATAATTCTACTACGGAAGAATCAATCTCATCAAGAGACTTTAGCCTCTTCTCTATGAACAGTTCCTTGCCAGGCATAATGAAACTTTTGAGAAATTGAAAATTGTGAGAAATGGGTATCAACTTAGCGTTATCAAGGATAACGAAATTGCTTCAAATCTTGGGTAATCCTCATAAAAGCTATAAATCTATACATATAGCGGGTACCAATGGTAAAGGTTCAACCGTCACATACTTAACATCGATTTTGACTAAAGCTCAGATCAAAAATGGTAGATTCACTTCACCTCATCTTCTATATTATAATGATTGTATTTCAATTGATAATGAAACCTATCCGTTACAGAAATTCAAGGAAGTTTCTGAAATGGTTTCCAAAGAGAATAGTAGTCATGAATTAGGGTGTACGGAGTTTGAGTTACTAACCGTAACTGCTTTCAAGATATTTGAGTTAGAGAAAATTGAATATGCAGTTATTGAAGTGGGATTAGGAGGGAAATTGGATGCAACCAATGTTTTGACACCATTCACATCTGAAGAAAAAGGTGGTGTTGTAGTTAGTGGAATCACTAAAATTGGGATTGACCATGAGAACTTCTTGGGTTCTACCTTTAGTGAAATTGCATCTCAAAAGGCAGGCATTATAAAAGATCGAATCCCTGTAGTTGCTGATAATAGTAATAACCAGGAAGTTATTGAAGTTATAAAACAGAAAGCTTCATCGACAAATAGTGATCTTTATCTCGTCGATGGTATTAATCCCTCAGATCCAAAAATTGGTATTTCTCCTAGTAGAGCTCAATTATTGAGATCCTTCTCTCCATTGAAAGGGACCTACCAATTACAAAATTTGAGTGTAGCATTACAAATCATCGAACTTTTGAAGAAAGATATTCCAATAACTGAATCCAACATTGAAGAAGGTATCAAAACAGTGGTTTGGCCAGGGAGATTACAACTGGTCAAATATAAAAATTTAGACCTTCTCATTGATGGTGCTCATAATGAAAGTGCAGCTCAGGAATTATCGACATTTTTGAAAAGTTATAGAGAAGATGGTATAATCTTCATAATGGCATTGAGTAAAGGTAAATCAGTTGGTAACTTAATGAAATACGTCGTTGAAGATTCTGATACTTTGATAGCTTCAAGATTCTCACCACCTGAAAACATGCCTTGGGTTTCCTCATACAATGTTGAAGACATCGAACGTGTGGGTGAACAGTATTTCAAATCTGTCATCAAGTCTAATAATGACTCTTCAATTGAAGATATCCTCGATAAGGTAGCGAAAATGGTAGAAACTGGTGATAGAAGGAAGGTGGTGGTTTGTGGTAGTTTATATTTATGTTCTGATGTACTTAGACTAGTCAATGACAAGTTGTAAATAGATAATATATTTTAATGATTATTTCTAATATTTTTGGCTTTTTTTTTTGGATTTTTCGTGATTTTTACTATTTGGCTGCAAAAAATTCTATTCAGAAAACAATGTGGAATTCAATGGAATAAAATAAGATGAAAAATATTTTGACCAATGGTACATACCATAGAGATTAATGAAGGTCGACAGATAGCAAAATGCTAGTCCAATTGGATTAGTGGCTAACAAAAACCTCTTCAGATCAAAAGCAAGTAAGTTTGACTTCGCAAAAATCTCATTAGCAAATGCCTGAACTTAGTGAATTCGAAAAGCAAAGACAAGAGAATATCCAAAGAAACAAGGAATTATTAAAGAAATTGAACCTTGATCTGATATCTCAATCAATTGCTGATGAGATTCCAAAAGATAAACCCAAAGCCAAAAGAAGGAAGCCATCACCTAAAGTCAAACAAGAAGTTGAACCTCAAAGAAGATCAAGAAGAATAGCTGGTGTGAAGACTGAAAATACTGAAGAGTTCAAAAAAGCTCAAGAAGAAGCTGAAGAAAGAGATAGACAAAAGAAAGAACTAGAAAAGCTAAGATCAACGCGTCTTTATGGTAACTTCAGTTTGATTGATTTAGTTACCGATAGAAGTCTGGGTAATTTGAAGTTCGAAGATAAAGTTTATCCAGTCAAGAAAGAAAAAGAATCAGAGATTAAAGAAGAAGAAGAAAATGCTGAAGAAAAGGAGGAAATCAATATTGAAGAAGATAATGAAGTACTTACACTTTTCCGAGATTTAGGTGATAAAATGTCAGCAGGTGATTTTTATGATCTCATTAGAGATTCCAAATTAGACTATAATGATAAAGTATTGGAAACTAAACGTAAAGAATTCGATGATTTGAAAATTTATGAAAAAGTTGATCCTTTGGATATCAAATTGAGTCATCATAGGATAACTTCTATTAATTTTCATAGTAACATCAAGGATAGAATCATAACGGCTGGGGATACTAATGGTGATATAGGTATTTGGGCTGTTGATTCTACCAAGAAAGATGAAGATGGTGATGAAGAAGCTACAGTATCAATTTTGAAAACTCATGGAAAATCGATAGCTAGGATATTATCACCTTTCGAGACTCCTTCGAAATTCTATACTGCTTCATATGACGGATCAGTACGCCAGATGGATCTTAATAAGTTAACATCAACTGAAGTGGTTTATCTTCATGAACCAAATGAATCAGATGACTATCCTTTGGGTGTTTCAGATATCAATTTTTGTACTGATAATCCAAATTTGTTATATATGACCACGTTATCAGGAAATTTCTATCAACACGATATCAGAACAGCTTTCAAATCAATCGATACCAAAAAGTTTTTAAGATTATCTGATAAGAAAATCGGATCATTCACAATAAATCCCAACAAATCACATCAAATAGCCACTGCATCATTAGATAGAACATTAAAAATTTGGGATTTAAGAAATGTCAGTAAATCGAATGCTTCATGGTCAGAATTTGAAGATCAATTAAGTGCCCATCCATACGGAGCTTATAATTCAAGATTATCAGTATCTTGTGTTGATTGGAATATAGAAAATAGATTGGTATGTAATGGGTACGATGATAATATTTGTGTATTCAATTTAGATGATTATAAACCTGGAGTACCTCCAGTGGTTGAATGGGCCAAGGATTATCAACCGCCATTCAAAAATAAAGAAGAAGGAGTCGTTCCTAATAATATCCAACCATTTACTAAAATAAGACATAATTGTCAAACTGGTAGATGGATATCTATTTTAAAATCCAAATGGCAAACAGCTCCTAAGGATGGAGTTCAAAAGTTTGTCATTGCCAATATGAAAAGAGGTATTGATATTTATGATCAAAAAGGGCAAATAATTGCCCATTTAACTGGACCTAAAGTTGGAGTTGTACCAGCAGTTACAGCATTCCACCCTACAGAAAATTGGGTCGTCGGAGGAAGCGCTAGTGGTAAGATATATATGTTTGAATAGAAGAACTTTAATTACAGTACATTAATTTTATATTACTATAAAGTATATTACCTCATTTAAGCGGATGAGGTCATAACTTGCCAGACTCTGATTAAGTTATCAGTGTAACCAGCGAATAAAGTTTGACCATCAGCAGACCAAGCTAATGAGATTGGTTCTGGGTCTTTAGCTTTAGCACCAATAGCGAATTCTGGTTTTAATTCATCTAATAAAGATCTTTCTTGTAAGTTGAAGATTTTAATACCAGTGGCAGTGGCAGCAGCAACCCAATATCTGTTTGGAGAGAAAGCTAAAGCATGAACTTCAGCGTTAGCATTTAAGGTGTATAATGGTTTGTTTGAGTTTAAGTCCCATAAGATAATGTATGAATCTTTACCAGCAGAAGCACATAATGATCCATCTGGGGAGATAGTGATACATGAAATGTAACCTGAGTGACCAATGAAATCAGCGTTTAATGAGTATTCAGATAAATCCCATGACTAAAAAATTGTTAGTAAAATAAACTTGATTTAATTTTTAGGAAAAATTAAAGATTAATTTCATCAGAGATCTTGGTGTAGATTTGATGTCTCATTCGAAGCTGGCGAGCAACGTCTGAAGTAGCAAATATCTGTAAACATCATCTTTAATCTTTAAAATTCCCTTGAATGACATGAAGAAATTTCATATCATGAATAAAAAATTACATACTTTAATAGTTTTATCCCATGAAGCTGAGATAACAGTTGAAACACCTTCATCAGATGGTGAGAATCTAACAGCAGAAACCCAATCTGAGTGAGATTTTAAAGTTTGCATACATTCACCAATGGTGTTCCAAACTTTAACGGTTTTATCTCTTGAAGCTGAGACAATTTGTCTTAAGTTTTTGGCAATAGAAACTGATAAAACATCGGAATCGTGACCAACGAATCTTTTGGTACATTCACCGGTTTCTAAATCCCATAATCTTAAGGTTTTATCCCATGAACCTGATAAAGCGTAAGCACCATCAGCTGAGATAGTAACATCTTGAACAATGTGGGAGTGACCTTTGAATGATTTTTTTGGGACACCGTATTGACTGTCATCACCAGTTAATTTCCAAGTGATTAAAGTTTTATCTCTTGAACCTGATAATAATAAATCTGGGTGAGCAGCAGTGGTTGCTAATGAGGTAACCCAACCTCCGTGACCTTCTAAGGTACCTCTTAAAACTAAAACTTCTTGACTAGCCATTTTTAAATAAATTTAGATTTGATGAAAAAAAAATTTTTCACTCACTGAGTTGAATAGAGTAAAGAAAAAAAAAAAAGTCAAACACGTGATATAGCACATGACCTAAAAATTTCTCAAATATAAGATGTACTGAAATAAACGCAGAAACTGGTACCGGTATTACTCTTGTAAAAGTGACTGTTTATTTAACCGAGAAAGATCGGTACACCCATATATAGTATGAATTGTCCTTTCAGTGGATTTTTTGCATAGCTACAAGGACTGTAAGTATAATTGAACGTTATATCACTTGAAAATCAAGAAAATTCTGCTATTGTGCTTCAAAAAAATCCGTAAATATCGGTAAATGTCCGCCCCTCCTTTGACGTGTTCTGTCAGGCCCAAAATCTCACCAAAATACGAAACCCCAGATTAGAACAACAATCTCACTCCACCCTTAATCGAGATGAAGATTTCCATATTGAGCGGGGGAACAGCTACTAATGAGTTAGTACCATTATTTAATAACCTTACCGATGATATAAGTTATATATTACCCATACTGGATAATGGAGGTTCCACATCAGAATTGATAAGAGTTATAGGAGGACCTGCCATTGGTGATATAAGATCGAGATTAACTAGATTGATACCTGAAAAAGAGAAGGGATTAAGAAAATTATTAACTTTCAGATTATCTGATGATGCAAAGTTGGCTAAAGTTCAATGGAATGATATTGTTGATGGTAGTCACGAGTTATGGAGAGATATTGAACCTTCAACAAGGGAAATCTTTAGAGCTTTCTTCATTCATGTGAATGTCGAATTACTTAAAAGGTCTAAACATCAATCATCTGCTCATACCACCAAGAAACAATTCAGATATGAGTTAGCTAATGTGGGAAATTTATTTTTAACAGGAGCTAGACTATTCATAGGATCATTGGATTCTTCGATTGAATTATTCTCCAAACTTTCGGGTATAGATCCTAAAGTTGAAGTATTGCCATGTATAAATACCAACTTCACCTACCATATAAGTGCATTATTGAAGAATGGGTTAATTATTACAGGTCAATCACAAATATCTCATCCTTCAGAAGATAAATTACCTGATAACTATCCTCCTCCTATAAATAAGACAAGACCATCCACTCCGACTCAAGAACATCCACCTTTGGCAAGTGAAGACTCATATTTTTCCAACCTTTCTTACACTTCACCTATTGGTAATATAACGACGATGAATCATCTGTTCAGTGAAAATTTCTCTGAATTTTCCGATGTTTCTGACGATGAAGAAAGTGGTAATGTTCCACAATACACACATCCAGAATTAAAGAAATCACAATTGCATTTCTCCAAAACTGAAGCCATAGAACCGTTATTATCACCCATTGAAAGGATTTTTTATGTATCACCATATGGAGAAGAAATAAGACCAACTGCTCACCATAAAGTATGTTCTACCATTGCATCTAGTGACGTGGTAGTTTACTCTATTGGGTCATTGATGACTAGCATATTACCAATTGTGGTTTTGAAAGGGGTTGGAAAAGCTATAGCTGCTGATAGTTCTAAAGTCAATAAAAAAAGAATCTTATTATTAAATGGATGTCATGACAGAGAAACTTTTGGAATGCAAGCAATTGATTTTGTGAGAGTTATAGTGGAACTGGCTACTTACTCTTTTAAACAAAAGCATGATGGTGATAATACCATTAGTTCAATTCATCAATGGGATAGATTTGTTACCCACTTATTTTATATGGAAAATCCTAAAATCCACGTAGATGTTGATCAATTAAGTGAAAGAGGAGTGAAATGTGTTGAAATAAAAAGAGATCAAAGTGAAGATTATTTTGATCTTCATGATTTGCAATATAAATTGACAGAAATAGCCACATAAGAAACGTAAATATTTTATATTAATCATACCATATTTTAATTAATTCTTCCGATACCGCCGAAGGTGTTAAAACCCCCAAATCAGTTATCAATGCTGTAATATATTCATGAGGAGTGAAATCGATTTGTTGAGTAGTCAATAATCCATGATCATTCAGGAAACTCATACTATTAGCATTTTGTAATAATTGATGCATTTGTGTTGGTAAATCATTTGGAGCTAATGGGAATAATCTGACGAACTTATGGGATTCAGTAACAACATAAAAAGGTTTGTTATTGGTTTTAGCTAAACAACCAATTTGATATGATCCAATATGATTAATTATACCTCCTGATTCAGCCACCCCTTCAGCACCTACTAAGATTTTGTCTACTTTATGTATAACATATCCTACAGCATTATCGACTATAACTTCAGTTGGAATATCGGAGTCTCTTAAAACTTGTGCCATATGATAACCTTTTTCACTTGGTCTTGATTCAGTAACGATAACTCTAAAACGAATCATTTTTTCCTTTTTAGCTTTGATTAATAATTGATGAACTACACGTGAATATGAATGAACCAAAATAGTATCATCATCTTTAATAAAAGGAACACCAAATTCAGCTACTTTAGATCTTGATTCTTTAGCCCTTTGAACAAATAATTCCCCATTTTCAACCAAATTTTTCCTACATGATTCCCAATCAGAATATAAATTGATATTTCTCAATACGAATCTCATGAATAAATCACAACCTGCCGATAATGATATAGCATTAGAAATGGATGATTTTAATTTATCAGTATTATGTTTGACCAAATTGATAAGTTCTGATGATGTTGAAGGTTGTTTAACTTTTAACATATCAACTAATGATTCAATAGCCGCTATAGGCATAGTCATTTCTGCGTCATCTTCTAAGAATTTCAAATAAACCTTAGTTATATCAAACTCTCCTGTCATTGAATTGTCGCAGTTTTTTTTTTTTGAAGTCCAAAATCTCAGATTTTTTTCCATCTCATCTTCTTGATAATCTTTTGATAATGACAAAGGAAGAAACCAAACTCTTCATTGATGAAGACAATGATGATATGGATGTATCCATGCCACAAATTTCTAATATTAATATAGATTCTACTCATGAATCAATGTATCAGGAATCTTTAAACGAGCAAGGATTAGATGATTCAGATACTGATTTAGAACTTGAAGAAGAAGATCCGATAATTGAATCCATTCCTTTATTCATAAATAGTATAGGTGAAGAAGAAAGAGAATCCCAATCCATTCATTTATTACAATATTCAAGTAAACCCAAATCAATACCTCAAACTATCAATCATGTGGGGGCAGCAGTTAAACCAGAATCTAATTTTATAAAAGTAAAGATACCTTTAGATACTAATAAATTCTATGATAATTCCAAGACAGAAGAATGGGGGGTTGCAGTTAATGAACATGAACATATGGGAGTTTTGAATAAAACCAATGGAGGTTTATATGCTGCTAAATATGTAATTAAAGATGGTGAGAAACAAGTTCATTTGATACCCATAGATTCAACCGCTCAATTAAGACCTTCATTTAAATATTTAGATGATATAGAAAATCTGAAAATGTTACAAAGAAAGGAAAGTTTTGATCAATCAGCCAAACCTCAAAGTGTTCATGTTCTTCAAAGTACTGCTAAGAATACCAAAACTTCTAATAATGATCCTTTTGTAAGCACTGCATTGGGTGAATCTTTGAAACATGTTAGACGTTTCGATCAAGAAGAATGGTCAAATGTTACTTGGGAAGATGATGAAAACCTTGAAAAATTCACTGAATCTACCACCAAACTTCAAACAAAAACCACCATGGATGATTATATCAACCAATTGACTCATTAATGGTGTCATTCATAAATTATTTTTGCATAAAATGTATATTAGAGACTTTTCATTATCTCACACCTCATCTCATCTCTCTTCTGATAAAATCTCAAATCTCACTAACGATGGAAGAAGACGACGGATTACTTTTAAACTTCGCTGCTCCAACAACTTCCACCGGGAAGAGTCCTAAAACATATGTTAAACCAACAGGAGGTAGATGGAAAGATCGTAGAAAGAAACAATTGGAATTACAAGGTAGAGGAAGAAATCAAAAAAAACCATCATCTAGTGGAGTTAATTCAATTAATATTCATGAATCTAGATTAAAGAGAATAAGAGATGGTGAAAATGAAAGTAAAGCTGATAATACAGGTGATAAGAAAAGAAGTAAGTTCACAGAATCAAGAGGAGAATTTGGTGGAACTAATAATTCATATGTTTCATCATTATTCACTTCTAATGAAAAAAGTACTGTTCTTGAAACCAAAACTGAAGAAAAAGAAGTTACTTATTTACCATCAAATGCTCCATTAAAAGATGCCACGACTTTTGAAGGTCTTGGATTAAATGAAAAATTAACCAAACATTTAACGGAAAATTTAAGATTTAAACATCCAACTAAAGTTCAAAGATCAACTCTTCCAAGTCTTTTATTTGCAAAAAGTGATTTATTCATTAAAGCACAAACTGGTTCAGGTAAAACTTTAGCATTTTTATTACCCATTTTCCATAAATTAATGCAAGAAGATAAACATAAGATTACTAGGGATTCAGGAATTTTCGCCATGATTTTAGCCCCAACCAGAGAATTAGCCAATCAAATTTATAGTGTTTTGGAAACATTATCAAGATGCCATCATCAAATTGTCCCTGGGATAGTTATTGGAGGAGAAAAGAAAAAATCTGAAAAGGCTCGTATAAGAAAAGGGGTTAATATTCTTGTAGGTACACCTGGTAGATTAGCTGATCATATTGAGAATACTGAATCTTTGAATTTGAGTGAATTAAGATGGTTGATTCTTGATGAAGGTGATAGATTAGTTGAATTGGGATTCGAAGAAACTATTACCAAGATTACTGATAATATAACTAGATGTAGTAAGATTAAAGAGTCAGCTAGTAAATGGTCAGGTTTACCAACTAAAAGAGTGAATGTATTATGTTCAGCTACTATGCAACAGAATGTGGAGAAATTAGGTAGTATTTTACTTGATAATCCTGAAATGATCACTGTTGAAAGTAAAAAACAAATTGAAGGAACAGTTGAATTTAATGATAATGATCATGATCTTCCTCAAACTACAGAAATCACCAATATGACAGCTCCTGATCAATTAGTTCAAAACATCATTATTGTACCACCAAAGTTAAGATTAGTCACCCTCAATGCATTGTTTAAAAAGATAGCTAAAGTTGAACAACCTCAAAGAATTATGGTCTTCTTATCATGTTCCGATTCGGTCAATTACCATTTTAATGTTTTCACTAGAAATGGGAACAAGTTCATAAAACAAAAAGATGAAGATGGGAAACTTGAAATTAAACAAGTACCTTTAGATTCTGATGCTGCTGATGATGATACCAATACTACTTATGCTACTTCACCATCAATGGGTAGTACAGTTGTGTCATTCAAATTACATGGATCCATGTCACAACAAGAAAGAACTTCAACATTATCAGCATTCATCAAGAATGATATTAATGCTACTCATCAAATCTTATTCTGTACTGATGTGGCTTCAAGAGGGTTAGATTTACCAAATATTTCTGAAGTTATTGAATATGATCCACCATTCGCTATTGAAGACCATTTACATAGAATTGGTAGATCTGCCAGAGTGGGAAATCAAGGTTCAGCATATTTATTCTTATTACCAGGAATTGAAGAAGGATATATTGAAGACAAATTATCAGTGGTTCATCCAAAGGGTAGTTTGAAAATTGGAAGTTATGAAAAATTATTGAAAGATGGATATGGTGAAGAAAAAGCTGATAAATCCGAAAGAAATAAATGGGATATTCATGCTACTACCTGGCATCTTAATATTGAAAGATGGTTATTAGAAGATTCTGGAGCTCATGATGAAGCAACTTTAGCTTTCACTTCTCATATTAGAGCTTATGCTACACATTTATCAACTGAAAGGAATTTCTTTAATGTCAAACAATTACATTTAGGACATTTAGCTAAAGCTTTTGGATTGAGAGAAACTCCTAAGAAATTAGGTAAAAACTTTGGATCTTCAAATGCCAAACCTAACAAACCAGGTGAAAAGAAACCTAAGAAAATGGATCCTAAGAATAAATTATTACATATGGCAAGATTAGCTGTTAAATCCGCTAGTTCAGAATTCAATTATTAAACGTTTGTATATTAATATATTTGGAAAGGTTTTAACATTGATCTCTATATCCTTGAATCTTCCAAAGTCCATGGTTTTCTCCCAACAAGTAAGGAATAGTTCTTTTTTGATAATAAGATGATGATAATTTTAAATTTTCAATGATATCATCTAAAAGAATAGCCTTACCAACATTTATCCCATCACCTAATCCTGGATGTTTGACTGTCACTACATGGATATGGAAATGATAGTATGAAGGTTGATAATGAACGAAAAGTCTTAACTCATCTTTATCGATAGCGTATTTTTCACTTGTAACCTTCAAAATAGTAGACTTCAAAGTTTTCAAATATTCAATATGATCACCTGTCAAATCCCTAACAGAAGATATATCTTTTCGATTAACTATGGTACATAAATATAAAGAATCAAGACTAATTCTGTCCCACTTCATATCAGGTAAAAGGACAAATCCGGTTTCTAAATCTTTATCATGATACACAAAAGATTCACTTTCCTTGCCTTCAAAAAGAATGTTATAAACCCATTTGATTCTATCACCTTTCATGGTCTCTATATAAGGTACAACGTAATTTTCATACATTTCTGGAGTCTCTAAAACCATATGGAACTTTTGTGGACTGTATTTTCTAATATGAGTTTCAGTAGCTGGATATATAACATTTACTTTAGCGCCCGGTGTATCAGGTAGCTCTTGGTTAATGGTACTTGAGGACCAATAATATACATCATTATTTTGTATCAATTTCAACTCATTGATTATATCATTCACTTCGATGTTTCCTTCAACTAAGAAATGGGATTTCTCAATTGTGACAATGGCATGTTCATTTTCAACAGTTCCTAGAACCACTATCTGTTTGGTTTGAGGATCAGATTTAAGTAATCGTTCGAATTTGAACTGTTTAATGAGTTGAGTTATATCCATTGAGAATCAGGTCGCACTGCAAGAGTTCTCATTACTATACATTAAAAAGATTCATCAGCTTCTTCATTAAGATCAAGACAAATCCAACTGGGCCATGCTATCTCATCTCTAAGAATACCTCTTAATCTGTCAACTAAAAACTTTTCAACCTTACCCACATTTCTTAAAGCATTATGCTCAACACCTCCAATTTCAGACTCGATCTTGATTTTCTTGATGATATCGATTCTTTCTTGAGTGTTCCCATTACTGACATATTCAACGAAGTTGGCACCATCAGTGAATGATTGATGATGGTTTCCTGTGAAATACTCGGAATTTTGTTCATTAATGTCACATAAAAATGATACGTAAACTGATTTTTTCAAATATGCTATTACTGCAATCGAATGAATAACTATATCTGTGATTTGAAGTTTTATGGGTAATGAAATAAAGTTTGGAGATGGATAGTTGACCAATAAATTCACCATTATCTCAATATGTAAATCTCCATGATAATTGAACTCTGTTATGAGTTGAATATCAGATTCATTTCTTTCGGTAGTTTCTTTGGATCGTATAAACGAACTTGATCTAGGATCTCTCAATGTATTATTCATGATTTGAGCATGATTCAAGAAATGTGTGGGAGTGTCAGCTCTAGTTGAATTATGTGACGATGGAGAATTCAAATTCCCTAATCCTAAACTATTAATATTATGATTATGAAGAAATCCTACATTAGTATTACCTATCATCAAACTAAGGGAGTCTGACGATTTCCTGGTCCTGTTTTCTTCATCTTCTAATTGGAATCCGCTCTTACCTCCAATGGTAGGAAATTGTTTGAAATTACCAGTAAATGCATTTTCAGTGTTCAAAGTAATCTGTTCATCTTTCTTTAAATACTCTTCAGAAATAGTTGAAATATTAGTACTTGCATCATCGTCTTCATCACTAGAATCCATATAACTACTTCTATCATGCATATACTTATTACTTAACTTCTTCAATCGTTCATCGATATCTTGCAAGTCTTCATCATAGAACTCATCAAATGGGTTACTTATGTGTCTAATGATAATATCCGGTGGTTTAGTTCCCAAATTGAATTCCGTTACTTTTAATCCTGAAATAAACGATGGGAGACTTAAACTTTGGAATTGTTCATCTAAGAACTCCCTGATACCATTATTTATGGTATCATCAGATAGTTTATCCCAATCTATCTCAAATGACATGAATCTAAAGTCGCGAACTTAGTTTGGCCTATACCAACTTAATAGTTTGACCTTTAATCCTCACAAACAAGTGGAGACGAAGGTTTCATCGAATCTTCAGATACTGTTCCCCAATACCATACATGAAAGATCCATTGAATCGCTATCATAGGGTTTGCTATTCTCTGAAATCACGTGATATGCATCAATATGTAAAATAACCGCTAAAAATTGTGCGATTCTATTGATGTTAGATATTGAAAAGGTAGCTGTTATAGGTTGTGGACCAGCAGGTATTGCTTCTATTTATGAACTCTTACATACAACAAAAGATGGAGAGTCCACAGTAGGCAAAGCTGCGGCTGAAAACTGTAAATTCAAAGTCACAGGGTTCGAACAAAAGGATAAGGCTGGAGGAATTTGGTATCCAAATTTTGATGAAGCGGATTTACCAGTACCTCCACAAGATTTATTAGATACTGAAAAATATAATGATCCTCATGTGATCAGTCCTAAGGTTGAAATACCTTCAGACGTATCTGGAGGAGTGAAAAAGCCAACCAATAAGATTTTGAATGAGTTGGAATGGAAGAGAAGTGGGATCTTTAGAAATTTATACACCAATATTGCTGCTAGATTCACTAGATTTTCGTATATGGAGAACGATGACAAGTATTACGATAAGTCCAGAAGAATCTATCCATTCATGACCCATATAGAATTATGTGATAGAATCGATAAGTTCATTGAAACTGAAAAATTGAACGATTATATTAGGTTCAATTCTTCAGTCAAATCAGTTACCAAGGTTGGTGATAAATGGAGATTGGTGATTAAGAAAACCAATGTTGATTTAGATGAAGATGAATGGTATGAAGAAGATTTTGATGGTGTTATTATGTCTAATGGTCAATTCACCGTACCAAATTTCCCTTATTCTCCAGGTATGGCTGAATTCAATAGGAATTTCCCTAACAGTTTGATGCACTCAAACTCTTATAGATCTCCCGATGAATTCAAGGGGAAAAGAGTTTTAGTTGTTGGTGGAAGTATTAGTACTATCAATGTATTACAGTATATTGTTCCTGTAGCTGAATCTGTAGCAGTATCTTCAAGAGGTGATCACCCATTATATCCTTGGATCACCAAAGCTATTAGATCTGAAGGTATTGACCACAAAACAACCATTAAGGAATATAAACCAAACGGTGATGTAGTTTTCACTGATGGCACTGTTGAACCAAGATTTGACAAAATTGTTTTCACTACAGGTTATCACCGTCATTTCCCATTCTTAAACGATAAAAATGTCGAAGTTACCAACATTTCCCGTTCAGAGAGAATCAAAGGATTATACTACAATACTTTTTCCATTGAAGATCCTTCATTAGCTGTTGCAGGTGCTACCACTTCACCTTTGGCATTCCATTCTATGGAAGGTAGTGCGGCTGCTATTGCTGGAGTTTGGTCCGGTGCAGGTAAATTACCTTCAAAAGAAGAACAGAAGAAATGGGAACAAGAAAGAATTGAGAAAGTCGGTGATAATGCTTCATATCATTTTTTTGCACACACTTTGATCAAGGAACAATATTTTGATGTTTTAGAAAAATTCATGGCAAAAGGTAGATTGAACCCTTTACATGTAGATGGTGATCATGTTAATGACATAGAAAAAGGTATCGAATCCATTGAAAAGTTATTCTACAAAGTTAAAACAGGAGAATTTTCTATAGCCGATACCATGAATCCATAGATTTTATAGATTGTATTATACATTTGAACTTTTATCGCCCTCGTCATAGGAGATAACGAAATTGTCACTACTGGGACCCAAATCATTTAACTCTAAATCTTCTCTTACCTTGGTATAAGTGACTGATCTGAAATTTTTTAAAGACCTTATTTTAGTGGCTATAGTGTTGGTAATTCTAGTCCTACGTTGTTTACCAATTAATAACCAGAATATCAAAAGTAAAAGGACCCCTAAGAATCCAACACCGTACCACCTATGAGGCTGAATATACCATTTCAGCTCAGCATGGCTTTCATCATCATCTGTGTCAACATCAAGCTTTTCATTTCCAGCCGCATCCCTATTGAATACAGGTCGTGGAGCAACCCCATTTTGTTCACTTCCATAATGGAACAAATTAGGTGAAGCTGAGTAAGTGAAGCCTGACCTTTTTATTTCTTGTTGGGTAAAATTGCTATAAGCTTGGATATACTCGTCATTTGCATATAATAAAGCTCTTCCCAAAGTCCATGAAAATTCTTGTCCATTGATTTTATCAACGAATTCCAAGGATTTGAATTTAGTGGATTTAACTTCGTCTATTCCGAATCTAGGGAAACCTAAACCCACATGGAGGAAATTTAAGATCCATGTAGATTTGAAACAAAGACTTGCTAATTCATCCAGATGTAATTGATCATCAGAAGACTTCATTTCATTGAGTTTCATTAATTCAGCATATGATTTCGAGCATAATTTGGAGGTGTTATCATAGATAACTTTATAATCATAGGTTTCGTTCTTACCTTTATCTTTACCATTACCTTTACCTTTTTCTGCGTGGTCTTTTCCTTGATCGTCTTTCCCTTCATCATCTTTCCCTTCATCATCTTTTCCTTCATCATCTTTTCCTTGATCATCTTTTCCTTCATCTTCTTTCTCTTCATCGCCTTTCACACCTTCATCACCTCCCTTCCCATTAGCACCCCCGAGAAACTTATCAGGATTATGAACATTTTTGCCGTCTCGCTTCTCATTATAATCCATAAGCTTACTTGTAGCGTACCAATAGCCACTGACACCCAAAAAGTAATTGATATCGAAATCAAATGCCGGAATGAGATCATTCAATAGACATGAACTAACATCTGCTTGATCATCGTATTGTTGACAATTACCTGACGGTTTATCAGAATGACCATACGCTCCTTTTGATAAAACCGGGAAAATTGAAAGTAAACATTTTTGAAAATCAGAATCACCTGTGAAATCGTAATTCTCGTCATCCACTGTTCTTGATGTTGTGTATCCTTTGGGCAAACAAGGATCATTGATCGGTGGTTTATAAGAAAGAAAATTTGACCCTTCCTGCGACGAGTTTTCAGTTAATGATTTAAGATACTTTTCATAAGCTTGTGTCATTCCTAAACCAAGATAGGAGTCAGAATAGACATCGAACTGTAAATTTTCAGGATTTTTGAATTTCCCATCTTCCATTATTGGTAATTTGAAGAGATCAAATTTATAAAGATTATTTTTATGTTCTTCAGTTTCGGTGGTGTTGGGTTGGAAAACCACTTGAGTTGAGGCACCTCCCATATCTAATAAACCATAGGTAGTGTGACCTTTTCCATGTTGATGACTTTGAGGATGATCGAAACTTCCCATAAGATAATTTGAAGATAACCATCCATATAAACCTTCTATATCACCTTCAATGACATTTATATGAGAAGAACAATCAGGTAAGTAGAATTTCGATTTAGTAGTGAAATATTCACACACTTCATCTAAAACCGTTTGTTGTTGGGAAGGAGTCAATAATCTCATTCCAGCAGTGGAATGAAGAAATATAGGAGTTCTAGAATGTTGGGATTCAGGTACAACCTTCTCTGCTAATTTAAGTAAATATTTCAAATGGTGCTTTCCTATTTTCTGAGGACTTTGAGCAAACGTCGATATTCCAGGTTTGATTTTGGTTTTCCATTTCTTCTTGGTATTAATTCTAGGTACTTGGATATCCGTGGATTCTTCAGATTGAGTGTTATCATCATCATCGGAATCTGAATCAGTTTCTTCACCGAGACTTCTAATCACTGGATGGGCCATGTTATAACCTTTTTCCAAGCTGACAGCAGGATTGAGCCAATTATAGACAAAGACACGAGATCCCTTGGATCCAGCATCGATAATTACGATGTAATCATAGGGAATATCATCTTTATAGATTGGCCCTTTCTTACTACGTTTATCCATTTCGCGGTTATTATCTAGGGCAACAGGTCAAACGATAAAAGCCAGAGAGGAAAGAGTGGGAATTGTCTGAACAAATCCCCAAACTTGGAAATTCAAAAGATCTTAAGTAACAAAAATCAAATCGTTATCATTCAACTACATTATAATACATTTTTCATCCTTTTCAGCTACAGGGTTTTGTATCAATTCAATTTTATCAATCAACATTTCAAATGATTTGGTTATATTCAAATTATCCTTAACTGAAGCTTCTAAGAACTTACAATTGAATTTCTTGGCTAATTCTTCACCTTGACTATACTCAACTTGTCTTTGATAATTTAAATCCGATTTATTACCGATTAAAATCATTGGAATATTCTCTGAACCTACACTATTTAAGATTTTATCTCTGATGATTTCAACAACTTCAAAACTTTGTCTAGATGTAACACTATAAACCAAAACATAACCATGAATCCCAATTAAATGCTTCTCATTTATCATTGAAAATTCATCTTGACCAGCGGTATCTAAGATTTCGATTTCGTATTCTTGGTTCTTATAGATCAAATTCTTACTGAACTGGTTCTCAATAGTTGGATAATATGATTCAACGAAGTAATCTTCAACAAATCTGACTATCATTGAAGATTTACCAACGGATCTTGAACCAACAACTGCTAATTTCCTTGCCTTAACCATTTAATATTTGGGGATTTCCTCTATGTTGAATACTTCTATTACTGAACACAACTTTGATCTATATGATATCTATAACGTTAATGGTTTAAATCTTCTAATACTAAACCCTTAAACGCTAGTGATGAGAAGACTTTATCTTATCGAAATTTTTTTTATTGCGCTCTGGACCGAATTGGGGTTAGGCGACGTATAACATGGGTGAAAAATTTTTGACGAAGAACAACGAAAAGCTTAAGGGTTGGATTAGAAAAGAGAATGTTTTGGAGTTGATACGAAGAATGTTGCAACAGAACAACCACATTTCCTACTGGTGACCCCAAAAAAATTTAGACAAGATGATAGATAGCGGAACGCAATCTCAATATATTTACAGTCATAATCTATAAACCCCTATTGTTTATGACCATTGGAAGATCATTTAAGGATTGGCCCATTTCAAAACTTCTAAACTTGATACAACAACTAACATAGTAGAAGGTAATGAAAATACCACGTAACCCCAAAACAAAACTCCAGACATTTCCTTTTGATAAATACCATTCAATTGAGTGATTTGACTTAATTGAATAGCTGGTGGTGATGTAGTTAAAATAAAAGCTACCAATAAGAAGATAGGATCATCTAAAATACTTATTTTGAAGAATTTAACACATAATGTGATTAATGGTAATAAAATAATTGAAGGTAAAATCATTCTTGATAATAATGAACCAAAAATTATCTTATTATAATGTTTTGATGGTGGAGGAATATCTTTTGAAGGATATAAATTTGATCCTAAAACAATTAAAATCAAAGGAATTGAAACTGAACCTAATTGAGTAATTGATTTGGTAACAGTATTTGAAATGAAAGTACCTTTAGTGAAGAAAATATCCTGTAATTTAGGTACAGTAGCTATGATGATAGAAATTAACATGGCATATAATGGAGGATTCATGAAATCCAAAACATTTTTACCGAAACTTTTTAATTTGGCAGTAAATTTAATACTGGTAGTTGAAGGTGCAGCAGATGTGACAGTAGAATCAACATTAGATTCTGTGATTGTATATGAAGTTGGAGGTCTTGATAATAATGAAGTGGTTTCATTTTGAGAATCAATTGATGTATCAACTTGTAAACTATTTTCAGTTATGTTATTATAAATAGTTTCTTCATTATCGGTTTTAAAATGATAAGTGTGTAATTCTTCATGAGATCTTTTCCTTAATAATTTATTATAACCCCAAGACCATCTTAAAATTTGACCTAATTGTTGGAAAATCAATAAATATAAAATACCTCTGGATGCAATACCTTCTTTTGTATCATTTTCGATATCATCCCAATATAAATCAGGTAATGTATAAGCCAAGGATAATGTTAATGATACAGGTAATGAATTAGAATTACCAAAAACTGCCATTGCAGTGACAAAATCAGTTTCTGGTTCATTTAATGCTAATACCTTACCCATGAATTTTGATGATAAGAATGAAATACCTGTTGATAAAAAGTAAAAGATTGGAATTATAATAATATCAACCATTTTCTCTAAACTTAAAGATGGAGCCAATTTACTGAACACTAAACAAGGTGTAAACAAGTCAACATTTAATGCACTAATAACTTTTTGTCCATTGGTATTTAATAATCCGGTTTTAGCGGCGATAAAACCGGCAAAACAAATAATCACCACTTCTAATACCGCTTCGAATGTTAACCTGGAAATATCTAAATATGACAAGTCATCAGGTTTGGATTTAAATATAATCATTGAGCAAATTTGTGGATTTTAATTTAATCTGAAAAAAATGCGATGATAAGATAAGGGATTGACGAAGATTGACCTAATTCGTAGATGTGGATTACTAAGACTGGAAATCCTTGTTGGGGAAGTTTTAATTGGTTAGATGGGGAAGTAGTTGATATAGAGGATTTTGGAGGTGTTTAAGTAAGTTGATAAATCTCTGATAAATATCTTATGACCTTAAAAGTGGCTTATAGATTGGATCGTGTCACTTCATTTTTTAGGGGAGCAATTTTTGCAACCAAATTTCCGTGATGTAATGGTCATTTGAATAGGGGGATTAGGAGATAGATTATGGATAGGGTACGTTGTCACTAGAGTCAAGGAGATTAGATAGTATCAGGATTGGTGATATGATCAACATAGTTCAGTTGTTGGTGATGCTGGCTGAGCCACACGTGGTGGACTTGTAACTATACCTTGACACTACGTTCTTGGTATTTGGCGTTTTGTAGTGATGAAATTCTCTGAATGGAATTCGATGACAGATTTCATTTAACGGCATCAAATCATAACCTCTAGTAAAGGCTTAGTGTCTTGTGACCTAGTGACTCGCATGAATTTGTACGCAATAAGAGATGAAGTAGGAATTCCATGTAGTAAGATACCACAATGTGAAATGATAGTTGCTGGCAATTGTAGTGGAGATGAGGTACAGGGAGAATAGTGGGGATGGAGTGATCGATAGACAGTGGGGACATTTAAAAGAAAGTAGTGGTGATACATTGCAGGTAGGTTTTAAGTCCTGAGCCATGATGGCTTATCATGCGATGCGATGTGAGTTAAAACCGTTATAAAGTAATTAAAACTTCCATCAAGTAGTTAAAACTGAACTCTATTATCTTCGGAGTTGATGGTTTGATATGTTCAATGCAAAATACTTTAAAACTATCAACACTGTTGTCAGGTCAAATATTCTCTCACGAAAAGACGTGTTTATAGTCTAATTACTTCACTAATACTTCCCAAATACAACCTTAACAACTCTTGAACCCCTCAAATACATTTCCACATCATCAAAACTTCACCAACTCAACCGGATCAATCATCGTTTATCTCAGGAACAGAAAATTTTTTATGATGTAATCGCGAAGCAAGTTCGCGTAGATTTTCCAGGATTATGTTGAAGAGTAGAAGATTCAAGTTGATAATACTTCGATCTTTGATAGCTTTGGTGCTAATAATCGGAATATATAAATATTTTGAAAATCCACCAATTGATTTTAGTGTATTAAAAGAGTCCAAATTTGAATTTAATTCGGAAGATATTAAATTTTATAAAGATCATAATATTGATATACATTCAAGTAATTATGGGAATTTATTCAGTAAAGTGCAATTTGGAGATTTCATTCCATTGAACTTGAAGCACAAATGTGATTATTATTTTGAAAATATGAATTTGAATGACAAAGATTGGAGAAATGATCCTTTATATGGATTCTCCTTCAATAGGAACTATTTCAAGAAATTCCCTGATTTCAAAGAATGGTTGATTAAAGATTTGGCTGATAATGAGAAACCTGCTTTAAGTGACGAAGAAATCGAAAAGGAATATAACGATAGTTGGAAAAAAATTGTTGAAGAAGAACAAGTTATCCATAATTATTTCACTAATTTGAATATCTTCAATAAATGTTACGTGGAAAACAAGCATTCTAGAAAGAATCTTGATGAAAAGAATTTGATTAAGAAATTAATGCCTTACTTATCTTTTAAGTATCCTGAAATCGAAGATTATAATCTTAACAAATTGCACTTAACTGATGATTTACCTAATGAGAACTTCTTAATGAATTTGAAGTCTAATCTTCAAGGTAGAGGAATTGTTTTAACAATAAAAGATTCTCATGTTGATGATACTATCAGATTAATCAAATTATTAAGATTCTTGGGTAATCAATTACCTATTCAAGTTGTTTACTTCAAGAATTTATCAGAAGAATCCAAGAAAAAATTAATAGATATTTGTAGAAGTGATCTTGTCATTGGTAACCCCTTACCATTGCAAGAAATTTATTTCGTCAATGTTTCGAGGGCCGTGCAAGAGAAATATTTACATAAATTTGAAGGATTCGGTAATAAGATTTTAGCTACATTATTCAATACTTTTGAAGAAATGATTTTATTAGATGCCGATACCGTTATTTTGAAACCACCACATGAATTTTTCGATATGGCCAAATATAAACAAAACGGTACGATTTTCTTCAAAGATCGTAAGACTGTTGAATTTAGAACTACAAATGATTTGATTTTTTTCAAGAAAATGTTACCTTCAAAATTAGACACTATCGCATTTGGTATTGACCAACCAACAAATTATTCCTTGACTAATGATTTCTTCCAAGGATTGAATCATTATATGGAAAGTGGAATGGTAGTTATCAATAAGAAACAACATTTCTTCAAACCTTTCATTATGGCTCAATTAAATTTCATTTATCCAGTTTCAACCAGAATTTATGGTGATAAAGAGTTATTCTGGTTAAGTTGGGTTATCATGGGAGATGAAAGTTATTCTTTCAATAAACATTTTGCTGCAGCTATTGGAGAAACTACTCCAAATAATGAACGTTATAAAGATATTGGTAAAGCCAAGAATTTCCATTCCAAAGAACTTTGTTCCAATCATCCAGCTCATATTAATGATGAAGATGATCATACGTTATTATGGTTTAACTCTGGTTTTAAGTTTTGTGGACAAAATTATAAAGCTGAAGAAGAATTTGCATCAAAGAAACGTTATACCAATTTACAAACCATTGAACTGTTTAAGACATTCTTTGATAGTAAATTAATCATCAAACAAGCCATTATTCCTCCATCTAAAAGTATCCGTGTAGATTCAACCGATGGAGAAAGTGATAGATCTTGGCTTAACATGAGACAATATTGTAATGGTTATACATGGTGTGCATATTCTTCTATTGGAGAAGATGGTGATAAAGATGAAAATTTACAAGGTATCATTATAGAATATTCTCCTGATGAAATCAATTATTTCAAACAATTAGGTAATGTTTGGATGGGGAATCAATTGATCAAAAAGTCACCCCCTAAGAAGGATAAAATCAAATTAAGTGATCATAATTTGAATGAAGTTGGAGGTGCTAGTGTTAAAGATTGGAGTTATTCTGTTGATACCAAGAATGACGTTTAGCATAATTTATAGAACACATGAAACTCTTTAATGTATAATTTGATTATTCAATTTCGTACTCTTGTTGAATATCTAGCCATTTTTTTTTCAGTGGGTAGGACATTCTTTTTCAATGGTTAATACATTCTTTAATGGGTATATTCTTATCTACCTCTGTAGAATCTTTATCGCGAATGTCAAATGTCAGAAGAGACTAAAGTATTCAAAGATCTATTAATTGCATGCAGAGTAGGGGATCTAGACACTGTAGACACACTCCTAAGTACACCTAACTTGAATATCAATCAAACAGACGAATGGAATTATTCACCATTGATTCTAGCATCGATTTGTGGTCATGTACAGGTAGTTAGTTTATTACTAACCAGAGGTGCGGTATGTGATCGTGATACTTTCGAAGGAGAACGTTGTATTTATGGAGCTTTGAATGATGAAATCAAGAATATGTTGTTAAGTTTCGATATTTCAAAGAAAATTGATGTTAGTCAACCATTTGCATCTCATTTAGCTTCAATGTTGAGACCTATAAATCCATTAATCGTTGATGATATCATATTCAAACTCAAGGATGAACCCGATGAAGTGTATAAGTTGAATAGATTCCTATTGGCAGGTAGATCACCTTATTGTTTCGATAAATTGAATGACGAATGGAAAGACCGTAACATTATAGAGTTACCAGATAATCCCTCAGTGTTTAAACAAATAATCGACTATATTTACTTGAAATCAGATAAATTGACTTATGACACAGAATTGATAGAATCAGCCAAATTATGGGGACTCGATATTTTAGGTGAAAGTATTGAAAAATTGAAAAATAAGGAATTCAAAGAAAGATCAAAGATTAATCACGATAGTTTAATACAGTTTATAGAGAAGGCACGTAGTGATATGAATGTTTTTGTTAATACAATGATTGATAATAAAATCATCATCAAAATGGAGGAACTTGATTTCGAAGAAGATGAAATTGAATTTGATGATTTGAAACCTCAAGATTATCTTAATAATCTTCAAATGTTACAATTATTGAATTCTGATAGTTTCCCCGATATTATCTTGTCAGTGGTAGATGTGGTCACCAACTCAATTGTCTATTATCCTTGTCATAGAGCTATGTTGTTGAGATCTGAATATTTCGATACCATGTTTAACTCGGAAATTTTCAGTTCGAACAATGATTTCCCTACAGTAAAATTTGATGAGGGTGAAATTGCTAATATTAAGGAATTACTGATCATTAAATTAAACTGTACCAATAGTGAAGTAGCAGAATTGATTCTCACATTCATTTATCATGACGATATCACGTATTTACCTCTAAGGTTAACTATTGATTTGTTATTCATAGCTGATGAATTATTACTTGACAGGTTAAAGACACTTTGTGCTGTTAATATAACATCTAAATTTAAAGATTTTAGTTGGGATGAATTCTTAAATATGGAAGAAAAAGTCGGTTATGATTGTTTTGATTTAATAAGGATTTCATGGCAAACAAGATGTGATAAATTAGAACAATATAGTACAAAATTGATTGCTTATAATCTTGAAAAAATCTTCAATTCTCCTAAAAATAACGATTTATTAAAAGAACTCATCAATGAATCAGCTTCCAGAATTAAAGAAAGACAAAATACTGATACTATTGAATTGGTTGATGATATAAGGTATTATTTATCGAAAAAATATGGAGTTAGTGGAGAATCGTCCTCAGACTTTTTAGATTTGGGAGATATTTGGACCAAAGGAACTGAAGATTCCAAAGTTATGAAAAACGCTATGTTATCATATGAAAGGGATATTGAAATGGTTGACCATTTCCTTGATCAATTGGATTTAGATGCTTAGAAATATATAAAACTATGGCTGCGAAAAATGATCCACAGTTGCAGCACTATTTAAAGCCATAAAAATCTCTTTCCCAATCAATTAAACATGACAGTCTCTGTAAAAGAATGGGTACCACCTCAAGAAACAAGTGAAAATCTAGATTGGGCTGAATTGACGATTATTGATTTAAGTAATTTTGATCATGAAAAAGAGAAATTAGCGCATGATTTACGTGAAGCTGTGCAAAGGGATGGATTTTGGGCTATTACGGGAAGCGGCATTTCCACCGAAGAAATTAATAGACATTTTGCTTTGGGAGATCATTTTTTCACAAATTATTCACATGAAGATAAGGCTAAGCAACTAGTTGATTTCCCAAATGGCAATTATTTTGGGTTCAAACCCAAAGGGGAAAAGACTATTTTCGGAACGCAAGTATTAGACAATGTCGAGACGTTAAACATTCCAAAATTTAACGGCCAGTATGACGATTATTATAAGCAAACTTTTATTGAAGATTTTAGAACCGAATTGGCTGAATTTAGTCGTAAGAGTTATGAAGTTGGAGTCAAGTTATTAAAGTTATTTGCTATAATATTAGAAATTGATGAAGAATTCTTCGTAAATAATCATTTATATTCAGATTTGAGCGATGATCATTTAAGATTTATGAAATACTTTCCCCGGAAGCTTTCCGAAGACGAGAAAGTCGAAAAAATTTGGGCTAGGGGTCATACTGATTTTGGGACATTGACATTGTTGTATAACCAAAAAGTCGCGGGGTTGCAAATTAAAAATAGTAAAGGTTGGAAATATGTTAAACCAGTAGAAGGTGGAATTATATGTAACATTGGTGACACGTTATCATTTTGGAGTGGAGGTTACTTTAAGTCTACTATTCATAGAGTAATTAGGCCACCCGAAGATCAGGTAAACAAACCAAGAATTGGGGCGTTTTATTTCTTTAGACCAGGTGATAATACAAGAATCAACGTTGTTGATAGTCCCTTATTGAAAAGATTAGGTCTTTATAAAGATATAGAACCCATCAATGGAACAGAATATGTTAGAAAACGAGTAGAAAGTTATCATAATCATCAAATCTACCTCAAACAAGACAAGGTTAAATTCAAATTCAAACAATTTGAAATAGAGGATGGTTTCGAGTAATTCCTCAATTTTTATCCAACACCCGACTTCTTATCTAGCATTAGTTATCAATTGCTTCAATAGTACCGCTGGATAAATAACGTATCCCCACTTATAGTGATAGTTTATAGAGTTAGTATACGCTTTTTAACCCTCATATAGTATATGGTTGAAGTGCGACTTTAAAATTTCACATGGTTGCAAACCCCCTCGCTTAGCATTATAAATGAAAGTCAATTACTAGGTAGTTAACTCATTGAGAAATGTCAGACTTAAGTGAACCAGGATTCGAAGGAACAGAATTATTAAATTTTATGAAATCAGTATTAGATGATGATGAAAGTTTGAGAAAAAAATCTGTTCAACAAGCTAAAGCTAATGTTATCTTAACTTTAAAAAACAAAGATAAGAAAACCAAATCTTGGTTTTTCGAATTTAAAAGTACGGGAGAAGTTCAAAAAATTGATGGTGCTCCTCCAAAAGCTGATGTGACTTTAATGATGAGTGATGTTGATTTCCTTAAATTAGTTAATGATGAAGCCAATCCTCAAAAGTTGTACATGTCAGGAAAATTGAAAGTTAAAGGTAACTTGATGAAAGCTGTTGCTATCGAGAAAATCTTGAGAGCTGCTGATCCAAGACCAAAGGCTAAGTTATGATCAATGTATTGTTTTTTTATTTTACTTTTTCAACTCTACTCTATATTTGTATTGAGCTTGGATGTTGAAATCCGGGGTATTTTCAATGAGAAAATTTCCTATAGCGAGAAGAACTCATTGTGGTTGAGAATTCAAGCCTATCAATTCGTTGTAGTATTTGCTGATAAATCAGCGGTTACCAGAGAAATTTCTTAAATCAGTCATACATTAAAAACTAATAAAGTCTAACCCAATCACCATGGGTTAATGAAAGGGTCAACTGAGCATGAATTGGTGGTGGATAGTCCTGCTTATCTTCACTATACAAGTTGGGGAACATTTGTATTAACCTAACAATAGTATAACTGGCTTCAGTTAAAGCAAATTGTTGACCAAGACAAATTCTTGGACCTCCATTGAATGGTAAATAAGCCCAACCAGGTTTCAATGTTTTGTCAGCCCATCTTTCAGGTCTCCATACAGCAGCATCTTTACCATAATATTGAGGATTTCTGTGAGTAGCACTGATACTATATATAACAACAGTACCTTTTTCAATCAAGACAGGCTTACTTAAATCATCACCACCACCTCTTGGTAAAGTGGTGTTTTTGTTAGCACATCTAAAATTAAATGGAACATTTGGATACAATCTCAAAGTTTCATTCAAAACCCATTTCAAATATTCACATTTCTTTAAAGATTCAAAAGTAATGGAATCCAAATCAACTGAATCACCGTCACCAAAGTCATCATAAATAGCTTGTTTCAATTTTTCAAACACATCTGGGTTTTTGGCAAGTTCAAAGAAAACCATTGATAACAATCCAGCAGTGGTATCCCTACCAGCGATCATGATATTCAATAATTGATCCCTTAAGATGATAGGATCCCTAGTCTCCTTTACTAATTCATATAAGAAGATGTAACCCGACTTGGATTTATCTTCTAATTCTTGCGGAGTAAAATTCAAAGCTTTGTCGATATAATATTGAGCAAAATTATGAACAATAGCATTAGACTTACGGAATGATGGTGGGTTGATAGTCCAATATAAATTTTGAGCCCATGCTCTAGTAGCACAGATTTCTTGTGCAGTAGTAAAACTTTCATAGAAATCACCGGAACCTGACCAAGCGTCAGATGGCGGAGCTTCGCCAACACTGCCATCTCTTAAACCATAAAGCGATTGACCGAATAAAAATTCAGTGGCGGTATCGACAGTGAATCTGAAGAATAACTCTTGAATGTCAAATGGTTTACCATCGAATTTTTTAATATGTTTAGCCAAAGTCCGAATGTGAGGTTCTAAAGATTGAGTATGAGCAACTTGTTCACGAGAAAAATTAGGTCTTAATAAAGCCCTTGATGTCTTCCAACCATGACCATCTAAGGTGAAGACTCCATCTCCCAATAATGGTTTGAAATGTTTATGTCTCAAACCCATGACAAACTCAGTAAATTGAGTAGCTAAAATAGCTTTAATGTTATCAGGATCTGATGTTACAAAAAGGGTATGACCCATGTTAGCGTTCCAACTATGGCCATAATCAGTAAAAAAATCCATTACCATTTTCCACACTTCACCTCTTTGTTTCTTTATTAAAACTCCGATAGGTTCTCTACTGAAAAAAGGATAAGAATGTGGTAATAACTTTGGATCGTAGGCGTGAAACTTTCTCTTCAAATAAGCCCTTTTAATGAATCTGTAAACTTTATATACGACAAAGAGTGCCAACAAAGTACCAATTATTTGCATAGTTGACAACTCTTTCAAGTCATTAAAAGGTTTATTGTTCATTTTCAAAATAAAAAATTACTTACTAGTACAAATAAAAAGAAAGCCAATTAAGTCAATTTGATAGATCGGAGTTTTTGACATAGCACTAAATTAGGTTTATATAATAAAAAAAAATTAAGGGGAGGAAATATTTCACATGCATATAGCATATGAAGGGCAGTAATCTGATTTGTACACACAGTTTGCGACAGGCTGTTACCTTAATCGAAAAAAGGGGGGGTGACAGTACCCATTAACAATAAGGTTATCTGGGATGTTATTATCTTCATATGATTTTATGAAGACTCTAGATTCATGGTTGTTTTTTGTGGTATATAAATTATCGCGACATTTTGGTTGCACATAATGGAATGTCTCACTGAATTTTACCCACCAAAATTCTTAGTACCAGCCCAGTGTGGAGTTAATGTTTGGGCGTGGAATTAGCATAATATATTTGTGTCGTGTATTAACGAATATTATTACTGAGAGATATTCTTCATCAGGTGTCGTGCATTAACGAATATCACACCACCCAGATCTAAAATAACCCAACACATCAAATTTTCCTATTTAGGAAATAATTGTAATTAACCAAGTAATTATAAGGACAATAGAAGAAATATCGTAATTCTTTATTAACCTCATTGAAAATTGCGAAGGGGTTTTTTTTCTCTAGGAATGATCAAGATATGAGTAAAAGATTGAAGCAATTGAACTGGAATTTAGATGGAAGAACTGAGATTCTTTTGAAACAACTTACTGCTTACATTTTTCATGCTTTGGGTTTTGATATTGACTTTAATTTGCAACAAATAAAATATGGTCCCTTCCTTTCATCAAAATTCAATAAAGCTGAAGCTTATCAAGAATTACCTCCACCATTTGTTAAAGATCAAAATATATTGGTTTTCAATAAAATCTTGAGTCTGTTGTCTTACACAAAATTGTATAAAGCCAAATATAATAATGGTGATGGTGATGACGTCGATGATGACACATCAGTTTTCAATGATGATATTGAAAGATTTATACCTTTAAGATCACATTCGAGTTTCGAGAAATATGGTAATAATATTGATATCGGTAAAGTGTTATTTGCTAGTTTGAAGAATATTTATGTTGACACAGTTTTACTTAGGTTCTTAATAGTCAACAAATATAATTTAGATAAAGCTTTAACCAGTTACATTGACAGTTTGAATTGGAAAAGTAAGAAATTTAATGTTGATAAGATTTTGAATGGTGGAGATGAAATAATATTCCGTAAAGATAGAAGTTGTAAAATGATCGATTTATTGAAATTAGGATACATTTATTTCCGAGGAGTTGATAAAAGTGATCGAGTTGTTTTCAGAATTGAAGTAAGAAGACATTTCAGATCAAATTGTTCTGATAAAGATCTTGAAAGAATTGTAATATTATTGATAGAAACCGGAATCTTATTCTTGAAAGAATCTAAGAAAGCTACCAAAGCTACAATGTTATTTGATATGACAGGTTTCACTTTAGCTAATGCTGATTTACATATAGTCAAATTTTTAGCTTACCAATTCAATAATAATTATCCTGAATTTTTAGGAATGATAATCATTCATAATGCTCCAAAAATCTTCTATGCTATCTGGAAGATTATTAAAGGTTGGTTGGACCCAATTTTGGTTGAAAAAGTAAGGTTCACTTACGATGCTGAATTGAAAGAACTCATTGATGATAAATATATCCCCATTGAATTAGGTGGTGAAGATAATTATAAAGCCAATTATATTGAACCTTCTAAGAAATCATCTTTGAAACCAATTGACAATAGGTTCAAAAAGTTATATCATCAAAGATGTACTTTGACCTTACAATTCATTGAATCCACTATAAGATGGATTAAAGCTGAATCTCAACATGAATCTTATAATTATTTGATTCAGAGATTGAAGTTACAACAGGCTTTGTGTAAAAACTATATTGATCTCGATCCCTACATAAGAACAAGAGGTGTTTATGACAGAAGTGATGAGTTGAACTTATCATTTTAAGTATATCCCAATTAATGTACAATTTTCGCTTATCTCGCACCCCACATATTCTCACAGAATTATCACAGGAATTTTAAAGTTAATGAGTATACCTAAAACCATTAAAGGCATTGGCTCAGTCAACGAAAAGGAGTGGACATCTCCCCAAGAATTGGAGTACTCCCCTAGGAAGTTCAACGATGAAGATGTGTTGATCAGAATCGATTATTGTGGAATTTGTGGGTCTGACGTACATACCATGTCTGGTGGTTGGGGCCGCTACAGAAATTTGGTGCCTGGTCATGAGATAGTTGGAAGGGCAATGAAAGTGGGATCCAAAGTTAAATCCATTAAGGCCGGGGATAGGGTGGGAGTTGGACCCATGGCAGGTTCATGTGGTGAATGTAAATTGTGTTTGAGTGACAATGAGCATTATTGTAAAAAGGTCATTTCAACATACCGTTCGAAGAATTATAAAGCCGATAATTATTTCATGCAAGGAGGTTACGCAACTCACATAATTGTGGAAGAAAACTTCGTTTTCTCTATCCCTGATGGCATTCCTCTGAATGTTGCTGGGCCGTTGATGTGTGCAGGTTTAACGGTATTTTCTCCATTATACAGAAATTTGAAGGACAACAACAACGAAAAATTAGTTGGAATTATCGGAATAGGAGGTCTCGGTCATTTAGCTATTATGTTTGCTAAAGCATTAGGTGCAAAAGTGGTTGCCTTTTCCCGATCGAATTCTAAAAAACAAGATGCATTGTCTTTGGGCGCTGATGATTATGTAGCTACTGGTGAAGACACTAACTGGGTTTCTAAATATGAGAGGGAATTTGATGTTCTTTTAAATTGTGCATCAAGCTTTACAGATATAAACTATCAAAGCTTCTTTGGGGCTTTAAAAGTGCAAGGTAATTTCATCACTGTAGGGTCACCTGAATTAAGTGAAACTTTAGACTTACATGCTGTTCAATTAGTAGTTTCAGGTATTGCTCTCGGGGGTTCATTGGCCGGAAGTAAAAAGGAGGCTTTGGTTATGTTAGATCTAGCTGCCAAGCGCAAAATTTTTCCGGTAATTGAAGAATTACCAATGTCTGTTGAAAATGTTAAACATGGATGGCAGAAGGTTCAAAAGTCTGACGTAAAATACAGACTTGTTCTTACGGGTATACAGAACCATTTTGCCAAGCCTAAATTATAATTGAATATTAGAATTTAATTAATCAATATATGTACCGGCCGATTTCAACATTTCTCACGACAAATTTGTTTTTCTCCGATGAGGATTATAAATTTTTTAGACATGTAAGTTACCCAATGGAGAAACCTCCGGTCGGAGTTTCCATTCATAGTGAAGTGCGAAAACACATCTCCCGAAGAGTTACTTAATGGAGATATGACATCAGTCGCTTGGATAAGTTGGAACAGTTTTCCAAACTATAAATTGACAACATCATCATCTCTAAAATTCAACCTAAAATAAAAATGAGTTTACCAAATACTATTAAAGCTATCGGAGCAAAAGATGTCGAAAGCTGGGAAAATCCAGTTGATTTAGAATTCAAACCACGTAAATTTAATCAAGATGATGTTTTGGTTAAAATTCAATCATGTGGTGTTTGTGGTTCTGATTTGCATGCTGTTTCTGGTGCCTGGGCTTCCTATGAAGGCCATCAAGTTGTTGGTCATGAAGTTGTAGGGAAGGTTGAAAAAGTTGGTCCTAATGTTACCGAATTCAAAGTAGGTGATATTGTTGGTGTTGGTGCAGCAATTGGATCATGTGGTGAATGTAAATCTTGTAAGAATAACAATGAACAATATTGTGCAAAATTAATTCATACTTATGCAATGCCTCATTGGAAATCTGATAATTGGGTTACTCAAGGTGGGTATGCATCCCACATTATCGCTGAAGAGAATTTCGTCTTCCACATTCCAAAAAATTTACCTTTGGATGTTGCTGGTCCTTTGATGTGTGGTGGTTTAACTGTATTCTCTCCATTGTGGAGAAGTTTAAATGGTGATGGTAAAGGTAAAACTGTGGGTATCATTGGTATTGGTGGTTTAGGTCATTTAGCCATCAAATTTGCTAAAGCCTTAGGAGCTAAAGTAGTAGCATTTTCAAGATCTAACTCTAAAAGAGATGACGCTTTGGAGCTCGGTGCTGATGAATACGTTGCCACTGGTATCGATGTCGACTGGACTTCAAAGTATGAAAGAGAATTTGATGTCATTTTAAACTGTGCATCTAGTTTCACTGATATAAAGTACGAGAATTTTTTCAAACTCATGGATGTTCAAGGTAATTTCATAACTGTCGGGGCACCACCATCAGATGAAAGTTTAAAGCTTCATGCATTCCAATTACTTCTTTCAGGAGCCTCAATGAGTGGTTCGTTAATTGGAAGTAAAAAAGAATGTTCAATCATGTTAGATTTGTGTGCCAAAGAGAAGATTTATCCTGTGATTGAAAAACTTCCTATGTCTGTTGAAAATGTGAAAAACGCATGGTCAAGAGTTGGAAAATCTGATGTCAGATACAGATTTGTCTTAACTGACATTGAAGAATACTTCGAAAATAAATAGATTTACAGCTGTTCAATTTAATGAATGATTTGTCAGATGAAATCCCCTAAACTCTTATGGATTGTTATCTCCACCAGCCATGTGGAATCGGACTCAGTCATCCCAACCCCCCTCTTCAAGTAATACGCTTAGTCAAGAAAAATCGGTCTTACCCAATGCAGTAGCTTACTAAACCCGAACCCGTGCATATCGATCATCTCTATCCATATATACCGCATACCGCATATCGTGAGAATTTAGTCATGTACAATGTAAAACATGTACAATGTAGAATGGAATTACAACATTTCAATCTTTGTATAGACTGGAGCATTAAAGTCAATTAATTCATTGTGGAATTGTGCTGTCAAGTCGTAATGTCATGACCCATGCCATTCCGACATCCATCGATTGGAAATGTTGAAACTGAGACATACAAGGAGAATCACCTTTTTGATTGCTTATTAACTCGACATTTTTCGGTCGTTCCAGATTGGGGCACTTCCGCGAATTGTGCATTTGCTATTTCCAGATTCCTCACCTAAGCATCTTTAGCAAATTAGATATAAAAAGACCCGAATTTCCTTTTATTCTCTTCTGTACTTGAATAGAAAACATCTACTTCAACAAAATATTACTAATCAAGAAAAATTACAATTAAAATGAGTTCGCCATCAGTTATTAGAGGAATTGGATCAAAGAGTCCGGAAAATTGGAAGTCTCCTCAAGAATTAGAATATCCTCCAAGAAAGTTCAATGATGACGACGTATTAATCAAAGTTCACTCATGTGGTGTCTGTGGATCTGATGTTCATGCCAGTGCAGGTAATTGGGGACCATATCCTGGAGAACATTTAGTTGTTGGTCATGAAATCGTAGGTAGAGTTGAAAAAGTCGGACCTAAAGTAACTGAATTCAAAGTGGGTGATATCGTAGGTGTAGGTGCAGCTGCTGGTGCATGCGGTGAGTGTGAAAACTGTAAAAGTGACAATGAACAATATTGTAACAAATTGATTCAAACTTACAATACTCCAAATTGGAAAGCTGATGGATATGTCACTCAAGGTGGTTATTCTTCCCATGTCATTATTGAAGAAAATTTCGTCTTTCCAATTCCTGAAGGATTTCCTGAAGATCTTGCTGGTCCCTTAATGTGTGCTGGTTTGACTGTGTTCTCTCCATTGTGGAGAAGTTTGAATGGTGATGGAAAGGGTAAAACTGTTGGTATCATTGGTATTGGTGGTTTAGGTCATTTAGCTATCCAATTTGCCAAAGCTTTAGGTGCCGAAGTTGTGGCCTTTTCAAGATCTTCTAGCAAAAAGGCTGACGCTTTAAAATTAGGAGCTGATGAATTCATCGCCACTGGTGAAGAACCTGAATGGAATTCAAAATACTCCAGACACTTCGACCTTTTATTAAATTGTGCCACTAGTTTCACCGGTATTAATTATGGTGATTTCTTCCCTTGTATCAAAGTTGGGGGTGATTTCATCACTGTTGGTGCTCCAGCTGGTAACGAACTTTTAAGCTTACACTCATTCCAATTGATTCAAACTGGTGCTTCAATGAGTGGTTCTTTAGTTGGTAGTAAGAAAGAAGCTTTGATAATGTTAGATTTAGCTGCCAAAAACAAAATTTACCCTGTAGTTGAAAAATTACCAATTTCAGTTGAAAGTGTCCAAACTGTATTAACAAGAGCTCAAAAGTCAGATGTTAAATATAGATTTGTTTTAACTGACATTGAGGAATACTTTGATAAGAAGTAATTGCGACGTAAATAGATTTGAATACATTATGGCTTTAAAAGTTTTTCTGTTGAATAGTCTCTGTGCAAGAGGGTATAAGTATCGCCAAAAAATCTACTGTCTTGTGTTCTTCGAGGCAAATATCATTCGTTACCGATGAGCAGAAAATTGTAAATTTAACGGAGAGATGGTGATTATTCCGATGAACTGATCCTTAGGTGGTTCCTCTTCAAAATGATCTCACAAATTGTACTCATCATCATTTGAGATACTGCTTTCAAAGTCTCAAGATCTTCTTCCTGTATATTTTCAGCTCCAAACTCTTGTGAAATATTATCATTTTGATGCTAAATCCTCCATATTATGGGATTCATCAATGCATCCAGTTTTATTGATATCATAATTTATTTGCACTCAACATCCATGGTGATTTCAATACCATTGGTGGCCAAGTTAAGTTCATCCTTTTCCTGTTCATTCAATCAGATCTGTCCAGGCAATTGACTACAAGGCACTCAAGGCTAAATCATATGTTTTGAAATGACATTGGAGCTTATCTGTTATCAGCGAGATGCCGCACAATTATTTGGTAATCAAATTATCAGGATTCAGTACATATGAGTGAAAAAATATGACAACCTTATGAGTGAACGGTAAGGTTGTTAGTTAATCCCTCTTAAAACTCCCCATAAAATGCCCAAGTCCTGATATTGAGACTTGGTTGTCGTGGAAATACTTAAATATGAACCATTGATTAACTAATTTTTACTAAAAACAGAACTAAAAGGTTTCTTATTAATATTTTCTGAGTGGTTAAGCCATTTGGTCGTTCCACTTGTCTTTTTCATAATTGTTACGTGGAAAAATTTCAAGACGAGGTGTTACATATTAAGACATCTTGCAGAAATAAATTTCAACATCTACACCTTCTCGAAAAATTTAACACGCCGTGAAACATTCTATAGCGTCAAATATCTAATAACGGTGCTAATTGGCCCTTTTAACTACGCAAAAGTCATCAATCACGTAAAATAAAATGGTGTTTTTGGATTAAAGGGGTTAAATAAGGGATGGTCGTGCGCGCTTCGAGAAGCTCGAAAAACCTCTCATATGCACGAAATAATAAACTAATCCCGTCCCACCCCTGTTTCCAATAAATTACTAAAACCTACCTATCCGTTTGTTTATGGGATGAATATAATCAATAGGATTGCTGTTTAGGTTTCTTGCATTTGGTCAAAACCGATCATTTGCTTATTTTATGATTTACTATTGCTAGATGATCAGTGTCGGTGAACTGCCCCTCCCACGCTCAAACTCCTAAAATTCTAGACCTTATCAGTGAGATTGCAAAAAAAAAAACAGAAAATTGCGTTCGATAAGAAATGAAAACGAAAAATATTTATTTTAAAAATCTATAATGAGAAATGAATTATGTTATGATGACAATAATGAATTTACTTTTTCTAATAGTTACATTGGTTTGGATATTGTCTATCAGAAAGAGGTTGAGGGAATAAATCATTTTCAATTAATTCTCTCATATCCCATTCGATAGCATTTTCACAATGCCAGTTCCAGAAGAACCAACCATTTCTGGTTTCATAAGCATCTAATTGAGCTTCGATGTATTTTCTGGTATTAACTTTTTGCCAATCTGGCCAATTACCAACTTCAGTGAATTGATCACAAGAATTGATGTAAGGACAATTGTCATAATCTCCTGACCATCTTGCACCTCTACCAACTCCATTTAACCATCTTGCACAATCGGTTAAAGCAGCTGACCATTCACCGACAACATTCCAATGAGATTCTTGGGTATGAGCAGAACCTAAGTTACAAGCAAAGGAAATATGATCATCTAATGATCTTTGTAATTCACCACCTGAGAATATTTGATAATGATGATGATCAACAACCACATTCCAAACATCACCAGAAGTGTCAAGGAAATCGTTCCAATAACCTGAAGCTTGGAAAGCGTCATGAATAACAACCGGTTGAATTGATCCAGTATTTCTAATCATATAATAATTATCAACGAAAAATTGTTTTAAATCATCCATATTCAATGCAGGACCTAAAGGTTCATTTAATAATTCAATACCAATGATAACATCTTCATAACCATTGGCATACTTATCAGCAATGATTTGCAAAACATCATTAGTTAAAGCAACATTATAAGGGTTTGATTGGAATTCAACTTGATCTCTTTGACCTGAATTATCGAACCCATTTTGACTTCCTGGAGCTCCATGTAAATCAATCCAAACTTTCAAATTGTGTTTTCTTGACCATTCAATAGCTTTATCCAAGTATTTTTGTTGTCCACTAACATATGGATCATAGTCATACATTTTGAAAGCCCAATAACCAATTGGAATTCTAACAGCATTTAATCCAGCATCACTAATTTGCTTGAAATCATCTTCTGTATACCAAGTATTCCAATGGTCTGTTAATCTTTTCTTTGCTTCGTCTTTACCCAATTGTTGGCAATAATTATATTCATCAACTGGTGGATTATTACCAAAGGCATCGAATAATGAAGGAGTAATATAAGGTTCTAACACGAACCAGCCTCCTAAATTAACACCATAAATCTTTTCATTATTATCATTATAATCGAAACTTAATCCTTTTTTCACTAATGGTACACTTAATACCGTAGTAATTAAATATGTTAAAAACAACATAGGTTTATCTTTAGTTAAAAAAAATGTGTTAATTATTCAGAATAGAGGAATTGTTTCATTTAAATGAGATTAAGATTTTTTATGCAATCCTGAAATGTCAGGTGTCCGAAAAAAATAAACAAGGGAGCGTAAAACAAGGGATATATAATTTTAGATTTTTTTTGTTAGTTATAAAATGGTAATTGTTCCTATTGTCTTGAAGAATTTTGAAAGAGGGTGACATAATACATTATATTTGTGTTAATGAAATTCTTGTCTTGTGGATTTTAATGAGACGTACATTTGTGTCAATTTTTACCACCACCTGGTGGCTTTTTTACCAAGAGTTTCTGGTAAAAGAGTTTTTAGTAAAAAGATATTTATAAACTTTGCAATTTGTTTATTGGTGGTATAGTTTAAATGCTTGTGACCATTTGACAATGTGAGGTGATCAAAGGGTTCATGATGAAAAAGTAACTTTTACAGCAAATTACATAGTGAGAATTCCCGATGGGGTAACTAATATTCCCGATCGAGCAAGTACGATAAATTGGCATATTTTTATGCATTGAAATACATAGATCTACTAATCTTTTTGGGCATATATAATAAGTGAGTTGTATTTATAATTAAATCTTTGATATCAGTCTCGATATCCAATAATGGTTTCTTCAACTCAAGATAGGTTTTCCCCTTGATTTTGACAGAGGTCATTCATTAGACTATTTCAACGTGAAACGATTCAGATGTTGTAACTTGTAGTACATGTAACCATAATTAAGAAATATTCAAGAAATGTAGAGATTTTATTACCTGAGGTTATTCGGAAAAGGTCTAATTACCCCATATTTTCCTTGTTTTTGATTGAACTAATGACACATAAAACTCAATTGGATCAAAGTTATTCGATTGTTTTCGCTTATTGTTTCTGACTAATCCTATCGATATTGAAGGGTTTTTTGATTCGATTGTTTAAAGGTCACAAGATAATCGTCTCCTCATTAGAAACTTCTCAATGGGGAAACGTAGTAAAGTAATCGAGTGTCTTTTTTTTTTAATTTTGATGGTCTAACCATATATAACCCTCTTAAATCAAGATCACTACTTTACTTCGCTTGGAAGTGAAGAATTGAACATTGAAACCTTAAAAGTCGCTGATCCTTGTCCCTCATGACCCCATAAATTCTTCCCCTTGATCCCATATTGATCATTTGATGATCAGTTTTTTAACAACGCACATGAAATATCTTTTTCAACAAACCTTGAACTCATACAACCTGATTATTCTATAGTTACGGTATTTATACATGTTTCAATTCAATTTAATTCATCATCAATATAGTCAGGGCCTCTGCCCTCATTGGCACGTGATTCGATATTGCACGTGACTTGGTGATGGTGGAAACTAAAAAATTCTCACTCAAAAATTTTTCACTTACATTAAACTAAGAACTAGTCTGCATTTGCTTAAATTGATTATTTCTAGTAGTTAAATTATAAATTAAATATGTCAGTTGAAACTCCATTATCATACGCTGCTTTAATCTTATCCGATTCTGATATCGAAATTTCTTCAGAAAACTTATTAACTTTAGTTAGAAAAGCTAATATTGAAATTGAAGACATCTGGGCTGATATCTTCTCCAAAGCTTTATCTGGTCAAAACTTAAAAGATTTATTCTTTAACATTTCATCAGGTCCAGCTGCTCCAGCTGCTGCTGGTGCTGCCGCTACCGGTGGTGCTGCTGAAGAAGCTGCTGCTGAAGAAGAAGAAGAAGAAAAGGAAGAATCTGATGACGATATGGGTTTCGGTTTATTCGATTAGATGTATAATTAATTATATTAATATATTCCTTATTCATAATTTCTATGAAGAGAAATCTTACACTATTTGCCTGGGTCTTTCGTATTATGGTTTTAACAGATCCGACGTATATTCCTTTACTAAACCTCTGCCAACTGTTCCATTGTTGTCTATTCCTACTAATACAATATCGTCTCTCCCAGCTGTACAAACCCCTTCAACTCTATCAACTCCTTCAAGAACCTAACATAGGGCTATTCTGAAGTCATCTCGACTTGACTAATCTTTAAAGATCAAACACTCTCAAACAATATCAGAATCAAAAAGATAAATCAGAGACATAACATAGGCTTGATAGCGTTTAAATATTTATTGCCAATATAACAGGATGATAAAGAGAATACAGAAAATCATGAATGATATTAACTATACTAATTACTTTATTTCTTTTTCTTTTCAGCTTCGGCATCAGCTTTTTCTTGAGCTCTTTTAGCTCTGATACCTTTGTATTTTTTATCAGATTTAGCTAATCTTAAAGTTCTAAAAGCGGTTTCTTCACCAACTTCGACTTTTCTTGGAGCTGATTCAACTGGAGATTGGGCAATTGGGAATTCTGATGAAATGGAAGTTGAGTTAAATTTAGCAATTTCTTCTTTAGTGGTCTTTTTATCGAAAACAACTAATTTAGATTTGTAATCATTTAATCTTTTAACGTTTAATTCAAAAGTTTCTTCATTTCTGTTAACTCTTCTGTGATCAACGGAAATACCAATGGTTCTAGCGTATTTTGGAGTTAAACCAACAGCTTTTAATTCAGCTAAAGTGAAACCTCTACCAGCTCTTAATTTTCTGTTGTATTTAATAGTTGGACATCTAATAATTGGTTTTAAAGTGTCAACTGGTTTTGGTGATACTTTGGCAACTTTTTGTAATCTAGATTGTCTTCTTGAAGCTTTTTTACCAGCTTGGTCAAAGTGAACTTTGACTCTTTCTTGCCAATGTTTTCTAAAATGATTTTTTAAGATTGGTAAATTCTTTGAAATAGCCATCTTTTATTTTATTAAAGGTTTAATGAAAAAAAAATTTTCAAAGTCTTCTGCTCACTCTCAATGAGAAAAAAAAATCTTTGTTTACGACATCCACCGACATTATTTCCTTCGCGACTCCCTATAGTTAACATTGAAGAAAACAGTCACACTCTCACATGATCTCACACATTTTATTTACTGCGACACTCATAGTTCATTAAGACTGTTTTTTAATATGGGAGATTTGCGACATCCTTTTAACGACATCCTTCGTGAAAAAAACTATAGATTTTTTTTGAGACTTGAAAAATTTTTAAATAATTATCAAATATGTCTACTCCATCTGTTCAAGTATGTAATAATGATTTAATATTAAACAAAGTCTATAAATGTGTGATTTAATGAAGGATAAAAAGGTTTATATAATTGAAAACCCCCCATTGAACGTTGTAAATTTGACTGTTCATAGTCAAATGGTGAAAACATTTAAATTGAAGAAAGTGAATTAATATTGAAATAACGTAAAGAGATAAATCATCATTTTGATTGATCTTTAACATTCAGCAGGTCATTAAATCACGAAATCATTTATAAATAATAGAAACCCCCGATTAATTCAGAATACTAACAAATTTTAGACTTTTGGTAAAAAGAAATCAGCTACTGCTGTTGCCCACGTTAAAGCTGGTAAAGGTTTAATTAAAGTTAACGGTTCCCCAATCACTTTAGTTGAACCAGAAGTTTATAGATTCAAAGTTTACGAACCATTAACTTTAGTTGGTTTAGATAAATTCCAAAACATTGACATCAAAATCAAAGTCACTGGTGGTGGTCATGTTTCTCAAATTTACGCTATCAGACAAGCTATTGCTAAAGGTTTAGTTGCTTACCATCAAAAATTCGTTGATGAAGCTTCAAAGAACGAATTAAAGAAAATCTTCACCGCTTATGATAAATCATTATTAGTTGCTGATTCAAGAAGAATGGAACCTAAGAAATTCGGTGGTAGAGGTGCCAGATCTAGATTCCAAAAATCTTACCGTTAGTTTTTTAATAAATTTATTATTAATGTATAAATAAGTCATTGACTATTTCTTTTGTAAATTTGAGTGGTGATTTCTCTATGAGTGAAAATATTGAATATTAAATAAACTATTAAAAGTTGAAAGTTTTTTGTCCATTTGTTGGTAGTTTTTGCAATAATTATGGATTTTGTATAAAATACCTCTAGAATAATTTCGAACAGTTTAAATTTAAAAAATTTATTGAAACAAATTATAACATTAGCATGGTATGAAAGAGATGTATTTAGATGTGGTTTCAAGATGTAGGTTGCAAAATTTAGAAGATTCTCTCACTCTAACTATCAGAAGCTATTTAGTCATTTGAAATTCGAAAAAGATTGATACTGTCACCAGTGGGAAAAATCACCCTGTATAAAGACCAAGCTACCTTTAAAAAAATATATATAAGGGAGTATTGAATAGATTGAAAAAAAAGTAACGGGGCGAGCTGGGAATTGAACCCAGGGCCTCTCGCAAATTTGTGCGATTAACACCCAAAGCGAGAATCATACCACTAGACCACACGCCCATTTCTTGTTTAACTTTTGGAGCGAATGTCTCATAAGCAGTAAAATGGCAGGGCTCGAAATCTATCATGTAACATGCTACCCATACCAAGTATAATCAGATGGCAATAGCGTTTAAAGATCCAATGTTTGAACCTTATGATGTCATCGGTTCCATTGTTGAGCCAACCGTTTAAAAAGGTAAGTTTAAGATAACCATTATAGTTCCCCAAGAACCAATCATAAATGCACTTAGGATGTGCTCTTATCAAAATGATCCCTAAATAATGAAAGGCTATTTAATTGTTGTCAAGTATACCCTGGACCGTTATTAAAAAAAAATAAAGTTCATTATCTCTGAATTTACCAGATCTGAATGCATGACCAACGGTAATCGAAAAAGGGGATAAAATTACATTATTTGTCTAAAAAATAAAGTTTTTGATAAGCTAATATCTTACTTTATCCTATTGAATCTATAGTATTAAATTGTAAAGTCATAGAATGGCTACTTTCACAGGGAAACTTTAAAACTAAGAGATATAGGGGCATTTGACGAACAATGCTTACCAACAGGATAATTTCTTGATTCGGCATCATTGTCATCGAGCTCATTGATCTAGTTGTTAAGAAGGATCTGATCTACCCAACAATCCTATGAAGTTCTAGACCAGTCAATGGTTTATAAATATCACTTGAACTGTCTTCATCTACCATCAATCAATTTGATATCAAATCTCCTGAAAAATGAATCCATTAGTTAATTATCACGACGGTCCATCATGTGGATCATGTAAAACTTGTTCTGAATGTGCTTGTGCTAAGAAATGTGACAAATGCTCCAAAGGTAAGAAATAAGTGGTTGCAAAATGAAGTTTTGTGTTGGTAACCTGACTCCATATTAATGGAGTAGATTGTGTTTTTTCGTCTGATATCTTTCGATGCAGTGAATTTCAATTCTTTTCCCCGACCTTTATTTAGTTATGTTTATAGTATTTTTGTTCAATACATAAGCTTGAGATATTCTATTCTTTAATCGCATTTTAAAATCGCACACACTATGACAGCTGATGAATTATCAAGAGGTTTGTAAAATTACGAATAATCTTCATGATCCATACTAACAACTATAGATGAAATTGCCTTATATGATAGACAAATCAGATTATGGGGGATGGGAACTCAACTTCGTTTAAGATCTGCCAAAGTATTGATCATAAATTTGGGGTCTGTGGGTATGGAGATAGTGAAGAATTTAGTTTTGGGAGGTATAAATAGTATAGATATCGTTGATGATTCTGTAATTAAAGAGGAAGACTATGCAGCCCAATTCTTTCTCCCAAATGATGATAAATTCATTGGTGAGTTGAAATTACCTAATATTATTGAACCTATAAAAGAATTAAATAATCGAGTTAATATCAACATTCATACCGATAATTTCAACCAATTATTAGCCGACAAGGATTTCTTCAAGAAATTTGATTTGATAATAGGAACTGAGTTAGTTAAACAAGAAATTATAGAATTAAATGAATTAACCAGAACTTTCAATATTCCTCTATATGTTACAGGATTACACGGGATATTTGGATATATAATTACTGATTTGATTCAACATGTAAGTACAGTTGAAAGAAACACCATCAACCAAGCAAAAACTATTGGTGAAGAGTTGAGTTTGAATAAAGTTGTTGAAAATTATCAAGTTGATAAACCTAATAACAAGGAAATTTTAACTATCAAAGATACTTATTCACCTATTTCAAGTATTTTCACATCAGATAACTTACCTAAACAATTAAGTAAACGTCAATTAAGAAAATTATCCTCGTCCTTACCAATAATATTAAGTTTGTTGGAATCCGATAGATCAGAATTGACTACAGAAGAAATAAACTTAAAAGCAATCCAAATGTGTTCAAATCTTGGGATTTCTCCCGATATTTTAAGTAAGGAATATTTACAAGAATTCACCAATCAACAATTCACAGAATTCGTGCCAACAAGTGCTATCTTAGGAGGATGTTTAGCCCAAGATGTCATACAATTTTTAAGTAAGAGAGAAAGTCCAATCAATAATACATTAATACTCGATGGATTAAGGTCAGAAATGCCTATTTATAGTTTATAATACATAAATTGTTAGTTTATTTGGGGGTGATACCTCTACCTTTACGTTTTTTCAAATGAGATGATTCTTTCAAGAACTTGAAACTCTTATTCAATTTACTTTTCAATTGAATATTCATATCTTTAGCTTTATTTAAACGGGTCTGGATTTCATGTCTTTCCTTGATGATGTTTTTAATTTCAAGTAAATCGTTTTCTTTGAAATTTTCAAGTCTTTTATTGAATTGATGGTTCTTTGTCTTTGCTTCTTCAATGATTTTAGTGTTTTCTTCAATCAATGTTTTAGTTTTGGTCATTTCATTCTTTAAATATGTTTTTTCGTCCTGTTTTTTGGTGATATCAGAAATATATTGTTTGACCTTATCTTGAGAATCCCAAATCTTTATTTGATTTTCAATAGCTTGTTTCTTTTGTTGTTGATCTGATTCGGTAGAGAAAGTCTTCAAAATATATTCAACATCTTTCAATCTTTCGGTGATTTGTTGGATATCTTTCTTTAAATTTTCAATTTCTTCAAGTCTTTTATCGACTTTCTTATTACCCAATTCAATTCTTTGTGAAGCATGATTAACATCATCAATGATTGAAGACAAGGATTTATTTAATTCCAATTCTCTCCTTCCAATCTTATTACTTATATGATCATCATTAAACACTTCATATCCTGATAATTCCTTCTTAACTAAACCATAATCTATGTAACAACTATTCAATTCCAACACTAATTTGTGAGTTAAATAGTTAGTCAAAGAATTCTTACTGTTATGATTTAATATACCGATCAACTTATCAAAGTTATTGGTTAATGAATTAGTGATATAATTCAGTTGTAAACGATTTACCTCATAATAAGTTTGGGTAGTTGAAGTATCAGTATCTTTATGAGACAGTTCATTATCATAAGGAGTATAATGATAATTTACTTCAGTTAATAAAGATTTTTCCACATCAATGGCAGAAAATTTGGGAATTGAAGGTAATCCAGGTAATGGCCAAATTGGATAATTAAATCTTAATAAAGTAGAATTTTTGAATAATTGATCAAAGAATGTGGATAAGTAATTCAAACCCTGATTATAGATAGGGAAAATATCTGGAGGTAATATACCAATTTGATCACGAAGACAAACTACTGAAGAAATCAAATTATATAAATAATCAGCATCATTTTCTCTACCTTCATAGAATAACTTACAATGTTCAATAGTGAATAACGGTATTAATTTAATAAGACACGCTTTAGATTCTCTATTTTGTAATCGTATTTTTTCAATGAAATCATTATTAACTTGTTCATCGAATTTGATGATCAAATCAAATTTCAACGATGAGATATCTTCTTTTGAATTGGTAATACCATCATCAGGTATAAGATGAATTGAAATGTTTGTGTGAGTGGGTTCATGTTTTTTATGATCTCTTCTTAAATAATTCCCGACATATTTTTTGATTTTAACTGAATTTGCTGATGTACCGATCAACAAGGCTTCGACTAAATCAAATAACTTAACATTATTGGTCATAACAACAGCTATTTTTCTTTCAAAACTCGGTGGGAATGCCTTTAGTGTCCTGGAATTATTATGTTGATTATTAAAAGGTCCATTGGATAAGATAATATTCTTATTCACTTCTGTCATAACATTAACTAAATCTTTCAATACATTAAATTTCCCACTGGTTTCAGCTAATTTCAATGCCATATCTCTTTGTAATAAGTTTTTTGGCATGTAATGAGTGATCAATAAATAAGGATGAGAGCTTACAAGCATACAGTTTTCAATACAAATTTGGGAAGATTTAACTATTAATTCGGTTTTATCATTTGTCTCACAATATTTCAAAATATCGGAATAATGTAATGAAACTATTTGATCAGTTAATTCTTTTTGAAATTCATATATCGGACATGTTAACTCATATTCTCCACTATCATTTATCTTATCGATATGTAAATCCACAATTGGTGGCTCAGGTGTACTATCTAAGATTCGAAGTAAATCCATTCGTGAGAAAAATTTCCAAATGAGGCGACCTTTTTAAAGATTTCAACCGATTATGCGAGGGGGGTTCTATATATTTTTAACAACTCCATAATTTGATGGATTTATCCCATGAACTACTTACAATTTGTTTACCTGATGCTGAAATGTCACAATTCATAACTTTATCATTAGTTGAAAGGTTAGCTAATTGAATCCAATTATCAGAGCTCCAAATCTTTATGTCACCATCAAATGATGAACTTATGAGGAAATTACCATTTGATGATAATAATGATGGATTTAAATCGTCTTCATCAGTAACTTCTTCGATTAAACTTTGACGTGAAATGTCGGAATTTTGATAAAATTTGACATTACTTATTAATTTCTTATGTGCTGGTATAGAGAAAATTTCTCCTTGGGGCTTATTTTTGAATCTATTATCAAGTTTCCGTAAATCCCACACTTTGATGGAACAGTCACCACTACCGGTTACGAATTGATATCCATTACCTGACCAATCAATGGAATATATAGGTAAAATATGACTGGTTAGATTCTCAATTAATTTCCCTGATCTAAGATCCCATAATTTCCCAATAGCATCCATACCACCAGTGGCTAAGATACTCCCATCAGGATGAAATGATGCTGATAATACTTCTTTCAGATGTCCTTCTTGTTGCATTAATTCTTTAGATGTTTTATAATCCCATAATTTCCATGTTTGATCAAATGATGTGGAAATAAAATATTCATTACCAGGATGGAATAATGTATTAGTGATTCTTTCACTATGAGCTTCTTTAATGCTCTTAATCGGTTTGGTGTTACCTATTTCCCAGAAATTAATAGTACCTTCATTACCTCCAGTAATAAGGTTATTATCTAGCCAATCGACCCCACTGACTTTCTCTGTATGATAGCCGGGTGTCAGTTGAAAAGTCTTATTAAGGTTATTATCAAGAATATATAAATTCCCATCCCAAGATCCACATGCTATTAAGGAACTATCTTTATTATATTTGACTGTTGAAATTGCTCGTTTATTATTGGGGATCAATTGTGTACCATACAATTCATATTTTGATAATTTTGAATTAATTACTCTTCTATGTTTCAAAATCTTGATGAAATTGGGTTCGTATTCTTGTTGTTGTGATCGTATTCTTGTTCTTGCATTAGTTAATGATTTATATAGAATATTTTTTCTTGCTTGGAGTAAATCTTCTGATCCGGGAGTATAGAATTCTTCGTCATCATCGTCATCATCTTCTTCTCCCTCATTTTCTATCCCACCTTCAATTTCAATTCCTTCTTGGAAATTAGTATTAGGCCTCTCATTCAATAACTTAATCAATCTTTGTCTTCTATCGTAATTATCCTCACCAAAATATGTGATTGGTTCTTCTAGCTTCCTGAGCCAGCTTTTAACCTCACCATCTAATGTTGGTACTTCGGTTTGATCTATCTGTTTACCAATATCGTTAATGATTGTTAAGCCATTCATAATAACTAGGAAAGAAGAGATGGGAAAAAAGTTCCGCGATTTAATAATTACTATTTAAGATTCTTGTTGCAAAATCTGCAAAATTCTCCGATTTGTTAACCATTTCATCAAGATCTGGTTGACAGAATACTGCCAAAGTATTTCTAGCAATATTAGGTATGTTTGTACCTTTAACATAATGAGGTACTGCTTTGAAATTACCTTTAGATACTTCTTGCAATGCACTACCAGTTTGAAAAGCAAGACAATCTTTCGGAATATTGACTTTAACCACTTCGTTTTTACGATTACGTATATACAATCCAGCAGTTGGATCGGGAGATGTAGGTAAATCATGTAAAAGATCTTTAGATTCATCCAAAAACAAAGCTGAAGTTAAACCAGTAATACATGAATGATCTAAATGTTCTCCACACCAATCATCATCTGCATTTGGGGCGTTGGTATCATTCGGATCAATAGGATAATAATGTAATAATCTTGCTTTAGAACAAGTGGAATTTTGAACTGTTCTTTTTAAATAATTCTTTTCGATATCAAATCTTTTAGAAATGTAATTGTCACAATTAACTGCCACTTTTTCAGCTACTTCTATAATAAGGTTGACTAATTGTTTCATATCTTTTTTGAAAGTTTCTAATTCTTTTATATTGCTTGGTGGCCAAATATTTGGTGTTGTGTATGTCTTGTAATCAGGAAACTTCTCACATAATTCTTTGCTTGGACCCTCTAATGAATCGTCTTTATGAAAAGCACAGTTCACATAGAATGATCCCTTATTGTAATCAGGTAATCCTGATCTCAACTTTTCTTTACCACAACTCCATCCTGTAATCCATGAAGACTCTTCATCTTCTAAAGTCTCCAATAATTCAGGCGGTTGATTTGCCAAAACAGAGGCACTCTTCAATACTTTCAATCTGAGTTCTTGGTAATATGATGGGAGATCTTTGATTACTATGATTCCCAAAGAGTCTGGGCCAAATGCTTGATCCAATGTTTCATCTTTTATCCCGTTAACTAAATCTTCTAAAGATACTGTAATCGGACTTTCCATATTGATCGATTTCTCAAAATTTTTTCCTCGCTTATTTTTGCAACCTGAAAAATTTATGATACCGACTACATTGATCGATTGGTTATGAGAAAGCTTTTAAGATTTCAAGACTTTAAGACTTCAATACTTACATACCTTCAGGCTAAACTGAGTCTTTAAATTCAAAAAAAAGAAGAATTGCTGAAATAAAAAAATAAGCCCGACGCGGGACTCGAACCCGCAGCCTTTTGATAACTCTTTAGTAAAAGTCAAACGCTCTAGCCGATTGAGCTAGCCAGGCTATTTGACAGAAAAAAACCATAATTAATTTATGTAGTAATTAATTCTTAATAAAAATTTTGAAATCGATTCAGTGCTTTGCATTGGCTGAAACAGAGTTAAATTTTATATTTTATTACTCTCATGGTACACAAGAAGTAAGAGGGACTGAAGTTTCGAATTTTGAATCGAATTTTTGACCTCTAAGAGCAAATTCTTGAATTTCATTCTATGCTCATCTCATCTCTCAAGAACTCAGCCGTGCTGTTTATTTTTTTTTACTTGAAACCTCACATGAAACTTACGTTAAATGAGGCGAATTCCGAAGTAGAGGCAATTACCCTAAAATCGTCCTGCGATTCGTTTATGCATGGAATGCCCTTAAAAAATATGCTCAAGACTTTTGATATTTTCTGGTCGTTCAAATGTACATCTCTTAATATTAACAAGTTCATGTAAAAGCTGGAATCTTCATTATTCAATCAATTTTTCATTGTTTATGTTGAGTTCTAGTGCTGACCACCATAAAATTATCAACATGAGAAATTTCATTCTGGAAAAAAACCTATGTAAGGCTTATTCGTAAACAGAATTAAGAGGTTTTCATTGTGAATGATTATTTGGAGTTGAAATTATCAAGCCTAAAATGGAAGCATTTTCAAAACCAGATCTTGGCATCACTTTATTAGTCAAGTTTTACGGGTAACAGCTAGTGGAAAAAGAGGGTATTTAGCCTTGAACTTTCTAACCAATCAACCACATAATTGACACCGGTATTCAGACAAATAACCTTTCAGAACAGTTTGGCAATTTCTTGAATTGAATTAAAGTTCTTTCTCGTATACACAACCTTTTAGGAATGCCTCATTTTATCAGATGAAAAATTTTTATCTGATGGCATCAGGCAGTAAAAAAGAAATTTTGAGACATTTTCAGATTTAACTTTATTGATCATCCTTTACCACTTTTTTAGTCATTGGATGGGCTTGAGAGCTCAATTGAAATTCGATTGTTCAACTACATATGCATTGACTCATTCATAAGCTCAAAGTCATCCTGATGAACTAGAAATTTGTACCATTAAAGCCTTACGGTTATTCCTCACAAGGCTTAAAAAATACCGTATGCGCTAACCTTTTAGACTAAATGTCGCGGAAACCCGTAAAGAAATCCCATTAAACCAATCAAAAAACCGTAAACTAGGCCTAAAATTTTAAAAACCCGATTGATTGAAAAGATTAACTGAGAACATTTTTCTTTTTATGCAAGATGAGGAGTAGCATAAATAGCTAGGAATTTCACCTAAATTTTTTTTTTCAATTACAAATTAGGTCTTCAAATATGTCTGAGTTGGAAAAGAAGAATACTGTCGGAAGTGATTCATTAGAGAAATCAACTTCAAGTGACATCTCCCTAGTTGGGCAAGAAAAATCCACTGGGGTTCTTAAAGCAGAAATTTTAGCTCAACAATGGAACACTTGGTACTATAAAACTATTTTATTAATTAGTGCTTTCTTAGTTGGTTATGCTTATGGTTTAGATGGTCAAACCAGATATGTTTATAATGCTACTGCTACCAATTCTTATAGTCATCATTCATTATTGACTACTATTGGTGTTGTTAGTGGTGTTGCTCAAGCTGTTTGTCAAATTGTTTACGCTAGATTATCTGATGTCTTTGGTAGATTAGAATTATTCTTAGTATCAGTTGTTTTATACGTTGTTGGTACTATTATTGAATCTCAAGCTTATGATGTTCAAAGATATGCTGGTGGTTCAGTCTTATATTCTGTTGGTTATTCAGGTGTTATTATCAATCTTTTATTCATTTTATCTGATTTTTCACCTTTAAAATGGCGTTTATTCTATAGTTTCGTTCCAGCTTTCCCATTTATTATTAATACTTGGATTTCTGGTAAAGTCACTGCTGCTATTAATACCAATTGGTCATGGGGTGTTGGTATGTGGGCTTTTATTTTCCCATTAGCTTGTATTCCATTAGTTGGTTGTATGATTCACATGAGAATCTTAGCCGGTAGAACTGAAGAATGGAGAGAATTTAAAACCAAGAAAACTAAATATCAAGAATTAGGTTTAGTTAAATTTTTAGTTTATTTATTCTGGACTTTAGATGTTATTGGTTTAATCTTATTTGCTGCCATGTTAGGTTGTATCTTAGTCCCATTAACTTTAGCTGGTGGTGTTAAATCAAATTGGCAAAATGGTAGTATCATTGCTCCAATTGTTGTTGGTTTCGTTTTGATTCCAGTTTTCGCTATTTGGGAATCTAAAACCGAACATGCTATTGCTCCTTTCCATTTATTAAAAGATAGAGGTGTTTGGGCTGGTTTATATATTTCATTCTCCATTACTTTAATTAGTGCCATTGAAGGTTCTTATCTTTTCACTGTTTTAAGAGTTGCCGTTGACCTGTCAATTGATGATGCTACTATTATTTCTTCCGTTGCTTCATTCGTTGGTACTGCTGCTGGTTTCTTCTTTGGTTTATTCGTTGTTTATGCTAAACGTTTGAAAGGTTTTATCATTGCTGGTACTTGTATCTGGTTAATATCTCTCGGTATCTTATTACATTTCAGAAGTGGTACTGATGCCAGATCTGGTATCATTGCCGGTCTTTGTTTACTTGGGTTAGGTACTACTTTCTTCACTTATCCAGTTAATGTTTCCATGCAATCATCAGTTAATCACGAACATATGGCTGTTGTTACTGCTTTAGGTTATTCATTCTACCGTGTTGGTTCAGCTGTTGGTTCAGCTATTTCCGGTGCTATTTGGACTAACACCTTATATTCAAAGATCTTAAAATACATGCAAGATCCTACTTTAGCTGCTGATGCTTTTTCTGCTCCATTAACTTTCATCGTTACTTATTCTTGGGGTACTCCAGAAAGAGAAGCTATTGCTCATGCTTACAGAGATTTACAATTTGTTTTAATCTTAGTTGCTTTATGTTTATGTATTCCATTAATTGCTTGTGCTTTCTTCTTACGTGATCACAGATTAGGTGATGTCCAAAGTATTGAAGACGTTGAAAAATTTGAAGTCAATGATTCTATTATGAACTTATTCAAATCTTTCGGTGGAAGAACTAAAGCTGAAAAAGCTGCTGAAAAAGAACTTGAAAAACAAACTCAATTTGCTTAATTAATGTAATTTAAATAGAATGATTCACGGTATATGAATATTTTTAATATAGAATTTTTAATAATTATCTTTAAATGGTTCTAATGCTCTAAGATGTTGATCCATTGGTATCGGGTCGCAATATTCATGGTAATCTTCAATTTCCTTCAATAGTTTTTCTTTTTGTGCTGGTGGATATAAATGATTCAACTTTTTAGGATTTGAAAATCTTTGAATTCGTAGTTCTTTTTTGATTAAATCAATGTCTTTCAATTCTAATAATTGATTTCTTCGTTGACCGCTAATTACTATCTTTTTACTTGTAAGATAAATCTCTAATTCTTCCATTAATTGTTCTTTATTGACTTCATTGGTAATCAGGATGATACTTCGAGATTCAGAATCAGGAGATATCTTATTTTCAAAGAACCTGAGAAACTCAGACCTTGAAATTGATCTAAGAAGGTTTATATCAATTCTCTCATTACCGTTCTTGCCTTCAAATCTATAAATCCTGTTGATAATCTTTTCCCAAATACCTTTATGTTCAAAGTAATTCCCACTCACCAGATCAAAGTTAGTGCTTGATCTACTGGGAGGCATATCAAACACGATGCTAGGTGATGAATGTGAAACACTGGTAAATCCTATGGCATTGATGCATGGTAAAAGGACTTCTTCAAAGAATTCGGATTCATTCAAACCATCCACATAAACTTCAATCTCATGGAGCAAATCTTCAATATTGGAATCCAAAGTTGGGAAATTGTATTCGTTACTTTCAATGAAAATGAATACTCCTATAACTTTCCTGAAAATTCTTAAACTACTTCCAATCTTATAACCCAATTTCCGGGGGTATCTTAATTTGTGAACATGTAGACTCATTATGAATTCTACCAATTTGCTAATTGTTCTGATATAAATACTTTCTCTGGGTCCGAGATTTATATAGAATAGACAATGTTTCTGTTGTGAAGAATACTCATATCTCACTTTACCTACAAATGGGTTATAACTTCCAAGAAATGTGGGAGGCTCATGTAGTTTCCCTTGATGTAAATGTTTTGTCAATCTACTTATGGTGGATGATATTTCATAAGCTGTCTCTAAATCACAATCTCCATTGATAAGTATACTTGTATAACAGTTATTTAATTTGTTATTTACCAGCAAAACATCATCCAACTCAATGAGTTCAATTGTTTCAAGTACTTCAAATGGAGAGTATACATTCTTGTCTATCAAGCAATACAAAATCCCTACAGATTGAGCTAATGACTCTTCATTTTCCAAATCTTCATATTTCTTCCTTATCCTTACTCTTGCTTTTACAAACTTTGAGTATGTAATGGTCAGAAGTATACTTAATCCTTGTTTGATAATTTCTATGAACTCGACAAGAACTTTGGAATAATTCATTGCTAATCCATTCAAGTTGAAAGTTAAGGAATTACTACTATTCAAAGCTGTGAATATAGACCATGAAAAATCAATCCTTTCTGCAGAATAAAGCTTTACCTTGAAATCATCTCCTAAGATTTCTGCTATTAGTTCCAATGCAAAAAAGTCCATACAGTTTGGAAACGATTTAATGGTTAACATTTCGAAGCTTGTAAATATTCTATGATTATAATTTGATCCTCTATCAAACCATAATTCAAATTCAGGAGAATGTTCAATTAGATAGGGCCTTTTATCAACTTCATATTTAATATGATAATTGAGGGTAGGTTCTGAAATTGAAGGGATTGGAATGTAAGCCCCAGAAATTTGAAGAAATTTGTTTCTCTTGGGAAATTTTAGCCATTGTTTAAGAATTCTATGGTCTTCTGATGACGCATTTAAAGTATCAATTTCAAAAATCAGGTATTTAATGTCGTAATTTTTGTCATAAGTATTCAAAACTATCGATGGGAAGTCGTTGGTAGATATATCACTGAAAAGTATTATCTTCAAATTATCGATATGAAATATTCTCTTACTTTCGGAAATAAAAAGTTTAGAAGCCAATCTCATAGGTCTATAACCGAAAAATAAATGTTCATACTGAACTACATTCATGAGTTCTGTAAGGTTTGTGATTTCATTCATCAACCCGTTGTCAGATTCTTTATAGATAAACCTCAAATTCTCTGATTCTAGGAAATCATCGATATACCGTTGAAGTTGATGATAAGACACTTCAGTAACTAACAGAATAAAGTAAGTGATACAAAATAAAATGAAAGTAACACGATGTTTCCCCAGTTTAGTGAGTTTGAGTTCTATAATAATTACTAAATTATTGAAATCAATGAACTGATCAAAAACTAATACATCACTGGCCAAGTTCATCTGATATAAAATATCACACAATGAATTTTGTTCTTCATTACCGAATAATTCAATCCATAATTTGGTTATCTGAATTCTGTTGTCATTTAAATTGTTGATAGGGAACACAATTCTCATCATGTTGGCACCGTCATTGACATACAACAATTGCTTCCTAGATTTCAGGCTAAATATACCGGGAAGGTTAATTGTTCTTGAATTTCCTTTATTGATACCTTGGAAACAGCTAATTACTAGCTTCTGTAAGGTATTGCAAGATTGTGGTCCCTTCATTATCAACTTCATGTTTGAACCGATAAAGTTGTCTTTATGGTATTGTATCAATTGCTTCTTACACTTTAAATTTAGAGTTTCCATACTACCAGTAGCAAAGCTTTTAAATGTGGAGTCTGATATTAGCTTGAGGCAATGATAGAACCTTTTAGATATAGAAGAAACATTCATTGAATGCTCCTCATTGATATCACGTATTTCACTAATAATCAAATCATTATTGAAACTTGGTCTTTTTAAATTGCTAGCAAACACCTCTAATAAATAGCTCAAAATTGGTTTATCACTGATAATTTCAGGATTTATCTCCGATGCAGACTTGGAAGTGTTAGGCACTTCCAAATAGAATACTGTTTGATTGAAAGTAGTAAATGCATTCACTTCTCCTCCAGTTCTTCTAACATTTTGTATCAATGCGTATGGTCGTGGAAAATCTTTTGAATTAGTAAAGATTATATGTTCCATCAAATGAGCCAATCCTTCTACTCCCCCATCATTATTTGAGCCACTATTCACCGATAAAGAAACACCCGTTGATTTCGCATTGGGATCTGTAATTAGTATACAGTCTAATCCATTCTCTAATTTTATAGCTCTTGTATCATGATCGAATTTGGATAGTGGGACTTTGAACTCTGCTTTTGTGATATAATAACTCATAATTATCCCATCAATCTCAAGATTTTTGGTTTTTTCGCAGCCAAAAAAAAAAATTTCCTTTTTAAGACGTTTCAATGGATAAATTCCAAGGTACGAAAAATCACTAAACTACAATCATATTCTCAATGTTTCGATTTCTTAGGTTCGGAAAGCTTCAGTCCAACAATATCACCAGTGAAAAATAAAAAAATATTCCGATACCGGGAGTCGAACCCGGGTTTGCTGCGTGAAAGGCAACCGTGCTAGCCGTTACACTATATCGGACCTAGATGTTATAATCATCCAATGTATCTCTGTAGTGGTGATTATAGAAAATTTTTGGGCCCGAATAGCTTTTGTTATTTAGATCGTTCGTTGGGGTGTCTCGTTGAATCTCCAAGAAAAGAGCGTATCTCCTGAGAAACTGCAAGCATTTGAGCCTTTGCATTGCAATCTATTTTGAGATTCAATTTTTCATTCAAAAACTTTAACGGAATGGTTCTTGAAGTGAAACAACACTATCAAACATACGTATAGATATGCTAATTCACTCAATTGACCCTGACCCGACCCTTGCATAGATTCCCAAACATGTAGTACGAACCAACTCAAAGACTTCAACTTGTTAGTGAATAATTCATTCGGCTTTTTCAAAACTTTTAGATTGATATTCACACCGGACTTATCGGTGAGCATTATTAATACTTCCTTGCAAATCGCGGAAATGTGATGCGGATTTAGGCTACAGACAAAGGAGCTAAGAGCTTTGATCAAGGACTCAATGATTTGATTATCTCATGATTATTGTATATAAAAACCCTCAGTGATACGGTATTGATGATTATTAAATCCGAAAAATGCAAGAAGTCTTTGTCTCCGGTGCTAGTGGGTATATTGCACAAAATATTGTGAAACTTTTAATCTCTAAAGGTTACAAGGTAATCGGATCTGTCAGAAGTGCCGCTAAAGGGGATCAATTAAAGAAAGATGCTGGAGAAAATTTTGACTATGAAATAGTGGAAAATATTGGTGCTCCAAATGCTTTCGATGAAGCCTTGAAGAAACATCCAAATGTTTATGCATTCTTACATACTGCTTCTCCAGTCGCTTTTGCCACAGAGGATATTGCCAATGACATCATCAAGCCTGCCGTCGAAGGTACTTTGAATGCCTTGAAATCTGTTCAAAAGTATGGTACCAATGTCAAAAAAGTCGTTATTACTTCTTCAGCTGCTGCTAAACTTGATTATCAAAATATTTATAATCCCGATGCTGCAGTCGTCACTGAAGAATCATGGAATCCAATCACTGATGAAGAAGGTTTACTCAATTCTATGTTTGGTTATTTCGTATCTAAGAGAAACGCTGAAAAAGCTGCTTGGGAATTTGTAAAAACTGAAGATGTTAAATTTACTTTGAATACCATCGCGCCAACTTTGGTGATTGGTCCTCAAGCTTACGCCAGTGGTGTCAAAGAAACTGCCAATTTCTCGGTTGAATTATTGAATGGTCTTTTGAAGTCAAAACCTGATTCTGAAATGCCTGTTTTTGATGGTAACTTTGTTGATGTAAGAGATGTTGCTAAATTACACTTACATGCCTTCGAAAGTGATGTTAAAGATTTCAAATATTTGCCAATCACTGATTATTTCTCCATCCAAACTTGTGCAGACATCATTAGAGAAAAATTTCCTTCTTTGAGAGATACAGTTCCTATTGGAACCCCCGGTGCTGGTAAGGATGTTCACACTAGATACTCCCCATGGGATAATAAAAAAACCATGGCATACTTGGAAGATCCAATTTCATTGGAACAATCTGTAGTTGATACCATAGATCAAATTGTTAATAAATAGGAAAAATATATACAATTATGATTTCAAGAATTTTTTTACAAGCTTTACAGCTGTTCCTTGAACATGACTGGTATATAACTATTCACTTGAGAGGTTCGGTAAGTTCTTTAACGGCGAATGCTTCAACTGAGAAGTTAAAATCTTCATAACGGTCATTACATCAATATTTTTGATTGCATCTTATCGACATTTTACGACATTTTTGCTGTGTTTGCCGACATTCTTTGTCGCGGGTGGAAGGGGCAAAACAATAATAGGAGTTCTTCAGTTGTTTAATCTATTATTATCGATGTACTCTCATATTCCATCTCTATTATGACCGGGGCACGACTTGCTCATACTTTTCAATCACTATTTGCTCAGTTAGCTTTCTAAACTGGTAACTCATCTGTTCATTGTACTTCAAAAGTCTTATATTCAATGTATAACGAAGGATTTGCACCGAAGATCTTCAATTACTAAATCCGGTATTCAATTTTTTGTAGTCATGATTGGTGGGTGCTTTACTTTATTATAAATATTATAATAGGGGTTTTACTACGACTCCTGTTGAGATCATATTTGACCCTCTCTCTATCTCTTTTCTTTTGTCCTCATCAAAATTCTTGTCGTTGATAGGTTTGTCCCAATGAAGGCATTTTTGCGATAAGGTCGTAAAATTATTAGGTATGAAAAGCTTATCTATCCCCTAATATTGCGGTAATTTGACTTCGTGGGGATATTTTTCACCTCGAAAACCCGGAGTTTCATGTAATCGGTACTTTTTTACTCCTTTTGGATTTCCGACAAAGATAAAAAATGTGCGACCTTATCTAAAAAGCTTATCTAATCAAGAATTCCGAGATAAGTATAAAACAAGTGGAAAAGTTCCTCGCAAAACGTTCAAGGATGTCGGAAGCAAAGAAAGAAAAAGTTCAAGTGATTCATGATGTTGTTGAAGAAGGGTCACAATTTTCAGATTCTATTCAGATCAAAAAATTTGGTTTTCTCAGTATAAACCCTGAGGAAAAAATTCACAGAACTTTACCATTACGTATTGTTAATCTTATTGCTTTCGGGGGTGCAATTGGTACTGCTCTTTTCATCACTATTGGTAGTCCTTTGATGATGGGTGGTCCGTTATCGTTGGTTTTGGCTTATTGGTTCTGGACTCTTGTTATGTTGATCTTAACATGTTGTGTAGGAGAAATGGTTTCTTATTTACCAGTAGCTTCACCCTTCATTACATTAGCTGGAAGATGTGTTGATGAAGCTATGGAATTCTCAGCGGGCTGGAATTTCTATTTAATGGAATCTTTATATATTCCTTTTGAAATCGTCGCTGTTAATGGTATGGTCCATTACTGGAGAGACGACTACAGTGCTGGTATCACTTTAGGTGTACAAATTTTTTTGTATGCATTAATCAACATATTTGCTGTAAGAATTTATGGGGAATCAGAATTTTGGCTAGCATTAGGTAAGATTGTTTTAGCCACCGGTTTATTATTCTTCACTTTAATCACCATGTGTGGAGGAAATCCTCAACATGATGCTTTTGGTTTCAGATATTGGAAAACTGAAGGTGGACCTATGGTTGCTTACTTGAGCGAAGGTGATGGAGGTAGATTTCAAGGCTTAGTCAATTGTTTGATTGCAGGAGCTTTTTGTATTGTGGGACCTGAATATTTATCAATGGTTGCTTCAGAAGCTGCTAATCCTAGAGTTACCATGCCAAAAGCCTTTTCCACTGTTTTGTACCGTTTAGTAATTTTTTACGTTCTTGGTGCTCTTTCAGTGAGTGTTTTAGTTGCTTATAATGATCCTACTTTAGTCAATGCTCCTTCCACTGGTGCTGCTAGCTCTCCTTATGTGGTTGCCATGGTCAACTTAGGTATCAAAGGATTACCTGATATTGTTAATGCTTTGATTATTACATCTGCTTTCTCAGCTGGAAACTCATTTGTCTATTGTTCTTCGAGAGTATTATATTCCTTAGCAAGACAAGGTTTTGCCCCAAAAATATTCAGTTACTGTACCAACTCGGGTGTTCCAATCTTTGGTGTTTTTGTGGCTATAGGTTTTGCTTTATTATCTTTGTTACAATTGGGTTCTAATTCGGCCACTGTTTTAGGTTATTTTGTCAGTATTTGTACTGGTTCTCAAGTTTTAAATTATGTTTTCATGGGAATCACCTATATTGGCTTTCATAGAGCTTGTGAAGCTCAAGGTATTGATAGATCTGCATTCAAATTCAAAGCTTGGTACCAACCCTACGGAGTTTACTTTAGTTTATTCTTCTTGATATTGATGGTGGGTATTATAGGTTATACTAACTTCTTACCTGGTAGGTGGAGTACTTCTTCCTTTATCTTCAATTATATCATGGTATTCATAAATATCATCTTAATATTGGGTTGGAAATTCTTCAAGAAAACCAAAAGAGTGAACCCAGCTGAAGCTGATCTTTACACTGGTCTTGAAGAAATCGAAGAACATGAGTATGAATATTATGCTAAATTAAATGTTCAACCAGAAGATTATAAATTAAGCTTGAAAAGTAAAATACTTGCGTGGGTTTTTTAGTCTTATAAATATGGACCTACTCTTTCATTAAACCCTCTCTTAATACAGTATTCTATCGACATCCACTTTTGATATGATCGAATATCATCATATCATATCAGACTTATCGGTGTGTAGAGTAAATCTCAGAAAGGAAATTGGCTCTTTTATCACATTTTTGTTACCAGTACAAACTCAAGTCCCACATACATTACGAAAGTTTCTGATGTTTCGTGTCATTCGCCTAATTCGCCTCATTCGACTACGTGGACTCGTGCCAAGTATTCCAATATCTCTTGTTTATTAAATATTGGTAGTAACAGGATACAAAAAACGTCGTTATAGCAGGTCAAATAAATAGGAGGTGAAACACTCGAAATTCTTTAGGTATCTTACCATGAAAACGTACTTGATGACTGGATTTAACAGAGGAATTGGACTCGATTCATTAATTGAAGCCGTCAAAATATCAATCAACCTATGAACTTTAATTTGGCATTTTGTTCTTCAGATTTGACAATGAAGGGTTTATCATCTACAGTGAAGAATACTTTGAGTTCGAATTCATTCTTGACATGTTGAAGCTCAATGGTGGTAATATCTTCCATGATATTGAAAAGGTTAGAAGATCCTGATTCTCTAATACCGATTAACGATGGACACCGCAGCTATCTTCATAACCTTCATGGGGGTTATGTGCTGACTTAGTGGTATGATGATAAACGGTGGTAAGAAGAAACATTCGTCTGTTTCAAACTGACACTTATGGATAGCTGTACTAGCTTCTAGTACCCATGGAATATTTTTCCGGCCCAAAAAAATCTTTATGGAGAAAGAGGTATCTCAAGTCTAACAATATCGATTTACAATCCAAAGAACGAAGCTGGGAACTTTATCCCGATTTTCGAGATCAATCACTGGTATAGCAGGATTTGGTCCAATAGTTAGGGCAGGTCGACAATAATTCTCAAACTGGGTATTAAAGGGTGCTAAAGGTGCTCATACATTGCCCACGGTAGTCTTAACTTGTTGGTCACATTCACCAATAAAATTCGACCATTATCATTCACCCTTGTTCATCGATCTGCCAACTTTACTTTTTTGTAGGATACAAAGAAAGTTTTAGATAAATGCGATCATCAAAATACTCAATTTAAGATTTTTGACTCTCTCTCCTGAGATGCGGAGCCTGAGAAAACTCGTGCTAACTCCGCGATTTGCGTCCGTAATAATGTACCAATTACGGATACAGAAAGCAATATTTGGGCTGGTTCTCAATATGGATAATCTTTTCTAATGATTTTTTTTATCAATTCTTGATTGAGAAATTAGCGGGCAATGTCCTGAAGAATTTTCCTAATTGAAGCATAATCTGATGAAAGTTAAAAATACCGTCACCCCCACCCCCCACACTCATCTTTTGGGTGAAACTGATTGACAAATTCTACATTTTCCAGATTCCAAACATCCAAAATAACCGATCCATCCATTTGCTTTGTTTTTACGTAAGTTATGAGATTTGGCGAATCGAATCCTTACTTGATAATTTAATATAGTCATTCTTATCATGAATAAGTTTGGGCCCTAAAAATCCAGAACAAATGATAAGTTCGAAACCGTCATATTCAAATCACACTTATACATATCTTAAAAGCAGCGTTCTTCAATAAGTATACAAAATGATATCTGCAAAAAATGATTCGTTTTGGATGCGCGGCGTTAATAAGTAAATCCATTTACGATGGGCAATACTTTGAGTGACTTTCAACGATAATCTGTTGCCATTCCTTGCTTTGGGGGTAAGCAAAATAGCATTCATTCTTCTCGTGGTTTCAAATTGTACATTTGTTAAGTCATCCATATACCACCGTCATTCCCCAAGGTTCAACTAGAACCTACGTGCTTTCAGGGGCACAAAAAAATCCCAATACTAAACATCATCTATCTTGAAAGGTCATGATTCAAATATTTTTTATCTTCCTTACTTGAAGATGCTGGCAAGATTTCCTTGAGCAGGCAGTTTCCGGCCATAAGTCTTAGGGAAGTTCCTACAAGAGCGTCAATTGGAAATGTAGCATCAACTTTTAGCTTTCTTTTATACCGGAACTCAAAATTTGACTCTCGTTAATTCAATTTGAGTCAAGAAAACTCAACGAGAGAAAACATTTGTATGGTTTAGATCTAAAGAGGTGTTTTACTGTATTCAAAGATACTTCACAAGCATCTTGTCCCAAATTCCCCCAATCAGCCATCTTCTGAGTTCCTCAGGTAACTTGGGTTTTCATTACAATGTCCTTATTTCTGCTTAATTCGATTAAACTTTTGTCATTGCGTTACTCATAGCTCTAGATTTACACAAAGTCGGTTTTCCAATAATACAACAATGGGTGGAATCAAATAGTTCCACGAATTCAAAAGCTTAATTTTACAGCTGACCTCAATTTCCTATTTCAGAGGTCATCTTTCAAGTCGACCGACAATTTCGACTAACCACCTCTCATTATTTACACGAGACTCCTAAAAATTTTCACACAGCATTATGCAACAGTGCAAGTTTGTTTCGCGTTGCTGTGGAATCCAAGCCCCTGTATTGGCGACAATGTGAGTCTCCGATGGATAAATTAGTATTTTAAAGTTTCGTAGTACAATGTGCCTCCGATCAAAACACTACTAAGGTTTGACTGGTAAATCAACTTTGAGGTCGCATCTGTACTTATCCAGCTCATATTACATAGGCGATTCTAGCATGAACGAATTAAGGAACATTTGAAGTCAACCTGAATCTGTATGCTTCATTAAGAATCTTACTTCGCAGAAGGATTCGCGGTTTTGACCTGAATAAAAGAGATAACATAACCCTTCTTGGTTAACTCTCATTCGCTTAAAACGAATGAATATAATTGTTTTTTGTTATCAAGGTTTAACAATTCTGTATTCATTTCCAATTTAGTGAATTTTTCGATCAAATTAAGAATAAACAACAAAAATGTTTTCATATAACTTATTAAAAATGGAAATTTCTCCCCTTAAACAAATTTGCAAGTATTACCGCCCTTATTTGTTATCAAGTAAAGCATATGGAGCCTTATTTATGAACTATGTCCGTTTCATTTCCACTATTGGGCGAGAGAATTCTCGATAATTTCTGCTATGTGAAATAAAATACCCAAATGCGAATCCCACTTTGTTCAATAGCAATATTTTTTGCCAGATTTTTGAACAAGTATGCAAATGAGACTCTATTGTTGATTCGAGTGTTTTTAATTTCTACCAATCTGACTACAAGGGTCGAAAATGCCTATTGAGAGCGTATTACCGGATTGAGGTTCTAAAAATCCCAATCTAGACAAAACCCAATTTTTTTCCACGATCAAAACTCCGATATTAAAAGCATAATTCAGGAATACGGGCGCAATTCTGGTCATTTAGTAAAGCCAACCAATTGAACGGTGATTCAAAATTGAAATCTTCAAGCAAAAACTGAACTCAACTGTTCGATCTATAGATCCTATTGAATTCCATAATCACACAAGTTTGTACCACTAAGTGAATGAAATAGTTGAAGTTCCATAAGTAGAATGTGACCTCAATTCAGGAATTTACAACCCTGTTGGAAGTGCAATGCGCATAACGTATCTCTTGAAATTCATATGCTGTGCAGGTCGATGAACATTGCATAAAATTGAATAGTTACTTAATTTGGATATTGTATGACTCGATCAGGGAATTAGGATACTGTTCGTAAAACCTTGTTACAGAAGCGGGCAAATAAATCATTAAACATTTCAATGCAATGCGAGCAATTCTTGGTATAAATAGTTCCAATTCTCCAGTTTGAATGAAAATAAGAAATGTTATCCAACTTAATAGCTTCAACATTATTACTTTGGTCAGTAAATGCCATCAACGTTGGTTCATGTAACATCGAAAGTGTTAACGATGGATTCCATGTTGAATATATTGACAACGACTATAATGAGTGTGGGGTTGGTCCTTCGTACCCAGCGACTTGTATCAGTTATCTCCCTGTTATCGATGAGAAACCTGCATCTGTTGAAATGGATAATGTGAAAAACCTTACTTTTAGGTACCGAGGAGGAAGAGTCGGTGGTGTTCCCTCAATGGAAAATCTTTATGGAAAACTTGTGAACGTAAATAGTTTTGGTTTGAGAATCAATGGTTACTTCTATGCTTCAGAAACAGGTCAATATGAATTTACATTCAACAATGTTGATGATGCCGTTGCCTTGTATCTTGGTTCTGCTCAAGATTATGACTGTTGTGGTAAAATAAACGATATTGCTGGTAATGTTCCAGTTTTAACTGCCCAATTTCCGAGTGGTACCACCAATTATACTGTCACATTACAGAAAGGATATTACCCTATGAAATTTGTCTATTTGAATATTGGAAATTGGGCGATCCTTAATTTTTCTGTTACTCAACCAGATGGATCAGTTGTCACATCCGACAACTTACCTGCGTATTCACCAAGTGACCAATCAACATGTATTGTTCAAACTACCACCATTACATCAACTTGGACCGAAACATTTGGAACAACTTACACCAGAACTCCAACTGGGACGGGAAATGTAACAGCAACTATTATTGTCGAAGAACCACCATTGTCAACAACTACTATTACTAGTGGTTCAGTATCAACTACCTACACCACCGTCATTACTACTGGTTCAGTGCCAACCAGAGAAGTGGTCATTGCAATCCCACCATTATCAACAACTACCATCACAAGTGGTTCAGTACCAACTACCTACTTGACTACCATCACCACTGGTTCAGTACCACTTATTGAGTATGTTACTGTGACCCCTACTCCAGATATCCCAACTACTACCATTACAAGTGGTTCAGTACCAACGAGTTACTTGACTACCATCACCACTGGTTCAGTACCAGTTACTGAGTATGTGACCATCACTCCTACTCCAGACATTCCAACTACCACAATCACAAGTGGTTCAGTTCCTACCAGTTACTTAACTACCATCACCACTGGTTCAGTACCGCTTACTGAGTACGTTACTGTAACCCCTACTCCAGACATCTCAACTACTACCATTACTAGTGGTTCAGTTTCAACTGGTTACTTAACTACTATCACTACGGGTTCAACTCCAGTTACTGAATATGTTACTATCACTCCTATCCCAGGCATTCCAACTACCACCATCACTAGTGGTTCAGTTCCAACTGGTTACTTGACTACTATTACTACTGGTTCAGTACCAGTTACTGAGTACGTCATCATCACTCCTATTTCAGATATTCCAACTACTACGATTCCAGGTAGATTCCCAACAACTTACTTGACTACCATCACCACCGGATCAGTACCTTTCACTGAATACGTCATTGTCACTCCAATTGCTTGGTCTAATTCTACCTCAAGAGTTCCTCAAAGTCCAGTTACTGACACAACTATGACTTCAACTAATGTCCCACCTTCTGGTCCTGTCACTACTATTGAAACTGCTTCCACTGTTGTCACCCTTCCATGTGATATTTGTGAAGGTGGTTTCTCAACCTCAACCAAAACAACAGTTACTACCAAAACTTTACCATGTGGTCAATGTGAAGGTACTAATACTGATGGTGGAAACCCTCAAGTTACTCCTCAATCAACTCCAACCAAAGTCCCTGGTTCTGGTTCTGGTTCTGGTTCTAGTTCACCAGGTTCTGATAACTCTGGTTCTACTTCACCAAGTGCTTCTGCCCCTGTAAGTACTTATGAAATCTTAGAAGGTGGTGCTTCTTCAGAAGCTGTCACACCTTTATTACTTGTTCTTTCAAGTTTCTTATGGTTTGTTTAAAACTTTTTCTTTGAAACATTTTTTTATATTTGGGATTTTTTGATTTCTTTTGCTCCTGTTATACTTTTCGAATTTGTGAGTTTTTTGTTTATTTAATGTAAGAATTATTCAGTACATTCGCTTTGTCTCTCGTTGCATTTTTTATGAAAAAACATCCCTATCAAAGGACGAGTTTTGTTCGATTGACGCGGAACAGGGTGTTTTCTAAGCACTAATTTTTCTGGTTACCTCCTTTATGATGTTGGGTGCAACTTTGCGAACTTTTTTCTTAAATAACTTTGAACTTCAGTATTTAAGAAATTGAACAAACAGGTGTCTATGGAAAATTCTGATTCTTCATATCTCTTATATGTTATTGCGTTATTCTACTCTGACTATGAAATTCAAAATTTGAAGGGAAATTTGGGGTGAATTACATCTTCAAGGTATAACATGTCTCATTGAATTTCTAAAAATGTTCTAGCTTCTAGAAATATGCAAAAAAGCTTTGAAATCTACCCTCAATCTTATAGGCACGTGATGCGAATAAGTCTCACCTCCAAAATATCTGAAGTATTACGGAGGAAAACCCTGTCTTTTGAAAGAACTTGCAAATTCTAATGTAGCTGAATAATTCTTGATTATCGTATAATCATCGAAAGAAAAGTCATTAGAATATTCAAATATAGTTGTTAAAATATTTCTAAGATATCATATAATTATAAAACTAGTAATGAAAAATTGATATAAAAAAGAACTACGATTTTCCTTAAATCGTTTAATCAGATGGAATATGCAAACCAGTTCAATAATTTTTTAACATTTATTTATTTTCTGCTGTACAGTAATTTTGATAGTTGGTGAGAAGGTATGAAAGTTGCAAAAAATAGAAGAAAAAGAATTTTAAAAAAATTGTGCGAATCGTGAAGGACCCTTATAAATACATCAGCAGTAGAGTAGAAGGAATATGGTAGCCATACTACTATTGATGTTGAAGATTTATAGATATTTATGACAATTTAAAATATAAATCCATTACCAAAATTAAATAATTTAACGTAGTGTTCGATATAGATTATCATAGTAATACATTAGAAAGACATCATACAATCGATTTGATTTCAGAAAAACGTACCGATTAAACTTATGTCCAAACTAATCTATAAATATATTATAAATACTCATTTCATGTTTCAAGTTATAAGAACGTAAAGAATAAATACTCACCAGGACTATCGCATTAACAAACAAATTTAGTTTATCACGTGTGTAATTCTCACTGTTGAAAATTTGCAACCACCAGAGACTTTGAGAAGATAACGAAAAACTTAACTCAGAAGAAGTCACGCGCATAAAGTCACGGGGCAAAAGAAGTCACGAGCGATAAAGGTTACCCGCAGAAGTCATTTTCCTCAGAGACATTTTCCTCAGAGACATTTGTAGCAGAGACATGTCGCATAAGTATTACATAATCTCAAAGTTAAGGGAAAAGTTGACCGAGACACATCTTCGGACAAAGAAATCCGAGAGTCGGAAGTTAACTCACAACAAATATAATATACGAGACAAAAGTCGCTTACATAATGCAAAATGTGTTAGTGTACTGCTTTGTGAGGTACGGGTGAGGTGATCTGTGTGGGTGTACGGGTGAGGTGATCTGTGTGGGTGTACGGGTGAGGTGATCTGTGTGGG